GCCGTGGTCGTCATTCCAGATCTTGGTGGTGTAATACACCTCCGATCTATGGACGGAGGGGTTAGCCTTCAAAAAATCGGCAATACCCTCACCGGTTTCTTCTTCGTTGCCGTAAAGCTTGGCGGAATCGATCAACCGGTAGCCGGCCTTGAGTGCTTCGTTAACGATAGTAGTGGCTTCGCCTGGGGGAGTCTGGTAGACACCGAAACCGATGACTGGAATAGAAGTCCCGTCAGACAACTTGCGGAGCGATTTAGAAGTTAAGGTAGACATTGGTGATTTGTGAGCTAAATATGTGATGGGGATTATAAGGATGTATTGAATATATCTGGTCAAATCCCACTTTTATAAGCGGATGACGGCGAATTTATATGGTTTTCAGCCATTGCCCTCAGTGTATACGTGATTGCACTGTCGGATTTCACAATTCCCACCATGGGTGTGCTCATGCACCGCATATTGAATAGCAATACATGCTGCATGATAAAAGTTAATTATGCACAAGCACGTGAACCGCACCTTCCGTGCTGGTGCGAGGCACAGGCGTATTTTTGGCTGAAATGTGTAAATTTATCAATAGTGTGGTGCTGTGTATACTTTAGTTACCCGGAGATGTGCTTTGTAATTATTACACGTCAAATCTTTGCACATCTAGGTAACACAATATGTTTGCGTGCTAACCCTTAGGGTACGGTCTTAATGGGTTAGCTAAGAAACGCACTCTAACTCTGCTTCGGAACCCATTTTACCGGGCCCAAAGTCTATTGGGTGTGGGTATTCCTTCATATTGATCGATGTAGGATGAAGAGTTCGCACTGTGAACTTGTAACATCCACATTATTGCCATGTAGTTGTACTTGTGGATAATCGAATTACAGAGCTAATCTATGATATAGAAGCTTGCCGGGCCTTTGGCACCCCGTTTATGAAATTTTCCCGCTCCAAAAACTATGTACATGGTCAAAGGGCACTTCACATCGATTTGGTGTACCTCTGCCGAGTGGCGTGCCATCATACAAAAGCAGTATTGCACGAGCAATCAACACAGACGTTTAGATGTATAAGTCCTGTTAATTGCCTCGCCTGAATGATATATCCAACTATATGTCTACAACACATACGGGATGATGCACCAGCGTTTGTGTGCCACAGTCTCTCTTTTTGACTCGATCTTTTCGTCGTAAAACTTTCCAGTCTCAATCGCCGAAATAGACAAGTTACTCACCACCCAGGCTACGACTAGCCAGTTGCTGTTGGAGGGAATTCTTGTGGTCAGAGGTAACACCCCACCCGTCGCCGCCATGCACGAATAGATGCAGATTTCTTGAAGATAATGTGCACAGTAGACGTAGCGGAACCATCCGGCCTGTGGGGTTCGATACTTCACAAGCAGGGCCAAATAAACATGGGAAACATATTGCTCGTACTGGAAGTAGACAAAAGCGAGGACTAACAGTACCATACCTAGGCTAACACAGCTACAGGAGAAGGAACCCGCTATGTCATGGGTTATCGCCTGAAACAAGCAGTTCACACTTATGGCGGTGTAGAAGAATATCCCAACGAGGTAGTGACTGATGTTCATACGTGCCTGGGGGTTGGGTTTCGACACATAACGGCACTCGTAGAGTCTCCGACACGACTGCGTCATGATCATGCAGCAGAGGATCACACATACGGTGTAGGGTTTTGAATCACCCGACTTTGTCTGGTTAGCTTGACTCAAGTGGGGCGAAATATACGACACAAGCAGTTGAGAAAGGCTGGTGTTGGAAAAGTGGAGAATACAAAAGACACATATGGAGAGGATAGAAGAGAGGACGTAGAAGTGTATGAACCAGCTCTTCGGAACGGTAATGGTTACAAGAAATCGGATAAATTGGTCAACCAAGGCTGGAGGCCAACGATCCCTCTCATGCTTTTGGTACTCTTTCTTGGCCAACGAAACCTTGCCGTACTGGAGAAGGCCATTGAGCTGGGGTACTAGTTTGGCTGCAAGCACTGCCGCAATTGCAAAGAGAAATAAACCTTGGATAAGTATGTCCCATGGGGTGTCCAACACGGCTCTAAGCAAAGCATACACCATGTGGAAGTTGTATATCTGCTCGAAAGACTCAACCACATCTCCAGAGCATATTTCACAGTACGTTTTGGTCGTGCGTATATCACACACAGTCTGTCATCGCACCAAAAAGTATGCCTGCACCGACTTTTGTTTCTTTTTCCATTCCCTTAATAGAAAGATTGAGCATCATTCATGGAAAAACCAACCAAGATCCTGACCACGCCTAGACCCTCACTAAAACCGATCCATATCTGCGGTTACCCTCACCCCTGGTTCAGTCTCATCACCTTTTATCCTCTTTAGCTGCAAACACCTACTACCGGTTTTTGAGCCAGCCCCGTTTATTTCCAAAGCCTGGCCCAACAAGCCGTTTGACCGTAACGTTTTAACCATCCCCCGAACAATCCATAAAAACCCCATCCTGGATACCGTTAAAGAGAGCCTTTCCGCAACCTATCTCACAACACTTTCCACAAGCTCCAGAGCGATGAGTGAAACCCTTGTGAAATACGCGTCTCTCAAAACGGAGAGGCAAATCCACACCCTCGAGGAAGTCGAGAAACACGTCACGTCCTCGGACTTGTGGATGGTTATCTACGACAAGGTGTACAACATAACCACATTTCTAGACCTACATCCTGGCGGCGCCGAGGTCCTCTTCGATTGCTCCGGTGTTGATGCCACCGCTGCCTTTGAAGATGTTTGCCACTCGAACGATGCCATCAAAATGCTCAAGCCCTACTTGGTGGGCCATCTTGACCTGCTGCAGGTGAAGTTCCCTCCAAAACCGCTCGACGACGACGTCGAAGCGTCTGACCCTGGTGAGAAGAAACGTCGCTCCTCCTTATCACATACAGCCAGACACAAGAGATATATCGGAAAGAGAAAGCACAATGTGTTTGGGAAATCCTTCTTAAAGGGGAGGGGAAACATCGCCGGTCTCACCGTGCTAGCGACGTTTGCCTTTGCAGGGTATGTCTTTATCCAGTGGAAAAAATGGACCGATTGGAGCGCCGCTTGATGAGACATGGATTGAAAGTAAGCAAGAGAGGGCCTCTGTGAAACAAGGCCTCCGGGATGTCTAGTGTCGGCAGTGCTACGGATAAATAAACTGACTGACAATGCTTCGTCTGCTGCATTTGAAATGAGAGTACTCCCTTTACAGGCGATTGCTGAAAGAAACGGACCTGCCGTCTTTCCACGGCCCAAATATTGAACTTTGCTCCCAAACAGCCACTTCTACTCCGCTGACTGGCGTAATAATATTTATACTGGAAATTGCATACTGTGCGTGGCCGATACCGTGAGGTCTCTAATTCGGGGATCAAGCCATTTTTGCGTTCTTGCTGTACGTTTTAATGGCATATTTTAGAGGTTAAGCCGTATGTTAGTGTTTACAGAGATCTGGGGGTTATGCCACCGCCTATCCTTTCTATATCAATATAACCAGGATCTTTCGACTTTGAGCCGGAAACCAAAAGGTTGGTATGGACATGCCACGAATGCAAAATAAAATCCAAACACTAGCTTGAAAGTATCAGATATCCAATTATAGTCCTATATTTATATTACCCCTATATGTATCTCATCCTAATCTTTGTGTTTCCAAAAATTTCCCGTCACTATGTCAGATGAAGCTTCCAAACTCAAATCCTCATTCTGTGGGAGCAATGGCTTGATTGTGCAGTCTGCTGATTTACAGCTGCGTCCCTCGGTACCTACTAGTTCTCGCTGATATAACTGACAACTCTAATGTTAGCCATACAACTCCAATACTCTAGAGATTATGCATAACATATATATTGTACCAATCGAGAAAAAAAAGCATCACCAGTCAAGCATAACCGCGCAATCACGGATAAAACAGAACCCCCTGGGTATTTACCGATATAATATACTTGTAAAGCGGATATAGGCGAATTACCGCCTTGGCAAACCTCATATCTACAACAACCGCTGAAACAGAAAAGGCGGTAACAGCACGGGGCCGGGCTGGCAGCTCGCGTGTGTCTCAGTTTTCGCCTGCGGCCCCTCGCGGTTCTCTGCCTCAATCTTGCCCAGACCAGGGGCAGGAGACGTCAAGCGGCGGACACCGTCCATGACGAACAACTCCAACACCACGACGTAGCTCTGGGTCTTGGCATCGTAGACTGGGTCTTGCAACGCGCGGGCTACGTCATGGTCGTTGTGTAAGAGGATGGGCGCGTGGCGCGTACTCATGAGCGTCGTTGAGGGCTCGCCGGAATGGGTCACACTGCGGAGTTTCAACACCTTGGTATCGGAGCGGATGCTGAAGGCGGATTTTCCGTTGACAACCAACTCGGTGAAGGTTGGGGGCGCTGAGGTCTGTGGCTGGTACGTGAAATTCAACGTCTTGTTGGAGAACTTAAGCAACACAGAAATGTGACCGCTGTGGCTCCCGGAGAGGGTACTGCTCGCGTGCCCAGGCAGTACAAGGTTAACATGCCTAGTCAGAACTGCATTCGCATTCTCCGACGGAGCTCCATTCAGGCCTACACTCGTGACGGTTGTGTGAAAGCTCAACGGGGTGTCCCCAGGTGATGCCGTTGACCCCTCATTCTTATGCTCCTTACTCTTGTGCTGGGAGATCAACGGGTAGTCTCGGTGCACAATATCGTGGAGCACCTCGCTGAGCGGCTGGACGATGCAGTCGAAACCAAAGTCCGTGACGCACCCAGCAATCAAGATACAGAGGGTCATGACAGAATCATGGTCGTCCAAGTTGAGCAGCGGATCCTGCGCGTCCCCCGTCTGCCCGAGGTTGCGCATGATCTTTGCCAACGTGTGCACGGAGTTGAGCTTGCCAGAGAGGTACTCGGTTGAAGAAGGCGACACGTGCGCGAAGTACTTGATGAAGTTGTAGGAGATCACCGTTTGCACCACGGCGCGGCCCATGGCCTCCAACGTGCCAAAGTTGCGCATCCGCGACGCGCTGTAGTCAGAACAAGTCTTTGACCGCTGCACATAGCTCAGGATGCTGGCAAGCGCTGCGGCAGCCTGTTCCGAGATCGGGTTCACTTTTCCGCCCGCACCCTCCCATGGCGAGAGCGCCGGGAGCAACACCTGCAGCGGCCCGATGCGTGAGCGAATCTTGGGCCGCGACGCGTCAAGCCCGCTAGGCGCCAACAATGTGGTGACCGCGCGCTTGGACTTTTCATGGCTGGTGGGATCCAATACTACCCGGCGCGAGTATAACTTGTCGTGCTCGTCACTAGAGGACGAGTTGAGCTTCGTGATTTCCGAAATGAAGCGCTGGCGCTTGCGTGGCGCTTCATTGGTATTCAGAACAGAGCCATTGGCCTGGTGATGGCTATCTCCATGGATGGCTCCCGTTATGGTTGGGAGACGGTTGGCGCCGCTGATCTGATGGTTGTCGCTGTTGGTGGTTTGATTAATGTTTGGAAGCGATGTGCTCGGCGGAAGCATCGGCTGGTAAGGCCGCGGGAGCTGGCGGTAGTCGTGGACCCCATGTAACGGCGGTACAACGGTAGAGTAGTGCAGCAGATATGTGCTCTTGTGGATATCTCCCTGGCTGTGTGTGCGGTACATGTCGTTTTCGACGAGATAGTCGGCTCTGAGGTCGGGCCTGTGGTCATGGTACTCTCTGTGCGACTGGTACTCGGGCCGGTCTTCGACAAAGCGGTAGCCGTTGTTGTTCTTGGTGCGCAGGAGTCGTTTGCGGTTGCGTCTGACGCTCTGGATGGCCGCACGCACAAGCTTGTTGAAGTCCGTGGTGTACGACTCTGGATAGTTGAACTCCATGCGCAACGCATCCGACACCTTGCTGATTTCGTAGTCCTGCTCCGACGCCTTTTTGGACGAAAGGTCGAGCGTGTCGATAAGTTCGAGCCGGCGCGCGGAGAAGCGCTTCCAAAGCACGTCGTCATTAAAGTTGAGGCGGTCACGGATCGAGTGCGTGACACCTTTGGGCGAGCTTCCTTCGGGCATGATAGGGCGAGTTGAGTTAGGCTAAGTAACGAGACTTGGCAAAATAACTATAGGACGTGTTGTATGCAACAGAAAGCCGAATGGTTCAGCGAAATAGCTCGGCAAAATGGCTCAGCAAAATGGTCTAGCAGAATAGTTCAATAGAATGGGCTGTAAGTGTTAAAGCTAAAGTGTGCTGGATAAAGCTGAAGGCAAATGCAGAAGGCCAAAGAAACACCAGACGAGGTAACGGCTATGGTTTTGATTCAGGACGTTAAATAGAGTGTTAGGAATTCAAGAGCGCGTTAAACTTGGTAGCTTGATCGATTGCTGGTTCAGCGGATGGCGGATTGATCCAGCAGTGTATAACTCTGGAACGAGGGATGTCTTGCTTGTGGCAATGTTAGCAGATACAGTGGAATAGTCAGATGAATCCTAGTAAAGTTTAAAACGTCCTTAGTTGCCCAAAAGAGGATATAAGAAGAGTCTTTAGTGGTGGAAGTATATCCTTGGTTATGCAACGTGGAAAGCCAGTTTCGTTGAGCGGGCTCAAAAGCAGAACGGATGGCCTCTAGTGTTTGCTTTCGGCAGGTCAATCTGCGATGGTAGAGGTTCGGGTAAGGTTTCCTGTACGGAATACTCTAAATGTGAGAGCCCACCAAGTCAAGATTCAAGCGGCACGAATGTCTTGCAGATATGTAATTCCACACCCAAATCATGCGCATCATGCATGTACAAAAACTTAGTCCGGTGAGTCTTTTTGACTCGCAGATGGAAGGTTCGTAAAAGTTCGGGTAGGGTGCCGTGACCGTGTCCGGAACAGTCTTGACTCGTGGTGCCGCGTGGTAAAAAAAAAAAAAAAAAAAGAAAAAAAAATTACAACTACATGTGCGGAATTTAACACTATTCACACCGATCTATTACTCACCTATAATTTACCCACCTCATGGTGAGGCCCAGTGTGTCAAACCTGGCACGGTTGGCCGACACCAGACTTACAGTAATCTCGGCTGAAATTCTTGCCGTGCCCCGACAATCGTGCATGAATTTCTTGGCTTTCACGTGCGCCTGCAGCGCTGGATGGAAGGAAGCTAGGGACGGCATAATGCAATCACGTCGTCGTGCGTGTGTGGCATTAATAAGCCTTTATTTCCCCTCTGAAACTCTTCCGTAGCCAGTGGCCCGCGGCTACTACCTAGTTGCCACGCGTGTCTTTAACAGCATGACCCAGACCATATGACGTAACACGAACGCATGACTCGCGAGTCAGCGACGGAGTTCTTAGTACCCTCCGCGGAAAGGAGAGGGAGGAACCGAGGTTGCACGTCGTACTCTAAGCATCGATTACAACAAGCACCGTAAATTTAACCATACAAGCATTTCCATAGTGGATACGTGAGTGAGCGTAGATGGCCAGCCTGCGAAGAATGCGGAAGATCTATTTTAGTAATGCTGAATCAGCAGACGTCGGGGAGTCAAGAGGCCTGCATTCGACTAGGGCCACCTGCATGGGAGCGATCACTAATGGCGCTGTATCCACAGGTTCGGCTAGCGCGGCATTTATACTCCGCCAGTTGTCCACACGGCAGATCCTATGGCCACCGCTATTGCAATCATCGTCACTGAGAGACGGTGCCCTGATGATTCACTCAGGCATAACAGCGTCTGGGGCTGGGCAGCGCTCTTATCAGAGCTTTTTTCCTCTTTCACCTCCGTATCAGAGCTTAATTTTTCTTGCGTGTTGTGTGGCATGACAGGGGGTGAGCCTAAAGTTTCCCCATTCGTCGCAGGTTTTTCGGCATTGAGTGCCGCATTTGCAGGCAGCTGCGAGGCTTCTGCAGAGCCCTTCGGTACAATCCCTCCCCATGTCTGCACTGACACCACTGCTGCCAAATCGGTACCTATATCCGCTTCGTCGAAAGCGCCGTACTCGGCCAACACACGGTAATTCTCTTTGTCCTTTAAGGCATCGTGGCTGTTGGACGCCGGGTTAAGCGAGTTTCGCTCCCACTGCAAGTCGGAAATGTCATATAGCATGTTTTCATCGGAAAAGGTGGTATCCTGGGCGGCTGCTTCCGCGAGTCCCTGCTGTGCCGCGTCTCGGTGCAGAGAGTCTCCAAGAAGGTCAGACTCCAAATGTGTAGGGTCGACAGACAAATCTCCGATGTCGGCCCCAGAGTTGATATTGAGCACGTAAGGATTGTTCAAGCACAAATGTCGCAACGCCTCAAACGTATCCTGGTCCTAGGATGTTAGCACTTTATGGTCGTCAAAGCACAACGAGTGAGATCCTTCACACTTACGTAGGTGTCGCAAAGCTTCACACATTCGCTGGCGGCCACGCCGATGTAGTAACACCGACACGCTTCATTAGAGGGGGTGCAGGCGTCAAAACTAAGCCGTGCTTTGGCATGGCACTCTGTGTACTCCTCGGAATCCTGGTTGTTAGCTGGATCCATCATCATCTACGTGATTTTGCTAGTGTCACGTACACAGAGGGGCCCGTATGCCAAAAACGAATCGGGCGTGCTCCTTCGCCTGGCCTGTACGGCAAGGAGAAAGCCCAAGATAAGCCCAAGTTTCGTGAGTGAGGGGATCATGAACAAGACTTAGTGCGCACTATAGGCCATTAGCTCGGTGAAATCTTTCGTATATATCTACGCAGAATATTTACCGAGAAAATAAGAGGAGTAAAGTGCCGTTACCACAAACGGAGGGGGTAGCTTTTGTGGGGTAAGGATCTGCTCTTTGCTGCTGGTGCACACAAAGTGAAAGCGTGGATCGCACATTCATACCAGGGGGGGGGGAGGCTCTGACTTCCAAGTAATGTACGTAAGATCTACATACCTGGCTAGCTCTACATCAGAGTATCTAATAAATTCTAGTTTGGTATCCATCGCAAAATATACTGTTCATCTACGCCCCTCGTGTGTCTCCGTATATCTATCGTCCAATCAAACTCATAAACGAACAATGAGGATTTAGAGCGAGTCATAGGCCGCACTCTTAGGTTTCTCGGTCACGAGTCACCCATATTTCACCGCCTCACCTCGAAGCAGCCACCGAACTAAATAAAGATCAGCTCCCGGCTTTCCCATTACCATACGGTTCAACTGTTGGTCGCTTACCTCAGCAGTCACTCGTATCGTCTCCGCTCGCCCGTTCCTATGTCGTGCCCATACCGTTTATGACGCATGTCACGATATCGCAGCAAAAACTGATCAAATCGCATCTTGCAACTTCCCCTGTTCTCACACTAAACGCAGTCGCTCTTGCTATCCCATCGCTAACTCTGTTCCCGCGGTTACTTGCCCCTTGAACCCACCCTCTGTGAATCCTTATCCACACCATGCTCAAGTGGCTCACGCGCCACCTCGTGAAGAAGAACGAGTATGACCTGTACTACCCCGGCGCGGCGCCGCAGTCGTCGTTGATGGCGATCGCGGTGGGGCTCATGGCCGCGGTTGGCGGCTTCCTCTACGGCTACGATACCGGCTTGGTCAATGGGTTGCTCGAAATGCGCTACGTGGTGGAGCGCTTTTCCGCCAACGGCCTGAGCTTCACCGCCGCTGAGTCCTCCATCATCACCGCCGTCCTTTCGCTCGGCACCTTCTTTGGTGCGCTTCTGGCGCCGCTCCTCTCCGACACCGTGGGCCGCAAGTGGGGCATCATCCTCTCCACGGCTGTCGCGTTCAACATCGGCACCATCATCCAGATCGCCGCCACCGGAATCCCGCTCCTCTGCGTCGGGCGCGCAATCTCCGGTTTCGGTGTGGGGATCATTTCCGCGGTCGTGCCGCTCTACCAGTCGGAGGCCTCGCCCAAGTGGGTCAGAGGCGCGATCATCTCCACGTACCAGTTCGCCATCACGTGGGGCCTCCTCGTGTCCAGCGCTGTGAGCCAGGGGACCCACAACCTCCGCTCCAGCGCGCTGTACCGTGTGCCCATCGCGCTCCAGATCTTGTGGTCAATCATCTTGGTCGGAGGCATGCTTTTTCTCCCCGAGTCGCCGCGCTTCTACGTACGCAAGGATCGCATCCGCGACGCGGCGCAGGCGCTCTCCACGTTGCGGCGCGTCCCAATCGACGATCCCGGTTTGATCGAGGAGCTTGTAGAGATCAAAGCAACCCATGACTATGAGCTTTCCTTCGGCGAGGCCTCGTTTTTCGACTGTTTCCATAGCGGTGGTGGTCGGCACAAGCAGGGCCTCCGCATGCTCACGGGCATCTTTCTCCAGGCACTCCAGCAGTGCTCGGGGATCAACTTCATCTTCTACTACGGGGTCAACTTTTTTTCCAAAACTGGCGTCAACGAATCGTACCTCATCTCGTTTGTGACCTACGCCGTCAATGTGGTTGCCACCGTGCCGGGGATCTTCTTGGTCGAGGTGATCGGGCGCCGCAAGCTCATGATCTTTGGGGGCGTCGGCATGGCCGTGTCAAACCTCATCATTGCCATTGTCGGTATCACCTCTGACTCGGTCGTAAGCAACAAAGTCATGATTGGGCTTGTATGCACGTTCATCGCATCTTTCGCTGCCTCCTGGGGGCCTGGAACCTGGGTCCTCGTCAACGAAATCTACTCGCTCGGGGTTAGAGGCAAGGCTGTCGCCATCACCGCTGCCACCAACTGGTTGGTCAACTTTGTGTTTGCCTACATCACGCCGTACCTCTTTGACAACGGTGCGCGCACCGCATCCTTGGGCACCAAAATCTTCTTTATCTGGGGTGGTTGCAACTGCGTGGGGGTCTTGTTCGTGTATCTTTTCGTGTATGAGACAAAGGGGCTACGGTTGGAGGAGGTGGATGAGATGTATAACAACTGCTCCAGCGCCTTGACGTCAACCAGGTTTGTGCCTAGACGTGTGTTGGACTATCCGCTGTCCGAGCCTGAGCAAAGTTCAGAGAGGAAGCGCGACTTGGACCGCATGTCTACCAACTCGTATGCTGAAAGAGTGCAGTCAGGATACGGCACGGGCTATGATGGGCTATCGGCTGCTTACCCCATTGATACTGCCCCCAATAGATCTTCGGCAGCTCCCGATGGATCCCCAATCCCTCCTGCAGCCCAGATCGATATACACGACCCCCGGATCTCCATGTATAACATCGGCCACGACATGAACATCCACGCGATCCAGCACCGGCCACCGCCGTCGTTGGAATCGTCGTCATCCGACATTTCGTCCACTCACCTGGACAAGACCGAGTCCGACGGCGCCCGCACCACGGGGCTCGACGTCCAGCAGTACCTCAGCCGCTTGAATTCGTCTTACGCGACCCCTGCGGCCCCCGTGGCAGGTTTCGCTCACCAAATTTTATTGACCAACAACGATCCCCCTGCGATCAACTTTGACACCTCAGACGACGAGTCTGAGGCGTCTGAGATTTCTACATAGTTTTTCTTTTTTTTTTTTTTTTTACTTCTCTGGTTCGGTATGGGTTGCCCGGTTTGTGCATGAATAAATGGTTTTTTTTTTCCCCAATGGTGTAGAAGGTTGTAGATGACAAGGTTTTGGATGTAAATGATAGGATGAAATTCATGAACCGTAAACGGTATCAGCTGGTATTATATTAAGGCTAAATAGCATCCGCTTGGCATCTGCTTGGTGTTTGTTTACTGACATCTACTTACTGGTTTATTACCAACCCATTCAGTCTCATGGCTATTCGCTACACTCACTTTGTTGTACTTACATGTCGTACGTAAAATATTTCATAACTTATATACAGAGAAATTGCCGGTAAAGGCTCTACGCTAACGACCAACGTTTAACAACAAAGAGTTGCTGGAATCTCTGGCACCATTGCTGCCGCCTGGCAAGTAGGTGACATTGGCGCTGCTGGCTAAAGTGGCGGCGATTTCCTTAGACGCCTCCAATCTTCTGATCAACAACAAGCCATCGCCGGACTTCAGCAAGGCTCTAGAAATGGTGTCGGCGGCCTCAGCCTCACCCTCGGCTCTAATAACAGAGGCCTGTCTCTCCTGCTCGGCCTTCTCAACCACATACTTGGCTCTCTCAGCGTCCTGCTGGGCGATCTGCTTCTGCTCAACAGCCTTGGTGAACTCGCGGCCGAAGGTCATATGAGTGATGGAGACGTCTTCCAATCTGATGTTAAACTCCTCAGCTCTCTGGGACAACTCCTGTCTGATTCTGGCCGACACAACCTCTCTCTGGGTAATCAACTCAGCGGCGTCGAATTGCGCCACGATGGACTTCAAGACTTCATTACCAATAGATGGCAACACTCTCTCGTCGTAATCCAAGCCCAAGGATTGGTAGATGGTTGGCAACTTGACCACGTCTGGGCGCGACAACACGCGCAAGGTTAAACTGACCATCTGCAAGTCCTTGGACCCGGTGCTGGAGGTGATATTTCTTGGCTTGGTGCGTACATCGAAGACAATCGCTTTTTGCAACCACGGAACCAAGAAGTGGGTACCCTCTCCAACGACGGTCTGCTTCACACCCGACATTCTGTCGAAAATGACAGCTCGGGAGCCACCCTGGACGTCGTAGATGGCGGATTGTGCGAGGGAGATCCCAACAATAGCCGGGATGGCGATTTCTGCGGTGTTAGTACAAACCCTGTTGAATTGGAATAGCTATCCACTTACTGTTCAATACATTGATGAAGTTAGACATGGTGTGCGGATAAGATGGCAATGATCGAGAAGAAGGGATTTGCCGCCGTAAATGTATGCGCTCTTTTGATGGTGGAAAACCGAGCACATTGCCGGTGGGTGCACGCACCGCAACCGTCAACAAGGCCAACCTGCAGTAGGGAAATATTTACAGATATGAGGATGGGGTATCTAACCATACAATTGAATATTGGCTCTATTCGATTTTTTTATTAGCAGTAGGAAACCATCTCTGTTGCCGCCCCGTAGATTATCTTGGCAAGTCTGTGGCGGTGTCCTGTAGATAACTGCTACTCCACTTCCCTGAGCCAGTAAAATCTCATCCATATTGTCGACACCAACCCCACGACCAAGCATTCACCAAGCCAAGCCGACCCCACAACTCCAAGGACTAGCTCAACCCCCCTCCTGCTACTTCCTCAAATAGCAAAAATCAATCTCATTTCGGCAAAAACGACACATTGCCCAACTTTTCGGCAAAAATTCCTGTGCCCAGACAATGACAATTGGTTAAACCCACATGTTACAGGCTCCTTTTGTTTATCATATTCAAAAGAGTCCCCATCACCCAGATTCGTCCGTCTATAGCGCTAATGCCGTACTGCTTCATCGTGAAATCAATGGTGTGATCATCCTTCGCGTTCACGAGCTTCCCCGCCAAAATGGCGCTGATTTGCGATACTAAGATTCCGCAGTCACTCCCGTTGATCTGCTGGGGAACCTTCAATTCCTCGATATCAATTGATGGGTTCCCTAGATAGTATCCGACCTGCTTCACAATATGCCTGGCCTCTCTGTGGTTGGCCGCATCCAAGGTGTCGATAACAAACGCCTTGTCGTCGAGAATGCTAATCACAATAAGCGACCAATGCGAACCACCCTCCACTAATTCCGGGTCCGAATTGTCATTTACTGGAAGAAAAATGAAATCGGCCTTCTCCAAGGGCGGCAATACCCCCTTGAGCAGGGCCACCTCGTCGCCCCGCGACTGCGCGAGTAGAAACACCATGGATGGTCTGAGAAGAAGAATGGTGTGAGGATTGGCGGGCTTTCCGTACGCCCGGCGCGCCATTTTACGCGAAAGCTTCGTGAGCTGGTAGGCCTCGAGTAGTTCGTAGACAAAGGAAATGTCGTTGTCGTTCAACCACTCATCATCGCGTAGATTAGAGACGTCATCCTTGTAGATCGAAACCCCTTCGAACTGGAGAATCTTGTCATCGCTCTTGGGGTATTTCCGGTGGATTTGGTCATATATCTTGTCAAGGGTGAGGATCTTGGCCGCGTCGTTACCCGAAACGAAGCCACCAACGTTGGTGGAAGCTTTCTTGGCCTTTGGTTTGCTCTTCCTCTTCTTCTGGCGTAGCCGTTTCCTCTCTTCCTTGGTTAATTTCTTGGGCTTCTTTGCTGTTTTTGTCTCGGGTACATCACTGGGATCTACTTCGATAGATGTAGAGTTCATGTCTGAGGTAACTTCAAAGGTGCAACCCAAACCGGCGTCTCGCGTTTCCGCGTCGCTCCCTTCGTCCTCCTCTTCCCATTCAAGCTGGTCAAACCCATTGCATATAACTGGGGTATTGGAAGCTTCCGTACTGGACACCCATTGCTCCTTTTTGGGAGTATAGAAGCCCTTAGAGGCGTTAAACACGGTTCGTAGCATACCGTGAGGATATCGGGCTATGCTCCACCAGAATACACAAAGATGAATCCTCAATGAATTCTACGAAAGCAAGTCAATCTTACGGATCTACGAGGGAAGTAAAATATACAAGCATATATTTCAATTAACGGAAAACACGCATTGCGCGTAGGAAATTTTGGTAGAACTAGTAATATCCAGATAATAAGACACAAAAGCGACACCAAAAAACCATATCAAAACCAGCAGCCACGACAAACAACAAACCCAACAGGCAAAAAAAACCATAGACGGCATCAGAGACATCACCAACGGCAGCGAGCAGAGCTTGGAGTCCTTTCTAGGCCAGAGCCACCAGCCAAGACAGAATTTTTCAGTATCAACAAATGTTGTCAATTACCTTCCGCTTATTTGGATCTAGCTCTCACCTTCCGTCTCTTACGCTTGAGTCTTCTGACTCTCTTCTTTCTCCACTTATTTCTCATTGTGATTAATGTATGGATGATGAGGAAAGAAAGGTAAAAAGGGTATGTGGTAGTGAATTCTATATACCAAATTTATGTGTGCAGACTAGTTGCAGTACGACACCGCTGAAAGATTTCCGACCTGTGCTCAGAATCCGAATACTATGTGGTTATGCGGCCCGCAGAACGCTAATTCCCGCCTATTATGGTGGAAAAACCGCTCAACGCGCTGCCGGTATGTACTTCGTGACTGCTTTTTTTTCTCAAACGTGACCAAAACGTGACCAAAAAACATCCTGCGTATACCTAGGCTAACATTTTTGTTAGGGCTTCCCAGGTCAACTGGTAGCCTAGTATTAATGAAAAACGGATGCTCTCATACAGAATATATGGGGAAATTGGTCTTACACGCATGATTCGGTCTTAGGCCGTAGGGGTTTATATGGGGGAGTGACCGAACCATGCATATAGACCATGCTTTAATTTGATATAATTGAAAATGACCAAACCCTATGGCAAACTAAATGACCAAATCCTATGAGGGTTTGAATAAAGCAGAGAAAAATCACGCTGTGGGGGGCTTATATTAAGAGATGGAGAACCCTAATGTAAATTAATGGAAGTGGAGTGGCCAGAGCCCAAGGAAATCATCTGCAGCATGACCAATTCCCCGCGACGTGTACTTAAACCTGAGAGTGGCCTAGCCCCAGAGGGATTGCTTATATTAGACTTGGAGCTTGCTCTGCTCACTGATACGGGGGATGGCCGAGTTAATTCATACGGGGAAATGACCAAACCATGCAGCTCCTTCGCCTAAGCTATTGTCTATCAAAATGGGAGAGCTGGTCCAAAAACGTTATAGCTGTTTTCAGATTGCCATCATTTGTTTGGCCCGAGGACTTTACGTTGATACTGGCGGTCCGGCTCGGATAGTTGCTGAAGGCGTCACTTCCCCGGGAAACCGTATGCGCCCCCGCCTTTTGCCGTAAATCCTCTATTTGCCTCATTCGGTGGCACCAATTCGATGTGTACTTCTGGTTATCTGCGTGCCAGACGTTGGCGAAGTGGCTGGCCACCAAGGCAAGATTCCGCACAAACTCGGGCAACCTGTCACCGGAAACCAACTTGAAATGGCACGTGGAAAACACCCCCGGAACTCCTGACCGTCTGTAGAGGTTGACCTTGAATGAGTGGTGCATGTGCTCCTTGGAGGAACGCTGCGTCTCCAAGATGTTCAACATGCTCACAGACCCGTGGGTCACGTCGGCATCGTGGAGAGTATGCGGGGTAATCACAATTTGGATGAAATTGAACTGCGATCGGATGACGTTGAAATCAAAGTTGTTGCGACCGCTTTCGTCGTAGAAAATGTTTACGTAGTTGTTCCCAATGTGTCTTTTCTTCATGGAGAAAAGCGGATCGTGGTCAGGGTTGTTGGGCATCAACGAGGTGGCGTGGAAGACCATCTGGGTGATCTTATCGCTCCAGTAGTACGCGTACTTACCGTCAGCGCTGTCTTCGGTGTCAAGACCGCCCATGTACACCTCCTTGCAGTGCTGCGTCCTGATCAAGGTGCCCATTCGGCTCAAGAAGCTTTGGTAGTTTTCCGACCCGACCTGATTGCCCAAAATCTCTGCCTCTGTCGATTGGCGGGGTGCGATGTACATTACCCCCACCTTGTGGAACTGCACCACAGGCACGCGCTCGAGCATGCTGATGGCTCTGTTCGTGGCACTGTCATCGGGCAAGGGGAGCAACTGGTCGTCCGGGATCCCTGCGTGCTGAAACAACTGCTGGGATATGTAATCAGGGGTGTACTGGCTCTGTTTCTCGTCCGGGCTCCCGCCAACGGCTGGTGAGACAGTGAGATCCTTAAACTCTTCTACCCATTGAGCTTGCATGGATGTTTCTATCTCGAACCGAAAAACAGATGAGCCAGTAGGCCGGGCGATGCAAATAGTAGCCTGGCCCGTCTCCACACACGTTTCAACCGATATGATACTGATCCCCGACACCCATCTCCCCTTCAAGAGAGTGGGCTTGTCGCATCGGTACGCGGCAGTGGTTCCGGTCATGCGAAGCTCGATGTCAGAGAACGTGAAGCGGGAAATAAAGTCCAAGAACGACGAATTCTGCTCGTCCAGCTCCTCCTCGAGAGGGCCGGAAACGAGCACCAAATTCTTCATAATGAAGGCCGACAACTCCTGCCGTTCGTATAGCTTCATGCTAAGGAACCACGCGGCAATCACGTTGTAGGAGGATGCGAGCAAATACTGTAAGAAAATAGGCGTCATGCCAGTGGCCACCGTCGAGGCCAACACCTCCACCTCGGCATCTTTGCCATGGTCCGTGAGAACCTTATCGGTTCTCTTCACCGCGGAGTCGAGGAGGCCCATGCTGCGAGAGCTGTCGTGGCAGAACTGGATGAACTTGAATGTCACCCCGAACACCCTTTTGAAATCGTCGACGGTGAAGTTGGACGTGAGCGCCGGCGACCGCGCAAGCACGTACAAGAACTCGAGAATGTGCGCGTTTGCGTACGGACTGCTGATCTTGGTCTGCAACTTTGTCAAAATGGTGTTGATAAACTTCTTGACCGACATGGGCAATTCGTAGCAGCAGACGGTCAAGCAGTCGATGCACGGAATCGCGGTCTTTTCCCAGGAGGAGAGCCCAGCGATTAACGACTGGATAATCATATCCTGGTCATACTTGGAAAATAACTCGTTGTAGGCTAGGAGGGGAGTCAACGCCCGCACTAACGCCACCTGAAGAAGCGGTTTGGTCATCGCGGACGGCAACTTCAAGGATTCTGGGAGCTTCAACTGCAACTGGTCGCAGAGAATGGCACGCAACTGGATAATCTGCCGCGGGCAGTTCTGGAAGAGCAACATGTTAGAGAGCTGGGGACAGAAGTGGGCCCACGTAAAGGAGTAGATCTCCCAGTCAATGTAGGTTTCTAAGATGCGCAACACGATGTCAAGCATCTTCTCGGGGTCGATGGAGTTGACCTGCAACTTTGCCGAGTTTCGGTCGTAGAGTTTGAGCGTCTTGCACACATTGTCCAAGTGGCTCTCGGGGATGTAGTCGATAGTCTCTGGGAATAGCCACTGCTTCTCCTCTGGGTGCTCTATGTCCTCTGTTGTGCGCTGGAACGCGGTGGCCAAGCCGCTCATATCCTTGGGGTTGGTTGCAAAGATGCTCAACTCCCAAGTACACCGGATGCGGAGCAACGCCCGGGCTGTGGCCATCAAGACGTTCAGATTCAGCGCCTCGATCGCAACCTGCGACACCTGGCAGAGCGCGTCGTATAACGTCTTGGCTTTGCTGGCGGAGGCGGTGATGGTGACGATAAACAGCTCTGCTAGCGTCTGGGCGAGCATCACAAAGATAGGCTCCAAGGGCTTAGGGCCCGGCTCCTTGGCGGAATGATGACTGTGGAACGTGGCCAAGCTGGCAATGGAGGCCAAGCTGATGCGCCGGTCGGACTGGGAAACGGTTGTGAGCTGCGACTGCGCTGGAGTTAAGGCCGACGTGGTGGGAGAGAGCAATCTGGAGGCGGCAGAGTGGGAAGCTCGGGTGGCCAGCGGGAGGCTCTGGAAGCAGTCGCAGAGCATGGCAGCAAAGTCTCTAAAGAGCTGCTCGGGAACGCACAAGCCAGTGTTGACAAGGAACTTTCGCATCCGCTGCAATACCTCAGGGTTGGTCTCAAGCGTCAGTTTGGTTAGCAAGCCCGCCATAATGGCCTGTAGGGCCTTGAAAAGGGTCCCGTCTTCATCGAGCGACAAAGCCACCTCGTACACCTGCTCGAGGACGTCGAGCGTCTGGACCCGTATCGACACGTCCTGGTTGGGGCTGTGGAAGAAGCACCGGAGCACCGTCTCGCAGTTCTGGATCCAGTTCGGGAAGCCCGGGAAGCAATAGTTCTCACTGGTGACCAAGTCGAGAACAAACTGCAAGTCCTCAGGCAAGACGCTAAAACGCATGAACAAGCGTAGAAGCTGTTCCGAGTCTCCCACGTACTCCTTCTGCTGGTGGAGCCGCTTCAAGGTCGCTAAGATTGGCCGGAGTTCCCCAGCGATTTTGGAGGTCATTTCGCTTGTTCCCAGGATGGTGATTGCGAGCAACACATCGGGGATGGAGGCGCCACTGGAGGAATACCAGTACTGGAAGCTGTCCAAGGGGGTGTCAAAGAGCACGTTGACGAGCCGTGAAACTTCGAGATGGATAACGGGGCTGTCTGTCGATGAAACGAGCTGCGAAAGCGCCTTCAAAATATAGAGCAAGCTATTTTCGTACGTATGCACGGTCGGCACGAAGAGATCACGGAGGGCCATGATGCTGCCGCGACAGACGTTCACGTTGCACCCTTGCCCGCACAGGTTTCGTGTCAATACGTGGCACAAGGCCATTAACGTGGCAGTACCAGCGCTGCTATCGCTCGCGAACCCCTGGAAGATCTCCCTGACCAACGGAGTAAACGCTTCAACGCCGTAGGCCCCGCTTAGCATTTCCATCACGGGGTCTACGCACGACGGAGGAATGTATGCGTGTACCATCATCGCCTGGACAATCCTAAGAGCGGAAAACACGGTCTTGGGGTCGGCCGCGCGGGTTGCAACGTGGATTGTCTCGCGAAGAAGCGGCTCCACGTCGTTTTCTCTAAGCAACGGCCCGTTATGCTCCACCACCAGGCTGATGAAGTCCATCAAACTGGTAAGGCCGGGCGAATTGGCCTTTGTCGAGTCCATAGAAGCCAAGGAGTTGGCGAGAAACGCCGCCAAGCCCGTCTGGGCGTGGAGAAAGCCGTGCACGTTGCGGCCGCTGTGAGTCACGAGCCGTAGGGCGTCGAGAAAGTACGAATAGAGGGGATCTATCGAGAAAATCTCGGGATGGTCTATCGATACGTTCTGTTCTGAGCGACTGGGGCTCGAGACCTGGCAGTTTTCAACAATATCGCGGTAGTACACCAACCGGTTAGCAACCGATGTCGAGTCCTCATCCTTCAGAATGCAGACTTGGAGCAATATCAATGTGTTACGCCGCACACCCGCATCGTCACAGTGGAGTAAATCGTGCGCTGCGTACCAGATTTCCGGAATCGTCGATACCACCTGATGGCGGAGGATGGCGGTAAAGCCGAGAACAGCTTTGTTTCGCTGGCTGAGCGAGTTGCCTGCACCGAGCTGCAGAAAGAATTTTGTCTGCTCCGTGCCCCCGCCAATGACCGTGGGGTTGATCGGGGAGCGGGCGTCGGGCCGCGTAGGTTCCGGCCTGGGAACAGCAGGCTTAAGCGACTTTGTGAAACTTTTAAACACGCCACTGAAGCCTCCTAGCGATTCTGTGGGTTTCTGGGGGGGCCTGGATGCCATAAGGTGTAGTTTGTGGATGCAAAAGTGTAGGTATAAGTGGGTATAGAGATATGTTCGTTTTGTCCTGTGTAGTGATCGCGGGGAAATCATGTGCTTGTTTGACCCAGGTTCGCGAAACAAGTAGTGAGCTTTTTCGCGAAACAAAACATGAACCACTTACATTAGTTGCATCATCCCATGCGTCTGTTTCGTATCCAATCGAATCGTCTCCCTCTGTCCCATTCTGAAGTTCATTTCATCTCCCAGAAGCCCATTTGATCTCCCAGAAGTCCATTTCATCTCCCAGAAATCTGTTTCATCTCCCAGAAAATCCATTCCCCTAGAGACTCCATATAGCCGGCCAGAGACCCTACCTACCCACTCCCATTGCTTCTCTGAATGGCCGATGGAATTCCACGATCGCCCCCAGGCCACCGGGAGCCATATGCTCATACCAACGCCCCAGGAGTTTGCCGCATGCAACGCGCAGGCACTCAGTGACCGCAAACACAAGTTCCGCCAGAAACTCATCGTGGCGCTTGATATATTGATTTTGCTGCTGTTCATCTGTGTCTACCTAGCGGATTTGTCGGCTCTCAAGCTTCTCATCAAGGTGGGGCTCCAGTTTACGCTCGCTGACCCGTTCCCCACGACGGCTATTCAAAACATCTCCAAGGCCCGCCGCAACCGCATTGTGCAGTTTCTCATGTGGTTCACCATCTACGCCAATCTTGGACTGATTGCTCTCCATCTCTGGCACGGAAACCGGGCCCTACAGCAGTACCTAGGTCCGAACGAGGACTATGTCTATGGCGGCTTCTTTATCCAGGTGATAGGAGAAAGGGTGTATCGCTCGCTGTGGATGTTGGCCCGGGTTCTTCTCTGGGATATCTTGGCCTTTGCCGCACAGCTCGTGTTGTTTAGCATCACGTGTGTGAGCGAGTGTGTCTTGTTGCCGCAGTCGGAGGCCGGGGAAGATGGCTATTCCGGGAGAGTGTTGATTTACGAAATCAACATCTGGGAGAATCTCTCCGCCGCGTTTAACTACGACGTGGCAGACAGAGAGTCGAACATACCGGAAAGCTTGTTCGTATAAATACCATTTGGGGCTCTCTTCGTGTTAAGAATCGCTCTAAGACTGTAATATTCCACCATCTGTGTGGTCACAGCGTCTCGTTTAACCTACAACGATTTTTGCTAGCTCAGATTGAGTAAGATTCGTGGGTCGGAGTATACTAAACAGATCGTTCCGATAAAATCAATCACTGAACTGGCATATCAGTGCTGAATTATTCGAGCTGTTTTATAATATAGACATGCTCTTGCCCGCCTAAGCGTTTCTCACGGCATAGTCCCACAGAGTAATCCTGGTATATCAGCCCAGAGATATTTTACAAGTATCGCTCGTAGTATGGACCTCCCCTTTACCTGCCTTCACGTAGTCTATCTCCACTAAATTTGAAAGAAATCAGTCTGCATATAATTTCAGGCTCTCTTACACGTCTTTATGAATCGTTCTGTGCAATTATTGTAACAATCGTATACTTAATCGTTCGAATATACATTTGTACTGCCGACAACCTCAGCCTTCACCTCTTAAAGAGTGTTTTTTTATAATATACAATGATGTGTCTGGCTGCGGGCAGCATGCTTTATATTAGCCCAGCTTTTAGTTTCCGCCGATCGGACAGCTTCTCAAGTATTCGAGCTTGTTTCTCAAGACTCTGACAGACTTGAAGAAGATCTCCTCTGGCGACATAGCGCCGGTGGACTCAACGTTAAAGATGAAGTGGTCTCTGTTTCTGCCCAACTTGACCTTACCCTCGAACTCCTCATGTCTCAAGCACTCCCTGGAGACGGTATCTCTTCTGGCATCCGCAACCACGGCCTGGTCGTTCTTGATGGTAATAACGCCCTCTGGGAAACAGCCTTGGAATTTGACAGCGTCTGTCCCGGTGATTGGCTTGATGATGTTAATGGTTGGCATTAATCTGTAGGAGGCAGTGGAAACGGGAGAGAACTTGGCGTGGTCGGAACCAATCCCCAAGATGCAGTGCACCCTCAACGAGATTTCCTGACCCGGACGCATCTTGCACAATAAAATGTCCGGATCAGTAGCCACCACGGGGCAATTCTTGAACACCTCCAACTGCTTGCCTTGCGGCTCGAACTTGAGGTCTCTGGCGTAGATGTGGGAGTTTCGATACAATTGCTTAGGGTCAGTAGTGCCCTTTGGCGCGTGTGGATTCTTGGTACAAGCGACATCCAAGGACAAAACGACGGTATTTTCGTCTGTAAACTTATCCTTCTCATCGGCAGTAGGGTCCAACCACGTCAACATGTCTGGGTCAACCTTCAACGGAATCAACCCGATTCTGTGCGCCAAAACCTCGTCCTGGATGACGGAAGTGTTGTTGAAAATGTACACGTTCTCGGCCGCAACAGATGGCACTTCGGCAATCATCACACGACGGAATGCATTGGCGATGGAAGTATCGATGTTGACCAAGTCAAAGTTGGCGGTGCGCTCGCTGATATACGAGATCTGGATGTCGAAGGACTCCTTGAACTTTTCCAAGTCCCACGAGTAGTCGTTGGAATCGTTATGGAACCCCGGATAATCCGTGGTGGTCGTGTTTGTGACGCGGTCGTGTTCAATACCAACGATGTTAGACATGGCGTGAAGAGGGTGAGTGATGGCTATTGCGGAACTTTCTGCTAAACTTTTTGATAAACTTTTTGATAAACTTTTTCCAAATTTTTTCTCGGCCGCATCAGGGCGGTACGGCACACGACCTGCACCACAAGTGCTGGTGAACGGACGACTTAGGGGGAAAGGGTCTTTCAGAAGCAATAAAATAAATGGTAATCGCCTTTCGGTTCACTCAGCCGTCTGGGTTTATATATTTCTCTAAAATCAGATGTGGTGAGGGTTATAGCTCGTGTAGCTTTAGCCTGGTGTATATAGAATCTGGCAAATCAAGCGTTGTGTACAGGAAAGCGATTCATCGCTATAAACGCCCGAGTATAGGAATTTGTGTGTTTACGTGTTGGTTATGCCATCTTATTGGTTGTGTTAGAGGTATATATGCAACGACGCTGATGAGTTAGCTTCAAGAATTGGATGGGATTCTATTCTGTGGATAGTTTATAGATGGAATTAATTGATATATAGAGATAATATATATGTTGTCATATTCGCATTCGTATTTACCATACCCAGTGTTTATTAAATATTGTATAGTAATATACATAAATCAAGCGTATATATTTGCATTGCTAGTTATAATGCAAATATATAGGTATTTGCAATATTAAACCCATACTAGGAGCAATAGACAGAGTTATTTACGCCTATGGCTAATATATTTACCACCACAGGCTCTTTACGTATGTCTATAAACTTTTCAATATTCAACCCATATGAAGTATTTCATGCGGAGCGACAACACTGTCACACCACCACGCCTGCATACCGGACCCTTTTAGCGAAAGGCACTCCGGGAAACAGACTAGAGCGTTTTCAGAAGCACATGACCTTTATATGTACAGTGCTTTTGTTCCTCCACCGAGGCTGAGATACAAGGCCTACATTACAAACGATAATATTTAACATTCGAAAACACCCATTAGCTATAGGGGTAACGCCCTTGACGGATGCTCTTAGATGCCACTCGGGATCCTATCGTTCAAACTGATATCCGATGCCACACACTTCATTATGGACCTCTATACAAATATTATAGATTCCAGGGTGATACAAAGGAGTGGAACTTCAAGCGGGAAATAAAACACGGAGAGAAATTTACTTGCCATCACGAGTAAATGGAGGGTGGAATTATAAAATAAGGAAAACAGAAAGCATATCGAAAAGGCTAAAAATTCTTATTGAACGAGAAAACCTTGACAGTGGACATGTATCCACTAGGCTACGGGCCACATAAACAAATCGGAAACGACGAGAGAAACCAAGCTTCAACCACGGAAAGGAGAGGGAGAAACGATTCATTTTCGTTGACACCCAAACATATATTAATAAAAATTCTTAATTTTGTTCGGCAAGTTTTTTTTCGCTTTTTATGTTACATTACCAACATTTTCGGAAAATTATTGATGCGCTTAAGAAGAAGACTTAAGGTTGGTGGACAACCATTCGAGACCCTCGTACAAACCGTCACCGGAAGTGGCACAAGTGGCCTGGATGTACCATGGACGCTGTCTGATGGAGTGCAAGCCCAACTTTTCGGTGATCTCGGCGGCGTTCATCGCGTTTGGCAAATCCTGCTTGTTGGCAAAGACCAACAACAAAGCGTCTCTTAATTCGTCTTCGTTCAACATTCTCTGCAATTCCTCTCTGGCCTCAGAGATACGGTCTCTATCGTTGGAGTCGACAACGAAGATGATCCCCTGGGTGTTCTGGAAGTAGTGTCTCCACAACGGACGAATCTTGTCCTGTCCACCGACATCCCAGACGGTGAAAGAGATGTTCTTATATTCGACGGTTTCGACATTGAAACCGATGGTTGGGATGGTGGTGACAATTTCTCCCAACTTCAACTTGTACAAAATGGTGGTCTTACCAGCGGCATCCAAACCGACCATCAAGATACGCATTTCCTTGGAGCCGAAAAGGCTCAGGAGCAATTTAGAAATAGAGAGACCCATCTAGAGGAGTTAGTAAACTGTGGGAGAGGGTCGTTCGGACATCAACAGGACCCAGGCATCAATCAGCCATGATCCGTCAAAAGGCTGGCTTGGATAGATTGGAGCCTCGCCCCAGGAATCTCGTTTGGACAACGGTGCGAATCAGCCAATGGGTCCAACGCAAATCATCCAATCAACGGTATATATTCCGCGTAATAGTCACACATACGTTATATAAGTGTATATATATCTAATAGAAGATCAGATCAGGATGTTTTCTACTGCGTGTGCACTATTAACCGCTTCAGGCGCTTTGTTTTTACTAGCGGGAGGGCAAAAAGTTGGCCAGCACACCTTAAGATTTCCGATAGCGCGAGATTGAAAACTGCAGTATACACCAGACCGGGTAACGTGTGTAACTTACTCGCACCGAACACGGACATGAGTGTGAAAACCTCCGACCGCAAAACTCGATATGCGCCGAGACGCGTCGCAGGTCCGAACACCGACCGCCTTACAACTTGGCAGTGCTACGTGTTCGATGGCGCACGGGAAAACCCGGACGCTGCTTGAAATTATGGTAGAGGATTACCGGTTAACCGATAATGAAATTTATAATTTCAAGCTCCAATGGGAAGGACTTGTAGCTGTCGGGCCACTGGCGCTGGATAAGGCTATCAAATGGTGGACAAGTCTAAATATAGTTCAACAAGTGTCCGCTGTAGCCTACAGCTATCGGAAAGTAATTATTTAACACGCAGACGAGTGGCGTGGCTGGGGGAAGAGTTTTAGTATGCTCAGATATGATCGGTCTACACTAGAGTTTAAGCGTGTGGCAAGAGTGCGCCAGAAGCATTAATTATCAATGATTATCAACGAAGGAAGCGAGAATGGTGAAGCATGAGACGGGTAGAGTATTCATAGCAATAAATGGCACTTCAACATGGAATCCACCCAGGGGTAGCTAGCAATACAAAGCTGACTACAATGAGTAGGAGCTCAAACCATATAATGACATGGGCGGAACCTCTAAGACAGTGATCTGTGCGTACCAGTAAGAAGAACCTATCTATTAAAATATGCAAATATAGCCTGGGAGTACAAACTCGGAAGAGCAAGAACGGAAGAAACAATGCTAGCAAGAGAGAAAGGAGACACTACTTCCCAACGTTGATCTTGGACAAGGAGTACTTGCGCAAGGCGCGGTAGAACACCGCGTAGTTGACGCTGTTGTTATCTGGGTCCCAGTAAATCTCGCTAAGACGGATGTGCCACGGTGGGTACGACTGCAAGTCCAAGATGGGACCAAACTGAATAAGCAAGTCTGGCTCATGGCCCACTAACGCGGTCAATTCACCATCCACCAAGCTGATAGTGACGTCCTTCGGGTCCAACTCTCCCTCAGCAGCAAGCCTGGCCATGGACTTGGTCAAAGCCACAATCGTAGGCTTCCCATCCTCACGGGACAACAACAGAATACGCAAGCTGATCTTCTCTGGTTTCTCGCCCGTGCTGTAAATCACCGTGCGCGTGCGCGGGATCCTGATGGAGAAGGTGGGAATGTTATCCGGGCCAAAGTACAACGACAACGTCTTGGTGATGGCGCGGGTAAGCTCCGGCGTGTGTTCCTTGATGGCGCCCGAGGTTTCGTAGAACGATAAGTGGGGGATGCCCGAGGCAAGCGACCAGGCAGCAAGTTTGCCGCAGTCACTCATCAAGCCGTCGATGCCACCGTTCTCCTCGTCCTCCGGCTTGAGGGTCAAGATCGTGGAGACCCGTTTAGGAAGCTTCGACAACAGCAAAACGTCATCACGAATCAACTGCGGCGACTTGGACGGTGCGTATGTGTATGCGAAGAAGCGCAACACCACGCGGTTGTAGCCGTACTGGACGTTTCTGATGAGCGACATGAACACAAAGATGGTGATCAAGAGGCTATGGTAGAAGTAGAACACTAACCACGCGGAGACGGGGCTGTCCTTGGACGGGGTATTATTGACCGTCTTTGGTGACGTGAGGGCCTTTGATAGAGCTGTTGCGGTTTTTCTGAGCGGTTGCGACCCCACTGCCAGTGGCGGCTGTTCCAGCGGCAACTGTTTCAGCGGCTCCACCGAAGCCACAACGACAGGTGTATCAATTTCAGCAGACATTGTGATAGAGGAAAGGGGCTGAATGTGATTTGGTAACACGACAGAGGAAGGAAGGTGAGCTGAACTTTGAATATGTTCCAATGCTCAGCAAGACAGTTAGTAAAGTTAGCCGCCGAGAAGAAACCAAGCTAACGACGGTGATGCCTGAGGTGTTAACTTGTATGGGTATCGAGAGTTTTACAATCAATAAAGATCAGAAGTTTAGATACAGATCGGAGTGCTTTGACCTAAAAGTGGATAAAACAAGATCGTGCGATTGCTCGCTTCTGCTTCCAATCTCGCTTTGCACAAAACTCTACCGTTGTGCTTTCGACGTGCCTGCACCGCCACTGCACATGACAACGCCACGCATACGTGTTAGTGGGCTTATGGCGCCACAGTGAGCGGGTGTCATTTAAACCTTCAAAATGATTATTCTGGCGAATGGTAATGAATGCCCTACAATGATCAATGCTTAGCTTCAACAGCTGTGTTTATTGGGTCAAGCCAAAGGCGATACGCGGCCTGATCCTTCAAGACCCTTTTCTTGGCAATTACCAAAACCTGTAAATTGCTTAACACCCTGGCGGTGTCCAATTTCCAGCGTACCAAGAGTGAAAGCTCACAATTATCTTGATCCTAAGCGCTGTAGTTCGGAATCAATGAAAGGCCCACGAAGCTCTTACATTTCTGGGTACCGAATGAATTCTACATTTCGTAGGCTTCCCAGTTTCTGAACTAGCATCCGCTACATTTATCTTCAGTATTAGTGTATATTACGCGGAAGGCGACGGAGAATTAAGCTTGTGTCCCTCTTCAGCCCTATTTGGTGATCTGGATGGTGAACTTGGCAGTCATATGGACGTTCTTATCGTCGTCGATAAATTTTGCAGTCACCGCTAAAGAGCCCCTGCCCATGATTCCGCCCGGCGCCTCAACCTCCTCAAACACCTTCTCATAGTACGGCTTATCGGTCGTGTTGGGGGCAAACGAGCCACATGGCTCGTCCAACTTATCCACGGTGATCCCGGCCTTCTTTGCCTGTTGGAGGTATCTCATCCCGGTCACAATTTCGTGCTGGATCTTGAAGCGCACTCTCATTACGTATACGCTCCTCTCCTTGATCTTGAAGTTGAATTTGGACCCGTCTAACAAGGACGTGGCGGACTCGTTTTCGAGATTCACGATTATCGGCTTTTCAGCCTCATTGTTGAAGAAGATGGCAATCTCCGTGATCACCACCTTGCGCTTATCACCCGGTGCTACCGGCAATGTGTTACCCGCCGACAACCCTAAGGATGCCTTCCACTTGGCCAAGGATTCGTCCTCGGCATCGAGCTTCTGGTATTCGTCGATCGTCTTCTTTTCGCCCACGACGTAGCCTGCAACGCCTTCCGGCACCAATTCATCGTCAGAATGCGACATGTGTGATATGGATATGAAAAAGTAAGGTGAATCTGTAGCAAATGATGGCCTTGATAGAAGTGAAGGCGCAAATGGTTTTACTTCAGATGTTGTGTCACATGCGGAGGGCGTCAGCCGGGTAAGCTATCCGCGCGTGCGCTTGCGTTTAAGGATTTCAGCGCCTCGCGCCTGCAGCCTATTACTGAAACGGAATAAACGGAGATGCTGACTTCCTAATGGGGGAGGTTACTGGAAATCCTGGTAAGAAGGTGGTTAATTAAGGAACGCATACGTATGCTGCGTTTATCCATCATAGATACTATAGTTCTGTTAAAAACCTTGGAGATATTTCATTATCTCTCAAATATGCGTTCAGGTCGTTTTCTTTGTTACGTAACACAATGTATGGGGCCAATAGTGCTCACCAAGTAACACGGTGGAGCCATGTTACTATCGGTTTTATGCTTGGCAGGAAAGAGAAATGGAGCCGAAGCTGAAACAGCCATCGTACCTGCTACTAAGCCTTTATCGTATAAATCCTTAAGTTAGTACAGATACATATAAGCATTCTGTTTTTCAACAGATTGAGGAACCTGAAACTTTAGGTAAGGCCTGGAAATGAATCACCGTGGGAAAAAGTTGCATAACCTATAACTAACGAATAACGGAGTAAAAACGCGACCCCTTAGCAACTGAGTATAAGATACGTGATGTGACTGTTACACCTCTGTTACTGGGTGCGTTGAAGGACAGCTACCTTATGGAGTGAAAGAGACACCTCAACCTATTCTATGCGAAAAGGGAGAAGGTGCATATAATAGGTGGATAGACTCCAGGCAGCATTCCACCTCGTGACACTCTTGCAGGTCTATGCATCTGTGTTTAGGGAGGAAAAAGCCTTTTAAGGTGAATCTAGATCTTTATACGAGGGATGTGCCAGGAAAGACCCTTTAGGCTGATTAAGCCATTGATGCTCCTGCGTACACGGGGAGTCCCAAGGGTGTGTATCCTAGGCGTATGGGATACCGACACTGAGATCTCCAGAGAGGTGCGGTATTTAGACCAGCCGGACTAATGTTGGGAACGAGCATACGAGGGCTACCTGATAAGATTGAACACAACCCCAGTCTCTCCGGTGATTTAATATAACTAGAAACGAAAAATAAAGCTTCTGGGAGTACTTTGTGTGATTCGTCCGGTGCTCATTCGTTGCGCAGGAACTTGTGCATGTAACCACATACTTTCAAGTGCTATCTTCGTTTAACCCAGGCAACTTGGTATAAACCATCAGGCTTTGGGAATTATTTCGTCCAAATATTTGACTTATATAACTGAACTAGTGGGATTATGTAGGCTATATCATCACTATTTCTGGGGATGTACTCGATAAATACTATATCATTGAATTCAGACGATCTATATATACCTCGCCAATCACTTCGACTACACTGAGTGTAATTCATACTTGCTATATAAAGACGCGAAAGCCTTATCTACTCTACCTCAACCACCTTACTCTAACCACTCTACCTTACATTAACTTAGCTCGAGCTCATGCTACGCACTCGCTACTCCCGCGGCTTTCTCCTATTTGTTTTGTGTCCCTTAACCCGGTCCGGCATGATCAAATATGGGTTGGACTCTATAGGTGCTGTTGGTGGATACGCATAGTTACTCGGCGAGAATTGCACTGGTGGCATAAACGGCTCGTTCCGATAGGGCATCATTGGATAGTACGGGTACGGCTGAGCGTACCCAGGTATCGGCCGGTAGAACGGGGGATACGCTGGGGCCTGTGAGTATATTGGCGATGTGTACCCCTGCTGTGGTCTGGACCGCACGTCAGATACCACCGGCCTCGGGGCTGGCGGCGAGTCGTGTACCTCTTCCTCCTTTTCATCTTCCGACCCCGACTGGAAGATTCTTTCTCTGGCCTTCTGGTATCTCTCCTCACGGGCCGCCAACTCGTTTTCCAACGGCAGATCAGGGAGTGACCCTGTAGATTTGGTGGGCTCAGGGTTAGGTGGGCTCGAGAGAGAGCCCTTGGAGGCAATTTTGGGGGTACCCTTGCGGGCCAACTTCGGGGTACCCACAAGGTGCGCCGGCGTGGCGTACGGCATCGCCACGTCTTCCTGTGGCTTTTCGATCTTGGACAAGCGTGCACGATTCTTGGCGGCCCAGACGTAGTCTTGTTTGTCGTCCGAAGGCGTTTGTTTGAAAACGAGAATGGCGAGGGCATCGCTGGAGATGGAGTGGCCGAGCTTGTAGTAGTCTGCAACCTGGTGCGCAAGTAAGCGGTAGTACGAGTTCATCGCCTGGAGTTTGTAGGAGTCGCTAAAGGGGAAAAGGGTTAGTAACTGCAGAGGGCAGGGTAGGAAGGAAAAACGGAGGTTTAGCATAATGGCCAAGACATTCTCAGATTAGTGGCTGATCTGAAAATGGCGACAGCACAAGCGGCATAAACTATTGAAAGATTTGGATGAGAAATACCATGAAGGAGCTGAAACGCCATAACCTCAATGTAAATCAGTGACATGAGATAATTCCCCCGACATCTTAAGAAATGGCTGTCAGAGAATATCGAAATGAATGATTTCCATGGGATCATGACCTGATATTCTATAGGCTACCCATCTCAGTCTCATTCAAAGATTGGCATGGTATTTCATCACAATTGAAAACCATGTCGTTTCTTCATTCCATACTATCACTCCATTCATTCATCCCTTTCTCTTTTACAACATACGTCTTGGATTCGATAAACTGGAGCAAGTCGCGCTCCAACCGCAAACAGAACATGCGATCGCTGGGCTTCCACAACGCGGTGTATAGCGACTTGGTAATGCCATACTTTTCGACCGCGTCGGGGGTATTATCTGACTGACCATGTTAGTACCGAGGACAAGAACAAAAGGGAGTCTACTCACCATGTTAGGCAATTGTGGGGGTAAGTTTCATATAAAGATTAAAAGATATGTGTATAGCACAGCGATTCCCAGACGGTTTCGATGGATCAACCTGAAAGATTTGAAAAGTGCGTCGCTTTTTCGACGCTTGCGTGCCGGCTGTAAGCACAGGAAAATGTTAGTGATGGAGAGTTGCTGAGATTCAAGGTGTGATTTGATTTTACATATTATTTATCCCACTTCCAAAGATATAACAAATATTAAAATACAAAGAAATACCTTCCAATTTTTTGCTTTCAAGTTTCACCGCTGTTTCCTGGTTTGTCGCATGACGATACCCCATATTCTCGTCGGAATTTTTCCAACCTACACCTAATAGAAGGACTTATGTAGAGCTTCCATGGCTTAAATGAATCGGTATAATTTATCCAAGAGCGGGGTCTAAGCATGCCCCACCGTTGTGCAAAATTTCTCGCCTGAGCTCTAATAGCGAACCAACCTTTGACATTGCATCACAAGATATCCCATTGTTTGAGAAACGAACCCAGAAACTCCAATCGGATCAATAGATTACTCAGTTCATTGCATTGAATATCATAAATAATTCTCATGGTGTGACCTACAAAATCCAAAACACCACCCTTTATATCACTTGGCTTAAGGCCTGAATAAAATGCAAACATTATTTATTCTACATGACAACGTGGAAATTATACCATGGTTTGTGCCTCATTTCACATTTGTAAGTTATTTACCCGTTACGAGCCCGTCACCTGTCTGACATCAGGCGCATCTCATCCTTAAGCGCCTCCTCCTGAATCGCTTCTCCAGCCAACCATCCGTCTTACACATTCATCCCCATTTCAATTGGTATTTTCACCATCTGGCATCCGTCTGAACAGCAACTGATTCAATCTGATGAGCGACGCTAATGTGAGTACACCTGATTGACCCCACCCCGTTTACCGTCACTAACAATCTCAGGACATCAGAGCCAAGAGGCTTGCCAGACTAGCGGCCCTTTCGGGCTCATCGACACCCGAGAAGGTTATTAAAAAGGATCCACCAAAACCGGTTTCGTCAGTTCCGCAAGCCGTTTCGCCAGCTCCACAAGTTGTTTTGCCAACTCCGCAAACCGTTTCGCAAACCGCCACCCAAACGATGATGGCCTCGTCAGACGTATTCAACCTCTGGGCGTGCAGCGAAATCGAACACGTTCTCCACGTCACCCTTACTGAGGACAAACCCGGCTTGCTCTACCTCCCCGCAACCCACGCGGACCTCACCGAAGACAATGAAACCCTCTCTGCCGAACATATCGAGCGCATCTTCATGGAGGCACTCGTGGAACACGGCGTCGCGAACCCATTCGCGTACCTCCGGGCGTGCTGGACATCTGCGGCGCAGTCGCGGCGTCTTGTCTCTGCGCGTGATGTCTTGCGTGCGCGTAAGCTCGCGTTCTTGGACGAGATCCTGCGCCTTGCGCCGTCGTACGGGCTCATCTGCTTCCAGATCCCTGACATGTTCTTGAACAACACCCCCGACGCCACTGTCGCTGCGTTGATTGCCAACATTGCCGACTACACGGACTTTCTCATGGAAACCGTCGCCAAAGCTGTTGAAAACGACTTCTTGCTCGACTTCTTAAACATTGTGGTGCCACGCTTGTCCGCAGTGCTCCTCCAGATCGACCTCAATGACCAGCGTTACGGCAGTATCCTCACGATCTTTCAGGTCTTGGTCTCGTCCAAGGCCGTTGCCGCAGTCTTTACCGACATTGACAATTTCCACCCTGAGGGGTTGGCCGCGCCCGAGTTTGAAACAAAAACGATTCTCGGCCCGCTCTTGCGCTTATCGCCGCTCCAGCCATCGGTATCGGCTGCGTCATATGCGGGCTCTCTCGAAAAGTCGCCGGGCGAGCTCAAGGCCATCACCGAGGGCCTACAGTCCGAGTACAACACGCTTGTGTCGCGGCTTTTCAACATCTGCGACCGAATCGTGCGCGGGTCGCCGCGTGCGCGGCGCGCGTTGGTGCGCTACTTCGCGGCGTTGGCCAACGCGAACCACTTACGGCGCGGCGAGCGCGCGGACCGTGCGCGGGTCGCGGGCGACGGCATCATGTGCAACGTGCTGTTGATCCTCGTGCTTTTGTCACAGCCGTTCCTCGACACGTCGCTTCAGAAGCTCGACAAAATTGACATTGACTTCTTCCTGAAGTCCGTGGTCCTTGACATCCGCGAGGAAACGCGCATCAACGCGACCATCAAGGAGGCCGCGGTGTACGACGCGACCGTGGATACCGACGCGAACTTTATTTCGGAGTGTTTCTTCTTGACGCTCGCCTTCTTGCACTACGGTATTGGCGGCTGCTACACACTCGAGGATCGCTTAAAGGCTGGGATCAAGCAGATTGGCGCCCAGGTCGCAAAGTTGGAAGGCATGGCGAAGGACCCACGCCAGCTGGTTATGAAAGCGGTGATCGAGACCCAGTTAGAGCGACTCAGAACCGAGAGACAGCGGCTCAAGTCGCAGATCGACGCGTTGGTCTGCTTCTTTACGAACGCGCCGCAGCAGGAGAACATCTTCGACTTTATCGCGGGTGCATGTGCGTTCATGGTACGCGCGGTGGACCCTGTGCGGGCGCATCCTGCGCGGCGCCTCGCGCTCCCGTTCCACGCGGACAACCTCAAGATCCGCGACGACCAGGACCGTTTGCGGGAGCTCGCGCCGACGCCTTGGCGGTTCTACCCCGAGTTCCTCATTGAGGGCATCGTCAACTACTGTGCGCATGTCGTCAAGTACACGCGTAACCCGCTCGTCGGCCATACGCGTCTCCCCGCTCTCGTCGAGTTCGCGGTGGTGATGCTTCGGTGCCCCGAGCTCGTGGGGAACCCACACTTGAAGGGCAAGTTGGTGGAGGTGTTATTCTTTGGGGCCTTGCCGTCGCAGGACGGGTACCCTGGGTTTATGGCCGCGGTATTCGAGACGAACGCGCTCGTGCGTGCGCATGTGTTGTACGCGATCCTCGACTTTTACGTCGCGGTCGAGAAGACCGGTGCGTCGTCGCAGTTTTACGATAAATTCAACGCGCGCTACCACATTTCGATGATCCTTGAGCAGTTGTGGAAGACGCCACTCTACCGCGAGCAGTTGCGCGAGTACTCGCGTGCGGATGTGGAGTTCTTTGTGCGCTTCGTCGCGCGCATGTTGAACGACACCACGTATCTCTTGGATGAGGCCTACGGGGATTTATCTGAGATCCACAATTTGCAAAGCGAGCTTGCCAGGAGGGCGAACTCCCAGTCGGCCCTGGCGAACCCTCCCATGGAGGGGACTGATGACGAGCTCAACGAGAGGCTCGACTCCGTGGAGCGCCAGAGCAAAAACTACGTCCAGCTCTCCAACAAAACGTTGGAGTTGTTCAAACTTTTCACGTCCGAAGTTCCACGCGCGTTTGTTTTGCCTGAAATCGTCGACCGTTTGGCTGGGATGTTGGACTACAACTTGGCCGCGCTCGTGGGCCCCAAGTGCCGTGACTTGAAGGTGGCCAATCCTGAGAAATACGCGTTCGACCCAAAGCAGTTGTTGGGCCACTTTGCGCAGGTGTACATCAACTTGAGCGGCGAGGAGGAGTTCGTGCTTGCGGTCGCGCGCGATGGGCGCTCGTTTGCGCGTGCTTTGTTTGCGCGCGCGGAAGAGATTTTGGCGCGCTACCACATCCTCCCTGCGGATGCGGTCACCGCGCTTGGCAGCTTTGCCGCGCGCGCGGATGCACAGAAGCGTGCGGACGATGACGAAGAACTTGAGTTAGGTGACGTTCCGGACGAGTTCCTCGACCCGTTAATGTACACGCTCATGTCCGACCCCGTGATCTTACCCGGATCGAAGATCAGTATTGACCGCTCCACGATCAAGTCGCATTTGTTAAGTGACGCGACCGATCCGTTCAACCGTATGCCGTTGAAGTTGGAGGATGTTGAGGACGACGTGGAGTTGCGCGCGCGCATTGCCGCTTGGAAGTACGAGATGAAGAAGGATGTTTTGATGGAGCGATAAAGTTTGATATGGGACTGCCCCTGAGCTTATAGCAGCCTGTGGCTCAGTGTTGACCTCAGGATTTAGCATACAATATATATATACTAAACCGTTAAAGGGTAATGATATATAGGTGAATTGAGGTGTATTGGAAACTATAAAAGCTATTGAAAGGTTAGACTTACTGGACGTTATAGATCATTGGCTGGATCAGGTGTTTTTCTGTTACCAGTGAAGGTTTTAGAAAAAAAAAAAAAAAAAAAAAACCTCTAACCTTTACCAAGCTGGAAGATGTCGAGTATGGGACTGCGATCATGCATGAAATTAGATATTCGAGTGATAGGTAAAACTGGAAAAGCTTTAACCGATATCACTTTGGGTACAGATAATATATTTACTAACATTGGGTATGTAGTCTATCACATTGAACACATGTCAGAAGATGATAGAGACTAAATGACCCACCATTTGCCGGGGGGAGGCTGAAAGACAGACTGACGAACGGGAGTGAGTAGTGGCGTCCAAAAATGTCAAAAATGGCTGATTTAAAGAGATGATTCAATCGTTATCAGCAGGTTTCGGAAGGTTGGTGTTATGTGGGGCTCAACATCCGTATGCATGCATGCATGCTTTTCGGTCTTTTCCGAGATAAGCCTCGCGCATGCATATTTAAAGGGCTGCACCCCCGCTGAAACTTTTCCACCTCTCACCAAAGACTACTCACTTCCTTCCCCACAGCATGTCTTATAGTTTACCACAAATCAGTGAAATTTCCCACCTCAACGAAGGAGGAAAAGACGAATTCCTCGGCCACTTGTTCGAGCCGTGTTCCACGTTGAACGCGTTCTTGCGCGAGTCTAACGTATTCAAACAGGAATACCTGTCATATAAAGCATTCATTGAGAGCTGTCGCAGTGAGTTATTGGCATTTTTGGCCTCCCCCAGCGAGCATCCAGACCCCCGTATCTCCCAGATTATTGCTGCCCACCCGCGGCTCGGAGGTGGCAACGCCAAGAAACTCTCTCTGCACTCAGAGAAGGAGCAGCAATCGCTCCAATCGTCGCCGGAGGAGCTGGCAAAGTTGATGGACTTGAACGAACAGTACGAACGGACGTTTCCAGGCTTGCGCTACGTGGTGTTTGTCAACGGACGAAGCAGAGCCGTCGTGATGCACGACATGGAGACGCGAATCGCGGGAAACGACATTGCAAAGGAGCGCATTGCGGCGTTCAATGCCATGTGCGACATTGCTCTCGACAGGGCCGAGAAGTTGGAGACCAAGTTGTAGTTATGTAAGGCCCGATAAGTGTGTTATTGGAATAAACTACATACTAGAGTTCATGCTGTTGCCTGGTTCTACTGCGTATTTTATCATGGAAAAGTTCTAGATATTTTAGGGGGAGCATCCATGTGTGCTTGGTTTCAATGGATCTTCATTTTTACCAGTAAAAGAGGGGTATCTTTTAGCGGAGAGCTTCAAGCGGCGACTTCACCATAGTTCAGACTGGTTATAAGTAGCTGCCGTAGCCACCGAGGTAGACCTTCTTTTTGGTTCACTGCCTCACCACCTTCCAGACCGGTGGTTTACAAATCCCAGCGATGAGAGGTTTACCCAGTATTTAAGTATAAAAGTTTATTACTCATTCTGTCTCACAAGGCAATGCTTGACTTGTTTGCAAATTGGTTGAACCCGGACAGTGGCAACGAATGATGGCACCGATATAATCTATTTATCTTTCCCTAATGCTTGGAAAAGATAGATATAAATGTTTACAGCCGAATTACACCTCCGGTGACTGAGCCAGGTTAACCGGAAGTCCGACCACCATATAGGTCCACGTTGAACACCGACGCATGCCGGGACTAATAAGTGATTTGAGCCACAGGGAATGGATCCACGAGCTTTAAAATACCCATAAACAATCAATACACCCCGCTGAGGTATCACCGTATATAAATGCCTTCCGAGGTAGATGGCAGTATCGCCAGCCTGTGTTTTCTGGACAGCATCTCTCGAACACGTCTCGCATAGCAATGATCAAGGCGCTCGTATCTACCTGTAATTGCTAGCCCTAAGCTTACTCTACTAGAGCCAAGTTCAACTGACTACCTTAACATAGCAAATACAAGTGGTTATACAGATGATAGTACTCCCCGTGACATATCTAGCATCGCAGTTATACGGTGAAGAACCAGACCTAAAACGTGCGCGCGCAGATTCCTTCCACACGATAGCCTTATCACGTTCGCGCACTCATAACCGCAGCCCCTCGCCCTCGCGAACCGTAATCTTCGACCCAAAAAAAGCGATTATCACACCTACCCGAAACCAAGAACAGCCATTCACACACAATTATATCCACAATCCTTCAAAATGGTAAGTATCTATCAGATTTTTGTTACGCGAGAAGAGACGTGCTACGAAGGGCCGGAGGAGAAGACAGGCAGAGCTCGTCGGCCTAAAGCCCCGTTTCCCTTCAAAGGCGTGCGAATTGCTCGCACCGAATGCCATCGAAGAGGTTACTCCATTGGTCTAGTGTTTACCGGAGCGGGCTTGCCTTGTCCCAGCTGCTATCGTACTTGCTCGCTGCTCAATTATCCACACCCGTTATTCGAGTGCTTTTCGCATCTGCAGTGCTCGCTTTTCTGCTCAATACTAACCTTCAGGCTGGTGCAATGGAAAACGCTCGCAAAGAGATCAAGCGTATTAGCTTGGAAGACGCCGATGAATCCCAATACGGCCAGATCTACTCGGTCTCCGGGCCCGTCATTGTTGCCGAAAACATGATTGGGTGCGCGATGTACGAGTTGGTCAAGGTCGGCCACGACAACTTGGTCGGTGAGGTCATCAGAATCGACGGTGACAAGGCCACCATCCAGGTTTACGAGGAAACCGCCGGTGTTACCGTTGGTGACCCGGTTTTGCGTACCGGGAAGCCGCTTTCGGTTGAGTTGGGTCCGGGGTTGATGGAGACCATCTATGACGGGATCCAGCGTCCGCTCAAGGCGATCAAGGAAAAGTCACAGTCAATTTACATCCCTAGGGGGATTGACGCCCCGGCGTTGAGCCGTACCGTGTTGTATGACTTCAAGCCGGCCAAGCTCCGCGTGGGCGACCACATCACCGGTGGTGACATTTTCGGGTCCATCTACGAAAACTCGTTGCTCGAGGACCACAAGATTCTCTTGCCGCCTAGAGCTAGAGGGACCATCACGTGGATCGCGGAAGCTGGCTCTTACAACGTGGAGGCTACCGTTTTAGAGGTTGAGTTCAACGGTGAAAAGAGCTCGTACTCGATGATGCACACCTGGCCCGTGCGTGTGCCTAGACCGGTCGCCGAGAAGTTGTCTGCAGACTACCCGTTATTGACTGGCCAGAGGGTCTTGGACTCGTTGTTTCCGTGTGTCCAGGGTGGGACCACGTGTATCCCGGGCGCTTTCGGGTGCGGGAAGACCGTTATTTCCCAGTCCTTGTCCAAGTACTCTAACTCGGACGTGATCATCTATGTCGGGTGTGGTGAGAGAGGTAATGAGATGGCTGAAGTATTGATGGAGTTCCCAGAGTTGTTTACCGAGGTTTCCGGGCGCAAGGAGCCAATTATGAAGCGTACCACCTTGGTTGCCAACACCTCCAACATGCCTGTGGCCGCGAGAGAGGCGTCCATTTACACTGGTATCACCTTGGCCGAGTACTTCAGAGACCAGGGTAAGGACGTTTCGATGATTGCAGACTCCTCTTCTAGATGGGCTGAGGCCTTGAGAGAAATCTCCGGTCGTTTGGGTGAAATGCCGGCCGATCAGGGGTTCCCGGCGTACTTGGGGGCCAAGTTGGCTTCTTTCTACGAGCGTGCCGGTAAGGCCGTTGCCCTCGGGTCGCCGGACCGTATCGGGTCCGTGTCCATCGTCGCTGCCGTCTCTCCAGCCGGTGGTGATTTCTCCGACCCCGTCACCACCTCCACCTTGGGTATCACCCAGGTCTTTTGGGGGTTGGACAAGAAGTTGGCGCAGAGAAAGCATTTCCCGTCGATCAACACCTCGGTCTCCTATTCCAAGTACACCAACGTGTTGAACAAGTACTACGACTCGAACTACCCAGAGTTCCCAACCTTGAGAGACAGAATTAGAGAGATCTTGTCCAACGCCGAGGAGTTGGAGCAGGTGGTGCAGTTGGTCGGGAAGTCCGCCTTGTCTGACGCCGACAAGATTGCCTTAGACGTGGCCAACTTGATCAAGGAGGATTTCCTCCAGCAGAATGGGTACTCTACCTACGATGCCTTCTGTCCGATCTGGAAGACCTTTGACATGATGAGAGCCTTCATCACGTACTACGACGAGGCCCAGAAGGCCGTCGCCAACGGCTCACAATGGTCCAGATTGGCCGAGTCCACTTCCGACGTCAAACACAAGGTCTCGTCCGCCAAGTTCTTCGAGCCGAGCAGGGGTGAGGAAGCTGGGAAGGTTGAGTTCGAAGACTTGTTGACCACCATCGCCGAGCGTTTCGCCGAGGCTTCCGAATAGGCATAGATGTTCGCTTTTTTCTAATTTATCTGTATCAAAAGGAGGTTGTAGATTGAGAATATGATTGGGAGTATGACCGGGTTTGAACTGGTAAGTTTGAAAAAAAAGATGTTTTTGTAGCTATCTCTATAACTATTTTTCCTGCAACTGAGCGACTTTAGCTCAGTCGGGAGAGCGTTAGACTGAAGATCTAAAGGTCCTGTGTTCGATCCACAGAAGTCGCATTCCTTTTTTTCGAGTTTATGACTCTGGCTTAGAGGTTTGCCCGGAGACATTTAAATATCGTTTATGTAGAGCTGTTATTACGCAAACTGTCTAACCCAGGATCTACCCATACCTTACCTGTGGTGTAACCAAATTCATCAATAAGGGCTTTGATGAATCCGCCATTGTAATCGAACAGTGGTGCCAAGTAGCTCATTCAGAGTTTGTTCACCTCACTCAGAGTTTGCTCACCTCACTCGTTCTTCTCGAAGAATGAGTCAATACTATTCCCCAAATAGAGTTTGAGTGACTTCTTGGTTGCTGGAAGCACTTTGCATCGTACCACCTTGACGCCAGCTTTGTCGTATGCTTGGAATCGATGACACCCACCGAAGGCGAAATAGTAGTCTTTCCCTTGGTCTCGGACATGCATAACGTCAATAGGAGTCAATTCACCGGAGGTGATCTCTGAAAGCGAGCAGTTATTAGAGGCCATCGGGGTACCCTTTAGCGTGGACACCATTGCATCAATCTTCTCGTGGTTGAGGACTGGTGGAATCGGACGGCGAATTTGAGCTAATGGGATGTCTCTAACGCGGTTGATCGAACCAGAGTGAATTGAGGTCATGCTTTGTCTATGTAAAAATGAATTGGAATAGGATTGTAATTTAATATTAGCTTGTAAAGAACGGGGAAATGGAGTTTATATGTACATCGCATGTCTATTAATAATGCACCATTTCCATGCATGCATTTTGTAAGCAGACAGGCCTAGAAACCTAAGCCTGATATGCGAAAGCAATAACTCGATAGCTAGGTGAGATAAAAGACACTGCACGGATCTCATATAAACATGGATGTATAGATAATTTTCATAAACAGTAGCTTCCAAACAAAACATTCATGCTTTAGAAAAAAATATTACCGGTCCGAAACTTGCAGTCGTAAATCTGGATCAATACGTTCATTTGAGAATTGGGAGAATCAATACACCTTTCCGAAACAAAATTGGAGCGTAAGTTGGAACATAAAGGATATTTCCCGAGGAAGGGTGGATAATTAAAAACTTACATGAAAGACCATCAACAATATTCCCATACAGAAACTAAGGGTAGGAATTTTCCCTGCGTATATTCAGCACCAATAGCCCTGTCTCAACTGGAAGGATCTACAACCAAAACGCTTGTAGAGAAATCCAAGACAGTGGAGACAGATGGATAAAACATATCTCAGGTTACATCATTCGGGAATCCTTACTCACTACACGATACTGTCTTGGGTTTTCATACTGATATGTACAGGTATTTCACGTTTGCTCATCAGAACACCTACTTCTGCTCGAGAAGCTTCTTGGCAGCGGCATCCGGGGTGAGCGTCTTGGACAAGTTGTTATAGATGCTCATGCCGCTGGCCATCCAAGAGCCCATGTCGCCCATGCCTGACGGAATAACAATAGTGTTAGACTCCTTCGCCAACTTACCAAACTCCTTGACGTAGTCCTGCGCGACTTGCAACGCAACAGCATCCTTACCACCTGGGGTCTCGTTGATGGCCTTCGCGATCTCCCTTATCCCCCCAGCGGTGGCCTGGGCTCTCATTAAGATGGCTTCGGCCTCACCGGCAGCCATGTTGACCTGTTCCAACTTCAACGCCTCAGACGCCAAGATCACAGACTGCTTGCTCCCCTCGGCAATGTTGATGTTGGCCTGTCTGTGACCCTCAGAGTCCAAGATCTCCGCCCTCTTGGATCTCTCGGCACTGACCTGTCTGTGCATGGCCTCCAACACATTCGCTGGCGGATGGATGTCTCTGATCTCGTACCTTAAGCACTGAATACCCCAGTCTTCCGCTGCCTCGTTGATGGCAGTGGTGATGTTGTGGTTCAAAACCTGTCTTTCCTTCAATACGTGATCAAGCGACAACTGCCCAATCTCGGATCTCATGGTGGTCTGCGCTAACTGGCTGATGGCGTACTCAGCGTCCTCCACACCGTAGGACGCCTTGTAAGCATCCACTACGCGGATGTATAAAACACCGTCCATCTCCAACGTCACGTTATCTGCGGTGATTGCGCTCTGCGACGGGATCTCGACTGCAGACTCCTTCAACGACTGGACATACTGGATCTTGTCCAAAACCGGCAACAAGATAGCCAATCCAGGTGGCAAAATTCGGTGGAACTTTCCCATTCTCTCAACCACCCACGCGGTCTGCTGTGGCACGAATCTGACGATGGTGTTCGCCGGCAAACGCTGCTTCTGGAAGAAGTTCAAGCTGGAGCCCTGCGAGAGCGCTCTCACGGGCTGGGTCCTCACGACCTGAACAATTCTCTGTCTCGCAAGCATGATGGTAGTATGAATGTATAATGTATTCGATTGATTGGGAGGGGCTGAGGAGTATGTAAGCTTAAATCGGCAATGGCAGCGGCGAGGTTGCCGCTGGTTTTCGACAAGGTATGCTATGGTCGTGCCTGTACCGTCATCTCACGCTTGGGTTACCTGCAGGAGGCTTCAATTTTTGCATACGATTTTTTTTACATATTAATGCACGATGCGATATCCAGCGACGTTTGCTTGCCACCTCAACTTACCATCCACTTATATCGCACAAATGGTGAAGGGTCTTGAAATTTCCACGAACGAACAGACGTTCCTCCTTGAAGCGTTACAGAAGGGTATCCGGATGGACGGCAGAAAGGTGGACGAATTCCGCAACGTCGAGATCAGTATTGGCGACGAGTACGGGTACATCGAGATTCGTATGGGCAAGACGAAGATCTTGGCGCGGGTTTCGGCCGAAATCACACAACCATTTGAGGATAGACCGTTTGAAGGGGTGTTTCAAATCTCAACCGAGGTGTCACCAATGGCGTCTCCGATGTTTGAGCACAACCGACAGTCGTCTAACGAAGTTTTGATCTCGCGGTTGATTGAAAAGGCGATCAGACGCTCCGGCGCCTTGGATTTGGAGTCCTTGTGCATCGTGGCTGGCAGCAAGTGCTGGTTAATCCGCGCTGACTTGCACTTCTTGGACTATGACGGTGGGTTTATCGACGCCAGTTGCATTGCCGTAATGGTTGGGTTGTCACATTTTCGCAAGCCAGACATTTCCATCAATGGTGATGACATTGTGGTGCATTCCATCGAGGAGAGAGAACCGGTGCCGTTGTCCATCTTGCACATGCCCATCTGTGTGACCTTTTCCTTTTTCAACCCGCACGATAGCGAGGCAAACATTAAGGGTGACGCCAATGAGGAATTGAGCATCATCGACGCGACGTTGAGCGAAGAGTTGTTGAGACAGGGTGAGTTGACATTGACATTGAACAAGAACAGAGAGGTGTGCCAGATCTCCAAGGCCGGGGGCTTGCCAATGGATGCATTGTTGATCATGGACTTAGCCAAGAAGGCCTACACCATCACCGAGCGCTTGACCGACCAGATCAAGGCTGTTTTGAAGGAGGATGAGCTCAAGCGCAGTGAGAAGAACAAGTTGTTGAGCGCCTCCAACGCTCGTTAGGCGTATACCCGTGTATATTATTATGTATTAAAAGCAAGAGGAAGATTTCGAGGATTAATCTGTACTGTATTAGAAAAAAAAAATTGCAGTAGACGGATGAATGGCTGATATGATAATAGCGATGCATGAGCGAATACTTTCAATTTATTAGTTAAGATGGCGGTATATATGACAATTCCATTGGAAAACCGCAAAGGGAGATGCACCCACAGGGTCTAGACTATAACTGCTCGACGAGAAATAGACTAATCGTGCCGAGCTGTGTCGATACCTTCGTTCTACATGTATGAGGATATACCGTAATTGTTTGATTAGTCGCGTAGATATACATAACCAGGAAGCTATAGCCGTATCTTTAGCAGAGGCCGCTAGTAGACTTACCTCCTCGGTTGGAGCAAAAGGTACCGTTGTGATCCACCGTGTGGGTATATCAATTGGACTAACTATAGAGATCAATCCTAGCTTCATATATGTTATAGATCCAGGTTCTCAACAGGTCGTATACCAACAAGTTCCAGACAAGTAAACTGAGGGTGTAGTGGCCTACCAACGGAACCATGAAAAAAAAAGAAGCTGGCGGCGTAAGACCCAAGTATCAAGCAGAAACTGAATTGGAATCTCAGAGAAGCAAACTGGTGATAGAATAACTCGTGACAATCACGTAAACAATCTGTACCAAACCACAGACCATCGGCAACCACGTGCTCATCTTGAAACTACCGGCTTCGTACGATGTCCCTAAGACAAAACCGGCCACAGTACCAGACATGGCCGCTTGAACACCACCAAGGACAATATACGTCACGAGAATACTGAGTGATCCAATGAGGCGACGGTGGCCGATGGCAGCAACCACCCCAGCGCAGAGATAGAACACGCCAAAAAAGATGAGGGTCCAGATGAGGGTGAACCGCCAAATGTCATTCTTGTAGAAGAGAAACGCCTGGGAATAGGCATTTTCGCCAGCAAGAGGCCAGTGTAGCGAAGGAAACGGCGGAACTGAATAGCCTAGCGGAATGTCATCATTGATGCTAATAAAGGATGACCTAGAAGCATTAGTAAGACGTCGAAAAGATTCCTGGAATACAAGAAGGTGACTTAGCGCACACAGCTGTTTCCGCTGTAAACCTTTTACGATAAGACATACCCCACAGACATTAAGTCCTGATCGACCTAAGTGTTCAGATGGTACCGGAAAGCGTAGTCAGTCTTGTGCCAACCTTGAGGTGAGGTGTTCGAGATGTACAGTTTGCCTCAGACCTGCACCCTCGCACAGGTATAGTAATTGCTGTAACAGGAAGTATCTTTTCAATGCCGTATTTGGTTCTGCAAGAGTAACGTGCTAGATGGGCCATCGTTCAACCTCTGGGTCCCCATTAGATTGGATCCTAAGAGCAATTACATGTGGCTGGATTGATGTCGTCATTTTGATATTTATCAATGGTCACCCCGAGGCCTTACCTTTACTTATTACAGTTCTAAAGCCCCCAAGTTTCGGGCACGAAAACGACTGGTTTGCAGTTGGTCACTATCGATTTCTTTTATTATTTGCACTGTCGGATTCCGAGAACGCCCATTTCACTGAAACCTAACAGCTAAGTAGCACTCAAGGAACAATGACGGTTTCCTGTCAGTAGCCCTCCGTATACCGTATTTTCAGCCTCTGTACAGCAAGCTTCGTTAGCATCTCCGTCTACGACTTTTCGCCCTGTGTACATACGTCATCGCTCCTCCAATTTATCGTTAAACAGAATGGGCCATTACGTAATCCAGGCTTATATTCCATCTCCCTCCCCCCCGCGACAACAAATGGCCTAATGTTGTATCTGCCTTCTATAGAATAAATACAGCGTATGGCTGTGGAATTCTGCCTATACGTAATCTATGCATATACTTCCATTAGATAAAATAAGGTGTTCCATATGTGACAGTAAGGCCACAGGAGTTCCCTCGTGTGCGATTCAGCTTAAGATGGAAGTCTCAAAACAAAACAAAACAGGCCTAAAGGGTACGTGCGCCAGGAGCCCAATGCGGCATGAAGAGATATGCGCTATGCATGCGGGTTCCCAAAAAATGCAGATATCTTCCAGTTTTTGCACTCCTGGTAAGGCTGTGTGCAGGCTAAGACCCTCGGTTAGAGACATATTCAACCGGAATAGGTGATTCCGGAATATGGGAACTTCTCGAAGGGGATGCTCACTACTAATTATCCGTTAAAGATGACAAATGTCGTATCCTGGTCGTCTGTTACCTCGATAAGGTACACAGGGAGGGTTTTCTGCTTCACACGGCTTTACGGGGGAGGCACCATTCTGGCCTACGGCGTGCCTAGACCTTGTAGAAACCAGCTGACTGCCTAGGACTCCGAGTTTAGCCATATATTGCTTGTGGGTATAACCAACATTTGCCCCTATCTGAGGTTGAGCTTAATTTTTGCGTACACAGCAATTATACCCGAGAACGAGCCAACGTGGACGTCATCCAGTGGTGCGGGAGCTCTACATAGCTCTAGATGCTTCCACATTATAGCTCCCTTGCTGATAGAGTACGCACTACGTAATTAATCCCTCGAAATAATCATGCGTTTGTAATGCATGAGCTCTCATTCTGAGCCGAGGGTACCGAGCCGACGCACCTCCCGCAGTCTTACTAATAACTATTTTCTCTCCCTCCAGGGAAGGCCGTAGGCGCTCCACCCGTGAGGAATGGCAGTAAGGTTTGCATGCTCGCGCATATATCATGCAATTCCAGCTTTGCTCTCTTGTTATGGTTTGCCTAACCAAAGCTTTGCGTTTTTCCGCATTTGCTTTGCTTGCTCTGCATGCATTTCGTGATGTTTGCCGCCCACACCCTCTTTAGGAAAAGGTAAGCAATCTTATATAAGGAAACCCCTTTCCTGTTTTCCCCTCAGCCGTCTGACGTTTTGGTTCCTCAATTGTTAATAACTCTTTGTCTCTATTCTCTCAATTGACACTATACAAACATCATATTACACAATGTTGGCTATCGGTGATAACATCTTACGTGGTATTAACTTCGTCATCCTCATCATTACCCTTGGGATTACTGCTAGTTTGGCGTCTGGCAATTTCAACAACAACCCACAGGTAAACTTTGCTGTTTTCGCCGCCACCTTTGGTATTTTGTTCTCCTCCATTTACGGTGCTCTTGCTAATGTCATTTCTGCCTTGGCCGTGCCAATTGTGTTGACCGTGATCGAATTCTTGAACTTTGTCTTCACGTTTGCCGGTGGTGCTGCCTTAGCCACCGCCATCAGAGTCCACTCATGTAGCAACTTTGACTACGTCTTTGACAACAAGATTGCCCAGGGTTCCGAGGGTAGATGCCGCAAGGCCCAGGCTTCCACCGCGTTCCTTTTCATCTCCTCTTTCATCTTCCTCGCCTCTTTGGGTTTCCAAATTTACGGTGTTGCGTCTAGGGGTGCATTCGGAGTTGGTTCTAAGAGAGCCTCCGGCGGTATTCCAACCGCCCAGGTTTAAGAATCGGATGCAAACAAAAAGTTCTGAATAGTATCTTTACGTTATTTCTGTTTTCTTACAACCTCCCCTTCCCAATTGGCTCTGCTAGGGTAATACCTTTGCTGTACCATTCCTCCGGTCCTCGACGGCACTCCTTTTTTTATTACACATCCCTCCCGGTACTATTTTTTTAATATCCTAATTTTATGTTTACTTCCTGGTTCGTGGAACTGGTCCACTGGCCGTGCATACGTTGTCCAATTGGTTCGAGTCGCAGCACTGGCTGGTCTTCGCTTACCCATCCTTTAATTCCGTTTTATATAGCACCATACAAGTATAATTTGCAATGTTGTAGGGTCTGCCAGTGAGCTCTTGAAGGTCTAGTTGCTCAAATTGTCGATCACCGGTATATTAATATGGCCGAGCTTAATTCGACGGTTTAGCGTTTTAGGGGGACGCGGAGTCGATTTTGCACTTTTTACTGACGGGTAAATATTTGGTTTGCAAAGAATACAGGTTGCCGGTGTCAGAACTGGCTCCGTTCGTTAAAAGCCACTATAACGATGGCTTTCGGGCCCAGGCTTTACGGTTCCATTTTTTTTTTGGCGAGAGTTAGTTTGAACCGACTTCAGATTTTGTTAAAACGTTTCTCAAATACTGCCGATCCCAACATCCCTGGATGGCATTGTTTTGATTCTACCTTAACCGAAACCTCCATGCAGGCGCAGGACATACGGCGAGGTTGGGCCGTGCGCTCTAACGGTGCATAGTTCGCACCACGGCATGCTCAGTATATTCACTTGCAGGTACGGGCCCGATATTAGAATAGTAGACCTTATTAAGCATTGTTTTGGGCTAGCATCGCTAGTGGCATGAAGCCGCACGCGTATGGATATACGCTGCACATAGCTACTCTAGTGTAATACCGGAGTCTGAATTCAAGTCAACAGTACTCAGAAATACGTCCAGAAGGTATCGGTCGTAACGAGGATTGTATTGGACCGAGACGACACCAAGGAAATACGACCGGCGTCCGGTGACAAATGGGGCTGTCACCACCCACATTTCCGTCCGACCAAACGGTTGCGTTACTTAAGAGCGTTAAGAAAAATAAAAACGATACCAGACGGGAGTGTCAGCGTAGCTTGAAGCTGGTTTGAGATTGTTGTTACACCGCCAAGTTTGATGACATAACTCGTACAGAATCCTCATATATTCTCGAGTGGACCGTCCTACACCATCACCCTGGTAGTGCGTATTGTTGTAAAAAAACGCCCTCACGCACGGAAGCTTCGGAATAAACAAGGCTAAGAAATACAAGGTCCACTTCTTGTACTTGGATTTCGTCGTCAAACACATAACAATCGATAATGACTTAACTGGGGGTTTTATAATAACCCTGAGATTACAGATGTTATCTTCGCGATATATTATACGGTGTGTAGCTGTCAAGGAAGTCCAACTTGATCAGCTATTAATGCAACTCACTACAAACCCCACTTCGCGGCTCGATTTTGGCTTTAAACAATCTTTGGATCCGTTCCAGTGTAAACCATAGCTGCTCCCGTGTAACGCCGATACACTTTCTCTCGGTACTAACATTATAATCACCTCTACCCTGCCCATGCAGCAGCGTTTGATCCTAAACCAGATGTCGTAGTTTGCGCAACGCTTAAACGTACACTCTCGGATGGGCTCAAGGTACATAGCCAGAGTCCTTGGCCGATACCTCTGCGTGATTTAATCCTGTGACTAGCTGCAACGGAAGTCTGGCGAGATTAGCTGCAGGCTATCTGCCTGTGCAGTTTAGTCTTTCGGCAAGTCCCCGCCGATAGGGTAAATGTACCTATAGCTATGAAACATTCGAGGACGAAACTGGCCAAGGCCCGAAGAATTGACGAAATAAGTGTGGTGGACGGAAGCATTACGGATAAATGGGCTTTGAGGAGATTTAAAAGTTTGTAGTCGCTTAGATGGCGGCAGGACTAGCTTAACTTGCCTGTGTACGTCACAACGCGATTTATCCGCGCAAGCCGCCCTAGCCCTTCCACACAGCAATTGTACCCCTGGGAACACACAACCGTACCTATCTCTATAAAACCCCTCTTCTCTCCCTGAATTAGTTGCCAACCGTCGTGTTTATTTCACCCTTCCCTTTAACCGGTTTACCCATTTTTTTCCCACACACTCTAAGAAACCTTCTAGTATGACCGCCTCCCCCTTGACCGACATTGCAATGGGCTCCATGGATTCCCTTAAGGCCAGCCAGAGAGCAGGCACCTCCTTGACGAGCTTCCCTGCCGACTTTTTTATTCCGAGCTCCTTGGAGAAGGCACTTCCGAAGAAGCAGATCGAGCTCTATACGCCTGAGTACTACGCTGCCTGCACCTTCGGTGGTATCATCGCGTGTGGGCCGACCCACTCTGCGGTCACGCCGTTAGACCTTGTCAAGTGCAGAAGACAGGTGGATCCGACGTTGTACAAGTCAAACATCCAGGGCTGGTCCAAAATCATTGCTTCTGAGGGTATTGGTGGGATCTTTACCGGTGTGGGTGCCACCTTCATTGGGTACTGTATCCAGGGTGCGGGTAAGTACGGGTTTTACGAATACTTCAAGAAGCTGTACGCGGATGCAGTGGGTGAGGACTTTGCCAAAAAGTACCAGACCGGTGTTTACATGGCAGCCTCTGCTTCCGCTGAAGCCATCACTGATTTGTTCTTGTGCCCATGGGAAACCATCAAGGTAAAGACTCAGACCACCATTCCACCATATGCCAAGTCTGTGTTCGAAGGCTGGAGCAAAATCGCCGCCGCTGAAGGACTTGGTGGTTTTTATAAGGGCTTGGTCCCATTGTGGTTCAGACAGGTGCCTTACACCATGGTGAAGTTTTCATCGTTTGAAAAGGTTGTGGATTTGATCTACTCGAAATTGCCAAAAGCCAAGAAGGACTACTCTCCATTGCAGCAGACAGGTGTCTCCTTCACCGGTGGTTACATTGCCGGTATCTTCTGTGCTGCCGTTTCCCACCCAGCCGACGTCATGGTGTCCAAGATCAATGCAGACAAGCAGGTCGGTGAGTCTACCGGTCAGGCGTTGAGCAGAATCTACCTGAAGATCGGCTTTGCCGGCTTGTGGAACGGGTTACCGGTCAGAATCGTCATGATCGGTACCTTGACCGGTTTCCAGTGGTTGATCTACGATTCCTTCAAGGTCGCGGTTGGCTTGCCAACCACCGGTGGGCATTAAGCAAGAGAATTAGAGATGAACGGTATTTAAAAGAAAATGTAGAGCGAGAGTAGAGTAATATTCAACTAGATTGTGGTGGAGGAGCGGCACAGGACTCGTTAACAGTACATACTTTGTGGCCCTACGGAGATTTGGGAGGAAGACCAGAGACCCGGGACAGAATGCACTTCTCCCAACCTAGACCGAACTTTCTGACTTAGCACTTGACTTTATAGACTCGCCTCGTGGACGGCTGCAGATTGTAAGATGTTATCTTGATCAAGCTAGCTCGCTTTGTAAACAAATGACCCACCCCAACCAGTTAAAACGGTTCACCTTCCCAAAACTTGGCAATGTCTAAATGCCTGGTATGGGGCAGAACTGCGATTCATGGCAAAGATCTGGATCTGGCTTTTTATGCCATATTTAGAGAAGTTATGCCAGGATATTCCTCCTTGCTACGATTTAGCTCTCTACAGTTTACCATACCCATTTCTATGCATTGTCTTTCGGTTCTAGCCCCATACGTTCTTAAACAAATCGTCATCCATGCGCACATTCGAGGCCTGTGGTGCAGAGGAGGAGTTTGCCCACTGGTCCTGGTACTGCTGGGGCGGCGGTGACTGGTACTGTTGGGGCGGCGGCGACTGATACTGTTGCGTTGGCGGCTGTCCGAATGATAACCCAGCCAAGCTACTGGTAGACAGAGCGTGCTGCAGTTGCTGAGGTCTTTGTTGGAATACTTGCGACGACGTAGGTGTGGAGTACAATGACAAAATCGATTTCTTTAAGTCTGGCCTTGAGTTTTGAGGTGGCGGCGATTGAAGCGACGCAGTAGACGAGGCTGGTGAAACGGACGCGGAGGAAGTGTTGGCAGCCGGTAACGACGGTAAAGGTCTGTCCGCAGAGCCAAAGTCCAAGTCAAGAAGATTCCCGGCAGCCTGTGAGGTCGGGCGTTTGGGAACTGCACTCGGGGCAGTTGAAACGGCCCGCTGCGGTGGAGTAGCCGGTGGAGCAGCCGGCACCGCCTGTGCCGCCACATTTATGCTTGCCGGGTCTGGCACGGTCTTTGCGGCGGCCCATTTCTTCAAGTCATACTTGGTTCTGATGAAGTTTTCGATCTTGCTGTCGTCCGGAACGTGCGCACCCGGTAAGTTGGCCTCCCAGAAAGCGTTGGCACGTGCGTTCCCCCACTGCACCACATTGTTGATCTGCTCGTCGGTCCACGAATCCAAGTCTACTGATTTGACCCGCGAGATGTGGGTGCCCATGCTGCGGTGGATCCCTGAGCAGCGGATACACATGAAACAGCCCAAGTTCCAGCTCGCCCAGCGCGGATTCTTGGTCACCTTGCAGTCGGCGCAGTATTTGTTAGCCGGCTCCTTTAAGAGCTGCTTGAGAATCGCCTGGTTCCGTCCGTTGTGTGTTCTTGCTCTGGAGGCAGTAGACATGGTAATAGCCAGAAATAATTTGAACAGTGGAGAGTAGTTGGCAAAACCTGTTTATATCGTAGCCGCCTGGGCGTATCAGGTTGGCACCGGGCCCATAACCACAAAAAGCCAGCAATGACTGTGCGGCGCAAGGTAGGCCCGAAGGGTCTGGATGGCTTTGCTTATGAAGAGGAAGCAGGGAGACATTATAATAAGTTGGTAATAGTGAATATTTGCTAATGTTTGAAGTGGTTGTGTGCGCTTTCCAGCAAGGCGTCCGAGGGTGCCCATGCAGGTCTGTATTGGTGTACAATAGAATGCCATGAAGAGGTGCCATTTTCTAGAAACCGAATAAATTGGAGATATAATCTACAGATGTCTTCTGTCGAGTAATTTCATAAATTCAACCATCGTAGATAAAACATTTCGGAGTATATCCGTGGTATCTCTAGCCGACCGGGGGGAAAGCTAGGTAAATTACCTTTAGCCGTGGTTCCGTACCTAGAGATAAGTCACTACTTAAAACGTTGGGGGAGTACGAACCAATTTCCAGACTTTGCCACGAGTCAATGCCTTCTGTTTTTTATTTACCTGAAATCTCACCTTACAATCCAATGGCTTTTAACAGTTATGTCTCTATTTACACGCTCCAACTTCCCTCTTAAGTCTTTTCGTACTTCTTAAAGCACAACGAGGCGTTGGTTCCGCCAAAGCCAAAACTGTTGCACATTGCATATTTCACGTCTTTAGCCCGACTCTGCGGAACATAGTCAAACAGAAAATCAGCCTTGTTGTCCCCCTCTGCCTCACCGGGATGTTCGCAGTTCAACGTCGGTGGCATCTGGCCATGATACATCGCCAAAATCGTGAAAATCGACTCCACGGCACCGGCAGCCCCGAGCAAATGCCCGATAGAACCCTTCGTACTGGAAACACTCAACTCCGGGTTCTCCCCGAACAATGATCTTATCGCCTCGTTCTCCGCACGGTCGCCCAAAAGTGTCGATGTCGCATGGGCGTTGATGTATCCGAGCTCCGAAGGCGGAACCGATTCGCCACCGTGGATGTCGCGCAAGGCACCCTTCATGGCACGGAGGGCACCGTTTCCGTTGGGTGAGGGTGCAGTGATGTGGTGGCCATCGCCACTCAAACCGTACCCGACGATTTCACCGTAGATGTGCGCACGACGCCGTTGCGCGTGTGCAAGCGACTCCAACACCACGATCCCGCTACCCTCCGCGAGCACAAACCCGTTCCGCGCACTGTCAAACGGTCTGGACGCCTTTTCCGGTGCGTCATTGAAGCCTGTGATCACTGACTTGGCTCTGGCAAAGCCCGAGAGCGCTAGCGGATGGAGCGATGCCTCGGCGGCACCCGCAATCATCACATCCGCATAACCGTCCTTGATGAAACGTGCAGCATCGCCGATAGAGTGAACCCCTGTGGCACAGGCCGTTGCTACAGAGTGTGTAGGGCCGCGGAACTGGTGTTTGATAGAAATTGCACCCGTCGCCATGTTACTCAACAAACGAGGAATGAACAAAGGCTGCACGCGGCGGTAGCCCTTCTCGTGAAAAGCGACAGAGTTGGCGTAGGAATCCTCAAGGGAGCCGATCCCGGAGCCCACACACACCCCAGTATGTTCCTTGGCTTCGTCTGATTCTGGGAACCAGTTCGCGTCGCGAAGCGCTTCGTCGCACGCCGCCATCGCGTATTGTGCGAACGGCGCGACACGCCGCGCATCACTCGCGTCAAAATGGTCGTTCACGTCCCATTTGCCGTCGGCTAACAGGCCCCGTGGCACCCTCCCGACAACTTTGGAAGGCACAGACGCCCATTGGTCCTGGTTCTCCTCGATGGTGGTGGTAGAGACGAGACCGCTCTGGCCAGCCAAAAGCGCGGGCCAGACGGTTTTGACGCCTACCCCTAGTGGGGTGACAAGGCCTAAGCCGGTAATAACCACTCTAGATGTCATGGTGGTTAGCAGTTGAGAAGGGATGGGAAGAGGGAGATTGAGCTGGGCTCGGATATATAGGGTCATGCGGCGGGAAAACGCCGGGGCAAAACGCTTAACGCAGTAAGGAATGCAACACGGCATCGGGGTAATACCTTCGATTGCAAAGAGAAGTACCATATTTTAATAGACAGACACGATTAATAATTGAAAGTTTTATTTTATTACTCAGATACCACTAATATTATTATGAGGGGAATAAAAATACTCTACATGGAAAGGGGATGTAGCGACAGCTCGGAGTTTCACGGGCTCAGCATCTATACCTAGTGACCGTACAAGAGCTTGATGCCTGGCAGTGTCAGAGTTATGGACAAAGTACTACGGTATTCTTTTGTGGTCGATTAAACTCAAACCAAGCATCTTATATAGAGTCAATCATGATTTATACCTACTGTTACATGAGCGATGTGATACCCTTCCATGACACGTGACGCTTACATAATCTGAAAAATATTTTCCTAAATTTTTTCCTACATACAAAAAAAACCTAACATACACCTCATCTCCACTACTATAACAACAACCATGGCGGGATCTCAGTTAAAAAGATTGAAGGCCACCTTGAAGGCCAACGGGCTCACCGGGCAGACAAATATCAAGAAGAAGGGAAAGTCTAAGGCGCCGTCGGACACCAGACGCGATGACAAGGAGAAGGTGATCCAGGGTATCCGCGAGGAGTTCAACCCATTCGAGATAAAGGTCAACAGACAGAAGTACGACATTCCTAACAAAAAAGTGCCGGTGGCGAGACCCGGGATTTCAAAGCAGATTGGCGAGGACGAGCGCAAGGCCGCATGGGAGGCGCGCAAGGCCCGTCACAACAAGGTCGGGGGCTTGGTGGATAGACGTTTCGGTGAACACAACACAGACATGACGCCAGAGGAGCGGATGTTGGCTCGTTTTACACGTGAAAGACAGAACGAGTCGTCCAAGGGCTCGATGTTCAATCTTGAGGACGACGACACGGACATGTTGACCCACTACGGGAAGTCTTTATCCGCAAAGGACAGCGACTTGATGATTTCGGACGATGATGACGAGGCAACGTTCTCGCAGAAAAAGAGACAGTACCACGAGACGATGGATGAGGAAAAGCCGGTCAAGAAGACCAAGGCGGAGGTTATGAAGGAGGTCATGGCGAAGTCAAAGTTCCACAAGCATGAGCGCCAGTTACAGCATGAGCGGAACGAAGCTAAGATGTTTGACCTTAATGATGAGTTTGATGATGTTATGGCCGAGTTGAACGGCGTGCCACAACCGAAGAAGCCGATGTTCAGCCAGAGGTCGGACAAGGATCGCGAGTATGACCTCCAGGTGAAGCAGTTGTCTTTGGAGAAGCGTGCGGCACCGGCGGACAGAACTAAGACCGAGGAAGAGTTGGCGGACGAAAGAACCAAGAAGATGAAGGAGTTGGAGGACGCCAGGATGCGTCGTATGGAGGGTCTTACTAACTATGATGACGAAGGTGAGGCCAAGGCGGCCGACGCTGACGACTTGGACGACGAGTTCTGGGCCGGGTCAGATGAAAATGAGGAAGACGGGTTTGTTATTAGAGACTCGGACGCGGAGCAAGAAGATTCAGAGACCGAGGATGAGGACAGGCCGAAGGACTTTTCGGGGCCAAACATCATGAAGATTGGTGACCGAGTCGTCTCCACCGGGACCGCCACCAAGAACGTGCCGACGTTGTGTCCCGCAACCCACGCGGAATTCCTTGCCTCCTTGAAGGACGTGGACTTTGCGAAGCAGCCACGCTACGTGGCTAAGATCCTCGACATCTACAGACCGAACCTTGCGGAGGGTAACAAGGCGAAGATCGCGGTCTTTGGCGCCGTTTTGATCGACCATATCTTGTATCTCGCGGACAACGAGACATCCCAGAACGAAGCCTTGCCGCAGGTGTTGGAGCAGTTAATTGCGCAGTTGCGTGGGATGAGTGACGTATACAACGAGGCGCTCTGCGAGGCGTTCAGATCCAAGACCGACGCCATTCACGTGCGCTTGAAGGAGTCGCAGATCTCCGGCGACACTTCTGTGTACCCGTTGGTGTCGGACTTGGTATTCTACTCGCTCGTCGGCAGCATCTACTCGACCTCCGATCACTACCATCTCGTGGTGACCCCGTCGTTGATCTTAATGGCGGAACATTTGGAGCAAGGCAAGGTTCGCACCTTGCAGGATGTGTTCGCAGGCTTATACATTGCAGACTTGTTTCTCCACTACCAGCGCCTTTCGAAGAGATACTCGCCTGAAGTTACCTCCTTTTTAGAGCGCGCGTTGTTGTTCTTGGTGCCAGATGCCACCAAGATCGATGTTGCGGGCTTGCAGTCTGTAGCCGAGGTGTCTGCCTCGCCGTTCTGCCTCGCAAAGAAGGACAAGGTGGTGCGTGGGGAGACTTTGAGATTGACCCAGTTGTACGAATACGAAGTGACAGTGGAGCTCAAGTCGGCGTTGTTGTTGAAGACGCTTGCGTTGATCGACACTGCGTGTACTGTCTGGAGGGAAAAGACCGCATTTATCGAGATTGTCTCGTCGTTTGTGGTGCTTTTGAAGCACTTGTTGAAGTACCAGGCGCATGTGCCGGAGGTGCTGGTCTTGCTTGAAAAGTTGCTCAAGCTTTCAAAGTTCAGCCAGGACACCCATAAGCCATTGACCTTGCAGAGCCACAGACCGTTGGCTATCGCCACTTACGTACCGAAGTTCGAGGAGAACTTCAACCCGGACAAGAAGTCATACGATCCAGACAGAGAGAGACAGGAGATCGGCAAGTTGAAGGCGCAGCTCAAGAAAGAGCGCAAGATCACTATTCGCGAGATCAGAAAGGACACCAAGTTCACCGCCAGACAGCAGATAAAGGAGAAGAAGGCCGACAACGACGCTTACCACGCCAAGATGAAGCACATCTACAACAGTGTGTCGACCGTCGAGGGTGCCGCCAAGAACGAGTACGAGAGGGAGAAGAAGCTCCGCAAGAACAAGCGCTAGGGAGTTGGTTTCAGTGTATAATAAAGGTAAAGATAAGAGTCGTGTGCGTAATACAAGGTGCTATAGAGATTAGCACATAATATCATATTGTAACCACACGAGATGTTGTAGAAACATTATATGCGAAGAGGTAACTAGGAAGGGCTGAAGGCGTAGCTAGGACTTGTCAAAAGACCCGTCAAACTTGTATGTACAGTGAGACGGAACAATACTCTTCTGTAAGTGAAGTTACCGTGTATATCCCCCATAGCGTGATTACTATATCTAAATCAAAATTTGGGGGTTTAACCCTCCTTCCTTATAAAAATCCTGTATATCTCTTAAATGTCTTTTAAATATCTCTTAAATATCTCTTGGCACCTTTTCCTACCAGAAATCCTGTCATGACGTATAGCAATCCGTACTTTGTCACGTGCCGATAAGATAGGAATCGTGGTGCTTACAAAATTGTATTTTATCCCACCTGACACAAACCGCCTCACATCACTCCTCTCCACACAATGTCAATAAACAACAACACCTTTCTATCGCGGATATTCGGTGCGAACAGCTACTACCCAAATGACGAAGAAGCGCTAGAGAATACAGAGCTCTCTCTCTTCAACCCCGTGTCGGATGAGTTCACCAACCGGTTTGCCCCCCAGCCGCGTCTGTACCTAGAATCGGAGGCAGAGTCGGATTCCGATTCTGATGGATTGCTCAATGAGTCGCGAACGCTACCAAGTGGGACTAATGAGCGAGATAAGACACCAACACGGGGTTCCGTGGCGCCAACCTTCACCACCCCTTCCCTCCCCGCCACATCCACCAATCCCAAAGGCCCCCCATTATTTGGAATTCTTAACAGCCGCTACAAAGCTCCAGAGACGGCGCCGGTAAATGAGCAAGATCCTGTGTTGCCCACGTTTCAGACCCCAGCGCGGCGGCGGAAAACCATTGGATTCCTCTCTAACAGAGAAAAGGCCCTGTGGATGTGGGCAAACGTGGAGAATCTCGACATCTTCCTCCAGGACTTGTACAAATACTACCTAGGAAACGGATTCCAGTGCATGATGCTCTCCAAAACAATGGATCTCTTCACGCTCATCTTTGTCATCTGGTTTTCTGGCTACATATCCTCGTGCGTGGACTACTCCAAAATTGCACACTCCAAGTCCTTGGCAGAGATCCGGATCCCCCAGTGCTACGCGCACATGAACCCTCTCAAGAAGTTCTTCGGGTTTATTATGTTTGCGTACGTGGTGGTGCGGGTAATCCAGGTGTACAACGACTACTACCGGCTCCTGGAGGTGCGGAACTTCTACAACCACCTTTTGATGCTCGAGGACGACGAGTTGACCACCATTTCGTGGCAGCAGGTGGTTGCAAAGATTACGCTCGTGGCTGATGCCAACGGGGTTGTAGCCTCGTCCCAGAAACCGCCGTTGGCGTCTGATCCTACTAAGAAGCAGGAGTTGAACGCGCTCGACATTGTTAACCGCATCATGCGGAAGGAAAACTATATGATTGGGTTGTTCAACAAAAAGATCTTGGACCTCTCGCTCCCCGTGCCCTCGTTTCTCAGCCCCACCAACAAGACCTCCCACCAGTTCCTCACCAAAACCTTGGAGTGGAACTTGAACTTGTGCATCATCAACTTCATTTTTACCGAGCGCGGCCAGATCCACCCCAAGTTCCTTGCGGAACGTAACCGGCAGGCATTGACCGAGGACCTCCGCAAGCGCTTCTTCATCGCGGGCTTTCTCAACCTCGCGTTGGCCCCGTTCATCGTCACGTATTTCATCCTATTGTACTTCTTCCGATACTTCAACGAGTACAAGACAAATCCAGGCAACATTGCCAGCGCCAGACAATACACACCTATCGCTGAGTGGGAGCTTCGCGAGTTCAACGAGTTGTACCACTTCTTCCGCCGCAGGCTCAACCTCAGCTGTGAGGTGGCGGACGAGTACGTGTTGCAGTTTCCGTCGGCAAAGACCCACATTATCATGAAGTTTGTGGCCTTTGTGACGGGCTCGGTAGTGGCGGTGTTGGCGGTGTTCACCTTGATTGACCCTGACGGGTTCCTTAACTTCGAAATCACCGTGGGCCGGAATGTCTTGTTCTACATTTCCATCTTCGGGACCATCTGGGCTGTCAGCCGCAACTCGTTGCCGAAGGAGAATCTTGTGTTCGACCCCGAGCACTCGATGCGGCGTTTGTGCGAATACACGCACTACATGCCTGCCGAGTGGGAGGGGCGGTTGCACACGGTGGAGGTTAGAAACGAATTCACGTCCAAGTACTATGACTTGGAGGTGGTGCTTCTCTTGAAGGAGTTGGCCAGTTTGGTCTTGACCCCGTTTATTCTCTGGTACCAGCTTACCGACTGCAGCGCCAAGATTATCGATTTTGTGCGGGAGTTTACCATCCACGTGGACGGCTTGGGATACGTCTGCTACTTTGCGATGTTTGACTTTGAAAAGAAGATGAAAAAGCAGAGGATGTTTAAGGCTCGGTCCAGAGAGGCGGCGCGTGCAATCCCTAAGGACATCCATTTGGATGACGACTTCTCTCTACGCGAAGATTACTACAGCACCAACAACGATAAGATGATGAAATCGTACATGCACTTTGTGGATAGCTATGGGGGAAACCCTAAGCCCGGTAAAGTGCCGCCGCCCCAGAGTTCGGGCAAACCAGACTTGTTGAACCGGCGAAAGCCCTCAAAGCTCAGAGAGTTGGCCGTTGCGAACAGCACCACTGGCCATTTGGGTGCAGGCGGTTTGGCACCATTAGAGAGCATCCCTCGAGAAGGTGGGATGAACGATAGTTTGCTTGAAGGGTCGTACCAGTTGAATTTGAATAACTTTCAGGGCCACGAGAGCGAGAGCTACGGGGGGAATTCCGGGGTATTAAAGATGTTGCATCAGTTCTATAAGCCCGCGGATATTGGAAGATGACCAAAGGGGTGATGCGTTAAATATTGAAGGCATAAGGTATGTTGGGCATAAGGTATGTTGGGCATGAGGGTCGATGTGTGGTTCTCTAATTGTTTGGGCCCCAACGATTTGCCTATAATCACATGTAAACAAGCTTTTGAGTAGAAAGTCTGGTAAAATTATATAAGGGAAATGACCCCTATGCGCTTGGGTTTACGTAATAAGCCCCTTCAGCTTGGTTATAGGATGGCTCACGAAACCATTTTATTCTCGCATGGTTTCTGTATCAACAAAAAAATACAGTCTCTTATGGAAGTACAATATTATAAACGCTAAAGCAGAGCTCGCTTTCGGATGTCTTAGCTCCTTCCAAGTAGCCGTTCATCCCCACACCCCATTCTACGTGTTCAGCCAAGCCACTGCCAAAGCCTTTTCCAGAGTGACACTCATGCAGGCTAGTGGCACACGACTATAGAACCAACGGTTTCGGGGTCTCTCCTACTTGGAAGCCGTTGAATCAAATACGGCCCTAAATCAGCAAGTGTAAGCGACAGGGGCATAATTTTACGATAGAAAAGAAACGCGTTATGCATCTTTTACGCCGAAGCCCCTTTTTTTTTTCCGTGGCGTGTATCGCAGTTTTATGCACCTTTAACTGACTCTGACAGGATAAGGACTAAACTACTTGGCAAAAAGAAACATTCTGGTTGACTCACATGCACCATGGATGCATCATTGAAATTTTTTCACTCTGGTTAATTCCTCGGCTAGGAAATTGGGCTGCTGACTCGAGAGTCTGAGCCACAGAATATAAATATCCAGCAAAGCGTCTATAGTTAATTCCTTCCTATTCTGGTTGGTTGGACATCCTTCCCCTTCATCATGTCCGATCTTGAAAAGCAGGAGTCCAACCTTGAAAAGAAGGAGTCCAATCTTGAAAGAGAGGTTCGTACCAATAGCGACACCGATGTCGAAGATATTGCCGAAACCAAGAATACCAAATTGAACATCTTGGACCAGCTTGGGTACATGTTGAAGGCGGAAACCAGAGGTGTCGAAAGAGTTCCTGATAGCGAAAGAACCTCCGCGTCCATCTATGAAGTGGCCTCCATGTGGTTCTCTGCCAACTTGGTCATTGCCACCTTTGCTCTTGGGGCCTTAGCCGGCGGTGTCTTTAAGTTGAACTTCTGGACTGCGGTGTTGGCAAACATCTTCTTCACCATCCTCGGTGCCTTGCCCGTGGCCCTTTTCTCCGTCTTCGGACCCAAGTTCGGATTGAGACAGATGATTTTGTCCAGATACTTGGCGGGCAATTATGGCTCCAGAATCTTTGCCTTCCTCAATTGTATCTCAGGGATTGGATGGGGCGCCGTCAACACCATGGTGTCTGCCCAGTTATTACACATTGTCAATAACGGCGCCTTGCCTCCGTGGGCCGGCTGTTTGATCATCATCTTGTTGACCATCACTGTCACCTTCTTCGGTTACAAGGTCATTCACATCTACGAGAAGTATTCCTGGATTCCCAACGCCTTTTGTTTCGTGGTCATCATTGCCAGAATGAAAATGTCTGGTGAATTCCGCTACGGTGAGTGGGCCTCCGGTCCTACTGTTGCCGGTGCGGTGCTCTCCTATGGCGGTGCAATTTTTGGTTCCACCACTGGCTGGTCAGCCTTTGCTGCCGATTACACCGTATACATGCCTAAGACCACCAACTCATACAAAGTGTTCTTCGCCGTCTTTGTTGGCTTAGTGACCCCAATCGTCTTCTGTTTGACCTTGGGTAATGCCTGCTCCATGGGTTTGCACAACGAGAGGTGGGCCCAGTTGTACCTGGAAAACTCTGTTGGTGGCTTGGTCTATGCCGTTTTGGTCGAAGACTCGCTCCACGGTTTCGGCCAGTTCTGCTGTGTGTTGCTTGCCTTGTCCACTGTCGCGAATAACATCCCAAACATGTACTCCATGTCCTTGTCCGCCCAGGCCGTCTGGAGTAAGTTCCACAAATTGCCAAGAATTTTCTGGTCCATTTTCGGTAACGCTGCCACCTTGGCTATCTGTATCCCAGCCTACTACAGTTTTGCTACCGTCATGTCCAACTTCATGAACTTGGTCGCCTACTACTTGGCTATCTACGAGTCTGTCACCTTATCCGAACACTTCATCTATAGGAGAACCTTTTCCGCGTACAATATCGAAGACCACGACGACTTCTCTAAATTGCCAGTGGGTATTGCTGGTGTTTTTGGTTTCTGTTGCGGTGTCACTGGCGCTGTGTTGGGTATGAACCAGGCCTATTACCAGGGTGTCGTTGCCAAGATGATTGGTGAGAACGGCGGTGACATCGGCTTTGAATTGGCTGCTGGGTTCGGCTGTATTGGTTACAACCTTGTTCGTCCGTTAGAAAAGAAGTACTTTGGTCGTTAAATCGCATCAGAGTTTACATTGTTTTCATACGACTTGGGTACGTAACGCTTTCTGTACTATATTTAATGGCATTATTACGAACAGATAGATCTATGCGTCCTGGGCCAAAAAAATCTCGGTTTTGCCCATGTAATCGCTTATTCATGTATGTCGTTAGATCCCCGGGATACAGATCTATGGATCTGCTATATGAGTTTCAGGTGCTGGCTCTTAGAGAGATGTTCACGAAGCTAATATCCAGAACCTTGTGGTTTTGAAATTTTCGACCTCGGACCATGTGGCGCATTTAAGCGGGTGTGACTACCGCACGCCTTTTCCGTTCGAATGTTGCGCTCGATTAACGAAGAGACAAAGCTTTCGTACCGTTTGACGATACGTTGCATAAACACTTTATTAGTCCGGTTTAGGCCTGTAGCATCAGCTAGTATCGCTATTATTACCGGATTAGAGGGCATAAAAATTGGCGCTCCTGATAGTGGCCAAATGAACTATCCAATTTTGACTGATTGGTTTAACCAAAGGATAGCACTGCTTCCTGGATGTAGTATAAGCCCATACGTGCCTTTTTTTACAGCAAAAATAGAGGGTATTTTCACTGGCGGAAATAGGGAGATGATGCACAAAGAGGCATATCATGTAGCGTGCAAACTCCAGTGATGCGTCACCTAATAAGTGAAAACCCAGATGGCGAAAACCCAGACAGAAAACCCAGACAGAAAAAACTCCGTCTAGAGATCTAGAATAAAACTGGCTGTTTATCTCATAGACTTTCCTGGGTATCTGCTGCAGCCCACTATCTCAAATTTAGTTATTGATACATGATCCTTGTCCGCATCTTCCGATGGTATTCCCTGCCGAGACGATCGACACCTACTAGAAGGGATAACCGATCTGTCCCGCCTCGAAAAAATATTTCAGCCTCCGGGGTCGGTAAATATGCAATATGCTCAAAGACATGTGGAAATAAAAAGGTAAAGGTGCCGTATTCTCCCAGTCTGGGTCTCAAAAATGGCAGTCTAGTAATACCCCCAGTATATCTTTGGATACCTTGCCTGGATTGTGGTGAGAGTGGACTCTGGTACCCCATGTGGTGGCCTGAGTGAGCACCGTATAAGCTCCGCCGCATCAGCTGAAATTAATGGGAAACTTTTTTTTAGGTACGCCTGCGTCTTGGATAGCGCACCTTAGTCCAACCAACCCATGTAGGTTTCCCAGGCGTATCTGGCGGATGATAGTAGTCATAAATACACCTTGGATCCCCAGCTGTATCCGTGGCACTTATTTCTGGTACTTATTTCTGGCCCTTTATATTGACTCTGTTCTATAACTCCCTAGTGCTCTTGAGAACATGACTTCCAGTGAAAACAGGGGCTATCCCGCCACCTTTCCCCCGCAGTTTGATTACCAAAAGTCCTCCATTCAGGATATCCTCACGACAGGCACACCTTTCAACCATAACGAGTTAAACGGTCTCTACACAGTGCCAGGAACCAGCAGCGATACAGGGTCTCCCATTTTCAGAAACAAGATTTGTGCCAAGACCCCCAACCATGCTATGATAACCTCTCTCCACCCCGAATTAACCTCCGTCTACGACTACCTCCGGTCGTCGATGAAAAAGTATCTCGCAAACCGGTGTTTTGCTTCCAGGGACTCGCCAGACAGTCCCTACTGGTTCCGAAGCTATGCGGAGGTGGTCAAGGCCAGCGAAAACTTTGGAGCGGGTTTGATGTATTTGATCCATGAGAAATTGCATTTGAAGGATCATCAGCTTCGGCTGAGTACGCTGGACGACTTCGTCTTGGCCATTTCCCTTCCCAACTCTTACGAGTGGTTTATCACCGATTTGGGTTGCATCCAATACTCCATCACCAATACCTCTCTCTACGACACCTTGAGTCGGGCCCATATCGAGTACATTTTAGGTTTGACCAAGTCACCTGTCATGGTTTTGTCCCATGATAAGATTTTGCCGATCTTGACCACGATCTACGAGAGCAAGCTCGCGTTCATGAAGATCTTGGTGGTGAGTGACAGGAAAACGGTCGATAACGTATCCTCTTTCTTGCTTCAACTCGCCGACGATTTGGACATTTCCGTCTACACCTTTGCTGAACTCAGCCAAATAGGTGCCGAAAGGCCAGTGGAGCATATTGCGCCAGAGCCAAATTCCATCTATACCCTTTCCTTCACCTCCGGGACGGTTGGTAACCCAAAGGGGGTGGTGTTGACTCACCAAAACGCGGTAGCCGGTTTGGTTTCGCTTTTCTCCGCTGCTACAAAACCCAAGCTCGCAAACCCAGACAAAGAAAACTCCAAGGCGTTATGCGTCTTGCCGTTATCCCATGTGTACCAGCGGCTTATTTGTGTGTTTGAGATGTGTATCGGCTCCACTATCTACCTTCCATACGACCAAACTGATGCGAGACAGATCATGGCTGACTTGTACGATATCAAGCCGACGCATTTGGTCGGTGTGCCTCGTATCTTCAGCCGTGTGGAAGCCGGGATCTCCCACAAGATCCAGAACCTGGGGTGGGTCACACGGTTCATCCACGACAGGGCCCTTGCGTATAAGAAGGAGAGGTTTTTCAAGGATGAGCAGGTAACTAACCATTGGTTGTACGATAAACGCTTCGTTAAAAAGGTCAGGGCTGCCCTCGGCTTAGAAAACTTGCAGCTCTTGGTCACCGGCTCGGCTCTCATTTTGCCCGACACCATCAGAAAGTTGCGATCGTTGCTCAACGCAGAGTTCGTACAGGGGTACGGGTTGACGGAGTCCTTTGCCACCATTACCATCTCGTTCAACGAGGACGAATTTCAGCCCGTCTCTACCGGGTACATGTGCTGTACCGTGGAATTCAAGCTTGTGGATTGTCCTGAGATTGGGTTTTCGTGGGAAAAGAACCGGGCTGGTCAGATCTTCCTCAGAGGGCCGCAGATTGCCCTGGAGTATTATAAGGATCCGGAGAAAACCGCAGAAAACTTTGACTCAGACGGGTGGATGCGCACAGGCGATGTGGCGCGTCTAGACTCCGCGGGGAGAATACAGATTGTGGATAGAGTGAAAAACATGATCCCCCTTTCCCTGGGGGAGTGTATCTCGCCGGAACAAGTTGAAAACATCTACTTGCAGACTTGTCTGGATTTGCTTTCTCAAATTTACGTGTACGGAACGTCGACACTGTCCTTTTTGGTCGGGGTTCTCGTGCTCAACGAGGCCGTATGTTTGGATCTATTCCAGGAGAGTTACATCCCGGCATTGCAGAGCATCACATACATGGACGAAACCAACCAGAAGGAGCTCAACCTGAGTATGAAAGTGAAGCAGTTTATCCTTGCTTACATTAACAAAAAAGTGATGGCGTCAAAAATGGTTGAGGAATACCAGCAGGTGAAGAATATCTACTTGTACTTCAACAACGACAGCAGTGAAACGTACGAGAGAAACAATATGGATAACAACGGATTCACGGTGGCCAATGATTTGTTAACGCCGACAATGAAAGTCAGGAGACACGACGCGCAGATCTTTTTTGACAAGATACTCAAACGGTTGCTCGAAGAGGATATTACCGGTTGATTCCCTTTGTTTTTAACCGGTATGTATTCCCCGTATGTGTTCCACTCTCCTAGGAACACGTAAATGACATCTGCCCTACCCGTAGGTGCCATTATAAGGTGAGCGTTTCTGCTCCATCGGTTGGTACCGGGTCAAGAATTCTAAATCAGTGATATTAATTGAAATTAAAATAAGGATACAAAAACTGAAAAGCGTACAAAAGAGAAATTGGTAAAAAGGACGAGAAAAAGTGAGGATTGGGCGATGAAAATAGCACGCATTGGGATTTTACTTTTTTTTTTTTTTTTTTTTTTTCATATTTTCTTCCCTTCCGAGATTTTTAACAGTGTAAGGAGTCATTAACACGTTCATTTTGGGGTTTTGTAGAGACTACAAGAAGTAATCAGGGGTCTTTCTGGTGACGGTAGGCTCGCCAGGTCTCACGGATGGATCGTATTGCAAGAATTGACGTTCGTGGTTTTCGTCCACCTCCATGATGGCGGCTTGGTTGCCACATCTGTAGCAGTAGTTGGGAGCAGAAAAGATGGTGACAACTAACTCCTGGTGGGACCAGGAGTAACCCTCCATGACCAACTGATGGGCCCTGGCGATCAACGACAAGTCGTTGGTGTGGTTAAACTGTTCGGAGATATCCTGTCCAAATGTGAAACCAGCACCTCTTGGAGATATACCCCATCCACCACGGTCGTCCGGGTCCGACCATAATAGATCACACATCGGACCCTCGTGAGGAACCTCCTGGACTCGGTTCAAGTCTCGGACCTGGTCGATGGTCTCGATCATTGGAGACAAACCACCGTGCAAACAGAAGATCTTGTTGTCAACCAAGGCGGTGATTGGGAAGTAGTCAAACAAGTCGGTGAACAACTTCCACACAACAGCGGAACCGTACTTTCTCAAGCATTCGTCATAGAACCCGTAGACCTGGGTGATCTGTCTGGATTCGTGGTTGCCTCTCAAGATGGTGATACGGTTCGGGTATCTAACTTTCATGGCAACCAAGTACGAAACGGTCTCGACGGAATAGTAACCACGGTCGACGTAGTCACCCATGAACAAGTAGTTGGTGTCTGGGCACGGCCCCCCAATCTTGAACAATTCCATCAAATCGTGGAACTGGCCGTGGACGTCACCACAGATGGTTACCGGAACGGCGACTGGCTGCACGTTCTCCTCGAACTGCAACACCTCGATGGCCATTTTGCACAATCGCTTGACGTTTTCTTCGGACAATGGCTGGCACTTGGACAACTGGTCGATCCATTCGTCTAACTGTGTGATGTTGGAGGATGCATTGGATTCGGTAGCGACGAATGCTGTGGCGGTGCCCAAAGATGGGTCCAATTGGTCTTGTACGGCGTCTTCCATTGGAACGTCAGAGTCGAAGTCCATATTGAAGCTTGTTGGGTTGGGTTATGCTAGAGAGAGAGGAATAACAAGTGGCAGACAACAAAATGGATCTGGAAATGGGATCAACGGGTGTTACTCGGTGGAAATGGAGTTATCTATACGGGGTTAGTAATGTGCGCGCTTTGGAATTGGATGTGCTAAGCGACGGATTCAGCCAATAAACGAGGCCCAAGTAGGGTAGCTGGAGACAAGTAACGGGAGGGTCGTTGGAAGTCTGATTCGCCTGTCTTCTTCCATCATCCGATTTAGCCTCTAGCTTATCGCATTGGCGTGCTCAGTCCTGCTTTTGCTGGATCGCCACGGTTCCTGGAAAACTGCTTGTCACGCCCACGTTTTACCGGCAGCAACAAAACACATACCGATTGAAAGCCAGCTTCAATAAGCAGAAAAGGAACTGTATATTAACGGAATAGACTGGGCAGCTTGGTGTATACTAACGTTAATATGGATTAGTGATATATCCAAGTGTGTCGATTGGCTTGTTACGATGGGAAGATATAGGACGCTTTGGCGGTAGGCGATTGTTCGCTGGCGCCGAAAATCGCTTTACCGTGACGTTGATCGTGTACTACGAAAAAAAGGGATAAAACTGAGTGCGAGACACGACCTACTAGGTGTCACGTGTTGATTTGTAAACGTGCGGCGAGCCATCTGCACGGTCGCCCGATTAGGCAAGAGATAGGGTAGACACAGAGAGGCAGAGGGAGAAATGGAAAAGTGTTACACAAAGGGGGGGAGGTGAAGCAGCAGCTCTCACGGTGAGTATCCCGGATAGTACGGTCTGCCAGTATCTTGGCAACAATGTATGGAACAGCCGGTTCCCCTGCTCGATTTTGTTGGAATTTACCGGTGCCTGTTGACTTCCAATCCAATGTGAAAGGTCTTGTCACATAAGGGGTAAAGCTTGAATTTAACCAGGCTTGAAGAGCAATAATCTCCTGTAGTAGCTATTGAAAGCTACTTTTTTCTCGATAAAGTTGCAAGAAGGAAAAAAAACATGGAGTTTATCCACGTTTTGGTAAAAAATTACGGCAATACATCAACGATAAATCGCATGTTGGATACTCAGGATGGAGACGAAACATACCCGACATATCCCCCTTACCGGACGGGGCATGCCAAGCAACGTATGACCAATGATGTTGGTGTCCCAGGCATTTCTGTGAGCACTCCGCCGGTTTTGGACATACCGAGTGCCCGCCAGCTAATATTGAAAAAATCGAATTCTACGGGAACAAGGGCGCTTCACAAAGTCATTGAAAGAGCCACTGGTGACAGACAAGAGGTATTTATCCTAAAACCACTGTTACTAGCGTATGCGAGACAAAACTGGGAAGGCCAGATGCCCGATGTCTGCTTAGCTGCTGGGCTCCCGCCCACTTCCTCGCATTTTGTTGAAGTCGATTCTCCCTCACAGCTGCTCGTCCCTGATCTTCTCACTTCGCTGGTATCGTCGGGGGAATACTACAGTCCTCTTGTGGCAAACCCCCACGAGCCACCTCATCCCCAACCCGAACCGCATGGGGACCCGTCTGGGGGCGTGAGACAGCAGGTGGTTGCCAACAACCAGGGTAGCAATCTGTATCTACCGGTGATCTACTCCAACGATTCATATGTCACCACTTTAATGGAGGAACGGTTGATCCGCTGGCGGCCTCCAAACTCCCAGCACAATGTTGACGAAACGTTCAACGAAAGGCACCCATTTCAGTTGACCCAGCTGTTTCTTGAAGTGGACGAAAGAGCTGGGGCACAATCGAGAGGTAGCAACACCCAAGGATCAATGCTTAGTGGGGTAAGCGGGTTGATGGGCCGAATTGCCGGTATGGTATTTCATACTGATTCTACTGGTGTGGATGACCGAGAGACGGACGAAGTAGCACGGTTTGAGGTTGAGGAAGATGCAGCTACGGATGCAGTTCTGCACCCAAAGAGGGTTCGATTCAACTCCACGACCCTAGCACCTGACCATGCAGAGTTGACTGAGGATGAACTGGTTGAGGATGAGCCGGCCGCTGAGGATACATTCAAACGGCTCAGGTTGGATAGATTTGGACCGTTTGATGCAAATACAGAATTTAATGCCGAGGCTATGAATTACCAGGCTACTATCAACAGCGCCACCTCCTCGTTTAGGCGACTGAACCTTCCTACCGCAAGAGGTGTACCCGTATTAAACGACGAGGGTTACCTTAGTTACGCGTTCCTTGAGGGAGAAGATGGAGGTGGGGAGAATGGGCCCGGCAGCAAGTACCCACAGGAACCTGAGTTGCCCTTCCAGCAGGGTGGATCTGAAGGAGGGGAAAGCTGTGTTGGGTGCTGGGACGGACTTGTGCTGTGCCTATGCAGATAGGAACTAGACCATATCCCAAATTGTTTCTCGCGACGTTGAATTGCTACGGGATCTATATGAAGGCTTTTGAGTTGAAATTCGTTAAATGTACCTCTATCGAAAAATGTAATATGCAAGAGAAATAGGTTCGTCTCTGATAGTGGCATGTACACGGGCAAAGTGCTGGGTAAAAAGAAGCCATCGCTGTTGGGACGATTAGATAAAAGGGGGGAGCAAAAAAGAATTGAAGGAATATGGTCATGAGAATAAGAAAAGCACTGAGGGCTGTAAAATGTATAAGTGGTTCCACAGGGCTAGTGGAACCCCGGGGTGGTGTCGATGACAATGAAGACGTCGTCCAAGCACCCATAGCCGCTCACAGCGTCGTTCCATCCACTCCTCGTGGTACCGGTGAAGCGAGAATCAGTGATAGACAAGCTGGTTTTGTTCTCCATGGTTGGCTCAAGGTGAGAGAAAAGAGTGGAGTCCGGGGTTGGAAGATGCGATAGAGGGTGGGAAAGCTGGAACTGAGGAACCTCAAATGCAGGGGAAGATCTCTTTGAAGAAAACTCCAACGTCTCACTGTTACGCTTGCTGTTGCTCCGAGTTTTTCTTCCTCGGTGGGAGTCTCTGCACTCGTATACAGACGTGTTACCGGGGGCGTACGAGTGTCTGTAGTTGTAGAGAGGCTCCTCTTCTGGGTTTAGCGAAAAGTAGTCGTTGCGGGTAGCGACACCCACACTTTTTCTACGGGTATCGGTGACTGCAAGGTTGGTTCTACTGACGTTACCGCTATGAAACTTCAAGGGGCCTTCGGAATGTTTGTTGGAAATGGAATACTGCGACGTGGAGCGCTTAATCAGGCCTAGCACTTTCGACACGAAGGAGGGGGATCTGGTCATACCTGAAGTGTCCTGTGGGAGATGGGGCTGTGGGATTCGTGGTGTCCTTTGCGGTTTCGGGGATGGAGTCGATGATGTAGTGTTTGCGGCAGCTTTCTCGGACAGGTTGTGAAACTTGAACGGGAAGAGCTTGGTAAAGGATATTAAATGCATTGTGACCTCTCCGGACGAAGCGAGGTGAAGGGGGTGAGCTATGTCTTGTTTTAGAATTCAAACTTGTCTAGGTGTAGGGACATCTACGCATTGGTGACGAGGATTGATTAGAAAAATATCCACTCTCCAGAACCATGGTTATATGTCTGACACAAACAGCACACAAGAGCCTCTTCCAGACGGTCGTTTACAGAGCGCATGTAGCATGGGTCTTGTACAGACGCGGGTCGTCTGCTTGACCCTTGCGTGCATATTTGGCCGGCATACACATCGATTGGAAAGGGTGAAAAACCAAGTAGAATCCCGGTAAAATTTCGGGCTGTGCCACTGGGAGGTCTGTGTAAACCAGCGTAAGAAACCCCCTTTAGGCAAGTTGCTGGCTCTGAGTCAATTCTTTGCTGGTCCTGGTGCTACAAAATTGCCGCTATACCAAAAGACAAAGACGGTTTGGAAGTAAGGGGTATTGTGGTGCGGTGTTAACACGGATTTCACACCGCTAGTGTACCGAGCTGCCGAAGACACACTTTCTAAATTCCTCGGCTGCTTGGCATATGCTCCTGCTTCCGACCGAGGGTTAGGCTTTTACTAGAGCAAAAAAAACCCTTATTCGCCTGCTTGGGCCTAGCAAGACCGCTTTGAGAAGCTCGTAATTATCGGCTGTAGAGCTCCTGGAATAAGCTCTGGGTGTGAATCTGATAGTTGGAGAAGGAATCTGCATAGTCCGGTACGAGGCGCCTACAGATTTTGGCAAGACGAAGCACAAAATAAGCGCACATAACATCCTCCGGCAGGGTAGGAACCCTGTACCGAGCGAGATTCAAACCTCTCGTTTTTCACCAGCTTTTGTCTTGGCGCGTTGAGCTATGACGCACTCAGAGAGAATAGAGGATGCTGCAAGATTATACATAAAAAAAAAGCTTACGGCTAGTGCTTCACAGAAGGGTTGATATCGCACTATTGTACGAGACTAACCCACCAGGGTGGCTGGGAATCACAGCAGTGAAAGGCATTGACTTTCTGGGTTACGCAGTATATTACGTAGTCATATATGGCACCGGTCATGTTAGACTAGGCGCTTCCATATGCTTGGCAGTGTTAGAAATGTTCCTTAAACCTGATTATACGAATAGAGAACCGGAATGGTAAAACGCGGCTGATTCCGGGACTGCTAAACTTCGGAAGGGTTTTTATAACCGGACTCCGAAAGCAAGCGATGTACGTCAAACTGCGACCCTGATCCCGTGATTTTCCCCAGCCGGGTTGGTCATTTGGAGGTTAATTCTTTAAATTCACTAAGAGTTACAAATCGTGAATGTTATTTATACAAGTTAACTAGGTTCGGTTGTTTGTAGGAGAAATAGTGGCAACCCCACAACGACAACTGAACCCGTAATTAGCCGTGATATAGAGTATAGGCTGCGTGCTATAACCGGAATGAATCCGTTATAAGACGGTCACAGAAAGGCGAACGGTAAATGCAACGTACAAAAAGTCTGCATATATGCATGTCCTCTATTGCTCTCAGAAAGCTTGCGACACGCTGCGAAAGACAGATTGTCGAATTTACGGTCCAACTCTCACTTTAAACCGTTCACGTATCAAATACTGGATCAAAAAATCCGTCTCTATACAAGTATGGCTTGTATCCCTACTTTCAATACTGACTTAGGCTTATGGAAGTTTGTAAACGTACATGCGGCTTTGTAGGCGTTAAGGTTGCTGTTTGGTGCCAGATTTAGGTTTCTATTCTCTGCCTGGCATTTCATACATGAATACGGCCCTGAAATCCCGCAACCTTGCTTGCTACATGAACCGTTTAGGTATAAAAACTCGAGCCTTCCCCGGAATCACGATTCTTTTCGCCCTAAAACTCAAACTATTATCATGTCTGACGACAACAATCAACCAGAAAAACACCCCCACTTGGATAACATTGGCGGAATTGCCGCGTCCGTAGCCGGTAGTATTGCCGGTGCTGACGTTGCCTCAAAGCTTGGTGCTGGCACTGTTGGTAGCATCGCTGGTTCTGTTGCTGGTTCTATGGGTGCCAACAAGCTCACCGACGAAGTAAGAAATCATGAGGACGAGAAATAAGCGGACTTAGACTTAGGATCTTTCAACAGCATATATATATATATAATAATTAAGTTATTCTTACAATGGAAATTTTCCTCAGTTATATCTTATGAATCATAAATAAAATAATATATGTAACGTATATAATACATTAAATGTGTAGCTGCCATGTAACATTTCATGGAGCCTATGAAGATCCTGCATATATCTTCTGAAGCCTATGAAAAAAGAAATGGCGACATTGGCAGGATTCGAACCTGCGCGGGTAAACCCAAGACATTTCGAGTGTCTCGCCTTAACCACTCGGCCACAATGCCCAATTTCTAAAGATCCAATTTCTATCAGTGATCCCTGCACCCAGGAAAATGTGCTACAGCTGAGAAATACGATAGTAAAGTTTGTAGATAACAGGCATGTTGAATACAGATGGCACATACATTTATACCTTCTAAAACAACCCCTATGTTCGTAGTTAAAGTGCTGGCCAGCCACCAGTCTTGATTTCACCGGAGGGGCTGCCATTTATTGTCTACCATTGTCTGTATTGATTCTAATCGAGACAACTGAACATGATTCAAAATTACATAGAAGTCTGTGATTGTGTAGTTTCAATAATTTGTGAAATCTAATGGCGATTGAGTACGTTGGACGGGGGTAGAATGTGGTGCGCGGAGGTACCCCGTAGCTGACAAATTAAAGCCACAGCGTTGCACATATGCCACGCGGCATCAACAGTTATGGAATAAGTACCTGCATCAGTAGCCAAACAAGGAATAAATTAGAACGGCATGGATTCTTGTTATGGTTCGGATCGGTAGCACGAGGAAAAACCGTGAACACTTTGATGACAAATGTGGTACAGATCTACGTCTCATCTTTCTAGAAGCTTCGAGAGCGTCATCACATTATGCATGTGACCCCGCATACGCACTGTCTATACTCCTCTCACACTTTTGCCCCCCAAAGGAGCTATAAAAACGTGAGTTTTCCTTCCATCTTTCATATCCATTTTCCTGTTCTATTATCAATAACAACCTCCTTTTCCTACTACAACCAAACAATGAACTTCTCTTATACGCCCCAAGCCTTCTACGTGCCAGGCCAACGCCACTTCCAAGCGACAGCGCCTTCCGCAGGTGCTCTAGCTTCATTGTTCGATCCTACCGATTTTTTGAACCATATTACCCGCTCTCAATATACCCGACCTTCCTCCACCCCAAACAGAGTGATTGTCACCAAAAAAGACGTTCCTCCCCAAATCAGTTCCGACCACTTGGCCGATGGCAGTTACCAGGTCAAGTTAACCAAGCCATATACCGATCGGTTCGAAGATTATCATATCAAGTACTCTACAAGACAAACAACTAGCGAGCTAGAGATTATCTCCAAGCGTGATAATGTCCACCAGATCTACCAGTTCGACGCAAGCGACTACGATTTATCCCAAACTACTTATCTGGTTGAGGGCCACTCCTTGCTTGTAAAGGTTCCACGTGCCGTTAATATTGAGGTTCTGCGCCAACAAGCCTTCAGCAGAGCGGAGTCCAAGAGGCACGAACATGCTGCTTGTGCCAGAAAGGTGGAAAGACAGCAATTGGTGGCGAAGGCCCTTCAGGAAAAAAGTCGGAGTGAGCAAGAGAACGCTCGGAGGACCGCTAACGCTGCTAGAAGAAACGCCCAGAGAGAGGCGGATGATAAATTCAACAAAGAATTAGAAGGTCGGCTCCAGGAGGTTTTTTCAGGATTTTTGAACGGGGTTTTATCGTTTGCCGGTGAGTTTAACCAGTCCGAACGTGAAAGTAAGCCAGAGACTCCAAAGACCGAAGAAACGTCCGCAACCAACGATAAGCACGAAGAAGAGTTTTCTGACTTGATTGAGGATTTCTTGTTTAACACTGTCTTCGGAGCCGTCCCCTCCAAGTCAGAGGAAAAGCCGGAATCGACGCAAGAAAAGGATTCTTGTAAATGTGAATCATCTCAATGCACCACCGCCAAGAATACCGAGCACGCTTCCACAGACCTTCAATCTGCTGAATTAAATTCCCTCACCAGCCTGGCGGATAATTTGGATGACGCTGAAAGATCGATTGCCTCGTCTGGTGCGTCAACTCCATCTGTAGCGGCTGCCGAGGATGAAGGCGAGGTCACCGGCCCTGAACCAGCAACCGTCAATTCCCCTGTTGTGGTTGTTACTCAGGATATCGATGAAGAGGACATTGTCCTTGTTTCTGCACCTGCAACACCTGAAGGTGAAACTGCCGATGAGGTGTCATCGTCAAAATTGTCCCGCCAGCCATCCCTTGAGGAGGTTGAAGACGAAGAGTTTAAGCAAAAGCATTAGCTTCTACGTGATATCCTGACTGTTTATGTTTTCCTCATTTCCATTTAATAACCTATAACTTTGATCATACTTGTAGAAACCTTAACCAACATGCAAGGCGATTAGCTAAAGTGCTTAACACCTGAGATCTCTGTTCGAAGGAGTCATTGACGGGGAGAAAAAATCAAGCCTGACGCGCACAGCCTTGTAATTGCATCGTAAAAGTTACATGCTCCGCCGATTGAGCTGGTCAGATCACTGTTGGTCATGAGGTGATTAGTAATCCAGCAGTCACTTAGGTTTACATTCCTCCGATTAAAGGCTTGGCCATGAACGGCTAAATTTACGGGGCTATGTTATTCTCGGATCTGAGCCACCAGTTACACCTTTCTTACTCTAGTGCTACACTGGGATCTTTATACAAGCCTGTATTTTGTTAGGAGAATGGTTCAACCGGTGACGTAGACGTTTCAGGCATATACAGCACTAAACCTTCATTAAATCGGCTTGGTAACAACATAATGGGTTCCCAACACTCTCTTAATCCCCTTCGCATCGTACATATCCCGCTCTCTATCCACCTTCGCTTCCAAGACTGCTTCGACTTCAGCCTTGACCTGCAGCTTTTCCGTTTCAGGAAGCGACGTAATGTACGATCTGGTTTCCCAGTAAGGATAAACCAAGTCCCAGTCGATCCTATCCAACCTGAAATAAAAGCCCTCTTTAAGGATAGGGGTGAAATATTTGTCTTCGTAGGTGTTAAAAACAGTGCGCCAGTTTCCGTGACGGTATTGTGGCACGACTGTGTCGCGGGCGGCGATGATCGGAAACATACCGAGCTGCCACGGGGCATTGGTAGCAAAGACCTGCTGCGAGATCTCGTAGGGAGCGGTCTTGCTCACGGCTGTATTAGCGATGAGCTGGGAAACCTGTGCGTGTAAGTGCTCGTCGGTTTTGATGGAATACGGAGTATTTTCGTGGGACAAGTTTTGAGGCACAGAGGGGTAGTCGAAGTTCCAGATGCAGGCAAAGCGGCCGTTTGGCTTCAAAACACGGGACAACTCCTTTAAGGATTGCTCGTCAGAAAACCAGTGGAAGCCCTGGGACACAAAAATGGCGTCGACGGAGCTGTCAGCCATGGGTAACTCGTAACTTGAGCCGAGTCGCGCATCTACCGATGGAAAATTCTCACGGAACTTGCCCAACATTCCGGTAGAGGGCTCTACGATGATAAGGTTGGAGCTCCCTTTGGCTCCCCAGCCGGCATCGATCAAATTGCGGGTAAACTTCCCAGTCCCCGCGGCGAGCTCAAGAATGACTTTTGAGTGGTTGTACTCACGAGGACTAGACGCGACCCCGGCATCGACCAACAAGTCGTCAACAAACACTTGGGGAAAGTTCGGTCTCAATTGGTCATATAACAAATTGTTCTCGTTGAAGGAGTTGATGGCAGTTGCATTAGGCTTGGTGGACATTGTGCGAATAATCCAGGATCTGACGGGTTGAAGCCTGGTAACGGTGTGGAATGTCCTCAACGCAGGTAATTGCTGTAACATTTAGCGGAAAATGTTTATTTATAGGGCTAACACGTAATGTTTCAGTATCCCGGTTAGTGAAGCAAGGCTTTATGGTGTATTTACATTCCCGAGCCGGAGAAGCTTTTCAGAGTTGTGTATCCTTCATGCAGCAACAGTCATGCATGGTGAAATGCCTCACTGAGGGGTAACATCACGTGACATGATCATAGGCCTTCAAGTGTGATTCTCTCCTTTATTTTCCAATGGTTACAGGAGACTATAACATCTAAGCTTAGGTTTATGCTATGTATATAGTTAGATTCGCGTATAGGTGTGTCTAGGATCCCTGCAAGGCGAAAGAGCGAAGAGAGTTAGGGATTGGAAGCAGTCGAAGTTCTGCAGCAGGTTTTTAGGTGTTCGGACCTGCAACACCTAGTTTAAACGTGGAGTGACCCTCGGATCCGCTATCGGCGACATGAGAATTTACCCAATGCTGCTTGGGCTATCTCTGCAGTTTGACCGGTATCCGTTCTTAAATGCTTGATATAGAGAGATCAGGACTTCGGTAAGGGTTAATGCTAGGGAGGCTGGGTAAAATTAACACTGACAAAAACAGCTCTATTAGAGGTGCACATATGCAGCCGGATAAATGATTACTGTGCGGAAGCTTTATTGAGGCAAACTCTCATCCAGGATGATATCCGCCGTACTACAAATTTGACAATACCGGGCCTCAGTATGCAGTTTCCTAAGAGAGTTGATAGCACTACCCTTAGATACAGCTCATTACCCGTACGTAAGGTCCGGGTCATGGCAAGCCGTGAATGCTGACATATCATATGCATGGGACACAGTCACGCCCGACAGATGATGCCATGGCGGGGTCCATGCTTCCACACTAAAGCATATATTTAACCGAATCTTATGTTTTGGACTCTGCCGGTAAGCGGTTGGAGGGGCCGGATTATTGCCCCTCAGAGAAGGTTGAATTTATGGTTTGAATCTCAGGGACGTTCTCAACTAGGAGGGAACTGCATAATCTGTCCGCACGAACCGGTGTGATGCATGCACCTTCAATTAGGTGGCGCTCTTGTATAAAGGCCGGATGTCGCACACACAAGATCTCTCAACTGTTCCCTTCCTCTCGGTTGACTCAATTCATATATCCCTTAATGTCTTTAATCCCAACTACCGCTCCGTTACAATCTAAGCTAAAGCCCGTGCTTTTCGTCCATCTTGACGCTGGAGAAGCCATTCCAGTGGTGCAAAATGCCACCCAGAACCTTGTTGTGGTAAAGTTGACTGGTGGTTCAGTCAAGTCTTTGGACACCAACTACCCGTTTGAGACTGAGATTTTGTTTGGTTTTGATGATTTGTCCACCGCTGCCGGAGCCACCAGAACCACCTTGGATTGCAAGATTTACTTGCGGACCCCCTCTGGCGCTGGTGTGTACATGACCTACAGCGGTGTCGTTGAGATGGCAGGCAAGGCTGCTGCGATTGCAGGCAACCAGGGCGAATCTCATATGGAATTTGAAGAGGGCTACATCACCGCCAACCCGAAGTTTACGTTGGATGGTAAGGTTGAGGAGGAGTACAAATGGGTCAACGACGAGATTTTTATTGCCAGAGGGAGATTCCTCAGGGATACCGAGGGGAAGTTGAAGGTGCAATACTACGTTTACATCTACGACCACTAGACTATGAGTGGAAACGGTATGCAGGTTCCGGGGGGAACTGACCTTGTTTAAAGTTTACAATAATGACCAGTTTATATTGCGAGGCAAGTTGTGTACTGACGGAATGGCCAAATTACTTTCGTAAAATCTATTTTTATTTAAAACACAAGGCCTGAACTTGGGAGAGTTATTGGCAATCCAGGGGGGAGGGGAAGACGCAAATGGTCTCAATATACGAGTATTCCGTTTACGAAGGAAGAAGCAGCATTGTGCGAGATAACCTAAAATTGACTGTATTCCTACCACCCGCCAATTATAGTGTAATTTTCCGACAAATTTCGTTATCCATGCCTTCATTGACCTAGTATATAAATAAACAGAAAATATCCTACCATAAGAAACTTTGTAGTACTCGCTTCGTCACTCTAGGGGGTACTTCGCCAACAGGAGGTTCACAAGGAGTGCAGCATATTTACATTTTTGCCTAAGCATTCATAGAAAACTTGCAAATTTACATCAGTTCACATAGCACTGGAATAAAGCTTTGAATATAAATAATCTGGGGCATAGAAACTGGAACCACTGACCGTAATTTCATGAATAATAGGTTACAGTGTAAATTACATATTGCCTCTAGCTAAACCCTCCCCAAGCGTATGATTCAAGACTCAAAAACTTGGTGAAAAGGCCAAATTAAATTGACATCCCTGCAAAGTGTAAACCGCCAAGATACTTCATATACTATCTAACTCATGTTTCATCTACTCCCCCATACCGTGAATCCCAATCTGCAGGTTCCCAACCCGTAGAATACCCCCGAAGCTTGGGGAAAGAATAAGAGCCGCACGGGCACATAACCCCACTATCGCAGTGACGGCTTCCATTCAATTTAGGTGGCACCGCTTTCTGAGCTCTGTCACTCCTCATTTGCTCTCCACCCGACAGGACCTGATATACTTGAATCACCTCTATAGACCACCATTCCTATGCTACTCCGTTTCCGCACCAAAGATGGGATGTTCCGTGTCCCGACACAGCCCACTGATGACTTCTTGCTCCCGTTGGAAGACTTGCTCAAGAACCACATCAAAGCGCCCAGTCTTGCGGAAGTTTACATCAGCAATTCCCAGAGCGCCAGAGGAGAACTTGCTGCTGGGCTATGTGGAAAGACCGTCACTGATTTGGGATTCAAACACGGCGACATGTTGTTTGTAACCTATCCAGCGGATGCTGCCACATCCAGCACGCCGGTCAATGGCGTTTCTGCCCCTTCGGTAGCTATTGCAGGCATCTCAAAGGTATCAGAGCCGCTCAAAGTCACCCAGCTCCCGGTGGACGACTTTCTCCAACTGCAAACAGGTATAATCCCAGTGCCAAAGTCGCGCCTCTGCCGCCACAACGACGGGGGTATGTGCGAATACTGCTCCCCACTTCCGCCCTGGAGCAAGATCTACCAGGAAGAACACAAGATCAAGCACATATCGTTTACGGCTCAGCTCAAGAAGCTCCTTGATGGCAAGAACGCGGATGGCCACTCCACAGGCGGCCAGGGAACGAGCTACGTGCCTCCACTCGATGCCTCCAACTTTACGGTAGACTTCCAGTGTCGCAATGGCCACAAACCCTACCCGGGAGGTATCTGTTCCAAGTGTGTGCCCTCCGCTATCACCTTGCAGTTGCAGCAATTCCGTATGGTGGACCACGTGGAGTTTAGCGATTCCACCATTGTTAACGATTTCATCGAGGCCTGGCGTATCAGCGGATTACAACGTATCGGTTACCTCTACGGCACGTATGAAGCCTACGATAAGGTCCCATTAGGGATCAAGGCTGTTGTACAGGCGATTTACGAGCCTCCACAAACCAATGAGGGCGACGGCTTGAAGTTAGAGGCGTGGGAAGACGAGAAACACGTGGATGAGTTAGCGAGCAGGTTGGGAATCTACAAAGTTGGTGTTATTTTCACTGATTTACTAGACACCGGCAAAGGCGACGGAAGCGTGGTGTGTAAACGCCACAAGGACTCGTACTTTTTGTCATCCTTAGAAGTGCTCCTTGCCGCCAACTTCCAACTCGCCAACCCTAACGTCTCCAAGTACTCAAAGTCCGGTGTCTACTCTTCCAAGTTTGTTACATGTGTGATTTCTGGTAACGCCAAAGACGAGATTGACATTGCCGCGTACCAGGTGAGCGAGGCTGCTGAGGCTTTAGCCAAGGCCGATATCGTCACCGGGTCCACCCACCCGTCTATGGCCTTTATTAACGAGACTACCGACAAAAGATATGTACCGGAAATCTTTTATTCAAAGCGTAATGAGTACAACCTTGTTGTCAAAGAGAACGCCAAACCGGCCTTCCCAGTGGAGTACTTGTTGGTGTCCTTGACCCACGGCTTCCCAGAAAACCCAGAGCCGATGTTTGCGAGCAAGAAAAAGTTCCCGATCGAGTACAGAGGGCATGTGGGGGTAGCACAGGAGATCCGCGATATTCGGGCCCAGGTGGGCAGTGACGTGGGTGATGGTGCTGGTTTGAAGGATTTCCATCTCTTGGCGCACTTGCAGTCCATGGACGTGTTGTCTGGCGAAGAGTTTGGGTTGGTGGGTAAGTTTGTACAGTCGGGTAAGTATGAGGATTATTTGCAAGTAGTGCAGAGCCCCGGCTGGCAGACGTTGATGGCTATTTTGAGCTGACAAAAAGACAGTTAATACAAAATATATCGAATAGAATGAAATATAATAAAGGATAAGGATGCCGAAAGGAGTATCTCTTGTATAATCGGCAATACCAGAAGTTATTCACAAAGCCAACAACTTAAGGCAAGAGTGTGATGTAAATTTGGTTAAAATTTTGGATTATCCTACGTGCTCCAGGCCAACCATAATGTTTGCAAGTACCATATATAAAACCTGACATCCCACACTCAACAACCCGGTCCATCCGCCTAAAAGCCAATCTTGGTTTTTATTTAATTGTAAGTATAATATTAGAGGCTAATCAATCGTGCAATTCTTGGCTGATGTACGTGACTAGTGAACCATTGGCTCTCGCTCCTGCCGGTGCCAAACCTGCAACCGTGTCACGTACACCAGCCAAGAATTGCACAATTGATCAGCCTTTGCCACATTTAAGACACTCCCTTTTCCTATCCCAGAGTCCACGTATAATCTCCCCTTTTAACAGCGTATTTATCATCTATTTCTGAGTCAAATAATCGTGTGTTGTTGTGGAATTTCGGCAAAACATACATTCCTTTGTAGCCCGTTAACGCTTCCCACACTTGGCAACACCATCTTGCATAAAACCCCTCTGTGACCAAGTGGCATTCCTCTATGCTTACATAAGCATAACTATGATCTCTCCTGCACTGTGTTATACCTGATCTGGCCATAACAAGCGCTCATCCACTGTCGTGCTAATTACACCCTCTTTATTTATCCCTTTTGGACATCTTTATTAGAAATATATCTGGTTGCAATAGAAAAAAAAGAACGAGAAAATAGGGATTCTTTTGGCGTGGTAACCACAATTTCACGCCTTCATTTCCAGCACCTTCCAGCACCTTCTCTCACGTGACAGTTTTTCTTTCTTTTCTCCTTTTTTTTTTTTTTTTCACCCAACAGCCGGCGCCTATTTTCACGTCGGTATATTAATCGCCGTTGGCTTCCGCGAATTCACCTTTCTCTTCTTCCCCATCCAAAATACAACAAAATGTCCGTTCCATTTGGTCTCGATTTAGGTAACAACAACTCTATCATCGCCTGTGCGCGTAACAGAGGTATTGACGTCATCGTCAACGAAGTCTCCAACCGCTCTACCCCAACCTTGGTTGCTTTCGGTAACAAGAACCGTTTCATCGGTGAATCTGCCAAGAACCAGCAGACCTCCAACTTGAAGAACACCGTTGAGAATGTCAAGCGCATCCTTGGTTTAACCGTTGACCACCCAGATTTCCCAACCGAAGCCAAGTACGCCACCACCCCATTGGTTGCTAAGGATGGCCAGGTTGCCGCCAAGGTCAGATTCGCCGGCGAGCAGCAAGAATTCACCGCCACTCAGCTTTACGCTATGTACCTTAACAAGATCAAGGCTATCACTGCCAAGGAAGTCAAGGGGACCATTTCCGACATTGCCCTTGCCGTTCCAGTCTGGTACACCGAGGAACAGCGCCGTGCTGCCTCTGATGCCTGTAAGATTGCCGGCTTGAACCCAGTCAGAATTGTCAACGAGGTCACTGCCGCCGCTGTCGGTTATGGTGTCTTCAAGGCGAACGACTTGCCAGAGGACGAGCCAAAGAAGATTGCCTTCGTTGACATTGGCCACTCCACGTACACCGTCTCTATCTGTGCTGTCAAGCGCGGTGAATTAAAGGTTTTGGGCTCTGCCTACGACAAGCACTTCGGTGGCCGTGACTTTGACTACGCCATTGCCGAGCACTTTGCCAAGGAGTTTGTCACCAAGTACAAGATCGATGTCCACGAGAATGCCAAGGCCTACTCCAGAATCCTCGCGGCCGCCGAAAAATTGAAGAAGGTCTTGTCTGCCAACACTACCGCGCCATTTTCCGTCGAATCGGTCATGAACGATGTGGATGTGTCTTCCTCGTTGACCAGAGATGAGTTGGAAGAGTACGTCCAGCCATTGCTCAACCGTCTCCACGTTCCAGTCGAGGCTGCTTTGAAGGCTGCTGGCTTGACTGTTGAAGACATTGACACCATCGAGGTTATCGGTGGCTGTACCCGTGTTCCATCCTTGAAGACCAGACTTACCGAGGTCTTTGGTAAGCAATTGTCCTTCACCTTGAACCAGGACGAAGCCATTGCCCGCGGTGCCGCTTTCATCTGCGCCATGCACTCCCCAACCTTGAGAGTCCGCCCATTCAAGTTCGAAGACTGCAACCCATACACCGTTTCCTACTTCTGGGACAAGCAGGTTGAGGACACTGACCACATGGAGGTTTTCCCATCCGGTGGCTTGTTCCCATCCACCAAGGTTGTTACTTTGCACAGAACTGGCGACTTCGAAGTCGAAGCCAAGTACACAAAGTCCGAGGAATTGCCAACCGGCACCAACCCATTCATCTGCAAGTGGGCCGTCAAGGGCGTTGAAGTTGCTTCCGGTGAAGAATCCGTTGCCACCAAGCTCAAGTTGAGAAACGACCCATCCGGGTTCTACACTATCGAGGAAGCCTACACCTTGGAAGAAAAGATCGTCCAAGAGTTGGTTGACAACCCAGAAGCCAAGGAAGATGACGAACCAGAGTACAGAGAGGTCAAGAAGTTGGTTAAGAAGGCCGACTTGCAGATTGTTGAGCAATCCTTGTCCGTTGGCGAAGCCGCTCTTGCCGGTTTGTTTGAAAAGGAAGCCACTTTGACCACCCAAGACAAGTTGATTGCTGATACCGAAGACCGCAAGAACGCTTTGGAAGAGTACATCTACGAGTTGAGAGGTAAGATCGACGAGCAGTACTCTAAGTTCGCTTCGGCCGAAGAGAAGGAAAAGCTCTCCGGGTTGTTGATGAAGGCCGAAGACTGGTTGTACGACGAAGGCTACGAATCCACCAAGGGTAAGTACATTGCCAAGTACGAGGAGCTTGCTTCCATTGGTAACGTAATCCGTGGCCGTTTCCTCGCTGCCGAAGAGGAGAAGAAGCAGGCGTACAGATCCAAGCAGGAGGCTGCCCAGCAGAGCTCTTTGTTGGAGAAGATTGCCGCTGACCGTGAAAAGGCCAAGTCTGCCGAAAACAACGATGTTGAAATGGACTAAGCGTTGTTCATCTGTAGAGTACGCCTTCTAGTGCGGGCACTTTGCTCGCACCTTATACATCTTTATGATATTTAATACACTATTTGGTAATATCTATTTGTAGCGAACTAAATTCCGGGCAAAGGCTTCTGTCTCTACTCCAAACTATTGGGGGGGTGTCCTGCGGCTTAAAACCGAAGGTGTGACCTTACCCTACTGGGTTGAAGTCTTTCCATGCTCTCAAAGGTTCCTTACGCTTCTCACATATACAGCTTTGACTCAAACTGCAAGGTTGCGTAAATATTGCGTAGACGGTATGAAACATTGACCCGTCTCCGCATGCGGGGAAATAAGAATAAAAACCCTAACGCATGAAGACAGCGTAGCTAGACGAGCCTTGGGTTAACTCCTTGCAATCCCATGCGATATATAAACATTCGCATGTGCCAGCAACTCTGGTTGTCATCTAAATCTGCGTGTCAGCACGGCATTTTGCGATGCAATGCGCAATTTTAAATGCACATTTCTACATGAGAACCAAGTCGGTGCTCATTGAGTTAGATATTGCTGTAGGGCCCTCGGAAACCCTTGCTTTTAGCAATTTGAGACACGGAGGTAATGTGCCACGTATGCAGCGTTTGAAAATTACGCCCGTGAATACGGTGCATACAGCTCGCAGATATGCACCCCCCAGAAACCAACAATCTGTTTCTGTTGATCGGTCAAAGGCAATGCCGATATAAAACTCATAGCATATACCACTTGAAATGCTTTACACTCGAATATCTGAGTGTGACGTGTCGCAGCTATCCACATGCCACCGGATGAGGGCTCTCGAAATTTAGCCACGTTAGCTTAACAAACGTAAGGTTTGGACGTGACGCATGCATCGGGACATAACAGGGAGTAGATCATTTTAGTCACAATACATCCGAAGCACAGCTTGTAGAGTCTCTTGTCCAACTCTAGCCCGTGTGGATTCACAAAAGTCCAGCTAGATAAAAACTAAAGCAATTCTAGTCATGATCCGATTTTCATTCATCTGTTTTTTTTTTATTTATTATTCATTTCACCTTCTTGTTTCTTGTCTTGCTTTTTGTTTATGTTGAATCTAATATTTAAGTGTCAGCTAGCCGCGAGGTGGAACCAGGGCCACCTGCTTAGGTATAATCACCTTGGGCTTGTATGGGGAGAAACCACGGCCCAGAACGTATATCCATGCTTCTACGATACAACCGGAAGTCACGCTGTGGGCAGATAGTATACCAAAAAGGTGCCCAATTCACCTACGGACTATGTCGGGTCGGAAATATTTATCTCCATTTGTACAATGGCCAAGATTCGCACTAGTGCGGCACCACTGCGGTGGATGCATGAGAAAACGGAAGTTGGCTTTGATCGGCTCCTACGGCGCTTGGAAGATTTACCGCCTACATCACCCCCTGTCGACGATGCCTATATATCTGCATCCGTCTTGTTGTATAATACTTCTCAACTTTACACTTCCTACTTATCTCAACTATGAAGTCTGTTTCCATTAAAAAGCCGTTCCTTAACTTCAACTCCTTGTTGGGTGAAGCTCCTTGCTACAACCCAAGAAACAACACGGTGTGCTGGGTCGATGCTCTCGGCTCCCAGATCCACAGAATCCAACTCTTGCCAAACTCTGACAAGATCGCTGAATACACCGACGAGCAAATTGCGGAAGTTACCAAGACCCATGAAACTATCAGCTGTAAGGGTGAGACCATTGGCTCCATCGCGCTCACCGCGGACGACAACGTCTTGGCTCTTAACTGGACCCAAGGGTTCGGCTTTGCCAGCTTCAAGACCAAAGAGCTCATTGTTAAGGATCACTTCCCATTGCTTGCTACTGACCCAATTTTGAGAATGAACGACGGTATCATCGACCCACACGGAAACTACATTATGGGCTCTATGGACAAGCACGTCGCTGCAACCTCGTCTGAAACGTCCAAGTTGTGGCGTATCAACACTGACTTGTCCGTCGACGTGTTATTGGAGGGTATTGGGATGTCCAATGGGATTAACTTCTTTGTGGACCCAGCTACCGGTAAGCTGCACTTGTTCTACACTGATACCCTTGTTTTCACCATCTGGAAGTTCGACTACGACCCCGAATCCAGAACCTTGTCTAACAAACAGCCACATATCAATATCGTTGACTTTGTGCCAATGGAAAGTTTGCCTGGGTTGGATGGCTTCTCCATCACTGACACCGGTGACATTTACACTGCCGTTTGGGGTTCACACGTCATTCTCCACTTTGACTACGATGGTAAGTTGGTTGGGGAATTCAAGTTCCCCGCTGCCAGAGTCACCTCCTGTACCTTCATGGGGCCAGCAAAAGACGAATTGTTTGTCACAACTGCCTCACTCAAGATCCCAGCTGAAGATGGTGTTGACACCAGCGACGTGAATGATCTTGGTGGAGCGCTCTTCAGAGTCAAGTTGGATGGTGTCAAGGGAAATATCAAGTGCGGCAGATGGGGCGGTAAGGTAGATGTCTAGTGTTTTGATATTGTCTGGGGTCATTAATCCTACCCCTTGGATAGACCCCGGATGTCTAATGTATGTACTCATTTCAGCAGGACTGAGATGCACCTTTTTTGATCCCACTTATTAACCTTCCTGTTGCATAATATGCTGTATTCCTACTTTTTCTCGCCCTTTCCGTTATTTATTTCTAATTTGACCGTGTACTAACAACCGTTTTGTGTAAATTGTAACATTTCTTGGCTGCTCGAAGCTTTGTCGATTGGCATTATCCGGCAGGCAGTGGCATACTTGGTTTAGTACGATTCTGGCTACAAGTTGATATAAGTGGGGTTAAACTGTGTATTATGTCTTTATTCTCACTTGTCAATGATCATGGTATTTACTATCTTGAAGCTCTTAAGCTCGTCATCCTCGATGAGTTCAGACTGACTTTTTGGACAAAACAGCGTTCGCTGCAGCTGGAACTGAAACGATCTTTGGCTTACCTAAAGGGAAGAGAGCTAGGAAATGCGAGTAGATTCTGACGAGACTGGAACTCTACTTGCAAGGATGAGACTAGAGATATTTTGGAAATTTAGTCCGGATAATTAAAATAAACCGTGAGGTCCAACAAAAGAGCTCACCAAGTAGGTTTGGATATTGTGCTGGGCCTGTTACAGTTGTTGAATTAGCCTGCCCTGCTCTTTGGACTTTTCTAATCCGCTCAGCTTCCCTGACCTTTTTAATTCTTTCCAATACTCTGGCCATCGTTTGCTACTATCCCTCTAGGCTGAACCCTACCTCTGTTTCTAGCCTCCAAGGATTCTAAAAGTCACCTTAGTTTCTCGTTACTCGGCTAGGAGTAATCGCTTATGGAGCAGCTGCCCGCGGACCCCAGAGACATAAAGCTCTAACCAAGCACGTTATATCCACCGCTATAGGTAACCTGGGATAAACCGTATTCATTAGCACCAAATTGAAATCTCATGGCAGGTAGATCCTGTGCTGGCCGGATCTTCTACTCGTTGACAGCCCTGGGTTAGTATAATTTGATGTGATTTTCAAAAACATTATTAGCGGAAGGTGACTCGGAAATACTGACTTAGTAGTCATTTGGTAAGTACCTCAGGGTCACCTGTGATTCCAAAACTATTTTTCAAGTGACAGCCAACAGAATTCAGAGCTGCTGGCTCCCCTTATGCTTTAGTTAAGGTATCGCAACAAGGTGCTGAGGTCACCAGGCATGCGCAGGAGTTGTAGTTTCTAGATGGCTGTTAGAAGCCATATTGTCATCGGGTATATATAACACATATTGTGTAGTAAGAGGCGTTTTGGTAAAGTCAAGTTAATTGTTGGAGGACGAACAACCGGAGGGGTGAAAACGGTGGCACTAAGTCATATCTTAGGCTCTGTAGAGGAACCTGCATAAGTAGCGACATTAGTAATGTAGCGGTTTGGAGCTCTGCAAGGAAAATCCCAGGAACTTGAACACAACCCATAAATATTGAGTTATCCAAGCAGCAGTGAGAAAGGTGGTATGACTCCCATTTTAGTGGAAAAATAAGTGAATCAACTTCTCATGTTTTTAAATCACGCACGATTCTAGCAGTGCCATAGGGGTAAAAACAATCTCGGAAGGGTGATTCGAACACCCGATCTCAGGATTTCAATTTACCATTACAGTCCCGCGCCTTAGCCAACTTGGCCACCCCGAGTCGTGATGTATGACATCAGCCGAATTGAGATGGTATTCCGCCAGATTCGTGTCCACTTACCGCAATACATGATTATAGGTATCTTCTTGACACTAGTGCTAGGAACTATGTTTAAACCCAGAAGTTGGAAGCAAACGAAATAAATTAATAAACACAATGTCATAAAAATAATATCAGGCATTGCCAAACCTATCTATTGGCTGCCCTGGGCCAATTGCCCTTCCAAGCTGTTCATCTGGACCTCCTCTCTTCGTATTTGTTGGCCCTTTTCTTTCCGTCTACAGTCAGAGGAAGAGCCGGCATCGCCAGAGGTTCTGGATCTATATGAAATAATCTCTTCTTCGATGATTTCCTCAATTTCATCATCGATCTGGGGTAATAACAAGTTCAAAAACAAAGCGATGAACCCGGTGATGGCAAAACCAGTCTCCATTACAAGTATAATCGCATTGAAAAACCCAGTCAATGCGTGGTTGTTACCCGAGTATGCGAACACGTTGTCGAACCAGTTTGGCACAAGCGTGGCACCCATGCCCGGTAAGATGGCGGCGGTCAACACGAATCTATCTCTTCTGGAAAACTTGGTGGACGAGATAATTCTGATACCCGACACAGCAACCGACGTGAACAAAAAGGTGGTCATACCACCCAAAACAGCCTTTGGGATGGCCACCAAGGCAGCAGCAAACTTGGAGAAAATTCCCATAACCACGAGGAAGAAGCAGCACCAATAGCCCACCACTCTATTAGCACACTTGGTGATGGAGATAACACCGTTATTCTGGGCGAACGTAGAGAGAGGCGTAATGGTCAAAAGCCCGGCAAGTAACCCGTTAAACCCGTCGGCAAGAATACCACCCTGAACACGGGACTCGTACTCCTCACCCTCAACTGGCAACCGAGACACATCTGACGTAGCAGTAATATCACCAATGGCCTCCATCATCAACACGATATACACCGCTAGCATTGGTAGGACTGCAGGGCCGTACACCGTCAATTTAAAGGTATGGACCCAAAGGAAAGTGGCAGCTGGAGCGATGTCGATACCAGAACGGTCGAAATAATTACAAGCGGCAGCAACGATACAGCCCACGAGCAAGCCAACGATGACGGCGCAGGATTTCATGATTGGGGAGCCCCATTTTTCGGCAATGATGATGGATACGTATACTAAGAAGCCTAAACCAATAAATTCGGCGGAACCCCATTCCAATGGGTGGGGAACCGAGGGACCAGCTGACGGACACATCTCACCGACACAGCCAGAGCCTCCAACCCAATCTTGGAATCCCGACTCAATCAAATCCACACCGATAAGCAACACGACTGGTCCGGTGACAATTGGGGGGAACACCTTTTGCAAGAGTTTGGCCGGCAAGAAAGAGCAGGCGATTTCTAATAAAGCACAGCAACACGCAGTGCCCAAAATGCTCCCATATCCATCGGGACATGGCAAAAACGTACCATCGGCAGCAACAGGGCAGGCACCGGTCTTGTACATCATAGGAAAAGATTTTTCAACAATCGTAATCGTCGCAAAGGAGGTGCCCACAACAGACAAGAGCCCAGTTCCAAGGTAGTATGGGGTCTTGTAGATGTGGAAGCGGGTGATTTGGATCGAAGAAAGTATACCAGACGCAATCAACGAGGCACTAACCAAGTATTGCGTGATTTCGGTGTCGAAGTTTGCCGACAGGGAAATAATCAATGGAGGGGTAATGATGCCTGCCAACATAGACAATGCGTGCTGCAACCCCAAAATAAACCCGAGAACGATCGGCATATCGGAGTTGAGACCAAAGAAGGGCTGGATCTTGATAATCTTTGTCTTGAACGGAATGTCAGGCACAAACAAGTATTTGTAGTCGTAGTCGCCGAGTAAGCCTTCCCTGGTGGACCACTTGCGGGCGAACTGTCTGCCCTTGCTGGCAACAGATTGCATAAACGTCATCTTTTGGAGAGGTAAAGTATCAGAGCAGATATAACAGCGAGTTCTGATTGTGAAAGGTGAGACTCAAAGAGGGTACTTTGAGTGAGGCGGTGAGAAGGTAAGGCTGTGTTTGATAGAGGAAGCCCTGTTACTGAAACCGGTGCGTATGTGTATACAGGAAAGAGTTGTGTCGCAGTTGTCTGGCCTCGTCCATCATGACAGAGAGTGAGAAAGATGTCCTTATATACTAGTTTTGCAGTATGCAGAATCGTTATAGACAAATGCTGTAGTTATCTGTACCATGTGAATCTCTTTATCTGCCTGATATAGTCAGGTGCGTTTTACCGATCGCGGAGGAGGTGCATAATTTGGAGATATTCCATGCCGTTGATAGCGTAGATTACCAGAGAGCTGCGGCTGGACATGGGTGAAAAAGGCCTGACCAAGCGGTATTCGTCAGTCACAATAGCATTTTCTACCTTAATCAACGAAACAATATGCCCGTTGAAAGATAGAGGTTTAAAATTATCCAATTATAATCCAATTATAGTTTGTCACGGGTAAAAATTAAATTCTGCTGTCCATGACGGTGCACCGCTCAACTAGCTGATTTTCCTTGGAACTTTAAACTTATAACGCACCCTTCCCCACTTCAGATCTGCCCAATTCACAATGAGGTTCCACAGACAAACTCGCATAGTGCCCCACTCGCTGGCGACCCGGAGCCTTCGCTGCATATATCTCGGAAGACTTGGGGGCCCGCCTGTAACGTGAGGCTTGTTGTTTGTCTTGTGAGTCGTGAGTGATTCCCCAAAAGAGTGGCTCTAGTCAGCTCAGAGCAATCTGGTGTCATTGATGGTCATCCGTCCAGCCACGGAAATGAGGGTAAAATGACGTATTGTTACAATGGCTTTCAAGGTTCAAGGCTAAAGCTATTTTCTCAATGTAAATGCAGTTGATGGCCATAGAATGTAACTAAGGTTAAGAGTCTGCACTGAGCCGAAACGATAGCAATCATAAACTGTATCTTTCGGCCATATCCGAGAAACATGGTTGTATGCATGTCTGGATTGTACTTTTGAGCGGCAACGGGGTACAAAATACAGGATGAGATGTAACGTCTAAATGGGCTGATTTACTTGCACATGATTTCGAAGATAGAGATAACACATGACACATCCATAATCTGATGCAACCTGATGTATTAATTTGAAGATTAAGGCTTTGCCCGAGATGATAGCAATCCTTGAATTACGTTTTCTCGAGGATATAATCTGTTGAATAATAGAATTTACTTAATCCCGTTCCGGGTAGCGTTTCTACATGCACATAATTTGGATAACAGTATTATATAGATGGTCAGCTATGTCTATCGGGCTATAGCCAGAGCTTCCTATTTGTATAGTAACAACTAATACGAGAAAATTTATTGCCAATATAAATATTAATCGTCTGTAAACTTACATCTTGGGTTATATATTATAGTTTGATATAACCAGAATTATATACGTATATAATTCACAGGGTTTATTCATTTTAGAGATAAAATATTCCTAAGAATTTAAAATAGTTGCCGTTTCATTGAATAACTCACCCTTATTAATACTCGTGTTTCTACATTACAATCAATATTGTAGTGTACGAATCGAGTTGCGAGTTTTAGAACCCATACAAGATCGAATTACCAGGCTGTTACATCCTGCAGATATCCATTGGAGGATCTGAAAACCGTGAGCTCAAACCAGCTACGTCTACCATTCCTCGAGAAGCGCATGGCATAATGTCAGATTCCAGATCCAGTAAAGTTGAAGACTATCTTAGGGCTTTGAGCCCCCTCTTTACAAGTGCTCTTCCGTGCGCCACCGACGAGTATGGCCTATATATTCCCAATCTTGACGCGTTATCCGTTGCCTTGAGAGACCCTGACAGCCGGGAAGCGCCATTGCTCAAAGACCGTCTTCCTTCTTTAGTCCAAATTATCAACGAAATTATGAGCTCTTCCCTGCCTGATTCTACTACGCACGAGGGCATCTTGGTTTCTCTCTTTAAGGTCTTGATCAACCTGACGGCGGACAACAGCCTGAACTCCAACCTTGCGTTTCAGGGCCAGAGGGAGTTTTTATGGAAAAACATATCCAGTAATTTGCAGAACTACAGTGCTTTGAATTCAATCTTGGTAGTTGCTGTTGCAAACGCGATAAGGATCTCCCAGAGCGCTTCCGAAGAGGAGTGCCCTCTTTCATGGAATTGTGACGATCTTATGGAGGTGTTCAGTCCGTTAATCGTGTATACGTATCGAAAGTACCAGGAAATGGACGTCACGATTGAGGATTTGGCTAGTGAGCTAGAAAGTATTCACCACCTCTCTACGCGGCTTTCCAATGTCACTTTGAGTTTATCCGTTGACGACGAATTGATGAGCATGGCTGACGTGTTGTTGAAGGGCATCGATCAAGCGAATGTTAGAGAGGGTAAATTCATCGTGGATGATGAGGTGTTGAGTGAAAGTTTGCAACATGTCGCCACTGCCATCTACACCATTTCCGCATATGAAGCGCTTCATAGCATGCATCCAGCCAGGACTCTCAGCGTGCAGACGACATTAATCGAAGCCTGCCGCAAGCTTTCCTTGATTGATGCCGATAGACTTGAGAATGCGACTTTAATCAATAGACTGGTGTTTGCGGCCATCGGGCTCGTCTCATCGCTCCCAACCAACACCAATGAGCCCGAATTACCGTTAGCAGTTAATGAAATTATCAACGCCGATGGAATAGCCACTCCATACTCTGCATCGGCTGCCTGTATTATTTTGGGGAACTACATTACATCGCGGGAGAAACAAGCCTCGTTCTTGAATGCCACCCTTGGGGCCAACAAAAATGCTTTCATGGATGCGTTGCCTAGACGTTTTGGCGAGTTCAACGACGTGGTGCAGTACCAGGCCCTCCATTTGATGCAGTTCTTGATTGAGGATGAGATCCTCTTGGCGAAAATCTTTGAGCATAACTGGCAATCCTTTGTCAAGGCGACCAAGATTGTCTCGGACAACCGTCAATACTACCAGTCCATCGCATCGCAACTTCTCGCAGTTCTTACTAAGCTTGTGCCATGCATTGACAATGTTTCGTGGGTGGAAGCATTTGTCACCGATGTTTTTAACGCGTCGATCCATAGTTTGGTGACGGACGATGCATTCTCTACTGAATCTGTGAACCTTGAACAGGCATTGTTGTCCAAGACTATTGGCTTGCAGGCGGCCCAGACTCCATTTTCGGCTGACTTGATCGTCACAACCCATGCTTTGATTAACGAGGTGTTACAGTTGCCAGACACCGGAACGATCAGCTCATCCGTGATTATGGCCAAGATTAAGTCCGTGGCCGAGGTCTTACACACTGATGCCTCGTTGCTACTTACACATGCCAGCTTAGCTCTGTTCCTAGAAAAATTGTATGTTAACATGCTTGTGGAAGAAAACCCTGTCTCATCCGACTTACTTCCACCCGAGAAGAAGGCCTTGTACAACAATTCCAAGTTTATTGCGGCCAAGGTGTTGCAACATGTCACCGCAGTGGAGTCCGAAACTGATGACACTAGGGACTTTGAAGCGTTGAAAGCTGCCGCGAGTCTGGTCTTGAGACTTTAGTTGTATCCCCACTAAGGTGCACTTCAGACCTGTGGGGTTATTTGAGTACACCCTTTATTGAGTTGTAGTTTTTGAGGATGAAAATATACAGGTTAGTGTCAGTAAATATTACGATACTGGGCGAATCAGACAATAAAATAGTATTGTGAGATGAAAAAAGGCAGATCTGTGCGGCATTATAAGCAAGACGCCAAAGATGGTTGGTCCAACAAAGAAGATGGGAGCCAGATGGGGATTGAGCCTGTCAGAGTTCCTCTAGGACCCCGAGATTTAGTCATTGTTCGCTAAACGTCGCTCCATTGAATCTAGGAGCGTGGTGGCCCCGCATGTTGGATCAGCTCTCCTAAACGAGACCCTGACCAATCAGATAAACCATCATACATCCTGCGCACATGCCCAGAGTGGAGTCGGACGTTTTGCCCGATACTAGCAGTCATGCGCCCGGCGGTGTCGATCTTCATTTTCCGGTCGTCCCGGGGACTTGTCGAAGCAGCTGCACGAGGTGCGTTAGTAGGGGGGAACGCACCGTTTTTCTAGACTCGGGTATTCCGAGACCGGGTCCTCAGCTTGACGTTCCGAGCGACGAAAAATTTTGGCAAACCTGTGTCACTGCCGAGATATAAAAGTAGGGGTTAAGCACACCGATCCTTTCAGTTGATATTTTCCCTATTCAATTACAACATGTCTGCTGAATTAACTCACCCAATGGTCAAGGACGGCTGGTTTGCCGAGATCTCTGACACCATGTGGCCAGGCCTGGCCATGTCCTTGAAGGTGGAGAAGATCCTTCACGTCGAACAGTCCAAGTACCAGGACGTTCTCGTCTTCAAGTCCACCAACTACGGCAATGTGCTTGTCTTGGACGGTGCCATCCAGGCGACCGAGAGAGACGAATTCTCCTACCAGGAGATGATCACCCACTTGGCCATGAACTCCCACCCAAACCCAAAGAAGGTCTTGGTTATCGGTGGTGGTGACGGTGGTGTCTTGAGGGAGGTTGTTAAGCACGATTGTGTGGAGGAAGCTGTCTTGTGTGACATTGATGAGGCTGTCATCCGCGTCTCCAAGCAGTACTTGCCAGACATGGCCCAGTCTTACTCCCACGAGAAGGTCAAGGTCCACATCGGTGACGGGTTCCAGTTCTTGGCAGACTACCAGAACACCTTCGATGTCATTATCACCGACTCTTCCGACCCAGAGGGCCCGGCCGAATCGTTGTTCCAGAAGCCGTACTTTGAGTTGTTGAAGTCTGCCTTGACCGAAAAGGGTGTCATTACCACCCAAGCCGAGAGTATCTGGTTGCACTTGAAGATCATCCAGGATTTGAAGAAGGCTTGCCACGAGGTTTTCCCAGTGGTTGAGTACGCCTACACCACCATCCCAACCTACCCGTCTGGGCAGATTGGATTTATGGTCTGTTCCAAGGACAAGGACGCCAACGTCAAGAAGCCAATCCATGTCTGGGACAATGCCAAGGAAAAGAAGTTGTTGAGGTACTACAACAAGAGAGTCCACGAGGCCGCGTTTGTGTTGCCGACTTGGGCCGACGAAGCTTTGAACTGCTGACCGGAATCATTATATATGAACAATAGGGGGTAGCCTATTGTTAATGATAATGACTATGGGCACAATTTTTTTTATTCGGTTTCTTATGTATGCTTCCAGCAAGATTTCCCTTATGGGTTTATTTTTTTTTATTTTTTTTATTTTTTTTATTTTTTTATTCATTTTTTTTTTCATCTTTTAAGTCTAACAAATTTTGTTTATCTTAGATTATGTAAATTATCTGTAAGAAGCGCCAACTCAAATGCAGTAACTGCTTATCCAATATGTTTATTCAATATGTTTATTCAATATGTTTATATCGTGGTTGGCTAATTCTCAATTGAAGGGGGAATAGTACCGACACAATTACTATGTCTATCCAAAATACCATACTTTAGACTACAACCAGAAGATTTGATCTAATGCTCGTTCAACAGACTAACCTAGACTGAACCTTTAACTAATAAGGAATATATACACCAAAAAGGGTTCACAACTAAAACAAGCTAAAGCAACCATATAACAGTTTCAGATACCAGATTAACCCAATATTTAATAAAAGTCGAGCTTGGTTTTTGCTATTCGCCCCTACCTGACCATTCTTTCACAATTCATCTGTACCAGAAAGCAATCCCCGCTGACGGACCCCTCTGATATAGAGCAGAACCAGGTTGTATCATCCACCCCAGATTATGCTAACGACAAAAGGGAAGGGAACGACGAATACAGTTGGCACTGAAATGAGAATGCAGATATAAAACAATAGAATACAAAGAATACAATTATAAATACAAGATACGCCCGGCAACGAGAACATTCACAAAGAATAGGGAGCGGCCACATAACTACCCGGAATCCAGAGACTGAAAATCCATAAACAGCAACGGGAACCACGCTTTCAGGGTTTACTTCACCTCCTTCGACCACCCCTCAATATCCTCGCCCGAACCCGCCAATGGCCGCTCCAAAACTACATTCTCCAAGCCAATCGCGTCGCTCAACCATGGGTGGTTCACCATCCCCCCTGCGTCCGCACGCTTCTCGGGGGACAAGTTCAACATCGGCGAAAGGAAGTCGGTAATCTCGGCTGCATCAAGGTCGCTAAACTTGTACTTTTCTGTCAACACCAACTGCAAGCCCCACGGCTTCAATTTGGAGATTTTGCGCAACTGGCCGCGCGAGTTGAAGAACTCGCGCACGTGTCTTCCTGTGTTCAACAAGTTGTCAGGGATTGGGCCCATCAACTCAATGATCTGCGCAATGTGGTCGTCGTCCTTTCCGTAGGAGTTGCCCGAATGCGGATCAAAGAGATAGTCGCCGGTAATGAGCTCAAAGATTAAACATGCGAATGACCACACGTCCGCGGAGCAACCCCACGCAGCGCCCAACAACACCTCGGGTGAGCGGTACTGCCGCGTCTGGATGTCGTTGGTAAAGTGTTTCTTTGTCCAACACGCGTTGCCGAGGTCCGCGATCTTCACGCTGAGCTGCGCCTCCTCGGACGCTGCGAGCGGCGAGGGCTCAAGCTGTTCCGGAAGGCTATCTGTGATGGACATGGAAGTGAGAGACGACTCGAGGGTCGGGTCGGTGGTGTCGTGGGCCGTCGGAATAGGAATCTGGTTAGCCATGTTCACCATTGGCGACCCGGAGGCCATGGAGTTGGCCCGCACGAGTGGTGCCTGCCGGAACGACTGCAACGGAGAGGGCAAAGGCTGTGAGCCGATAATGAGAGTGTGGCGTCTGGGACGTCTGAGAATCGGCGAATCGATGGAAAAGTCGGGTGTCGCGATGGCAACCGGCGACGCTTCCTTGGACTTCCGCGACAAGCGGCGTTGGAGCTTCGCCTCCTGTTCCTGAACCGTGATGGTATTCACAATCTGCTCAACGTCCCCAATCTCGATCAACACATTCTCCGGCTTCAAGTCCGTATGGATGATCCCACATACGCGGTGTAAAAAGTCGAGCGAGACCAACAACTGCTTCGCAATCTGTTTGACGTACGCGAGCGGGATCCCCCGGTGGCGGTAGAGGCGAATCAACTCGAGGAGGTTCTCGCCTAGCACCTCAAACACCATCACTACATGGCGCCCGTTGGGCCCCAGGTGGTAGAACGTGTCGAGGAGGTCCAATACATGGCGGTGACCTGGGTGGTGCGGGTCGGATGTCACGCTTCTTTCCAAGAGCTTGATCTCGTCGAGCGCCGTTTCGGTGTAGTGGCGCGCGCTGCGCACAACCTTCATCGCGACATGGCGGTTCTTTTCATTGTCGCGCGCTAGCCAGACGGTGGAAAAATGCCCCCAGCCCAACTTGCGCAACAACGTGTAGCGTCCGTCGCGGTATGTCTCTCCCTTAAAGCACGGATGGTACCCGCCCGGCACGTAGTCGTCGCGGTCCTCCTCGTTATTGGGCTCATCTTCATCTGACAGCGAAAATGAAGTGTCGGAGTCCTCGCGCCGCTTGTGGTGGTTGTGGTGGTGGTGGCTGTGATGGTGGTTGTGCAGCTGCTGCTTGTGGGGCTGGGACCCGCTCTCCGCACGATTCCCTTTGCCAAACAGGCTGAATTCGAAGCCCTCCGTCACGTTGAGGTCTGCATTCGCTATGGCCAACGAAAGTTTGGATTTGGGCGGCATGGGGCGTGTAGTGTGTGTTGCGCAGGAAGAAGGGAACGCCCCAGCGGCCGTAAAAATATGCCATGCGCACATCTGGTCCTAGCGCCCAGGACGAGGATTCTGGGAGGGGACGTTGCACGTGCCCAGTTCTGCAGAAAATTCGCAGGCAGACGACCAGTGACGTCAGGGAAGCTGAAAAGGTATTTGTAGCGATATGGCATTTTTTTTTTTTTTTTGACAGGCCTTTTACAAAATAACATTGGTTCAATGCTGTGAACCAGAGTTTTCTAGAATAAAGAGTAGACCTCCGATGACACGTTTGTGGTGTGCATACAGGTAAGTGAGATTATATCTTAATATGGCCGGAGAAAACTCATACAGTAAGCCAGATTTCATGCCAGACTGGCGTCCTAGCATAGTTTCTCTATGAACCTCTCGTTCCTGTCCTATTGTTGTAGCAGGGCCAGATGCATACAATAATGTCTACGAACTTTGAATATTTGAGACCTTAAAACCAACTTTCGTTCTAATTTTGCCCATCCTTCTGGCTTATTTTTTTTCGCATACTAATGAAACAATCAAAACATTGCCCCTATGAAACCTATCACGTGATATGATTACAATTTCTATCAATGGTTTTAGCGCTGTCACGTGAAAAATGTTAACAAGCATTAACTGACCGAATACTCCCAAAGCTTCCGTTGGCTGTACCACCCAGTATCGTTCTGTTACCCTTGGCCCACAGCTTAGTCTCTATTATGCAATTAAATAAGGACGGTTAATACCAATCACGTCCTCTCAAAATACTTTAAAAGCCAAACCTAGAAGAGAAAACCTAACCCTGCGACTTGCGCAGAGAATCCAGGAGGCTGGCAAGAGAACAGGCAACCTACAACCGGCGAAACGTGAAAGATTTGATTAGTCATTTAAAAGAGCGAGCACATGTGATACATTGAAGATATACATGTCATGGGGCAGGCTCATCAAGAGGCTGCTCCGTCCCTGGGAAGTACCCCGGCACTGAAACGCCTTTACAAGGTCAAGGTCTGGCCCTTTTCTCTGACAGCCTCACCGTACTTCTTGATTCTAATGGCCTGGACGGCAATGAAGCCAGAGGTGTCCTCCGGAGAAAAGCCTTCCAACTCATCCATGGAGGACTCAGTGGCATCGTACAACTTCTCAGTGTCAGAAGATCTACCCAAAACGTGCAATGAACCCTTGTAACATCTGGCTCTGACCTGGCCGTTGACCGTGTTCTGGGACGGCTGGATCATGGCTCTGACGTACTCACCTTCTGGGGTAAAGTACATACCGTTGTACAAGATCTTGGAGTAGGCTGGAGTGACGAAAGTGTCTCTCAAGGCTCTGACTTCACGGTCCAAGGTCAAACCTTCCAAATCAATGTGGGTGGATCTCAAAAGAGTAAGACCTGGGGTCTCGTAGCAACCACGGGATTTGATACCGATGAATCTGTTTTCGACAATGTCGACTCTACCGACACCGTTTCTTCTGGCCAAAGCGTTGGCAGCAATAAACAACTCAACCGGTTCGGTGTAAGTCTTGCCGTTGGCCAACACCAACTTGGATGGCAAGCCCTTCTCGAAGAATACGGTAAAGTCCTCTGGCACGTCTGGGGCATCGGTTGGATCGACGGTCAACTTCCACATGTCCTTTGGTGGGGTTACATCTGGGTCTTCCAAGATCCCGGCCTCGAAGGAAATGTGGGCCAAGTTTTCGTCAGTGGACCACGGCTTGGCCTTGGTCTGGGCGACTGGAATGTTCTTCTGTTCGGCGTATTCCAACAAATCCTTTCTACCGGCGAATCTGTTGAAAAAGACTGGGTCTCTCCATGGAGCGATTACGGTGACGTCTGGCTTTAAGGCGTAGAACGACAATTCGAATCTGACCTGGTCGTTACCCTTACCGGTGCAACCGTGGGAGACGGCGAAACAGCCTTCGTCCTCAGCAACCTTGATCTGGGCTTCAGCAATGACTGGTCTGGCCAACGAGGTTCCCAAAAGGTACACATTCTCGTAGATGGCGTTAGCCTGGATGGCCGGGTAGCAGACAGCGTCGACAAACTGCTTTCTGACGTCAACAACGACGTACTTGGTGGCACCAATGGCCAAGGCCTTTGCCTCAGCGGCGGCAAAGTCTTCTTCCTGGCCAATGTCGGCCATGAAGGCAATAACTTCGTAGCCTTCTTCCAACAACCAGGCCAAGATGATGGAGGTATCTAAACCACCGGAGTAAGCCAAACAAACCTTGCCTTTAGACATTATGGATGAGTATATATGTGAGTATATATGTGGGAGTGAAAAAAAATAATAAGCTGGACTTAGTATTTTACTTGTATGAGAGGGAATGAATATTTTTGAGAACGGGAATCTTTCACTTATTTATACTTTTCGGTAGGGGGCTGGGTTTAGTGGACCGAGCCCGCTTGGTATGGGCTGTCGATAAGCGTCGGTGAGACCTGCATATAAAAATAGACTCTGGATTTTTCACACAAATGTTCCTTCTTCCCCCTCTGGAGATTAAGCGGGGGTCTACACGGTAAATGTCGGTAATAGAGATATTTAATCTTGGTATTTAAATTCTCACTTGAAACAGCTTATATTTGATACTAACCATATCGCTATTTAATCCTTGTAGCCCTTTTTACAATCTTTTGGGTTCTATCTGCTAGCCGCGCTGTTTTCTTAGCAATGTCCGAATGAGGCAATTGGCGGTAAACTTCCTTCTTGTTAAACATGGTTCCGATGAAAATTTTCACATCTGACTCATATTTGGTTTTCGCTCGCGGTAATTGGAAGAGGCCTGCAGGTGCGGCGGTTCTTCCGTGTGATTTACACCAAGATTTAACACCGCGCTTAACTATCCTGTGAGGCTGATTGCCGCATTAATCAGAGATGCATATAATTTGGCTGTTGGGCGGTGCTTTGTGCATAATAGATACTTGGCTGCTTGCTATGTTAGTTGTCATTTTGACTCGTACATGCAACGGTGTGTCACCAGGAAGTTTATCTGACGGCTTTACTTTTTCTGCAGAATTCGAGAGAAGGCGCTGGTAAATGGTTATCAGAAGTTCAAGAGGATACCTCCGTATCTCTCAAACAGCTATGAGATTGCAATTACCTTCTAATCCAACCATTACGCGGCAGCTCATATCTCGTTACTAAACAGCATATAACCCAGTATGTCAATTCAAGAGATCTTGAATTGACAGATCTTAGAGTTACCCCCCTGACGCTTTACACAGGCTACACTTTAACCACAAACAATAGTACATTACGATACACCATTGTTTCCATACATGCCATGTATATCAAATAGACGTCACTCTAACCACGCCCCTATATAAATCTAGGCCATTCCGGTGCCTCTATTAGCAACATCTTTATTCTCGCCTTAAAGCTTAACCTCATCCTCGTCTTCTACTCTCTTCAAGGCCGCACCCCACGGCGAGTGTTCGATGGCACCACCAAGGTCGGTCAACATGTTCATGACACGCTCGTCGTCACGCACAAACGGATTTTCATCGGTCTCCATGTAGTGCTCCAACGTGTGGCGATTGGTCTCGTTCGCGGGGTTATCAAATGGCGCACGCATAGGGCCGGTGTATGTCGGAGAGCCATCCATAACGCTCTGGAATGGATTCTTACCCGATATCAGAACTGGCGAGCCGGGCTTCGGACTCAAGCTTAGCGGTCTGGGACGGGGCTTTGGACTCTGCGGCCGGTTGTCACCGGATTGGCCAAACGCACCTGTCTGTTGGTTTACACTCGACTCGTTGTACTCGCTGATGAGCATGCTCGGGAGGTCAAACACATTAGCGTCATTCCTTGACAGCGTACGCTGGTGCGAGAATTCAGCCGGATTTTGATCACCCATGCCATCAGCAAGGCCCTCACTAGACCAGGCCAAACCCTCGCTGTAGGCCGACAACCGCTTTTGGATCTCGGAGATATTGTCGTTCGTGGCCCTGATATCGTATGCGGACTTTCTCTGCAAGTACTTCCAGCGACAGATGACCGTGGCCATGGTTTCGGCGAGTTTCTTAGTGCGTAGCTTCTCCTCCACAACGGTCATGGTCCTGTTTCTTTCCAAAAAATCCGGGAGGTTTAGGCACTCACCCTCCTCGAAGTGCGTGTAGAGCGTGAGCTGGAGAAGTAAGTCCGTGAAGTTAATTTGCCCACCGTGCTTCTCGTCTGCAACGGTGTAGACTTCTGCCAAGAAGCGTTCGTAGACGCGGCGCCGGAAGCGCACCTTCGCGACGTCAATGCGCCCCAAGGACGTTTGCATCGCCTCGGGGCGGAGCTCCACGTCGTACGGGTTACTCGACTTACGCGTGAACCACTGCTGGGTGAGATTCGGCACCGTGTACTGCCCCTCGTAGATCTTGAACTTGATGACACCCCCGAGCTCGTGCAACATATCGTGCAAGTCGTACGGCTCGATGAAGCCGGTGCCGCGCGGATCGAACCGCTGCCAACACCGCTTGAACTTGCGGACTTCGACTCTGGAAATGAGATCCGTCTTTGAATCACTGTGGTACACATAACTGAAGTTGTCAAGCACGATGGAAATAAACATATTGACAAAGATGTACATGGAGATGATATTCCACAACGTGAACAAAACGTAAGCGTAGCCCCAGTTACCGCAATCAGTATTGTTAACTCCGACTCCGGAGTAGCAGTCAGGACTCGTGACCGCAAAGTCATCCATAATGTCGTTCCAACCCTCGCCGAAACTCATACGGAAAAGCACAATAATAGACTTGGTCACAGTCCGGAAGTTGATGTTTCCAGTGCCGTTTGGCCCGATTTTGGTCAAACCAAAGATCTGGTTCATGGCAATGGCAAACACAAGGAACGTGACGAGCCATGTGAATACGACCGCACCGAGCGACGGCAAACTGGACGACGCGAACTTGAGAAGCTGTGAAAGACGGTTGCTTCTGGGGATAGCAAACAAAAGAATCGCCATCAAAAAGAGCTTGTTAAAGTTGCCATAGATGGTGGCTCGGCCCTCGTCCACCACGTAGAACGAAAGGCTCGACATGCACAACGCACCAATGAGAACGAAGGATGAGAACAAGTTCCACTTGTCGCGCAAAAACACACGTAAGCCTACTGCATGCGCGTACATCACATAGTGCTGCAACATCACCGAGGTGGTGATCGTGTAGAGCACCATTCGCACAAAATCGTAGTTGTACGGTGACGGGTACTTCTCAACCATCAACATGATTAAGTGGATAAACAACACACAGTCGACCACCCGGTCCCAGATCACGTTGTGCTCGAGAACAAGGTCGTAGCACACACGACGCACGCGCCCCATGCTATTGCGGTCGGGGCGCTTCGACGGGCGTACATTCTTCAAGAACTTGGCAATATCGTACCACGTAATTTGCTCTGTGGTGTAGTACGCAACACCCGTTACTTCCGCATACTTGCTGATGATGACCGATAAAAACAAGGTGAGGATGAAAATCATGCCGGTGAAGATGTAGGCCACGACAAAAACTGCATTGAACGGGCTTGCGAACGGCGAAGGCACTGTCCCGATGCCTGTAGTAAACGTCACACTCTGCAAGAGCTCGAGCCAGCCCTCCAACGAAAGAATCTCATATAGCGACATGAGCCCCCTGGGGAAGTTGTTCAAGTTCAAGCGGGGTTCTTGGTAGACGTTTGGGCTTAATACGTTCCACTTCCCAACATTATTCGTATACTCGTTAACACAGCTGGCCCGGTCGGATGACCCGTCGACACACAGTCCGAGACGCCCGTTGAAGATGTTAACGCCCCACACGGCGTAGGGGACGATCAAGTGTAGGGAAACGATCGCAGCACCAACAATATTGCGGAACCCGGCAATCATCGTATTGTGGAAGTATGCCTGGGCACGTTTACTGATGGTCAACAAGCGCAACGCCCGGAGGGCTTTAAAACCTCTGATGGTTCTGGACAACTGGTCATCGTAACGAAGAAACGAAATGACGTTGATCCACATGGTAACCAACACGACACAGTCAATGGAGTTCCACAGGGAGCGAAAGTATCCGTTGGGCGTAAAGTAGAGCCCGTCCGCGAGCACCTTCACGAGAAACTCGAGCGTAAAGGTAACCACAAATATAAAGTCCGTGTAGACCGTCCAGTTCCATGCACCGGTGTCCAAGTTGTGTTCCTTGCGGTAGAGTGGAGTCACGTAGCATGCGATGATGACCATCGAGACCGTCATACAAAAAAATAGCACGTTGACCACGTCACGCGTGAGCGTCGCGGGATACACGCCTCGGATACGTTCGCCGAACGACAGCGGCATGATACTTTGACAAAACCGACGCAACGGGTGGCCCGGCTGGAAATATCCCAAAACACGGTTGTAGTTTGGTTTGTCACGGAGCATGCGTTGGGTCTCGGCGGCGATGGCCTCTTGTTGCTGGATAATTTTACGCGCAAGCATGCGGGGGTCGATGGAGATCTCGGCGTCGAGGGAGGTCGGTTTGGGGCTGTGGTGGTAGTTGCGCAAGCCGCGCAAACGCGCACGGAGATGTACCGGAGAAAAGGCGGCCCAGAAAGAGCTTGAGCGGGTGGCCGAGCTGGCAGCTGCATGCTCAGTTGCATCTACGGCGGCTGCGCCATCGCTGCTCTGCGCCTCGCTCATCCAATGGTTGTTGTTAGACGTACCCGCCCTCACCTTCTTATGGTCGTACACATCCTCGTCAATCGCACGGAAGTTCCCTTTCTCCAAGAAGGTATCCATAAGCTGCCCATTTCTCAACAACTGCATGAATCCGCCGTGGTTAACCTGATTCGGCTTAGGCTTGAACAACGTCGTCTTCAAGCGGTCCAAGTTGCCGACCTTGTTCTTCCGCGAAAGTTGTTCAAGCTCCTGCGCCGACTCATCGACAAACTTTTTCAACTGGTACCGGCGCTTGTCTTCTTCACTGATGTCAAAGTTCTGGGCAATGATTGCAACGAAGATGTTGAAGATCACAACGTAAGACGCGAAAAACCACCCGATAAGAAGGATATCGCCGAAGATGCGTGAGCTCATGTTATTACTTTGCTGGTCCATTTCGTAGAGGATCTGCGTCCAGTTCTCGGTCGACGTGATCACAAACATCGCCAAAATTGTATTCGGCAAACTGGACAATGAGAACAAGTTTTCCTCGAGAATGGCTTCGTTTTCCTCAGCCGTGACAAAGCCCTCAAAGAAGCGCGCCACGATGATACTATACAAGAACGTGAGAATGAGATAAAAGAGCGCAAGGTCAAACACAGTCAGGATGTTCCCCAAGACCTTGGTCCATAACTTGCGTGTGTACGGGAGACTGATTGCCACACGGTACAGACGGACAATCTGGAAAATGGTGAGCCAGTAGTACGCATGGTGCATACGCACACGTAACGGTGGGATGATGATGATACTTGTAACGACAGCAAGGACCAAGTCCACAATGTTTTGGCGCGCGCGAAAGAAATGGCGCCACAGTGGAAAGTGTGCAAAAAAGCGTAACACAATCTCTACGAGGAGGATGAGCGTCACCACAGACTCATACACGATCAACGTATTCAACGTAGCGGGATCCAGCCCACTGGAGCGGAGACATTGCACCACCAACCCGGAACTAATAATCAGAACACAGAAGCGCTCAAACACACGGTAAAGACGGACGGCGATGGGACGGCCGCAGCGCGCGAGGTTATCCGCGAACATGAAACGTGCCATGTCGGGCATCGCAATTCTCAGGAGCTTTTTGCGCTTTTGCTTCTCTTCGAGTGTCAAAATGAACGACTTGACAACGACGGCTGCGAACACGTTGAGTAACCACACCGTGAGGAAGAAAATGCACGCAATGAAGAACAACGCGGCGGGCATCAGGTCCAGGTCCATGGTGTAGTACATGATGTTGGAGAAGGTGTTGGCCGTCATGATCACCGCAACCATCTTCATCGAGTCGATAATGTTGTCAAAGCTAAGGTAGTTCCAGGAGTTGGGAGAGCTTGAGTAGCTGATACACTTGGAGTTGATAGGACACCGGAAGCCCTTGTATCTCCCGGATACCGTTCCGTCCTCGTAAATATACTCCATAATCTCCCCCGAACCAGAGAGCCAGCTACCGCAGAACTGCAAATTAACAGTATTGACGAACGTGTCGGTGCTGTCCGAAGGGTTTGTCCACGTGCACATGCGGTCGAAAGATGACTTGAAGGACTGCACGCCGAGAATCGAAAAGAAGATCCAGAAACACAACACAAAAAGCGCCACATTTGCAAGCTGAGGCGCTGCCTTGCGAATCGCTTTGAGGATACTGTGTGTGCCGCGGGTAAGCGCAGTGAGACGGAAGATACGCACACACGCTAATGCGCGGAAGAGAAAGATGTTGTGTTTGACATCGTAGCGGTCGATGGAGAGAAAAAGCGAGACGATGTAACACAGAGTGGAGAAGAGGTCAAGGATGTTCCAGTTGCTGCGGAGAAATGCCCGCTCGAGCATGAGTTTGCGGAAGTCCCCGTTGCGGAGCGCGAAGGACGTGAGCTGCGTGGAGGTAGGGAGCAAGATGGAGGCGTTATGCAGGGGCAGGTCATCGGAAACATCGTAGTCCTCGATGTTTGTGGGGTAGCCTCCCTCGGTATTTCCGTTAGGGGAATCATACCCTTTGATTTCGGACTGGTTGTAGAAGTACCCAGGGCTTTTTGTAGAGCTGCCGTAGCTGGCTTCCGGGCAGGGATCGTAGGTACTCTGCCCCCGAGGCTCATACGTGATATTATCCGGCTGCGGGAACATTCCGCGCTTGTCTGCCTTCATCCTGCGGCCGGTGCGACTTCCAAACATCTGTTTTCCCTTATTGACCACATCGGTGACCTTCATATCGGAGAGAATCTTTTCCACACATTTGTGGAGCTTGCTCTTTGTCCTCAAGAAGTGCAATTCGGCAAACATCTGGCGATCGTCCCACAAGCCAAACGTCACGATCTTGAGCCCCATCTCCACCATGAACAAGCAGTTGAGAATGAGTATCACCGTATCGATCCAACCATACCCATCGAAGTAGTACGAATGGTGCGTGAGTGGGCTCCATTGCTGCACCGAAAGCATCCCCGTCATCAAGAGGAGCAACATTACGGGAATATGCTTGACGTAGCGCCGGCCTAAGAACACGGAACACCACAAGCGGAGCGGACTGTCGGGTGGAAAGATACCCAAGGATTTGCCGAACAACCGCAACCGGCTGGCGGGTACGTTTGGGGCCGACATGGGACGCAGCGGCGCGGGGAATATCGAGGAAGCGGCGTAGGACGTGTTATCTGGAGCGGTGATGATACTGGGAGCAAAGACACTGGTCTTGGACCGAAAGTCATCTGTGCGCAAGGAGGCAGGCAAGTAGCTCGCATCGTCCGCGGTCACCTGTGGCCGAATATCATCGAAACTCTGTGTGGCGTCGTGGAAGTACCCGTCGTCAGAATGGTCCAGGAGTACGTCATCGTCCCGGCCACTTACACGAGCGGAGAAGTTCTGAAAGGCCTCGGCAAGTTTGGTCTTGGGGGTCTGTAGACTGACCTTGGTTGGTGATGGAGGTGCGAGCCCTTCAACATCGTAGGAGTCACGGAACGCCCTGCGGTGCCGGGGAGAGGCACTGGTGATGTTGTGGAGCTTGATGGCGTCGGGGTCGCTATCGTACTCCTCAAAGTCCATGGAGTATGCCTCGGAGAAGTCAGGGGCCGCCCGGAGGGTCTTTCCATTGACGATGGAGGGCGCAGGACTGGTCTGGGAAGTGGTCAGGCCGCGCCGCAAGGGAAGCCAGGACGTTGGCGCGTTGGCGCCGCTGAGAGCCGCGGTCATGTTATCCTCAAGACCGGAGGCACGTGAGTTGGAGTGTAAATTAGAGAGATTGCTCATCTGGGAGGTATTCCGTTGGGTGGTGAGATGTACACTGTTCAGTGAGTCGCTGTGAATACTCGTCTGTGAGTGGGGGCGAATGCCCGTGGAGGCATCAAGATTAGCGCGAGTAGCTGGCAAGGATGTGTCTGATTTGGAGGCAACAGAAAGATGAATCGACTGGTAGTCAGTTACGTCATTGTTTGAGGACAGCTGAGACATATGGGTCTTGGGAGTACTGAATACAAACTCGTCAGAGAGGTTGAGGTCTACCTCCGGAAGTTCCACACCGTCCTGGGTGACCCAGATTTTGGGCTTCTTAGAGGGGTTTGTAAAATTCATTGGGAGGATACTAAGTGGTTCAGCCAGACGTAGAAACTAATAGAATCAGTCAACAGAATGAATCAACAGGATGAATCAACAGGATGAATCGACAGAATGAATCGACAGAATGAATCGACAGAATGAATCGACAGAGTGAATCGGCAGAATGAATCGACAGAGTGAATCAATAGAGCAAAAGGCGGATTAGTAAAAAGTAGAATGCAAGTGCAAATCACAATGAGGCCAGAGACAAGAAAAGATAGATATCGCCTTGGTTTAGAAGACGGTGGTGGATGCGTAAGATTCTGGTATATAATGTTACACCCTTACAGCAAGCCCCTAGGAGTTAAAGTTTGGTGGAATAAATGGCTTTAAGCCATGTGGCTCATCACCTGTACATTAGCCGCTGAAACACTGCCTCCTTCCTCTGGGCATTTCCTAGCAGGGTTTATTTACTTTGAGTGGCTCTTTACTAGTTTACAAAATAAAGTGTATTCATAAGGAATATCGCAACTATGGTGTCAAGTAGATAACCCAAGTCACTTACTGCGTACATAAGCCATCTTTACAACTCAGCTTAAGAGGCAGAGGGGCAAAATAGGGTACTGGTGGGTGCAGATGCCCTAGAGTGTATGCCTGGCATCGGGAAAAATCATGTAATCAGCTTCAACAATGGAACCACGTGCATTCCCCTAGGGGTTTCAGGTTGAATATCTTTCTTGAATATATATGTATGATATAACGGCACGTATCTATGATGCCGTGTTAGCACTCTATCTTAGCCCGTACTGCTCTGTGTGATTTTGGGTAAAGGCGTTATCAAGGGCGGGTGAGAGAAAAAGCCTCCCATTTGGCAGACGCAGAAAGCTAAATTTAAAAATCGGTATACGCAAGAAAACAAACACTATATTAAACCAGAAAGCAACCGTATAGTTTTACGGATATAGCAAAAATCTTATCGAGTAGGAGACAAAGTGGATCAACACGAAAATACCGCTAGCATCCCGTGATCCCATTCGTTCAACAATGTCCGATAACAGTCTACGCAAAGCACTCTGCCGATCGCCAGATGTGGGACGTACCAATTCATACTATACCCCCTATTGCTCTCTAGGAAGTAAACATTAAATTAAATATACACAATGCATGCTTTCATAAGCAACCGGCTTAAAACGTAACATCATAGAGAATAAAAGAAAGGCATTAGAGAAGGGTTCTAGACGGATAGGGGGCTGCAGCGAGTGGTAGGTGGACGCGCCAGAGAGGCGGCTAGAAACTTACAAGAAGTATTCGCTTCGGGTTTTGGTTTGGTTTCTGGTGATATCATCTTGCACGGCGGTGAAGATCTTAAAGTCGGGCTTCAAGTCCTCGCCCACCTTCATGACACTGGCGACGTTCCCGCAGCGATAGCAGTAGTTGGGCGCGGACCATACCGTGACCACGTCCTTTTCCTTGAAGTGGTACCGGAAACCTTCCATGACCAACTGGTGCGCTCTCGCGATCAACTGCAAGTTGTTGATGTGGTTGAACTCGCGTGAAACCTTTGCGCCAAAGAGCCACCCGGCCCCACGCGGCGATACGGCCCACGTGTCCACGTTGTCTGGGTCGGACCACACCAAGTCGCAGAAGCCACCCTCGTGGGGCACCTCCTGCGCGCGCGACAAGACACGGATCTGGTCCAACATTCGGATTTCCGGAGACAAGCCTCCGTGCACGCAGAGAATCTTACCGTCGATGATGGCCGCCAAGGTGAGGAAGTCAAACACCTGACAGCAGTACTTCCAGACGGTGGTGGAACCATGCTTTGTCAAGCACTCCTCGTAGAAGCCATACACTTGGGTGATCTGTCGGGACTCATGGTTGCCTCGGACCAAGGTGATGCGGTTTGGGTACTTTACCTTTAACACCATCAAGAGTGTGAATGTCTCCAACGAAAAGTAGCCTCTGTCGACATAGTCGCCGAGGAATATGTAGTTGATACTGTCAGGGAGCCCACCGCTGACCCTGAACAATTCCAAAAGGTCGTGGAACTGGCCGTGAATGTCCCCGCACACTGTCACGGGTGACTGCACCGGCTGGATATTGGACTCCTCCATCAACAACTCCTTTACCTTCTCGCACAACTCCTTCATGTCGGACTCGGATAGCGCTTTGCACTTTTTGATCTGCTCCAACCACTGGTCAGGACCTCTTTCAACCATATTATGACAGACTGGTTAGATATGCGAGGGAAATGGCTTTTTTTATCTTTTCGCAACCGGAGGATCTTGAATATCGGGCTTGGGTGAGGCGTTTGAGGTTTCGTCACCGTAAAGATTAGTAATTGGCTGGTTCTGGTCTCTGCTCTCGGTTAATATGTCGTTAGATGTTTTATCTTTGCAGGGGCGTTCGTTGTGTTCGGCAGCCGTTAGCGCCGAGGTTTACGCGTGCACCGACGTAGGCGTAAATTTAAGACCGACGACTGCCAGCGGAGCTGTGCCCCACACTACCACATGGCTGCACCACGACATCAGAGACTGCTTTGACTCCAATGGCTGCCGTTACACAAATACAGGGGCGGCCATAGACAATTCAGTCCCCATTACAGTCCATCCCTGTCAGATACTCTGTTGGGACAGGCCGGCCTACCTATAGTTCCTTCCATGTCCCACCATTTGTACTTTCCCCAGGACTTGCTAAACCGCAAGAGCTGGTACCGTGATTCCAAGCATCTTGCCCTCGGTCTCCGAAAGGGAAACACCTATGTGGTGATCACCACCGTCAAATACGACCCAGAAACGGTTGCGAGACTCAAACATGTATCCTTGGACCATGGGTTGCAGGTTGTGGCCACCGTGAATGTTGTACTTGGGGACCTCCCGGTGTTGAGGATCAGTGCAAACAAGTACCCAGACGTCGAAGCGCCCAGCTCGTTTAACCTCATCTGCTTCACACCACCTTATCCCAACAGTATGGAGTACTTTGCCATTGAGCCAATCTACTTGAAATCGAAGGCGACCGATCCCCAGGAATGGTACGTCAACAAATTGAAATTGCATTGCGACCTACACCATTCGTCCCACGAAACATTGTTGCCCCAGATTATCCACTACATCAACAACTGTGTGCAGCTACGCGAGTATCTCTATATAGTGGCATGCGAAAATACCGGGCTTTTCCAGTTTCCACCAACATCGATGCCAGCGTTACAGTCCTTACAGAAGCATGCCTTTGGATTCATCACTTACATAATCCTCCAGCTCAAACTGGCGGGAGGATTCCTTCTTTCTCCGATTTTGCATGTTGTCTTGGATATCATCGGCTACGCGATCTTTGTGCTTAACTACCGGATCTACGCCCCCTCACTTACCCAACAGGAGAAGAAACTGGTGTTCACCGTCTCCTCCATGGGTATTCAGCAGGCTCCACAAACGCGAAAGGTGGCGGATACAACCAAACCAGCAGATGGAAAGGTGGCTCTCGTGGACGTATCGCTCTTCTTAAAACAGCTCTCGGTACGCTTGACCCAGCTCTACAATCTTCCTCGACAGTACCGCAACACCAAACTCTCTATCCACGGCACCGCGTCCCAGCCCATTGATTTGCAGCGCTTGGACCAGTTCGACTTCCAGAACTCCAACTACATCACCTTCTACAACACCCTCTGGCTCGTCTTGAACGACCTTTTCCTCGGCTTGAGCGTCAGCAACTTGCTCAGGCACTATGAAACGGAAATCCAGACGTTCATTACCAAGCGTATGATCCAGGAAGTTCTCATCGACCGTCTCGGACAGCTTATCGACTGGTTGATGGATAACCCTGCAGGGTTTAAGTTGAATGACGAATTGACTTCCTTCATTGGGGAGCTATTTCTCTGGACCGTCCGCTTCTGGACCGTTCTCTTGGAGGCAGTGGTGCTCAGATACATCCAGCTCTGGATCAAGATCATACCGTACGTGACTGCATTTGGCGGACTTTCGTTTGCGATTGGCATGGTGATGGACCTTGTCCAGTTGATTACGTTTCACACCTTTTGCTTCCAGTTCTCGGCCGCACGACTCTACCACTGGCAGATCAGTATCCTCCGCTCTCTCTTTAAGTTGATTGTCGGGAAGCGGATCAACGTCTTGAGGGACAACAGAACCGATAAGGTGGACTTTTCCTTTGACCAGCTCTTACTTGGGACCGTACTCTTTATGGTTTTAGTATACTTGGTGCCCACGGTCTTTGCCTTCTATTTACCCTTCACGTTGATGCGGAAGGGTATCCAGGGGGTGCGTTGGGGCTGTGACCGTATTATTCACTGGCTTAACTACTTCCCACTCTTTGTAGTGTTGTTGAAAATTAAGAATAATCGGAGATTGCCGGGCGGTCTTCGCTTCGAGCTACAGGAAGTGTACCCCACCACCGTGTTCAAGATGTCCAACGAGAGTGTGTCATTTGCCACCATTTTCAAGTGAAAAAGTCACATAGTCCATGCATACAGCCTTGAAACTTGCGAAATCTTTTTGTAGCTCTCGTTCGGGAATGTTTAAGGGCCAGGGTGTGTCCGTCGTTTGGACAGAGATACTGATCGTCGTACAGAACAATAAAAAGTTAAGCTGCAGGCCATTTAAATTTAGCCTTATGGGGCTAAATTAGTGACCTGCGCCTTAGTGGAAGAAGCTTCTATTTGCTTCCATCGAGGCTTCGGTGAAACCCGCCATGTCGTCGACCTGAAAACTCTCTGTCTATGCGCTGTGCGAAAGCGAGATTGGTGAGGACAGTTTTTTTTCTTGTATATATCTCGGAGCGGAGTTTCGATAGTACCTGATAATTGCGATGCATTGATGACTGCGGAGATGCATATGAGGGTACGGCTGATGTCGCTCTTGGAGCATTTGGAATTTACAACTTCAAGATTGCGCTCTAGAAGACGGAATTCGTGGATTTAATATGCTCGACTAAATCATAGTTTTAGATAGAGCAATACTTTACAGCAGGGGATTACATCCATGAGCACGCGTAGGCAGTGTAAACTGAGCTTTAGGTGACGGCGTTTAGCTACCTCGTCCTCAAGCGTCATTCGAACGGATAAGTGTACTACGTCTTCATTTACGTTCGATTCTCCCGCGTATACCGCCGGCTGTCGTGTGCAAAAGAATAGGTACGGCCCCGGATTTCATCCAGATGCTAGCTTTCACGGAAAAAGTGCTTGCGGAAAAACGGTCGCGCTCGAATAATTTTTTCCCGAGTAGACAAAACGTTACATATCCCAAGGGGTGCAGATGAATCTACCTAATTGTAGGTGACACGCGCCACAACTAAATGGGGCCCCTCAGCGGAAGGGGGGCGGCGGGTGTATAAGCAGGAACAGATCCATACAATAATGCGCTTCATCGACGAATTTTGCGTCTCTCAAACTGGAGAGGTGGTAGGCACCCAACCTGCCTTTATCTTCCAGTGCGGCTATTTAACCAGCGTAGATGGCACCAGAGAACCCGGCATTCTAAGACCTCTTTAGCGTTAAATTAGTACAAACGCCAGTTCTCTGAGCAAGGAAAATATACGTAGCCATTCGAGGAGGTTGTAAATCGCCTCTGATAGACGAAATGTGCCAAAATAGGTTTGAAATTTTTGGGTTTGTTCGAAATCCGAATTTCCAGTCGCAATCTACTGAACTTTATATTGCCACACCCTATACGCTCGGTCAAATGCGCGTTCGTTGTCTGGTGAACTAGCACAATAAAACCCCAAAGTGCGTTCATTTTCGTGTAGTTTTGCTCATCATGAGACCAAATTTCGCACAAAAGGAAATGCTTTTGTAGCCTGGCAGGCAAAGGCCTGAAGGTAGTCTGGTAACCACGGCTTTCGCATGTACGGACAACGTTGGTCGTGCTGCACGTGCATGGTCTGCATACAAGCCTAGAAAGCACTGGAGCCAGCGACCAGCTTACAAATGTCCTTACGTTTGAGAAGTACACCAGTGGGCGTATCGAGTCAGTTTCCCTAAGGATATGCGCAATCTTTAAGACTAATCGTTTCACCAGCGGGCTGTAGACGGTTGTAACCCATGTGCCTGAGAATAGAATATCTGCACAAACAGCTGCATCTGACCAATTCAGGGCCACACATGTGCACACAGGGTAAGGAGAAGTGTGAAAAATTAGGGTTCTAGGCATAGCTTAAACTGCAGTATTTGATATCCATGTCTTAATATCAATTGCCGATTTGGTAGCACTAGAATCCACGTAAAGTGTCTGCTACAGATCTGTGGACCATAACAATGGCATATCCCAAAAGGTGCCGGCTTTCCCGAGCCTATAGAGTAAGAGCTCTGCCAGTTCCAAGGTGCCTCATTGGCCAACAAGATGTTTAACTCAAGCGACAACCCACAGTACAGGCTTTGCTTCTTTGTGGCCCAATTGGGAAGTATTCCACTCGCTCCCAGCACTTCCTGTATACTGTGCTGCTCGCTCCTGCGAATTCAAATTCACGAAGATCGTACAGGAATGTAGAGCTAGATCACGCTGTATGCAGAAATAAATCGTCAACAGTTTTCATGCAGACGCACCTAGTATACCAGGGTACTAGTGCGTTGTAACGAAGGAAAGCATGCGCCATATAAAGAAATATCTGAGCGAGCCCCTTAGTTCCGGGTGCCGCCAAGCTTGAGAGTTGGTGTTCTGGAGCCTCGACATGTGCTTTGCTTTTTATCGACTGATCTATCTCTGCTGGATCTGATTCACAACGAATTTCCCCTACCACTCGGGGTGTGTAAGAACGGTTGGTTTTTTTTTTTTTTAATTTGGGGGTATCTACTTTAACTCCAGGCAGAGAGTTCCAGAAAAGAGCTCACTGTACTTAGCGTTTTAAGAGACGGAGGCATCGGTCCAGCGCTAAATTTCACGTTTGCGATGATACGCCATAAGTCCCTTCCCTACCCCTTTTGCATGGTGGAATTGTCTTCCATGAAAGACGTCTTTACCTTCGGCCTGCATCGAGCGGTCTTGGCCATTCTGTATTACTCTCCTAGACGAGTATCGCACCCCACCCTTGCCTGCTTAACCGGTGCCCGCGTTAGCTATTGTGATTACCGCTATCACAAGTTTGTTATACCTTGATTCTCCGGGTGGGCCACTAAAATCCCACAACGACAGCCAGAACCTCGTCCACTCAACAGTTTACCCCTTTGATTTCTGGCCAACATGAAAGCCACTTTGTATCACGAACTACACCTCGGGGAGTGTTCAATTAAAAGATGGTTTTCATTTCGATCAAACCACTTAGATCTGTAGTGGTGAGTTCAATCAAGTAATTTTGCACCTTTGCCTCGCCACGTTTCTTTTCTCTTTCGCTTGTCTAACGTACTATGCACAGCTCTGTGGCCGTACATTACGCTGCACGTACGACAATCTTACATCTTTTTCTCCCATGCAGCTGAATTTTATTCAAGAAAATAAAGTGCAACTGATAGATATATATATCTATTCGGACCTCCGTACCATCCTTTGACAGCAATTCAGCTATACGTAAAGCCTTCAATCACCCCCTACTATTATCAATACTTTATACCCCACTTTATCACGATGAATTACGCCCCACCCCCTCCACATTCCTTTCTGTCCTCTTTGAAACGCCGAAGCCTGGTGCTAAGGTCTTCGGTGAGCATACGGAACTTGCGGAAGATGTTCACGTCCAAGGCATCGCTCCAAGAATCCCCTTTTATCTCCACCGGGCCCCAAAAGACCCTTGTGTACAACGAGGACCTCTCATCCAGACCCAAGAATACTACAACTCCTGAAAGGTCTACAGACACCCAGCATGATACTCTGTTTGCCGAAGCAAAAACCAGTATGGATAGCCCCGCTTCTGTGGATGCCCCTACACACTACTCCATGGACGCCTCCATAGATACCACGTTCACGGATTATACCCCGATTGAAGAAGACGACGACAACGATGACGATAACGATGTTTTTTCGTACGTTTCCGAGTATTCTTCCACAGGAAAGATGTTTTACAATAGGAGCGACTACGATCTTGACCCCAGACAGGAAATTAGCCTCCAGCTATATCCTAGGAAAATGATCAACCTCTTTGACATCCGCAAAGAAACTGGAAGCCCCACGTTTGTTCCATTCAACAACGTCATCGTCCCCCCTCCATCCAGAGTTACCTCGCCTCTTACATCCACGTTGATTGACGATGAAGGCTTCAACTACAACTACGTCCCTTCGGCACCGCCTCCGCCGCCGGTTGCCTCGTATGCCTCCTCTCCCCGTAGAATCACAAATCCCCGCGGAATAGCCTCTCCGGCACCAAAAAGCCATAACTCCTTCATGTTGCCACCCATTCCCGGCCAGGACCTCATGGGCCCACCCCAAACTCCACCCAGACGCACGTTCAGTGCCGAACGGGTCAGAAAGTTCCTTCCATCGTCCCCTGCCACCAGCGCCATTTTTAGAACGAGAAACACATTGTCTCGGAGCAACTCGTACATTCCGGCCCTGCCTATCAAGGTGGCTGCACAGAAGCCCTACCTGAGGCCTAGTACCCCTCGAAACTGCCCTCAGCAGACTTCGACTACCTACCTGTCTGGTCTATATTCTCCGTACATCTTTGGAGGAACTAGTTCGTCGGATGGCTCCCCTACAAGACTGTTCAGCACCCCCATTAGAACGGTAGCCGCTCCACCGACGGTCGCGCAGACTCAACCCCCTGCCCCGCAAAAACCCAAAACCCACCTGAAGTCAAAGTCTGCCTTTGGCGGTGAATTAATGGTCTTTGAATTCTTTTCTACGGAGGACAAGGAGACACTTGTCTGGTCGTGGAATAAAAACATCCATACCTCTCAGGAAGACTATGCCATGAAAATGCTGATTTTTGGTATCAAAGATGAGTCTGATGAGGCCCTCGACGACTCCTTTCTCGAAACAAGTTTCGATCTCCAGTTTACCAAATTCAAGTCTCTCAAACAGTGCTTTGCAGCAACCGAGTTTTGGGAACACGTCTATTTTGAAAAGATCATGAAAAAGTTCAACAGAGCCGACATGATCACTGCTCTCCCTCCGGTTGCCTTCCAAACCCAGACGCCAGTTCCATCCTGGAAGCGAGACCAAAACCTCAGCGTTATCGAAATGCACGAGTTTAAGGGTATCACAGCTGTGTTTACTAAATTTATGGAAAGTTTGGAGAACCTCGATGGCTTTGTGGAAGCCATGGGTCAAATCGGAAGACTTCATGGTCGTGTGTTCGGGGCGGACGAAGAGAAATTCGACATCTTGGGAGCCCTGATTATCGACTCGTTGAAGGATCTCTTTGGCGAGACCAAGTTTACCCCTGAGTTGCAACAATTATGGGCTCGGGTATACAACTACATCCGTGGCCTCATGTTGCAAAGTGTGGGACTCGAAACTTTCTCCATGTAACTGATTTCTTATATTCCTCGTCTGCTATATGTTTATGTTTAATGTATTTTTTTTTCGGTCTGTTTCTGGTTTTTATTGCGTATGACTTTTTATTCTGCCTTTTTCTCCATATTTAGTTTTCTACTTTAACTGTGTTTCTCTCATATGCGAGCCCATCTTTTATCAAGTCTTTGAACTCTAGTTATATTCTGGGCCAATTCTCAGATACTGTCAAAATTAACATTGCGTATTGCCAAGCTGTTCTGGATTCAAACCGCCAGGCAAGTCACCTCCAGAAATTGAATCTGATGGGGTCAATTGTATTAAGTTATTATTGATGTATCGTCACGAATACTGCCTTTGCTAAAACAACACTGCATTAACCCTTTCTCTAGTGGGACGCATGATGCATGATTGTGGAACATGGTGTTGACCTGTTCGAGCGTTTCCTGCTTCCGGTTTGGCCGTTTCTACTTTTTTCTATCAACACACATTATTCGGTTGACCTCGTCTGAGTTTATATGACTACCAATTGCTTGTCCACGATGTCCAGTATCTCGAAAACCCTGCGTGAGGCCAAAGACTTGGCAGAGAGAGGCTGCGTTCTACGCTCGAGAATTTCACGTGATCAAACCACACCTTGTGGTAAATGCACGCATGCCATTACTATTCTGCGTCATCACAGGTGGGTGTGGTGTCGCGGGGCTGTAAACGATATCCTCTTCCCCTAGCTGCATGTCCATACCGGCGGATCTATTGATACGTTGCGAGTAAGGTTAATTACATTTACAACTGAAAACATACCAGTGCATTGCTTTTTGCTCTGCCCCTCCAAGACCATTATATTTCTCTCCCCGCCGTTTATCGATCCTTACACCATGGACATGCAGCTAGAGGAAGAGGAACAGCTCCTCCAGGCGACAAACCAGTCCAACTACAACAGCGCCGGTGGATACATAGCCACTTTAGCTACATTACAAGAACGGGAAGCACAGAACAATGTGTCAATTTGGAGTAAATTTGCCACCTTCTCCCGCGTCATGTTGCTGTCATTCACCAAAAGCCAGCACCGTTTCAACAACGAGATCGAAACCAGTATCCTCCAAAACGAGCCCTCGGATTGCGCCCTAACTGCCAAGTACTCCCTGGTGGAATCCTTGTCGTTGGAAGGGTCCAACCTATCTATCAACGATGTCTCGTTGAGCGTCTTGCAGATCCCGCATCCGTTGCGGATGTACAAGAAGAAGAAAACGGATACCGAGGCCAGCACCTTTCCGTTTCTAAACGAGCTCGACCGTTTGCCTGTGGTGGTGTTGGTGCACGGGATGGGGGGGCAGGTCTCGCAGTTCGAGCCTTTAATTGCGTTGCTCTCCCAATGCGCAGATATACTATCCCTTGACTTGCCTGGGTTCGGTACTTCTCGTGTCACACCCCCTCATAATACCATTGGTCTGTTTGGCGAAACCGCTAAGGAAATCCGAGCGGCTGTTGGAAAAATGACGTACGAGGATTTCAAAACAGATAACATCGTGGAGATTCTCAGCCGCTTGGTGAGAAAACATGTTCCTGAGAACCGGAAAGTTATCTTGATTGGGCACTCCATGGGAACTCATCTCTCTGTAAAGCTCGTTAATAAATTGCCTCCGAACAAGGTGGAGTCCGTGATCTTGTTGTCACCGCCCGGAGTGGTTGACAACACGACTGGTTTGTCTGCCCCTGCCAAGCGGCCCCTTTTCAACAAATTAGTTCTTTTCCAGTACTTTCCCTCGCTTTTCAACTTGTTTAGAGTCTGGGATAGGATCGGTGGGTTGGAGTCTGTCAGTGTGGCGAGACAGATCCCGCTAAGCGCTTCGATCTACCAAAAGTCGCGTCAGTTCCGGTGGAACTTGGATGTAGATCTGGACATTGTTCTCAAGTATGGAAGTGGCTTTCTGCCGTTGAAAAAGTCCGAATTAGTGACAGCCTGCTCGAAGATCATTGACTACGGTCAGGAGCTCTCTCCGCCCTCATTCCCCCGGATCTTGATTGTTTGCGGTGATGCCGATCGCCTTACCCCGTTCAAGGCTTCGCAGACAATTTGTGACTCCCTTAACGCTCTCAACTTCAAGGCCAAAGTATTGAAGATTAACAATTGTGGGCATTCGATTCTTCTCGACAAGCCTGAACGGGTGTGCGGATTGGTGTTGGAATTTATCGAGACAAATCTTAGCGACTGTCATATCAGTCCGGCGTGGGTGCTTCAATGCAAAGCCAAGATTAGTGGCGACAAATGGGGGTTGAAAAATGAGATCAAATGGGCCAAGTTGAAGGCGGTTTCGAATGTGCTTGTGAATCCTAGAACCAATTCCAGGGCGCCGCTCCTTGGAATGAAAACCTTGAGAGAATCTGACGAAACGCACTCCCCAGCTCAGTTAGAGGCCCTCCATCCGGATATCATTGCCGTTGTGGACATCAGCAAGGACGTGCCTTCCTATAACCCCGAGTCGTTCACCCGCGTGAAGTACAACAAGTTGCCGACCGTCTCCAAGGTTCCGCCTGATTCGGTTACCGTACGAAACTTTATCAATTTGGCGGACAAGAATTTCAGTGATTATCGTGCGGAATCTGGAGCCATTGAGCACCCCTTGCTTGCTGTGCACTGTCACTACGGCTTCAACCGCACAGGGTTCCTTATCTGTTGTTATTTGATTGAAAAGTTGGGTTGGTCTGTGAATGAGGCCGTCATGGCTTTTAAACTTGCCAAAGAGCCAGGTATCAAACACCCGCATTTCATCGACGCGTTGTACGTGCGGTACGAGCAGTAAGTTGGAGGTATGACCACTGTAGCTGCCGTTCGATTGACCCGCTGTTACCATCGGATACCTCTAATAGACGTATTTAATACATGTCTGGTGTAACTGTAGAGTTGCCATAGGGTAACCAGGCTTTTAGCGAGCTGTATTGATAGTTTTTATAGGGCTTACCTCAGAGTGAAACGGTAAGGTTTAATGTTGGATAAAGGATTGTTGAGGGGAGTTTATAAGTTTTTGAGTGCGTGTGATATCAAGGTTTGGTGCTGGTTTGTTATACGAGAATGGAGTGGTGAAAGAAAACGAAATGGCGGATCAAGATATAATATTCTCAAGAGTTATTTCCCAAGGTCACATCCCTGCCTCAGATATAATGTACTCACAGCATTTTGATGGAAACCCTTTCATAGATATCCTAGGTGAACAATTGGAACATCCGAGACAGCACCTTGCAGCATCAAGGTTGTTCGTGATTTCTATGACCAAACAGTAATCTTAGGCATGATTGTCGTTTCAGAAGTTTGTGGTACGGCAGTCTATGTTGGCAATATCCGTGACTTGTATGATACCTCCTTTTCGGTTCCTTAGTCTTCAGTAATGGATCTTAGAGTAATACACTTTACACCGCAGCTTGGTCGAGTTCTTAGCCCACACCTGGCTCTCCATAGTCTGATTACCGTACTTGGATTAGCCCCTTTTTCTTTTCGTCTCTGCTGGTTCCCTCAAAAAGCTGTGGACACGTGTAGCAAGAGATCCAATGTCGCGACAACGAACCCAAACATCCTAAACAGTATCTACGAATCCACCAACGATAGTGTAGTCACCAAAGAAAGTGTCTAAACAATTGTTGGTACACATACCCTGAAATCACTGTTATTTTTTTATGTGTATTTACTAATTAATGCTGAAGGGTGTCCGAATTCACACTCTCCATTACACACCCTTTGAAGGAGTACCAGAAAGGGGCTTAGCTGTGGATTAAACCAAACAGACCCAAAGCCAAAGGCCTTATTCATCGATCGTTATCACTTCCATAAACTTGCCAGCCCCGTCAATGAACGGAAAGTTTTCCACCTCACCAATGTCTTCGGGAGATGCATTCCAGTCTTGATTGAACGATGTTTGCTGGGGATACAAGTGGAGGTTACTATCTGTCTCCGATTGGACCCCGATTCGTTTCTGGAGACTCTCAAACCTTTCCAAGTCCAGCTTGAATTGTGGAGCACTACAGTATAAAACCTGATTGGACCCATCTGTGAACGAACCACGAAGCAAATGAATCTTCATCTTGGATTTGTATCTTGGATAGCAGATGTTCCGCTTCACCCATTCAACGGAACATTTACCATCCAGAAGAACACTGGTGGTCTTACGTCTCTTTGGATTTCTGGAATCAATCTCGGCAAGAAGATTGACATGCGCCGCCTCGGGAGATACTGCTTTGAGCATGACCAACTTACCACTAGCATCTCTGATTGTTTGCACAAAGGTGAAATCTTCGACACCAAAGATGCACTTGAGCTTGTTATAGATGTCTTCTGAGGGACTTCCATCCATATTCTTCTCAAAGATCACCTGTTTGGAGATCTCGGTATGGGGTCTGTACTGATAACTGATGACCTGTTTTGGTTGCCGGGTAGCCCCTTGGTATGAAAATGAGAACTGGGCTTTTCTAGATAAGAAGCAGTATAAAGAGGCCATATCATCATGCTTCACAAAACGAGCACATAGGCGGTCGGTGTAAGGCCTCCCCTGTGGTTTCAGCTCTACCACCTTCACTCTCATCCTCTGGCTTGGTTTTGAAGGAATACATGACGTAGACTTGCTTCTACACACCGTATATCTGGGTTTACCCGCCTTTAAGACTAAAGCGGCATCTGCTTCGCTCATGAGTGACGAAATTTCAATGCGAGGAAAGGAAAGGGAGGCTCTAGCAGGGGAGGGATTCTCTTGTACCGACAACCTTTTCTCTAATGGTCTTGAAAGGGTAAAGTGTGGGTTTTGCGGCAGGGAAGTTGTGGGTGGCAGCGACAGTTGGATCTCCCGGTGTGTTGGCAAACCAAAACTCAATATGTTCAGGATCGAGTTTGATTTCCGCGGAAATCTTGAGGGGGTTTGGGTTTGACTCAGAGGGGTCTCTGGCCCCTTGTGGTAGTCAGAACCCAAGTCAAAATAACCCAAACTCTCAGCGCCATCCATAGATACTGAGCGTTGGAATGGGAGAGGGTGCTTTGCCGACATGGACGGGGCTCGTGGAAGTTGGTGGACCTCAGCAAGAGGCGAAAGGGGCTCACAGGTGCTAACATCCAGTAAAGCAACCGGAGAATTTATTTTGTAATTGTAATTATTAAACGGGCTGAATTCAAGGTTTGGCACCGCTTGGGCTACGCTGTGAATGTCGTATGACTTCTGGAGGGGTGAAATGGAGACGGCAGGAAGTCCATGGGACGACACGGTAAGATAGAGCATCGAAAGGTGTGGAAACTTAAAGTCTGGCTGAAAGATTCAAAATGGTGTCAATGGCTTTCCAAAAAAAAAAAGTACGGTTATAACTGCCAAGAGGGATAATTATGTATATTTATATCCTCTGCAGTATTGCATAAAGTCTGCTGGAGCCCACCCCAATACAGATTACAACTTCACATCAATTAATCACATCTGGAAAAACATGCAGTGCAAGCGTACTGGATCTGGCTCATACTTGGATCTGCGAATCAATGACCTGGGCCGAGATGTTTTACGAAATAGATAACTAGATCTTTATTTAAAATTGGATAAGCCTCGCTTGGATGTTCGCATATCTAGTGTGGAGTAAACTTTATGCGCATGTACCTCATACTATGTATGTGTTTCATCGTAGCCGATCCATCGCCTGATAATCTTTCCTAAGATACAAAGGGTTGCAACGCAAGTTAGATAACTTGCGGTACCCTCTCCTTGCTTGCATATTATCTTTGGTTGGCTCTGCAACCGAAACCCACTAAAATAATTAGGGGTGTACGTCCAGATTCATGATTAGCGCTACAGATGCCTAATGTGCAAGCACGGTTTGGTACCCATTGCCTTGCGCTTGTATGGCTATTTTGTTTAGTCCAATTTTTGGATGATTTACTCGCACAAACTACGTGGAGGATGTGCCGCATGTAAAGCTATGGCAGCTTCCTTCGATTGGCCACACCTGAAATCTACAAGGCTGCGTTTGGGTGGCCAGTGTTGGTCCAATTAGTGGCTAAATGTTACGTATCAACCCTCACTAAGGGGTAATGTCTCATGGAGAAAGGCAGTCCTAAGATGTTAGGAGTACTAAACCCTTGAATGCCAGCTGTATGTTGTGTGTTGTACCTACAAGCCCCTCGATGACCAACTAGAGCGTAAAGAACTGGTTCGAACTGGTTCCATTGACTGGGATTGGGTGTCTATCGCCTCTTCTGTTAAGTAAAAAAGGATTTCTATCGGGATTTGCAAGAATGCAGCACCTACACTGGGGTAGGACCAACGTAGAAGTTTCTGAGATCGAACCACTATTAAAAGCACTATGAAGTATTCACCTGGTTGTACCAAGGATACGGCATGTACTTGAAACCTGCGCTTATCCAAATGGCTTCGCAGGTGCATATGATGGCTGCCTTAGTCTATACTGACGAAACCATATCAAAGTAACCGGGGATACTATCATGTGAGTTGATTTTGCGCAAGTCATATGTGGTTAATTGCTTTTTTTGTCTCTCAGAGTTCACAGTTCTCTATTTGCATTCATATAACAGATAATCAATTGTGCTTAATAGTAATCAGAATAGATAGCGTCTACGTCACAATACTTGCTTTTGGATATTATGTTGTACCCCCTAATTTCATCTCTTTCGCCGATAAGACTTGATTATAGAGTCTCTGAGAGATAAGGGGAATGCCCGATTTAAGGTGTAGGTAACGCTTCCGGTTACTTTTGAGCCCCCAAGTCTACGGTGCAAAAACAAATGTATGAGTAGGGTCGACAAATGCAAACGATTGCTTTGATACCATAGATCAAAACGTAATATGCAAGGATAATGGTGAAACTCGTGGACAACAGTCAAATATATTCGCAAAAATCCCATATTCCGATAGATGGGTGATTCTCAGCTTATCGCTGTGTTGATCCGCAGGGATCAATCAAAGTTGGATCGTTCCTTCTACGATTTTCGGCTGCATGCATGTTATATGTACGTAAATCGGCGTGTTCCTATACTGCATCACATGCCAGTGCATTACAAGCCCGAGCATATACCAGCCAAGCCCTGAAATAGTCTATGTATTTCAGTAAAGCCCAGATTTTACTTCAAAGGCATCGGATATTGACTGTGCTATCTTTTTTTTTTTCCTTATAGCAAACAATAAAGGTCTCGGACCCAAGGACCACTGTCGAATTTAGGGGTGGCCTAGCCACGGTCCAGTCCCAGCAACTCTTCACTCTTGAGCAGTGGAAATAATGAATAGTGTCATTGCTGGGTAAAATAAAATATCCATTGCTATGTATTTGACTCGAGTATGGCCCATTGTGCATTTAAAAGTGGGAAACTTGCACGTTTCTCTATAATGGTATGCACGAGACAGATTACTTACTCGCTGGTGCTCGGTTTACTCTAGTGATGCATTTAAGTCTGTTTCAGGACCAGCCAAGACTTTACTAATAGCCACGTATATCGAAATTTTTGGTTATGGTAACACTTCGAGGGTAAGTAAATGCAGATATATGGGTCATCGAATCGAATCACAATCCCTTTGGGTATACTTTGGAGATCCTATATTTTAAATCAACTAATGTAAACGTTTATTCCTAGAACAGGCACCCCCCGTAACGAAGGACCAGGCCAGGAGTTGTGGAGATAAAATATATGTGAGAAAAGCATGGCCTGGCAGGACCACCTAAACCCCCGTTCTAGAGTTTATTTCGGAATGTTAATATTAAGTGCATAGAACGTGGGGTGTATGAGAATAAAGATTTTAGGTGTATTTCGGTGTGCACGTGTGTCAAGACTCTAGAAATCCTCTGACCTTAAACTAAAATTTGGCAAAGTTTAGCTAGGTCCATAGCTGAAGCTGTCAGAATCGGGATAAAGTGTCTGTTGGCTTTCGTTGTCAATTGACTTGCTTTATGCGTGTGGCAGACGCAAGCAAAGGCGGGAAATGATCAGGATCCTTGGCCGTATACAACTGGAGACTGCATTTTAGCTTGATACAGTAAAGGGAAAGTCGAGTAGATCCCTATCTAACAAAATCAATCGGCTCCGGTGCCAGACTCCATTCCAAACCTTTCTCATATCTGCTCAATCATATGCTCAAACTGGTTTCTGTCTACTCGTTTTAGACTTATATATTCCTGAGATCCATCTCACCCCTAAAGGCTTCAGAGCATAACCCAGATACTAGGCTAGGTTTGCAAATTCTCACCGATAATGAGAGACAGGTAGCCTGCGGGGAGGTAAAAATTGATGATCGACTTTGCCTGAAGCATGCACATGCGACACCCCATGCACTCTTGCCAGAAACTGCAATTGCCGGCAGGGCTACAGGTGATGCCCCACTCGTGATGTGTTCTTTCCGATAAATCTTTTTTTTGGATAGACCAAAACTCCTAAATCTACCAATAAATGGAGCTACCCAATGTTTTACGCATAACCCTTGTGCGAATTGACGTATCATTCCCGGAATCGTTGTTTACCGCGTATGTACAAATACGGGCGAAGAATGTCCGACCATACAGTGCGTCTGGTACACTTTTTGAGTAGCGCTGACAGATCTTCAGGCGGATAATCAATACGTTTGCTTGCACTAACGTGATAATACGAGGAGGACGATCTTGGGCGAGTTATGTATACGCATATGGCCTGTTAGTCTATCTGCGTCTATTTATACTTGGCTCCTGTGGTGGCAAAGAGAAAATATAGGTGCAGGCATACTCCCGATTGGCGATCACCCTAGCTTCTGTGCATCAGCATTTTGGCCTGAAATAGGCAAAAAGAAAATATAGCACTGTGGTATAGTAACCTCCGTGCGTATCGTACCCCGCTAGTAGATCATGTAGCCTCGCCGCACAATCCTTATGTCATTTTGGTCAAGTCACCTTGATTAGCTTGTAAGAGTTACTCCCCGTACTCCCTTGCTGAATGTTTGTATTGAGAGAGACCCTGATTGGTCTGTGATTACTTGATATATTACCAGCATGCTTGCGTTTACTTCTGCATGAATTTGTCTAGGGGTCAAAGTGGTTAGGAAGATGCAGCGGTTTGAGTACTACTCGGTTTATGAACGATTTAGGGGAGGTATGGAAAAGCGTGGGTACTAGATTGTGCTCTTCAAACGTCGTCGATCTTTAAAGTCTATAAGTGCCTCATTTTGCTGCTACTGCATAAAGACTTTAGGAAAAGTGTGAGACGTAAGAGACTGAAAGCTAACTACAGCCACGCGTTTTTACATGGCGGAATGCACGATTGATGGATCGTGACGCATGAATCTTTGAAGCGTCATTTATATTTTAATGTGGATTTTCCGGGATCAAGTAAGCAAAGGTAACCGAATTAAAAGACAATCCGTTTATTTGGAGACCATGCAAGGTTCAACTACAGTCAGATGGGTTCCGGGGCTATTCGTGGAGGCCCCATATTTATAAATTCGACGTCGATCCTTCAAAATTGAGTTTGCCGGTGGTTCAGTTACCTTGGCTCCGCTAAATCTCTGTTTTACTGAGTATCATATGGAGACCTGGTTGGATATCGTTTTAGGATTCCTAATTGTAACTCTGTCATATCCATGCCATCCTGTTATGAGCTGTCCACGTGCACCAGGAGTGAAAAGGGGCATATTCTTTGCCATATTTTTCGCCAGCTTTGCCAGTCACTTTCAATACCTTGTTTAATGCTGTCATTAATGAAGTATTCTATTGCTCCACCCCAGCTGGTACTCAGACCGGGCGCATATCGTATCGGTAACAGGGCGCAGCCATATAACAAGTTAGATGTGCGGTTCGTGATCAAGAGATGTTGGTCTCCCAGAAATCATGTACACCCAGAGTATTGCATATTGCTTTTTACTTCAGTGGTTTACTGTGTTCGTATCTGTTGCTTAAAAATAAAGTTTTGAAAGTGTAAACAAAAAGGGGGTCTAAGATCAGTTTCCGAAACGTGCAAGAATGGGGGGTTGAAGGCCAGGGTATGAAAGTATATCCTGTACATGGAGATTTTTCTGACTGGCGTCGAAAACGGCGTGTCAGCATCAGTCGCAAACACCTTTCGGCTCGCCGGATCCTCCTCCCTTCCGGAGTGTGATAAATACCAACAATTGCATACTGTGGATTCAAAGCATTTCCCTACAAATATATCATAGGTCTTCACAAAGATACCACAAGTATGTAGAGAGAAACTCGGGTAATTCTATATTAAATATACCACAATATATAAATATGTGTGTAAAGTATTAATTATGGCGCAAGTTTAATTGAATATATGTATACCTAAATGTGGGTTTGATATATAATATCTGAATATATAATGTTGAAATAATATATAGGTGTAAATATTTTCGAATCGGACGCTTTAACAATACTAATTAACCTTAGCGGTATAATATACTACCACTACGATGCTTACAAAATTACATCTAACATCGCATTTGCTTTGGGTGAGGGATTACGAGTTCAACTTCCTGCTGGGCACGTGCGGTAGAATCCAAAGCCCTTTGTAATGACGATTTCCAACCACTTTTCATACTCAGCAGGTAAATGCTTGGTCACCGCACCAGGCCCCCTCTCGGATTGGTCACGAGTTTTCCTCACAGGTCTTGTTGCCGGGCGACAGTCGCGGCATCATCGTCCCGATATCTGATCGTATACCAAAGTAGTGCGGCGGCAAAAAGAAAATGGGCGGTTGTCACGCGCCTCAATTAGACAAACGATGGGAAATATGGCGAATGCTGGTATATCACACCATAGGCTCATAACCATAGCCGCCAATTTTAGCCCTCCGCGGCTAGTTGTGCCATTCAATGTATGTGTGGCTCATGCATGGGAGTGATCTGTGGGGTGATTTTTCTATCCAATACGAGCCAAGCCTTATCTCATGACAGGGGCGTGGTATAGTTAGCTGACTCTTACAAAGCATGTTGTAATTCCCGTGCTTAGTTACGAGATCTGTCGTCAACAGTAGCGTGATCTAACAGTGCGTTATATATAAGCGGCCTTAGGTCCACGTTAACTTTTCTTTCGCAGATTTCGATATACAACAAATTAGAAAACACCTTCATACGTCAACAGCTCAAACAGCAGTGTACGCAATGAGCAACACAATCAGCTTTAACAACAGAGTCTCCGCCGCTCTAATGTTAGGCTATTTGGCTGTGGGCATGACCGCACCATTTGTCTTTCCTTTAATCTCTTCGCTAGACCCAAAGAATGGCAAGAAAGCCAGTGTCATCTACCAAAAGTCCGTCTTTTAGAGTTATGGACAGGGACCGCGCACGAGCAGTGTGCTACTCCACTGCATTACATTTAATTGCCAAACATGCTTTCAGAAAACCTACCAAGGAATGCATCCGTATATAATGGGGAAACTTTCATCTGTGAAGGGCTCCATGGGTGTTTTAAGCAGAATTCCACAGCATCCGTTTTGGGATTCCAAACGAGATGCTGGAAGCTTTATTGACTACAATTTTAATAGCATTTCTTTGTCGTTTACGTCATCGTAGAACTAAATTCTTTTGCAACCCTGCGAAATACCTGTATTTTTTTAGACCCTTGATGAATTAGATAGGTTGAATGTAAAAATATGATACAAGCAATGCTTTGTTATACGATAGTGCCAATTGGTGTGACTTTATGCCATGCACGTCCAAAAGTTTTACCAGTTGCAAAAAAATGGGAGGCAGTAAACCAGAGTTTATTGTGGGGGTTTCTAGAACACGTGCATCACGTGAATTTCGGTCAAATTGCGCAATTCCAACCGCATACGGGCTCACCATATATCCGATTTCCACCATAGTCCACACGCGAAACTTTTTTGGCAGTTACCGACTCTGCCTTTTCAAAATAGATACCATATCATAAAAATCAATGAAACGGGACTAAACCCGGGTTTAAAAAATTGGCTGTTCTAGCTTTGGCGCACATCGGTACCCAGCTGAAATGTAGAGCTGAGTTCAAAAAGGCTTGTTCAAACTCCGTAAACCCGCACCATATACCGTATTACTGCTTCAATATCATCAGCTAAAGATTATAACCTCTCTCGCTAGCGTCTGAAATATTCGTCCGGTTTTTCTCCATGACAAGGTGGAAACGTGTGCCAAAGATACGATTTCACCGCTAATTACTAAGCTTGCATTTATCACGCACAATCGCGGGATATACGATTTCCGGTTCGGACTCTGAATTTGAGTTCAAGCCTTTCCTTTACTATTTATCCCACATTGCAGGATAAATCGGGCTTTAAAAACAAAAGAAACGGTGCGGCTGCGTGGTGGCAGGTCTACCATGCAACTGTGGTGAGAAATGCAGAACCGATTACTAATGTGGAGCTGATTACAAATGCGTCTAATAACCAAGTGTATATAAACTGGATCTATCCCCGGTTCTACTCGTGAAACATTTAGAGATAACAAACAAATATTAATTAATACAATGACAATCCAACCTTTAGCTGATACAAACCTCTTCAAGCCGATCCAGGTGGGTCGCTACAAACTCCAGAATCGTGTCGTCTTGGCTCCTTTGACCAGATTTAGAAACGACGTCGACCAGGCTCCTACCGAGCTTGCGGTTGAATACTATGGGCAGAGATCTGCCAAGGCCGGTACTTTGTTAGTCACCGAAGCTACTTTGGTCTCTGCCGCTGCCGGTGGGTACGACTCAGCTCCAGGTGTGTGGTCCGGGAAGCAAGTTGCCCAATGGAGCAAGGTCTTCAGCAAGGTTCACGAGAATAAATCGTTTATCTTCGTCCAGCTCTGGCATTTGGGTAGAGCCTCAAAGCCTGACGCATTGAAGGCCCGTGGCTTATCGTATGTCTCTGCATCCGCTAGCTACATCAGTGACGAAGACAAGCAGCTTGCGGAGAAGGTTGGGAACGAGCTTAGAGAGTTAACCATTGATGAGATCAAGCAGACTGTCAAGGATTACGCGCAAGCTGCGGCCAATTCCATCAAGGCCGGGGCCGACGGTGTGGAGATCCATGGTGCCAATGGGTACTTGCTTGACCAGTTTATTCAGGCCATCTCTAACAAGAGAACCGATCAATACGGTGGTAGTGTGGAGAATCGTGTCCGGTTTGTATTGGAAGTTGTGGATGCGGTCGTGGCCGAAGTCGGTGCTGACAGAACCGGTATTAGATTATCTCCATGGGGTGTCTTTGGTGGTATGGGCGGGGCTGAGTATAACCCAGAGGAGACGTTTGGATATCTTTTGGAGCAGCTTGAGAAGAGAGCGCAAGAAGGTAAAAAGTTAGCTTATGTTCACTTGGTTGAACCGAGAACTGGGGCGTTGCTTGCGGAGGTTGAACTAGTGGAAGGTGACAATGGTTTTGCGTATGAGAAGTGGTCTGGTCCGATCATCAGAGCCGGTGCTTACCATGTGGACTACGATCTTATTCTGAGGGATGTTGGCCAGGATGATAGAACCTTGCTCGCCTTCGGTAGAAGTTTCATCGCTAATCCTGACTTACCGGAGAGATTAGAGCAAGGTTGGGAGTTGACCGAGTACAACAGAAACACCTTCTACTCCCCTGGTCCGGGAGGGTATACTGATTATCCTACCCACAAATAGTTTACAATGGGTCGTGTGAAACATTTATATAATATATAAAGATTTTAAGTCATTATTATTTGTAAACCGTATGCGAAAAAGTTCTATTTTGCGACGGCTAGGTTGAAATCCGGACCGGCGCAGGGATCAGGGGATTGTTTAATATTTGTTCGAAGAATGGCATGATGCGGAGCAAAAGAACATTAAATAATGACCAAGAGATTTTAGTGTAATCAAGAGCGTCCTTACTGGAGGACTCAAGTGTCTGTGAAATGGCATACGCGGTTCATACCCTTAGCATTATAATTAACGAATACACGTAGTCAGTTCACATATTCAAGACTTTGTTACCTTACCAAAGGACAAGCAAATTACCATAATAAATCATAATCGATTACTTATTGCTATGAACGCCAACATTATTCAGCAGCAGATCACTAAATATCAACAAGCTACGTATCTAAGGAACGTAAGCCATGGCTTGACATTTAACTGTCATAAGATTGACAGTAGTGCTGTGGGGGTGGATGCAGGCTTAGAAATAAAGTTTATTCTCAAGCACTATAGTGATGCTGTTTTGTGATGTATAATTCGGCATGTACCTACGATAGCTTTCCCGCGTTCTTTATGGAAGCCAACCATGCCTAAGGTCTTAAAGCTGTTTCAGACATGCAAAAGAGTGTATTGGTGATTCTTATTGCGGGTAAGGTCTACCTCAGACGAAGTAGGTCGACTCTATATAATTAATCTTCATTACCAGTTTTGTTATCCATGTACGGGACCTCCGTCTTCTATTATAGCAATACAGCACCGGTTATATATAATGCAGAATGCGTCGAAGCTAATATGCAATAGGCGTAGAGATACGGTGGTTAAATCCCAGAGAAAAAGTCTAGGTTAAATTTGGGATAAACGCAAGTGTAAAGGGTTTACCGTTCTAACCTTGGTCCCCTGAGATTTAGGGAGACGAGTCTGCGCTAAAGGGTTCGTCGTTCGAACTCCGTAAATCCGCGCCATATACCGTATTGGTGATTCAGTCATAAAAGATTATAATCTTCGCTAACTTCTGGGATACCCATCTAATTGCTTAGCAAGATGACAAGGTGAAAACGTGTGCTAAAGACACGATTTCAGGGCTAATTACAATGCTTGATTTTTTAATGCGCAATCGTGGAACACACGGCTTCCGTCTTGAATTTATCTATTACTGCAAGATAGACCGTGCATCTAGAAAAGAAACCGTGCAGCTGCGATTAAGCGATATGCATCACGATGCAGCAATGATTGAGTGATAGGTACACCATGCGGCAGGGATTTAGTAATGAGTTCAAGACGTGACAGCGATGAATAATGCCGAACAGATTACAAATGTGGGTTTTTCCCTGAGGGTATATAAACTGGATCTACCTCCCCTTCTACCGGTGAAGCATTCAGAGATAACAAAAAAATATAAATTAATACAATGACAATCCAACCTTTAGGTGAAAACGTGTGCTAAAGACACGATTTCAGAGCTAATTACTAAGCTTGATTTTTTCATGCGCAATTGCGGAACACACGGCTTCCGTCTTGAATTTATCGTTTGCCGCAAGGTAAACCGCGCTTCTAGAAAAAGAAACCATGCAGCTGCGATTAGGCGATATGCATCACGATGCAGCAATGATTGAGTGATAGGTACACCATGCGGCAGGGATTTAGTAATGAGTTCAAGGTGTGACAGCGATGAATAATGCCGAACAGATTACAAATGTGGGTTTTTCCCTGAGGGTATATAAACTGGATCTATCTCCCCTTCTACTGGTGAAACATTCAGAGATGAGAAACAAACATAAATTAATACAATGACAATCCAACCTTTAGCTGACACCAACCTCTTTAAGCCGATCCAGGTGGGTCGCTACAAACTCCAGAATCGTGTCGTCTTGTCCCCAGTGACCAGATTCAGGAATGACGCGGACCTGGCTCCTACTGAGCTCGCGGTTGAATACTATGGGCAGAGGTCCTCTAAGGCCGGTACCTTGTTAGTCACCGAAGCTACTTACATCTCTGCCGCCGCCAGTGGCTTCGACTCAGCTCCAGGTGTGTGGTCCGGGAAGCAAATCACTCAATGGAGCAAGGTCTTCAGCAAGGTTCACGAGAATAAATCGTTTATCTTCGTCCAGCTTTGGCATTTGGGCAGATCTGCGGAGCCAGACAGATTGAAGGCCCTTGGCTTGCCATACGTCTCTGCATCCGCTAACTACATTACTGGCGAAGACAAGAAGCTTGCCGAGAAGGTTGGAAATGAGCTCAGAGAGTTAACCATTGATGAGATCAAGCAGACTGTCAAGGATTACGCGCAAGCTGCGGCCAATTCCATCAAGGCCGGGGCCGACGGTGTGGAGATCCATGGTGCCAATGGGTACTTGCTTGACCAGTTTATTCAGGCCATCTCTAACAAGAGAACCGATCAATACGGTGGTAGTGTGGAGAATCGTGTCCGGTTTGTATTGGAAGTTGTGGATGCGGTTGTAGCTGAGGTCGGTGCTGACAGAACCGGTATTAGATTATCTCCATGGGGTATCTACGGGGGTATGGGTGGGGCCGAATACAACCCAGAGGAAACGTTTGGGTACCTCTTGGAGCAGCTTGAGAAGAGAGCGCAAGAAGGTAAAAAGTTAGCTTATGTTCACTTGATTGAACCGAGAACCGGGGACTTGCACGCAGAGGTTGAACTAGTGGAAGGTGACAATGGTTTTGCGTATGAGAAGTGGTCTGGTCCGATCATCAGAGCCGGTGCCTACCACAGGGACTACGATCTTATTCAGAGGGAGATCGACGGGAATGATAGAACCTTGCTCGCCTTCGGTAGAAGTTTCATCGCTAATCCTGACTTACCAGAAAGATTAGAGCAAGGTTGGGAGTTGAACCAGTACAACAGAAACACTTTTTACACCCCTGGCCCGGAGGGCTACACCGATTATCCATTCTACAAGTTGACCTAAGACCCAAGAGGCCTGGTAGGAGAAAAATATCAACAGCCACCTGTAACGTAGGGTCTTATGAGACACCATATAATATTTTTATTATTTTCAGCCAAAAAGATCAGATAATTGATATTTGAATTAACCAGTAGTGAAATTAAATACAGTTGTGCTTGATACCGCCAGCTTCACCGAGACCGATCAATAGGGGGTAGCAGTGACTCAAAGTGGGGAGAAGCGGGGACGGAGTTATGTGGGAATCTCATTATCTACGTAGATATACTACATAACTCACTTCCTACGTAATAACTCCGCACTATCTATTTTAATTTACGACTAAGTCTTTATTGATGCTGTTACAAACCCTTCAGACCCTCGAAGGCCTTATACGCATGTATCCTCCTCAAATTCTTGATCAACGTACGGTTAATTAATGTGTTAAATGCTGGTTTTATCTGGTAGTCCCGTGCATGAACCTCCTTTCTTCACTTAGATATAGGTGAACGGTCAATCACCTGTTAACATTGAAGGCACTACTTTACGCCAAACTAACGGGCACCGCGTCAGACATGCGCTGCTTATTCAACTAAATCCGAGAAAACCGCAAACCTCATATACAGAACAACCCAAACCTTCTCTGGCATCATTCAGTCAGACCAGACAGGTTTAGACCATTGGTCGAAATAGAGCCTTCAAAAAATTCCTCAAAAGTCTCGATATTTACTGATGACCCCAAATTTCTCTCCCCAGATCAGACCGTTTGCCGTGCTAAAAATAGCTTTAATATCCTGGTAAGGATAGGTCTAGCCCGCGTGCGTCCTGTCACACTTCGAATATGCAGAGTATCCGACGTTTTACTAGCTCCCTCGAAACCAAAACAAACATTCACGTGATATTCACGAGGTATTTTCAGTTCACGCTCGCCAAAATCTGGATCAGGAAATTTTCGGTGTCCGTATTTTTAGCGTCTCCTCCACTCAGCTGCATAGGGACAGCCAGCGACGGCATGTAGCCGCCATTCCGCCATCTTGGACAATACCCAGCCATCAACATCTCCCACATTTAAGACAACTAAAATGTTTAAACGTCCAATATATCGAAGAATATTCTACAAACTAAAAAGTGTGAGTCTTCTCTGTGTGCCATATGATTTGCTGGCCAGCTTCCCGCACGGGGTTTCGTGCAGCCCATGGACTCTAGGTTGTATTTCGTTCGTTCGCGTTAGACAACCCAGCGGTGCAATTACTTTTCCGCTTCGGGTAATAGCTCAGGATCTACGCTTCTTGAGTGTTATTCACCCATGCCTAATGAAAGTCGTAATCAATTGTTTGAGCATGGTCTGACAAAGAGCTAACAAATTTGCATTTCTAGCCCACACCTTGACTACATTTTGCTAGATACTCCTGTAGTCTGATATACCAAAATCTGATAGGGCTCCCAAGCGATTGACCTCTAAGGGAGCGATGTATAAACCTGACAGGTTTAGCCGGCGATAAATATTGCCTGGCGGCCAAAGCAACCCCGGGGTTCCTCATTGGGCTTAATATAGCCTCTCGTGTTTGCGTTTTTACACTTCGGTATATGTCTACTTAAAAAATATATGGAGCGGAATCCAAAAGACAAGCCATCCAAGACTATTCCACGCAAGTCGGCAAAATCGGATTTACCCACTATTATTCATCATTGCTTGATCCTTCACTCATAAATTGTCACCATTTACGAAACGCCTCCGCTGACAAGTAATCATACATTCCAGTGTTAAACCAACTATCCCCCCATGTCCAGTAGCATGCGACAGCGGGACGCGTCCATTTATTATCAAAGAGGAAAAAATACGGCCCATGCCTACGCGCCGCACTGACGCGTCTGCCATACTACCAGGAGAAAAAAACTGCAATTAGTAGGAGACTGGGACCGCAGCTATTATGACACCACACGAATGTCCATCGACATACAGCCTTTATTACTCTTAAACGTCGCTCACACTGTCACACTTTCCATCATTACAAGGAGAAAGCCAGTAATCCACCACTCTACATCCAGTCAATACAGCAGTATTCAGTCGGCCCCCCTTCGCAGCCCCTTCTTGCCCGTTTGACCATTGCTATTCCATTCTGCTAACCGCTTACTCGCTTAAAGCCCACCTTCCAGAGTCAACATCTTATCCAAAACTCTCTTTCAGTTGCTTGAATCTTGGCCAGTTTAGTCATGAGCTCGCCGTACCCTGTCACCCTCAGCTCCGACAACTTGGAGTCGATCATCTTGTCGAAACAGCCGGACTATCTCGGCACGTACGACGACTACAAACCGCTATACTCAGATAGCTTCAAGGAGAACCAGAAAGCTGAAGAAAACGAATTGACCGACTTTAGTTACCCCAAGAAGCTCCCGAAGATGCACTCGTTCCAGCACCTTCCGTTCGAGGACAAAGTTGCTCTGAACGGTTTATATCCCGCCATGGACTTTGACACCGTAAAGTCGCAGGAGAGCACCGCACGTACGGGTCAGATATCTAACTCCACAACTATGTCGTCATTCGACTCGATCCCGATGCTATCGCACTCGATTTCGGCTAATTCGTTGCAGTTCTCCCCAGGAAACCTCACGCAGATTCCCGAGCTGTCTTCCACCACTATGGCCACGCCCAGCCGCGGCCGCAACCGCTCCGCCTCGATGTACACTACGCCGTTACGCTTGATTACCTCGCCGCCCAACGTGGTCACTTCGTCCAAGGTCGGCAAGACCCCTAGACGTTTGACTCCAGGTGGAGTCCTTACAACATCCACATCCTCAACCCATTTGAAGGGTCACACCCACAAGCGCTCGGAAAAGATCTTGACGGCGTTTTCGGGCCACGCGCGAACCCCGTCCGCCGGAAATCCGTTCTATACCCCCCGGCTCCACATTTCTCCGGATTCGCCCGAAATGACGCCCAGGGCCATGCCCACTCTCCACAAGAAGCTCAGCTACGGAAAAGGGGATGAGGAATTGGGGCTGAGCCTTTTGGTGAAAAGGAAGGATGACTTGAAACTCAGCTTCAGTCTCGATTCCATTGCGTCATCCAGGGAGAAGGACGATGACGAAGAGAGCTTGTACGATGAGGACACGATAAACGATATGACCATCCTGGAAGACACACACAACACGTCGTTCCTCGAAGCCAAGGAGGAAAATACGGACACAAGGAACGTTTTGGAGAAGATGGACTCTCACATTGGGCCTGACAAGTCGATGTTGCACAACCAGCAGATGTTGCAGCAGCAGTTCTTCCTCCAGCAGCAACTTCTCCAGCAACAGCAGTTACAGTTGCAGCAGATGAAGATGCCAAACTTGTACCAGAACCAGTGTCCTCAGTCGGCCCCGTTTTCGCCCCACAACCCGTCCCAATTTACTCCGTTTAACCCCTTCTTCCACCCACCGGGGCCTCAGCGGTTTTCGAGCGGACCTGTGCCGACGTATACCCACGGTCCGGGGTTTCTTTCCAGATCGCAGTCCTCAATCAGCCTTGCCTCGATGACCGCCGACTCGCCGCTTAACCCACTCGCCACGCCCCCAGCGACGGCCGAGATGGACTACACCGTGATGAACGAGTACATGCTCCAGCAGCAGATGCTCCAGCAGCAGATGCTCTTCCATGGCCCTGTCTTTGCAAACGTCCCGACCGCCGTGGACAAGAAGAAGAACCAGGAGTGCCCGCTCTGCAAGATGCGCTTCTTGCGCCCGGAGCACGTGAAGCGGCACTTGAAGTCGCATTCGTCCGCCAAGCCGTTTTTGTGCGATGTACCAGACTGTGGAAAGCGGTTCAATCGGAAGGACAACATGAAGGCACACTTGCGGAAGATCCATGGTTTGGATACCAAGCAGCCGATAGAGGGCCAGTTTTTGGTCAAGAGCGACAGCGATATTAGTCTTGAGAAGGACAAGTAGTTAGTAATGAAGTTGATTTTTAACGTGTAATTGAAAGTAGCTCGGAGGGTGGCCATTTTTCAGAGCAGCTTATGTGAATTGTGCGAAATTTGTTTGAGGGGGACTGCTTTAGGGGTTGTAGTAAAAGTAGCGCTGAAAAGGGTAGGTCAATGTGGATACAATGCATAACGTATGCTGCGTTGAAGTTAAAACCATCCTTTAATTAGCTACAGCCGTTACCTTCAAGAGCCATTTGAACTGGCTTTAGTATCCCAAATCTAGTTCTTCAGAGTGTCTTGTTGATCCCTGATTATCATCTGTGTTAGCATCGTATGGCGGATATACTGCAGTTCTAGTTTGTAGATAGGACTGGTCTTTTATTATGAGTCCTACCCCGTGTAAAAGAATTGCAATAGGTTCTGCGTACTTTCCTATACTCGAGTTCTCACCTTATACCCCGAGATACCTATCAAAGACATCCTTATTAACTCGATGGTCTGGGTGATATTCCAATATATGTAATCTTTTGCTTTACCCCGATAATGTTCTATATATCGCTATTTTCCTTAAAGTCTTTAATTCTTAATTCTTGTCATATCTATTATACGTTCTCTCCGGGGGGAGGATCGCTGTTCTGTAGGATTATCCTTCCTGAAGTTGTGGAATTTATATGGCTAGAAACCAGTCTTACCCCTTCTTCGATCGGGATTAGATGATTGACCCGCTGTGCTCTTCTGCATCATCCACCGCCTGTGACATCCACTTCTTAAACACCTCCGCCAAACTCGCTCCCTTCTTCCCCCCGCCCGTTCCCTTCCCCCCCTCCTCCTCCCCCTTTCCAGGCGACGTAAACGACATAAATCCCGCATAATTGCTCTGAAGAAAGTTTGGCCTCTGGAGAATATCCCCGTCTGACAAGTCATCGTCGCTGGATTCCCGCTCAATTACCTCGCCCTGGCTGTTGGCAGACAACTCGAGGTTGCTCAACAGGGAGATGCTATTGTGGATGGTGTTGAGATGCGAAAGCAACGAGAAGGACGCCGGCAGCGAATACTGGTTAAAATTCTGCGACAACGTGTTGCCTGATCGGATGATACCAGAGTCATTTCCTGTAGTCTCCACCTCCACCTCTCCTCCCTCTTCTGGCTTGATCAACAGGTTCTGAGTAGTGTTGTAGCTCCGACAGTACCCACACTTTAATCCTAAAATATGATACAGACACTCGCTTCTTCCCCCACAGTCAATGCACTGGATGAAACACCGCCAGCTGCTGTATATCCCAGGCATCGGCATGTTCTCAATTTCCTGGTCAAGCACCCGAAACTGCGCCTCCATATTGAGGATCGTGCGGGTGCAGATGGGGCACTTATAGGAATGCTTGGTGTGCTGGTTGTAGCACTGTTGGTGGATGGCATGCCCGCACGGCATGAAGACGACGGTCTTGGTCGACGTAAACATGAATTCGTTGCAGATGGGACAGTCTCGCGCTGTCGACTGCTCCAAGCACTTGTGGGTGGACTGTAACGAGGTCGAGATACATGCGTTGCAGCCCTTGCAATGGTAGAAGTCCTTACCCAAACCGAGCCCCAAGCGGCAGATTCCGCAGCCGTCGCAATGGTAAATGTCCTTGTAAGGATCGTTGTCGTATAGCACACACGCAGCGCAGAAATAGAGTGCGAAGGTGGCTTCGCAGTTGACGCAGGTTTCCGACGGTTCTTGCGGCGTGAAACACCGCTGGCACAAGATGTGTCGCGTTTCCTTGCGGATGAGCTGTTTGCAGGAGTTGTGGGGGTCGGAATCGTGACAAAACCGGCACGGGTACCACTTCTGGCAGCGCGAGCACTCAATCTTGCAATTTCGCTGATAGTGTGAGCATCCCAACACCCCTTTCTCTTCATTGTGGTAGCTTGGGATTTTGTCTTGGGCCGAAAGGTGGACCCTGTCCTCGCCGATACGCTCCATAAGCCCGGGGGTTCCTGGGGTTTCCAGCCTGGTATCCAAGTAGTAGTGCTCTCCCATCATAAGCTTGTTGATTAGTTGCCCCTTCTGGATGTCATTCAATTTTGTGTGCTGCTGGATTCCCCGGATCTTGGATCGTTTCACGGCTTCGTCCCTGAGGTCCTCATCCGGCCCAAACGAAACCAACTGGGAGAGTTCCGTCGGGGTGAATCCTTCCCAGCGTGCATCTTTCGGCGCAACAACATCCTCCATAATAGGAATCCCGCGGGATTCTACGAGCGGCTCCACACCGATCGGCTCTGTATTGTCCCCCTCGGTTTCGCCTTCGTCTAGCCGAAGCTGGATCGCGTCCTGGATCACCTTCTGGATCGGTTTCAATCGCTCAAGTGCCGTCTGGATAGATACCCCGACGTCCAAATCGTTGAGCACGTTCCACATCTGTGTCCGTGTCGTGAACGACGTCACAAGCGACGGGATGTCGTGATATTTAGGCAAGGTACCCCACTGCAAGTCGAGATGGGCGAAGCTAGGGGCGGAGAATGAGAACCGCCCTACCTGCTCAAGGTCCATTGTTAATGAATCGTCTGAATCGTCGTCGCTCATGGTGGAGATGGTAGGGAGGAAGAAGTATCAGATCAACGGCAGCAATTTGACATGCACGTGACAGAAGAGTATGTAGGTAGGTATAAAGTCTGGGGTAGGCACGCCCTTAGGGCTGTGAGACGGACAAAGGTAGAGAATAAAGTAATGTGAGGAGTGGTTGGGTGGGATAGGGAATGAAAATAAGGGTTAGATCCAATTATAATTGATATCGGTTGGAGACTTGGAGAGTTGAAGTTTCATTTCCGAGCTAGACATTTCTCCAGACAAGCTTTCGTTGTGGAGTCGGATCAACCCTCTCAAGCAGACTAGGTATTGAACCTACCGGAAACCACAACCAAAAAGTAAGTCGCATAAATAAAACTCGAATTTATAGGGTCATTAAGAGACTGGTATAAGGCACCAGTAATGCTGTAGGAAGACTCTAGCTTACAATGAGTCTGGGTTCATTCAAAAATTAAATCCCACCTCGACTACTCACAGTTAAAAGTTTGCGAGGTTATACTACCTCGATATCTATCTATTTCCATATTTTACGTTGTTCGCCCTCTCTTAGTTGAACTTCTTTCGCTTGTTCTGCCCGATATGCTGCCCCCTAATGCCATCGATCATGCCACTCTTAGTCGGTGGGGGCGGCGGATTGCCCTTCGGTCTCGAGGGCCTGCCTTGGTAGGAGCTCCCATTGCCTCGATACCCAGTATTATAGTTATTATTCCGTGGATAGTCATTACTCTCGGCCCTAGGCCCCCTAGGAGGCATGTAGCCCGATCGATGGGGCCCGTTTGGTGTGATACGGCCATTCAAACTGCTGCCATTGTGTCGCTTAAAGCTTGGCTTGCTAGGTTGCTTTGGCGGATACGGGTTGCGATGCTGGGGACGGTTTGGTTTGAGGGACATCATCTCGGAATACTCATCGTCATTTGATTCGTACTCGTCCTCGAACTTTCTCTTCTTGAGGAGAGCAAAGTACGGGTCTCTCAATTCCTGGGGCAAGTTGTTACCGCTAAAAGCGGAACCGTTGATGTTGGGCGTTCTGGAGGCACGGTATTGCGGACACTCATCGCCAAAATGGCCCTTGGCGGCGCAGTTGTAGCAGTAGATAAGTTGGGTAGGCATCGGAATCTTCTTTGTCGTCTTCACCGTGAGGTAGCTTCGCCAGATGGACGGGCATCTATCTTCGCCATGAGAGGCCGATTCACATACGTTACAGTAAACGCGCTGGGCCTTTTCGGTACAGACATTCCGGTAATGCCCTTGTTTGCCACAGTTGGTGCAAAACTGCGACTTTGGACACTGGGATTCGTAGTGATCACCGATTTTCCCGCACGAATGACACACTACGACTTTGCATTTAGAGCGAATATGGCCTCTTCGGTGGCAGTTGGAGCACACTGGGCCACTGGTTTGCGGATCATCTGCTGCCCCAAAGTATCTACCCGACCCGCGGAGCTCGATAAGCTCGTCTGGGTTGTTGTTCACCTCTTCAATAGTCAAAGAGTAGATGGCATTAGGGTCTTCTTTCGGGGTGGATGTTCCACTTGCAGAGGGGGTTCTGGAAGGGATTATCTTCCTGGCTATTGTGGCAATAGCCTCTGTAGCTGTGGACATGGTATGAGTGAAGGGCTAACCTGGGGGCATTGAAATGGATGCAAAAATTTACGCGCCTGACAAATTTTAAGTGAAAAATAAATTAGAGTTTGGCGTTCGCGAAAATGTCATATTTCCGCCAAAAGGCTTTTAGAGAACAGGGTTTAGGTTGCCCTTTCACCAGGGAAGGGAGGTGACTCATTATCGTGAGTTGGTAGTATGGAATGGTATGACTCAGATGGCAGAAATCTGTATCAATTCCAGAACAACCTCTTAGTACGGGGGGAGGGGGGGTTTAATAATCATTAATTTATCATGATTCAGCCCTCTCATATCTAAGTTCCAGGGCACCACCAAACTGTAGTATATACGTCCTTATCAATCTATCTTGTCTATAGGTATTATACCTACCCTATAGACCTAATGTTAAATAAAACTAAAAACGGCCACCGGATGCTAATCAGGTCATACTCTATCTTGTGGTCCGGATCCTGCCCCGCCCATTCCTTGGATTACACTACGGGTAAACCTAGGTCTGGCCACCGATGCTGATTGTGAAAAAAAATATGAGCATTGGGCTCAGCGCTTAAAAAACTCAGCGCGGCTAGTACAAAACACCCTTTTGCTCCTCTTCCCCATACAATGTCTGAAGAAGTTGCCAAGCAAGTTGAAACCTTGTCTGTTGAAGACAAGCCACAAGCCCCAAAGGTAAAGGCTCCTAAGGAAGCCAAGCCGTCGAGAAAGGCGAAGGCCGCTGGTGTCGCCAAGAGCCAGTTGTACCTCGACCCACAGCCGGAGTTCATCCAGCACAGAATCAAAATCTTTGAAGAAGTCAAGGCTCAACAGGATGCCGAAATTGCTGCCAAGGAAAGAGTCGCTATCAAGCTCACCTTGAAGGACGGCACTGAGAAGGAGGGTGTCGCTTGGGAGACCTCTCCATTCGACATTGCCAAGGCCATTGGGAAGTCTTTCTTGGAGAGACAGGTCATCTCCAAGGTCAACAGTGAGTTATGGGACTTGGAACGTCCATTTGAGGGCGATGCCACCCTTGAGTTCTTTGACTTTGACTCCCCAGACGGGAAGGCCGTTTTCTGGCACTCCTCCGCCCACATCTTGGGTGAAGCCTGTGAGTGCAACATGTGCGGCCACTTGGTCTTTGGTCCGCCAACCGACGACGGTTTCTTCTATGATTTTGCCTCCAAAGACGGCGAAGTCGTGTCCCAGGCTGATTTCGCAAACCTCGAGGGCGTGGCCAAGAAGGCGATCGCCGAGAAGCAAAAGTTTGAGAGATTGGTCTTAACCAAGGAACAGTTGTTGGAAATGTTCAACTACAACAAGTACAAGCAGTACCTCATCCTGTCCAAGATTCCCGACGGCACCTCCACCACCGTTTACAGATGCGGTCCGTTGATCGATATGTGCAGAGGTCCACACGTGCCCCACACTGGAAGAATCAAGACCTTCAAGATCTTAAAGAACTCTGCGTCCTACTTCTTGGGTGACGCGAAAAACGACTCCTTGCAGCGTGTTTACGGTATCTCCTTCCCTGACAAGAAGTTGATGGACGAACACCTCAAGTTCTTGGAGGAGGCTGCTGCCAGAGACCACCGTAAGATTGGTAAGGAGCAAGAGTTGTTCTACTTCAACGAAATGTCGCCAGGCTCCTGTTTCTGGTTGCCTCACGGTACCAGAATTTACAACGCCTTGTGCGAGTTGATGAGATCGGAGTACCGCAAGAGAGGCTTTGAAGAGGTGATTACTCCAAACATGTACAACTCCAAGTTGTGGGAGGTCTCCGGCCACTGGGCTAACTACAAAGACGACATGTTCGCCTTCGATGTCGAAAAGGAGACGTTTGGGTTGAAGCCAATGAACTGTCCGGGCCACTGCTTGATGTTTAAGGCCAGAGAGAGATCCTACAGGGAATTGCCGTGGCGTGTTGCCGACTTTGGTGTCATCCACAGAAATGAGCTCTCCGGGGCCTTGACCGGGTTGACCAGAGTCAGAAGGTTCCAGCAGGACGATGCGCACATTTTCTGTACCGAAGATCAGATTGGGGATGAAATTTCCGCTGCTTTTAACTTCTTGGAGTTTGTCTATGGGATCTTTGGCTTTGAATTCAAGATGGAGTTGTCCACCAGACCAGAGAAGTACGTCGGTGAGTTATCCACCTGGGACAATGCCGAGAGCAATTTGGAGGCCTGTTTAAACAAGTGGGGTGGTAAGTGGGGCTTCAACCCAGGTGGTGGTGCGTTCTATGGCCCTAAGATTGACATCATGATCTCCGACGCCTTGAAAAGATGGCACCAGTGTGCCACCATCCAGTTGGATTTCCAGTTGCCAACCAGATTTGAGTTGGAGTACAGACCACAGGAGTCCACTGCCGGTGCCACCAGACCAGTTATGATCCACCGTGCCATTTTGGGTTCGGTCGAGAGAATGACCGCCATTTTAGCCGAGCACTTTGCCGGAAAATGGCCGTTCTGGTTGTCTCCAAGACAAGTCTTGGTCGTGCCAGTCGGTGTCGGGTACTTTGAGTACGCCGAAACCGTCAACGCCAAGTTGAAGGCCGCCGGTTTCTATTCCGATGTCGACGTTTCCGGTAACACCTTACAGAAGAAGGTCAGAAACGGCCAGATGTCGAAGTACAACTTCATCTTTATTGTCGGCGCGGAGGAGCAGGCCGCTGAGGGCGTCAACATCAGAAACAGAGACGTCCAGGACTCCCAAAACAAGAACGCGATGGTCAAGTTGGACGATGTTATTGTCCAATTGCTCGCCTTGAAGCAGTCCAAAAAGGTTGACAATGTTTTGTAAGTTGACTCATTTTTGTTTGTAATATTGAATACAAAGAATTAAACGATATATGAGATATTACCGGGGGATGGTCTAAGGCGTTTTGTGATAATATTTGGGTCAACGCTCATTAACGTGGAGTAGTAGGAATAAACCCAAGAATAATTATTGCTGTTTCTATTTTGTCTGATCGCTGTTTTCAGTGCATTTATTGCAGCCAGATATAAGCGTTACTTTCATTTTCATTCATATCATAAGCATATATAAGACTTTGGCAAGTCTATGCCCACTTGTCACCGTCGTCCTTGGAAGCATCTGGTTCACTGTACCCTCTCTCTTTTTCCATCAACTGATCAAAGGAGGTTTGTGCATCACTAGAGTCGGCATACGGCTGCTGAGCCGAAACTGGGACAGCCCTATCGTAACGTGCCAGTCCGTTCCGGACCCTCACAGCCTCCCAAGGAGACAACGTTGGTTTGGCAGGCTCGGCTTCGGCAAACGGATCATTGTCCATTTCTGACACTTGCGTGGCAATGGAAGGCTGGGCGGTGGATGACTGATCTCTGCACACCGAAGCTGGTCGTCTTGGATGGATCCCCAATGGGTCTCTGGTGCGGCCCAAGAAACCAGGCTTGATCTCAATGCCCTGTTCCTTCAACTGTTGAACCACTACCCTTGGGTCTGGCATCACTTTGGTTTCGTCCTTAGCGGTTTCCTGGAAGTATCTCATCCACATTGGCGCTTCCATCGGACTCATAAGCTTGATCATCTCCACGACTGGCTGTTTACTTGAATCTTGCTCCAAGGCATGGAATCCGGTGCTGTAGCCCCTTCTCAACCCATAATTAGAGCCAGCCATCATCCCAAGCATTCCACCAATGATTCCCAACCCTGCCCGGGCCCCTCTGGTGGAGCCAGTACGTCTGTACCGCAACACAAACGGAATGGAGCCGAGGGCAAAGAACGCACCCCAGCCGTACGAAAGCGTAGACTTGGACAAGGAGGTGTAGAAATCAATTATATCCTGCCGGTTTCTCATCGTCAACCGCCTATCCACCTCGTAAAGCTTCATCAAGTGGTCGAAGCCTCTGGTGTTGATGATATCGATGGCATTGAACTCTCTCCCTGGAGGCCCACGAGGCAAGGCGGGGCCATTGTCTGGGTTAATCCCAGGAATCTGATTGTTGTTATTGGACATTGAAAAATAAAGGTGCGGGTATTTCTGGTTAGTGGGAATTGAGTAGAAGGAAAAAGAGAGGGAGGAAGAGGATGGCGTTAAGTATTCTCGTGGAGAGACATTGCTCCGCGCCACTGGTATGTACAGAAGTACACGCCACATGTGGCCAACCAATGAGTACACGCTGTGGCTGGTGCATTAGACGATAGTCGGTAGAATTGCTCCCAATGGAGTCATTCAGTTAGATAAAGAGCTATTTGTTAAGAGTGCTACTTTACCAACCGTGTGTCGCTGAAATCTTTCGTCTCACCCGGATCCTTCTTTTCATCTGGAGTGGCGTGATGCGGTTATTTCTATGGTTTCGAAGGACCTCTTGGTCTGTCTTTAGCTTATTCCAGAGGTTATACCCAAATCTTTGTACAGCTGAATAGTAAATCAAGTACGGTATTCCAACAGTGTTTTCTCTTAGCTAATGATACCCACAGTTACCTACTAAATATTCCACGGCCAGAGTATGTCATTTTTATGTCTACTAGTAATCATAAATTTTGATACAAACCAGGGGGCATGACCGGTTCTTCAAGACAAAGCTGTACTCTGAGTACGCTATTTTAAACTTGTTTCATACACGAGAGGAATGTATTGGTGATTCATATTGCGGGTAACACCTACCCCAGACGAAATAAGCCAACCCCTTATACAATTACCCTCTCTTATTATGTAATCTGTTGACGGGATATTTATCTTCAACTGTATCAATACACCTACACTCGATACTCCGAGATAACTACACTCTGCACAATCACATCTAAACTTCAACTATGTTAACCCCACAGAATCTATAAAATACACGTAGCCTACACCTGGGCTTGCTCGTACTTTGCGACAATGTCATCAAACAACAGGTTCTTCGCGGCATAGTCCACGAGATACGGATGCTGGGGGTCGACCAGGGCCAACTCAGCTCTCAACTCCTCGACCCTGGCGTCCTCGGCCTCGGTCAACAACGCGTAGGTGATCTGGTTGGCAATAAAGTCGGCGCGAGGCGCACCTTCCACGGTGTCCAAAAGCAGCTGTAACTGCTTGATGGTCTCTTCGGACTCTGGCAAGCGGTTCATCTGTAAATTGACGGCCAAAAGGCTTAACAAGTTGCTGAAGGACAGCCACTGCGAGGAGATTTCCTCAAAGAAATAGTAGGCCTGTTGCAACTCGGCTTCACCGCCAAGCGACAAGTTCACTAAGGCCTCCGCGAGCTGAATAATGATAGAGTCCTGTGCCAACTTCTTGATCTGCTGTAACTCCTTGGCCGCCAACGGTAACTGGTGGTTGAGGATGCGTAACTGAAGCAACAACAAGATGGACTCCATCGATGGAGACTCCGTAGAGGTGCTCAACAAGGTGATCGCCCCGTCCACATCCGCATTCGCCTTCACCAAGTAGATCGCGCCTATTATTTGCACAATCTCCGTGTCCTGGTGCGCAGCAATGAGCTGTTCCAACTTGGCTCCCCCAGCAGTGTTTCCTTGTAAGTATTGGATGTAAGCACTCAAGGTTTCGCTAGTGAGATCATCCTCCGTTTGCAAGGTGGCTAAGGCGGTTTTGAAGTCCCCAAGAGCGATCTGAGAGCGCGTGATGTATTGCTTGGCGGCGGCGTAGTACGGCTCAGAGAACTCATCCAATGAGAGTTCCGCAACGGCAGAGTACTGACCGGCAAAGAACTGCTGGCGGATGGCGTATAATTCACCGGAATCAGAAAACGGGTCCATTATGAGGTGTGTAGGGTGAAGTCAACAGGGATGACACTAGGCTGCGACTGTGTTCATTTATGAAAGCGACACGTTGAGGACGCGGACACGACCCAGTATGTGCAGGACTGGCTATAAGGGGAGTAGGTCTATAGATTGATGGTTTCCGCGAACTGTTTGGCAGTATCGCGAAAATGTACCAAGTTGTACAATAGACAACACCCTTATTGATTCAGTCAATCTCCGAGTGTGGGGAATTCATAGGCTTGGCTAGTGGTGAACTGAATTTTTCCAGAGCCTTATACGGCTCCTAAAGTGTAAATAAGGAGAAATCGGCCGCCGGAGAAGCGTCGCAAGAGGGAGTTTCTTTTTGAGAAGTCTCTGTCTTACACCCATAGTTCGGTTCTTTACAGTTTTCCCTGGTGAAGGGGTATAATACGAGGATAAGCCGGGCAAGATTGCAGCTCCTCCTTCGATTCATTAACGGTTCTAAGGTAGTATCTTATTTTCTTTCCACCACCTGCCGTCGGACAACGCATATGCAATGTACCAACTCTCTAAGAGTCAACTTCTCATCTACACTGTGACTGACTAAGGCTATAACACCAAAGATAAGCACCAAAACAAAACACTGGCACCAGAGGTGCCGCGGTATATACAAAAATACGAAGGAAAAAGGTCGGAAGTCTATTGAAAAAAACTGGTAGACAATAACCGAAGCAGGTTCGTAACAAGTCTAGTCGGTGTTGGCGGAACGCCGCCAGCCATAAACGGTTAGAGTTCAATTTACGGTAGAATTTAAACCAGCACTAGACACACTGATACCAGCCCTGGTTAGCTATTAATCAACCTCATGGGCCAGGACAGTCAATAAGCGAGAGTCAACGTTCATATGCACCAGAATGTAGCCGATATCCTCGCGGTCAGATCCCCCTGGCCAGTCAATCTGAAGCCTTAGCAGGTTCGAACTAGAACTGATAGTCCCTATTCGACCCCAACGCCTTCCTTAAGTCACTGTCGTTACCCGTCGATGGGATGCCCACTTGTCCAGACATCGAATCCACCGGTTGCTCCGGCGACGGGAAGTACGCACTCCCATTTCCGTCCATGACCGGTGTGAGGGGTGCGCGCATCGTGGATACGGCGCCCGCAGGCTTGTGCGCCTTCCTCTGGCCAAACTCTGCCGAATTCATCATTACAATTGACGTGCGTGCCAACTGTGCGGGGTTTGGAAGTGTCTTCTCTGACATTGGATTCGTCCCTGAAGTCATCGACATTGTCAGGGGAAACTCAGAAACGCTAGGTGAGACAGGACTCCAGACGTTGGCATGCTCAATTGGATTGAACGGCTGCAAGCCAAGCTTTGGCTTGGCGGACCCGGTTCTTTCCTTGGGGAGGAAGTTGGTAAAGGTTTCTAGCGTAGATTTGCGGAAGTCCGCAGGAGTAGGGAGCAGCTGGAGAGAGGGAAGGTTCTCGGGGACGGGGGCCTGCTCTGATGGGTAGCCTCGTGGTTGCTGCTGGTATTGTCCCTGTGGGTACCCTTGGTTTTCCGCATACCTCCGGTTCTCTGCGTATTGCTGGTGAATCTGCGGGTTAAACTTCTGGAACGGATGCTGAGCTGGAGCGTACCCCTCTTCCATCATCGAATATACCGACGATGCCACCGTGTTTCTTTTGGCATCATGCTCAACTGTCAAATAGGCATGGTCCTGCATCTGGGGCAATGGTGGAACCATGCCCTCTTCCTCGTACTTGTTAAAAAGCTCATCAGCTGGGCCCACGGACTTCATCAGGTTTCCTCTTTCAAAATAAACCTTGTAAACTGACTTCATGCGCTGCAATTCTTCTTCTTCCTTGGCTGATAAGTCGTCCTTGACCTGGTTCACCAAGTCGAGACGGCTACCTGCGTGCTTGTAGTCATCTCCATCAAGCAGAGAACCACGGGCGGTGGTAGCTGCGGTGTCGCTGTTGCGGTGAGACATGCTATCTCTGTCACCCTCGGGGAAGGCGCTAAGCTCGTCGATCTCGAACTTGGATTCATCGTTGACCGCGAAGGACTGGCGGTTATCCGTGTTCAAACCGTATTCATGAGTTTCCTCAAGGGTCGCGGTGTCAAGCTCGTCCGAACTTTGAACGTACCCGCCAGATCTCACGTCTCTGGTTACGTCACTGCCGGATCTGGCATCTTTGAAGTCAATCAGATTGGTGGTTATCGATAACTTCGACTGCCCGGCCTGGCCCTCCAACAAATGGTTGTCGCTCGTGTCGTATCTGTCGGAAGTAGCCTCAACATCGCTTCTTTCAGACGTAGCGTCCGACGCATCGTGTCTAGCCTCGGACTCATCGTACCTCCCGTCCCCGTATCCTTCAACACCGTTCTCAATCCCATTAAGCGTGAGGTTCTTCGACAATGTCGAGAACGAGGAGTTGCGCTTCGAGTAGGGCTGCGACGGATGAGCCAACGATAGCTGGGAACTCGATTTGACAACGTTGTACGCAGGATTCTCGGCGCCGATGTTGCGCGCATACTCGTCCAACGAGTGTTTAGATCCGGTCTGCCCCGAGTACGGTAACACGAACGGGTTCGCGGAGATCTGCGTGTGCGAGAGAATAGAAACGGCGTCTTGCGTGCTATGGCGCACGCTGCGCATTGGGTCGCTGTACAGCCCGTTGTTATTCGCATACATGTGGTTCATGTTGTGTGCGCCGCTCTCGAACGGGTTTAAGTACACGTCCGACTGCGACTTAACCTGAGGCTGTACGCTCATCTCACGCATGTATGGGCCATCACGCGGGTAGTCTGGCAAGATCGTCCCATCGCCATCAAACTCGGGGTCGTTGTCGAACGCTGCCTCCTGTTGGTTTTTGCGGTAGTTTCTGTAGATAAAAGCGCCGATAATGGCCACGAAGAGGAGCACCGGCACAATCACCGTGATGGCAATACCCCAGGCGGGTATCGACGTGGGCTTCTCACATTCCTGCAGATTCGTGCAGTCAGAAGCCAGTGTCGCTCGAATAAACACCGTGGGTGGCATGGATAGTAATGCAAACGAAGGGAAAGGGTATATGTCGCGTCGTGAAGTCACAGGTAGTGGTTGATCCAATTTGGAGAAAAAAATGTCACCGTGTGGTTGTAGCAGAGTGACGAACAAATCTTTTTTTTTTCCTCGCTCAACTATGATCTCTCCAGAGGGTATGATAGAAACGTTTAGCAGTATGAGTGACTTTGAGTGTTATCTATTTTTACGCTCCGCTGGAAATAATTTTGAATCGATCCATTCGGATCTTGGCTGCGGCGCCAGACCAGGTTCGCGACAGTCGCGAAAATTCTGCGTAGGGCTCAGACGCGCCACCTCTGCAGAAAATGACTGCAAAAGATCACATAACGCAAGTCAATTATGCGTCAACGCGCCATATAAACTCATGCACAACGGATGTGCATGTTTAGCGTAGGTAATTGGACGGACACCGTGGTTTGATGGCAGCTAGTTATACTTTTCAAGAGGCCTGTTATCTAGCGGTTGACCACGAAGTATGGCGGTCTGGAAAGTTATATCTCCTACTGATACAATGTCCCATCCTCTAGGGAATGGACTAATGTACGTCACTATATTATGGCGACTTTTAGCGTCCAAATTTCGGCCTCAATGCAGCAGTGTACGGCAACGGAATTAAAACTCCAAGGCTTACAGAGGAATTGCGCTAGGGGAGGTCAGGGCTATAAATATGGTCAATAATCCCATACAAGATCTAATTGTTCTCATGGCTAGATACCTCTCTGACTTGGGTTACAAATGGAATGGCACGTATGCGGAGTCTACACCGTTCAAAGCTACGCGTTAAGGTCTTATATGTTGCATTCCCTTCGGGCTGTGTCGGTGCATGGGCCCATGCGTTGGCAACCGTCATGCAGTTGACACCAAAACCATGTAGCTAGACATGGAAAGGATCGGCCCAAAACGAACGCTCGCGCATGTCGTCTCCTATCTTCGGATGTGTACGTTTCAGAGCCACCCAAGTTGCATCGTTTTCGATTGGTAAGTCGAACTCGACTTGCAAACCGAAAAGGATTTAACAGAAGCTTACGCCTCGAGCTACACGTCCGTCACACAAGAGCAGGACCGATAAATCTGACCCGTTCTCGTGTGACAGGCCGGGCTTTGGCAACCACTAAGAATCTTAGTGGCACCAGAACATTAAAATGGCTAGATAATAATGGGTTTCCAAAAACTGACAAGAAAGCCATTTGCAAAGACAATTCCCGGATGACTCTGGTAAAAGGCAAGGGTCATGTACGATCGGAATTGATCTTCTGGCTCCATGGGGAACAGAAGTCTGGAAAAAGTTTTCGAGGGCGACGGGTTTCTTATATAGGAAAAAAGAGCTGCATCCGGGTAATCGCAGGCCCGGAAAACTCATACTTTTATAGGGATCCACGCTCGCATGGTCGGTGCACGACTTTTAAACACACCAGGGAAAGTAAAAAAAAATTACGGCGAGGGCAGGCATAGATTACGGTTCCATATAATGGCATCAGTATATATTACAGTGTCATATTATGATCTCTGCCTACTGGGATATTTAAAATCCAGTTTCAAAGCGTCATACATGCATTCTCGTCTCCTCCACTCCCTTAAAAATAAATCATCTTCTGTCAGGGTTCCAGCGCCTGTTGGTATTCCGGTCGGGGGGTTGTAATCAGTCATTGATTCACAAGTTACTTATCGTGATCTTCCACAAAAATGAAGATAATATTAAAACCAAGATCATTCTTAGATCTGGAAAACTACTTCCTTATATAGCTTTCTTCGGTGCCTCATTTGCTTTATGCAACAGGATTAGTTTCAGATACTCATTATCAAACAATCCTAGTAGCCTCAACTGGAACCTCATAAGGTTCCTGAAACAACTCTCTAACTCTGACATCTTCCAGAGCGAGCCTCTATGGCCAAGTTGGTAAGGCACCTCACTAGTAATGAGGAGATCGTCAGTTCGAATCTGGCTGGAGGCATTTTTTTCCTCTCATTTTTGGGTTATGAGCCCTGTTTGCATATGTGTAACGTGTCGCAACGCAACTCTGAGCATCTCTCCACTTTAGGCTAAAAGGATACATTCTCCCCTCCACCATAACAGTATCGCCAATTGTCCACCCATATTATGAGCAAATTCACTGAAACCGCTTTGGCCGTGTTTGCCCTCGTGTCCGTCTACTTGGCCTTTGTGTCCAAGGTCATTCCTACTCCGGCAATCTTCTACAACGAGATCGTGCCTGTGTTGCCATTCTGGGCTCTTGTCAGTTTCGGGTCCTACGCCTTGTTCACCTTGGGCTGGGGTGTTTTCACCTTCAACGATAAGGAGGAAAAATACCACGAGTTGTTGTCGGAGATCGAAGAAGCCAAGGTCTACTTGAAGAAGAACGGTGTCACCGTCGATTAAGTGCCGACCCATGACGCGGATTCTTGCTGAATCGGTACTGGAGCCCGGGAGCTATGTGCAATTATAAGTTACGTTTAATATATGAAGCATGAAATAAACAACAAGGGTGTAGAGTTAAAGCTTGGAGGCTAAAGATATAGAGCGATTGCTTTTAGTTTGGAGGTCAAAGGGTGTATATTCCGAGAGATTGCTGGCGACGGTAATAAAGCACAGTGTTGTGGCCTGGAACCAACAGAAACGGTGGGTAGAATAAGGATCGGATTAAACTTACAATGGCGTAGAGATAAGCAAGGTAATAAATAACTGACAGATACCCTTGTACTATATGCGTGGATAAACGTCACAGCGATAGCTGGTTTGTAAAATGCTGTTTGTGTTGATAATGACTCTATATCTTCTTTGACGCCGATCTAACGACTCTATAGCGTCTTTAGTACTACTAGACTATGTTTAGAACGCCATTGAAGCGCTTCAAGTGGCTGGAACGTTCTTACGCCTACCGTTCCTGCTGTCGTTTCTTTATCCTCTTTTCCATGGCTGCAAACTCCAGCATTCCAACAGGAACGACTGGTTTCTTCTGCAATTTAGGACCGAACTTCTTCGACTCCTGATGCATTGTGTTTGACATGTTCTGCGGCTTTAACGAGCTTGGCGGCTCAATCCCCTCGGGCCAGGTCCCGCCCTTCGCTTCCAACGCCGCGACGGCCTTTTCTCGTGCAGTTTGCCATTCCATGACATCGTCGTTGAAAATCTCCCAGACGCAGTTAATACATCCACTCTGGCAGCAGTTAGTTGGTTCGATGGGTTTCGCGGGAACCGTCACGCCAGCAATAACAGTTGGGGTGCCAGGGTTGAATCGAGAAGGCGACAGGTCAGTGCCAAGAAACTCGCTGAGCATTTCTTTGGTGGATATCATGTTGCCATGATCTGTGTTTCCTTTGTAGACTAGCGGCTTTCTATACCGTACGTGGCCCTTAACAACAGCTATGGAGTTAGTATCTGAAGATCGCGTGTTAGCGAGATGCGTACCATCATAGAATTTGTAATTTGAAACCGGTATGAAGGGTCTACTTGTGGTGGAGTTGAGCCGTCTCAATATTATTGGCATTATTAATGGTTTAAGAGAAAAATGTGTTTGGAGTAGTGTCATAGGAAGGTCTAGGTGTTGATATAGAGCCATCCAAGATGTGAAAAGTAGTGACCATATCGGATCGTTCCCGAATCTACAGTGCGTCGTTTCTAAACACAACATGGATTTTAGGCGTATTGAGCGGGGGAAGACACTACGGCATCTGGGAGATTTCTTGCAAAACAACACTGAGGATCTTTGATAGTTAATCCTTGGGGTATTTTCCCGATTATTCTGTATTCAGCGATTTATTATGAAATTTCAGTGGTGGAAACCGAGGAATAGAAAAAGTGAATCATATGACATTAAGTGCACGTGAGCAATAAAGTCTGAGATCTATGTAGTAATATGTGTTACCAGCTTTCCGAGTGATAATTTAGTATAATATCAGGTCTTGTTTTTACTTTTAATATTTATGGATCTTCGGGATAAAATACTTATTTTTGTGAATCTACTCGTTGTTTCCCCTTAACCTCTGTTGTACTTTCAACCTGCATGCTACTTTTCTGCAAATTTCCGTATAGGGTCTGTCACCAGAGGGCCCCAGATCTACACCATCCCTACCCCTTTGAATATTCACGTTATTCTTGGTTCATTCCTATGCTTCGACATACCTTTCGTGCCAAACTACCCGTTTTACGACGCTTTTCTCATGATGACCGGTTTCAGCAGTTGAGTAGCCACAAATTCAACTTCCTCCTCCACGATTCCCTAGTGTTTCCTAAAATCCCGCTACCGGAGTTGATCTACGGGACGGTGGAATCCATAGACCCAACGATCCAAATTCCGAAGGAAATAATAGAAAAGCGGTTCAAGGAAGCGTACTACCAGGTGCTCAACCGGCAAGCAAGGGACCAGCTCCAGAAAATGGAGAGCAATGATAGCACCCAAGGCTTGGTGAAACGCCTGGAAGCAGCAGCAGATGGCATCCACGAGGAATTCTCCATGGCAAAGCACGGTGCGACGATATTTTCGCCCAGATACCAGCGGATGTTGGTCTACCGAACGTTCAGCGGGCTTGTGACGGAAGACCAGTTCCGCAGCATCCAGAAGATGAACATTTTTAGTCTCATCGACGATTTCTACTACGATACGATTAAACAATTCTACTCGATTCGGAATAAACCAGAAAAGAGGAGAAAGAAGGTTAATCAGAATATGCTTCAAAGAGAGACAAAGCCCGAGTTGTCAGCAGAGGCACGGCGAATTGTCTCCGTGCTCAAGGTCCTCAACCACGACCGGCTGAAAATTCAGTACGGACTTCTTGCTTCCTCTGTGTGGCGGTCTATTGGCTTGCTCTTACCCAACATCATGAACTCTCTAGAGCGGAGCTCCCCAGACCATCCTATCTTTCACGAATTTGTGGTCGGCGGCAAGACCACGGCTTTTCCGCGCGAGCTGCTCATTCCCATCAGCGACCCCGTCCACGACTTTGAGGTTGTGGATGAGTATAAAACAAAACATGGCTCAGGGGAGATTTCCGATTTCGTCAGATACGAACAGGCCCAAACCATTCTCAATGCAAATGCCAAATACCAGCGGAACGTGGAGTGTGTGGAAGCGTTGCTTAAGAAGATGCATCTGCTGGCGGCTATCACATACTTGGTGGTGGACGAGCCGGCGTTGGTGGAACAGTACTTGGCAGTGGCCAAGAGATTGGGTCTCAAACTAGTGGTGCTTACCCATAAGTTTCCCAATCCGATTACAACGGCAGACCAGGAGAGGTTCCAGGGCTTGGTCAAAAGATTCCACGAAACGTACCTCAAACCGATTTTTCAGGCCCGTGTGCGTAAGGGGGTCACCACGGCCAAGGAAGTTTTGTTTTACAGTACGTCCAATATCAACAAAGCCGCTCTTAAAACTCAAAGGATTAACTTCGAGCATTTGCTCCGGGATTTTGACAAGCTTGTGGGGTATAGTGTGGTCTACTTAGAAAATACCGCTGGTTTGTTGGACTACATCAAGGTATTGCAGTTTATCTCTCAGCCAAAAACAATGTGCTTTATCAATGAGATTCAAGGAGTGGATGCGCCAGCAGGTGAAGCTCTCCCTGACAACGAAATCGACGACTTTGAGGGTAGAAGATTGCACGATTTGTTTGCCAAAACGTTTAAGTAACGTGCTCTAAGATTGGCCTAATGTACATAGTAATAATAACCAGGACCGTCTAGTGAAAATTCACCGAGCATGGTTGGCTTAAATTTTAATTCGAGATCTATGTCACTGCATTCTCATACCAAGCTAGTGGTAACCGTGGGTGTGTTATTGATACAGCTGCATTCGGGCTTAGTTTGCCATTAAGGATTACCCCATAGATGGCAGGGCCTGAGGTACCGATGCATGGTTCCAGAAGAGGATGCGTTGGTGCGTCTTGGCACGGAGAAATTGGCTGAAGGCTTCCATGCATGATTTGAAGGCGTTGACAGAAGCACCCAATAAAGCGTCGATTTACGCGTCAAAACGGTATCTGATCGTACTATGAGATCAGATTAAGATATAATTCCCCAAGAACGAGATGGTAAAAGAGTTAAAAGCCAGCTCTGGAGCACAAATTATAGCTGATTACGTTTAGGAATGCCCCCTGTCATTGAAACTACACCAATCTGTTTCCCCTGGCCCAAGCCTCTCCTATCGCATAAAAGGCCATCAATTATAACATTATAATGACGTTAATTTTAGGCACCGAAGTTATGTCATTGCCAGCTCTTACAGTTTTTGACAAAAGTGCCTCCTAGATAGAACACAAGTTCCTGCAGAAACCTGCACGAATCTGCCGCGCTTGCCCTGCCTGAGGCGTTTCCTTTTTTCTTGACCCGCGCCTGGAAATTGGGAAAAATAAACAATCCTTTTGTTCTGTTTCCACTTTTTCCACATAGACTCCCACACTCGATTAACTTTAGCTCTCTCCCATTCACTTATTCTTTCCATTCACTCCTTTTCACTCACTTTTTTATTCCATTATGAAACTCCTCTCTCTCTCTGCTGCCTTTTGCTTGATCCAAGCGATCAGCTGCCTTGAACCAGTCACGCTCAAGGGTAAGCGCTTCATTCAGGACGGTAATGTCTTCTGGCTCAAGGGTATCGACTACCAACCGGGTGGCGCGTCGGGCTACGACGCGAATGCGAATGCGGACGTGTTGAGCGATGCGGAAGCGTGCACGCGTGACACGTACGTGTTGCAGCAGCTCGGGGTCAACACCGTGCGTGTGTACACGGTGAACCCGAACGTTAACCACGACGAATGCATGACGATTTTCAACAACGCAGGGATCTATTTGATCTTGGATGTTAATGCTGGCTTGGCCAACCAGTCGTTGAACCGCGCGAACCCGGGCTCCTCCTACAACGCTGGGTACTTGTCGCGCGTGTTTCTGGTCATCGAGGCGTTCAAAAACTACCCAAACGTGATTGGGTTCTTCTCCGGGAATGAGATCATCAACGACGAGACATCGGCGGGGATTGATCCGCCCTACATCCGTGCGGTGCAGCGCGATATGAAGCAGTACATCGCGAAGAACTGCGCACGCGCGATCCCTGTGGGTTACTCCGCTGCGAGCGACATCAACTTGCGTGGGCCAACCTTTGAGTACCTTCAATGTAACATTGACGGAAACGATGACGACTCAAAGTCCGACTTTGTGGGTTTGAACTCGTACGAATGGGCGGCCGGCTCCGATTGGGCCTCTTCCGGCTACGCAAAGATCAACTCCACCTTTGAAGACACAACCGTGCCGTTATTTTTCTCAGAGTACGGTACCTTGAACGATAACGGTGCGGAGCCGCGTGCGTTCGACGAGGTTACTGGCTTGTACGGCGGTTTGAACCAAAGCTTCAGCGGTGGTTTGGTCTACGAATACTCCATGGAAGCCAACTCCTACGGCTTGGTCACCATCGGTAGTGATGGGAGTGTCCTGTTCGAGCAGGACTTTGAAAACTTGAAGGCAAAGTACGGTAACTTGACGTTGGCCGATATCAGTGAGAGCAGCGTTGATGACACCAATACCATCACTTGTAACTCCACCTTTATCGAATCCCTTGACAGCTCCTTCGGGGCCAACTTCACGCTTCCACTGCAGCCGAGCGACATCCTGAGCATGATTAACAACGGGTTCAACAGCTCTAATGTGGGCGAGTTGATTAGCAACTACGCCCCGCTGTCATCCAACTACACCATCAAGGACTTGAACGGGAATGTAATCAGCGATGCTACTGTGGCATACGTAACCACCTATGTCTACCAGGCCTCTGCTGCCACGTCGGCGGCTTCCAGTTCCACCTCCTCGACCAAATCTTCCTCGTCCAAGGCTGGCGGTTTCCAGGCTGGTGTCAACGGCGGGTTGTTGTCCTTGGCCTCGTTTGTGTATTTATTGTTGTAAACCGCCTAGGTTAGGGTTGTGACCCACAGATTCTGTTTTACTTGACCCCAAGGCGTCTGCTTTATTTTATCACATGGAGCTTTGTCCTCTGGGGGGCTTCTTCTTACTTTTTTCTCTTTGTTGCTTTTTTTTTCTCATTCAATCTATTATACCCTCTTACGTTTATATTTATTGTGTACCCTGAAGCTTTCATTTAAGATGCTATTTAACATCATAACTAGAATTAATCGTCTCGACTGTTATCTGATTAAACCATCTATACTGTCCTCTTTTGTGTCACCGCTATTATCCTGTCTCCACGAATTAACACCTATACGTCAATAGCATTACCTTTTTCTTTCATCTCATTCTTTTTGTATCACTTCCTCGGCCCAATCTTGTTCTCCTCCTCCTGGCGCTTTCTCCTCATCTCCTCCACCTCCTTTTCCGAGTACATACCAGCAGCAACCTCCTTGACGCTATCCATCGTGCCAGAATAGCCGTCCCATTGAACAACATTTCTCTTTGACCTCTTTCTGGTTTCGTCCTCGACGGCCTCTCGCTTGGCCAAACGCTGGATATTGGCGTATACATCCGTGCTCAAATTACTTCCGTACGTGTGGTGCTTGCGCTCGAAGTTTTCCCTTTCCTGTTTGTACTTTGGATCGCGAAGGAGAATGGCAATGTGCTGTTGGAACTGCGAATCCGGAATCATCTGATGGGTCAATGGACACTCGAGAAGTTGGTCAGTTGCTGGGCTAGCCCGTTTCAATCTCGTTTCGCCGGCAGATTTAATCTTCATGCCCTTTGGTTTGGCATGCGCCTTGGGTTTTGGCACCTCCCTCGCGAGCACCTCAAGCTCCGCTTCGGGTTCGGCTTCAGGCCCTGCTTCATCCTCCTCCTTAATACTTTCTTGAGTGGTCACACCCCTTTTCTTGCTCTCTAAAGATCTGTAGCGCAAGTCGTCTAACGATAGCGGCGGCGGGAGCTCGTTGATGTAGTCAATTTCAGAAAATTCAATGGTCTCCACTACGCTAAAATCGTTCCAGTCGATCCGAGAAAACTCCAACTTTTCAAACTCCAACGCCTCCATTGCCTGCTTGCTGGTGGTTTCCTTGACGTAGTTGTACTCCGCTCTCTGGAACGCGTGAAGCAAGAGCTCATCCCTTGAAGCACTGAGCAAGCCATTAACCTCCGAATCGGTGGTATCACGCACCACTTTGCGGTACTGCTGCACAAATAGCCTGAAGATCTTGTGAAACGAGTGGGTATCGTTCAAAAAGTCGTACTGGCCCGTGGCGTTCCGCTGCGTTTTGATGATGTCAATATACGGCTCGCCGTTAACCGCCACAAACAATGCGGTCATCTTCAAAATACTGATATCAATTCTGGAAATGGGTGGCAAGTTGCGGAGAATAAACGTGAAGGCTTTTGGTTCGGCAAAGTCCTCGAGGGATAGCTCCGCGCCGATATCAGTGTTTTCCTGGGGCACGAGACTAAAAAGCTCCAAGATCCCTTCATTTCCCGCTCTCAACTCCTGGAGTACCCAGGTGTAATACCGGTTGTACGGGTCTTTTTCATATAAAAAGCCAAATTCGGGGTTGTTTGCCTCCTGGCTCTTCATTTTGAGCTCGAACGAATCTCCGTTCTTGCTCACGTACGACGAGACCTTGTGGATAATGTCCCGGATATCGAGCGGCGGGATAATAACATCTGCTGGAATTGCATGGGACATGACTTCTTTGGGATGTAGCGCTTTGGTTTTAGATGACAGAGGCAAACAGAAATACGTTTGGTACGGAAAGAGAAAAAGGTTTCATTTGGATGTGCAGGTACCATGCTGGTGCGGCAGAATTTACGCAGGATACTCAAAACTCAGCTTCGACCACGGCCTAAGAATATCTTTCAACGGGAATATAGCTAGCGCTCATTGCCCTCCCTCCAACCCTCACATCCGGCTGCGTAATGCTCGTGCAAGAAATCCCCAAGGGATACAACCCGAACGTATACTTTTCGTCGTCCATCAATCTTTCCAAAAAACCGTTGGCGGTGTTTGAAAAACCAGCAACGCCAACGCCACTGATTGCCGGGGCGGAATCAGACGCTCAGCTCGACACGCCGGCTGAGCTGACCTCCCTCCAGCGCGGGAAACGAAACACGGGAGTGGTAAACTACAACATTTCCCAGTTGTCCCAGCAATCCACCACGACCTACGTTCAACAAACCAGTCAGGCGACCTTGACGCTTCTCGAGGAGCGGAAATCAAGCAAACGGTTCCAGGAGTTGGACCGTGAAAACTACGCGCAAGACAAGACGTTTGAGATTCCCAAGAATGGATTTGTCTTCTTCCATCGTGCCACTGGCAGCGGCGTCGTTTCAAAGAGGAACCCCGCGGTGCACAAGACAAAAAATCGAACCGGGGTCACGCACAATACCAAACGGATTCTCGCCTCGCGCAAGAACTTGGGGAACTACATCGACGAGTTGGACGATCAGACGATCGGTTTGGTTTTCAACCTCGAGAGCTATGAGGATAAAAACACAACAAACAAGAATGCCATCAAGTTGTGTTCCATCTGTGGGAATAACGCGTCGATGAAGTGTGTGAGGTGTGGCGTCCGATTCTGCTGTTTGAAGTGCAACAATTTGCACAATGATACCAAGTGTACAAGCTACTCCGGGTAGGAATAAACAACAATGGCAAGGCCGGGAGACGAAGCAGTGGACGCCTGAGAGGTCTCACCACCACCACCACGGCGTTCGAGATCTGCTTATCTGGAAGTTATCTCTTTAGGTTGGCCTAGGTGTATATCCAAGATTTGGCATCGTAACCATATGTGTTATTACATCGTCACACCAGTGCCCACAGACTTATTGGTCATACCATACATTGTTCCCTACTGGCAAAACTTCCGCTAGACTTGGGCCAAAGTAAATGGCGTTGGGCACGCTTACAAAAAAAAATCAAAATGCAAAGTATGTATGTAGCTTGTTTTTTAAATGACGATCGAGTCGCTGAACACGTCGTAGACCCCAGAAACGCCGATGCTCCCACTGGCTCTGTCAAACGTCGTATGAATACCGCCAGCGACGATAGTTTCCAACCGAGACTGGCTCTTTACTAGCTGGGAAATCTCCGGACGGATGGCGTGGATCAACAATGAAATCACCTTGTTTACCTTGGCCTCTTGCGACTCGCCGGTAATGGCGCTAGCATCGGCATTGATTGTGGTGGACTCGAAACGAAGGATTTGACGATGCTTTTTCTCAAAGTCGTTCAACGGCTGCACCTTCATGTAGTCGAGTAACGTGGTGATGGTGAAGATGTTTTTCAACGGAATCCGCGACTTCAAGGAGGTCAAGATGTAGTTTGCATAACAGTAGTGTTCGTACGACAACTTAAGCGAACCAGGAAGGCTATCCTCATCTTCCATCTGCATATTCAAGTTCTTAAAGTCCTTGAAGTAGTCAAACTTGGCAAGCTCAGCGAACGTTGCCCGGCCGGCGTCGCAGCTGTCACAGCGGCACTTGTTCAATCTGGCGACAAAGTTTTCGGACTTGAGCAAGGCTTGCGGGTCGCGCTCGCCCTCTGGGGCCGTCATGTACGGTACCCAGTTGTAGAAGAAGTCGGGGATGATCAACTCCTGCAAGGACTTCAAGCGCAAGATTGCGTTGAACATACGCACGGTACGATCATGAAGATCGGCGTCAGGGGCCACAACCTGGTCGCTGTGTAACATGTGTGGGTTGGACGAGTTTGGCAACTTTGTAAAATCGTTCAAATTAACATAGAAGCTTCTCAAGTTCAGGAAGAACGGCAAGTAGTCGGTGATGAAGTCGCACCACTGGTGTGAGCTGTTATTCTTGTTGTTCACAATCACGAGCTTTTCAACGTTGGCGATACTTGGCTGGAACTTGCGTCTCTTCCCACTAAGGGATTCCGAGAGCGTGACCAGGGGAGTCACTGCCTCCAACCACTGCTTGAAGAAGGCATCGCTGAAGCACAGCTGGCAGTTCATGTCGTCGCAGTTCATCTTCAATTCCAAGTTCTTCAACCATGGGGAAGTCATGTCAATGGCGGAATTCAACTTGTGGAACAGCAACTTGGTGTCCTGGACGTTGTCGCGGTCGATGATCTTGTAGCGGTGGGTGTTGGTCACAGACAACGTGAGGAGCTGCATACGGTCCATCGCGCCCCTGGCCACCAACTCCGACACGTGGTTTAGAAACTGGTATGTGGTGGTGGTGGCGTTCAAATGCAACTCGTTTAATCTTTCCAACACCTGGATCCCGTTGCGGGATACCTTGAAGTTTTCCACCCCCAATGTCGAGAAAATGTTCTGTCTTGGGACGTAGATCTTCAAAGACTTGGTGGTGGCCGGGTTCAAGATGTTGATGTCATTCCAATTTAACAACTGGAACTCGCGCAACGGCATGATAGACTTGTCAAACAAGAACAAGGAGGTGGACGAGATGCCGCCGCCGCTGCTCCGCGAGAGGTACGGCGAGCTCGAAAGCATGGTGCCCGAGCGTCTCCTCATGCTGCGGCTTCTTCTCAATCTAACCTCATCATATTCCATCTCATCCACCTCCTCGTGATGGATGTTACGGAAATTTCCCTGAATGTAGTTGGTCTTGTTGTAGTCGATAAAATTGTAGTAGATCTTGGAGTTGTTGTAGTCCAAGTTGTCGCACTTGACCAATGACTGCGACTTCATGAGCACCTTGTACAACGGCTCAAAGGTGTTGCCGCCGGTGCCGTTGGCGTCGGAGGTGGTGGAAATCACGATTTCTTCCACATAGAACTGCGGTAATCTCGGGTTCAACTTCAACGTGCGCACAAGGTCGGGGAGTTTGGACTTGAACAATACTGTGTACTGCTTTGTGTACTTTTTGTTGTAGATCTTCTGCGAGGCATTGTCGTTGACAATCATGATGTTCATGTAGAGTTGCTTGTTGGCCACGTCGTTTAGCGTCTTGCACGTGCGGCCGAAGTTAATGGCGTCCTGGGTGTCATTATACAAGTAGAAGCAGATATCGGAGAGAATGTGGCCGGGCAAGTTCACAATGTTTTTGTCAAAGTTGAACGCCGCAAGACTGCCGGCAGAGATGGCGTACGGCTTCTGGAGAAAGGATGCGGAGCGTGGGATGACCAAGCTGGATGACGGTGTGAGCGACTTGATGCCGGAAAACGCAGAGACCTGAGACACCGATGTGGTGGATTCCGCCAACGGCGCGAGCTGGTGCAAAGAACGGAGGTTTGAGTGCGATTTCTTCACAAACTCGCTAAACGTGCGAGGCGACGAGGAAAGCATCGATAACGGGGCATCATAGCTGCCCGGTGTGGAGCCGCCAAAAGACATTATGTGTGATCTAGGATGGTTAAGAGGGTAAGGTGTATACAGTAGACGATACCGTATGGCTGTGGAGAAACAAGAAGCATAAAAACCATTCCCGGGGGGGCAGCATTATTTATATATGTGCTAGCCGCCAAAAGGTCAAGCTTTGGGCTGAGAAGCAAAAAAGAAACGCACAGTGAAAAATAAATGTTTGGCAAACGTGACATGAGCCGCCAGCTCCTGTCACTTTCCCCATGTTTGCATGCAGGCGGTGCTCGAAATGGTGACGCCAAGCCCGCGCGGGCCATTTTCGCCGCTGTCGGCATAGTGGAGGTTAAGTGTGGCGTACCGCCACAGCTTTCCTTTGCTCACAGCTCATTTGGCACGAATACATGCGCCACCTGGCTTGTTACTGCTGTGTCTACGTCTCCGCGGCATGCCCGCAGCAACGGATGTAATATGAGCTCTCCGGGACTCAACCTTAATTGAATAAGAATTAGAGCCGAAGAACTTTAGAGGGTAAACAGGTGGGGGAGGTGGTACGGCATCATGCCAAAGGGCTAAGAAATTGTATCTGTAACTTCGGACCTGTGGGTGAAATCCCCTCAAACTGTGAGGCGTTCACCCTCCCCGATCTAAACTGCATAAAAATCGCATCCTCTCAGTAGTGGCCGGCTGAAGTAGGCAACATTTACCCCCAGGGACAGACAGCTGCTTGACGTGATTTTCACGCTGTGGAGCTTTGCCGGGAAACGCACAGGATGCCGTGCGACCAATATAGCCAGCATGACTTTGCTATGGGAAGTCAGTGCCGGCAGTCCATGCAGGAAGTCACACTTTTCCCCACCCAAATCTCCACCTTAAGGCAGCTTGGAAGGCAGCTCTGAGCAAAATGAAGAAAAAAAGAGAAAATTCGGGAAGACGGCCCCCTGCAAAACAGTTTGAAGAAGCGGAAATAAATCCTTTTCAACGATGATCAGCTCCTTGATACCGGTATTGAGACTTTTCAGTGAAGATTTTTCACTGAATGCGGTAAAAAGCAATTCTCCCCGACGGTTTAAGGTTGGAACCACGAGCCAGGCGTCATACGGCACTAACGACGTTTTGTAGCGTGAACCCTCTCTTGGCGTCGCAGCCAAAGTGTGGATGAACCGTACAGCGTGGTCAAAGGTGACAACCATGAATCACTTGTCTTAGGTCAGTATTGTAGGTGAAACCTTTGTTCGCATATGCGTTCCGAAGGCCCTTAGCTGTAAAGTGCCACCGATGATGCGAGATAACACAGTCGGAAAGCTTATTACTTGCATCGACGGAGAACGAATAGCGCTGGCGAAACCCAAGAAATACCGTTGACGTTTTGAAGTAGACTTTTAAAAGTAACCAGGTAGGTGCACCGGTGGTCTTACATCGAAGGAAACAAGTCATTGCCGGTGGAGTATCACTTACAAATTCAAAAACAGGTTTATTTCTCATGTTCTCTGTAAGATGTTATTTGCCAGTATTATTAGTATAAGAAATTTTTCACATACATACTCTGCATGATATGATAAGTGGGAATTCCAAGTTTTTCGTACAGCCCTCGGGCTTGTACATCTGTCAATTTTAACAATACAGAGACGATTAGCATTGTCCTTGCATAAAGATGACACGCTTTTCAAAGAGATTTACCTGTTTTTTTTCAAAACTAAGACTGTAAAAGAATCTATATTTTTACATATATTGACACTATTGAGGTTGTATAATCGATGGATTTGTCTTAATAACGGTATTTATCATTTTTAATGGTCTATAGAAGATTAGTGTTTAGAGGTGGTATGTGCACGTGATTGAATACAGGCCGGTGTTCGAATTTGCTAAACGTAAAACATTGATCTTAATTTTCACAGTCGTGCACAACATGTAGCGCATAATACCCAGAGAAAAGCTCGAAACCCGGCCGTGACCGCAATATCAAGGTCATGATGTAGTCTAAGATATTTCTATATCTGTATCCACTTTTGTATATATATCTTTGGCGAGATTATCGATAGATATTTGTGCGTATTAAGAATATTGTTTAGAATTTTAGTATTTATATATCCATATATATCTCATATCTATTTTTCTTCACCATCCATACGTAAAATTTTTTATATACATATAAAATTTTTGTAGTTATTATCCATATATACAGCTTTATTATATTGATACAATACATGCGTCTGTAGTTCCACCAATTATGCACACTATAGGCAAACAGAAATTAAATACGACACATTCCAACGAATTGCGTCTATTATAGCCCAGCCTCTATCCAGATCTTACCCTAAAACCCTCTTCTGCTTCGGAAACCGGCTGCTTTGACCACTGTCTTCTTCGAACTGCCTGTATCCCCAGTGACCTTTGCACCCTTGCTCTTGATTCTTTGCCAGTACTCCTCCTTATCTTTGACCATCTGCTTCTCCATGTTAAACTTGCCTTCAAAATCGTCCAAGAAGTCCTGGCCATAAAACTCGACCAACTTCTTCGTTTTCTTCAAGCTGTAGAACACAGACCCAAACTCGACCAACCAGAGGGGATCTACCGCGGTCACCGTGTTCATGTACTCCTTGGACGTCACCATCACTTCATGATAGACGACGTAGCCCGGGAGGTCCCCGAGTCCATACAAGGCACTGGTCGGGTGCAAATGCAAGCCCATCAAGTTGCGAAGCTGGGTGAACTCGCCAAACTTCTTGAATCGGGCTGCCTGTTGGAAGAACCCGCAGCAAATACACTTGCGAATGGTATCCCATTCCGTTCCCGAGGACACAACCGGCAACTTCTGCTTCTTCATGATGGAAATCAACTGCTGGCGGATATCCTTGGCACGTCTCAAGGACTTCAGGTGGAGAAAGTGCTGTTGGCACCACAGGTCGGAGTGCTTTTGCGACTTCCACTGCGAATAGACGTTCAACAACGTCAAGTGGTCAGACTCGGGGACAAAAAATTTCTCACGAATGGCATCGGACTCTGCCTGGCGCTCCTTTGGCCGGTAGAACACATTAGGTACCGATAACATTGACACGATGGTGATGATTTCCTCGGAGCACTGGTAGCCCACCGATATGAGCAAGAGCTTGGATAAGGTTGGTTCCATCGGAAAGCTCGCCATCCTGGTTCCCAACTCGGTCAACTCGCCAAAGTTGTCGAGCGCGCCCAAGCACCACAAATCATACAACGAAGTGTTTAAGGAGATTTCAGGCGGGGGATCCATAAATGGGAACTCAGACAATTTCTGGGAGAGCCGCAATGACTTGAGCAACAAAACGGTGCTCGACAAGTTGGTGCGCTGGATTTCGGGAATCTGCTGCGCATACATCTCTTCACGGGTTGCCAGCTCTGTGTACAAGCGATACGCAACGCCCGGCCCCGTACGCCCGGCTCTTCCCGACCGCTGGTTAGCGTTGGCGACCGAGATGGGAACCACCTGGAGCGTATCCATGCCCATCTTGGCGTTGTACACCTTCATTTTACAGTACCCGGTGTCCACAACATATTTGATACCGTCTACGGTGAGCGATGTTTCGGCGATGTTGGTCGCCACAATGACCTTCCGCGGCCCTGCCACGGTCCTCAGTTTTTTTCGGAAGATCTTTGCCTGGAGATCGGCCGGCAAGGTGGAGTAAATCGGCAAGATCTCCAAGGGAGGTGGCGAATCGAGCAAGAGCAAGCGCTCCGCGAGAATGTCACACGTCGCTTGAATGTCCTCCTGACCCGTCATAAACACCAAGATGTCTCCCGTGATGTCTGTTGTCAAGTGAATCGTCAACACCTGCTTGATGGCCGCCTCCACGTAGTCGTCGGCTGGGAACTTTGCGTAGAAGAGGTCCACAGGGTAGGTTCTCCCCGGGATCGTGAACTGCGGCGCTCCGTTGTAAAAGGCAGAAAAACGATCGGCGTTCATCGTGGCCGAGGTGATAATCAATTTCAAGTCTCTCCGCTTGTGGAGCACGGATTTGAAAAGCCCTAACAACACGTCCGTGTTCAAAGCCCGCTCGTGCGCTTCGTCCATGATGATCACCGCGTACTTCTCTAACACAGGGTCCGCCAACGACTCCCACAACAACACACCATAGGTCATGTATTTGATAATGGTCCTGGGAGTGGTACAGTCCTCGAATCTGATCGCGTAACCAACCTCTTCGCCAAGCTTTACCTCCATTTCCTCGCTCACACGCTTCGCCACACTCATCGCCGCTACTCGCCTGGGCTGGGTACACCCAATCATCTTCTTTCGGCCCTTGACAGGGTCATCCCCGTGCCCGTATCCTTCCTCGAGCAAGTACTGCGAGAGTTGTGTCGTTTTACCGGAGCCGGTCTCACCAATCACGACAACCACCTGGTTTTCATTGATTACCTGCATCAACTCGTTGCGCACCGCAAACGCGGGCAAGAACCGCCGTTGCTCCTTTAACGTCGCACGAGAAACATTATCCACCTCTTGTTCGTCAACACTGACTGTTGTCTCGGCCTTTGCCGCCTCCTCCCTTATTCCTAGAACCTCACCTAGCACCGTGCCGACTACACTCGCCGCACTCTTTGCCTGTTTGATCCGTTCTTGCTGGACCCGTCTTTCCTTCACCAAAGTGCTTCCCCGTTTGGCAAAGATCGCCATGGTGGATTCCACGTCCCGCACCGGGCTCACCATGCCCCCCTTCTTGTTGGCGGCCGCGCTGAGGAACGAGTACTTGTTTGAGGAGTCCACCGAGGCGTGTTCATCGGCAAGGAACGGCGGAACCAAATGATGAGTGCTGATCTGCATAGGCACTTCTTCGTCATCAATGTCATCCACACGGCTGCCACCGGTTCCCGAGAGCTGCAACTGGTTGCGCTCCCAGAGATCATTGTCGAGGCGCCTGTCAGAGTTCCGGGCTCGGCTTCGTTCTTTCTGCTTGAGATGCATTCGGTGGCTTTCCAAGAGTTTTTCCGTTTCCCGCTCCTCATCCTCCCAGTCGTAGTTTGTGTTTTCATAGCCATGCTCGTCCAACGTATACCAGGCTCTATCGTTCTCAATGTCTTCGTCCAGCTCCTCTTCCTGCGAGGTTTGGTGTAAACCCTCAGTACTCGCCGGTGCAAGTGTCTGCTCGATCTTCTGCTTGAGCTTCTGCTCAAGCTTTACCTCTTGCTTGAGCTTTGCCATTCGTTCGAGTTTTGCCATCGCCGCCAATGACGGCTCTTCCTTAACAAGAGGCACTGTGATGTGGAGTAGTGGCTCTTCCTTCTTGATATATGTAACATCGTTTTCCTGCTTGATCAACAATGCTTTTTCCTTTTTTATTTTCTTGAACCGGATCTTAGGGGCTAGGGGGAGCTCGGGGTGGTTGTCATCCTCAAGTTTGATTGTCCGTTTGGGCTTCGTGAGGGTGTCTTCAAGATCAAAATTTTTGTCAAACTCTTCGTCAAAGTCAAGCTTGACGGTCACCCTCTTGCTTCTGTCCATTGAACACGGTGAGAAAGGGTTCTTATAACTTTGTGATCGTAGTGCCATCTACCAACCTCTTCGCAACACTAATGGCGCTTTAAGGTGCACGGGAAATTTTTTGGATGTCACGTGCTACATACAAAATAGATAAGGAAATGGTCCCCCGATGCCAGATTGAAGGAATATTTAAGTAATAAAGAGTGCCATTAATTACTCGGAGAGGAAGTCAAAGAAAAGCTGCAAGGCGAAAATTAAAGACCTGAAGGGCAAAAGGGATACTCGCGCCGGGATTGACCTCTTATCGGCCTTTCCGTGCAACGTCGCACGTTGCTTTAACCTTAACAATGCCATTTGTGTATTGAGAGAGAACATGCGCCTATAATCTGATTTATCTCATGTCTTACAAGATACTCTACGTCCTCGTCACGAATACGCCCTATCAACATTTAGACTCTTATCAAAGCTACAAATGCTATTGGCCTACCTTGACTTGTGCGGCGTCGTGTAGGCCAAGATTTTCACTGAACCGGGGCTGCGCTGTGCTCCATACCCTTCTCCAGGTTTCCACAGATCTATATCCTGCCTATATAAATGCAAACCTCTCCGCTCACTCTTTTATGGCTAAACAGAGCTAGATATCGATATTTCAATGACCGCTACAGACGACGCTTTTGCGAGACTTCAGTCGCTTCCCCAAACCAGATTGGACTTCCGCGCTAACCCATGCATCACCCAGCCCAAGGTTATCACCTTGCCAAAGACCGGGGGCAAGGCGACCTTATTCCCAGTCAATAACACTACCAGCACCTCTGTCCCCGAATCGTTGTTCGAGTACATGCACCAGGAATTCAACCACGCCGTCGAGGAGGGCCTTACCTATCCACACCACGAAACTATGGACAGTGACCAGTTTAGAGGCTACTGGTTCTGCTCCTTTGTTGCGATTTTGATAAAGGGTGAGTGGGAGAGTCTTAAAGACGCCGACAAGAACGGTACCACCAACTGGGAGACCGAATTTCTCGGGACATACTACGTGAAGCCAAACTACATCGGGCGCTGTTCCCACAACTGCAACGGTGGGTTTTTAGTCAACCGCAAGATCAGAGGCATGGGGCTTGGCGAAGCCTTGGGGAAGACGTATTTGGACTGGGCACCCCGTCTAGGCTACACCTATTCGGTGTTTAACTTAGTGTTCGTGACCAACGTTGCCTCCTGGAAGATCTGGGACAAGTTGGGGTTCAACAGAATCGGGTACATTCCTGGCGTAGGCATTTTGAAGGGGGTGGATCACCCTGTCGATGCCATAATGTACGGGATAGAGTTGAAAGTTAAAGAGTAGAGTGTATGACAAATGACTGGAGCAGTCTACCGCCACGTGGGATTTGGATAAAAAAGCTCACCAGGTTATTCTTGGCAGAAGTTTTACATCTATCATATTAACCAAGTATATAGCTGTTGAATTGATATATCAAGGTACGGTTTGCGTAAATAGAGATGACAGAGTGAGCAGGAAAGGTTATTTATATAAGGGATAAGTCTATGTTGTCTGAGTTAGGTGTTACCTTCAATAAAGAGTATTGGACCGGTAATGAAAAGTATTGGGTCGGTATACGAATATCGTATAAGTACCCTTCAATAAATTCCTTTCAATGTATGTCTAAAGCAGGTTTGAGACATTAACGGTATTTGGTAAATTGTACAATGTCTCACAATGGGGCGGTGACATTCGATCAAGTGGATTCCTAGCGTGATGATACAAGCAAGGCCGCAAGTCACGAATCAAATACCATTCCGAATGGCAACGAGATGTGCTTTCCCTGTCGATGAATATTGATTACAAAAGCCCAAGCATAGTGCTCTTAGAACGCACCATCAAACTGCTAACCTCGGATACATTTCTGAGGCTATTCATGTAGTGCTCCAGTTTTTGTGTTGACCGAGCGGTCTAAGACAAATATAAGGTCTACTATACAGTGTCTTTACGGGTTCGATGCCTGCGCCATTTGACTGACCGACGGGTGGTATTCTATCCGAGACTTATTTCTTCACCGAGAGGATGTGACTGCAGAGATTGAAGTAAGTCCCTGCGTGCCATTATGACCATGTACTCACCTACGTCATAGATATGCACACTGATTGCCATCAGCTGATCCAGGTTCCTAGTTCTACGAGCTGCCACCAAGTTAATGATAAGTAACTTTTAGGGCCAAGAGATGTCCAGCGATTGCCCAGAACCGAGACATTTAGCTTAATTTATGGTCACTCTTCTCAGCTATTGCCGCAACTCGTGAGGTCAGAGCTGCAGGTGGGCTACACCATATCAAAGCATAGGGTGATTATTTATGGCTGGCGTCTCAAAGGCGTAAAATTAAACATCGCACCATTATGACAATGCTTGAATTGCTCTCTTCGCCCGTAATTAACTATTAAGATGCACAAGTGTAAAGTTAATTCCCGAAAATTGGACATACAATCCCCGCATACAACAAAAACGTTGAGGACGCACGTGAGAATCTAGATCTTGCTCTTAGTATCAAACATGGTGTAGACAAAGTTAAATCGTAATGGTCATTCTCGGCTGAGAAAAAAAAAATTAGTTACCGATCGCGAGGCCAATCCCCACAAGACTTAGGATGGTTACTCCCGGTCACATGCCTGCTATTTCAGGCGTATCTTGGAGTTTTCATTGAGTCTCTGGTGGTTTTTTCGATCAAGCCGTATCCCATCTGTGCAGCCATTATAGCGCCGTAAGCTTCCGCCTCTTCCGATGGCCCGGCCCTCGAACCGAGGAGCAACGTGAGACAGTCTGAACTGGCCTGCAGTGGTATACGGATGAACGCTGTTCCATGCCGGATAGGGAAGTTCCGGCTATGCTTGCGCGTTTACCTGATATCCGATAAGATTAAACGCTAGAAGAAACCGTAACGTCGTAATGTGTACGAGGGCAGACCTTTTTTTTTTAAAAAAAAAACGGTATTCTTACAAAAGGAACCTTGTCGCTGTTCCATGAATACAGATATCTTTTGGTAGTTTCATTTCATATTCATTTCCCTTTTTTTTTCCATTTCATTTCAGGTAACCTCAGAGCTACCATCGACGTCCTAGATACGCATCACACCGACCAGTACCCCCATTCTGCACTGATTAATCACTATGGAATCCCCCAGGAGACCATCCTTTTTGTCGGGAATCATCAAGCGAAGAGGCTCGAGTGCTGCCGATGACCCTCTGATGAACAAGAGTATCCCGATGGAAGTTCCAGGGAGACGCCAGCGGTCGTCGTCACTCACCCAGTCACTTAAGCTCAAGTCACTCTCGCCCAAGCGAAGCATAGAGTGTGATGAGAGGGCACATACTACGCCAATTTCGGCTGAGAGTGTTGCGCAGGCGCAACGCGAGCTCAGCGAGTTCGCGTCGAACAAGGGTAACATTAAGGCCCCAACGCCCACGCCCATTACACTGGGCCCCTTGCCGATGAACGTGGCGCTCGCAAAATTCATTGATCGCCATCATCTCAAGAGCCCGCAAAACTTGGAGCTATTCGCAGGCACCGCGTCTAGCGCGCGGCGACTCTGCTCAAACACCATTGACATCTCGCTCAGCTCTTACAATGAGCACATCTACGTACCCTCCAACATCTCATCCTCTACCAACTACAACGATGATGCAGAAACAGAGGCGCCAGAGGAGGATATTGAAAGAGTATCCTCCCCCTCTCCAGAGAGCACCCGGTTCCATATTTGTTCGCCGCTGTATTTAAACTCACAGGTCGAGACGGACTCCCCGGTTGTCCACGGATTTGTGGTAATTGTGACCGTGAAAAGCGCCACCACCGTCGATTCGCTCACCGTTCTGTTGAACACTGCAGCCAAGACACTCTGGCCCCAAGGCATGCCCTACAATAAGAGCAAGCTCATCGACTACACCCGCATCGGGGCGTGTGAATGGCGGATGAAGCTTGCCGACCACGACTGCTTCATCGGGGAGGATGGTGAAACGGTACCGGGTGAGGGGAACCAGCGGGAGTTGATGAAATACCGCTTGATGGGCCCCAAAGACGTAACCAAAGACGAGACCGATACCTCCTTTCCCCGGGAGAATGTCATTGCATCCACGAACGAAGACAGCCAAACGAAACAAGGCATTTACATCTTTTTATTACCCATTTTGTTCCCTGCCACGCTCCCAGAAACATCCTATTCGCCTAACGGGGCCCTCAACCACACGTTGAACGTGGCCGTGCTGACCATTGTTTCGGATAAAGCAAGAGCCTACCACGCGCGCTGCCATATTCCGGTGGTTAAGCTCCCACCATCGCAGTCAATCTCTACCCTCAATAAGCCGGTTTACGTGAACAAGGTGTGGAACGATTCACTCAACTACGAGATATCCTTCCCAAACAAGTACATCTCGCTCGGCTCAACCGATACGGTATTGAACATCAAGTTGATCCCGTTGGTAAAAAAGCTCGTTATCAAGCGTGTGCGGGTCAACATTACCGAGAAGATTTCGTACTTTGCGTTGTACAAGGGCGAACACTACGAGTACGAGCAAGGCACAGAGACGTTCCCTGACTACACCATTCCCGCGAAACAGAAGTACAAGGACCGCGTGGTGAGCTTGTACGAAGTGCGAACGACCCCGGGCGGCGATAAGCGCGGCTTGAAAAAGTCCAAGAAAAAGGCAAAGAAGCCTGCCATGAGCGAAGAAGTGGTGAGCTGTTTCAACGACAACTTGCTTTCTCTCTGCTTTGACGGAGGGACCGAGTCAGTCCCTGTCCATGACCTCCCCAGCTCCCGGAAGGGCAAACCGAAAGCCCCAGAGAGCGAGGTCGCCACATTCAACCATCTAGGAAAGAACCGAGGCTCCCAGGACGTGATCATCAGCGAGCCTATTTCCATCGATATTCCCCTTTCATTCGGCGTGGAAGCGGTGGAGGAGGATCTCCCCGAAAAGACCAGACATGTCCTTGGATCGTCTAACTCATTGGAAATCAAGAGGAACCCCTCGGCAACGTTCACCACCCAGGCCAACCGGTCACGAGCCAATTCTGTCAACGATTTGGCCCCCCCGCCTAGCCTGCCCAGCACCAACGGTCGTCATCTCGGGCACTTCAAACGCATTCTCCACCGCCACCACGAGCCAGACTCTGCTGACTCTTTGGCGGCGCTGACGTCGTCGGCTGAGATGACAAAAGCCAGGGAAGATTATGTGTTGTACCCCGACACCAACTCCAAGTTCATGAAGATCTCGCATCGAATCCAGATTGCGTTCCGAATCTCCAAGCTCCAGAAGCAACTCAATCCGTTTTGGTCGGACTCGCTCTCCACCTCTGCGGATGTCCCGAAGCACATCGAGAAGTTGCACCACTACGAAGTGATGATCGACAGTCCGATCGTGATTTTGTCCAAAGACTGCCCTCTGGAGGCCACCACATTGCCGCAGTATCTGGAAAGCGGGTTTGACCTCACAGCCACAGATACCGCCTCCAGTAGCTCCAGCTCCACCGGGGGTGTGCGGTTCAAGGAACCGGATTACCAATCGGTGCCGACCTGCGACTCCGATTCCTTCTCGTCTGTGAGTGCCCCGCTTGCCAAGCCAAAGATGGCCATCCGACACTTTGACCCGGAGGTGTACATCCCACCGTTGGGGGAGGAATTGCCGACGTTTGAAGAGGCGGTCACGTGCACCCTTCCAGGCTCGCCCTTTGGCTCACCCAACTCGCGCTACTCGGTCGACTACTCGAACATGGCGGTGATTTCGCCGGTTTCCAGTCTTGGCTCCAGCCTGTACTCCAGAAACGGATCCGTGAGCGGGCCTACTCCCTCCTCCGCGCCAGGAATGTACAACAATTTGGACTTTTTGATGTGCGTTAACGACCGCGCTGACGATACGGGCGGGAACGTGATCCCAGAGCTGTCTCATCTCAAGCAAGCTTTGTCTGGGAGCTTCTCCACTGCCCCTCTCGGTAGACCCACCGGCGGGTCGCATGAATCGCTTGACTCGGACAACGAGGCCGATGGGGAGCTCTTTAACATCGACGAAGAGGACCATCCGCCAAGCTACGCTGAGCTGGTGCCGCTCATATCTCCGCTACTCGTGCCGGTCGAGACAAACGACTCGGTTGTCACCAGAACGATCACCTTGTGCCAACCGATGTCGAGTACGTTGACGTTGGATGCGTATGGCCAGAGCATTGACTTGATACAGGAGAGCATGCAGAACCATGAGATTCACTCCACAGGGATGTACCACTCGTATAGATAATTCGTGAGTTGTATATTCTGTTTGAGATGTTGTAGTGTTCTTCGTGTAATGTGGCGGAGGCAGGGGGACCGAGCTGTAGGAAACTCAGCCGGGTGAGGTATCTACTGGTACTGTTTCTATGCCGGGATAGGTACATTCTCTCCATATGAAAGTATCTCGAATTCTCTGTGTTCTAGAAAATAGAGATAGTGAAATGCTGTCGGGGGGTATACCAACCAACCATTTCTGATTTCCATATAAGAGATCTATCCAGTCCGTGGCTATAACTCTTAGTAAACTGACAATCACGTATGAAATTTGTAGGGTATTGAGAGTTAAGAACTCTATGGGTTCTTTAGCACACGAACTTGGGCCTCCGATGCCATCGACCCTAACTGGTTCTTCCTGAGATTTCGGCCGTGTGGTCTAGTGGTATGATACTCGCTTTGGGTGTGAGTGGCCCAGGGTTCAATTCCCTGCTCGGCCCGAAATTTTTTTAGTATTTTGTTTCCATCCACAACCTTATTCTGGTTTAATTTCTCCATATCGCTCCAGGGGCTTCAGGTTTATCCAAAAGCAATAAAAATTTCGAAACAGTGCACAATGCATTGTTAAACGTCGGACAGCGGCTGCATGGTCTGGTAAGGTTTAACATGTCCACTTAACCTACGATGACGAAATAAAGACCCACATAACTAAAAAAAAACAGCGTTGAGGCTAACCACTGAAAGCCACTTTGCCCTTATTGTAATTATTTCAACCATCCTAAAAGCTTACGGGTCGTTTCTCGGCTAATCAGACTCAACGTAGTTAAAGGGACCGTTCTAGAGAACCCACTACAATCGCAGTCCTGACTCTGGTCTATTTGATACCTTACATTCCCCAAATTTCATTATCATGACTGTGTATATAGCAGACAGCACTTCGTACGGTCAACATGACAGCACGTGAAATCTGTACAGTGAAAAAGGCATTACACTAGTCTCGCCCGTTTGACGTCAGAAACGCCCTCATCGACCGTTTCCTTCTCACCTTTGACAAGCGGCTCGCTCCAGCTTTCTTTCGCCAAACCTCTTTTAGTACCCTCCGGTTGCCGGCCAGACGTCTGATACGGAAACACGCTCACCTGTCGCACCTGGGCGTTGAAACAAACCGAGTCAAGCACTTCGAATCTCCCTGCTTGGCCCAACCTCACCAACTTGAGTCGCCTATCGAGAGTGGAGACAAGCACCGTGGGCCCTTGGGCGTCTACCACTTCAAGACATGATAGCGAACCCTGGAGAGGAATGTGGAACTCGTCTGTCACGCTAAAGGACTCCAAGTCTATGAGGCCGAGTAAGTCATAGGAGTCCTGGTAGAGGAGTATGCCTGGAAGAAGCTTTATCGCTAGAATGGGATGGTGGGACACCTGTAGGTCCGCGATGGGCGACTCGGATTTTGCCGTGTGGTATAACATCACTCTGCCGAAGCGGGTGCTTGCTACGAGCTTGTGACCCTCTCCCTGGTTGCCGAGAAACCCCACATCGCCAATCCAGATATCCCTCTCAGCTTTGCTCCGCCAAACCACTCTTTCACGAGGATACGAGTCAACTGGTAGGGAGAGCGACAACTCTACTAGCGTAACCCCTAACCGCTGTCCTGCCACTGCTATCAACTTGGGGTTGGTGGGACAGACACGGAAAACCAGCACCAACCCCTTCCCCTCACGGCCAATGACGTTTTGGAGCACCCCACTGGCCATAACCACGGAGATTTGGCTGAAATTGCAGTCATCATCGTCCAAGTTGCGCACAACCACATTGCCTCTAGACGAACAGGTGTAGAGGAGCCCCAGCGAGTAAACGAGGCCTATGATGCAGTCATTTCTTCCATCGACGTGTGCTGGCCACTGCTTGATAAGCTCAAAGCGAGGATTAGGCGACCCGAGCGAGGGAGAGCGGCAGTAGAGCTGGAGGATCGCGTCGTGGTAGGAAATGGCCACGTATTGCCGGCCTTTGCGGGTAAAGTTAACGACATGGGCGATGGGAGAAGCGCCAGTAGAGTTGGTGGGGTGTAAACTGGAAGTGGCGTTAAACGGCGTGGCTCGACGGGAAAAGCGTGCCTGGGATTCCGGCCTGAGCTTGTGCACTACAAGGGGTTAGTTTTGATCGAACCAGACGGAGGCACCAATGGAGACAAGTACGGGATGCAGACAACAGGAAGATAACGTATAGATAATCTCCAGATATGTGGCAATAGTTTTGCTTGTATCAAAAGGTATAGTCCTCGTATGTATCTGAAGATACGCCGTTTCTTGTACGTATTAGGCGATAGATATTGATGTCTGTGATCATCTGGGGGTATCTTCAAGTCTTCAGATAGTTGAATGGCAGAGCCCGCATAGGTTACGTATTAGAATCTTCCAGTCTGTCTCCACACAACCAGCCATAAGTCACGGACACAACTTACTACTTAAGCCTCCTTTGCTCGGGGTGGAAACGAGAATGTTCATGGTAACGGGGGGGTGCGGGCAGCAGATGCACAGATAATGATGACCCAGAAAAATGGAAGGGGTAGATGGAAGAATTATATGGAAGCGTATAGGATGAAATGGGGCGTTGAAGCTTATAAGTTCAAGTGAAATGTTGACGTAAGTGTTTTGTTTGGTGGGGAAATTTGGAGACGAGGAGCCAATAAGTGGTGCCGTACGCATGATCAGAATGGGCGCATCTCTGATTAGAGTTCGCGCGAACAAATCAGAATTTCCTGTGTAGCCACACCCCCATAACAATATGCAGTATAGAAGTTGGTTTACACAGTGTTGCTAAGGGTTTCTGGAGTTTTTGAAACAGTTGGTTGGAGGAGAGGCCCGAGCTTCCGGCTATCTTGCGTCATCTCTACATATACGGGATTTTCGCCTACAAAGGGCTGCATGGCCGCGCAGTGAAGGAAAGGTCTAGCTTCGCCGGACAAGCTCCGTTTGTAGCCACTAATCGGATAGATAGCATTGAAAGGATGACGTGAAAGGAGCATAACACTTAGAACTGGGGGACAACAAGGACACCCATTGCTGGATTAAAGATGGTGACATCCATAGCGGTACAGGCAGTGCACCTTGATGCATGAACGTAGGCATATGTACGGATCGCGCGATAATTTCGGGGAGTTCGGAAACATAGGCAGAGAACTTTCAAATTACCATAGTGCACTGATTTCTTCTCGAGTTTTGGTAAAACAGGGCGTGTGAACTGAACTATTCGTGAAAATAGTTCATGATTCGACGAGTTCATGATTCGATGGATGGTCTATGATTTACTTGAACCGATGGGGTTAGGCTTTTAGTCGATGCATATCTTGATTCAATTCAAGGGTTGCATTTGGCACATTACCGTGTTCTCTGAAGTGATCAAGACTCCTGGGTTTCCCTCGCATATACAGCTCGGATGGATCTAGTAGAACTTGTCAGATCACATTCGATCTAACAGGCCAAGTTTAGCATATCATACATTCAAACGTTACATACTAGCTTCTTGAATGCCATTAATAGTTGGTCATCTCCCGGTTAGCCCGCTTCAGGCCTCAGAACTTACTTCTTCTCCAAGTCGTCCAACTTCCCCTGGATATCGGAGATGGTCTTTTCCTGCTCGGCCAACTTCTTTCTCAAGGCTGCCAACTGCTCCTTTTCGTGCTGCTTGACGTAGAGGTTCTCCTGGGCGGCTTCGCGCTTCTGGTCTGGGTTAGTAACGGTCTCAACTAAACTTGGAGCGGGCTATACATACGGAGAAAGCGTCGTCGCTGGAAGCGCCTCTTGGAGCACCGGTAGCGCCTTCAGAGTACATTCTCATGGCGATGGCTCTGTTGGAGGTTAAAGCGCGTCTGGAAATTTGGGATAACATGGTTAATTGTAGTTGAATTGAGTGAGGTATTGGCCAGAAGAAGGTTTATACGAGGGAGTAACCAATTTATACAGAGTGACTCCTCTGGCATTCGAAGCTCTCCAGGAAAGAACTCGCCGGAATCTGGAAGAAACTCAACCAATTGGTCATCCGCCGCCCAGAGGCTATAGCGGCGTTCAGGGAGCAAAGCAGCCCTGTCTACATCCTGCACGTGTGGCATGTTCACTGCTGGTTGGCCAGAGCAACCGGGAGCAAGGAGCCATTCTAGAGTCACGTGACTAAAAAAGATATCAGTATGTGCACCATGCCCATACGAGATTCATCCACAGGAAGGGGATTAGCTAGTGTGAAATGTTGATCGAGGTCAGATAAAACATGAACGTCAATTGATATATAAGTTGGCAATTACAGATCGGAATTCTCCCTACGGCTTAACGTAGGTTCATAAAATGTAAATGTCTACTAAGCTAGGGTGTATCGCTCAATGCTCCAAGCTTCAACGATTCTATCAGGTTAGGTTTTGTTGCTCTGAGGGAAATGATTCGGGTTAAGAATTTACCGGTAAGCATTTAGCTCGTAATTTTTGTCCGAGAACAGGATCTAACACTGTAAACTTCGACTTTTCCCTACACCTTCCACACACCGACACCGCCGCCGCTCAAGGTACCGTAGACATATTCGCCCTTGGGATCAAAACCAACGTCAACAACTACGTTCCTTACCCCATCGGTGGTATCCCACCTGCGCACTATTTTCCCAGTGCCCAACTCCCACATCGTGACACAACCATCTTCGCCCCCAGAAATAACCTTATCCCCATTCACGGCACACCGAACCAAGTATGACTGGGTATCAGCCACACCTTGTAGCACCCTTTCCTTTCGGCTAAGAGTCAGTGGGACAAACGGTGTGCTATTAACCTGCTGAATGCTCCCGTCTGTGGATCTCGCAAAAAGAGAGGAGGTTCCGCCGTGGCTGAGGGAAGTGACCATCGCGGGGGTCGGTGGAGCGTACAGCCAGAGAGGACTGGAAACCTTACGTAAGTCATAGGCTGTAATGCAGGGGTCCAAACCGGAGATGTAAACTGTATCGGAAGCCGCTGCCACTGTGGTTAATGGAAAACTAGTCCTGATCTCGATGCTGGCCTCATCAGCAGTTTCTCTGTTGTCCCAGAGCCTCGCACAGCCATCATCACCCACACTAACCACCTGTGAGGAGGTACCAATGGCGGAAATCTGGTTTATGACACCACCGCCGGGACAGGTATGACAGGACTTCAGCTTACGGAGCTTGATTTGGGTGGTGGCGTCCCACCAATTGAGTGAGGAGTCGGCACAGGCAGCAATAAGTTGCTCATCCGTGGCCCAGGAGATACCCGTGACGGCAGATTTGTGAGACAAGGTAGCGTAGTTGGGCGTTGCCGCGTCGGAACCGGGCTGTGGAATGTTCCAGAGCGACACCTGTTTATCTATTCCGCCACTGGCGAGTTGGTAGGAGGATGGTGAAAATGTGGCAGTGAGGGTGGTCTGGATGGATTCGGTACACAACCAAATCCCTTGATCCAATGAGTATTCGTGGGTTTCCGTATCATCGAACTAGAGCAGTTAGTACATGCAAAACACGCAGATATTTGTTCATACATACGTGATTGATAAGATCGGTAGAGGTTTTCACCTTTTGGCGTTTAACGAGAGACATCTAGAGTTGGTAGAGGTATATGAGAGTGCGATATAGGAAGCTGTGAATGGTGGAAGGGCGCTTATGGTAAATATGCAAGGCAAAGTGCTATAATTTTTCATTGCGTACAGGTCGTGGAGAATAGCCTTTGTTTTAGTTGTACGAGTATTAAATAATCAGAAGTAGAAAAAAAGAGTCCCAACATTAGTTCTGGATCAGAGGGTAGATTCGGATATGAGAGCTCTTTGCATGGTCTTGAATAAATCATACCGTATTAGTTATTCCAAAATTTGAAGGTTCCTCGTTTCTTCAGATGCACAGTATAGATCCCAGGCTTTACCCAATACGAGCAATGTAACATTCATTTCCATACTAGACTCCTTGATTCGCATTCTTTGTTTCACATTGCCACAACCCCTAGAACTAGATTCCAGGCTCAACCCCTGGTGGAAACTACCATTTTGCTCCTGCGAATACCTCCCGGATGAGTTGAACCTTTTGTTCATGGTGGGGGTAAGGCCATCTGCTGGACTTTACAAGCTGGCAAAGGTATGATAACATTAAAGAGATAAAAAAAAAATACAGCAGGAGACTCAGATATATATTGCAAACTTTTGTAAAATGCGCGAATGGCGATGAAGGGATAAGAATGCTGAAACCAGATGCAATTTTAGTTAACGATTCTCAACTCTCCAGCGCTCTCATCGTCGTAGTCGATGCTCCCATTGCTCAATCTAGAACGACCCTGCATCTGCGGATACTCCTCCTCATCTGAGCCCTGGTTTCTCGCCACATGGGCCACGTGTTGAGCGTAGTTCGTGCGTCTCATGTTTTCTTCGATCACGTTGTTCACGTAATCGCCCTGGTGGGGGTGATCGTACTCTGCCTGAGAAGCAAGGGCACCACCGGCAGCAAGTCCAACAGCACCGCTCTGGAGCTGGAACGATGGCGGACGGTTGGCGTTAGAAAATGGCAGGTTGGGGTTGTTTGAGTCTCTGGATTGGGAGCCTGCGGTGTGTCCGCGTTGTTCCTGGGGCTGGTAGCTCATGTTAGGCACTACGGGCATCACCGGATCAAAGTTCTTCTCGTCTTCTTCATCTTCAGAGGAGCGGCGGCGCCGCCAGAGGAACAACGCGATGAGGCCGATGATAAGAAGGCCGCCCACGGCGCACCCCACACCCACACCAGCCTTTGCGGCCAGGGAGAGGCCAGTGCTTTTGTTCTTGGCCCCAGAAGCCGTATCTAAGGTTGCGGATGAGCTGGCACTCGAGCTCGGGGAGTTTATCTTGGTAATTGTATGTGGTGTCCCACTCAACGTGGTGGTCAAAACCACCGCGGAGGTGATCACCGGGGGGGAAGAAGAGGTTTTGGAAGAGGTATTGGCATCGGTGGATGAACCAGGGCTGGTAGTGACCTTACTGCTGGTTGAGTTTTCGGTGGTTGTGGGTTTAGAGGTTGTGGTGGACAGAGAAGAGCTGGAGGTGGAGGAGGTGGAAGAGGTGGTGGAGAAAGTGGAGAAGGTAGAGGAGGTGGTGGTGGTGCTAAAACTAGAGCTTGAGCTAGAACTAGAACTAGAGCTGGACTTGCTGGAACTGGAGCTGGACTTACTGGAACTGCTGGATTCAGGGACCACAATACTGGAATCAACAAACACACTGAAGTAGTTACTCCCACCACAAGTGTTTGCGGGGTAGCCCACACAGCTAGTGTCACAGTTAGAATCACTCACCTTGTTGCTACTATTAATAGCAGTGTTGCCACAATAACACTGGTTCCCACTGATCATCGCGGCAACGCCCATCCCAGCAGCAGCACAGCTATTCTGACAGTAGGAATTGGACTGGTATAAATACGTGTTTTTAAACGACACCGAGCTAAGTGACGACTTGGCATAACAGCCGGCATATTGGTAAGCTGCCGTAGCCGACTGGACAAGCAACGCCGATGTGAAAAGATGTGAGGGTCTCATAGTGTTGGGTTGTATATGAAACTAGCAAATCTCGCTCAACAGCAGGGGGGTATGAGCAAGTAAGGATCGTTCAACTGAAAATGAATATGTATAAGCGAAGGAATACCGATCGAAATCAACGATGAGAAATCAATAATGGGAGTAGGTGCGGTTGAAACAGCGTTGAAAAATGTTTAGCAAAGTAAATCATATCGAAAGAAAAACACAAGAGTTTGTTGATTTTTCTCTGCGGATCGCGTTTTCACGAGTGGTAGGTACACGCAAAAAAAAGAAACAAACGCGTAGTGTTTCTTTTTAGTTACGGACAACCCATGACATCGCCACTGGTCTCATCAAATATACGATAGGCGGATAGTAGACAGGACAATAACGTGACAAAACTTATAATGGGATAGATTTTTTGTTTTCCACTTTGGGTTGAGAAATATACGTCTAATGGCTGTAGCTTGAAGCAGGGTATGCTAAATTTAGTGACTAATGTTTCATGTGCCCAGGTTGGTGCAGAACTGCGGTGAGACAACGCAGGGATACATAGATCTTTGAGAAACGTACATGCAGGTTACGATAGACGGTATTAGCCATTTGACATTGTTTTGGGAATCAATTTTTGAAGGAAAATGTATTTTCACAAATCTCTGAATATATGCATGTGCCATTTTTTGATGCAGAGCGACTGGAAGGAAAATCCAGTTTCATACCACGCCAAAGCCTGTGGGCTATTCTCAAATTAATCTACGAGGGTAGACATCTACGAGGGTAGACGTCCACGTTGGTATCTGAGCTCTACGACTATGGCTAAGTTATCGTATATAAGTGAGAGTGTTTACAAAATGAGGCCTAATAATTCACGATATCTGCGGCTTGATGTCACATCAATATCAAAACATTTTAAAGTGTGCGTATATTATGCACATTATGTAAGAGTTTTGGTTAGTCCGGGACTAACCCCTAGTCGATGACCGTAGAAACAAAACTCAAAGTGCATGTAAAATTATGAAACATAGAAACTCTAGGGTTTAAAATAGATCAGACGGCAATCAGTACTTTGGTATTCCGAGCACTGCGCCAGGAGCCCTTCTATAATTCAATTGTTTACCGCTGTGTTCACATATTTGCGTATATACCAGGCCCTAGTCAGAGTACTATCTCGCAGATTGCTTATCCACAGAGATAGCACCAACGGGGCAGGATGAAATTCTTCCTAGGGTTTCATTTCTTCTGTCTCTAGACTTCAAAGAAATCAGGCCGAGAGAACTTCGCTGCAGACAAAATGTGGGCGTCTTGTGAATACGGTTTCTATTCGTTGAGTTGCAAGGCACACCTCTTTTGCCAAGCTTTAGTGTCTTCAATTGATTATCAGCCTCTTCTAACCGGCCTATCAAAGATGCCAACTCTTCTTGCTGACTGGATATTAAATCGCGGAGTTCAGCATATTGAATATGATCATCGTTGTCTTTGTTACCGTAGCCTATTTCGCTCTCATCCACTCCTTCAAACTCCGAACGGGTGCCGCAGAGACGAAGATGTAATTTGGTAACCAACCCTGCTAGTTGTAGAATATACTGGTTCACCGAGCTCATGATCATCATTTGTGGCTCTCGAAACACGTCTTTGTAGAGACTCAAACCAATCACCAGCTCGATCATCATATCTGTAGCAGCGTCCTCAGTCAATGGCTTGAAAGCGTGCAAAACCTCTGCCATGAGTTTTAAATAGCAATAGACAGATAAGTCGTAACCAGTGATATAAGCCTGAAGCGTCGAGCTGAGCGACTGCTTCTCGTCTTTAATAAAAGCCATAGCCTGATCGGCTTGGGACTTTAAGGATGCTAACTCCTCTGCGTGAGACTCTATGGTGGAGTCCATCTCGGATTTATGTTGTTGAAGCGTAGAATCGTATTCCGCGCGCACTGCTTCATATTCCCCTTGTAGTCTTGCCAACGCGTCCTTTCCAGCTGATAACCCCAGTTCAAGAAATTTGGATCGTTCTTCTAGCTTACTCACTAGGGTTTCTTTGGAGGCAAGAGTCAGCTGATGTCTGGAGTGTATAGCCGAGAGTTTTTCATTGTGCTCATTGCGCTGTTCCTTAACCTCCCACTCCAAAGAGGTTACCTTCTTCTCCAAGACCGAAATACTTGATTTCAGCTGTGTGAGCTCAATGGAACTTTGCTTTAGGTCTTCTTCAAGTGCCACTTTCTCAGCGGAGATCTCATGACGGGCGGTGTTTTCGCTCTCCAACAAGGCTTTGGTTTTGTCATGCTCTAGACTCCTTTGTTTACCCTCATGCCTCATCGACTCAACCTGTCTCTGAAGTTCCCGGATTTCCTTCTCTTGCGTAGAAATGGTATTTCTTAAACCCCTTTGTCCATCTTGCTCAGCAGATACCTCAATTAACGCTTTTTCGAGCTCTCTTTCAATAGATAAACCATAAAGTTTCCCTTCCCCGACGCTTGCTTTGAGATCTCTAATGGATTTGTCCTGCGACACAATTTGGTTGCGCAATTCTTGGTGTTTAGAAAAAGAGGTGGCCAACTCTGCCGATAAGGCGGAAATCCGCTGATCCTTACTATCGAGGTCCTGTTTGAGTTCGACGCGCATGCTTTCGAGCTCAGAGGTTATGTCTGAGATATCCAGTATCAAGCCAGCTTGCGTTTCGTTACTTTCAATTGTGTGCTTCTCGAGGGTGGCCTGTAAACTTTGCACTTTGTCCTTCTCAGCGCCCCATTTCTCCTCCAACATTGCGATTTCGGTATTTTTTGACGCAAGGGATACCTGTAGGGCTTGTATTTCGGCACCCAACCCTGTTTTACTTTGCTTTAATAAGGCAACCTCTTCTTTAGAACAGCTGAACTGGTCCAACAATGTCCTCACCATTAAATTCAAGTCCCGATACTCTTCATCTTGAAAGCAAGGCATGCTGGACCTGAACAAGTCAACAAGGCTCTCAAAGATCTCAGTGGTGGTGCCTAATTGGATAGCATAAGCTTCAAACTCAACATCGAGTGCTCTCGATCTCTGTAAAGGTTAGTAACTTCTTTCTGGTTTCTCCTCATAACTAATTAGTATATCTACCTGGCATTCCTTTTTCAACTGATCAGAGACCCTGGTCAACTCACCCACCCTGTCCTTGCCAATAGCCTCGAGCATCTGGACTTGCTTGAAATATTCTTCCTTGCTACTAACACACATGTCAAAGCTTTCCTCCGAGCGTTTAAGCCGCAATCTGGCAGCCTTTAATTCATCTTCTTGCTGTCTTGCCCGTTGAGAGTTTACTTGAAAGCAGTCACGGATATTGACGGAGAGATCGTGCATGGCTAGCATCACTTCGGCCAAGGGAGCGTCGTCAACTTCGGGGATCCGATAGTCATCGGTAGCACAAACCCCAAGATTAGCGAATGCCTCTTTGGCACAGGTAATTACCTCATTATTTTCACGCTCGCTGCATCTTATGCTGGGAGGCGATGTGTCAGGCACCGCTTCTTTCGAAGCACTCGAAAGGGACACGAGTCGTGCCGGCTGTTTCAATTTACCATCATCGCCTCCATGTACATTGAGACATGAGGTTTGGGGATAGAGCAAAGTACTCTTCGATTTTCCCGAGGGGCTGTCCATATCCTCCTCTAGCATTTTCTGGAAGCTCCGCTGAAGATTTACATGGTGGCCTGAAAGTAGCCGTTCAACATCCCCCTCGCTCAAAGAATGCGCTTTACTGTGGTTATCTGGTTTCACTGGAGACGAAGAGTCGTACGGATTATCATCAAAGAAGTACCGCTTTTGCTCGTCAGTCAATACCAGCGAAGTACAGGTGTCTGCTTGCATAGTATGAAGCTCAAAGCTTGAGTCGCTCGGCTGGGGAGAACTATAATCGCTAGATGTTGCACTAGATCCGTACTCTCTCTGGGGAGTTTCATAGAGAGGTGTTTCAGGGTTTAATACGTCCTCTACCATGCTCTGCGAAAACCGTACCGACTTTGACCGCTTTTTTCTTAGGAAGGGAAGCACAGGGAAGGAAGTGCGGGAACCTCTATTTCCAGCAGCTTTGTCGCCGTCAACATGGCCCTCAAATGGATCGATACTGACATTTCCCTCGAACGTCTCCAAGCTATTTAAAGAGGTGATTCTCCTAGAGGGTAGATTTGGCATCGAGCGACGCTTGTTGAGCTTTCGCACCATGTTCGCCTCCGAACCGGTTTCCGACGAGTTCGTATTGGATAGCTTGGAGTGGGCGCTCATGCTTGTCAGTACTGCAATGCCTTTAAATTAACATTTCAAAGTTTAAACTGCTAACCTGATTTTTGTAATATGGTGGTGTCAGTTTTGTTTCGGTGGAGCCTGGGACACAAAACCAATGCATGAAACATGCATATGAGCTTTCCCAACCTCTGCGTACTCACCTGGCCCTATGGGTAAGGACCTGATGCACAAAAATTAGAGGCCAAAGACCTACACGACGGGAATTAAATGGTTCTAATTGTATTTATATAAATAATATTGTGCTATTGTATACGGACTCTATCCCCAGAGGTTCTGGACATCTTGCTACTTTGTGCCTTAACGTTTCCAAGTCTTTACAGCCATATACAAGCAAGAATGGTTGCACCATTAACTACCCTCACGTTTTGCTAGCGTGTACCTTTACCAAAACTTATACAGAAAGGTCATAAATTTCATAAATTTCATAAAGCTTGCTATCACTTTATACCCAATGTCTTGTCCTACTTCTATTCACCATTTTTACTTTATTATAAATCCTTGATGTCTCCAGAGTTGATCTAGAAGAGTATTATACACTTAAATCTAACTTGTTAGTCCTCTTAGGTATCATCCAAGGGATTTTTTTTTTTGACTTATTCAGAGGACATCTTCACTTCGCTATCACTTTATGCCCTGCCGAAAAGCCGCACTGCCATGGAAATCGCTCCCTGCACGACCACATGCTCAACACTTTAAGTCCAACATAATTAAACATACCACGTCGCATATCTTGCACCATTCCTCATTCAATGTCAGCTGCACACGCCACATTATCCCAGAGGGCCACTCAGGGGACCGGCTCCGTCGACAGTGTGCAAATCTTAAAGGGCTTGCTTCCAAAATACGAGGCCCTAGTCGAAACGCCAGCCAATGCCACAGAGCCCGACACTGACAACGTCACTCGCTTTTTGACTCTCCATGAAACGTCTGTATCTTTAGACGAAACACAATTCCAAGCGGAAGAGGCCAGATTTTCACGCCTCCGACTGCTTGTTGTGGAGTCTCAGGCGAAGCTCATGCCGGTCAGCGCGTACCTCGCGCGCTTCGAGCGCGGCCTCCGCGATATGTCGAAGCAGATGGAAGACTTGCAGTCACGATCGAACAGCCTTTCGCAGTCGCTTGAGTCGGCAAAGAGCTTGGAAGTGCGGCTCGGTCCGATCATTGCCGACATCTCCGTGCCACCAGAGCTCATTAAGGAGATTACGCTTGGCACGGTGAACACCGCGTGGGTCGAGAACATTCGTATCGTGGCGGAGAAAAGCGAAATTTTGCGCCAGCACGATGACAGCGCGGCGCTCAGAGAAGCGCGCGCGGTGTTAGAGCGCCTCACGCTTAAGATCGTGGAGCGAGTGCGCGACTTCTACATCCGACAGATCCGGTTCTTGCGGCGCGGTACAGTGCTGTCCCAGGTGGTGCAAAAGCGGCTCCTCGATATGCGTGAGGCATATACGTTTCTCTATGTGCACCACGAGGCGCTCGCGTTGGAGTTGCGCCAAGCGTACGTGTTCACGATGCGCTGGTACTACAAGGCGCACTTCACGAGCTACTTACACTCGCTCCAAAAGCTCAAGATCCATGCAGTGGATGCAAGCACATTACTAGGTAGTGATGATGGCAGTGACGTGCGCGCAAAGTCCTTTTTTGGCGCTGCGAAGCGGCCCCAGGGCTTATCGGGCATGGACTATGTCACGCTCGGCAAGCGTGCGGGCATTCTCTCGAGTGCAGACCATACGGTACTTTTGGCGCAAATCGCAGAGAACAATCCCATGACCTACTGGATGGAGACGGGCTTCCGCTCGTTCAACTTGGCGGTGGTGGACAACGGTACGGTCGAGTACCTCTTTATGGCGGACTTTTTCCAGCCCGTGTCAACCGAGGCGTTGGAGGGCCTCTTTGGCACTGTCTTCCAGCCCACGTTCCAGCTCGGTGCGCTGTACACGCGCGAGTTACTCGAGTCACACGACGCGTACGGCATCTTGTTGTGCATCCGTGTCTGCCAGGCGCTCGAGCGTGAGTTGCAGTCTCGCCGCGTGCCCGTCATGGAAAACTACTTAAACTTGCAGATGATCACCTTATGGCCACGTTTCCAACAGATTATCGACCAGCACTGCGAAAGTATGCGACGCGCGGCGACGCGTGCCGCGCTGGCACCCTTGTCGGTGGTACCCCACCGGCTCACCCAGCAGTTTGCGTTGTTTCTCCTTGGGTTGACCAAGTTGGCGATTGAGCATGCGGTCGAGCCACTCTCGAACAGTGTCACTCGTTTGCGCAATGACTTCGAGGCGGTCTTGACAAAGATTCTGGCCGGCTTTGGCAGGGCCAGCAACAAAGAGATGTTTTTGTTTAATAACTACTTCTTGATCCTGACGGTGTTGAATGATGCGGAGGGAGCGTTGGCGGCGGAGCAGTGTGAGCATTTCAAGATGTTGACCGATGCGTATACGCCAGGGGCCCGCTAAAACTCCATCAAGGGCCATTTACCAGGAAGAGGGCGCTACTTCGTTGCCTGTTATGGGTTTTGGGCCGAAAGTGAAGCGATCACATAGGGCAATTCATTACGATTTGATGATTATAAAAGCCCTAGGATGAGGGTACACATGTAAATAGATGTGAACATTTCTGAGGACGGCACAGAGGGGGGTGATGCTTGACTGGGTCACGCTTGACTGGGTCACATTTGGTTGGGTCACTTTGATGAGGCTAGAGATAGAAATGTAATGTACGTATCTTCGGGAGACGGTGTGGTGTGAAGGTTGTGTTCTAAGCTATATTAATAAAAGAAAGAATACGCCGTATGAAACTGTAAGCTCACAAATGGGAGCAAGGGAAGCACACTAAATGGATGTGCAACAACCTACAATCGTAACAATTACAGCTTTAAGATTTTCCTGAACCAAACATAACAACACGGGAATAATTTTTAAACCACTTATACACTTTCAACGAATTGTATTTGAAAAACTTAAAGTTTTCTTAATGTCCACTTAATGATAATCTATTACCTCAAAATCGGAAGTCTGAATCGCGCGACGTCTGTTTTTGCCCCGCTAAATGATCTATCGCAAAAAAATACATGCAGGAAGGCATCTCACTAGTATAACCACAGTTATTTTGGTACATCAAATTAACTTTCAAAACCCTCTCAAACTACCTCCACCATACCTTTAATGGAGTCAAACAACGGAAAGCTTGAACTTAAACCAGATTTTTATGATGAGCATGCCGAAACTGGCTTTGTATCGGACGAGGGCCAGTACCTGGAAGACCAGGAATGCGACAGCATGACTGACGATGATCTCTACCTTAGTGACACCTTATACTCGACCAAGGATCCCGCGGCTCTTGAAGAACCGAGTGCAATTGAGGCCGAAACCTCAACGCTAGAGGGAGACACTCAGATTATAGGCGATAGCTTTAAATGTGAGTACGACTCTCTGATGGACGACTCTTTGTATTTCAGCAAAGACACTGAGCCAGAAAAACCTGATTCGGAAGCTAAACAACCACTCCCGGCAGACCCTCAGTCCTTCACCGATCCCAATATCCGAACCTTGATGGCCACCAAGATGGCAGAGCTCATCGCGTTGAAGAAAGCATCGCTGGGCAAGGACGAGGATCTTCATACTGAAGCGGATATCGCGGAAGAGATGATTCATACGTTTGGCAACACCGATAATGACATTTCCCGACTTAACTCTGATTATGGACCGGTAGATTTGAGCTATCCACTCGAGCTCATTCCCTTGGAGTTGAACGTGACAGCAGCGCAACACGAAGTCATCACCTACCCCTGTGTGGCAGGCGAACTCCTAGAGATAGTGGCGGGTCCTGGGTCAGGCAAAACCAAAACGTTGATCGCGCGAATCTCGTATATGATCAACCTGGGAATCACACCGAATGAGATCCTCGTTCTATCGATGACCAACAGGGCGGTGGACGCCTTACGGACCGCGTTAGCGCAGCTAGTCGGCTCTGATTTTGCTGCAAGCGTGAACATCTACACGTTCCATGGCTTTTGTAACAAGCTTCTTCTCGAGCACGGCAAGGATTTTGGCTTGGACCCGTCCTGGCAGATCATTGAGGAAAACGGTTGGCGTACCTTAAACAGCATGGTGGAGGTCCGAAACATCTACTCGCTCCAGAAAGCTGTGAACGAAGCCAGAACCTCCCAGGATGTTGCCGCCATAGCGCGGAAGTTCAAAATATCCTTGAAATCCTTGCAAAAGGTTTTGCGGACGCTAAAACAATCGCATATGAAAACATATGGGGACGTGGCCAGTGAGGCAATCCAGCTTATGACCGAAAATCCCGCCCTATTGAACAATTTCAAATGTGTAGTGGTTGACGAATTCCAAGATGTCTACCCTGCCATCCTTGAAATGGCGGTGGCAATTTCCAAGGGTAAGCATCTAACGATCGCGGGCGATCCACAGCAGGCGATTTACGAGTTTCTTGGGTCTAATCCCGAAACACTATCCACTATCTCCTCACATTTCCCCAACTTTACCATCAAAAGAATCAACTTGGACGTCTGTTTCAGATCTACACCCGAGATTATGAAAGCAGCTGAGCTTGTGGTGAGCGATACGGCCCTGAGAGATGTTGTCAGGGACCCGGGACCACTCCCGGTGCTCCAATTCTTTACGACTGCGGACCAGGAAAGGAGCTTTGTTTGTAGTGAGATCAGGCGGTTGATTGACAACTCCGAGGGGGTCTTGAGGTACAGTGACATTGCAGTCCTATCCAGTACCAACGCTAGTTTGAACAAGATGAAGGAGTCGCTCAGTGGCAGCGGTATCAAGAGCTCCCGCTTGATGACCTCACCCAGCTGGACTGCAAGTAAGGTTGCCCATCTCGTGGATTTGCTTCGTGTATTGCACAACCCCCACACCAACTTTCCGCTTATTTGCGCCCTCAACATGTTGCCCAAAGTGGGCCAAGCCTTGTTGAACAACTTGTACCAATCTTCGTTAGATAGCGATACGTCTTTATGGGACCAACTCGAGCTCTATCTTTGCCAGGAGCCGCTGAAAACTCCGGGAGCTGTTCCCGTGCTCAAACAGTTTGTCGAAACCGTCAAAACTATCATGGCAGGCGAGATCGAGCACGAGGGACCGGTGGGAATCATGGAAGCCTTGCATACGTTGGTAGAGCAGTGTCTGATCAACAAGATCTTTCCCAAGACTGAGACTGGGTACGACCGTACCGAGCTCGAGCTCGAATTGCGCAGCTTCTACGACAGTTTGTGCCAGTTGGAGGAACAGAAGCTGCCAAACGACTCCTTGGTGGACTACTTTCTCAAGCACTACACGGACGGGTTGTCAAAGACAACCGGCGATCAGGTGAACCTCTCCACGATCCATTCTGCGAAGGGGTTGGAGTTCCCCATTGCTTTCGTGTTGGGCCATGGGAGCAGGTGGCAGGCGTTGGAGGAGTCATATGTGGATGAGCCAGGCGAGGTTGAGCGGTTGTTATTTGTGGCCATGACCAGAGCCCGGAACATGTTGTACTTAGGTATGCCCGGTACGTTTCAACTTCGTTCAAAGTTCAATGGCGTGTTTACCAGAAACGTTTCAGAGTTGACGCCGCAGTATGTACAGCGGTTGAAACAAGATTTGGGGAGACTGCGGGGCTATCACATGGCAAGAAAGGTGGTCAGTTCAGGGCTCGCAAGAAGATTGTTACGACTTTAGTACATGAATATGCTATGTTACACCTATACTCATGTACACCATTTTACGGGAAGAGATTGATGAGCCTGAGATCTGATTTTTGTATAAACGTTACGATTATAGGGCAAATCCTTGCGGTAATGGGGGTGGAATGGCACAATTACAGATGATACATATAGATGACAGTGGTGCTGTAGCATCGGCATGTAACGAATACTTCAAAGTGATTTTGTTTATCCGTAGATATTCCTTCGGTGCCAATCCAGTGTAGGCTGAGGCTCTGAACCAGGACTGTATTTCAGTCTCGGTCCATCTGCTCACTGAGGTGGGTTTCAAGGAGTCGACCCCAGCTCACAACAAATCATTATTTACATAACTCCGAGATTCTTAGTAGCATGACATAGACCAACACCCTCATTCTTTCTTCTGGATCTTTTTCTGAACGTTGGTCTTCTTGATGATCGGAGCAGTAGTCTTGAGCACCTTCAAAACCGGCTTGGAAAAAAAATCGACATTTTCCAACCACGGGACCTCCACATCCTCCACGTTCTCGTTGATGATGGCCAATAAGGTGGAAGCACCAGGCATTTCCTTGGTGATGCCTACAATACCTGTATGCGGCTGTCCTGTTGCCTCGGACAACTTCTCCATGCTCCCCCGCGGCAACTGAATGAGCTTTACCTTACGCTCTGGGGAGGACGCCACGTAGGACAATACAGGAAAGTGCTGGGTGATCAAGGAAGGGGAGATCTCAGGCTTGCAAACAAACACCACGCTAAGGGCAGGATAGACAACCTTTGACCTTCCTTTCCCCACTGGGGCTTGCAGCTCTAAGGCTTTCACGGTGGAGTTGAAGCCGATGGTGGCATGCTGAAAGGTCAACGGCGCGCTTGGTTTCAACTCAGGATGGGTCTTTAAATGAGCGTTATGCCGTCCGATTGGCTCGAGAAGCGTACAGAGGATATCTCTGATGTCATGTCCCTGTTGGGGGTCCACTCGTGGCCAGGGCGCCTGGGTGTAGGGGTTGTCGAGCACCGGTTTGAATACCTGGCGTCTCTTGTTTTCTATATCCTTCAAGGAACCGGTAATGCCGTTATCGGTTCTCTTTTTAGAATTGGGAGCACTCATTGCTGAACTTTGAGGGCTAGGGGTGAAAACTTGTCTCCATTTGCATGTATTTAATTTCTAGAAGTTTTTCAACGCGCATATCCGGCGAAAGGATATTACACCCATTCGGGTGCAGATATGGAATTATTAATCTTGGAGTTATACCTAATTAAGGTACAAATATAAATATTCTTCATGAATATATATATGAATGATGGTAAGCACTACAATTTTAACGAATAGCCTGGTAATCTCACAACAGCTTGACTTGGAATTTGATATAGAAGGAGGCACTCGAGGTTTAAAATACAGGCCCGTAAATAACCCCATTCTTTATCCGTCTAACAGCACCTTCAAGTGACGCAGCGGCCAGAACTGTAAGCCATACCAATCTGCTGTCACCTAGTGTTAACTCATATAATTCAGCGATAGAGAATCCATTACACGGATATATACAGCGGCCGATTCAAACAGAATGCTAGCCTTCGTGGAGAAACTTAAAGAGAGTGATCGTAACATCGTGGGCCGGCTGGAGGACCTCTGTGCCTTTCAGTATCCGGACAGCGACCATTTAGTCCTTGGAACTGCAGCACTTGGAGGCACCCTTACCGGCCAAAGAACCCAAATCGAGCTTGGATCCCTTGATAGTGTCATTATCTCCCAACTCAATATCCTTGTGGATATTCAAAGTAAACCTACCGGTCTCATCAGGTATACCCTGAGCAATGTTCTGTCTCACAAACTTGGCAACTTCTTCCAAATGCGCGATTCTCTCTTCAACTGGTTGCTTGCTCTCCTGGGCCATCCCCGCTCTGATGGCATCCCTAGCGCCCTGGAGCATTCTGGCGTCGCCGTTGAAAGCAATTTTGCTAGCTCTGATAGCCGATCTGTAGGCGGAAAGAGCTCTTTGAGTGGACATGGGGGGTGGATAGATGCTGGTAGATGGAGTAAGGATGCTAAACCGTACTGCGCTCTTAAGTTCCAAGGTGATGAAAAACCTCATGCACATGTGACTTGTCACGTGTGGATAGGTGACTCGAGAAGCAGGATCAGAATCTCAGCTAGGGCCAACACAGAATTCGCTGATCGGTAAGACAAAACAAGCTCATGTGGAAATCAAATGAAAGTGTGAGAGTATATATCCCAAGTTCCTTGCCCTTCCACCGCACCGCACCAGAAACCTCCAACCAAAGAGGTTGCGTGCTCGTATACCAAGGCTTCTCCCCTTAAGCTCAGATACACCGTAGACTATCTCTGTCGCTCGAAATTTCGATTTTTATTAGTAAACTAGGCGGGGGGTAAATAGCGAAGCAGCAAAGAATGCTCAAATGATATCACTCGTGGGTACCGTTAGTCCACCTGAGACTGGACCCTCAGCCTGCATATAGTCCTATCTTAGCTCTCGTGGATTTCTGATCAAGTCGTGTGTAGCCCGTGTTTCTATCGGCGCACGCCTTACTCCGAAAATAACAGCAGGGCAATATTGTTTATACGATCTAATCGCGACATAAATCACCGCACAAAAATTATCACTTCCACTCACCCCATACTCATCACACAAACACCATGTCCGAGGAAATGGCCACGCCCGAAGAAATCAACGCTGTCTTTGACAAGTTGAAGAAGCAGGCCTCTAACAAGGTCTGCTTTGACTGTTCCAACAAAAACCCGACCTGGACGTCGGTGCCATTTGCGGTCTTCCTCTGTATCGAGTGCTCTGCCGTGCACCGTAACGCCGGGGTGCACATCACGTTTGTGCGTCTGTCAAATTTGGATAAATGGACGCGCTTGCAATTGCGCGGGATGAAGTGTGGTGGCAACGAAGCCGCTAAGAAGTACTTCATCTCCAACGGTGGGTCGACCTTTTTGAACAAGGATATCGATGCGAAGGACAAGTACACGCTGAGAGTCGCGCTCAACTACAAGGAGAAATTGCAGCAGAGAGCAAAGCTTGACGCCGGCCAGTTCCCAGACCGCGTCGTCGTGGAGGAGGCGGATGACGTGGTTTCTGAGGGTAGCAACGGCAGTGAAGACGACTTTTTCTCCAACTGGGAAAAGCCCATCACTTCAGCCTCGCCGTTGACCTCGAGACCGATCACCCCGAAGTTGGGCGATGCAGAACTCAAGAAGCCCGTCAGGACCACGCGCCAGACGGTGTTGAAGTCTGCGAAGAAGACCAGCATCTTATCGTCGGGCAACGGGCCAAAGAAGACGCGTTTAGGCGCCAAGAAGATTGTTGCAGAGGATATTGACTTTGACGAGGCGGAGAGAACCGCCAAGCAGGAGGCGGAGGACGCCAAAAAGTTGGGCTACAACCCAAAGGAGGTGGAGGTGGTCAAGCCGGTAGTCAAGCCAGCCAGCGCAAGATACGAAACCGACTTCTTCGAGGACGCCGATGAATACTCCGAGCCTGCAGTCGTGGAGACTGCCCAGGTGTTTGCCAAGTTAGGTTTCGGCATGACCGCCGGAGAGAACCCCTCGGAGCCGGCCAAGACCTATGCGGCAGGACCAAAGTACACCGGGAATGTCGCGAACAAGTACGGTACCCAGAAGGGGATTTCGTCGGACGAGTTCTTCGGGCGCAACGCGCACGACTCTGCGCTCCAGGAGGAGGCCAGGTCCAAGTTGCAGTCGTTCAACGGCGCGCAGAGCATCTCCTCGTCGAGCTACTTTGGCAACGAGGAACAGACGAACGAATGGAACCTGTCTAGAGGCGGGAACGACTTGGAGGCGACCGCGAGAGAGTATGCCTCGCGTGCTATGGGAACTGCGAGCGAGGATTTGGAAGTGTTGAAGAATGCCTTAGAGGATGGGGCGACCAAGTTGGGTGGGTATTTGAGGGAGTATCTCCGCTGAGCATGTCGAGTACAGCTTGGCGTACTAAGCCACAGGCCGACAGACTCTATACATCCACATCTTCCGTTCCTCGGCTTAGGCTTCATCCCATACCTCTAGGCAATAGCCTCTATCTGCTCCGGGCCTATTCTCCTTTTGAAGCCCCCTGTAATGGCTCTATTGCTAGGGAAGGCCCTATGGTCCCACCTCCTGTGCCACTCTTAAGGTCTTTAGTTTGTACAATACATGTTTTATGTTAGATTGAACTACGGTGCTGTGTGGCAACCACGTTTAGGAGGAAGTACGATATTAATGCGTTCTCCATGAATAGTTATAGCTGGGGTTCTAGGAAACCGGCTAGCGGTGCAACAATGCAAGTGGAGACACAGTACTGTTATGCGCCAACGCTCAATGCCCGAATAACCCCCCTCAGGCTAATAACACGACCTAGTTTTATCTCAATTTCAATGTCCACTTCCTAAATGATCGCTTAAAACTATTAGATCCGTCTGCAGCTCCCAGCCGAACCCCGCGTGGCGCGCTCAAAACCACCCTACTGTATCTTCCGTATTGATCTGAGACTGCTCTTACACCTCCCGGTTACTCTCTACCGTTCATTTTTCGCACAAATGTCACGAATAATCTTCCGCTCCGTTGCCTCCTCGCTCTGCTTTCTTGGCGGGTACGCGACGTTTGTGACGCCGTGGCCAGAAAACTCTGCGGAGTCCAACGCCATCCCGCTCCACACCCAGTCTGCCGCTGCGTTGAAGTTCTTGAGCGAACACCCCCAGTTTGTGGAACTATCCGAGAGCCATACAGCCGAAACTACGATTGGGAAGCCTTCACTCCTTGAAAAGGTGTTCTACTCCCACCGCATCGCCAAACTCCACCAGGACTACCATGTGGGGATGGGCTTGCTCTACGGACCTAGCAAGTTGGAAATTGACCCGATTCTCTTTATAAACAAGGAGGCTCGTGAGTTGACTAGCTTCTACCACTTGGGGAGCAACCTCGTAGCCGCGGAGGATGGGAAGATCCACAACGGCCTCCTCGCCACGCTTATCGATGAGAGCTTGTGCGTGGCCGGGTTCCCGTACCTTCCCGCGGGCAAGGGTGTCACCGCAAAGTTGTCTATCAACTTCCACAAGCAGATTAAGGGTGATACCACGGTGGTGCTAAACGCAAAAGTTGCGGAGTTGAAGGGGCGCAAGTGCGTCATCCGTGGAACTATTCAAGAGGCAGGCAAGTCAGTGATTTTGGCTGATGCCGAGTGTATCTTGGTCCAGCCAAAATGGTTCAAGTATATCAGCAAGTTACAGATTTTTGAGTAGGTGTTGATATAGTTTTTGTATTAGAGTGTGGAACTAAGGTTGAATGGTGAGATACTAGTATCCATTTGGTCAAGGGTATCGACCTGGAGCTATATAGGATTTTAGCAATATATATATATATGCAAGATTGTTTCCTTGCAGATAACAAATCTAGAGTAGTGAGTATGAAGGTATCAGGGTAATATATAGAAAAGTGCTACGTGAACATTGAACGGGATAACATCAAAAATTCTACTATATACATATATTAACGAGAACCAAAGTCCTGTGCTATATTTTATTTCTTATCAAGTTTGCTATTTACAATTTAGTTGGCTGACGACGACAAAGACCGAAGATTCCACATAGCCTTCGGGACAACTCCCTTAGACCAAACCTTGAATTAACGCTTTCTTTGCAACCACCAACACCCAACGGCAGCAAAAAATCCTCCACCAACAATTCCGTTCACCAACCGGCGCAAAATGCGCTGTTGTCTGGCCTCACGCTTTACAACCTGAGCGTACGGAATGTCACCCCTAAATGACACCATGGTATACAACGGAATCCAGAAGCGCTCACCCAACGCACGCGACAACCACCCGTCAATCTTCTTGCGCAAGAGATAGAGCGGATCGACAACCTTGGACGCCATCTCACGGTAGTTGTTGATAGCAAGATCGCAAATTGCCAACAAGTCCTCGTGTCTGGTCTCGGAGTACTTGTCGAACGCCTTATGGGTGTCAAAACCGCTCTCCTCGAGAAGTTCCATCATCACGCGCACGTCCTCCCAACCGCAGTTCATGCCCTGGCCATAGAATGGCACCATAGAGTGGGCAGCGTCGCCAAGAATGAGTGCCTTGCCCGCCAAGTTGTACGGCTTGCAGCTGGTGCACACAAGTGCACCCCGCGGGTTGGTTGCAAAAGCGCGAACCAACGCATCGCGGCCAATAAGATCAATAGCATCCGGAAAGTTTCTCTCAAACAACTCCAAAACGTCCCTGGAGGCGTCTGGGCCCTCCACAAGGTGATCCGACATATCCCAGTCACCGAAGAAGGTCGAAGTGAAGGAGCCGTTGGTGTTTGCGAGCGCGATCAACATAAAGTCCTTGCGCGGCCAAATGTGCAAGTGATTCTTGTCGATACTGAACTTGTCTGCGCCCACGGCTGGTGGTATGTACAACTCCAAGTACATCTTGCTGATGTATTCCTGGGCAAAGTTCATACGCATATGCTTCTGTAAGTGAAACCGTGTAGCGGAGAAGGCGCCGTCGCAGCCGAGAATGAAATCAAACTCGTGGGGAGCTGTTTCGTCGTTGAAGAACAACGTTGGCTTTTCGCCCATGCCCATGCTGGTCAACTTGTGGTGAAACAACGCCTGAACCCCCACGGCATCGAGCTCATCGAGTAACTTGTTGTTCAAGACCCCACGGTCGATAGAGTTGATTCCTTCGCCGTACAACCCGTACTGCTGACTCTCCTGGCGGCATTCGCCATGAGAATCTTGCTTGTGATGGATCATTCGCCCGTACATCGGGATCATCCCCGCAAGCACGCGCCGCGCCATCTGCGGGTCTATGGCGTTAAGGGCGCGAATACCGCGGTCAGAAACCGCAAGATTGATCGAGCGGAGTTGGCCGGAAGCTTTCTGCAAACGAGGGTCCGGGCGCATTTCAAAAAGCGTCACTTCGTACGCTGGAGCGGCGGGGTTCGTTTTGTCGGCGTTGGCGAGTGCGAGCGCCGCTAGGCAGCCCACAAGTCCAGCGCCCACAATGGCAACTCTTTGGGGTTGACTTTCCAAAGACATGGCCGGATATATGTAAGTGTCCTGTGGTTGGGATCAGAGCAGGAAAGGACGTGAGACAGAGACAGAGCTTAAGTCGGCGGCAAAAGGCGTGATGGAGCCTAATTGCGAAAAAGACGTGTATAGGGCTGAATGCTGCGGCGCGTATCTCCCAACGGTTATTGAACCTGCATCGAGCAACGTGATTTCGCCATGTATTTGGAGCTGGCTAATAAAATAGTGTACGGTATAAGGGGCTACAGTCAATTTGAGTTAGCGGCACTACACTAAATCTGTAACCACTACTCCTTGCTTCCTGATTGTGATGTACGGATCACATCAAATGGGTCACCTCGAGCCAGTAGCTCTTCTTAGGTATAGAATAAGCATTAGCAGCCACTTCGAGCGTGTGAGTAAGGGTCGGTTGGAATGCACATTATTTAGCCTATGAAAAAGTAGCTGTATCGCGGAAAACCTAAACAGATATTAATGCTTACCAGTTTAAACATTTCTAGGTAACAAATACTTTACGCACCAAAATCCCTCGGAGTATCCAAGTCCTATTCTCGTCACCTTCAGAGTTTCAATTCCAGATGTATAATAATGATATCATTTAATCTACAAACATCATCGTAGGATTCTATCCAACCAGTCGGATGATATTTAGCATCCTATCGTAAACCTCCGTCTCTGTAAGTATTGCAAACTGTGGAGAAACTTAACGGTTGCAATTTTCTGTAGGGCTGGCGTGCTGCATGGCCTGCATAACTGATACCATACTATGGCGCGCTAATCAAGACCTCCAGATACCATGCCCCGGTTACGGAATACCCACCTATTGCAACCTACCACAGTTTAGAAACCCTATTTATCCGAGGCTTAACCGGCTCGAGGCTAATTTGTCAGCAAATACCTCATCTAGGTAAACTCTAGTCCTAGACTCCGATAACCAAACTTTTAACACAGCAGGGCTCCCGAAATATATAAGGGTCATGGGTTCCATTTTCTCTCCAGTATTAAAGGTCAATATTCAAGCTAAACACGATAAAATATGTCTCCCCCAACTGCCACTGAGGATGTTATTGTTTCTTTAAAGGCGACCAATCTTGACGCCATCACCGACAACGGTGGACAGATCCTTGTCGACTTGAAGAAGGGAAAGCCGAAGGGCGGTCGCTCTCCTTTAGCACACCTCCTTCCTCCTACCACGCTTGCCCGGTTTGAGAAGTATGGAATCGATGTGAGCCAGGGCTACCCTGAAGTTCCTCCCCAAGAAAAGATCCCAACTTTCCTAGATGAAGCGTTTGCGGTCAGGAACGAAGGCTACCCTTATGTCGATCGCGGAAAAAATGCTGATCCGGAAAAGAAGGCTTTGTTTGGCGCTGCTACGGAAGTTATCCATCTCACCAAGCACATTGGTACCGAAATCGTGGGCTTGCAGTTGCAAGCTTTGACCAACCAGCAACGAGATGAGTTGGCGTTGTTGATTGCTGAAAGAGTTGTGGTGTTTTTCCGTGATCAAGATTTGTCTCCGCAGAAACAATTGGAGTTGGGCGAATACTACGGTCAGGTAGAGAAGCATCCACAGGCTCAACATCTTCCGGGCCACGATGGCATCACCATTATCTGGCCAGAGCTTTTCCTGCAATTGGGAATCAGCAGCACCTTTAAGCAATCCAAAACTACTGCCAGATGGCACACGGACTTGACCCACGAACACCAGCCGGCTGGGATCACTCATCTTCACAACGACGCTATCCCGAAAGTCGGTGGTGACACGGTGTGGGCTTCGGGATACGCCGCTTTTGACAAGTTGTCCCCTGCGTTGCAGGAGTTTTTGGAGGGAAAGACCGCAATTTTCAAGTCTGCCCACACCTACTTTGACAGAAACGACCCATTGAACGGAAAGAAGCAGGTTGAAAGAGAGCACCCAATTATCAGGACGCATCCTACCACTGGCTGGAAGTCTCTTTTCGTTAACCGTACCTACACCGACAGAATTGTTGGATTAGAGCCGGGTGAGTCGGAGGTGATTTTGGAGTACTTGTTTGGAGTGTTTGAGAAGAACTTGGATATTCAGGTTCGTTTCAACTGGAAGCCAACCAAGGCTGATTTGGGTACCTCTGCCTTGTGGGACAACAGAATCTCCCAGCATAATGCCATTTGGGACTACGAAAACAGCGAGCCTCGCCATGGCACCCGTGTCACTTCATTGGGTGAACTTCCGTTTTACGACTCAGAATCCAAGTCACAGCGTCAAAGTTTAGGGTTGTCGCTCGTGTAAACCTGGATATTTTTCGTTTGAGAGTTCTTTCCTGTTTGAACAACAGGTTGAGCCCAAATATGTTTTATTTTCGTATTTCAATTAAAGGTTCTTTCTTAAAACCGTGCTGTAGTTGTATTACGCAATTGATGAGACTTATAGGATCACAGGGGTTGTTATATATGCAGACCCTATGAAAGCATTTTCTAGGGCTGACGTGGATATGTATTCCCCTCACACTCAGCTGTGTATATGGGTAACTGCCAGGAATCCGCAGGGGGCTTCGGATCCAGTATCCGACTCAACGATACCTAATATGTACGGTATCTATAATTTAAATCATCCCCACGCTTATACTGTGATCTGCCGTGGGGCAGTTACAATTGTATCACCTAATACCCCTCGCTACATCTGCATGGTAGCACAGATGCATATAACACGTGATCTATCAGCACCGTTACGTATGCGCATGCAGCGTTATTGGGTATACTCCCAGAACCTCTCCCCCAAGAAACTCACAATGGATGAGCGGAAGCGCTTTGGTACTGTCAGACGATCTAGACCTTTCAGAGAAACGCTAATTTAAGACTCCATACTTTCTTCTCAGACTGATAGTTCACCTTTTTTAGCGTCATCGGAGTAACAACTTCCCGATGCATGATCAAACCCCTATGAGGTTAGCCCCTGGATCGCCCCACTTTTTTTTTTTTTCTATATAAAACCAAAATAATCTTTCCCTTTCCTTAGACTTACAAAAGTATTCCTTTTACTTAATACATCAACATCTGATATGTCCATCTCCCGTCCAGCAGTATTAATCTCTGGTGCAGCCCAAGGTATCGGCCGTGCCATTGCAGTCCAGCTCGCCACCGACGGCATGAACGTTGCCATTGCGGACTTGCCTTTCCAAGAAGCAAAAGCCCTTGAGCTCAAACTGGAGCTCGAGTCAAAGTATGGTGTCCATGCAATCTGGGTTGAGTTGGACGTTGCGTCCAGAGAGCAGACAAAAGCGGCCATTGAGGCCACCGAACGGGCATTTGGTCGGTTCGACATTATCGTCAACAACGCAGGGATTGCCCAGGTCGATTCTGTGGTGAATCACACCGAAGAAGCCGCCAGAAAGATCTACGATATCAACGTCTTGGGGACGTTGTGGGGTATCCAGGAGGCCGCCAAGAAGTTCAAGGCGAATAAGACTCCGGGAAAGATCATCTGTGCGTGTTCTATTGCTTCCCACAAGGGTATGCCATACTTGGGGGTCTACTCGTCCACCAAGTTTGCCGTCAAGGGTTTGGTTCAGGCTGCGGCGCAGGAATTAGCCACGGATAAGATCACCGTGAATGGATATTGCCCGGGGATTGTGTTAACCCCAATGTGGGACTTGATTGACCGCAAGATCTGCGAGGCCAGCGGCGAGCCGGTCGGGACGGCTTTGAAAAAGAGTATCGAAGGGATTGCCTTAGGAAGAGGTCAGGAGCCGGAAGATGTGGCTGGATTGGTATCTTTCTTGGCCAGTGACAAGAGCAATTATATAACTGGACAGGCCATCGTCTCTGACGGGGGCATTGTTTACCCATAATCTATGCCATATTTATAGCTGTATCATTAGCCCTTCCATACGACTATTTTGAGTTTCCTTGAAATAAAAAAAAAAAAAAAAAACATACTGTAGACGGAAGCGGCCACCGCCGAATGTCCTTCTGTGTCGCGTGCTTCTATATGTAGTGGAATATTGAATCGAGTAATGACCAGAAGCTATCCAGATGCCTAAATAGAAAACTAGCCCCCAAAAGTATTATTTAATAACCTTATCTAAATCAAGTCTGTAATAATTACCACGATTATGTTAATGACATTTAACCTAGACGTTATTCCTTAAGTTCCCATAGTTCAGCCCTTAAGCCCCTCCCTCAATAAACATATGCAGTGTTACAACAGTATAAAGCAAGCACTTCACTGGCTGCCGGGGAAATTTGAGTCAACTTTCCGATTCCCTGTCACCCACAACTCTCTCTCCCTCGTGTTATACCGGTGAATTTGATGTATTTATTTTGCGCTTCCGAAACGGCCATGAACTTTTAGTACCCGGCATTGCCCTACCGGTTAAAACCCAAAATACTCGGAGCAAAATGTGCCAACTTAAATATGTGCAACATGACATCATCTCGTGTGAAACTCCGAATGACGGCTTGGCGGACACCGCCGACCGAGCACACTACCTCGTCACTGTGGGTTAATATCTATTAACTCGCTGACGAATCACGGGTGTCTAATCTGATTCATACTCTACCAAATCTGACAGAGGACGCCTGTAGTTTACAGGGCGTATTTATTTATGGTTGTGACGCCTCCGAATCCTGCGCAATATGCACAGCCTCTTCGGTAAACAGTATCCGTCTCAGTGCACTGCACCTCACAGATAAGACATTTCCAGCCCAAAAAGATCCATCAAAATGTCTTCTGTTGGCGGGGTTATCCGTCGTTATAAAGGCCAATCCCCGAGCAATGACGCGGGTAGTGGCTCACCGAGATTTGCCCTCCCTGCATGTATGCCAGATTCGGGTACGAGCCGTGTTTTCCGGCATGGTTCTTGTGGTTCGGGACCCAGTGCGTTGCATGACGCCCCCGCAGATGTATGGCTAGTGGTGACCACGCGCCGATGCAATGATAGCATTTTCACGGCACTGCAACGTTGCAATGGATGACCGAGGTAATTCCAGGCATCTCATTGCTTCGTAGCTGCCGTATAGTGGAAAAGCAGTGCGGCAAAAATCTGGAGAGGATGGAGACCTTAACGTATATTTAGATTTTATTGCTCCGCCAGGGTCTTTTCAAAAAATATTGTTGGGCCTTCTTATCTTTAGCAGAACGATGTTGTTCACTGTGTAGATTGTCAAAAGATGTACCCCTCACGGATGACACCGTGGCGGCTCCCCGCCGCCCAAACGGTGCAGGTGTGAACGCAAGAGGGGAATATCTCCCGATCTGGCTGCATGCATAATGTTCCTAAGAATTTGCGCCAAAAAGAAACTCGAGGTTTTTCCGTGCTAGCAAACTTTTGCCGGTTTTATGCACGCGTATGCGGAACGAAACACAGCGGCGTAACCCAAACCTCGATACTCAACCCAGCCATGGCTAAGACCCAGATATATAAACACCGGTTCCCAACGAAAACGTGTTGACAGAACCATATCGGGTCTAGTCGAGGTTAATTAATAACTTAAATTTTGGACACTCACAGGAACGTCCCAACAGAACACTTTCTTGCTTCCGGTTACAAATACATGGAAGTCCCACGAACTTTTGCTTTTGAGCCGTCCCTCGATTTACCAAAACACTACGATTCAGTCACCGATATACAGGCTTATGACTGATAATATTCCTAGCCCCATACCCCTAGATAGCCCCATGCCTCTCAAACCCCGAGATAACTCCCAGCCGCCATGTCATAACGGTTCCACTCCCCACTTTAATGCCAGCTCGGCAGACCCCGAGAGCCGCCATGTCTCGTTCGTAGACTTGCCTGAGTCCATCCGCCGGAAGGATCTCGCGGTAAGCTCTTTTCTCAACCGCTCTTTCTCCGACCACTCCATTAAGTCTGAGTGCATTTCCCCGATCAACTCGTATGAAGATATCCGTTTGCAGATGACTCGTACCGGCTCCTCCGTCCACCGAGAGGCAGAGATATGCCTGGGGCCCCTTGAGTCGCGGCCCGAGTCAGACTCGGCTCGGAAGTACGTGATTATCCTTGTTGGACTCCCAGCGTCCGGCAAGTCGTCTTTCGTCAGATCCTTCATCAAGTACGTGGGCGACATTTCGGACTACCGCGCGGCATCGTACAACGCGGGCGTGGCGCGCCGCCAGTTCTTCAACACTTCCGCGCCTGCGACAAGCGCCGCTTCATGCCAGACCCACGAGCTTTTCGACCCAAAGAACGTGGAGGGTACGCGCCAGCGGGACTGCTGGGCACAGCAGACATTGCGCCAGCTCTTGCACGAGCTCCTCACAAACGAACAGGACATTGGGATCTTTGACGCGACAAACACGACGCGCGAGCGCCGTACGAGCATCGTGCGCGAGATCCGTGAGTTTCAGCGCGAGTCACCGCGCGCGTACTCGGTCACGCCCATCTTTCTCTCGGTCACACTCTCGCTGCCGAAGTACCTCCTCTATAATATCGGCCAGAAGGCACACAACGAGGACTACAAGAACGAGGCCTGCACCGAGCAGGCGGTGCGCGACTTTGCGCTCCGCTACGAGAATTACTGCTCGGTGTATCAGCCATTCTCTGACGCAGAGCAAACCCAACTTGCCGACTCACAGGGCTCAATCGGCCAAGTCTCTATTGACAACCTCGGTGAGGAGTGCTACTTCCGGATGGATGGAAAAGCCGAAACGGACGATGTGTGGCAAATCTTGCAGTTCTTTGCGAGTAACTATCAAATAATGGCGGGCGCGGCCTACGCGCAAAAGGTGGACCGCTTCGTCGGAACCCCCGCGCACCTGATGGTGCAGCGGATAGTGAATAGCTGTTCGCTTTAATGACTTATGAGTTTTTGTTAATATTAGATTTGGTTTGGTGGGTGCGTGTGCCCGAATAGATTTTTCTTGAATGATGTGTAGGATAAGAGACCGGGAGATGTGTGTAATCGAAGATGGCCCAACCAGATGGCGTGGCATCAGTACAATCTTGATACAGATCTTGAAGTTAGCTTCAAAATGGGGGGATTTTTTTTTATTTTATTTTTTTTTTTGATTGGCTAGCCAACATATGTCTGGCTCCGTTAACACAACACCTTTGGTATGCCGTAAACGGCTTATATATGGCTACATTATCAAAGTTCCCTATGTATATTGTAAATCACCTACGGATAATCAACAATGCCTTCTCTGGCCTAAATATTACAATAATCTACAACCAAAACACGTATATCCTATGCATTATCAACTATCTCAACCCAGGCAACCCACTGCCCCCCAATCCGGGCAATCCACTTCCTCCCAATCCTGGTAAGGCATTGTTCATACCAGCATTGTTCCCGTTAACCTCCTCCTCTCCTGTGGTTGTGTCCTGAAAGTTCTCGCCCAACCCGGGAATGCCCATGAAGTTAGTGCTCGAATTGGCATTCAAACTCAAGCCAGGGAGACCCGGGAGACCTGGCAACGCCTGGTTGCGTGCACCAAGTGGCGTGTTGTTCGATGCGGAAGCAGACGGATCGGCCCTCTCGGTCTGCCCCGCCGAGGCAGTGCCGGCGGAGCTGGCATTATTCCCGTTGTTAACCCCGTAGTACCACGCTCCGACCTTATCATTCGTGTAGGTCGCATCAAGGAATGCCAAGGGATCGTTGGGTCTGGAGCGGCACCAGAAGCGCGCGGAGCGGTCGGCGCCAGCAGAGCAAAGCAAATGACCGAGCGGATGGTACTCCAACGTATGGACGGCCTTTTCGTGGGCGTAGGGGATCTCGTGGAAAGGGGTGATGGACGCTTCAGGGGTCGAGCCCAGACCGTTAAAGCTGCTCTGGGGGTTGGAAACAATCTTCTCGGGTACCGTCGTGTCTAACATGTAGTGCGAGATAGAGCCATCATAAGTGGCGGTCGTCAACATGTTAGAGTGTACAGGATGCCACGCAAGCGAGGACAAATCGCTTTCATTTCCCCGAAGCACGAGGAGATCCTTCATCGTGCGCAAGTCAAAGACTCGCGTGGACCGATCTCTGGAGACTGACGCTAGGAGCCGCTGGGTCCCGGTCTTCTGGAACCGCGTCTTGGTGACGGTATGCTTGAAACCGTGGATGGTGGTGATACACGCGGCCTGACGCGGGTCCCACAACTTAAGCAAGTTGTCCTTGGAGCCTGACACTATAAGACCGAGATTTGCGTGCCAATCGGCAGACTTGACATCCCAGTGGTGGCCCGCGAGTGTGCGCTCCTCCTGACCCGTGTGGAAACTCCAGATCTTCATCGTGCTGTCGTCAGACGCGGTGAGAAACTTGGAATCGTTTGGCGAGAACGCAATGTCCCGGATCCCGTCGCCATGTGCGTTGATGATGTTTACGTTGTTAAAATTGGGCTGCCAGAACTTGACTGTCCCTTCCTGGTCCCCGGAGAGAAGCCAGTCGTCGTTGTGCGAGTACGATAGAGAAAAGATTGCCAGGTCATGCGCCTGCATGATGGTCTCGAAGTTGAAAGTCATCCCATTCCAGAGCGTGAACTCACCACTGTGACTCGCTACAAGAAGGCGTCGCCCTTCTGGTGTCCATTTGACTGCGTGAATCGCGTGTTTCGCCTTGTTCGCGCTGAGGTGTGCAAACTTTGTCGGCGTGTCCATCGCGGCATTACGTTTCGATGCCAATGGTGGCAACATATCTATCGCATAGGTTGCCTCGGGTCTGATTTTCCCCACCCGCTGGGACTTTCCGATGGCTTTCTGGAGAAACCAACGGCCCATGGGATTCCCGTGGTCCACTGTCCGCCGATGCGCCGTCTTTTTCATCTGCGACGCCAACTGCTGTTCCATGTTTTGGTTGTAATTGCGGTCCTCATAGTTGGGATTCTGGTATCTCTGGCGATTCATAGTGGGGGGTGAGGAAGGGTACTAGACTGAGAGAGTTATACTTAGCGGTTGGAAGAGTTTTTACAAGTATATCTAGTTGGTCGTGTGGACACCGAAGGTAACGCGAAACGCGAAGCGCGAAACGCGGTGAACAGCTGACGTTTAGTTTCTGTCGTCCTGGCACGCTTGAAATTGGCGGTAATACAGCAATGGTTAGTGGATAAGGGGTGTGTAAAGTAAAAGGATCTTGGCTTTTATAGATTTAGAGAATAGTTAGCTGTGGCAACTAGCTGACCCCTGATGAATACCCATAAAAGTATCCATTATCTGTGCATGAAATCATGGGTAAGTTACTTCGGTATAGGTTCCACACATAAGCTTAAAATTTCGTATTTTCAGTAAAGGTTTGTCTTGTAAAGATATTCCGATATATAAACCCAGCATTTTCATACTTCCGAAAGTAAATTCCTAATATTCAGAGCTCAAAGGCTTCCTCTAGGCATCTCCGTTAAGCGTCCGGCTCCAGTGTCAGTGTTTGCCTCATACACAATCGCCGTTCTACAAGCATATCGTGTAAGCTATATTGTTTTCGGAGGAAAGGCCAGGGAAAAGGAAGCAAAGGTAAAATATAAACCAAGTTTGAAAAGAAATGCGCATGCGCATATAAACCCTTAGGAACACTGAGGAGAAAGAATATGAATAAAAGCTAGAAGAATGGTGGAAAGTAGAAAGGGATGGAACAGGATACAGTGATCCCATCAATGGTGTGAAAATATAAACGTAGGGAATGGGTGAAAAAAACACCAGTCACAGAGGAATTCCAAGGGGAAATTCAGTAACCACAATAGTTAAAGATTGTCAGGGTGCAGAAATACGCGCAAAAAGTCATGAGGCAAAAAAAGCATTTAAAGCAAAACTCACCCAGCAGCCAATGAGATACCGATCTAGGTAGGACATTCACCTATCAATCACTTCGGAGGGATTCTACAACTCCGCCTCCTCTGCAATCTTCCACTCCAACAACCCGGACAACTCCGAGATCGGACAGGCCTTCGCCAAGAACGAATGCCGCGCCAACTCCTCGGTCTTTGCCCTGTACCGCACATCCACACACAAACAAATCGACAAGAACTTTTTGATATCGTCCGACAACTGCTCTGGGTGCTTCAACTTCGGCGTCCCGTTCGTGGCAATCAAGTACAACGCCTTTAATGGCTCCTCGTTCAAGTACGGTGGCTCGCCCTCGATCATCTCGATGGTCATGATCCCTAAGGACCACACATCCACCTTTTCGTCGTACTCCTTCTGTTTGACCACCTCAGGCGCCATCCAGTACGGTGTACCAACCATGGTGGCACGCTTCGTGCGCTGGTCCGTCAATTTCGCACAGAAGCCAAAGTCCGTGATCTTCACATTCCCGCGCGCATCAAGCAACACGTTATCGGACTTGATGTCGCGGTGAATAATGTGCTTCTCGTGCAAGTGCTGCAAACCCTTGGTGGTCTCGAAACAGATGCACGCGATCTGTCTCTCCGTGAGGTGGCGGTTATTCTCGATGATATCGGTCAACGAGCCCCCCTCCATGTACTCCATTACGACCCACAAGTCAGAGTTGCCGCGGAGATATGCCTCGAGGAAGTTGACAATGTTGTCGTGGTGGCTGTCCTTCATTACAAGGATCTCGTTGATGATGAGCTCCTTGCGCGGTTGCGCTGCAAGGTCCATCTGCTTCACCGCAACCTTCTCGCCACCGCGTTTCAACGCGCGCGCAAGGTATACGCTCCCGGATGCGCCCTGGCCTGCTTTCTTGAGCACCTGGAAGTACGGTGTCGGGTCCGAGCTGCTTACCACCGTGCGCAACTTTGCGAGAATCTGTGCATCCGTGAGATTAGACGAGCGGCTCTTGGTCTTTTTAGTGCTGTTCAGTGTCTGGTTCGCCGAAAGCGCTGCTGCTGTAGCTGCAGACGCCGCCGCAGCAGCAGCTACCGATGGAGCCTGGTCCGGCTTCGGGTGTCTTTCCTGCGACGGACGTCGTGGCTGGACGGCATTTTTAATGTAAGGGTTCGGAATAGCTGCCGGGGCCTTGCGGTCCGGGAAACTGGGGCCGTATGCCTTTGGCTGGTACCGGGCCGATGAACTCTGGGAGGTTTGCGGGTTCTGGGATGGGTGAGGCTTGTGAGATAATGAAACCTGGGATGACGGAGAATTTGACAACGGAAGGTTCGACGAATTCTGGGAGGGAGGTGGAATCCGCGGAGGCTGGCTGCGTGCCGGCGATGTTTGATCTGGTCTCTGGTAGTTCTGTGGGACGTTTAACGGCTTGACATCTGACACATGGCGCGGTGATTGCCGGCTGTCCGGCACGGCCGCTGGAGGCCGCGGGGCCCGTCTCTGAGGAATCAAGCCAGGTTTCTCCGCCTCGGGCAGCTCCTGTTTCATCGAATACGGCACGACAGCTGGAGGGGCAGAGTCGTTGGAGGGTGTAGGAAGCGGTGGGATTGACGTTGGGTGATTCGTGGCCGCAGGAGTGATAGGCGTGAGGTTTTTGTAGCCCTGCGGGACCGGTGGCGCCGCACGCATAGGCTTGTACATATCTTCGGTCTTGGTCAGGTTCTCCGCCGGGGCCTTGCTGCCGAAGACATCGCTGCCAGCACGTTCGGCTTCGTGGGGGCCGTTTCGCGTCGGCGGCGCGGTACTAGAGCTGCTGTGACCGAGGCTGGCGACCTGCGGCATGTTAGGCGAGTTCTGGGCACTGGCACCATTAATGTCCGAGTAGAACTCCAACACCTCGATGACGGCGACGGGGTCTCGCGACCAGTCCTCGTTGGTGATGTGCGAGTGCTGCAACAAGCGCTTCCAGTTGTCGGGTAAGCCGATAAACGCGCCAGACGCGGGATCGAAACCTACGTGGACCTTGTGGGTGAAGTTGGTGGGCTGTGACACGGCCGAAGAAGACGAGCCCACAGAGTAGGCCGCAGGACTGGAGTGCAAGAACGTGCACTTGGCGAACATCGCGTCGAGCCAACCGTATAACTCGTCTTCGGTCTTCACTGACACGTAGAAGGACTTGTCGTTTTTGCGCAGCAACTCGAAGCAGAACGAACGCAACTGGACACGCGTGAGATTCGTGATGGTTGTGAGCGGCACCGACATCGATAGCTCCTTCTTGCGCGCAGAGTCCACGTGGACCGCGCTGACGTCGGACTTGTAGAGGTTGAGGTGGCGGTCCTCCAAAACCATGAATTTTTTGTTCCACTTGAAGGACATGAAGGACGAGCCTTCATCCTTGGTTTGGATCCAGCCTTGCTGGGGTTTGACGGAGGAAGATGTGAGCGACATGCCCTGCATTTTAGCCGATGGCGGCTGAGGCGCCTTTCCGGGGTTGCTAAACGCCTCTTTGGAGTAGGGATTGGAATACATGGTGAATCACTAAAGAAATCACTGAGCAGGGTAGTGTGAGGAACAATCAAGAATCGCTGGGTGAATTACCAAGCAAAATGGTGTGATGGTCTGGGAGTCACCTAGTGAAGGGATAAGCTGAGTATAAAGGAATGGGCAAAGACCAAATGGTGAGAAACGGTCAAACGGGATGAAGCAACCGATAGGCAATGGTATACGCAGTTGTTCTAGTGGGGGAGGCTAACGAAAAATCAAGTGGATACTTGGTCAAATAAAGCGAGTAGCGGCGATTGGTCGGCGATTAATGTCAGCTCAATGCAGCAGTTGATCAGCAAAAAGGAGGAGTTTGCGAAAATAATGTTAGGGCAATAATCCGCTAAGGCAATGCCTGGCTAGTCAAAGAAATCTGATAGGGAGAAGGTAGTCAGTGGTAAGCCAATAGGACGGAGACAGCTAATTGATAAAGCTAAGGGTACCGGAAAAAGCTGGTGGATGAGAACTGAAACTACTGATAAAGGTTGTGCTTGGAGCGAAACAATAGCGGGAACGGCTGAATCAACGGAGGGTGAGCGGGTAACGGCAGAAGCGATAGGTGAGGTTAGTGAAGCAGACACTGGACAAATAGATAGCCAGATGGAGCGTGGTGAAAATGTGCAAGTGGTGCAGCTGAATATGTAACACTCTGGCAAACCGGTTCTAACAAATATCTCGTGACAGAGCGCACCGGTTTCAAATTCATCTTTGAGACTGGTGATTAGTTCAGGTGCGCGTGTACTCTCTGCGGGTCGTGTGGTGGCCAGCGAGTGCGCCATTACATAAGCTGCAGCGACGCCCCTGGCCCTGCGCGCCAGGCATTCAAGAGGCCATGTGCGAGCGACATAGGTGCACTAAAAAAATAGTATTGACGATTGACTGTGTATTCATTTACTCTTAAATAAGAACCAATGCTATAGTAGATTAGGTAATGGTGCTGTGTGCTGGATAGGAGGTGAAAGAAGTACTGTTGTATATGCATCACCCTTGTCTAGCTCTGCTTAAGCCGAGCCACGAACGCGGTAACCAAACGTCGGGAGGATGGACTAAGAAAAATGCTATAAAACTAAGGGGTAGCATTTAGGCGCGGAGGACTTGAATCCTTATTGTGATAAGGAAGCAATTTAAAATCAAGAGTCGGTTGGTAGCGTCGGTATATACAACGACAAACGCTACACGTAATACTTTCTGGTAATGCCAACCCTAAGGTTATTTTATAATATTGCATGCCACGTACCATGTGTATCATGATAGCTAAGGCTATCCTAAGTATAGCGTAACCTCAGTTTTGCCATCGTTAGCCGTATGCTAAGTGCAACGTGTTACCTGAGAGGCGGCCCCCCAATATTGTACGAGCACAATTTTCCAACAGTGGGGCGGGCCTGGAGATACTGACGTGTCTCACGCGGCGCCCATCTGCACATATTTCCCAAAGAAGCAATATCTTGAAACAATGCCGGACGTATTTAGTACAATGAGCAATTGTGGGCGGTGATACACAATCGCTTCTACAGGGATAACCCCAGAATGAGGCCCCATGGAGGGCAGATTGAAAAGAACATTAAGTACGGAGATAATTGGTTTGAGTAGATAAATCAGTAATCGTAAGTGGTGTCTTCTCTGCGGAAGGTTGACACATTCGATAATCTGAGATAGGTGATGGAACCTGCTTGCAATGGCTGCAACAAGGTCTCTACATAATAGACGAGTTCGACAAGTACGAGATGTTTCCTGTATGCATCATTGGTGAGAGCTCTTTTGAATTGATACATAACCAAGACAAACACAATCCTAGTTCCTTTCGATATCTGGTACATCTAGAATAAACACTACATGATAATTCGGCATCGACGCACTGCGGGGCTACTATTCTAGGATTTCATTAAAGGCACATCCGTAGCTCCAGACCATTGACATGATATTTGAATTGAGGATCTTGAACTGAAGATATTAGAGTGTAAAAATTTCTCTCATATCGTACACGCTTATAATTGCCGAATAATGGCAAGAGTCACATGTGCAGACCTAAGTGGGTTCCGGTTCACAGCGCAGTTATCTATATTTTACAGAACTAGTCCTATTTAATAATAGGTGCGTGATTATGTAGTTACAACTTTCTCGGCGATAAAGTTTCTCATAAATCCACTTCTTTTTCAATCTACCCCACCTTCTCTCCTTTCACCAACATACTTGAACTCCCGTCTCATCTCGTTTGCCAACCCTACCCCAAACCCGTCCTCAAAAATTTTGCTCACCACCTCCAATGGCAATCCATTCACCTCGGGATAGGCCACATAAATTCCGAGCCATCCCAACACGCAAACAGCTCCGTAGATCGAAAACGTCCCCCACGATCCAATCCTTGTCACAAGTGACAAAAATGACACCGACACAATGGTGTTGGTCAGCCAGTTGCAGCAGGTCACAAGAGTGGCACCTAAGGCTCGGGCTTCCATAGGAAGCAACTCCGAAGCGGTCCAAGGGACCGTCCCCAAGGCGCTGGCATAGGACGCTACGTACAAACAAAGGCAACAGAGGGCCATAATGATCTGAGAGTTGCCGGTGGACGGCTCTGCGCCCGGCTTCATGTTACGGAGAAAGTATCCCGCCCCGAAAAGGGTAAGCGACATGATCCACACCGTGTTGAGTAGAATCTTTCGCCGTCCAACTCGATCAATAAGATACACAGCCACAAAGGTAAAGGCAAAGTTGGTGAGCGCGATAAAGAGCCCCGTTAGCAAAGGATTTTTGATCCCCAAGGTCTGAAAAATGGTCGGAGAATAGTACATCAAGGCGTTGAACCCGCAGAGCTGCTGAAACATCATAAGCCCACAGCACACAGCCAAAGCTCTAACGGTGGAAGTCTTGCCGAAGAGACGGACAGCTGCCGTCTCCTGGAGAATCGCTTTGTTAGCAAGCACATCCTTCTGGATAATCTCAATGGCCTCGCCGATCTGTTCAGCAGTGGCACTTGGGTAGAGCTTTCCCAATGCCGAGGAAGCGGTCCGCACATCATTCTTGAGAACAAGGAAGCGCGGGGACTCGGGAATGAACCCCACCACCAAGAGAAAAATCGCGGGAGGGACGACAGATACCAAAATCATGATCCTCCAGCTGTATTTCCAGTCCTTTACCAAGACAGCCACGATGTATGCCACTGCCTGGCCTCCCGTGGTTGCCACCGAGTTTAGCGTAAGCAACATTCCCCGTTGGTGAGACGGAGCGATTTCCGCAATGTAAACCGGCACTATCATCGACGCCGCCCCCACCGCAAAGCCCACCACTAGCCGGCCACACACCAACTGCGTGACGGTCTGAGAGAACCCCATTCCGCAGGCAGCAGCGATGAACACGACGCAACAAACGGCAATGATTCGCTTGCGGCCCACCCTATCGGCCCAGAAACCGGCACCGCAGCTGCCGACAAGTGCCCCGATACTGGTGATGGCGGTAATAAGCTCCATCTGGTGCGGCGTAAGGGTTTCCCCGAGATCCGTACCGACCGTCACGAGCACCCCAGAGATGACGCCGGTATCATACCCAAAAAGAAGGCCCCCGATGGCCGCGGAGAGTACCACAAGGTAGGCAAATGTCCCGGTAATGGTGTTTTCAATGGTGGGGGTATAGATACTGGGAGGGGAGGTTTCACCTATATGTGACAGGAGAGGGTAGAGCTCCAGGGGGGGCAGAGCTGTTAGTAAAGGTTGCGCCAGGGAATGTGTTTCTGGATGGCTTAAACTCATGGGAAGTAGAAAAAAATAGCTATAAAGGGGGGTATCAGGGACTTTTAGATGCCGAATGAAGGAGTATACTGGTGAAGGAGTACGCTGGTGAAGGAATGATACACTGGTGAATATGGGCTTGGGTACAGCTCTGACGTGGTTTGGTGTATAATATTGGTCTAATAGAAGATGTAAATGGCTAGTATTGGTATATACATGACCTAGGACCCAATAGTCTCTTCTCCAGTGTGTTATGGGAGTTATATATGATTATCTTCAAATGTGTAAATTTGATCTGCTGTAGGTCTGTAGTTGTGTCTTTGTCTCGGTACAGAATCGTAAAAGTCAGGATGACGATAACTCTGGTACAGCGCACTATTCAATTTGAATGAAGTCAGCTTTTTGTTCCAATCTTGGTCTATTTAAGCCAGTTACGGCGAAATGTAAATCCTTATCCTATGCCGGCTCCCCGCCCCCACATCGCTAGCCGCATGTGTTTGTCACGTGTCATACCATTCCGGTGGTACCTTAAATAGCAATTCGGCGCACTGGTACCGAGCCCTGCACATACCTGTTTGTGGTATACAGAATTTCAAGTTTACCGGTGCTGATGTCTTGTTAACCAAACGTGCCACATTGCTGTGAGAGCTATTAAGAATTTACTACCCGGACCTAGCATCGGCTACCCTATCTCAAATATTTAGTTAACACGCTTCTGTGTCTCTCTCAGAGCTATCAGCCTAGATTGCTATCCAGTTCTAGCCATCATCTAGCACCAATAACTGCTTATCTGGCGTCCATATCTCCTTCCATTACGTAATAAACCTCCCAGACCCTTTTTTTTTCTATGTCCGATAACGAGATCTACCGAACAGCCTCGGACCTACCCCTCTCCAAGGAACATCTTGCGTCCCGTGACAACCTAGTGACGAAACCATCCGTCAACTTCTCTGCCAAGAGCTCGCACCTGCCGCGGAGCCTGCCGTCGGCGCCCAGTGCGGTGCACAGTCCCTTTTCTAACGTGTTTGCGGTCAACTCATATAACCATTCTGTCCAGTACTACCCACCGTATGTGCTCGACAAGGTGGCACATCTGGAGCCGCTTCCAGAGCAGCAGCCAGGAAACTCCGCAGTCTCCAACGTAAAGAACCGTACGCGTGAAGACGATCTTTTCCTCAACGCGATCCACAATAACTGGGGCACGTTTGTGCAGACGGTACAGGCCAGCCCGGCCTATACCTCCGGCCAACTCGAGTTCAACGCCGAAACCACCCACGGGTTTCCTGACTTGAGTGGTAAGTGGGAGGGCCACGAACGCTTGCGCGCGGCACTTAACAGCGACGATGATGAACTCTCATACACAGATCGCATGGGGAAACGAAGTTTTATCTTTCGCTTGCTCAGTGGATACTACTTCACCCGCAGCGCCTGGACCTCTGACACTGCGTCGTTAAGCTCGGAACAGCATGAGAAAAAGCGGCCGAAGATTCAGCTGCGCGCGGGCTACTGGATGCTGACGCATAACCGCGCGGACTGGAAGCCCATGTTCAAACGCATTCTCCTCAACAACCCCTACATCCCATTGACACTCCGCCTCATTATCATTATCTTCTGCGCGACCGCTCTCGCGCTCGCGGCGGACGTTTACCGCGAGTCGCACATGTACTACGGCGAGTATGGCGCTGATGCCAGTACTATCATGGCGTTGTGCGTACAGACAATCTCGCTCGCATATCTTTTGTACATCACGTACGATGAGTTTTCCGCGAAACCCATCGGCTTGCGTAACCCGATGGCCAAGTTACGCCTCATCATGTTGGACCTCTTGTTTGTTATCTTCTCCGCCGCAAACCTCACGCTTGCCTTCTACAACTTGTATGACACCCAGTGGTTGTGTTCGGCTACACAGAAGGGTTATCCCGAGCTCAAGACCAGTTGCGAGCGTCAGCGCGCCTTGGTTGCGTTTTTGTTGATCATCTTGTGCATGTGGGTCACTACGTTTACCGTGAGTATCGTCAGGGTCGTCGAGAGAGTCTCCCCGGGGTTGAAATAGAAAATGGTGCAATACGCTAAAAAGTCCGAATAGTGGTAAGCACGTTGTGAGCTGGAGAAGATACAAACAGTAAGGGATCCCTGTGAAAAGCATGAGTAATGATATGCACCGAGTTTTGGTGGGAATTCCTAACAGTTTGAGAAGAGTGGTACGCCATGGTGAAAGATATGCGCGGTTTATCCACTTGCACCTAGAATTGGTGGAATGCTGAAAATTCGAGCACCCATAACATATTGAATATATTTATTGATTTCACTTATTTTATATCGTTTTATGACAATATACAGAGAATCTGGAGTCTTGGTATATAGTGCTAGCCATGACAAACTTGTGTATGTCTCCATCCAACGCGAAACTTGATAATAACCAACATTCAGAAATCAAGGGTCCGATGAAGGAGAGAGCAGCCAAGTTCGATCTCACACCCGGATGCTCCCACTAAACTATCGCGAAAATGTATACCACTATAATAGTCCACATCAAGGATACCAAAAAAAAAAAACCAAATTTAATAGAGACAAGGGAATATTAATATAGCATACAACTAGAGCGTGTGCTACGCATCCATACCCCCTGACGTGCACCTACCGCTCGTGTGCCTACCGCCTTCAAATACCTGATCCCATTACTCGTTCTGCGTGCCACATTTCGCAGATGCATTTTGCTACTTCTTGCTCTCTTTACCCTTTTTGCCGTTCATATTGCATTTCTTCCTACCACTCTCTGTCCTATAGGCGCTCAATTCCTCTCTCATCTTTGCATCGAATTGACCAATAGCATCGCAATGTCTCTTCCTAAGGCCGAAGATCTCACCGCCACCTGGGTGTACGTGGAGCCCGGCTTGGGCCACATCTTGGGCTCAGAAAACGACCAGGGCGTCACTTCCCAAATGTACATGAATATCTACACGGCCATATACAACTACTGTGTCAACAAGTCGCGCTCATCCTCGTCAACCTCCGTCAACGGCAACAAGTTCTTGGGCGGAGCGGAGATCTACCAGCGCCTCAAAGAGTATCTCTGCGGCTACGTGCTGGGGCTCAAGCGCCGCGACGACGAGACGTTCCTTGAGTTTTACGTGCGCCGCTGGGTCCGTTTCAGTATAGGTGCCGGCTACCTCAACAACATCTTCGACTACATGAACCGCTACTGGGTTAACAAGGAGCGCACGGACGGCCGCCGCGACGTGTACGACGTCAACACGCTCTGCACGCTCACGTGGCGTGACTACATGTTCACACCGCATGTGGACACCTTGGTGTCGGAGTTGTTGGCGCAGATCGATGCGCAGCGCAACAACGAGATCGTCAATGCGTACAACTTGAGCATCGCCATCAAGTCGTTCGTCACGTTGGGCATCGACACGCAGGACTTGAAGAAACCCAACTTGTCCATCTACGTAGTCAACTTCGAGCAACCGTTCGTGGCGGAGACCGCCAAGTTCTACGCGGACGAGTCCGCGCGCTACTTGGCCGCGCACTCCGTGGTCGACTACCTCACCAAGTGCGAGACGCGCTTGAACGAAGAGGCCACGCGCGCCAATACATACCTTCATGAGCACACTAAGAAACCGTTGACCGAGGCGTTGAACAAGACCTTGGTCGAGGCCCATACTGCCGCCATGTACAGCGAATTCGCGCGCTTGCTCGAGCAGACCGAAACCGAGCACATCTTCAAGATGTACAAATTGTTGAACCGCATCCCCGCCACGTTGGACCCGTTGGCTGTGACGTACCAGGTGTACGTGCAGCTGGAGGGGTTGAAGGCGCTCGAGGCGTTAAAGGCGGCGGACGACGAGGCCAAGGGTGTCAACCCGAAGAACTACGTCAAGACTTTGATCACGGTGTATGACCGCTTTGTCCGAATTCTTGACTCGGCCTTTAACAACGACGCCAAATTTGACAAGGCCTTGGACGACGCGTGCCACGCCTACATCAACAGCAACCCCATCGCTCTTCCCAAGCCCAAGGGCACGTCGCGCACGCCAGAGCTCTTGGCAAAGTACTGTGACATGTTCCTCAAGAAGAGCAGCAAGGAGTCTGAGACCGCGGATATGTCTGTGGACGACATCATGGTGATTTTCAAGTTTATCAACGATAAGGACGCGTTCGAGACGCATTACCGTCGCTTGCTCGCCAAGCGCTTGATTCACAACACCTCCAGCTCTAACGACCACGAGGAGCTCATTATCCAGAAGTTACAGGACGAAAACTCGACCGAGTACACCTCCAAGATGTCCAAAATGTTCCAGGATGTGCAGCAATCGACCGAGTTGAAACTCAGCTTCCGCGAGGCAGTCGAAAAGGATCCGGCGGTGCAGCGCGCCGTGGTGCCCGACTTTACGCCGTACGTCTTGGCAGAAACCATGTGGCCGTTCACACACACCAAGTACGAGACGTTCAAGTTGCCAGCCGCGTTGCAGCCGACGTACGATAAGTTGCAAGAGATGTACCAGGCCAAGCACCAGGGTCGCCAGTTGAAGTGGCTCTGGAACCTCTGCCGTGTGGAGTTGAAGGCCAACTTGAGCAAGCCGGGAAAGCCGCCGTTCATTTTTAGCATGCACTTGTTGCAGATGGCCGTGCTCTTTCCGTTCAACGAGCGTGAGACCTACACGTTTGCCGAGTTACAGGCCGCCACCGGGCTCGACTTGGACCACTTGGAGGGCTACCTCGCGGCGTTTGTCAAGCACCGGTTGTTAGCGCAGAGCCCTGCCGCCACCATGGGTCCGGAGACCGCCTTCACGGTTGTCAAGGAGTACAAGTCTAAAAAGTTGAAGGTGAACTTTGCCACCACCCTCAAGACCGAGGCCAAGCAGGAGAGTGACGACGCCCAAAAGGAGATTGACGAGGACCGCAAGATATTCTTGCAGGCGTGCATTGTCAGAATTATGAAGGCCCGTAAGACCAGCAAGCACGGCGCCTTGATCAACGAGGTTATTCACCAGTCGCATGCGCGCTTCCATGCCGCCATCAGCGACATCAAGAAGTGCATCGACGTGTTGATCGAGAAGCAGTACTTGAGACGTGTCGCGGCCGATGAGTACGAGTACATGGCGTAGAACACACTGTATAATATATTTTACCAATGAGTCTCTGTAGCACGGATGGGGAGGTGTGTATGTTAATCCTAAGCCACCACGTGCTACGTTTTGGAATCTAATACGATGTGGATTGCATACATATTTACAATTCAATATAGGTATATATCCCCACAACACATGACTGAAGTCTCAACTCTAGAGCTCGTGCTAAACCCTCGCTGGAATCTACCTGGCCTGACCCCATGCTTCACCTTTGCGCGCTCTAGAACCCCATCCTGTTCGTATACGCCATCGGCGCGATATCCGGATGCGCCACCGCCGTAAAGGTGTTATACTTCAACTCGATCTCGCCATCCACCTCGTCCATTGTCATATCAATCACCGAGCCCAAATTGCCCTGCGAATCACAGTAATTCGGAGCACTGAACACAGTAATCAATCGCCCATTGTGCTCAATCTCGTACCCGCCCATTCTAACTTCGTGCGACCGGATCACCGCCTTCAACTTGTTTGTCAAGCAGAAGCGCTCGGTAATGTCCGGGCCAAATTGCATCCCAATACCCCTCTTCGACGGCGCCCGCCCATTCGGTACCTGCGGATCGGTCCACAACAACTCCATCTCGATCCCCTCCTTTGGCGGCTGTTTGTAACGGAACCGGTCAATCTTTCTGATATGGTCCAACGTCACGTTGTCGCGCGAGAACAAGCCGCCGTGCATGATGAGGTAGTCGCCCCCAATTAACGCCGCAAATGGTAACGAGTTGAACGACTCACTGAAAACCTTGTAGAGCTTTTCCGAGTACTTCACCTTGCATTCGTCCTTGAACCCGTACACCTCGTTCATATCATCGGTCTCGTGGTTCCCGCGGTTCAAATACACCTGGGTCGGGTAAAGCAACTTGTACGCGTAGAGCAAGAGCGCAACCTCGCATGACCACGAGCCACGGTCCACAAAGTCCCCGTTGAACAAATACGCGTGGGTCTCAGAGATTGCACCAAACTGTTCAAAGATGTTCAACACGTCGTAGAACTGCCCGTGCGTGTCTCCGCACACCGAGAGCGTATGCGCACGCGCTAAACGGTGCGACGCGCTCTTGTCACGCGTGTCAGTCGCCAACGCAATCTCCACCAAAGAAGCTTCACCTTTCAACACTTCGTTGGCGGCTGCCACGATCGCGTACGCGTGCTTCTTCGGGAGCTGTTTCCCGCCCTTGAAGCGCTGAACCATATTATCAATATACTCCCGGGTCATCTCCACTGACACCTTTCTCGTCTTCTTGTGTGAACTGTTCACGACGTCAATCCACTCGGTGCGGATCTCCAACGCCGGCCCGTCGTATGTTGCCTCCACCGTCATCGCGTCAAAGTCTACCAGGTCAATCGCACCCTTCTCATCCTCGCCAAGAATTGCATCGGAAAACGCCTGCTGTCTCAAGATCTTGGTGACCTCCCTGTCGAGCTTCTTCGACGCCACGTCGCCCGGCGACCGCGCCAACACGAGCTTCAAGTCACGCTTGCACTCCTTGTACTGCACGATCGCTGCGTGCGCCACCGCGCGCCGGTAGTACGCCTTGACGTAATCCGGGTCGCGTTCGATCGCGCTGGTAGCGTCGGCGATCGTGAGCCCGTAGTTCTCCAACTTGATGTGCGCCTGCGCGCGATTCAGGTAGAGCACCGCCGACGTGTTGTCAAGCGCGATGGCCTGCGTGTACGCCTCCACCGCCTGGTCGAAGTTGTTGTGCTTCAAAAACGCGTTTCCTTCTTCTTTGAGCTTGAGCGCCTGTTCCTTGGACATTGTTTGTTGGAAAGATGGGAGAGATGGGGAAATGCTTGGTTTTGCAATGACTTTTTTCGCTTCTTCCGCGCGGCAATGTCGCGTGCAGGAGATATACGACAAGAGTCAAGTTGGTGGGCAAGAAAACGTTGATCTCTTCCAAGACATATTTTTGATTAATTCAGAGGGCTGGTGGGTTTTAGGAAATCTCAATTATAATATCTGCTCGTCACTATTTCGGTTTAGTCCCACGGGTTTTCGGGTGGTTTTAAAACGCCCATTATTGCACCATTAAAATCGCTCCTTTTCCTGTGCTCTCCGAGCTTTAGACGTAGAACGTAATTGCTAATCAATGGTGTGGCCTGACATACTGACATTTTACCGGTATCTTCGCCCCTTAGGCGATATCAGCTAGCACTTGGATAATAGGAACTGGCCCTAACCCAGTGGCCTCTTACACCTAGTACAATTCTCTATAAAAAAATTCATTATTAAAACATCTTCTAGAGCCATGGGTACACTGCTTCGTCAATGCCTTCGCTCGCGCTATTTCATCCTAATCGTATAATCCGGCCCATTCTCCGTGATGTATCTCACCCATGGATAGCTCTGGTACTGTAGCTTTGGCTCGTTGATCCGCAAATACTTCACCTGGATGCCACTGGTGGTAAAGTACGGAATCAGGAAATTCACCTTGATCGGCTTCTTCTTAAAGATCTCACCGGCCGAAACATCCTCGTCGTTCACACTCGGCAAGCCCAACTCGGTCTTCATCACGTACTCCTTCCCCCCCTGGAACGACTTAAACTTCCACACCAACACGGATTCTTCCGGCTTCCACTTGATCTTGCCGCCGTCGCTCTTGAACTTCGGGGTGTCTGCATCTTCAGGAATAGGAATCATAATCTCGACGTTGTTGGCTGTCGATTTGCGCTTGATCTGGGCGCGCACGCGAGCCAAAATCTCGATCCGCGAATTTGAGTGGATCTTGAACTTGCACTCGACGTGGATGAGCGGCTTCAATGGCATGGTTAAACGGTAGGACATGAGGTCAAACTCGCCATCTGGTGGAATAAACGTGATGATGCGGTCGGTCTCAAACTTGGACAACCGCACACACTGGTGGAACTTAATGTCCTCAAGCTCGATTCCCTTTGCGTTGGAGGAGCCCGCCTCGTTAAAGATACCCTTATCATTGAGCCCCAAGCGCAAATCCGGCATCCCAGACAAGTTCGACTTAATCTTGACGCGTCCCAAGATCTCAGAGTGCAAAACCTGGCCCGTGGAGTTGACCAACATGTTGATCGACTCAATCACGTCCAAGAAGGCTTCGTTCTTTTTGTAGAAAATGCCCTCCTGTCTCCAGGAAACCGAGTTCGTGACGGCTGCTGGCGGCGCCAACATCTTGTGCTTCTCGAGGCTATAGTAGTCCAGGGTGATGTACTCCTTCAAAATCTTGGAGTCGGTGACCTGGGGACAGCCAAAGTCCATCATCTCGTCCAACAACTCGTATATGACCACGAAGTTGTCGCGTATCGACTCCTCCTCCAACTGCTTCACGTACTCCGTCAACACCTCGATCACCTTTTGGAGAAAGATCACGATCTGCATCACATTGTCGTTCTTCTTTGTCATCGCCAAGAGGTACAAGTTCTTGTGCGAGATGTATACAAAGTTCACCCCCTGGTGATGGATGAATGGCTGCATCATGTTGGCCTCCTCGTTCTCAAGGAGCAAGAGCGGGAACCGGTCGAGCATCGTCGAGGGAATGTCACCCTTATAGTCGCGCGATAGCAACGGCTTACCCTTCACGTCCAAAAAGTGGATAGATGATGCCATGGTACAAAGTGCGTGTGTTTAAGGGAGGTGATAATCGCAACCTGCTTGGCTAATTGAACCGTTTGTGAATGGACTTGTGGAGCGTAATCAGCTGTGCTCGGTTATGGTAACGTATCAAGATGTATACAAAGCCTCAGGCGTTACCCGGATCCTGCATATATGGTCACGTGGTAACTGACCACATAGAAATGAGGGGGAGCGATAACCTCGCAAGCTCCACGTAGAGATGTGGTTCGGTAAGAACAACAAAGATTGCATTGGCGTGTTTAAGTGGATTTGCTGGTGAATTTTGTGCTTGGTTAAGGCTGTGAATCATCCGAAGCAGACCCTTGAGGGGAACACTCTGGCGTGTGCCTACCGCTGACAATGGCGAATGGGACGAGACGCTTCTCATACCAAAACCTAACTATATAGGCTCATGCCTCAATAAATTCATATAAACAGCTTTCTGTATTTCAGTATTTTTCGGTAGACAGATGCCAAATTGGAAATATTGGCCAGATTATTACTGTATTACAATGTAATACATACCTTTCTATATACTTTGTATTTCTTTGAAGCACCCCTCGCTCAAAAACCACTAATACTCAGTACTGTACGATTGTCCTGCATGAAGGCACTTTATTGCCCTAACGAAAACGGTTAACATGATAGACTCCAAGAGTCTACATATCGAGAAGCGGTGACTACAATGATAGCTGCAATAATAGTATAACGGTGGCTCATACCACGAAATGCACCAGACGCAGTTTTTACTGAGTCCATATGTATGCCATTTTACTTCGCCTACCCACCTTTTGGACCCTCCCTCTTGGTGCTGGAAATTACCTCCACTGCTCTATTTCGTACCACCATTTACATGTAGGGCTGGTAAACGTGAGCATGCAGATGAAAAATTTATGGGAAAAGATTTTTTCTCATAGGCCTATAAATTCAAAGCAAGATCCACCTATACTTTCAGCTTTACTTTATTCAACAGAAAGCTTTATCGCTTTGTTGGTTCGACCACAGACAGTATGTACTCCTTCCGTCAGCAGCAAAGCATTTCTCGGTTTCTAAATGATGAAATTAAGTCTACTTCTTTCCCAGTCCGACTCGACCATGACGACAGGGTTGATAACAGTCTTTCGACTACCGTTCGCGGTGTTGAAATTTGACTTATACTTGCCAGTATCTTAACATCTCTGATTTACCACGCCCGATACTCAATGTGTTTCCTGCTCCGGCGAAAATATTCGACCAGACCGTTTAACTAACTCGTTTAGCTGATTTATATTTCAGAACAATGCCCCGGTTTTATTGATTTTTAATCTTAAATGGTATGTTTACCCTCTATCTTCGAATCATCTTCCATTATCCGTTTCAATTTTTAAAAGATGAAATCTCCTACAACATTCGCAGTTTCCACGAGAAGCACGCTTAAGAACCCATCTTAGTGCAACATGTTCGGAATTTTACTTCCTTGGATGTCTGATTAATAAAATTGATTCCTCCGGATTCTTTGGCAGTGGTTCGAAGATTGATTTTTTGAAGTTTAGTAACTAACAATCTAGTTTCAGAGTACTGTTCTCGTATATAATTAATTCATTTGGCTGGTCTATCTTTGCTGTAGTTTTTCTGAATCAGTTACAAGTAATCAATAAAACGTATTTCATATTCTCTGGACTGAATTTAAATTGGCCATAACCCCTAAATAAAACTATTTTAGCTAGTATTTAAAAGATATCTAATTGATAATATATATGGAATATATAATGTTTGGATAGATATTTCAAGCTATTTAGTCATAGCCCTTGTGTATTTATTTTTAAGTGTGTATCGATATTATACGTTTTTTCAACCAACGACACTGGATAATATACTCAACCATACACATATATATATAAATACGATCCTGGGTACACAGACCAGAATTCATTGGGATATGCGCCGTCACATTTGATAAAGTGTGCTTGGCCGATTTGCGGAATATATGCCCTACGACACATACTGTAATATGCGTATGAGTCTAATTTTATATGGGAAGATGGTCACATAGTGGTACACATACATGATTAGCCACATGATAGTAAAGAACAGACTAGAGGCGATATATAGTGATATTTGTTAAGTTAACCAGGAAGATATTACAGTTGATTCGACGTAGTAAGACCAGACTAAAGAGATATTCAAACCGAATGCACTTCCATGTTATATTACAGGGGGCGGTCAAAGTATTGTTCGGCGTCACAGACGCTCTTAGACTCGCCTGAGTGTCGGGGTGCGGTTACCCTTAGGGTAAGGATCTCCTCACCTTTTTCTTTCAACATATGCCTAGTGTGTAGAACCGCCAAAAACAATCTCCTCCAGTCAATGGTAACCACCTGCTAGGAATACCACCCCACTGACGTAATACGACATTTCACGCTTTAGAATCTAGAAGTACACAGCATCTCATACATGCATTGTCTCGTTTCTTACGTTACAGCCAGCGGACACCAATCTGCAACGCTTAATCCGCACCAAAAAGCAATGCGAATATTTAGCTTAACGGCTGCTACACCCCGGCCAGAGAGTACTATACAATTCATCGGGTAAATTATTATGCATTATTAGCAAGATCTGTATACTAGTCATGCGCCGCTGTTACCGAATCGTGTTTTTTTGCCCGCGGTCAATGAGCCTGTTTTATGCCCGCCCTTGTTAGTTTCTGGGTTACCCAATTGGACTTCAGGAGTGAGGCGTTAAGCACAGAAATATCTCATGCACCCCTGGGTACAGATTTTCAGATCTGCAATAGGCGATTGTTCAATCTACTGTCGGCTGCAATAGCGGGACATAGAGATTTGGAACAATGTTGACACTCATGGTACGTGTATTTGACCTTTGGCCCTTCATATCCAAAACTGGAAGTGGTGGAAAGAATTCCAAACAAGACCCAAGAATAAAGATTGGGTTCCCTGCATTAGCTGTGAAAGCCCTTGTTATCTGTAGTATGCACCTCTACAAACTCCACGTACCCTACCACAAGAACTCAAACTGCCAATTCTATCAAGCTTCATGAAATATCACGGTGATGATAGCTCTTACCAAAGTCTCTTGGCTTCCTAGAGACCAAGGAAGATTGGAAACTGGCGGTATTCCTTGGTTCGACTCAGGGAGGTAAGTGTGTATTCAAGGAAAAGCAGCCTTCAAATTCCATATCGTGGATGAGATATCAAGGTCCATAGAATGTAAAAGCCTTGTCAACTGGAATTTTTCGAGCTCGAACATGGACCGCGAGCTTAATTCTGTTGTCGTAGTTTCCAAGCGGGTCAGCTTCAGACGGGCAAGGGTGTATTGTCATGCGCTCGTCTACCAGGGAGAGAAACAAGGCCTAGACAGTTGAGCGACCGATGTTGACCCGCTGTTGCAATTTCTTCGGCATTAGCCAATACACGTCATTGCAACCTCTAAATCAGTGCTTTAAGCAGCATGGCATACAGTGCCACGTGTGACTCCGTAGCAGAGAGTTTTTACGCATTTTTGCATTCCCGGCCCAGTCCCTTGGCCTTTGCAGAAATTGAGTTGTAGGTCAGGAAAGCTCCTAATGCAATCCGAAACGCTAGTTTCGCGTAGCCCGTTTCGGACGAAAATCGCTCAACAAGGGACTCAAACTCAACCTTAACGTATCAGGGCGCGCGTACACCCGTCCAGGCGATAGCGCGGCATGCATAAGGGCTAAATGGCTGTGCGATGACAAAAGAAATCCACGCACACATTCGCATGGGCGGTGAGATCGTGTAACTACAGATATTCGGACCAGGGAAAAAATCTGAGCGATCTGTTTACGAGCACCAGCGTGACTTTCTGGCCCCTCTTCTCAATTACAGACTGTCATAGATAGCCAACCGGAATAACGGTAAGAGGCATCAAGGGTATTTCACCATACTGCCAAGTCTGACAAAGTTATAACACAAGTGTACACACCTGATACCTCGGTTTTGTCCTCAAACCTGACACCCCGGTTTTGTCCTCAAACCTGTTAAACCTCCAGCTTTGGTCTCAAGGCAGTTTATAGATCCAGCTTGACCTTGCATCCATTACCTGTTTTGGCTCCAAGCCTGACACACCACATTTATTCCAACAGACAGCTCTGAGCATTTTTCAGGTAAACCATCCAATCTGGCCGTATTTGTATCCTTTACCGATCGTTAAAGGCAATTCGGACTAGCTAAGACCATTCACAAGCTAGAAAGATCCAATTTAAGCATCATCCCGACAAATAGGGACAACCCCCCTGAGAAAGTATAAAACTTGGCCATCGCTCTACAAGTGCGTTCAGTATCCCGGTTTCCTGGCAACCTCCAGAAATTTGTTTGACCGGCAATTCTCTACTTAACCCCGGACCCACTTCATATTCACATTTTCTTTACATTTTTCGATGCCATCTATATCTCTCACTGGCAAGGAGCTTGCACTCGACGCGCGCGTAACACTCCCGCAGGGTGGCGTGGGATTTCTCCGCTACGTGGGGCTTATTGAGGGCAAGGAGGAGCGCGGGCTTTTTGCTGGGGTAGAGCTTACGGGCGCCGACGTCGCGCGCGGCAAAAACAGCGGCCTGGCCGATGGCGTACATTACTTCCAGGTCGCACAGGCCGGTAGCGGGATCTTTCTCCCCTACAACCGATTGGCTACGGCAAACCTCGGAGTCATGTCGCCCAGCGCTCATAAACCACGCACCAGTAGCGCCATGGGTAGGCGGCGGTCCATGTTGCCATCGCCTGCGGGGCTAAACCACGGCGACGAGCCCGGCCCCTCGCCTGGCCGCAGTACGCCCACACACTCTAGCCGCGATAGTGTCCGCTTCAGCTCTAGCAGCCGCTTGTCGCTTGTGCGAAAACCGTCACTCAGCTCGATACCATCCGAGTACACGCGCGCGTCGCGGCGGTCGTCCTCTTCGACGTCGACGCTCGCAGACAAGCCGCGCGTGGTGTCTGCACACTCTCCATACCTCGCACCCATGCGTAAGTCATCGCTCCAGTTCTCGCCCGAGCACACGCGCGGGATCAGCGTGCACAGCTTCAACACCACACGCAGCTCCTCTGACAGCACATACAGTCTTGAGGAGCGTGCGCGCATAGACGCACTCCAATCACCTGTAGCGGTGGGCCGCACGTGCGACAAGCACGATACCGACATGCAGGTACGTGCGCTCGCACAGGCCAAGGATAAGCTAGAGGGCGAGAACGCACTCCTCAGCAGCCGCCTCGAGGAGCGCAGTGAGATTCTCAACGAGCTCAAGGCGCTTGTTTCGGAGTACGAGCCCGCAATCGAGGCGTTAGAGCATGACTTACAACAGCAGGCTGCGCAGCACACAGAGGTGATTCATGCTCGCGATCTCAAGTTGGAAAAGGTCAAGAATGACAATGCGCGCGTGACGCAGGAGTTGCGTGAAGCGTTGGCAGAGTTAGAGGGTGACATGGGCAAGAACCATGAGTTGTATCTTGCGGAGGTGGACCGTTTAAAGGACGGTATCGACGCGCGGGAGCGCTTGATCGCAGAGTTGCTGCAGGAGAAGGCGCGGTTTGAGGGGAAGACCGAGGCAATCCGCCAGGAGAGTGCGGGCGAGTTGGCGGCGCTGAAAAGTGCCATTGAGAGGATGGAGCTGGCGATGGTGAAAATCCAAGAGGAAATGCGGGGAGCAAAAGAGCGGTACGAGGCAGAGCGAAAGGCAATCACGGAAGAGAGAGATATGTGGAGGGGAAAGGCCGAGGAAGTCCAGGCCGTGGCAGCTGACAAACCCTCGGGCGTTGCTTCTGAAACATCTCTGTTTGAAACTTCCCACTTAACATCCAAAATAGACTCCCTTCTTGCCGAACTCGACGCGAAGAATGCACAGATCGAGATTCTCCAGCGCACCGACGCCTCTGAGGTCGCAGCGCTCCAGGCGAGGCTCATAGACGCAGAGGCTGAGCTTGTGGAAAAGACGACTGCGGTGGTGAGTTTACAACTGGAGTTGGAATCCGCCACAGAGAAATTCAAGGGGGCGCGGGAGCTCGAAGGGGACGATGTCAATGCCTTGGAGCGCTTACGAGGGGAGCTTTTGGCGGTGACGCGCCGGCTTGAGGACGCGGACGCGGAGCGTACCGCCCGTGATACACTCGTGGCGGAGTTGAAAGAGGCGCTTGAGCAGAGCGTACGCGTGAGTGCGTCGGAGCGCGTAAACTTTGAAAATCAGTTGAAGATCATGAGCAACAGCTTTGATGCGAAGGGAAATGTGATGGCGGTGAAGGACAAGTTCATTGCGGACCTTCAGGCGAAGCTTGCGGCCGCGGCAAGCGAGGCGGCAGAGGAGAAGCGGGCGCTCAAGGCAAAGCTAGCGGCAGGGCCAGAGGCTATGGGCGAGGCCGCGGGTGAGGACCGCCCCAAGCTCGAGAAAGAAGTCCAAAAGTTGCGCCGCATCTTGGAAAACACCGCCAGCGGGCTCTTCAACCGTGACCAGCATATTGACGAGTTGAAGAAGCAGATCGACGCCAAGACACGCGAGGCGAGCGTCGACAAGGCGCGTTTGGAGAAAGAAGTACAGTTGTTGCACCTGAAGCTCCAGAACGTGGGGCGGGATCTTGTGTCAAGAAACCATACGGTGGAGGATGTCTCTTCCAGGGCTATACGCGAGCTGGAGGATGAGGCACGTAAGGGGGAAAACTCCAGGCTAGAGGAGGACAATGCAAAGCTCCGCGCCGAAATCAAAATCTTAAGTATCGCGCTCGAGAAGGCGGGCAGGGTGTTGGCCAACAAGAATGGTGACATTGAGGTATTGCGACACCAGGTTGGGTCGCTGGAAAACTTGAATATGCGTCCACCGTCGCTCGTGTCGCGCGACAGCGTTTCGTCGGTGAACTCGATGAATGATATCCAGATGGAAAACAAGATGAAGCTTTTGCAGAAGAACCTTGACAAAGCGCATGCAAGCCTCGCAACAAAGGACATGATGATTAAAGATTTGAACAATGAGGTTGGTTACTTGAATAAGCACATGGCGAGTGGCAAGTCGTCGTCCATAAACCCCGGGGCGGCCGAAGTGCGTGCCCAGGAGCTTGCAGCGGTGCGCGCAGAGAATGCGGCATTGGCCCAGATGCTCGAGCGCCTACAGAAGGGTGAGACGCGCCCGGAAGATGCGCGCGCGGCGTTGTCGCCGCTCCAGAAATCCAAGTTGGTCGCGGACGCGCAGTTGCACGTGCGTGTAGAGGAGTTGAACGAGACCATTTCGCGGCTCGAGTCGCAGTTACTGCAGGCCCTTCAGGAAAACAACCACCTCAATGATCGGTTAGTGGCAATATCGTCGGACTCCCCGGGGTCTACGCACGACGTGGATGATTCCGCGGTGTCAGAAATTTCAGAGTTGATGGTGTACAAGCCGGAAAGGAGCGATGTGAGTGCGGGGCGAAAGATGTGGTGCGGGTTATGTGAGAGAGAGGGGCACGATAGTATGGAGTGTCCATATGAAAACGATATGTTTTAGAGATAGCCCATGCAACCGAGTGCGTAGCACATGGTTGAGTTAATCTTGCTACCGTTAAATGTGTGGTTAATGCAATTTCACCGATATATTCTTGGAGCTTGAATGGGGGGGGGGGGGTTCCGTGACTCCAAGTTCATAAGGTTAAGTTAAGCCGAATAGTTCATTTTTGAATATGCTTTTAATGAAAACGCCTATTTGTATTCCTTTTAAATTGGATTTTTCTTAGCCAAAAATAGCTTTTCCTGTTACCGAAAGGTATTCTCTAGACCCTAGAACTTCCGAACAGATCTATTGTCACGATATGAAGTCACCAACAAGACCAAATCCATACATATTTAATACACATAGCTCTATTTAGGAAAGCTGACGGTGGACTACGCCATAATCATTTGAACCACATCTCAGACATTAATCCACCACTTCCTTTCCAACCATCCACAGATCAGGCGTATGAAGCTGGTGACTGAACGGAAAATTCATTCAGTAGCTTTTACCCGGTTTAACCATTGCATATACATTACAGCACTCCTTGGTCCTTTATTTCTCTCACGGAGAATGCTAGATCACGTAAAATTTTAATTTCTGGTCTAACCAGTCATCAAAGCCCAAAATACAACTGGCGTAGAGCCTACACCTGGAGAACTACCCACACACCATTGTAATTAATAAATAGAAAGGTATAAACCGTGTTTAGATGTGCTGCCTCTTGTTGCTGAGGTCGCCATCCAAAAAATCAAAGTCTTCGAATTTGGTACCGCCAGAAGGCATGATAACCGGACTACTGACGTCCTGATGGAAGTTCTTGATGATGGAGTCCACGTCGTCGATGTTCAAGGCACGGACATCACCCAACTTCTTGATCTTGGTGGTGACCTCCTTGCACTGGTCGTCGGTCAAGTGCAAATTCAACTGGTCCACACGCGACTTGATGGCGTTCCAACCTGTCAACCTGTTAGCAAAATGGATATATCTGGTTAAACCGAAATCAGACGGGTTGAGGATCTCGTAGGTGGATGGGTTGGCCAAAATAGCCTTGGCGTGGATACCAGCCTTGTGGGTGAAGGCGCAGAAACCGGTGATCGGGTTGTTGAACGGGATATTAACCTGAACGGCCTCCGCAACCAAGTTTTCCAAGTCTCTCAACTTGTGCAACTTGTACTTGGACAAAACGTAGTCTCTGTCAGCCGCAATCATACGCGCCATGAGCCCCCCGAGCGGGGTGATCCCGTTTCTCTCACCAATTCCCAAAACGGAAACGTCAATCAACTTGGCACCGCCTTCCAACGCGGTGTAAGCATTGGCGATCGCGCACCCGGTGTCGTTGTGGAAATGGCACTCAATGTCACACGAGACGACCGACTTTAACGTGCGCACCAAATCGTAGACCTGTCTGGGGTTGGCACACCCGACGGTGTCGGCAATACCGACTCGGTTAACCCCGATCTTGTCGACGGTTCGGTAGATGTTCAACAAATCGACAATATCGGATCTGAAGGAGTCCTCAGACGAGAAACGAATCTCAATCCCCTTGGACTTGACAAACTCAATAACCTCCACGGCAGACTGTGCAATGTAGTTCATGTCCTTCCCGTGTGAGTACTGCCTCAAAAACTGGGAGGTGCCGATAACCACATCCACACCGTCAACACCGGTTTCAACGGCGACTCTGGCATCGTCCATGTGGCATCTGATATGGGTCAAGATCTTGGCCTTCAAACCAAGCTTGCAGATCGCCTCACAGTCCTTACGCGACTGTTCGGAGGCGACAGGGGAGGTCAACTCGATATAATCAACCCCAAAGTCATCCAACGCCTTGGCAATCTCGATCTTCTTCTCGGTGGTGAAGAACGCGTTAGCAAACTGTTCACCCTCTCTCAAGGTGGATTCGATCAACTCAAAATTGGACACGTTGGAGAGGAAATCGGCTGGATTCGGCCCATAGGGGTTCTGTTGGATGTTGCGGTTTGTGGCCTCGCCAACTTCTTTGAAGCCGCCTGGGAGGTTAGTACTGAATAATAGTCAGAGGGAGAGGACATACCGGTAGGTGGGATGGCGTTAGCGTCTTCGCACATTTTATGATAATTAGAGATGTATAAGGGTGTCGGTGGTTGGAAAGCTAAACCTGAGTTTATGTCAAGAAAGATGCAAAACGTTGGAGCTTGGCACATTAAAGCCTCTGGATAAATCTTGGTACCGGCTTACGTAAGCGCTTATCGCTGCGCCGCACGAACTCTCCATTTCTGACATGCGTCGTATTTTTATATATATGGACAATCTATGACACAGCTCTGTCTGCTGGTCAACCGGTCCCGTCACTGACATCCCTTAACGTTACAAGCTAATAGAGTCGACAACCCTGTTTCATATTGCAAAGGAGGGATATCATATATATAATGAGTGAACCCATCCGTACTATTAATATCCCAAAGTCCCAGAAGGGGTCGAAACCACGCCCAGCGAAGGCTGCTCCTAACCGAGACACCCTCATCTCGAAATCACTCTCGTATCTTCTCCGTCACGCTGCTCAGGCCCATGGTCTATCGGTCGACGAAAATGGATACATTCCGCTTCCTGAGATTCTTAGCCACAATAGAGTCAGGTCACACCAAGCTACCCTCGCCGACATCCAGCGCGTTGTTGCGGACTGTGACAAGCAGAGATTTACCTTGAAAAAGGCCCAGGGGGGTGCTGACGATAATGCCGCCTCCTATATTATTTGTGCCAACCAGGGCCACTCTATGAAGGTTGTTACGAACGACGCTGAGTCATTGAAGCCGCTTACAAAGAAAGAGGACTTTCCCTCCGCCGTGATCCACGGAACCACCAAGGACAAACTCCCCTTTATATTGCAATCCGGGGGGTTGTCTCGTATGACCAGAAACCATATTCACTTTGCCAAGGGGTTGCCGGGCGCAGATGGCGTCATCAGCGGGATGAGGAAGAATTGCTCTGTCGTGATTTATTTGGACATTGAAAAGTGCTTCCAGCAGACGGAGCAGGGCCATTTGCGTTTTTTCGAAAGCATTAACGGCGTGATTTTGTGTGCCGGTGATGCTAATGGAATTGTTTCTAAGGAGTTGTTTCTGAAAATAACTGACCAAAAAGGCAATCGTATCGTCTGAGGGTGCAGAGAGCTTGTGTGCCCAACAGCCTAGCCTACATTTCAATGGCGCATAATATATATTTAGACAAAATTAGGTTTGGAATGCCTCGAAATGACAATCTCAAACACTCGCAAGGCTTAGTTTTTCCAACCTAAGGTCCCCTTCGGCTTGATGCCATCTTTCATGGTTTCTGCCAAACAATTTCACCAATTCAGGCTCGTCGCCCGGCTTGGAATTAATCTTTTTGGCGCCATACAACCGGGACTTTTCGTCGTCCCACTGGAACTGCGTGATGGTGTCCCATTCCTCCGGCTTGTTGAACCCCAACGACCTTAACTTAGGAGAGTTCAAGGAAGTGGGGTCCGCAATCGTGTTGAGGGCCAAATTGTTGAAGTAGATCATCACCAATCTCTTGAACTGTCTCTGATCGTCAGGTGGCGCAACCACTCGGTGAATGGAGGACTTAAAGTACCCTCCCGTCAAGAATTCCATGGCATCTCCGATATTAACAATCAAAGAGTCTGGCTTATGCCCGACGTACTTCCATTCACCCGTATAGTAGTCTCTAATCTGAAGCGAGAGGATGGGCTGAGAGGTGATGAAGGTGAACGCACCGCTATCAGAATGGCCTCTCAACCAGGTGCCTCCAGTCTTTTCCTCATCTTCCACTGGCATTGCCAAGTAATGCATGAGCCTGGCAACCCCAGACCCGGAATTCATCTTGAGATCACCTTTCCAAACCTTGAAATGGTTCTCCCACAAGTAGCCCTCTGGAAGCTGCAAAATGATATCGCACAAGTTTAATAACCTCCGCAAAACGTTAAAATGGAGATAGCGATAATAACTAGCAAACTCAGGCAAGTGAGCCTGCGCCACTTCGGGGTACTTCTTTTCGATAAAGAAAGGGCCGTCATGCAAGATATCCCTAAAGTTATAGAACTCAATCGAATCTTGAACTCCGTTATTGATGGTCCAGTAGCCTCTAGGCTTGAAGCCATGGCCTCTCTCGGCTCCTAAGCTTTTAGATCTGTCCTCCAAGTCGGTCTTCATGGCGCCGGACAAAAACTGGAGCTTTTCTTCCTGGGGCAAGTCAAGGATTGCCTGACTGTATGACTTTAATTTCTCCAAGTCCTCCGAGGGAAACCCCCAGTTAGTGATGTTGAAAAACCCGTAGGTGGAAATTGACTTTTCCAAACTACTAGCCAACCTCTTTCTGGATTCATACCCCTCCAGGCCATCCTTGTACTGTGAAAAGTCAAGTGCCTCTAATTCAACCGTATTGTAACCTGTAACAGCGCTTGGCTCCGCCTGCTTGAATGGTCTAACATTGTACTTGGAATCAATGGCTGCAATGTCAAGCTCTGGGATGAACTGAGCTCTGAGAGCTTCAACGTTTTGTTCGGAATTTAACGCTTCTAACGGTGCAGATTCTGAAACTACCGACGGCATAATGACTGTAGGATTTATGTGATGGGTAAAAGAGGATATCTAGAGGCAATTTAGAATACTTATACCCTTGGATGTCAGGGGTTTATGCAACGGTTTTTTAGATTACAAGGGGTTACTTAACTTTACGCCGGCCCCTTACAATTGCCACAGTGGGGAGATAACCAGAGGATCGGAAAGTGAGCCATAGTTTGATGTAACACTGCATGATAACCAAGCTTTTTTCCCACACTTTTTAGGCAGAGCCGCTGATTCTGAACATAAACTGTGGAGGATGAGGTTATTTTGTAGTGCGTTTCGCAATTTCCGATAGGTTACGGACCGAGGCAAAATATCGGACAAAGCCTGAGAAATTTTCTAATTGGGTAATTCAGACCGTATATCCGGAAGGCTGAAATACACTGCTTTGGGTAAATAACGCAAAGACACCTTGGCAGCAAAGGTAAGCCTTAATGCCTTTGCAAGGACCGGAGGGGCAGCGTCCGTCGTACTCAATCAGTTGTAAGAAAATGAACCAAATCGGCCACAAGTATACTTGGAATCCTTTCCAGAAGATGTTGTGGTTAAACTTTGGAACTTTTCAACAAGTACGAGGTGTGCTCCTTACGATCGCAGTGCGAAGCGAATATATTATCTAAAGTTGAGGTTATATTCAGCCCAGAAAATAAAATAAAGCCAAGCTTTAAATGTAGAATCCTACTCACAAACCTGACTTCATTGGATATCTATTAAACTAGGGCTACGCACGTATCTCCACACGAAGATCACAACTCCTAGGCGGAGCAGCTTCCCGATGGATTTGCTAGGGTGCCCCTTATCCCTGGGAGTATTCCCTTTCAAATAAGCATGCTGGCCGTTTCATACGAGGGAACAGCCGTAACGAGAAATCCCTCAAAAATATCTCAATACCATTAAAATTCTTTCCTTGTCTTATTTACCGACAATTTTCTCCATTAATTCGTACCTAACACGCCCAAGGGATACATCAGTATCACTCTGGCCCGCCTTGATCAACAAATAATCTTGGCTATTCATCAAGCCCAAAAGCATCTGCTGCCTTTGTCTGGTGGCGGCGTTGGGTTCAGGGCTTGTACCTCGCTGGTTGGGGATCTCCACTGATGGTGATCTGTGAGCGTCCATGAAGTGAAAGAGTGGAGTGGAAGACTTTCCCCCAAAGATTTCACAACCCTAGTTTTCAAAAATAGCCGCTCGAAACCTCCGGCATGAAAAATCCAATGTGTCAAATACCCGAGCTATACATCCCTGTCCCTTCCAATGTTTAGTCGTATTGTTAATCTTGGCTTGCCAAGAGTGCCTCTCGGTTTCCCTCTTCACCGTATATTGACCAAAAAATGTCTCTTCCCTAGACCGGCACTTGCTCTCAACCTCGCTCGCCCATTCAGCTCACACCCCGTTCTCTATGGCAGACCGCCACGCCAGGGAAGTGGCGGATCAACCAGGGCATCATACATTCTCCAGAGAGTCCCGGACAAAATTAAGATCGTGGGTGGGATCTTTGGGATTGCTGCATTTGCGTCGTTTGTAGTGCTCCCGTTCCTCTCCTTGATGATCATCGTACTTCCTCCTGTGCTTGCGATTTCTGCTATGGGGCTTCGTCGCAAGCTCCAGAAGAGAGCTGCCGCTAACACTATCCGCTGGAAGATGATTGACAAGTCGGACATGCAATATGACCGGCCAGCTAACTTTGTGGAGGATATTGTGGCGGACTTTGATAACGTGGCGAGATTCACCACTAAAAGACTTCTCAGGAGCTTGGAGCTTAACGAGAAAAAAATTGTTGATAAGTTGAACTTGAGGCTTGATACTACCACCAATATGCCTAAATTGTCGTTGGGCGAAATCGCCGCCGTGGATGCTATTGTGCGGGTACAGGAGACCTCGGAGCCGTCTCCCATTGGCGAATACATGTACATGGTGACGGTTCCCCTCAGCATCAAGGACCACGGAAAGACCGAGTCGAACCACCTTGGGACTGTGGTGTTGTGCTTTGCGAACAGTGCATTGTCAGGCGCTAAACCCAAAATGGTCATCGAAGTCACCCCCCAGACTTTACTCTTGGAGTCTAAGGAGAAAATCTACATCACGTCGTCCATGGACGACGTGGATGATGGTGAAACTATTACAATTAATTTGTAATGGTGTGTAGATAATATGATATTAGAGCTTATTGATACTGTTAGAATCGGCCCCATCTTGTGTAGCAGTACCGTTCAAAAGGAGTCACGGAAGATATTGAACCCAGTAAGATGTCATAACGTAAAACATGCAAGCACAGAGTTTCTTGACACTTGCGCTGAAATAACTAGGGTACACGATAAAGGTGGATTATGGACAGCCGTACCAGAAGGGACATAGTTTCAATACGATCCTAATAGACAACCCACCAGGAATCAAGATTTATACAAACATGTCAATAGTCACTAGATCGATAGGGTTTGAGGGTATACACAGCAGGCTACACTAGGCGTAGAAACGTGCTAAACCCTTGCAAGATTCCCACTGTAAAAACACCTCCAGGGATTGGATATAATCTTTACGAACGGGATTATAAAACCCATTGTCTACATTCTATATCAATTTGACACAAAACGTGATTATGCCACCTCTTACAATTTACTCTCGCTTACGTATAATCGACTCTTACGCGAATATTTAGAAGCCATGCATGGCCCTTGAAATTTACACGGTAATGTTCGAGGCTCTTTACACGAACGGCATCAGGAACGCCTGCTGGCAGAAAATAGAAACTATAACGGTAGCCGCACTAAGGCGCGCTTCAGGTTAGTCTCTACCGCCTGGATTTTTTTTGCCAGCCCACGAAGTTTTGATTCTTTTGGTCGCCTCAGACTCGACTTCAACCACTTTCTGAATATCCGACTCCTGACATATACCTGGACGGTCTTTCGTATCTAGTGCCCGAACTTCAAAGCCTGTTTCACACATTCACATCTGAAACGTTTCCATGGCCAGATTATCCAACCAGCTCATTGTGGGGGTCTTGGGGGCGTTCCTCATCTTCTACACGTTTGTCTACAACATCGAGCCCAAAATCATCTACATCAACACGGATGGGGAGCCAATAGACTATTCCGCCCTTGCGCCGTTGCAAAAAGAGCAGCAGTGGAAGACGCAGCAACGCGAAAATGCAACGTTTGTGTCGCTTGCACGTAATTCGGAAATGTACCAGTTGGTGGAGTCGATCAGACGCGTGGAGGACCGCTTCAACCGCAAGTTCCACTATGACTGGGTGTTCTTAAACGACGAGCCGTTCTCCGACGAGTTCAAGGCCCTCACTTCTTCGATTGTCTCTGGTACCGCAAAATACGGCCTCATTCCCAAGGAACACTGGGGGTACCCAGACTATATTGACCAGAAGAAGGCTAAGGCGTCGCGCGACAAGATGAAGGCGGACAATATCATTTACGGTGAGTCTGAGTCCTACAGACACATGTGCCGCTTCGAGTCCGGGTTCTTCTTCAACCACCCACTTATGCTTGATTACGAGTGGTACTGGCGTGTGGAGCCAGACGTGCACATCTACTGTGACGTAGACTACGACTTGTTCAAGTACATGCGGGAAAACAACAAGACGTACGGGTTTGCCATCTCCATCCATGAGTTTGTTAAGACGATTCCGACCTTGTGGGACACCACCAAGAAGTTTGTCGAGGAGAACCCAGAGGTTATAGCTGAGAATAACCTCATAGACTTTGTCAGTAACGACGGTGGTAAGAGCTACAACTTGTGCCACTTCTGGTCAAACTTTGAAATCGCCAACATGAACTTCTGGCGGTCGGACACGTACCAGAAGTACTTTGATTACTTGGATCGTTCCGGTGGCTTCTTCTACGAGAGATGGGGTGACGCGCCGGTCCATTCTATTGCCGCCTCGCTCTTCTTGCCGAAGGACCAGATCCACTACTTTGACGACATCGGATACAGACACGGGGTGTATGCCCAGTGTCCGTTGAACGCCGATCTCCGCTACAAGAACAAGTGTCACTGCAAGCCCGAGGATGACTTTACTTTCAGAGGGTACTCCTGCGGCAAGCAGTACTTTGCCGCCCAGGGGTTGGTCAAGCCGCAGGAGTGGGTGGATTACCAATAAACCGTATCTTTATTTACCGCTGCTTGTATAGATAAACTTATCAAATCCTATCGCTGATAATAGACTGTAGGAAAGGATATACTTTAATACGGAGGCACACGTCAATCCCCCCGAAGATCCTGGCTTCAGAGGGTTGATTTAGCGGGTTGGAATTTTGGACGTTACTGCTTTTATCTTGAAGGAGCCAGGGATGGCCAGAGATCCCATGTCATACGTATCTTTCTATGCCCTCATATTGTTGACGTGCCGTTTAGCTACAACTACTGTTCTCTGATGTTCCCCCTTCATGATATAACCTCCATTTCTGCCATATGTAACCCATCAGGTATCTTTGTGCAAGGCTCATGTTTTATTCCTCAAAGTGTAGCTTGAAGGAACACGTATCCACAAATGCTAGGCCCACGGCATTTGCGAGCCAAGCCCTGGTGTGCATTCGCAGGGATAGACGAAATAGACTGCATATATGTCATGTGCTTACATACTAGCTTTTCCAGTATGACTACTTTAATCAAACGATCAAAGACACTGTTCGAATAGGTATCCTTTAAAAGAATCTCGGAAGGGTTTCTCCAACGTCGCAGAGGCTAAGATAGTATTAAGCGTCCTCAAAGACCATAGAGCGGTTGACCTCCTAGCAACGCCAACACGGATACTCTACCCAGATTAGGTTGCGGCCGTATATTCCTGGTGTAACTGGGTATGTAATCTAGCAGGGTCGTGTTGGGTCTGTGCGCCAAGGTAAAAAAAAATAGGCACCCTCCGGCATGTCCACACTTCGATGAAACACAATGTTCATGAAAAACGACACCTGCAATGCGGCAGTTTGCTCTGTTTGTCTCGAAATATGGGGGGAGTAGTCAACTGCATAATCCCCTACAAGCTATGCAGAGGGAGTTCTAAGCAGGTCGTGCAAGTTTTCTACTGTTGCTATAACCTCGAATATCCAACATCTGCCCCAACCTATATTTTATGCCTACAAGCTATAACTAGACTGCCACTTGCTATCCGGCCTTAGTCGTCCTCTAGCACGACATGCACAAATACGCCTTCCGCAGCAGATGGAACGTCTAACAAGGATCTCGGCACTGCACACAGGCACGGTTCTATAAGTATTTGCAGGAATAAGGCGCTCCTCGACATGGGCAGCATGCGGGTTCTGCAAATCGAGAGCTCCTGTAGAGCCCAAGGATACGCACGCGCTAGCGTGTCCGTCCGGGTAACGTCGTGTTAATGCCACGTCTCACCAGAGGAGACGCGCCAGACGGCGCGTTTCGCGGGGAGAGCTTCTGGAATTGCAAGGCACGAAAAAAGATGTGACTAAATATTTCTGTCCCTTGTTCTTTCCCTTCTTCTTTAACATAAAATCAAAGATGGCGAGATCAGATACTCGTCTTGTGAGATTCGGGGTTTTTGCCTTGATCTTAATTGTTGCCGGTTTTATCTTATCTAGGGGCTCCAACAAGGCCGTGTACGCCGGCTCCGGTGTCACTGAGCCAGTTGCCGCGAAGGAAGCTACCAGTGGGGGCCACATTAACCATAAGCTCTCCACCGTCAACGATATTGTCTTGAAGAATACCCAGAAGACTTCTGGAGTTGATGGCGGTAAGAGGGTCAAGGCTACTATTGTCACCTTGGCCAGAAACCAGGATTTGATGCAGCTTGTCAGCTCCATCAGAGTGGTTGAGGATCGTTTCAACCACAAGTTCAACTATGATTGGACTTTCTTGAACGACGAACCGTTCTCTGACGAGTTCAAGGAGACCACCTCCGCGCTCGTGTCGGGTAACACCAAGTACGGGCTCATCCCTAAGGAGCAGTGGTCTTTCCCAGAGTGGATCGACACCGAGAGAGCCGCCAAGGTCAGAGAGGAGATGAGAGAAAAGAAGGTTATCTACGGTGACTCCATCTCCTACAGACACATGTGCAGATACGAGTCTGGGTTCTTCTGGAGACACGAGTTGATGATGGAATACGACTGGTACTGGAGAGTCGAGCCGGATGTGAAGATCTACTGTGACATCGACTACGATATCTTCAAGTTCATGGAAGATAATGGCAAGTCTTACGGGTTCACCATTTCCCTTCCAGAGTACAAGGAAACTATCCCAACCTTGTGGACCGAGACCAAGAAGTTTATCAAGGAGAACCCACAGTACGTGCCAAAAGACAACATGATGGACTTTATCTCTGATGACAATGGTAACACCTACAACGGGTGCCATTTCTGGTCGAACTTCGAAATTGCTTCTTTGAAGTTCTGGCGCTCGGACGCGTACCGGAAGTACTTTGAACACTTGGACAAGGCCGGTGGTTTCTTCTACGAGAGATGGGGTGACGCGCCAGTCCACTCCATCGCCGCCGCCTTATTCTTGCCAAGAGACCAGATCCACTTCTTCCAGGATGTCGGTTACTTCCACAATCCGTTCCACAACTGTCCAATCGACAGAGACTTGAGATTGAAGAACAAGTGTATGTGCAACCCTAAGGATGATTTCACCTGGAAGGGTTACTCGTGCGTGCCAAAGTACTTTACCGTTAACAACTTGCAGAGGCCAAAGGGTTGGGAAAACTACACCTAAGTTTCTGATCGATTCTCTTTTTATCCTAAATATCCTACTGGGTTTGTTTACATAATATAAGAATATTATAAGTATTATTGAGACATACATGAGTATTATTCTGGAACGTACGTCAGTTTCAAAGCTAGCACTAGACTTGGTGTTTTTAACATGGACGTGGCGCTATGAGAAGTATTTAGCAGGTATAAAAATGACTCCCCTATTACTCTAATAAACCCCTCTACAAATTCATATACAAATTCTGCACACATCTACCTTCAATACTAGACCATGAAATAATATGAGGGATAGTTTATCCCCAGTCCATACTCGGTTGGCACTTGTTCTACACTTGTCTAGGGTATATTTTCCTTCCTACCCGAAGTGAAATTTCCAACAGGTTTACGAGAATGACCCCGGCCAGCTCAATCACCTATACAGGTAACATAAATAGTTTCGATAGAAAGTGAACAAATGAATTAATAAATAGAAAGAAAAAAAATATGCCATGAGCCGTGATAGACAATGCAAACGTATAACTAGTTGCAATGAAGTATTTTGTAGAAATGTGACCGGGAGCTTGTGTATGTGTATAAGTTACAGAGCATACCTGGTCATTACCCTATCTGACGAGCCAAGCGTGGAACCGAGCCAGCTTCTCATCAGTTACGAAGGTTTTCCCCTCTCCCCGCGTTTTTGAACGCAACGTCTAGTGAGTGTGCCCTTCCAATTCAGCCTTCAACTCAGATCTGGCATACTTCAAGCCACAGTAACCACAGGCGTGAGCTCTTGGTGGGTCCAAGTTGATGTATATCTTTGGGTGGCCCTCAAGCCCCTTGTTACCGTCGCAAACGGCAACGTTGCTGTCAACGAAGCGAATTGGTTGCTTGGCAATCAAGTTAATAGCAGCATACGGTCTTGGTTGTTTGGCCAAATCCTTACCAGAGAAACGTGGACCGGTCATGGCGTCGGTTCTGGCTCTTTGGCTCTCGGACCAGATTTCGGTTCTGTTTGGCGCCTGCTGAGCAAGGATCTTTGGGTCCACCTTGGAGACAGAGGACTGGGAACGAGCCAAGACAAACCTGACAGATTGACGGGAAAGGGTTTTAGAGGCCAACATTGCTATTACGGTGTGTGATGTGTGCTACAACTATCTCTTGTCTGTCTTTTCAGCTATTATCCTACATACATTGATTAAAAAAGAAACACATTCAATTGGTTTGAATGAAGGGGCCGGGTAACAAAATATGGTACAGGCACATCCATCATAAGCATATATTGTGTAGCCCCGACATCTGATATCAGCGAAGCGGCGTAGTTTATCTGATTGGGGGGTTAAAACCCTTGAAAAATTTAGTAGATCAATAACTTGGCCATGTTTCAACCCTGATAGGTTATAAGTAATTCCCAGCCATTTTTTACGTTTTGCCCTTGCGTCTTGTCCGAGCGGTGAAGCTCAGGCTAGACGACTATTCCGTTTAAGCGCAACGTGATTTCCGAATATGACGAGTGTTTCCTGGGAATATCAAACATGCCAGTCAGGTCCGTGTATTACCTAGCCAGCCACGGATAAAAGGCCCTAGATACGGGAAATAAACTTACTTTTAACTTTCAGGGTCAAGTCCATTCCTAGGTCTCGAACCGGGAAATTACAAAAACCCATTCCGCAGATAAAACATCAGTAAAACAGTTCTAGCCGTCGACTAACGAGTCCAAAGACACAACTAGACGGAGTACCTGAATGAGTGATGGATTCATAAGGCCCTGAAGGTGCGAGACGGTGCGATAAACAATATCTAAATGCGCTGGAACATCATGCAGTTACCAGTTGGCATGCGTTCGAGCCTCGATCATATGTATCCTTTTGGAAAGAACATCTCTCTGCGAGGATAACCTGTTTCAATAAAGATTGGCCAATAAAATTTAGTGGATCTGTTATATTTAGTCATTTTCCACATCAAAAAGCTTTCGCTGACATGAGAGTGTTTGGAAGCATGGTGTGTATACTGAGCAGCCCTAAAGTTTAGACTTCTTTACGACTATCGGGCTCGATCGATTACCTGAGTGTCAGTAGTGCATGGATGTGGTCAAGAGCTCCGACACCTAATTTTGTATACGGTGCCGGAGGGAAGTAAAACCGTGCGGCTATTTATAGCATAATATGAGCGGAAATTTTTCGGTGTTTACGTACGATTGGCGTACAAGCTCCTTATAAGAAACAGCTTTCCCACAAAAATGGTTAACTACACACACCGCTCCTTGTACGTTTCTAAAAAAGAACTGACCATGCTTACAAAAATCCAGTCAGTGTTTAAAAGAAAGTCCAACCTACCAGTTGTTGTCGGTCTCATCGTGTCTCTCTTCCTAGTGGTCCGTCTCTCACACTTCCAAGTTGCAGACTTCTTGCCCACGCAAGACGGTCCGGCTTTGATTTACGGCTCGGGAGCGGACACTAATATTGGATACGAGGTGAATAGCAAATTCACCAGAAAGGATGAGGTCAACGGCCGCGTTGACTCTCGCTCTATCTTTTACCAAAATAGGGCAGAGGTGGACACAGGGAAGAATATCCTTTTCCTTCTCTCCATTGGGCCGTCCAACGCATACGGAGAAGGCCGGACCTTTGAGGACTTGCTTAACTTCCTCCATGCTACCGAATACCCTACCGAAAAATTATCCCTAGGGTTGTTGATCGTCAACAAGGAGGAGTTCGAGGCCATTGACAAGAGAATCACCCAGTACTACGAGGAAGCGACCCCAAGCACCAAGAAATTCCAATCGATTAAGCTTCTGTATGCTCCTTTCTTGGAGAGCTCCACCCTTGATAGGGAGGAGAGACACCATAACGATAAGCAGAAGGAGAGACGCAGAACGCTAGCTCGTGCCAGAAACTACTTGCTTTACAACACCATGGATCACCAGGACTATGTGTTGTGGATTGATGCCGACATCATTTCCCTCCCCGATCGCATCTTGACCACGTTCGTGGAGTCCGACAGGGATATAATCACGATCAGAATCACACAGGGAAACCAAAACGATTACGACAGAAACGCGTGGGTTGGCGCGAGAGCTAAGCCATCATCCGAACAGCTCGCTCAAATGAAGAACGATCCAAAGTATGTCTATGTCCCTCACAACAGTGGGGATACCAAGAACTTGGCCGTGTTTGCCAACGGCAAGGAGGAGTTTGTGGAGCTTGACTCTGTTGGAGGAACCGTCTTGTTTGTCAAGGCAGAAATCCACAAGCAGGGTGTCAGTCATACGCCATACTATGCCATCGGGACTGACTTTGGCATTAAAGAAGGGTACGACGGAATTGAAACGGAAGGTCTCTGTTACGTCGCCCAGGCGTTGGGCTACAAGTGTTGGGGGATGCCATTGGTTACCGGCGAGCACGTTTTATAAATATGTAATACTATGCATCTAATCGAGTTTTGGAGGTTAAGACGGGTATACTCGTACTTATTGTTGAGGAACAGGGTAGGACACGGGTTCAGAGATATTTGTAATGGCTCCTGATAAAGAATCGTCCAAATTTGAATGAGCGTATTTTATATTATCAGGTAAAGTCAATCGGTTCACTCGCTTAGGCAGATCTGAAGTTTGGAGCTTGCTTGTCCGTCAAATCCTCGTACGCAAGGGCTGTGCTCAGCTCTGTGCGGTCCATGATTCTCTGGGCCACGTCTCCTTATTTTCTCTTCATATATACAAGCCCAAAACGACGACAAAGATTGTTTGTATAAATTGGCTAATAAGGGGAACCCCCTCCCGAGTGTGTACTTTTGATACTGCGAGGTTTTGTTAAAGGAGCCATCAATGTTTTCTACGCAGTTCCCCCAAAGATATGCAGTTCATGATATTCTTCATGGTATCGCCTGCAATATTGAGAATGTTTAAGGAAAAGAACACCACAGCGGCATTGTATGGCCCGGTGAGGTAATGACCCATCATTCCTCCTGCGCGATAGCGTTCGGGAGTGAGGAGTAAGCCAACCCCACCAGCGATGTTTAGTAACATTAAGAATATAATTATGATCTATTTTTCCCACTTATACATTCAATTTTTTTAACACGCATAAACATTAAGATGAAATGATAGCACCCGTTGGGAATTTGCAAGTGACCAATCTGGAAAATCCAGCCTTGGGTGATCAAAGTTGGAAATTTCACTACTTGGAAATTTCACCGTTTAGAATGGCAGTTATCTCCTCAGGGATGTACTAGATATCTCGTACTGCCAAGATTTTGGTTTCCACAGGCTTCTCCTTCGGCAGCAACTCTTTAGAAGGAATGCACATCTCATCTATATCCACTGTCCCTTGAGATCTTTCTAGTAAACCCTGAGAAACTATTTAAAACTATACGGGTATATATTGAAGACATGTTTAATGATTCCATTATTCGCTCAACTAAGCCTAACACTAAATACTACGCTTCTAAAATATGACAGTGCTCGGGGTATTAATATGTGGGAAAGAACCCTAACACGGGCTTGTATTGTCCCTGTCTCACCTATAACACTACAAAACAAGATCTGCCATAAGGTGCGTTCCTGGCGGCTAAATCTACTAATTTTCTGCAAAACAGTCTTTAGGGCTTTGTCCCCTCATTAGCGACTGGGCGCCGGCGTCAAAAAGCTAACTCCCCCAACTTGAGCGGCTAATTCCTCCCGACACATTTTGCATTTTTGGTTCCCCCTTTGGCTTTAATGCGGTCGGTTAATCTCAATTCCCTGGACTTATTTCCTCTGACTCTATCAAAGCTAACGAAAATGCGATTACTCACCACATACCAATGGGTGATACTATTAATAGGATTCATTATGGTCCAGGCCGAGCCGCCGCTCGTATTTGCGGATAATGCAACTTCCAGAAACTTGGAGCGCCGCGGCCACGGGTCAAAACCACTCTTATTTGAGTTATTTGAAGATGACTTTGTCAAATACAACGGGTTTTGTAGCAAGCCGTTTTTCCCTTCGCGTTTGTACTACCAGCGAATGTAATTGGTCTCTTTACTAATAACCCTATAGCGGCTGCAGGGCGGCTAGATGGTGTATGGCAAAAAGCGTTCGACAAGGCACGGAGGTTGATTGAAAAAATGTCCATTCCTGAGAAAGTTAACATTACTACCGGTACCGGCTGGGGGTCGGGCCCATGTATTGGAAACACCGGTGCTGTCCCAAGACTTGGTATCCCGTCATTCTGTATCCAGGACGGTCCGAATGGAGTCCGCTTCACTGATTTCGTCACCCATTTCCCCTCTGGCCTAGCCACAGGTGCCACTTTCAACCGAGCTTTGATGTATCTCAGAGGTAAAGCTATTGGTAAAGAACACAAGAAGAAAGGGGTGCACATTATGCTTGGCCCTACGGTTGGCCCTTTAGGCTTGAAGGCTGCTGGTGGGAGAAATTGGGAGGGATTTGGTGCTGATCCGTATCTCCAGGGTATCGCGGGTAAACTCACGGTGGAGGGAGTGCAAGAGCAAGGGGTGTTATCCTGTGTGAGACACTTGGTTGGCAATGAGCAAGAACGCTTCCGCCAGGTAGGCGAATGGGACGACACTGCCGAAGACTTGATCGAGTCCATCAGCGCCAACATCGGTGATCGTGCTATGCATGAAACCTACCTATGGCCCTTTGCTGACTGTGTCCACGCGGGTGCTGCCAGTGTGATGTGTTCGCATAATAAAGTCAACAACACCTATGCGTGCGAAAACTCCATGCTTATGAACGGCTTGTTGAAAGAGGAACTCGGCTTCCAAGGCTTTGTCATGTCTGATTGGGGCTCCCAGCACTCCGGGGTCTACTCGGCCTTGGCCGGTTTAGATATGTCCATGCCGGGAGAGGTATTTGACGACTGGTGTTCCGGTAAATCCTATTGGGGTCCCCTTCTCACAAGGGCGATTTACAACCACACCATCCTACAGTCCAGATTAAACGATATGGTTCTTCGAATCTTGGCCCCCTTCTTTGCAGTAGAGGACTGTGAACTCCCATCGGAGGAGGATGTACCGAATTTCAGTTCGTGGACATATCACACGTATGGCCAGGAATACCCTTATCAGCACTACGGACCAATCGTCCAGGTTAATTGGCATAAGGAAGCCAGATCCAAGTTTAGCGACGATACCGCGATCAGTGTTGCACACGAAGCAATCGTCTTGCTAAAGAACGATGGCCATAACTTACCGATCTCTAGAGAGGATGGGGTGAGACGGTTATTTGTGGCAGGCGTGGGAGCTGGTGTCGACCCCAACGGGTTTAACTGCAAGGACCAGAAGTGCGTAGATGGTGTTCTCACCTCAGGCTGGGGTGCCGCTGCTGTCAATAATCCTTGGGTTATCAGTCCCCACGAAGCAATTTCGGAAAAGGTGAGAGATCTTGGAATGGTTGTGGACTTTAGCAGAGAGTCATATGACTTGGACACCTGCGACGAATTGGCCGACTATGCCGACATGGCGATTGTCGTGGTTAATGCCCATTCTGGCGAGGGGTTTATTGAGGTTGATGGCAACTATGGTGACAGAAAAAACTTGTCCTTGTGGCACAACGGTGACGAGTTAATCACACATATTGCTGATCGGTGCCGTAAAACAGTGGTGGTGGTGAATTCTGTTGGCCCGGTCGACATGGAACAGTGGATCGAACACGAAAACGTGGTTGCAGTCTTGTATGTCCCACCTTTGGGGCAATTCGTGGGGCAGGCCATTGCCGACGTTTTGTTCGGCGACATTAACCCTTCCGGTCATTTGCCATTCACCGTTGCCCGCAAACAGGAACACTATGTCCCGATCCTCATTGATGTTGGTCCCGACGGTACCCCACAGGATGATTTCGACCGGGACATCTATGTGGATTACAAATTCTTTGACAAGCACAATATCCGGCCTCGGTTTGAATTTGGGTTTGGGCTTTCCTACACCCAGTTCAAGCTTTGTAACTTGAAAATTACAGAAGTCAACTCTCCAACCCAGTACTTGCCAGAACCAGCTCCTTTCCTTCCTCTCTACAAGATGTGTGAGGATGACGTGTGTGACCCCGAGGACGCTTTGTTCCCACACGAGGATATGAATCCTGTTCCGGGAGTTATATACCCATACCTTTTCAACGACAAGACACGTTCGTTGGACGACGACGAAAAGTACGACTACCCTAAGGGGTACAGCCCCGACCAGAAGGAAGCGCCTTCGATCGCCGGGGGCGGTTTGGGCGGAAACCCAGCGTTGTGGGAGTGCCTTTACGAAGTGGAAGCAGAAGTCAAGAACGACGGACCGTACAAGGGAGCAGTAGCGGTTCAGCTCTACATCGAGTTCCCGTGCACCTACATTGCGTCCCCTCCAAAACAGTTGAGAGGCTTTGATAAGGTCATGATCGAGGCGGGTGGCAACGAACAGGTGAGTTTCCAAGTGTTGCACCGTGACTTGAGTATCTGGGACACAGTCTCCCAGCAATGGGTTATCCAAACGGGAATCTACAAAATTTTTATCGGTACTAGCAGCAGAAAGCTTGAATTATGCGGTGAGATTGAGATTGAATAAGGGCCGAGCCCTATGCCGATAGAATTTGCTACAACCGAGCTTTACGTGTCTTAGCTTTAACATACCCCTTTTAACCGTGTATACCTTTAAAAGTAAAGCTCCTCAAACGAAGCCTTTCTTGTCGAGGGGGTGTATAAAACGTAGGTAAGCTTGTTTCTGTGGATCAACGTACCAGGATTCAACACATGGCACCCTTCATAGGTGACGTCAAATTTAGGGGAGGAAACATCACACAAGACCAAGACCGAGGGCAAGGGGGAGAGCTGGAGAATGTGATCATACTCCCAGTTCACTCCCCGCAAGTGCAACGGGAAAGGAGACAAGTGGCCCTGGTCCAAAATGGTTCTGACGAGCTTTCGGGCCTCTTTGACGTCTGCTGGAACGGTCTCTACGGGCTTTAAGAGTGCATCAATGCTAAGCGTAACCGCGTCAACACTTGTTTGCGTTCCTATTGGAGAATCCTCATCTTCCACCGCTTGCAGAGTAGACGGAAACATGACGCTGTTTCTTCTAAACTTGGCCCCGATATCCTGGCGACAGAGCACGATTTCCTGGGACAAATAGTTGACGTGAGACGGATTGGACGTCCAAACACACGTCTTTGCCACACGGGTCAACCTGGTGCCAAAGATCTTGGGGATCTTCGCCTGTGGCCAGAGCGCGGCCGCACCGTTGGAGAACGATGAGGACCACGGATCGTTATCACCAGGAACAAAGACCAAGCTACAGTGCTGGGTGATGAGCGGAAATCCCTCGAGGAGCTCGGCGAGGGCGTCGAAGTAGGCCTTGTAAGTCGCGGAGGATGAGGAGTTGGTGGATGAGGAGTAGGTTGCGTGTAGTGGTGCCGAGACAAACGGTCCGTTAAAGACAATTGCGATCGGGAGCTTTTCTTCGCCATCATCGTGGGCTACGGCGGTGAGCTTGGCAAAGAGCTTCTTAAGGCCGTCCATGACCCTCAGGTTATCCAAGTGACAGTCCCCGCCCAAGAAGAGCATGGTGTGGTTGTACAACTCGCGCTCCAAGAGCTGGAGTCGCTTCTTCAACGGTTTATCAATTTTTGAGGTAGCCGAGGGTAAGATGTTGTGGATTCCGAGATAGTCAATGTTCCCGTAGTGGTCTAGAGTAATTTCTCGCTTCTCGGCCGGTGGATGGCCGATGGTGGACACGTGGAAGGTACCGGTGTTGGAGTAAATCCCATCCGCAAGGAGTATCGCCCCCGGGGCAAAGTACGAGCCTTCAGAAGGAAGAGCCTGGGAAATGTCGAGCTCGATGGCGTCGCTGTGGTCTTGGAGGCTCCAGTTGCCGTTGGCGTTCCGGGTGAGCAACCCCATCAACAAGAACCGCTGGCCATGTCTGCCGAGTAAGTTCTTGATGGAGGAAATAGTATGACTGGCCTTAATCCCAGCGCCGGTGACAGATGTGAGGGACGTAAAGGTCGGGGCCTGGAAGGTCTGGTTTCTCGCTAAGCGGTCCTTCACGATGTAGAGACGGTTGGGAAACAAGTGGATGCCTGACTTTACGTTAAGGCTCTTGAGTTTGAAGGCGTTTGCCATTTGCGGCACAAAGTCGTACGACTTGCGGAGATGGTTGTATCGGAAGATTGGCTGCTCAAATGCGTCAATTACCTTGAAATAGTCAGCCCAGTCGTGCAGGTCGGAGAGATTCTTTGGGGGAACCCCTCCGTCGACGATCGTGTCAGGGTCGTCCACAACTGTATCGAGTCTAGCAGCCTTTAAATCTGCGAGTGACACCTTTGAGTTCTTTTCCTGCGTCTTGGTGCGGCCACGGTCAGCCACTTCCTTGATCACCACACTGACACCCTCACCGTCCACAAAGATCCCTCTGTCCTGCTCCTTCCAGCACTTTGCCACGCTTTCCAAAAACTCCTGCGCCTTCGCGCCTCGCCACTCGGCCCCGAACTTGGGCCCAATATACTCGGCTAACCTCTCCAACGCGTCTAGCTTGATGTTCAACCCATGTTTCTTGGATAAGACTCGGAACGCGATGGGGCGCAAGTTGGACGCTTGTAGTTGGATCGGAAGTATAGCCGGGTTATCCATTTGGGAGCTGTGTATATATTGGGGGTATATAAGGTGAAATTTCAACTCTTTACATCTGCTGGATACTGAAAAAACTCACGCGCATCGGAAAAGACGCGTCAGGGAAATCACGTGGTAGACCTGAAAACAGACACAAACAAAAAAAGTAACTTGCAAAGATATCCATTCTACGCTATAGCACTCTCCTCCTACATTTGAACAATGGTTAGTAGCGAATTCAGAAACTCCCTCCACCAAAAGTTTTTGGAGCGACAGGGCAAACAGAGCCAACGGTTGCGCTTCGAGGACAAACCGGAACACGTGCCCTTCACGCGAAATGAGCCGCCAATTCGCCCGTTTCGAAGCAGAAGTCCTCCTGGTATTGGCCAGCTAGCCGCGCGTTTACGCAACGACAAGACTATCCTCAATAAGTACGCCACCACCTCGGTTTTCAGCCAGCCAAAGCCTCTGGGCACGGCTGTCAGACCGCTCAACTTATCGCCCATTAAGCGGTTTCGGGACTACGTCCCGGGCAGCTCCTCTCTCTCTCTCAGACCTACCCTCACGTACAAGGCCAGAGTCACGCCGCCGCTACGCCGGTCCCACGTACCAAATCAGCCACTGTACAGAGTGGCGAAACCTGAACAAAAGCCTGACTCGTCCTTGAAGGCATCCCTCTTTGACAAGATTTTCAAGTCGATCAACCCATTCAGCTCGATTAGCACGGAGTCGGAAGCCGAAAGATTTAAATACACGGCAGAAAAGCTGTATGGGGTTAGTACTCAATCAGAGCTGTCCTCTCAGGCCGAGCCACCTCGATACACGCAGTCATACAAACATTCCTTGGGTAGCCATCGTTCCGATCTCCCTCAGTCCTATCTGGCGGTGAACGCCAATTCAATCGCAGAAATACATTCGTTGGAACGTGAACGGGAGAGAATTCGGGCCGAAAGGCGGGAGCTAGAGGAGCTGACACGTGCTCTCCAGCAACAATACATGGACGACTTGAAACAAAAGGAGGAGGAGCTATTGCGGGAAAGACGTGCTCGCAACTTGACAGAGAGCGAGTTGGAGGCGAAATTGGCGCACCAGAAGCGAGAAAACGAGCTACGCGAGCAACGACTCAAGGAGTCGCTTGACGAAAAGCTTCGGGCGAAAGAAGCCGAGGACGAACAGCGCTACGCCAAACTTATGGAGACGCTAGAACAGAAGGAACGCCAGCGCCAGGCAGACGAGCGGATGCGGATGGAACGCGATGTGCTCTGGAACGAGCAGCAGGAGAAGTTGGAGCGTGAAATAAAACGCCAGGCGGCAGAGAGTGAGAGGAAGCTCCAAAAGCTCGAGGAAGAGGCCGAGCGCCGCGAGCGGAAGTTCAAGGAGATTGAAGAAACGGCCCGTCGCGAGCAGAAGCTCATGGAGATCGAAGAAGAGGCAAAGCGCCGCGAGCAAAAGCTCAAGCAGATTGATGAGGCAGCACGTCGCGAGCAGAAGCTCAAGCATATTGAAGAGGCAAAGCGCCGCGAGCAGAGAGCCCTCAGCAAAAAGCGGTACGAGTTGAGAGAGTTGATGAATGAGGCGACTGCTAACATTAAGACCAATACCAGTCCCAGGAAGGTGAGGATTTCTCCTAGGAACACCTCATCTGAGCGTGCATCTCATGCGGATGAATACAAACTCCGCTACGAACAGAAAAAGCGCAGTGACAAAGAGTGGTTGAAGCAGGAGTATGAAGTCCAGCTCGCGGCGTACCTTCCGACGACCGGGTACGATTTCAAGCGGTTCAAGATCAAGTTTGAGCGATCCCATCTCAAGTACCAGACCGATGAGATAAAGCGGAAACAGAATGATCACCACGTGCGGTTGCTAGAGCTTGTGGACTCCGTTTCCGACTCGGAGCTTGAACGCTATTTCAAGGAAGCTGCGACACCCCAACCAGGAACAGCCAAGGGCGATCCAAACAACGCGGTGTTTGGCGAAATCAACACCAAGTTGTACGAGGCATACCAGTACTTGCAAGACTTGCTGAACCGAGGCACTATATTGCTCGACGACTACACGACGCTAGCCTTGATCAAGGAGGACTTGTCGTTGTTCAAGGGGGTGATAGCCAAATGGACTGTGAGAGAGGAACTGAAGGTGGACGCATGTGGGCTTGAGATCATGGCTCTTGAAAACGCCTCCAGGCGAGAAATGCTCGTTCAGCTTATGGAGAAATATATCCCGGAGCCTCCGTCGAGAGTAACAGCAAAGGAGACTGACCACTTTGAGCAGTGTCTCTCGGCCTTGAAGAATCTCTTGACGATGAATGACCTACAGGAGCAGTTGATCTATCTTGAAGAGTTGGTCCGCAGGCTTGAGAAAGACAATTATTCTACAAACGGAGATGTTGACAGCGAGCTTTCCTCAGCAATGTTGCTCTCGCCGGTTCAGATCAACTTGCGAGATTTTTCATAAAAACTGGGGGGAAACGGCAGAAGTGTGAAAGGTGTGGGTCTAGTAAAACGGCCGTACCTAAAAGTAACACTTACACTGACTTTCAGGGTTCGGGGAATTCTAGATACTTTTAAGAGGAATTATCAAACCTCAAATACTTAGGGGTAAAATCCATTTTGTAAGCTGTGACTCCCTGTGTCAATCGCAATTTAACGTGACAAGCACGGGATTTGGCAGATATCATTGTTCTAGTATTCTTGTGGCAGTCTCTTAGCTGAAACCTGATTTGTCATAACCTATGGTTTATTTTGTCTAAATCCGTTATTTACTATAAACTAGACTTATACTGATGAAATCCTGAGTTTGGACACCCGTTTACCCCGAACCTGCACACAGCCCCCCGGATTTTCGCATGCCATGCAGGCTCGTGGCAACTCTAGATTTCAAATCAGGAGCCACCACCTTGCACCCAGCTACCACGGACTCGTTTATCGCCAATTATTATGAACAAAATCTTTGGACCCAAGTCCTACTTTGAAGAGGAGAGAAAGCGAAAGGAAGAGTTGATCAAAGAACCGTTGTTGCGATTGGTACTCGACGAGCTTCCGTTCTTAGAACCTACGGAGGCAATGCAGCACGATAAGTGGGAGGAGGTTAGTATCAAATTGAGCAGTTGCTTTCCAGCGGAAGATCTCAACTCAGGCGGCATGTACGTCAAGGAGCTCTACGATAAATGGCTTCTGGTGTTTGTCGCCCGAGAGCTCTACTCGGAAAATTCAATCCACATCCAGAATCACCATGCGTCCATCGTGGATAACACTCACAGGTACAGTGGCGTAAACAAAATCTTGTATGAACTCCAAAAAATGCAGAATCTCCAAGTGGAGATTGCGGCCAAGCTCTCGCGAGAACGGTACGAGCAACGGATGCGGACGTTCGTGGAGGCCAATGGGGTCAGCTTTGGGGTCGTGCAAGCCAATCCGCAGCAAGAACTCTCCTTCGAGAGCAAGAATCAGATATTTGCGGCGGATACTGGAGACAACGCGAAGGTGAGCTACTTTAAGAACGAGCTTGAGTCAAGAGAGACGAAACTCCAACAGTTGAAGGAGGAGAATAAGAAATTACTCGAATTGAATCATGCTTTGTTGCAAGATATGAAAGACATGGAAAAGAAAACTATGGTGAATTATTTTTAACACAAAGGGATATACTGGTGAAATAGAATTTTTAGCTAGGGACTTCACTTAAGACAGCTGTCGAACGTGGGAGATCAACCGCAGAAGGCCGGATGGTATAATTTTGGTGAACTTTGTGACTAGATCGCGGATTCCAGTCGCATGTGTTCATAGTGAAGCCTACAAGACCAATAATTTTGGAAAAAAGAATCCAAGATCGATGCTGCACTGATAGCTCACTCATAGTATAACCAATTCTTTTGAAGATACATGTACTTTGATTAAACCGTAATCTGCAGAAGAGCTGGACCCGATATCTAAAATGTGGTTTATAAACTCTAGTGCTCCCACTAAAGATTCAAGGTTATTCTCTAAACGAAAAGTTATATGTTAAACTTGATTTTCCGTAAAATCTAACACCATTCTTATCTAACAGTCTATTCAAATTAAACATACAGCCAAGAGCTGATTGTTAAACCGGGATATTCACAAAGATCAAATAATTTAATCATAGATTAGTCTTTTAGCTAAATTCTGTTATGATCGACAAAAGGTGAGAATCATGCCGTTCTCCTCCTCTCCGTCACTGTAGAGTAAGGGCCGTGTGGCATTAATATCCTGCGAGGTGTTGGCACCGGTCCGTTCTCCGTGAATAACTGGCACAGATTCGTACCATACAAGGGGTTATATCTTCAACGCACGCAACTCTAAAGATATTATTCAACTCCAATCTATTTTTTACTTTCAAATCTTTGTATTGTGTCTGTAGCTTCCGGAGTAATGAGCGTTAATCCCTGTCTGAAACTCTGACGTGTCGAAACGTTTCGCGCCAAGCATTCCGCCTCATGTCAATTCTGAAAACCGGTAACCGGCTAGAGCCGAGAGCTTGTGTTCCAGGAGCTGCCAGTTAAAAATCCTCTAACATATGAAAAAAAAAAAATCAACCTTTGACAAATCGCCGAAACTATCCAAGTCATACACCTTTAAAAAAAAATTAAAATCAACTAAACACTCCAGGTCCAGTGTGGTTGGTGGATATTAGTCGTGCACCCACCACAGCGACGAGGAAAAAAAGTCGCGCTATGAAATTGCCAACTTTGTGCCTCAGACCACCCCACCCTTCTCCACCTCAACGTTCGAAGCAATGGAGCACTTGAACCGCCGTCCGTCGCTATCCTCGCACTCGTCTGCCTCCGGCTACGCGTTGCAGAACCCGGGAAACGCACAGGCCCCGCGCCCGCGCTATTTCAACGCGCCAATGGGCAACCAAGGCTACCAGAATTCGGCACAGCATTCGAATCCGCATGCGGGCCAGCAGAACCAACCGATGAGCAGCGCCAATGCTAGCTGGTTGTTGCAGCAGTCGTACCAGGCGCCGGTAAACGTGGCGCCGTGGATCGAGCAGCAGGCGGCCCAGGAGTTCGCGCCGGCCGCGCACATGCCGGAACAGGCCCACATGCCAGATGAGTCCGTTAGTTACGATGAGCACGATGAGGGTGATGACGAATTGATTCCCACGGCGATCGTGATCAAAAACATCCCATTTGCGATCAAAAAGGAGCAGTTGTTGGATGTCATGACAAAGCTCTCACTCCCATTACCGTATGCCTTTAATTATCACTTTGACAATGGTGTTTTCCGCGGTTTGGCCTTTGCTAACTTCACTTCCACTGACGAAACGTCTATGGTTGTGGACCATCTCAATGGGCGCGAGATAGGCGGCCGCAAGTTGCGTGTGGAGTACAAAAAGATGTTGCCGTTGGCGGAGCGTGAGCGCATCGAGCGCGACAAGCGTGAGAAGCGCGGTCAGTTGGAGGAGCAGCACCGCTCGACGTCCAACGCCTCCCTCGCTTCTATGGTTTCCATTTCGTCCACCAACAACACCGTGGCCCCCAAGCCGCTTGCCGCAAACCCAGCCGAGCGTTTGTACGGGACGGTTCCTGTGATGCTGAGCCTTCCAGCGCCGCCCTCACAGTTGGACTTTAACAATCCGGAAACGTTGGAGATGTATGCGCAGTTTGTGTTGTTCAAGGATGATCAGGAAAAGACGTATACCGAATTGGTGTATCCCGCAACCTTGTCTCCAGCGCAGTACAAGTGCGTGCCGCTTTTGGCCAGTTTTGTGGGGTTGGTGGATTCGTATGAGCAAGGGTTGGTAATTTTGCGCCGCCGAAACCTCTTTGACCAGAGACAGAGCCGGTTCAGACAGGCCGTGACCCCACAACCGAGACAGCCAGGAAACCAAGCAACCTTGAATGTGCAGAATTTATGTCAGCAGGGCCAGCAACCCCAGATTTTGTCCCAGAGCATCCAGAATGCGAGCCAGCATCCGAATGCCAGCCAGCACCAAAATGCCAGTCAGCACCAGAATGTCATGCACCACAGTGCTGTTCAGGGCGTCCAGACTGCCAGTGGCAATGTCCAGAGCGGAAACGTTTCCGCCAATGCACAATACGTGAGCCAGCAGTACAACGCAGCGCCGCTAAATGCTTCTCTTTCTTCGGCCGCGTTGTTACGCGGCACCAGATCATTCGCAGATGTGCGTGTGGCACCCCAGGGGGCGTACCACTATCCCGAGCCGCCGTCGCAACCGGGTACTCCGGGCTTGGATCAGAACGCTCGTTTCATCTCGTTTCAGCAGTACAACTCCTCTGGGATGTTGCAGCCTCAACACTCGGGGATGGGGCATCAATACCTCTACAACGAGTCCGTGACTGACACGGTTTCGGAAGCGTCCGCGAGCAATGACAACTTGGCCGAGCAGTTCACAGGCCTCAACATGAACTACAACCACGGCAGCATGCACGATCTCCTGGTCGAGACCAAGGGTGAGGGCGGCATCTGGGGCCCGCCACGATCCGGAATGTGATGCCTTACGACTCATGAATGACGACACACGACAAAGTCGTGATAATACATGTACAACGCTTTTTTTTTGCATGGCTTGAGCGCGCCCTTCCATGTTATAAACTTATGTCAATTGCGCAAATATATGCGACGGTAGCAGCTGTCCGTCTGTAGGTATTGGAATCTATGCTTGGAATAATCGTAAGTGAGTAAGGTCGCTTGTCAGTGTGAAGACTTCACTCAATTATAGTCGGTCTTTGGTTCGTAGGTGATGTTGGCTCTCACCGGTGCTTTGCGAGGTTCAGCTATGGTTGAGGTTCTACACAAAACATTTGTTATGGGTCTAGGTTTTTGGCCTTTGGTCTCGGTGTTATGGTTTCCTTTAACTTGTCTCAAATATTCAAGTCACTACTGTACTGGACTAACGAATAAAGTAATGGACGGAGTATCGGGGCCGTTCCTAGCAGAGCGATTATCAGGTGGATAAATATATTCATAGTGTAGAAAAAGCGTGGGGTCGTAAAAATTTCATGGAGTCGTAAAGTATAAACGTGGGATTGTAGCGCATGACTTCCAGGGGAAGGTTACGGTGTTTAAAGAATAAGGTCCTTGCGGTCCCAGCCGGTGCCCTTGTGAGTCTTCAAGCCCTTAGAAGGCTGTGGCTTCTTAATCTCGTCAATTTCCAAGGCAAATGGGTTTCTGTCGCTCTTCTGCTCCAAGTTCGCCAACGTGTGGTTGACCTCTCTGTGCTTGGCTTCGTCCGCCCTCACTCTTAACACCAAGTCCCTCATACTAGAGTTCTTGTCCAACCCGGACCAGTAGTTGATGGCAATATCCGGCACCTGCATCGCCTCGAGCTCAGGCAACTTCCCCATTTCAAGATGCTCGATCAAATGCGTGTAAGTGCTCACGGCCTCTTCTTCCAAGTAGCCAACGAATCTGTGGCAGTACTTCGGGGCCATCAAGTACATGAGGAAAAAGGCATTGCAGAAGACACCCTGCCCGACGTATATGATCATGCTGGTGAACCATCCAGGCTTTCCCAACTTCATGAACGTCAATAAGTGCATTCTCTCGTTGTACGCCTCGTCAAGCAAGGTCTCGATCCATGCGTGGTCACGTCTCAACAAGCGCAACGAGTGGAGGTGTCTGATAAACGCCGCCACCATTCCCGGAACTCCCGCAATGCTCTCCAAGAAAATGACTCGGGTGAGCCACTTCAGTGGGGTCATTTCGTACCTAGTGCCCTTGAATCCGTCCTCCACGTCCTGAGCACACTTTGGTTTCTTGTAGCCGGTTACAAAGTCAAAGCTGCCGCGCACAAAGCGGATACCCGCATCGGCAAGCTTGTCCCCAAACGTCACGGGGGTACGGTGCTCTGGGTGGATAGCCTCGCATTGCTCCTGGGTGAATGGCGGGTGATCAAACTGCGGCTGGGTGTAGAACTTGGCGTCGTACTTTGGCTGGTGGGGGGATGGCTCAGAATAGAATCTCACGAGTCGGGTTGGTGAGAGACGAGCGGTGACAAGCGAAGCTAAACCGATGCCGGCTCTGTACTTGTATACGGAAAGCATTGTTGGAAACAGAGATAGTCTTTGGTGATATGGAAGGGGGAAAGAGGGATGGGCGGTAAGGTTGGCAACAAGCAACCTTTTATATCGTCAAGGGGGTATGTATTTGGTAGTTCCAAGCTGAGTGCTTTATTTGCGCGGATGGTCCAAACGGGAAATGCTGATGGACAAAGCAGGAAGCGGAGCTGTGGAGACCGGGTGTAGATTGGAATACATAATGGTTACAGTCAGGATTAGGGAGTGAGATGCATGTAGTGTTGCTCACATGCACAAAGTTGAGCCACCTGCATGCACCTGGAAACCTTCCGGAAAAGAAACTAGTACTACATTATATTCATTATTGGCCGAATTGGACGGCCCTTGTGGCTTGGTATTTGACTGTTATTAATATAACCCCAAGCTTTCAGGGTGTTCGTGGGCCCAATAATGCTACATGCGTGCTCTACGTTTAAGTGGCTCTGTTAACTCGCAACTGGAAGGGTACGGCTCAGTCGTTCCGATGACTGTCCCTATGTTCCAGTAGAAACCTTGGGGTATGGTCAAACCCACAGGGTCAGTTCTGTGCCTATAAGCACAGCTGCGGCCAATGGTAAATGCCTCAGAGTAATTGTATGCAGAAGTGCCAAGCACTAGCCACCGGATCTTATTCGCGGGCTCATGGGTGGCGCACCAGACAAGGCGCGGCGGGAGCCGGGTGGAAATGGCAGGCAGCCGGCAGTGTGATCGCTTAATAACGGGTGCGGGAAGGTCACACCAATTAATGTTTCGCGCGACGCTGGCGATTTCTCTAAAATACCAAGGGTTATGTCTACTGGGGGTGGGGTCCAAGCACTATGCGATAGATGGATACAGAGATTGGTGTCGTCAATGGTCACATTCCGAATCCTCAGCGCAATGGAGTACTGGTTCAAGCGTTGACATACCGTTTACATCTACGGCGCTTGTGTAGCCAGTAATATCACTTTGATAGTGCATTATCAGCTAAAGTCGTCCCGAAATATCTACGGCAATCCCTTGTGCTATGTCCAGGAGCAATTTCTCCGAGGAATTGGCCTGTGTCTGAGGCCCGAAAACGTGCATACGCAGGATTACGCACCTCAACGGTCGCTCATGACGTTCTTTCGTACCTCAAACGTTTCATCAGCGCCAATCACGGGGTATAAGTATTTACTAGCAATAGTTATAGACGGAAGAAGCTATTATGCTGATAATGATAGAGAAAAGCCCCGCTCAACTCTGTTGGACTGATCGCGAGGATCCCATGTATGCATATCCCACCCTTAGCATGTGAGATTCTGCAGCTGCGCACATAATTCCGTGCATTGCCAATCCCGTAAACGTCCTGGCCCACCGGTGGATGGAGTCTGTTTCTCCCGCTTTCAGATAAAACACCCCCAAGGGGTATTTACCACCGAGTAAGTACCGGGTCTTCCGAGTATGTCATATCAGAAAAGGAACGGAATAGGGAAAGCCACGGACGTAAGTGGCATCTACGCATGCACCCTAACAGAATACCGTTAGTTCCATGAAATAGTTCTGGTATTCGATCAATCAGGCTGCGTGATTGTCAAAGGTTACGTGGTTATCATATGCCCCCAGCTCATCTCTGTCGGAAATGCTTCGTAACTGCTAGAATCTAGAGCATCCTGCGAAATTTCATCCTTATCGTCATAAAGATGGGTTATTGTTTTATAACTATGGACTGGTGCACATGGGAGGGTTAAGCGATGAGAATAATTTCTCTAGCTTTTATTTACGTATCCCAGATGAAGTTAATAGTGAGGTCCAGTCTCCCAATAGCAAAATGGCTTCATACAACCACCCCTTAAGAGGAGGATCAAAATTTCATATTCTGAGATTTAGTTTCTAGCTTCCAAGTACCTGTGCACCCATAGCATCTCAATCAAAGCCCGTCTCCTAAAGCAAGATGTCATTCTTTTCGTCAGAGGGGACCCCTATATATACCGCACATGAACTCTCCGAGTTCGATGTGGTTTGCGATAACGGGGTACTGGAAACCACAGACCCTCCGTGCTGACTCTCCTCCTGCAACTCCATGATCTCTTTCTCTAAGCGGGCCACCTCCTTCTCCAAGCGATTCCCAAAGACGTCAATGTAGTAGGTGGCTCCGTTGAAACTTGCCCAGATGAAGATGAAGGTCAAGAACCCAGCGCAAAGCCAGTCGGAGCGGAACCAGAGAGGCACAAAAACCATCGTGGATATCTGGTAGAAGTACTGGATGAACATGAACGCAAACACAGGAAGCGGTTCGGGCAATGAGTTTATCGCCATACCAAGCTTGCTATGGGCGTGCTTCTTGCGCAACCACTCAAAAGACGTGACTCTCTTCCCCGCCTTGATTTTATCTGCCTTCTTCACCGTAATGAAGTAGTGGTAAAACGATTGCCAGACGAGATAGTAAAGAGAGGTGTAGAACAACGAGCGGGTGACGTGCCAGTGGGAGCCGGCAACAGCAGCCGCACCTGGGAACCGGTCAAGTTTGAATTCTGGGGAAATTTGGTGAGTGATGGCAAATAGCGTCACTGGGGGCATGATGTGGATGAAGGACGAGGTGGTTTTCTCAATCGAATGCAACACAAGTGAGTTTCTCCAGGTGATGACTGCCCAACTAAGCGTCCCGAAAGAAAAGGAGAACAAGGTCATATACAAGTGTCGACTCTGGGGAAAGACCCATATGTAGAGAAGCAACAACATGTTGATGAAGTAGCACAAGTCGGCGAGAAAGTACTGGAAGGACATTTTGAAATAGGTGTAAAAGCGCACAGGCATCAAGAGTACAAACATGGCGGTATAGAACACGTGGAACCATTCCGGGTATTTGGTAAGGATGATCCCGCAGGCAAAGATCGAGTAGAGGGCAAAGGCATAGAAGGCCTTCTCAGTGATGGTGGCACTCAAGTGGTGGGACAAGCGTGAATCGAGCTTCCTCACCCGTCCTACTACGCGAGCCTTGAGGCGTGCCAAGTCGGCGTCGTTCATCAACTTGCTGGTGGATCCCTTCACGTAGTTGGAAAACTCCTTTGACTTGGATTTAACCTTGGCTGGCAATTGGTTGGTGTGGAGGGGATCGAGCATTGTCTCGATGAAGGAGAGTCGCTCTTGAAGCGAGAATGACAGCGACAGCGATGAGCGTTTCATTGGCGAGGCCCGCTGGCGAAACTCCACGCTTTCTGAATCGGGAGGCATTGTGTACACGGGGAATTAATCTGAGTGGGCAAATATAGGTGCAACAAAGGATTAGACCTAGGCGATAGGTATTGAATAATGGGGGTAACGGAAGCAGTAGTAAGAAGAAGCAAAGTCTGGGGAAGCAAATGCGGCGCAGATCTGAGAGTGGAGAATGATCCGTATTTATATTTCGTCCCAACTCTGCTTGGCACAACAACGCGGCTAGGGTGACGTACGCACGTCTAAGTATTTTTTTTTTTGGGCACCCCACTAATACAAAATTCACACGTGCAAATCTGGGGAAACAAAGGAAGGTGTATGAACACTCCATCCACGATAGGCCTCAACCGTATCGTATACACTGTCTAATAAATGTTATTAGACATGAAGAAAGGAGTCGAGGTATCGGGAAAGATTCCCAGCTTGATAGATTTTAAATAGATAAACCAGCCGCAGCTCCTTTATGAGGTAGCCGTCCATGGTGGGGAATTCAACCTCCAAGTATATCCCACTTGAAAGCAAAGACTGCTCCAAGGTGATTGTTGAGCTTGACCCTAGGGGTATGAGGAACTAGATAGGTTATATTTTTGCAGTCTAAGGTATGCCCAATGGGCTCGATATATTAGACTGAAAGTCAACTTTCAAGGCCCATATTCAATTTATCCCTATCTGTTTCTATCGGGTCAGAAAGGTTTCACAGTTTGTGCGAGAAAGTCCCTTGACATCTTTGCAGTTTCCTGCTCAAAGTTCCAAGTAGGTCCAATTAGTTTCTGAATTTTCTAACCATGTGCCAATATCTGATATTAGTTTTAAAGCATAGGCAACTGTCAACGATGCGATTGGTTAAACCCTGGAGCTAATTGTCTGATGGAGACTGAATTCTAGAGCCATTGGGCAGATACGCATAAAGAAATTCCTTAAACTGAAACAACACTAGCTATGTCGTTCTATGCTAATAATAGAGTGATCCCTTATGAAACCACCAATTACGTACAAAGACGCAATCCACCTGGACAGCTTACAATACTTACATCAAATAATGCAGTAGATTCTTTATGAGAAACCAAAAATACAGAATGCTTACAACCCCGAGAACCCACTCCAGAGCCCTAAAAGCACTACAAGAACGGCCACGTCAGCCATAAAGCTCTTGAGAATCACCTGGTACTTGACCACGCTGAACAACTTCTGCACCAAGGTCGGTTTCAAAAAGCCCAAGCCCTTGGCAAAGTTCAAACCCTTCATCAAGTACGAGTCAGACTGGTAGGAATCGCTGTCAAACTTGGAGGACAACGCGATATACAACGTGGACTGCACCGCAAGCTCAAACATCAAGAACCAGCGGTGGAACGTGTGCAGCGTATCCACTTGGGGCGCTTTGGGAGCGTCCGTGAGGAAGCGCACGTGTCTGTGCGAAGACGCGAAGGGCGCATCGGTGGTGAAGAAGTACCAGCCGAACATAAGCACGAGGAGTACGGTCTTGGCTATATCAAACACACAGAGGTAGCGGGTCAAGTTATACTTGTGGAACGCCGTGAGCTGTTGCTGGTACGCACGCTCTTCTTCCGAAACAGACGGATCGATAGGGGTCTCGTCGGTCTGGGGATTCATGAAACTGGAAAAAAGACCGCCCGCACCCGTACCATCTGCATCCGCACTGAAAAATTTAGCCATTTCAGGGTTGTTACCAAAGAGTCCAAGGAATGCATCGTCAGACGCCGCAGACGCCGGCGCGCTGCCCACGCTGCCGAGCAACTGGTTCATGAGCTCGGTGTCGGATGGCTTGGTGTGTCCTGAAATATCGGAAGTTTCTGGATCGTCGTGGAAATCATGGGCAGAACCAGTGGCCACAGCAACAGGGGCCTCGGCGACACTTTTGGCCTCAATGACCGGCTTGGCCACTTTGAGCGAACCGCCGTCGTTCAAGATTTTCTGTAAACGGTCGGTACCCAGGGCCATCTTTGCAGCACGACGCTCACGCAAAACGCGGGCTTTATCGGCAGAAGTTAACGGAGAAGCAGACATGTGTAGGGTTTTGGATAAAGAGATAGCACTTGGTAAGATACATACCCGAGTTCTTTTGCGATGAGTTGGCCGGAAAGGTCGTGCATGATCCCGGTGCTAAGTCGTGTGAGGCGAATGGCAGCACACGTCCGTGGTACATGGCTGGTATTCCATACAGATCGTGATAGATTGGCACTCTGGCGGAGTGATTATGTGGTAGAGTAGTTCTACAATAATTAAGAATGAAAAATTATAGATAACTTTCACTCTATAAAAACTGCTCCGATTAAATGGAAACTTAGGGTTGTATCAGATGTTACTGGAATGGCGTGGTCCTTGCTGATGCATGTTTTGTACCAAGGCGAGCGTTAGCATTGAAACGGAATTTTATATAATTGGTACACAGAGAGCCGTAAAAATGATGCTTATAAACCGAAATAAAACACACCTATATATATATTCCCAGAGTCGATACATTGACAATTGTGAGATACATGCCCGTTAAAGATATTACCTGTAGTGCATATCGTATCACTAACAATATACAATTCTCCCTAAGCTACTTCACCATGTAATGAATGGTCTTCCATCTTTTGCAATGTCTACGCTCTTTTTTCTTAATACGTATCGGTTATAAGTTATCTTATCCAACTACGTTTACTGATATAATACCACAATAGTCAGTGTCGTTGGATAGTGTTACAACCTGCATATCCATTTATCAACGCCATTGGGAAAAGTAATGCCTATTATAACAATTTGCGCTTTATGGTGAACCGGGCTGATTCTAAACATGTTTGAGATCTCAGACTCTGATTGATAAGCTCGCTCGTGCCTGCCACACGCTCCTCATTCGCGCAGCTCACGGCAGCCCACAACGAGCTAAGCGCGGTGAAGACATTGATGCGTTTTCACGGGCGTTTCCGTGTACCGTAACGTAGATAAGTTCTATTCTCTTAGCCTGGAGATAGTTTAACCGAAGAACCGAGTCAGGTCTAGTAATTAGAGAAGGACTTTCAAAATCAGCAGTCATTAGTTTAACATACAATTCCGGTCAAACACAAAGCCTCTTATTATTATTATTGTTTTTCGTAATCTCTATTTTTTTTATTCTTTAGATAATATATAGTCGTAATCTAAGCTTCCATTGTATTTATCTTCCCTAAACCCCCTGGCTCTAAACTCGTGATCCCAATCGGCTATCATATCCTTAGTGTCCCAATCGGGTTTCCGCACCTATTGGATATACGATCTCTTTCCAATCGATTCCACCAGATAAGTCCCAGCTTGCTACCACACCCGTTTAGACCCCCTGCACAGTTGCTGCGACGATTCACGAAGATCGGTATTGATTATTTAAAGTCCTCATTACTCTGTTCTCCATTTCATTCAATCACCAGCCTCTTTTTGCAAGCTGCTCATAAGTTGGTTCGTTAATAGAAGCGGTGTACGAGACTTCATAGTGGTCACCATTCCTCTCACCCACTCTCGGTATTCATAACTAAATCCGCCGTTCCTTCCCTGCTCAAGCCACAATTTCCGTTGCTAAGGCCATCATTTTCAGTGATTTCTTCGTAGCCCAATCCACCGTCTTCACTGATTCAGTCTACAGTTCCACGCTCTAGCGTCCTCCTTTTGCTCCTACCATAGCTCTAACTTCCCCCATTCATGCCCAGCTACAATCCCCGCGACCGCACGCTCTCCATCTCCGGCGCTCTCGCTGAGGGCTTCTCGCAGTCCCTCAACCCCTCTCAGGGTGATCTTAACGGTGGCCGTTCTTACGTACACGTGGGCTCCTTCAAACCGCTGAGCTTTCTCCAGAGCTCGCCCTTTGTCCGCTCGGGTGCTTCCATCCACGAGCAGACCGCGGAACTTGCTACTATCGGCATTGACGAGATGGAAGAGCTTCCGCGGTTGAGGTACAATCAGAACGATCTTTCACCGCGGTCCAAACCGGAGGAGCCAATTCCTCTCCTGAAGGATGCATTGCGGAAACCCCTGGGAGAATGGCCGCGTTCTGGTGATTGGTCACGTCAGGGAGAATCACAGCTGGAAGACCTGCCTCTCCTCGACATCCACTCGCTCCCGCCGCCTAAAGCCTCACCGCTAGGAAAGATAACCTTGCAGTGGGAAGCGCTCCGCTCCCTCGACCGCCAGACCATCTTTCACCACGCCATCCTTAACCCCGTCCGCTACACCCCTGCGGTCGCCATCGGCACCCTTCTCAATATCCTTGACGCGCTTTCCTACGGGATGATCATGTTCCCCGTCAGTGAAGCCATCTTTGCGGGCCTCGAGCCCACCGGGCTCTCCATGTTCTACGTCTCTACCGTCATCTCCCAGCTCGTGTACTCGCTCGGCGCGTCGGCCTTCAAGTCAGCCATCGGTTCGGAAATGATCGAGATCACGCCGTTCTTCCACACCATGGCGTTGGGCATTTTGGCGGAGCTCGGTCCGGAGAAACCCTCGGAGGTCATCACCACCACCATCGTCTCCTTCGCCCTCTCGTCAGTTCTCACTGGACTTGTCTTCTACGCACTTGGCAAGATGAGGCTCGGCTCCTTGGTTGCCTACTTCCCCCGCCACACGCTCATCTCCTGTATTGGTGGTGTGGGCTTTTTTCTCCTCCTCACCGCGATGGAGGTGAGCGCTCGTCTCGATGGTGGCTTCCACTTTGACAAGGAGACTCTCCACGAGCTCTTTGCCACCACAAATGTGATCCTCCAATGGGCGTTGCCGGTCGCGTTGACGGCGATCTTGGTGGTCCTCCAGCGGCGGTTCCACCACCACGCGATGGTCCTTCCCGCGTTCTTTCTCCTGGTGTTCTTCCTCTTCCACGTGGCAATCATTGCCGGGCCTTGGGACCTTGTCCAGGCAAGAGCCAACGGCTGGGTCTTTTCCCCGCCCGCCGGCCGCGAACCGTGGTATCATTTCTACACACTCTACGACTTTTCCCTTGTCCACTGGCGAGCAGTTCTCCACCAGGTCCCCACTATGCTTGCCCTCACCTTCTTTGGTGTCCTCCACGTCCCCATCAATGTCCCGGCGCTCGCTGTTAGTATCGGGATGGACGACTATGATGTGGACCGCGAGTTGGTTGCCCATGGCCTCTCCAACTCACTCCTGGGCTTGTGTGGCTCCATCCAGAATTACCTTGTCTACACTAACTCCGTTTTGTTCATCCGCGCCGGGGCAGATCTGCGGCTCTCAGGGGTGATGCTCGCCGCTGCCACTGCCGCGGTCATGTGCGCTGGCCCGGTTGTCATCGGCTACATCCCCGTCTGTGTCGTTGGCGCGCTCATTTTCCTCTTGGGCTACGAGCTTCTCGTCGAGGCATTGGTTGACACCTGGGGCCGTGTCAGACCGTCGGAGTACGCCACAATTGTCACTGTTGTCATTGTAATGGGCGTCTGGGACTTTGTCTACGGGATTCTCGTCGGGATTCTCCTCGCGTGCTTCCTGTTTGTGGTGGAAGCCTCGCGGCGCCCAGTAGTTTCCGGGGTTTTTACCGGCACCGTGACGCGTTCTACCGTGCTTCGTCATCCAAAGCAACAAGAGTTTTTGAAGCGGGTGGGTGAACAGATCTGCATCGTGAAGCTCCAGGGTGCGTTATTCTTTGGGTCTATTGGCGGGGTCGAGAAGACTATCCGGGAGAGGTTTGAGGAGCAGAGCTTTAAGCTGTCGCCGGTGCGGTACTTGATCTTGGACATGAACCACGTGGCGTCAATTGACTTTTCGGGTGCCGAAGGCTTTAGACGGATCCGGAACTTGATGGAGAAGCATGACACGGTGTTGATTATCTCATCGGTAGTGGAGGATGGGCCGGTGGTCAAGGCGTTGCGAGACGCGGGGTTGTGGGACGGAGAGTATGTGATTCAGTTGTTTGGGACATTGAACCTGGGGTTGGAATGGTGTGAAAATTGTTTTCTTGAAGCGGTGCGGGTGAGAGCGAGGGCCCGAAGCGAGGCTAGGGCCAGAGGCGAAGTTTCTGCCAGAGGCGGTGCCAGAGGCGAAGCTTCAAAGTCCATCCCGGTTACCCAGCAAAGAGGCGAAGCCTTATCGGCTGAATTCCTATCCCCTGAAGCCTCCAGCTCCGGCTACGGTTCTCTCTCTACTTCCATGGGCTTCGCCTACGGCTCTGTCCCTACTGGCTCTCCCCGCAACCTGCAAATTGTCACTGCTGCCAAGCGCACCCTCCACGATCTCCCTCCACGCGGGTCTTCCACGTCGCCCCTTCCCCTCCTCATGACCACCTTCCACGGTCTTTCTACCAAGGGCGAGGCCTTCTGGAGCACGCTAGCCCCGCTCTTTGTGAGGGTCCACGTTCCCGGCCAGTCTGAGGTGTATGCGCCAGGGCCGTACCAGGCGTTATTCCTCGTAGAGTCCGGTTTGATCAAGTGCGACTATCGTTTTGAAGGTGCCACCATCTCTTCTAGCGTGTTACCTTTGACTGCATTTGGCGACGTAAGCGAGAAGCCGCGAACCGTGACGTTTGTCGCCGACGCGGACTGTGTGGTGTGGCGGTTGGACCAGCAGGCGATCAGCAAGTTGGTGGAGAAGGCGGATGGCGGGGCGGTGTATAATGAGTTGTTGAAGATTGAGGTGAAGTTGATGCAAGAACGATTTAACGCGATTACGAGTTCTTTAGTGGTGTCGAGCTAGCTGTTACAGGTACCCACAGCGGTAGATATCTATCGACTACGGTACAGTGAATCGTCTATAACCTATGTATTTATATATTATCAATCCAAACATTGCTTTGGAGCATTGAACAGATATTTGAGTAGTTATTTCGGGATCTGGAAAAGTCTTGTATGACCGTATCTCTAACACTGCGGGCAGATTATACAACGAATCACTTATTGACAGACCTGTAAATATCAGCTTGCAAGGCGGCGACAGCTAGGTCCAGCCTTACAAAGCAGGTCATTTGTACTCCCAAAATAGCTACTTCTCGATGCAACCTTACATATTCATTACTCATACGGCCACTTCTTGAACCCATCCGTGACACTTTTCGGCATACAGTACACCGGATCCACCTCAACCAAGTCTTCGTACCCCATCAAGCTCAAGCCAGCAATCCCAAACACGGTATGGTAGACATCCGCCTGGTTATCCGGCCGATCGCTGATTCCGCCGTCCTTATCGTCCTGGGACTTGAGAATAAACTCGTATAACTTTGCGTGGTCAATCCAGTGGAGCTTATCAATGATGGCGAGCGACGAGAGCACCCACCAAGAGTAGCACACATCCGGGAGCTTTTCCGGCCGCCCGTTCAATCCTCCATTCGGCAACTGCCGCTCCGAGAGCCACGAACCTAGCAATTCCTGGTCCACCAAGTCAAGTCGGTTGGTGATCGCAAGAGTTCCTACACAAGTAAACACCTGCGCTGCGTGGCTTTCAGCACCTGGGACCATCCCATAGCCTCCGTCAAAGTTGGCACACTGCGAAATGAATTCCACAGCGCCATCCACCACCGTAGGGGTCAACCGTCCAAGGATGGAGAGAGCGTTGATGGCGGTGTACACGAAGCGTGTGTCTACTTCACCAAACAAGTCGCCTTGGAAAGCACCATTTTCCAATTGCAACGACATAATAAACGCTACAATTGAGTCAACCTCTGAAGGCGCTAGCACGTCTAGGGCGTCGAGCGTGGCAAGCATCTGCACAGCTGATAGCGTAGAGAGAAGATGGCCGTCATGGCGTGGAAAGGCGCCAAATCCACCATTGGGGTCACGGCAGCTGAGAATAAACGCTATCACATCGTCTCGGGGCAACGTATCCGGCGATTTCATAAGGCAGAGTGCGGTGAGTCCCCAGTAGAGTCCATTCATCCGTAAGTGCTCCGAGAGCCAGTACTCATAGTCGTCTTGTTTCTGAGGGGTTAGTATAGGTTCGGGAAGAAAAAACGTTTGCTTACTTTGTTCAATGCATCAATGTATGCAATGTGTTTTTCCCTAGCGAAAGACATTATGGGAATGATGGTGAATATAATCCGGTATTTTTGGGAGAAACGTATTTGCTATAAGCAAATGATGGAGTCGTGCCCAGCACTATAAATGTGGCGGTGCAGTCTCTTTGTCGTGACTGTATAGAATAAGCGGTAAAAGAAAGCAAATGGGTGTTATCTGGGTGGATTTTCGGGGTATATTTGTTTTAGCTGGGATATATTGTGGGTAAATGGAGGTTGTATAAGAAAACTTACCTTTAAACTAGTATTGTAATACAGAAATCACATGATTCATTATTGGCATAGTCTACGTATTACATATATATGTATCTATAATTATTTTCTGTGGTGACAAGGAAATCGTGATGTGATATTAGCAAGGTTGTACCGTTATTACAATTTTCTATAAAGTTGACAAGAATAAAAGACGGAGTTAAGTTTGAATGGGAAAAAAAGGTCGTACCCGGATTCGAACCGGGGTTTATTGGATCAGAACCAACAGTGATAACCACTACACTATACAACCTTTTCTGCTGATGTTGTCAGGGTTCCAGCGCCTGTTGGTATTCCAGTCGGGGGGTTGTAATCAGTCATTGATTCACAAGTTACTTATCGTGATCTTCCACAAAAATAAAGATAATATTAAAACCAAGATCATTCTTAGATCTGGAAAACTACTTTCTTATATAGCTTTCTTCGGTGCCTCATTTGCTTTATGCGACAGGATTAGTTTCAGATACTCATTATCAAACAATCCTAGTAGCCTCAACTGGAACCTCATAAGGTTCCTGAAACAACTCTCTAACTCTGACAGATGTAGGGGAACAAGTATTGCTATATGTGTCTGGTAATGGAAGAGCTTGCGATAAGAACCTGCTCACTAATGCGCCATGCTAGCACCAAGTGTTGCAAATCTATAAGGCTGCTTTATTGTGGAGTTCTTTGATAGATAACTATAGACTTGTTGAAATCTGTATACATCTGATGGCATAGGACCGTGTTATACCTGTGAAGAATTCCATATAGTGCTTCAAAACATTAAATAATATCTCAGACGTGGGTTCAGTACAAGTAAAAGCAATATTACTGGAAGGTCCAGTTGTCTTTAAAAAGGTATACGGGCCTTCACTTTTGTTAACCAAATATCATTTATCGCCAGGAATGCCCACCTCATTCAATTGCAGATTGTTAAAAAATCTATAGATTATTGCCTTATATAGTGTTATAGCCAGAGTATTTTTAAGTTATGACTTTCATTCGGTTAGTAGAATTTCTCATGGATGGAAAATACCGGTAGACAACGTATTTGGTAATAATGTATGATTAAAATGTATGAACTACAGGAAACCTATTCCAGTGCTTTGCCGAATCGATAGAGTCAGTCCCACTACAAGAGCTAATTTTCATTAGCAGAAAAGGTTGTATAGTGTAGTGGTTATCACTGTTGGTTCTGATCCAATAAACCCCGGTTCGAATCCGGGTACTACCTTCTCTTTTTTCAACTCAATTTTTGTTACGATAAGCTCCTCAAATGTGACAATATTGTCCGTATAGAATAGTGAAAAAGACATGCAACCACTCATTTTCTCTCCATAGAAACAGGAGGGTGTTCCTGGAAAGGAACCTTTATCCGAAAGACGTAGGCTCAAAGAGCAACCGAAGGGCAGACCCACACACCATACCCATCCAGGCCGATAATCATTCTGGTTATAGCTAGAACGTACATTGCAAATTACAAAACTTGACGTATAAAAAGACAAACTCGGGGCATCCGTTTACGCAGGTGACTGCATTCAGTCCTCACCTAGAACTATTAGTGACGCGTTCGGGAAGCCATAAACAGGTCGGAGTTTAACCTGGCAGATTATGGCCTCGACCGAAATCTCGGAAATATATACGGCCTTCATAATCCGTGGTTTATAACTTAGAAAGTGAGAATAAATACGTTAAAATCTGTAACCCGTTCCTGGTTCAGAATGAGGTTCGGAATGGCTGACTCCTGGGACACCTCTATTGAAGAAAAAATTTTGGTACATTGTGACATAAAATCCTTGACGATTGGATAATATCCACGGTTTGTTCTAATGAAAGCGTTTATATCTCTTCTAAACTGCCTCTTTTCACCGCGCCGTGGCAGATGAATGCTTTATCTATCGATTATACACCTTCGATTTCTCTAAAATTATCCTAAACTATTACAGAAGCACCGAACGTATCCTACTGACATCATTAATTGTCTCTGTTCTAGGACGGAAATGGAAGAATGTAAACATCAATCTAGGTCTCACGTTTTTGATCTTTAGCCACTGCATTTTGACTGTAAGCCCCTACCAATCTCCGAATCCGTGCTATTAATTTCCAATAACGACGGATCAAAGACCAAAAAGAATTGCCTCCAGACAGATTTGAACTGACGATCTCCTCATTACTAGTGAGGTGCCTTACCAACTTGGCCATAGAGGCAAGCTCTATTGCTGTCGGAGTTAGAGATTATATCGACGTGGCATGTTGAGAGGTTACGTTGATATGGCTGGCCAAGAGGTTGCGCTTACAGAGCAGGTCTCGAGAACCATATAAAGTGGTTTTCTGTTAATAGAAAACGTTTTTAGTTTAAACATATTTTTATTCTTGTGGAAGATTGTGGTAATATTTCGTGAATCAACTACTGGCTATAACCTCCTGACTGGAACTTCAACAGGCGCTAAGCTCCTGAAAGTTGGACGGGTTTGGTCTGTTACCAGAGAGGATAAGGATTGGACAGTCGGAGAAGGCGTCTATGTATTTCTCTCAAAAAGCAAACAAGGGTTGTATATAATATTACCGTTTAAGATTCGACAAGCTCAGACGTTTGTGTCGTCATCTCTACTTTGGCTATGAGGACCCTGCTACAAATAGACGAGATCTCTAAACTCCATATTTGCTTAGAGTTTTGGTCCTCCTCTCGCTGTTATTTAAGATTGGATTTAAAAGTCGCTAAAAATCAATTTCAAATGTCTTTTTAGTCCATAATTATTCTTTTCTATACTGCACCCACTTCTGGTTCAGGACTGCCCAGTAGTTCCGTCTCTGAGCACACCACTCAGGCTCAAAGTTACGGGTTTGATTTATATATCTGCTTTTTCTTCGTGGGCTCACTTACTAGGAATTATCCCCGGGAGAATACCACTACGTAGATTTGCCCAGAGTATCCGAGTCCACTGCATCATCCTTAGTCTGTAGATCATACGTTATTGGTAGGCAGGTATATTGTTTTCTGTCGCCGACAAGTATCAGACTCTCGCTCGATCTCAATCAGGATTAACACGGCCATACCATATTCTTTTTCGGTCAGAAGCTTCCCAATTTCAAGGTCTCTATTAACCAAATAAAACCAGACGGACCCCCCAGAAAAACACCCACACATAGCTACCCTGGGTCGTACTTCCGGCTCTTTTGCGCGGTCATTCGTCTCTGCCGCTGCGCGGTCTGCCCCGTGCATACTGGGCGATCGCTGTCACAGGACGCGATTTCGCGGCGAATCTATTTCTTTGCCTAAACCATAGCCTGATTACACGCTTACCATCCACATACATGCCTCCACAACGAACTAGGCGTCGTGTCGAGAGCGACATGCCACAGCGAACTTCGCGGCTTCAGAGCCACCGCCGCGTCGAGAGCGACGTGGTGGACTTTCTCGCGACCGCACCCGTGCCCCGTCTCGTCGGGGCAAGAGCCTTGATCCACGCGGTCCAGGCGATAAAGGCCACACCCCACGCCAGACACATTGGCACCGCCAAGCTTGTCTACACCAATGATGATATCGGGTCTGATTACTTTCCCCCAGACTCCGAAACCGAGGAAGAGGAAGAGGATGATCCCTCGGAATCAGATTTCTCGGACCTCGAATCCGAGGCTGAACCAGAACCCATGCAAAACTTGACCAAGCAGTGGGTTACGGAAGGCCTTAACTGCATCAAGAAACACAAAAAGTACAAGGTTTTGCTTCCCGGCCCGCTGTGTTTTGCTAAGCGCGAGTCACTAATTCCGTACTCCGTGTATTGTCCGACAGTGGGAAAAGAGCGGAAGGTGGTACGGTGGAAGGAGCTCGTGCGAAATGTGTGGGGCCTGGCCCCAGTAAAGTTCCGAAGTCCCGGCGACCACGGGGTCTGCGCCTGCGGCGAGGCCTGTGGCGAGGATTGCTTGAACCGCCTCCAGCAGGACGAGTGCGACGAGACGAGCTGTCGCCTCGGTGCGTACGACTGTGGCAATCGCGCGTTTCAGACGAAAAAGCTTCAGAGCAAGCGTGAGGAGCAGCGCTACGCGAAGGGCTTCGAGGTCGTGGCGATGGGCCAGAAGGGCAATGGGCTTCGGGCGACACGCGCGTTTGCTCCCGGCGAGTTGATCGTTGAGTACACGGGCGAGAAAATCAACCACGCAGAGGTGGAGCGTCGCCTCAACGAGTTCTACGCCGATGCGCACTTCTACTTTCTATCCTTGGAGAAAGGCTACGCGATCGACTCCGGACGAAAGGGCTCACTGGCCCGGTTTGCCAATCACTCGTGCGATCCCAACTCCAAGATGCAGCTCTGGTACGTTAAGGCTGAGCCGCGTGTCGGGCTATTCGCCGGGCGCAGCGGCATTCACCCGGGACAGGAAATCACTTATGACTACAACTTCGACTGGTTCCCCAATGCCACGCCTCAGGAATGCTACTGTGGGGCCCAGAAGTGTCGTGGGACAATAGGAAAGTCCACTGACCCCGTGGCAAGCCCCACCCCGTCTGAAACTGATGAAGATACAGAGTCCTCTAAGGAAGAGGAAGAAGAAGAGGAGGAAGAGGAAGAAGAGGAAGAGGTGGAGACGATGGAATCAGGTTACAAAAAGAAACATACAAATATCAAGACGTCGGTGAATGTCGCATATAAGGAATTTGAAGAGTCGTCACTAACCGTATTCTATCCTAATGGGGATGAGGTGCAGAAGCCGAAAAAAGCTCAGGCCAAGACAGCGGTGAAAACGGAAGTGCTTCCGGCGAAGGTGGCGAGCACCCTCGGGACTACGCTTATCGGGACCACTCCCACCGGGCGGAGGAGAAAGGAAGTGGAGGTAGAGGTTTACCCGGTGTATTTGCGGCGACTTTTAGAAAGTTTGAGCGGACCGGAAAGTGAGTCACCGCCGGCACTGAACGATGAGCCACGGCAAGCAAAAAGTCGCGGCAAGGCTAAAGGTTTCGACGGGTCACTACAGGCGAGGGGCCAAGCAAAATCCAACGAACCTGTTCCACCGGCCAAACTAAAGGTTGAAAGAAGGGACATTCCAGGAACGCGGGCGAAACGAGTGAGGCTCGGTGCTGCAGATAATCTCACAGCTCAGGCTGACAATGTCACCCCGGTGGACGACATGGAGAAGCTTCGTGTGACCAAGCCGCGTCTCTACAATCAGCTCATGTCGGACTTGAAGCTACCAGCGGCGCCACTTTCGCGCTCCCGCGTGTGGCGTGTGACTCCCCCGCCCAAGCGGCCAGTAAAGATGGAGATTATGTATTTAACCTCGTCCACAGAGTCACCGCTGCCTCTGGAGCCGTGCTCGGAGGCGCATTCCGACGGTGAACGATTCGTTCCGGTGAAGGCTCCGCCACCATCGGGATCGGTCGCGGTGCACTCTGTGGAAGCAGAGATGTTCCCATTGATGTAATTTCCAGAAAATTAATGGTATTAACGTACAGCACGATATGTCTGGTTTTAGATTAAAATCTTAAGGATAGGTCTAAGAGGGCGATACAACCGAACAATTTGTGGTAGCCTTTGGGAGAATTTTAAACGTATAGACATTTGCATAATTTTTCTTTTATCACCATATGACTGTAAATTAGGATGTTAATCTGCGGGGTATAGATCGAGTAGAAGCTTTATCCTTTTATTTGGATTATTCACGTTAATTCTGCTACCCTTCATAGACCTATACCTAATTTCACTAGCCAGTTTCGGCAAAAAGAAATCTATGTAGCCATCCACCTAATTTTCAGATTCTGCTCCGAACATTCCTCTAAACATATTTTATGTATGCGTTCAAGCGTATCCTAGTCCGCATTCCGGTGCGGGGTAGCGTGCACCCACCGACACCCGTGACGCCCTTTCAATTAATCTTTATCAGATTTCTTATCTATGACACTCTCCTCCTTCCATCTACTCATATCACCACCAATGGAAGACCCTCTCCCGCTGTTTCCAGCGCTCAGACGTGACTTGATCGGCAATCATGAAAACAAATTGCGCTTGATGAACTCTGCAGAGTTGGTTCTGCTCTTTACCGTATTGGGTGATCCCAAGCGTCATAGCCCCGCCACAATAGCCGCCGCTGCTGCCATCCTCAACACCCTCATCTCATACTACGTGTTCTTGCATAACGAAGCAGTGGACCGGTACCTGATTCTCCAGGATACGCTCACAAAGGACAGTTTGGCCCACTTCTGGCGTCAAATGATGGACAGCAATGTAGTGGGCATCTTGCTCCATATCAGCTTTATCCATACGAACCTCATTGAAACAAATTTTGCGTCCATTTTGACGCTCTTGCGGTTTAAACGAACGGCAGTACTTGATATCCCCACCCGACTGACCCAGTCCCTTCTCCAAATCATCCACACCACCCTTACCCCAGTTGCTGACCAGATTGATACCCCCCACCGGTCCCGGTCCCCTACTTCCCTTATCCTCAATACCCTTAGCCTAACAACCTACCTTTCTAACAACAACCTCGACCAGCAGCTGGTGCTTTTCCCGACACTCCTACGCGCGCTCTGCGCCGAGACGCGCCCCATCTTTGCGGTGCTCCGCGCGCAGTACAGCACCGCCTACTACAACACGTTTCTCACGTCGCACAACACACCGGAGTACTTACACACACCGCAGAACAGCTCGCTCCTCTGCCGGTTGCTCGCGGCTGCTGCACACCTTCTTGCAGGCGCTCCGGCACTCGCGCGCCACGCCGTTGCAGCGCGTCTCCACGCGGTGCCGCGGCCGCTCTTGTTTGTTGTCTTCTCGTTGATCCGCCACCGCGACATGGAGCTCCGGCTCGTAGCTAGTCACTTTGTTATTGTCTACACCAACAACTTGGACCAGGCCGAGTCCCCTGAGGTGGCGGTAACTCACGAGAAGTTGGTGCCGGTGTTGACTGATGCCATCGACAGCTACTACGCGGGGCCACGTCGCACGGAACTCACGCCGCTTGGCTTGCTCAACAGTCTCGCGCGGCTGGAGGATGCGTATACGCTCACGCTGTCAAAGTATGGGCTCATCTCTAAGCTTGAGTGGATCATCACCGCATGCTACGCGGTGGTGGAGGGCTCGACAAAGACACCTGCATACAGCAAGGGTGACGCGTTCCGTCACCTTAGTGACTGCTTCCAGCTCCTCGCAACGCTCTGTACGACGAACGAGGAACACCGCATGGAAACGGTCAAGATCGCGGGCCCCGACGGTGCCGTCTCGAACCAAAAAGACTTGAAGCATATTCTTAAGCGAATTCTCCGGCTTCACTTGGAGAACTTGCGGGCAGTCCAGGCGGGCAAATGGGGCGATTCGGTGCACTCCGACACTCTTCTTGCGACATGCGAGCTTACGCTTCACGCCGTGGGGTTGCTCAAGGCGCTCTCACGGTCGGTGTCGTTGCTCCGCACGTTTTTTGTGGACTTGGACGTGTGCGGGATAGTTGTGGAGGTGCTTAAGATGGATCTTCAAACGAAGTTGGCCACCGTGCGTAATGAGCTGCTTATTTCCGAGGGGAAGCTGTTCGCAGAGCGTGGTCAGGCATCCGAGGGCTTCATAGACGGGGAGAAAACTTGCAAAGCTGAAAATGGCACCATAGAGACTGAGAGTATCACCACTGGTTTCCCCTGGGGTCAGGACCACCCAGATGGCTTCTCTTCCGTTCCATTCCACATTCTCGAACGCAACAAGGAAGCTGCGTTGCTCATCAAGAATGATGCGCTCATCAAATCAGTGCTTCTCGGGTTTGTGGCAAACTCCGTATTGGACTACTCGTCTATCCGAGTTACGCTCCTCAGCCTTGATATCTTCAACCTCCTCAACGAGTTTGTCAAGAAAGCCATAGCAGTGTCAGAATCTGCATGCACGCGCTACGGAATGGCGGAGGATGAGTTTCGCGGTTTAAACGAGGTGTACAAATTGAACTCGTTGTCTGCCATCGGCAATATCCTCTATAATGAAAACTCCACAAACTCCATCAACACATCGCCCATGGGCTCTGCTGGCAGGCGGCCGTCTATCGGCTCCGTCAGCATCAACAGCCGCGCGCACCGGGACACTATCGCGAATAAGGTGAATCTTCATATGATTTTTAAGCTCTGTGACCAGCCGCGGAGCCTCCAGGTGCAAGAGCAGGCGTTTAATATTCTTCGGAATCTCTCGAGTAATTCACCAGTGTTTGCGGCTAGGATTGTCCAGTCATACAGGGCGTATCCCCAAGGGAAAGGGACTTTCTTGGAGTTTTGCACGAGAAAGATGCAAGAGCATCTTGGGGAGTCACAGGCACAACCCCTGGCAGCCGACCCCGTTCATTCGCGCATAATCGTGGCTATCACCTTCCTCATGGTCCACTTCGCAGCGTCCAGTGACCAAATGCAGAACAGCATTGTGCAGTACGAGCCGCTCATGCGGGCCCTCCGTGACATTCTCTCAGCCGGCGGTGCTGAAGCGAAGCTCGCAGTCGTATGGGTTGTCATAAACCTCACCTGGAACGAGAACCCCACCATCAGCAATCGCTCGCCGTCTGTGGGTAACGTGTTGCAGGATGACGACGAGATGGACGGGAAGGATGAGGATTGCTACACGTCCGAGGAGGGCGGCGATGACGGGTTTGCGCCGCAATTTCTGCGCCCGTTGAACTCGCGCACGTTGCGTGCGCGCTGTCTGAAGTTGGTTCTGTATGGTTTCGATGCGGGAATTGATGCGTTGGCCAGCGGGTTCGTTTCGCGTAACGGTGGGGTCTCCATTGATCTACATGGGCGCAGCAAGGTTGCGTTGGCGCAGCTTAAGCTGGGTCTCGGTCCAGAAAGGGGGTTGAGATAGCGCAAAGCCGGGGCTCGGAATATACATTTTTATCGATACTACCAAACATATTTCTGCGGATGGAGGACGAAGGAGAAATTACTTTATATAGGTTACATTCTAGAGCCCCTGAGAGTTGTGATTGAAGATTCCATGGGTATAGTTCACTTCAGTCTCCTCAAAACGGCAATTATGCGTTAGCTGTTGTTGTTGTTGTTTTACGTAGGATACGCTTCGCGTTACCTCTAAAGCTTCATTCAAACCCCTGTTGCATCATACCTTAATCATATCCTGGTTTAAGGTTAAATCTTAGAGTTGGCTCTCAGACCATCCGCGAGCCACATGCACGGGTCCTGCATAATGCAGTCTGCAACCATGTCGCATAGTCACCACGTGACCCACAATTCCCTACCATAAATGCGATTTCACGTGATTCGCGCTCATTTGTGCATACACACTGCAGCGCCGTCGCAGCTTTTCTCCCAAGATGACAAATAATTTTGCCATCTCAGACCAGGAGAGATATATCTACGATGCCCAATCCAGCTTACGCCTCAAGGTTATCGGGATTTTTATTTCTCATTTTTACATTATTTCTAGCTACCACCATGACCTCTAGTAAGCCAGCTCCTACTCCAGCCGGTTCTGGGGAAGCGGCTCCAAGCGTTGTCGTCTCGCCAGAGCAATTGGCCCACTGGAACACCGTTCTTGCCGACCTCACTCCACAAGAAGTGTTGAAATGGGCCATGATAACCTTCCCTAACCTATACCAAACTACCGCGTTCGGGTTGACGGGGCTTGCCACGGTCGACATGGTGTCCAAATTAAAGAAAAGCCCGGCCGATACTAAGCATCCGATCGACTTGATCTTCATTGACACATTGCACCACTTCCCCCAGACCTTAGACTTGGTAGACAAGCTCTGCGAAAAGTACGGGCTCTCCACCGAGGCGGATTTACACATCTACAAGCCGGCCCGAGTGAACACAGAGTTAGAGTTTGCCGAACAGCACGGCGACTCGTTATGGGAAACCAACGACACCTTCTACGACTTCTTGGTTAAGGTCGAGCCATCCCAGAGAGCCTATGCGGAGTTGAACGTCTCTGCGGTGTTGACCGGCAGGAGAAAGTCCCAGGGTGGTGCCCGTGGGGCGTTGCCCGTTGTGGAGCTCGAGGAAATTAGCGGGATTATCAAGATTAATCCGTTGCACAACTGGACCTTTGGCGAGGTGAAACAGTACGTTACCGAGAACCAGGTCCCTTACAATGAGTTGTTGGACTTGGGCTACAGATCAGTCGGCGACTACCACTCCACCGAACCGGTGAGAGAGGGCGAAGACGAGCGTGCAGGCAGGTGGAAGGGTAAGAGTAAGACCGAGTGTGGTATTCACGAGGCCAGCAAGTTTTCCCAGTTTTTGAAGGAGCAAGCAGAGGGTAAGGCTCAGCAACAAGCTGCATAGGCTGTTGCGTATTTATTTCTGGGGAACTGCTCCCCACCTTAGTTAATATATTTACCAATATGCAATTATGATGTAAGATGGATCTAGGAGATTTGTTGTTGGATAGTTACGGCGCACAGTCGATCCGAGAATAAAAGCGTTTTGTTTTCGCTCAATCAGAGTTAATTCGTTTAAGACCTGATATTATGACTCGGATTTACCGCAAGTGTGGTTATGTCAAACTCCTTGATAGTATTAAGACTTGTGGTTCATCTGGGTGCGCAGGCCATATTTACCTTGGCGTTGTAGCATATAAGCTTGCGGTGGAACCGTTATCGGTACTATGGCCTCCCGGAACGGCTTTCATCTATATTATACGCTTAATATAATTCAATGATATTAGTTAAAAGATTAGCGCACGTAGTACGTAAAGATGGAGATAAAGAGAAGGCAAGAAAAAGAAGAAAACCGATACATGACTTTGGATGGAAAAAATAAAAGCGTAGAGGTGGGGAGGAGAGAGAAAGCGAAAATAGCCAGAGAACACGCAATAAGGCAACGCGGGCTAAGCTATACGCGTCGACCTGTTTCATGCAAGGTGCCGTTTTCACCAGCAATCTTCCCAGTCCCAGAGAAACTGAAAGTGTAGAGTACCACGAGAGTGAGTTTCGGGGCTCGAATGATATGGTTAACATGATTAAGGGAGGTTCAGCGTGCTTACAAAATAGTGCACTTCTTCTTCTTCTTGGTGGACTTGTTGGAAGAGGCCGGCTTCAACGAGGCACGGGTAGCGGTGTTAAACACCTCAACAACACCCTGCTTGGTTCTAGCAGAACATTCCAAGTAGTGCATGGCCCCGATCTGCTCGGCGACCGCCTGGCCTTCGGAGGAGGCAACCGGGGAGGCGCCTAACTGTCTCAATCTCTCGTTCGTAGCTGGGTCTTGTCTCAAGTCGGCCTTGCAACCAACCAAGATGATAGGAACACCCTGACAGAAGTGCTGGACTTCGGAGATCCACTTCTCCTTAACGTTCTCCAAGGAGTCTGGGAGGTCGATCGAGAAACAGATCAAGATGACGTTGGAGTCTGGGTAGGATAACGGACGCAATCTATCGTAGTCTTCCTGGCCGGCAGTATCCCACAACGCCAACTCGACTCTTCTGCCATCAACTTCAACGGTGGAAACGTAGTTTTCGAAAACGGTAGGGACATAGACTTCTGGGAAGGTACCCTTGGAGAACACAATCAACAAACAAGTCTTACCACAAGCACCGTCACCGACGATAACAAGCTTTCTGCGGATATCTGCTGGAGGAGCCATTTTAGTTATAGATCTATACGGTGGCGTTAGTATGGGGTTTAGAAGGCGCCTGATATATGTATGGTTTGCGCGTGCGGGATCAGTGGTCAAACGAGGAGCGAATTCTGGGAGGCTGTGGGTGTGTGCGACACACGCGCGAAAAAATCTGCTGCGTAGCTATTTTTTTTCTTTTTCCAGTCTTGCCTGTTTAGGTCGCCCGAGCGTATACACGTCGCGAAAAACGCAGTGTCAAATTACCAGACTAAGAAGAGAAGCCTGCCAGGTCATGAGCCGTCGGGCTTCTCGGTCGAGTCTGCTGTTGATTAAAAACAATGGTGCGGTTTGTTGAAATAGTCTGCTAGCTTGATGGGCAACTGCCAGTCGAGTGACAGAGAAGCCCGCACGGTGTTCCCCCGACTGATTTGGTCAGATCGGTCAGTTACCGTACGTCACGCCCATAATTCCATATATCAAAAGTTCAATCAAGGTCGGCACGTACTTTGTGTTAAAAGAGGGAAGGGTGTAACAGAACGACTGTGTGTATAAATAACACGAGATGAAAACGACGTTTTTAAACAGACGCTAGGGACGAGATTAATCTTGCTAACGAATCGGTGATAAACTTTTTCGTGAATATATGCGTGTTCGGTGCGTGCACGTAATGCTGTGTGCCGGAAATGCTATTTTTAGGCACGTGCCCTCGATAAGGGATTAGCCCTCACCGTGCACAAGCCACAAGTTCGACAGTCTCCTTGCTACTCGGAACACTCTGATGCCTACCTACTAGCACCACTGTGTCTTGTTTATACTTTTGCTTACGCTCGATAGAGACGATTGAAACGCGTGTGTCGCATAGCCACTTCCCGGGCTCCTAATCTATCCGGCACAATGGTCTGCCTCGAAACACCCTTTACCCGGGCTGGAGGTGGAGTCTTAATTTGTCATGGGGGGTAATATCACATAAAAACTCGGTTGGTTTATTCGCTATTTCATATTTATTTTTTTCCTTTGTTGTATTATCTACCTATATATATATATTTATCTTCCTAGATATTTCCATCTTCCTAACTTTCTATCTTCCTAGATTTCTATCTTCCTAGCTTTCTGGGGTGAATGCTTGCTTCATAGCTCCACTGAAACTAGGCGCATGAAGATGCTGAAACGTCACACGCGTCAGAGCCTGGCATAGACCAGACCTGTTACACCCCTGGGTCCAGTGGATTGAAATCCCAATCATAGCCAAAATACCGTTTTAGATGTCATCGAAGAGATAGCCGTTATTGTGATGTAGTTTCCGGTAAGCCTTGTCGGGAGATTGGTTATAGTATGGCCTCCGCTCCGAGCACGTTTTCATACCATGCGTAGCCATGTCTGTCCAGAATTCCTAGATCATGTATCTACCGGTTTTTGAGCTACACCATTCATCTTAGCTTTCGCGCCATGTGTAGATCCTAGTCACCGTTATAACCAGAGACTCCGGAACCAGGATGAGGCTACACTGCTACCTTAATCGGTTCAACTCCGATAGATTATCCACACCTGCCAGTGTTTCGCCGTTAACTAATGCGCTTGGACCGTGGCCAACTCGTATCGTTTTCAGTAGCCACTACAGTACGGATATGGCGTGAGATTCACGGCGGAACTATCTATATATGATACAAAGTGAAGGGTTTGGGTCCTAAAAACAAAAAAAGGCAGAACGGCCGCAAGACACATGATACGAACGAAACTTGTATCTTAAACATGTGGTCACCACGGAGCGATATGTTGGTCGTGATCTTTTTATCTGGTTCAGGTCAACTGGAAGCCCACTGAAACGTGCTTGAACATAGCTTAGAGCTGGATACGGGACTGTCTCTTGATGAAGAAGATTTGCAAACCGCAGAAAACAAAGAATAACAAGTAGATGAAGGCAGCACCCCAGACAGTAGCAGCAACCCTGTTGTGTTAGTATCAGAAAAGTTCCCATGGACAAACTAGTGAAAGTACTTACTCGGCCCCATTTTCAGGGTCGCTGACAGACCCCATCATAGACTCATGGTTGATCTTGAACAACCATCCGATGAAACTCAAAATAACAATCCCAAAAGCGGACAATCCCGTACAGAAATAAGCCTTACCCGGCTAGATGGCAAAGTTAGTAACATGGTCGATATACGTCCCGAATGGGTACGCACGACGGAGGAATCCACCCGAGGCTCGTCTCCACCAAAAGCATTATACTTACCGCAACAATTGGTTTCATCTTAATTGAATGTATGTGTGTGTAGGTGTATTGTAACTACTGGTGTAGAGCTACCCTTTTGTGATATGGGACCCCCTCTGGCTGTTGGCTTTTCTATGTAGATAAAGGAAAGCACGTGCGGGTAACAATCGGGAGGTGGAAATGTATGCGAGCCTTGCTTCGAATTTCCGTGCACTAGGCCACTTCAGCAGTTCAAAATTCCTATAATCAGATGTTTTATTAAATTTATGAAAGCTAAAGAAGTGTGTCGAACTTGCAGTATTGTGTTTAAAGCTCGGGTGTTGTATGCCATACCAGTATTTCCTCTATCGCATATTTACGCTAATTCGCCCTGATGCGTGACAGGCTGAGCCGCTAAGCTGGTTAATAGATTATGCCTCTACCATATAAGTCTTTATCAGCATATATCAATTACACAGTTTGATACCTTTTATACCTAAAGGACGGGACGCTTTCCGTGTTTGCACGCCCCCTGGAAATTTTCTTCTCTCTACTTAGCGCACCAAAAGTCGAAAACCGCGGCGTTAATGAGTGTGAATAACATTCATATAGTCGGTGGTGGATCTATTGGTTTGCACTAACATGGAGCATGTAGGAAATCTGTGTAGTGATTGCCTGGCTGTATCAGGCTCTGTTGTAGCACCCCCCCCCCCCCCCCGTAAAAGTTTTTGGTAAAGGTTATCAGGTGCTCACCGGTTTATTTTAAGGTCACAATCGTACCTTCAGTCCTCAAACGGCATTACTGGTTACTCATGGACCCTCTTTTTCTGTCTGGGCCAGTCTGGTTTCGGGACGAGAGCGTCTTTCTTTGCTCACGTACCAACATCTTCTTTCGCGCCTGAAGCACTCGCCAAACATCATGGTATGACACTACCAAGTCCATTACTGAGTCGAAACCCTTGGCCCAAGTGGTGCTTTCCCCGTATTGGCTGTTCTCTCGCATGGCTTGGAGCGCCCTTGTGGGGTGATTCTGTGCGTATTCCTTTGGTATCAGGACAGCAGCGTCAATCCGGGGAGGAACAAAGTACGAGGAGTACGGATACTGCGCCGCGTCAAGGTCTGTAAAAGCGGCATCAGGCTTCCATTCCAGGTTTGCAGGCGCTGTGGTTAGCACTGGGGCTTTGAATTCTAGTTCCTGGAGGATTTTAACCTCCGTGGGCAGTGCTAGTTCAGAGGTACGGTGGATGCTTTCCGGGGTCAGAGATTCCTCGGGGACTGTGTGAGTCCTCAGAAACGTGTTGTCGTCGCCCTTATCTATGTCTGAGCTATCCCCATCGTGGTTGATGGATTCCGAGCTGAGGGAGTGGGAACTGTGGTCAGGCGTCACTGGGGAAGGAGCGCCTCTCTTGCGAGAACTCCGGTATGATAAAGTCACAGATCTGGTCTTCACGATAGAAGGTTTGTATTGTAGCTTGACAATGTACTGGGGCTGCGGATGTGGCATTGTGAAAGGAGAGCTTTTTTTGTAAAGGGAGAATGCAGACAAGGGAATATTTTAGATAATATTGTAGCGTTTGGTAGGTCACACGGAATGGGTGTTTAGAATCATAAGCCTATTATAAATGAGACCTAAGGGTTTTCAGGTATAGTTGAAGGAGACTTTTTACCTGTCAGGTCTGCGACCAAACGCACCACCACCGTGCAGATTTCAGAGCGAAAATGCATGTCCTTGGCTCGGGCATGTACCCGAAAATCGCTCGTGTTTAGTGCGCGTTGCATTTGCCGGGTACACCGTCTACCACGCAACATAATTACCGGTATTTACAGTGTTTGCGCATAGTCGGTTGTAACAAGAAAGTAGCATACGTGAGTACAAGTAGAACGGGGCGGACTGGATCGGGAGATTTCGTAATGAGGTTTTTGTTTGGGGAACAGAGCTGTTTCCACCCTGAAGGACGCTAACGTTGCTAAGAGCTGCAAGGCAAATCCAAGCTTTACAAAAGGTATCGTACTAGTTGATGAAATCGGAGATCTGGTGTTACTATAAATTTAGCATATCGGCAGAAGAATATCAGAGCTACAAGCCACTTGGTACATGCATTTTGCGATCCGCCACGCTGGATACAAATATCAACTTTGAATCCGGCGAACTTGTTTCGAGCGAAATGAAGCCAAAACACCCCATAGCAAAGTATCACTTTGGCCTATAGAAAACAGGCCGGTCTGACCCACCAATATCTGCAGCCAAAACCGAAGGTTCCATATGTTTCATTATTCATTATCGTGTCAGGGTCATGAACTGTCGTTTAGTAGTTCACCTCAGAGCGTCTTTATCGTTCCGTTTCCGGGAGGGCTGTTGTGTTGATGATTTCATCCACCACCTCGTCCAATTCCGGAAACTCCTGGGCAATCTTAGCCCCTAAAACCTTCTTAAGCTTATCCATGCCCTTAACCTTGGCAGACAAGTAGCCACCGAGCTTGGAAGTGCTCTCGATAAACTCCCTGGTGTACACGTCCGGGTTGCGACCGTCCTCGATATACTGCAAAACGTCCAACGGAATAGGCACGTCTTTCAAGTTTTCCGAGGAATACGCCGCTAACTTTGCTAAGTCCTCCAACGTCTGGTTAAGACGGATCGAGGCCCCGTTGCGGGCCTGCTCGGTGCCTTGGAAGTCGTGTACCATAACCCCGAGCTCCATAAACGCCTCAATCAAGTGGCTCATCTGGTTCTTGGTTGCCACCAACACCTCGCTCGATACATCCATCGACGTAGTTGTCATTGCAATGGGGTTTAGTGGAGATGGACAGGATGAAGCAGGAAGAATACCACAAGATGTAGTTGACCGCCATGTCATTCAGTGCGTGCTCAAAACCGCCTATAAGTATCACATGGCAGGGGTCTTAGCCACAGATGCCAGCAATTCGCGCCACTCAGGATAGGGGGCAAAACGCGCCAACTTAATGCACGTTCCATAAACCTGGGGTTGAGCTTTGACTTAATACTGCATTCACATTTGCTGCATTACTTTTACAACATACAAGCCCTCTTACCTTAACGGCCCTATCATGCCCTCGTTTCTGCTGGTTAAGCCCCCACTCCGTGCCGGATACGGCTCATCACACTTCGAGCCGCATTAAGAAGAAAAAAAAAGTTTCACCATCACCACCCCACTTTCAAGCATTACACAATGGCGAAGAGCAAGAAAAAGAGCAACCAGTTGACGGCGGCGCTTGAGTCCCGCGTGGCTCCGTGCCTCGAATTCAACTTTGACGACCCCATTTTCGCAGTGGCTGCCCACCCAACCAGTCCGCTCATAGCGACAGGGTTGGGGACCGGGCATGTCTACATGCACAAGTATAACGGGGAGCGGTTGGAGGAACGTGCACAGGCGAAGAAGGAGTCGTACGAGCTCTCCGATAAGGGCAGGACTAGCGAAAAAAAGACTGTTAGCAAGTCCATCTACCAGAGTAAGAAGAAGTGGTGGGGCGTGTACGACGCGCAAAACATGGATGAAGGCGACGAGGACTTTAGCATGGCATGGAAGACACGCCGCCACAAAGGCAGTTGCCGCTCGGTAGTGTTTGACTCGCGCACCGGCGAAGACGTCTACACCATTGGGACCGACAAGATTATCAAGATGGCCAGTTCCGCCACCGGTAAGGTGATCAACAAGATCCCAACCAACCTCTCGGTCGATGGCGACCAAGTAAACAAGCTCCTCCATTCCGCCACCGAGCACAACTTCTTGGTGGCCGGGACTGAGGCCGGGGACGTGCATGTCTATGACTCCAGAACGTTGGGCGACAAGTTTACCGTCAAGAACGTGCACGAGGACGCGGTCAACTATATGGCACAGATGTCTGCAACGTCGTCGTACCACTTCCTCTCCGTTGGGTCCACGACGCTTGTGCACTTTGACATCAGAAAGGGAGTCATCACCACCTCCGACGAGCAGGACGATGAGATCATGTCGATGTGTTTCCCTGACGTCACCGATAACAATACGGTTGCGGCTGGAATGGGTGAGGGAGTGGTCACGATGTGGAAGAAGGACAAAAACAACTTCCGCGACCAGTTGACACGGGTGCGTGTGTCCAGGGACAATTCTATCGACTGTATGATTTCCACCATGGACAACGAGGATGAGGGGGATGCTATCTGGGCCGGCTGCTCCGACGGGATCTTGCACAAGGTGGATGTCAGACGTGGGAAGTTGACGGAGTGCAGGGTCCACGGGCTCGACGACGAGATTTTGGCCGTTGACCTCGATCACGACTACAGATTAATCTCTGCCGGGATGGAAAACATCAAAATCTGGTCCAACACCAGCGTTCAGTCTGACAATGTTGAAGGCAGTGACGCGGAGGACAGTGATGTTAATGGTAGTGGTGTGGATGGTAGTGATGTGGATGGCAACGACGCAGCGAACAGCGATGGCTGGAGCGATATTGATAGTGACGCTGGAGATAACTCTGGTGGAAGTGGAAAAGATGGAAGTGACTCCGAAAGCTTGAACCCATCAGACTTTGGTTCCGACGAGCCGTCCGAGGACGAGTCCGAACCCTCTGTGTTTCAGCGCAAGAGAAGAATCACGGAGGCTTTTGTGGCTAAGCTGACCAAGAAGAAGTTGATCGACTTGAACAAGGGGGTACCGAAGCAACCCGTGGTGGAGGACGAGGACCAGGTGGCTGTACTCACCAAGAAGCAGAAGAAGAAGGCACAGTTGTCCAGCAAGCAGTTGAAGAACATGCAGGACCATGAGCACGGAATCAGAAAGTTTGCTGATCTTTAGGTGCCGTGTTAAGGCTTTGGTTTCAGCGTTGGGGAATCTCAAGCATTGGGTTCTACGATGAGTGCAGTATCCTGGTCCTTCAGAAATCTGAAACACTTTTGGGTATCATAATTGTCTGGATTACGTTAACTAAGCAGAAGGAATATGCACGGAGCGTCGGAGAAGTGTGAATAATGATCTAAATATAAGAGTTTCCAAGTTTAGCTCGAGGTCATTTAACGTATAGTAAGAATTGCCGCTGAAATAAATTCGTCATACGGGTGGAATAGTTGAGTGCGCTATAGAGGAATTGGTGAAAGATAAATGTTCAGCACACCGAGATCAGATTGTTACTGAAACGTCAGTCCCGGTTTCAACCAACCTTCACTGTCGATGAAGAATTCGACAGAGTTGACACAAAAAACAGGGTTGTTTGCAAAATATCAACTTTTTATATAGATATAAGAGTGGTGGAGAATATGTCAGCTAACTTTGTAAGTGGTTTTTATAGTGTGCATGCATGCCAGGGCTATCAAACTGTGACTTCCGATCAAGGCTGTCGGGGTAGCTCAGGCATAGTCTGAGTCAGGCCGACTCCTTCATATCAGTTACATTCCCCTCATTTACGGCACAACCATACAAATAGATAATTCATGTGCTCTACACACAACTTCTCCGGGTGATGGCTCGGACGTATGCAACATGCATCTGTCGGAAATCAGCGACGCGTCCCAATCTTAATCCCACACCCGCATGCATCGAGATATCTCCGAGCTGAAAGGTCCGCCCACAAGTGTGCGCTTGCAGTATAATATCACAAGCTATAGAATACAAACTGCTTTCCCATTAATAAACCATAACTGGTATGCGGAGCTTAGCATGGACCAGGCTTAGTGCTGCCCTTCCATTCCTTCCCAATATGCATCTTACCGTTGGGTGCCGCTTCGCTTCCACTTCGGGGCCCCATGGGAGTGAAAGGAGACTCCCCACTGTCTCTTCACCGGCTCTCTCTGACTGCTCTCTCACGATCACCGACCCCTTTGTCATCTACCAAAACTACGTGGCTCGCGGGATCTTGAAGCCAGACGAGGCCCAAATGCGGGCAGCCAAGGAGTTCCAGAACTTGTACTACCGTGTCAAGGACTACGAGCCGTTGGAGGCCACTCAGGTGCGGTTCAACTTGTTGTTGCGAAAGTTGGAGACCAAGTATGAGATGAACCGAACCACCAATAACTCGAGACTCTTGGAGCTTCTCAGCTTCAATTCCGCTAGCAAGAGGGAACGGGATAACCGAGCCATGATCAAAGTCTTGACGGACGAAGAGGAGTTGAAAAACTTCCCGTCTCCTCATGGACTCTTGGTGAATGGAGATGTGGGCTGCGGTAAATCCATGTTGATGGACATTTTTGCCCACTCGTTGCCACACGACTCCAAGTGTCGCTGGCACTACAGCAACTTTATGCTTTGGGTGTACGGGGAGATACACCAGATCCAAATGAGACGGAAGTCCTACCCCAGCCAGAGACTCTCGATGGCAAATGAGTTTATTCTCTTTGAGATTGCCCAGAAAATGATCCAGCGCAACACGGTTCTTCTCTTGGATGAGTTCATGTTACCAGATCTCGCGGCGGCAAATATTGTGAAGATTTTGTTCACCTTCTTCTTTAAGCTCGGTGGTGTTTTGGTTGCCACGTCTAACAAATTGCCGGACGACTTGTATTCCAACAAGTTCAAAAAGTACCAGTTCCAGGCGTTTTTGTCGGTTCTCCAGGCCCGTTGTCACGCTATCGACATGAACTCTGCCAACGATTACCGTGTTATCTTGTCCTCCGAATCATCCAACCGAGACTTTCCCCCATACATGGTGCACAAGACGGATCCCAACCATCGCAAAGCCTGGGTGGCGTTACTAGCTGAGGTGGACACATTGAATGAACCAGTTTCCTCGACACTAGCCGTGTACGGTCGTGAAATCGCCATCCCATGGGAAAAGGACGGAGTGGTGAGATTTGAGTTTGACTATATTTGCAAGGGGCTGTATGGCTCCAGCGACTACATCTCCTTGGCGTCACGATACCACACGTTCATCATTGATAACGTTCCGGTGATGACAAACAGCATGAAGTACGAGGCTCGCCGGTTCATCACCTTGTTGGATGCAATCTATGAGGCCAAGTGTAAGCTCCTCTTGCAAACAGATGTCCCCATTGACAGGCTATTCTTCCCTGAATCGGAGGTCGGAGCTGATACAGCCGACGGGATTTCATACGTTTCAATCACGCAGGCGGAATCCAATATTGTGCAGCTACAGAACGAAGAGATGTTCTCTAAAACCTTCATGGAACCATACAGACCCCACACCGTTATGTACGACAATAACAGCGAATACAACGAACCGGTACGTAAGGAAGGGCAGAAAGAGGTGGATTTCAAAGACATCAAAGCGTTCACGGGAGACGACGAAAAGTTTGCCTTCAAGCGAGCAGTTTCGAGGATTAAGGAGATGACGGGGTCAGAAGCATGGCGGAACGCCGATAAATGGGTACCGTTGGACATATCCATGCGCCCGTGGGAACACCAGAACAAGGTGTATGGAAAGCGGAGTGTGAAACAGCCCACGGAGGTCCCCGACGCTATGGAGATTTCTGATATCCGTATTTAGTCCATGGTGAAAGGGCGGCAGGTTGAAAAATAATTGCTAGGAAGTGGATCAGGGGATACCATCAATAATATACAGCGGTAGGCCGATGCTCCATCTCCGCTTCCTGCTGTCTTCATACACGACCTGATACTTCATATGTTTAATATATACACGACGTCTACCAGCTTAGGCGGTCCACAACCGCTGGACCAATTCAAACAACCCATTGTTCTCGGTCTCGAGGAGGTAGATACCATACATCCCCGTAAGGGTGCCCATGGTCAAGACCCTACGGGCAATTCGGTGCCAGACACCGTAGACTCTCTCCGGGATGTAATCAATGATACAGCTGACAAAACCAGTGTGGCAGTGGAAAATTAAAAGAGTGCTCAAGGCGGCATCGACAGCGGAGTACTCAACCCCAGCAACAAACGGCACCATGAAAAGTGGCACCATACCCATGCTGATCAATCTCTCATAGCCCCAGTGGTAGGCACCATGGTACCAGTCGGCAGGAGGCGAGCGGTAGGCCTCGTTGACTGTGTCCACGATGTATCCAGCCGGCTGCTCGGTGAGCTTATACTTGTTGAAGTCTGGCTTCAATCTAGCCAAAAAAGAGGCGTTACGCACGGCCACAAATGTGTTAGTTTGGCGGGAGATTGGGCCCAAGAACTGGCGACGGGCTAAAGAGAACATAACAAGGGTGTGTTTCGTATACACCCGACCTGGTCTTTTGCTCCAGCCAGCTTTGATATGTCACGGTGCATATGCTCCACAAAATTTTTCTGCGGCGTGCGGATACCGCTTGTATGCGGCGGTAAGGATTTGTGGCCTGAGCATTTTTCGTGCATTTACCGCACAGCCTGACGTCAGCGGCTCTTGGCGCCTGTGTCCACTGGCTGGGCTATCCTTGCGGACGTGTTTCATATAAAAAGATGGTTAGCCTTACTTTGTGTTCTTCTTTATGTATCCATAATCATGTCTGACCTTCAATTCAAAGCCAAAGCTTTTTTAACCGATATGGACAGGGTAAGTAGCTTTCTTTTTTGCTTGCTCCCACGGAGTACTAACTGCATAGGCCTTTGAAGGTAGCCACATCTTCAGGCAGTTCGAGGACAATACCGGGTTGCCAAAGTCGTACGGCGTGCTCGGGGGTGCGGGTGTCTATTTGTTTATCATCTTCCTCAACGTTGGTGGCATTGGACAATTGCTCTCCAACATTGCCGGTTTCGTCATTCCGTGCTACTACTCCTTGCTTGCCTTGGAGACCAGAACCACCGCTGACGATACCCAGTTATTGACCTACTGGGTTGTGTTTGCGTTCTTGAATGTCATCGAGTTCTGGTCCAAGGCAATCTTGTACTGGATTCCGTTCTACTGGTTGTTCAAGACCATTGCTTTGCTCTACCTTGCGTTGCCACAATTCGGCGGTGCCACCCCAGTCTACAACACATTTATCAAGCCATTCTCTGAGGCGTACATCATCCCAAGAAAGAGTGTCGCTAGTAACTTGGCTAATACCGTGGAAGAGGTTGCCGAGGGTGTTTCCTCCGCTGTGGAGCACTAAAGGTTTGATCTAGCGAAATTTCTTTTATGCTGTCATTCTCAGCCTCAATTGAGATATTATCTTAAGTCGTGTAGGACATGTAAGATGGGATTTAAGACTTATGTGTAAATTCACTTCAGCAAGTGTTGAGGTTGATATTACATCACTTTTTTTTTTTTTCTTTTCCGGGTTAATCCTCGTTTTCATAGCTTAGGCCCCGTTTTATAAACCCGGGATTGCAAGTTCGATTTAAGGGTGTGAAGAGTTCAGTGCGTGAAACAAGGTGTCAAAAGGCACGGCCGATAGTCTCACTTATGTCTGATTACGATTAAGCACTTTCACAAATGATCCTTTATCCTCCATCTACAAATAATCCAAATGGTTTAAATTGCAACATGTATCCTACAACGTTCTGCCAAACCCACCAAAGTCAAACTGCTCCTCGATGGCCTGACCATCCACGGAATAGCCCAACTTGATTCTCAATTTCAACTTACCGCCCTCCTTGCCATTGACCTTCATGGTCTGTTTGGCAGTCCCACCAGCTTGGATCAGCGGCGAGCTGATGTTGCTCAATTGCAACTTCTGGGACTTTGGCACCGCAATAAGCATCGAAATGTCTGAAACAGTAACTGCCAGCACGTTGCTGATCAAAGTATCGATCAGAGCAGTGCCCTCGCCGAGCTGCTGCACGTTAAAATACAATTTGACGTGGGAATTGCTGTGTGCAAGCAAGGCCGACGACGGAACCTGCAGCTGGGAAGGCTTTGACTGGGACGCTGAAGGAGCGGCAAACAAGTCCATGATCTCGTTTTTAGCAGATGGGGCGGGGGTGGAGCCGAAAATGTCCGATAACAAGTCAGCGGACTGCTGGGGGGCGGCAGGGACCGAGTCATCCATCAAGTCGAGGAGTAAATCGGAGGCAGGAGCGCTAGAATTTCCAGATGGAGCGACAACCTTGCGGCTGTTAAGGGACAACCCTTCCCTGCGCTTGACTGGCGGCGCGGGCATTCTCTCCAATAAACCCTTGCGCAAGGCCAACGGCTGGCTGAAAATCTCCTGGTACTCGATCGCGCGAATCTGGATCTCCAAGTTGATGCTGTTGGAGGAGGCATTCAAGATGCGTCTCAACTTCTCTGCCGTGGCCGTCTGGGTGAACTTAACACTGAGCTTCAAGACGGCGGTCAAGACGTACGACGTCAACTGGACGCCCTGTGCATCGCTATACGTGGTGTTGTTGATCAAGGAGTAGAGGAAGTCCAAGATGGAGTCTTCGGTAATCGAAACGTTGCCCTTGTCGGTTTCATACGTGGTGTTGATCAAGTAGTCGCCGTACTCACCCACGCACCACACAGCAACCAAATTCAAGCCGAACTGCGACAAATCCTCGACAGATGCCTGGTACAAGCGCTGCACCACGTGCTTGGTCAAGCCCAAGTCCTCGTTTTGCATCACAAGCGCCAAGATGTTTGACACAATGTCGCTCGTGACGTGGTTTCCCGCGACGCGAAGCATGCGGATCAACGTGTCAAAGTGCCACTTCGCGTTCGGGGCGTACTTATCGGCCGCCACACACAACTGGGCGGTGATATACGGCTTCAACTCACTGTCTGAGTTCTCGAGGAAGGTGAGCACCTCGCGCACCAAGACGCGGATGTTCTGCTCGTTGACAATGGCGAAGGTCAACTCCAACGCACGGCGGCGGATGGAGATGTCGCCGTCACTGAGACAGTGCACGATGGTGCTGCGATGTCTCTGGACGGCCTGTGGCTCGCTGTGGAGCACGGTGAGTAGCGTATTCAACGCCACGTACCGCGTATTGTTGTCCTTGGTTCCGAGGAACTTTCCCAAGATGTTGATCCCCAAGACACGTAGGGCCGAGTCGGAGCGCACCTGGAAGATGGTCTTAACGGCTTCGTACAAAACAGCGTGGCTCGAGTTCTTTCCCGGTTCGATGTTCGACGCCACCTGGGTCAAGACGTCGTTGAGCTGTTCCAGGTGCTCGTCGGAATGCTCGTTCAACGTCCGCAACGTCTGCAAAAGCGACACCTGCAAGAAAGGGTCCGCAACCCCCAAAACGTCGTGTTCAGGCGAGTAGCCCTGCGCCTGGAGCTTCTTCAAGTGTACGAGCAACGCAGGTGTGGCGCGACGCAACAGTGCGTGTGACGTGGCATCCGCCGCATGCACCGCGCGCAAGAGCGCCAACGCGCCCAACAACGGGCCGTGGTTTTTGTCCGCAAGTAATGGCGCCACGTGAGGCAAAAACGCTTCGGCCAAGTCCGCGTCCTTTTCGACCAACTTTGCCGCCACCACCGCGGCTTTTTTGCGCAAGTACGGGTTTCCGGAAGCAAGGATCTTCTCCACGTTTTGGTATAAATCGAGGGCCAATTCCGGCGAAGCAACGTTCCCCAAGGTGCAGAGTGCCAAGCCAACGACCGCCTGGTTCGGGTGACCCATATCGTTGTCCAAGGAGTTGGTGAGCAACGTCAACACCTCCTGGTTCTCGTCTAGCAACAACATAACCGCGAGGTAGCCCAAGCGCTTGTCCCCAAAGCTCTGCGATGCCAATAACTTCAAGCACTCGACCTGCCCAAAGTGCGTCTTCTCGCCTAGGATGTAGAGGTACAAGAGCTTGGAGATGTTGACGCGGCGCGTCGGCTGGTCAAGCGCCACATCGCGGAAGGAGGTTCGGATCGCGGCGGATTCTTTGCGGATAACCGCACGCTCATCAGCAATCGTTTTGGAGGCCCTGACAGCCTTGATGAAGGATTTTAAGGAGCCCATGGTGTATGTGGGGGGGACGGCGAGGGGTAGAGGGTAGCATATTCGATCTGTTTATGTCCGGCGTCTTAAGGCTGCGGTGTCAATTAGAGCGCACGGAAAGTGATGGTGCGCAGGGTCGATCGTCAGAACGATATATAGAGTAAATGAGATGTTTAGGTGTAGATCGGACAATCTATTAAATGTTGGATATGTTGGATATGTTGGATAATGTTTAGGTGAATAATTGGTGTAATATATGTACTGAAGTTAAATCCAGGTGTATTTTGTTTCAATTATCATTGACCTTGTGTAGAGGCTATTATCCATCGATGAATAAATATTTATACATGTATATCCGTATTCATATCCACCATCTACTTCAAATTCTATTCTTTCTCGCGCCAGACATTTTCTGATGAGAGGTCCATTTCGTCCCACGGCTTTTGTAAGATGGCGATTCTCAGCCTAGCCACGAAATGGGGCAACCGTACAAGGTAATTTAAAAGCTGAAATTCATCTTCCATGCTTATTTTTGCATTTTCCAACATGTGTAACACCTTTTTTGTTATCCGATGGTTATCATTCACAGTCTTGAATTGTTTTCTGGACGAGAACTTCTCGTCGTCCTCCACTTCGTGTATTTGCTCCATTTCCGTCGGCATCTTGCGCTCCCGTTCTGATTCATCCCCATATAATTGGTTCTTTTCGAACGGGATCCAATTCTGATCCATATCCCTCACCAAGCGCTTCACTACCGATACGGCTTGATTGACGGTGGCAGATATGGATGCCATATCGGCGAGGGTGTAGTGATAGTTTTCGTTGACTTCGATGTCAGACGCCCACTCTCCGAAGCCCGGGATCGACGCGGGGCTTAGGTTTGGGTTTTGGTTCAAACTTCCCACAGAGTAAAAGAAGGGGACTCGCTGAACGAAGTCGAATTTGAAGCCATGTAGTTTGTAATCTAGCCATTGGTGGGAGGGGTCGTCGGCAAGTAAGGGTTTGATGGGTAGGGCGGTTGCAGGGTCGCATTTAAAGTCAGTTGGCAGTAAGATGGCCTCCATGGCATCAGATATGTTTGAGAAATGATCTTGAATAAAATTTCCCGGAACCGGACATTCAAACAACCCCCCTACAAGGGTGTTGGGGACATAGATGGAAATGTCTCGCTTGGCGTACTTTTTCCGCCTGGCCAACTTGTAGCACCTAAGGTTTTTCATATATGATGTCGCTACATCCTCTATAGACGATTCTCGGGCCTTTGAAACTCGCTCATTGTAATCCTTTCCCGTATAATGCACCCCCCGCCTCTTTGTGTGGATTTCGGCAAGCAATTGTGCGTTGGGGTGTTGCTGAAATAAAGTGAGTGATTTCCATGGCTTCAATAAAGTTTGAAATAGAGACCGCGCGGGCTTGGAGATCGCTGTGGGGTCTACTGCCGGATCCACCACCATACAGAATGGTTTCTCCCAGTTTATGTCTACGTTCCGTTCTGACAGAGCGTACACTTCGAACGTTCGTCTCCCAGTGTCGCAGTGGCTCAACAAGGCATGGTGATGCAAGATGGGTTTGGAATTCTTGATGGCGTATTCGCGGCAGATCCTGATTCCTGTGAACGGTAGCCATGAGTTGTCCTGTTTGGGGTTACAGATTTTTGCTTCCTTCATGTACCATGTTGCGCCAACATTTTGGATGTACAAAGTGAGGAGGAAGCTGAATAGTAGATGTAGGATAGCGTAGTTGGCCCGGCGAAACATGAATGAGAAACACGAATGAAAAACATGAATGAAAAATATTAATGAGGCATACTTGAGCAAGTCTGTTCAAAACTAAACTCGAAATTTACGAGCTTAGAGCTCTATCCAAAACACTAAGCTCCTGGTCATAAACCGGTGCAATGTGAGTCTGTGGCCCCAGTATTGTCGCTATGACTATGCATATGCAGAGTCAATTAGATGTAAGAGCGCAAATGCACACTTAAGGGTTTGCGGGTCTTGTACCCAAGCGGAATGTAAAACTGGTAGATAGAACTCGAATCAAAGTAAGTGGATAGTGACAGGAGAGGGTCATTCCTTCGGGCAGATAACCTAGGCTCTTTATGTTCGAAGATATATTATCGCCAACATGAGTCTAGAGTATTGCCGAAATGGAATGTCTTAATGGGCATTTACATGTTAATATCCATAGACTGCTTTAAATTTTCTCCTTAATCTACTCAATTGTTTACAGAGATAAGCACAGATCTAACTCTAAGGCCAGCTTGGAGTTTATTCCCCTTGGTATTACATGATTAATGGAAGTATACCTGGCCCGAGTGGGCTTGTCCTTCCCTCGACGGTATTTGACCAAAATAAGGTCATGGTATCGATTCTACCACCCCATAATGAAGTAAAACTACATTAAACTCCCCAAATAACCTGATAAGTAAAAAGCCCCACTGATCTCAAACGTCATGTGTGCCTGTGAATACACACCCGCGAGTAGGAGAGACAGATAAATCGTATGGTCCCACAACACCATTTCCAGTAACGGAGATTGAATTATTATATAGGCCTTTATAAAAAACACAGACATATATCATACACAGATTAGAATTCTCGCTGGTGTAGTTGTGGCTACGGTGTGGCAACGAATGACGCGTATTAGCAGAGCCGGTGTCGGTGCCGGTGTCGGTGTTCTATGGTGACTCAGGTATAGGCGGCAGAAACCGCCGCTTAGGTGTAAGGTATCGGATCTCAAACCAGGCTACTCCCACTCCACTGACGCAGAAATGTGTCATAGCCGAATGCCTCAGTTCACGTGACCATGGCCCTCCATACTGTACGAGACCCCGGGACGATTACTCACCGTTCCACGCGTGTCTTGGCTATCTCCGTGCGGCGCGCCGATGATAGAATGAGTAATCTATGCATGGACGGAGGTTTTCCTGTGATTGTACCAGACCTATCACCTAACTCTCTAGAGGGGTATATAACGCGCTCTCCCCTCGAATTCTTTTCTTCCATTCATATTCCTCCACCTTTGGTTTCTGAATTATACTCTTTGTATCTTTCTAGGAACTGGAAATCCGTCACCCCTCTCTCGCCCCAGTTATCCCCCATCCCGTTCAGGTACATCTCTCTTCTATCTATAGTTTCGCTGGTTTGCTTTCCCATCTCAATACAACTAATCCTTTAACGACCCTCACGCCCCCTTTTTTCAGTTCTGTCCCTTTTATAACCTGCACCTTCGGTTAAGGCTTGCTCTCTTTCGCTATTTTCATCTGGTTCCGGTTTTCCTTATCTTCTCTTCGGCTCACACTTCCCGCTATAAAAGTTTCTGATTTTCTATAACACGTATTTCGCTCCACAATGACCTCTTTCATGACAATCACGCCCCCATCTTCCAGTGAGTTCAAGACTGAACCATCTCCGTCTACTTCCAACGTGGACTCTACTTTGATTAACACTCTACTCCACTCTATCATCAAGATTATCCGCGGTACCTTAGCGGCCGCCGTCCATGAATCTCTCTCCAACACCGACTTGAAGTTCTTTATCCAAGAGATCTTAAAACGCTCGCGTGCCTCCAAGACCAGTATTATCATCACCTGTTACTACTTGACCAATTTGGCTAAATGCTCTGCGGACGTTTCGTTGCCCTCCATCAAAAGGCTCTTTCTTGGCTGTTTGATTCTCTCTTTCAAGTTTTCCCGCGACTTTAATTTTTCCTTCAAAACATGGTCTCTGATGTCTGGTTTGGAAGTCCACGATTTGCAAACCATCGAAAGAGCCATCTTGGGCGGGTTGAACTACGACTTGTATGTCAACGGTGCCTCCTATACCAAATTCGAGACTGTCGTTAACACCTGGCTTGCCACTGCCGCGCCATCCGAGCTCGTGTCTGAACAAGACGCGGCTGCCTTGGAACAGTTGACTTCTTTTAAAAAGGTTTCGGCTCGGGCTGTTTCCGAGGCCGTATTTACTCCTACTAGTCTCCCACCAATGACCCCAAAGAGAAATGTCGCGTACAAGGCAACCACCATCTCATTGCCAAAGACTCCTACCTCTATTGAGTTGGATTCGCAGCACGGCAAGAAGAGACGGTTCTCTGACTGCTCTGCGGATGACGAGGGTATCCATGCGGCTTTTATCGATGCGCTCTCCAAAAGACAAAGCCTCATTGCCGTTTAGTATCCTCTTTATTTGTTTCATAATAAACTTACAGTAGCAGTTAAAAACAGTGTAGTGTGCCTGACAGTCTGGTAAAGGTGCTTGTGACATGCATGCAAACATATGCATGGATAACGTGATATGCTTAGGATCATGGAGAGAGATGTTTGGCCAGCGACGCGCCGCACGCTATATAATTTCCAGAATCTTCCAGGTACATCTATCACCTTGATGCATGAGATGTCACATTCCTGGGGTGTATAAAACGGGGATAAAAAAGGAGAGTAAATTTGGCATCTCAACTGTATCAAATACTCTTTACCAAAGTTAACAACTTACAAGGCTGCAAGCTTTACCCCCATCGTATTACACTACTCAACCCATATACATGTTCTCGTTCCTTTCTATCCCACATGGCGAGTCACACGACAATCCATACGGCAATACGTGGGCGAACTCAAACCCAAAATGTAACAAGGCGAATCCAACATTTTCTGATGGACATCCTTTTCTAGATCAAGGATCTGTTTTACTCTATTCGCTTTTCAGCCCTACAAGCATATCCCCAGAGTACTCCCATGCTAGCCAAACATCCTCGTATACCCTGAATCATCATCCCAAGAATAGCGGGAGGGCTAGACATTCCAAGAAACAGACACAGTGTAAATCGCCCGTTTTAAGTACCGATGTTTCAAACCATTCATTACGACTCACTTTGACGGTTCCTGGGAGGAAGGTGAAGTTGAACCACTGCGAACTCTGTATCAGGCAAGATAGTCACGACCCCACCAAGAGCAAATTGTCCATTAAATCCAAGAAGTATAAATTCAAAAAACACGTCCGAGTAGATTCGGCCAAGTTTGATATGGCGGACGCCCACACTGTTGTGAAAAATGGTATCTTAGTCATCTCTATTCCGACGCGGCATACCGAAGCAAACCCCAAGACTGCAGCAGAGGCCGTTGCAATAGCTACCGAAGGCAGCTCAGAGGTGTCAAATGCCATTCACGATCCTGGTTGCTTCGACTCATGTGCATCCTATACCCTGGATATTTCTGAGGATTTTATGGATGGCGGATCGGCACCATCTTCTGTCTCAAGCTCGCCGACCCTTCCGGAGTGGGAGCTTGGGAAAATATCAAAAGAGCCAACCTTAGAGGAAATAGAAGATGCGGAGTTTACCAGGTTAAGGTTAGCCGTTTAAACGGCACCAGACACTCCCACTCCCCAACGATTATGTTAATGACTGCTAACCTACCTGTCACTACACGCTGCTCTACGATTCTACTTTCAATCACCCATATCCAAGCTTTCTCATATTTAGCGTAGATATTGTCAGTTAGCTTTAGTCGAGGTGGAAGGTATCCGCTACATAACACTGATGTCCCCATAAATGCAAACAGCGTTCCGATCATGATATCTGGTTAATTAATGATATATATTAAAAAGTGAAATAAAAAATGCTTGGGTAGAATGCACTTAGAAAAACCGTTTCCATTGGAATCCAAGTGCAACTGAAGGCTAACGATTCGCTTCGTATGTGGGTAAGGCCTCGTTCAAGGCATATCCATAGAGAAGCTCATCGTCAGTAAATGCCCAGTCCGGACAGTCGTCCCACTCGGGTACGAGAACCACAGGAACATTTATGCCAATGGAGTGAGAAGTTACAGCCTTTGGAGTCCCAGGAAAATTGAATTTCGACATTTTTTGGAAGAAAGACCCTTTACTTCTCGTACCAGACTCATCCGACGCATCCTTTGGGGCTGAGGTAAAGTGGAAGGTAACTTCAAGAAAATAGGTTGTGCTAATTTGGCAGGTGTGGAAGGTTGGCGGAAGCTTCAAGGAAGTAATCTTGCTACTCGGGATATTGACGGTGATCAATTTCTGCAAAGCAGTCAGACTCGCTGAACTTCCCGACAGGGAAGTCATCAAATCTTCGTCGCTGTACACAGGTAAATATTCATACTTCTCTTCCTTGATACAATCTTTGTCCACCTTAGAATCAATAATTAAGTGTGGTTCGTCGGATCGGTCATCAACTTGGGAAGCGATGCAACTATTCGCCGGGACTGTGTCATGCTGAGAAAACAACACGTTCTGGAAAAGCTTGACCGTTATAGAGTCATACTCGGGAATGCCCTCACGGCCAGAAGGTAAAAGAATTTCTAAAGGGAAGGATTTCCCGGTTCTATTTCGATTCACTCTGATGGGTTTGGGTATGGGTATCTTGATATCAAAGCGATCAAATTCGTCTATATTAACCACTTGCGATACCATCAACTTGTCGCGATTAGTCATTCCCGTGCTGGCTTCAAAAAATACCTCATCGCTATTGGAAACGAAATACTTCAGCGCACCATAGTATAATTTGTTGTCAAACTTTCTTAAATTTGACGGACTCCAGTAAGGACTCGGCGCCGAGTAACTCGGCAAGATCTTGACCTGTCTTCTTAAGACGAGGAGGAGGTCGCTGCTGTCAACCGTAGTATCTTTCTTTCCGGTAACCAACACCTTGATGAAGTATGTCACACAGATGTTTTGGTCCTGCAAGTTCAGGATATAATTGTAGGTGTTTTCCAATGGACTGTTATTAAAGAGATACCCACAACTGGAGGTATTCCCGGAGGTTGGCGGAAGTCGTTGGTGGAGAATCTCTCCGCACGGCAGGCTTTCGCTGATGGTTTCAGGAACAAGAAATTGGAACGGTACGGAGAGGGTTTTGTCAACATTCAACTCGTGGGGAAACTGGACTTCACTTACCAAACTATTTTCTTCTTGGGTAAACATTCTAGTATACGGGGGGTCGTTCAGTGAGATGTGACCTTCGAGAAATACCTTGATGGAGTCTATCGTCGTCGAGCTTCGCGTATTTGAAATTGGTTTTGCAAGTTCTACCAAGCCTGAGATCGTGTCGGACTGCTTGAAGACCAACTCCCTATTATGCACCTTGATCTTCAGTTCGAAAACGGATTCTATAGGCTGCAAGTGGAAGTTGTGGGGAGAACTTAAGTATGATCTCCATGTTTTGGTATCTGGAAACGAGTTTGTCTCTCTGGGTGAAAGAGCAGAAGCAATTGAGTCTAACTCGGTAATTGAGGTTGCAGCGGAGTATCCACGAGAGGACTGGACAGAGTAGGAAGATATTGAGCTAGCCATGGCGTCTGTGGATGCAGTGGATGGCCTCGGGAATTTAGAATTGTGATTCGAGACTCTCAGTTTGTAAGAATTATGAATGTGGATCTATTTGCCATCAAAAGCCCTCATGGAAAGTAGGGGGACCCCTCTTTATATACTGCCTCTCTCGCTGTCATTATTACGGCCGAGTATGTCTCATGGCTGGCTATAGTTTAGATGAGTATTATCTATCGTTTTGCCCCCCAAATATGAGCAATAAAGAATGAAGTAATAGATTAAGTCCGAGAGTGCATGCGACCTATGACGCAACATAGGTCTTCGGTTGGGCCCAGAACGCCTGCCCACGGGGATAATGCCGAAAGGCTACAACCGGCAGGGTGCTGCTCATTGATTACTACTAATTTGTCTAAAAGAACCGCGGGGTATGCTGACAGGGGTCTTGAGATCCAATTAGTCAATCAAAACCGCCTGGTTGCGGGAGGGGGTGTCTGCATAGCCACTCCATAAAACGCAGATCGTGCATACTGCGGAGGTTATGTCTTGATTAGCCTGCCGTTTTCCCCTACTACACCGTGCAGAACTATTTATAAATAAACAGTAGAAGGGAAATAGTCCCGTGCATGATGCAGTGACAGAATGTCAGTTGCGTGTGTCTAGAACAGGCCCAGCACTTGTCTCTGTCTTTACTTCCTTCGTGTATTTCTAGTATTGAAAGTCCTACACGGGCTATTAGACCCTATTTATTGTACGTACACCTGCGAATTCTAATGACGAGTATTCCCCTAATTACCCAGAGTCATTCGCAGACGCACTGCCGCACACGTTTCTGTGGTTGGGTGGCAACATGCATGAAATGGTACGCTTTGCAAAGAGTGGCAAATGTACCCCTGGTTAAGCTTTCTGCGCGCCGAATCTGACTCATACTCGATGTAACATGGCAGATACATATCCATTCTGTAGATACTCAAGGACAGAAAGTTGATTGAGGTTCAAGATCGATGTGAATTTAGGCTAGTGTGTGTGTGTGAATCTACCACCCCGTACGGGGCACCGAAAACAAGTTGTCGTTTCTCGGTACCCAGGCTTGAATATAGCACGCGGGTATGCTATGCGGGTCTGTATGCGTGTCTGTCAACCATGCATGCCGGTATAATACAAGCTACAGCTTAGGTAGAAAGGTTGGTAAATGTTGACATCATCCATATGGCACGTGTACTTTTCCAACGTGTCCTTGAGATTACAAAATACCGCACCATAATATAGCGTGGATCACCTTTTCAGTTTCGGACTTTATTTCGATAAAATAATGCGGTTTTAATATATAAAAATTTCGATTCGGACAGAATAGGACGGCTGGCACCTGGTTATGCGCAGCAAAGTTCTATCCGGTATCTCGTCAACAAAGGCATATGCACGCATTCCCTCTTGGCCTACCGATGTAGAAACATCAATACCCGTGGCCGAATCCATCATACAGCAGGTAAGCGGGTGGAGTTTCGGTTAAGGCATATCCGTAGAAAATTTCATCATCAGTAAAGGCCCAATCAGGGCAGCCCTTCCATTCCGACAAGAGCACCACGGGGACATTGATTTCAATAGCCTCCAGATTCCCTTTGGCACCATGGAAACAGAATTTGGAGAACTTACTCAAAGCCGACCCGTTGACCATTCCTTTGACTGATTCTTTGCGAAATTGCAACCTATAAAGGAGGTGGTAGGTGACATTGATGAGGCGGGTGTGGAAGGTGGGTGGAAGCCTCAAGCCGGCGACAGTGCGGGCTGGAATAGAAAGCTTGAGCAAATGTTGTGTCTCAACGGGTGGAGCTGGTTCAGCTTTGTCATAGGGCGGCAAGCAACGGTAGGGTTCCTGTGTAAATATAGCACCGGTTTCTCTGGAATCGAAGAGCAAATGCTCTTGTTCGGTCAGTTCTGGTCCTATTGGGATATGGGTTGGTATCAGACCATTCAGCGAAACATGAACGCTCTGAACTAATTTCACCGAGATGGATGCAAGCTTGGAGGGAGAACCGGGCTGATTTTGGGAAAGGAGGAGCTCGATTGGGAAGGTGCCAATCCCCTTGGCATTCACCCTGAGGGGCTTTGGAACGGGAGCCCTGATGTCATAACCAGCAAACCTGTTTGTCGCCATCAACTTGTTTCTGTTAGTCCAACCAACAGCGTAATCGGTAGCAGCCTCGCCTATTTCTGGGTAGACTTCTTGAAGACCATAGTACACTTTGCTATCAAGTTTCAACGTGTTTGGGACATATGGGCTTGGCGCTGAGTAGCTTGGGAGCACCTTCACTTGCGATCTTGTCACTTGAAGAAGTTCGTTGTCCGAGCAGCTGCCCTTTCCGGTTACCACTAGCTTGAGAAAATACGTTACGCTGGAGGCCTCGTCTTGGAGATTACGACTATATAAGAAAGAATTCAAACTAGGGTTGTTTACACAAAATACGTATCCGCATCCAGCAGTGTCCCCACATGATGGAGGGAGTCGTTGGTGAAGCGTCTCGTCGTCGTCTACAAGTTCCGGGATGAGAAACTCAAACGAAAGCGAGAGATTGTCTAACGCTTCCAACCGACACGGGAATTGTATCCCGCTACCCAATTGGCTTTCAACTTTCAAAAAGGTGTGGTCAAAGCAATGAGTTGGATTCGAAGAAGTCACATGTCCCTCCAAGGATAATCCTACGGATGATATCTCCGAGGTCCCTGCCTTAGAAACCGGTTTACTAATGTTCACGGTACCCGCGAGCATATCGTTTTGCCTAAACACAAGAGAATTGTTGAGCAAGTTGACTTTTGCCTTGAAGGCTGCTTCGGAGGGCTGTAAATGAAAGTTGTGAGGAGAGGCCAAATAGCTCTGCCAAGCTTTAGTTGGCGGTTGCTCACAAGTTTCAAAAGAGGTTACGAGAGATTCCTGACTCCTAGAAGACATATCCGAAATCCCACACTGAGAAGAAGAAGAGGTTGACATTTTAAAGAAGATGAGTTTTTTTTTTTCAGCGATACGCGGATGAGATATTGTCCTTGAATAAGAGTTGGTCACCAGCCGGCGAAGCCCCCGTTTTTATACCGGGTGCATGGTCTGTTAAATTCGAAGAGAATCGCCGGGATATCCCGGGATTTCCCGGGATACTTAAAGGTATTTATGCCGGTCAGGTGCGAACAGATGTAGCTATGTCACTGCTTTTTTTAGCCATAGGCATGACCAGAAACGCATGTGATTGAAAAGCGCCCTGGTTTCCTAATTGAGATTTTGATGGTCATTCAGACTCATTCTTGGAGACTTCCGGTACAGGCAGGATGATTATGCTATGAAACTTAAGGTAAGCCGGGGGAAGGCCTCCTAGTGAGTGTTCCCTTGCATGCGTTGTGACTAGCCCAAGGTTGTAATATCATCTACTTTCGGTTCTATTATACTTCGACCGAAATTATACCCATTAATCTTTATATATATCCTTTATTGAGGTTTTTTTTTGCGCCAATTAAACTCCGAGAAAGCTGCTATCGATCTATTCTACGCCCACGTTGAGGGAAGTATCCAACATACATACAACTAGCGTTATAAGCTTAACATCTATTCGACTCAAGCTAAATTTTTAGTGTATTTTAATACACATATACCTTATGCATGAAAGTTTTATACCTAGGCTCTTTCCAAAGGCTCCCGGTCTGGGACTGCCCAGGGGAGTCCGAATATAACCTTCTAACCGTCTAGGTATGGGGGTAGCATATCGTTCATGGCATATCCGTACAAAATGTCTTGGTTTGTAAATGCCCAATCTGGGCAGTCACTCCATTCAGGTAAGAGAACAACAGGAACGTTTATGTCAACAGAGTGGAGAGGTTTAGTCTTGGAAATACCGGGGCAATTGATCTTCGAAATATTTTGTAAGAAACACCCTTTGACATTTGCTTCAACTGCTTCCTTCGACTTTTCCGTCAGGGTAGAGGTAACAAAGGCGATTTGAAGAAAGTAGGATACGTTAATATGGCACGAATGGAACGTAGGTGGAAGTTTCAATGGCGTAATTCTGCTACTTGGAAGCTTTATGGTGACTAACCGTGTTGGAGTTGACCTAGCGGGTGTGTAATCTTGCAGCTCAGGAATGGCGCCCCCTTCATCGTAAGCTGGCAAATAATCACACAAGCCTTCACTCATAGAATTGGTATCCTCCGTTGAGTCAAAAACCAAATAAGGTGCTTTGGTACCACGCTTGCTTTGGGGTAGGGTAAGGTTATGGCTTGGGGCTGTATGCTGTCGTGAGAAGGATACATTCTGAAAAAGCTTGACCGATATTGAGTCATATTCGGGAATAGAGTTTCCAGAACAAGTAAGCATGATTTCCAAGGGGAAATGCTTGTGAAGTTTGCTGTTAATCCTGAGAGGTTTAGGTAAGGGAATCTCGATATCCAAATCGACGCCAGCTATTCTCACCAGACGCGCCACCATCAACTTGTCTCGGTTCGTCAATCCTATTTCAGGTACAAATAATTTCTCCTCGCCATCGGAGGAAAGATACTTCAGTGTGCTATAGTATAGTTTGTTATCTAGCAGATTTAAACTTGGCGGACTCCAGTAGGGGCTAGGGGCCGAGTAACTCGGTAAGACTTTAACCTGTCGCCTTGATACAAGAAGAAGATCGCTGCTGTCGACCGTAACATCTTTCTTTCCGGTAACCAACACCTTGATGAAGTATGTCACACAGATGTTTTGGTCCTGCAAGTTCAGGATATTATTGTGGGTGGTTTCCAATGGACCGTTATTAAAGAGATACCCACAACTGGAAGTATTCCCGGAAGTTGGCGGAAGTCGTTGGTGGAGAATCTCTCCGCACGGCAGGCTTTCGCTGATGATTTCAGGAACAAGAAATTGAAACGGTACGGAGAGGGTTTTGCCAACTTTCAAGTTGTAAGGAAACTGGACGCCGTCTAACCAATTCTCTTCACAAATAAACATTTTGTCCCAGGAAGGATCGCTCAAAGAGATGTGGCCTTCGAAAAATACCTTGACGGAGCTGATTTCAGTGGCCCTTTTCATGTTAGAGACAGGTTTGGCAAGCTCGATCGTTCCAGAAATTGTATTGGATTGCTTATACCAAAAATTCTCGGTATCCAACCTGATTTTTTCCCTGAAAACGGTTTCTATGGGCAGTAAATGAAAATTGTGAGGAGAATTCAAGTAGGATCTCCACGCTCTGGAATCAGGGAGGTGGTCATGTGTTGCTAAAAATGTAGACGTTGGTGTTGTGGTCGATGACAGCTCAGAAATAGAGGTTGTCGTTGAATACAAAGAGGATTTAACAGATGTGAGTGAACCTGAGTTAACCATTGTACTTGTCGATATGACCGTTGGGCCTTGGTGCTCGGTATTTTGTTTCTGAAGCTCGTAAACCTAGGATCTTTTGTTAGGTATGAATAATAAAATAAAAAATAATTATGTAAAGTGAGAACGCCACCATTTAAATCATTGTAAGCTGGTCAATTATGGCTCACAGTAAAATGCAGCAATTGAGTTAACGCAGAGTGGCTTTAAAATTCGAAAGGGATGGCGTAATTTGCCTCTCTTCCTTTCTTATATTACATTATTCGATATGCAAAACCCGAAACTAGAAGGGCCCATGCTGAAATGGTTAGTAATGGTTTAAAATTCTAGTATGCATCCTATGAGCACTAGTGTATGCGTATACACGTAGTTGTTTGACTAGCTACAATTCCACGTGGCTTATTTGTGGAGGGAGATATAGAAGTGGACGTACGGCGCACCATGTGGCGATTTGTCGACGTCTGTTACCCTTTTTACAGATTTTTATATCTTAATTAACGCCTTCAGTGGTATGCGTATACTTGAATGTCATGCTACGGCGCAGGATTAGTCATTGCACCTGGTTCTAGCCATTAGACTTGGCACTAGTCATCAGGCCTGAATCTAGTCATTAGGCAAGGTTCTAGTCATACATACAGGATCCTCCCCTGGCCCTGTTAAACATTTAACGAATGCCTCTTATTTCTCTATCCTGTGCCACCCTCTCATTAATATACAGCTAGCTGCCTTGTATTCTGTATCAAAACTACGCTATCTAATATTGTGCGACGTAATACTTGTTGGTTCCCGTCATGTACACTGCTTTAAGTCACTATACCACCCTGTATGGTTGCACGCTGTACGTCATAGAAGTTTGGTCGTACACACAGCTTGTTGATGTCACCAGATAATTGGCAGGTCCAAATCCCATGTAAGCATTTTTTGTGTTGTCTGAATCATATTTTGTGGATGATATTCCCGGGCTGAAGCATTGCCTAGTGGAGGAATCGTTCCCCTTCGTATGTCTGCAGAATCCAACCTAATAAATATTCCTGGCGAATGTTGTGTTGGTAAACTACCAAACCGAGAAGGCAGGTCCCTCGGAATGGAGTGCCGATTTATTTCACTTATAAACTGCAAGGTAATACGCTTTGACATTATTATCACCCGTTCTATTGTAAAACAAACCTTTAAAGGTTAAAATCTACACCACGACCCAATCTGCAATATTAATCCATCAGTCAACTCTGACATCTGGTGGAAATTTGCTGTCGCGCATGTACCAATTCTATGCGGCTAAATATTTTAAAATTTTTCACCTGCCTGCACTTAAAAAGTTTCGCAGTCTCTCTTTAACTTCTACACCCCTTATTATCACCAACATGGAACAGACTAATAAGGCGCATCGACAGTCGGGGGAGAGAAATACCGCCAAGAAGAAGTTGCACCAGGGCGGGCACAACGCTAAGGCGTTTGCGTTCAACGCGCCGATGAAGTTGCAGCGCGCTGCGATGAGAACCAACGACGTGAACGAAAAGAAGTTACACGTGCCAATGGTGGACCGCACACCGGACCAGGACCCGCCGCCAGTGATTGTGGCAGTTGTGGGGCCACCTGGGACCGGTAAGACCACCCTCATCAAGTCTTTGATCAAGCGGTTGGCAAAGACAAACTTGAATGACATCAACGGACCGGTCACTCTTGTGAGTGGTAAGAGACGCCGTTTGACTATAATTGAGGTTGGCAACGATCTCAACTCGATGGTAGACGCGGCCAAGATCGCTGACTTGGTTTTGTTGATGATTGACGGTAACTTCGGGTTGGAAATGGAAACCATGGAGTTCCTCAACGTGGCGCAGCACCACGGGATGCCGCGAATGTTGGGTGTGTGCACCCATTTGGATCTCTTCAAGTCTCAGTCCACGTTGCGCTCTTCCAAGAAGCGCCTCAAGACGCGTTTCTGGACGGAGGTTTACCAGGGGGCCAAGCTCTTCTATCTCTCGGGTGTCATCAACGGGCGCTACCCGGACCGTGAGATCCTCAACCTTACCAGATTCATTTCCGTCATGAAGTTCAGACCGTTAAAGTGGAGAAACGAGCATCCTTACATGTTGGCTGACAGAGTCACGGACCTCACACATCCAACGTTGATCGAGCAAAACCCGAACTGCGACCGAAAGATCGCTATTTATGGCTACTTGCACGGAACGCCAATGGCTCAGGCGAACGCGCGTGTGCACATTGCCGGTGTCGGCGACTACACCGTACACAGCGCCGAGAGGTTGCCTGACCCATGCCCAACGCCGTATTACGAGCAAAAGTTGGAGGAGATCGAGCGCGAAGCCGCGAAAGCGGCAGCCGCCGCAGGCGAAGCGGTGGTCAAGACAAAGACCCGCAGAAAACGGTTGGAGGATAAGCAGAGGATTATCTACGCTCCGATGTCGGATGTTGGTGGTGTTTTGGTGGACCGTGACGCGGTTTACATCGACATGGGCGAAACTGAGTCGTTTGTGCCGGGTGAAGAGCGTGGATTTGGCGAAAAGTTGGTCACCGGCTTGCAGGAGGTGACCAAATCGATGGAAGAGATGTTCGACGAAGGCCCGGGCTTGCGTTTGTTCTCTGAGTCTAAGGAATTGGGTTCCAAGACACTTGCGCCCGAGGATTCCGACGACGAGGCCGGCTTGTTGTCTGAGCTTGAGTCTGAGGAGGAGGAAGAGGATGATGTTGCCCGTGTGAACACCGGGAGAACCTCTATGAGACAGGCTCGTGTGGTGGGTAAGCCATTAAATGAGGAAGAGGATAACGACATGGATTCAGACGACTTTAACGATGAGGAGGAAGAAAGTAGAGCCAAGACTGAAGTTGTCGACTTTGGCGGCCAGGAAGAGTTGGCATACGCTTCTGATTCTGACTTGGGCGACGACGACTTTGTGGGCGCAGCCACCAGATTGAGGGGTTCCGCCCAGAGAAAATGGAATCTCTCCAAATTGATCTACACCGAGGGACTCGAGCCAGGCGAGGCGCTTCGCAAATGGAAGCAGGAGGAGGAAGAGGAAGAAGAGAATATTGAGGATGACGAGGACGATTTCTTCCAGAAGAAGGAAACCGCGGCCTCGAATGCCGATTTGGACACGTTTGTGCCGTTTTTTGACGATTTACAGACGTTGAAGGAGAAATTTACGACCGAGGCGATCGAGGCGTTAAAGAGTCGATTCTTTGCCGTTTCCAAGAAGCCGAGCGGAGAGGCTAGTGATGATGAGATATTTGGGGACTTTGAGGATTTGGAAACCGGTGAATCTAAGAAGGAAACTTCCAGCTCTGACTCCGACGCCGACTCTAACGCTGACTCTGATGATTTTGCTGACTTTGATGCCGAAGAAAAGAAAGAAGAGGAAGAGGAAGAGGAAGAGGAAGTTGATCAAACTCTCACTGTCGATGAAAAACGTGCACTCAACGCCAAAAAGAAGGAAAAATTGCGTTTGCAGTTTGAAGCCGAACAGGGTGACACCTTTGGCGAGGATGAGGGTGAGTACGACACATGGTACGAGTTGCAGAAGGCAAAGATGGCCAAGCAATTGGAAATCAACAAGGCTGAGTTTGAGGCGATGGATGGTTCAACCAGAGAGAGAATTGAGGGGATCCTCGCGGGTTCATACGTCCGCCTTGTATTCAACGACGTTCCGCCTGAGTTTATCGAAAACTTTAATCCAAAGTACCCAGTGGTTATCGGTGGCTTACTCGCCACCGAGGAGCGTTTTGGCTACCTCAACGTGCGTATCAGACGCCACAGATGGCACAAGAAGATCTTGAAGTCGAACGACCCATTGATCTTGTCCTTGGGTTGGAGACGCTTCCAGACGCTTCCAGTCTACACGACTTCGGACTCCCGTACCAGAAACAGGATGTTAAAGTACACTCCGGAGCATGCCTACTGTACGGCCACGTTGTACGGGCCGTTAGTTTCGCCTAACACGACGTTCTGTGGTTTTCAAGTGGTTGCCAACAGCGACACCACCGGGTCTTTCAGAGTAGCGGCCACGGGTATCGTTGAGGATTTGAACTCGTCGGTGGAAATTGTCAAAAAGTTAAAGTTAGTGGGTTACCCTTACAAGGTCTACAAGAATACGGCCTTTATTAAAGACATGTTTTCCACGTCTTTAGAGGTGGCAAAGTTCGAAGGGGCATCGATCAAGACCGTTTCGGGGGTCAGAGGTGAGATCAAGCGTGCCTTGTCCAAGCCAGAGGGCCACTACAGAGCCACGTTTGAGGACAAGATTCTTTTGTCCGATATTGTGATGTTAAGAACATGGTACCCAGTTGCCGTCAAGAAGTTCTACAACCCGGTTTCGTCCTTGTTGTTGTCCGACAAGGCGGACTGGAAGGGAATGAGATTGACAGGTGCCATCAGGGCTGCCAACGCCATTGCCACACCGTCCAACCCTAACAGCGCCTACGGTAAGATTGAGAGAGCTGAGAGACGTTTCAACCCATTGCGCGTACCAAAGGCAATCCAGAGCGACTTGCCATTCAAGTCGCAGATCAGCGCCATGAAGCCACAAAAGAAGCAGTCCTATATGGCCAAGCGTGCTGTGGTACTTGGCGGTGACGAAAAGAAGGCCAGGGAGTTGTTGCAGAAGGTTGCCACCGTCAGAAAGCTGAAGGATGAGAAGCGTAAGGCCAAAAAGGGCGAAAAATTCCAGGAAAAGTTGAAAAAGATGGCCAAGATGGCGGACATCAGAACCGAGAAGGAGAAGGAACGCAAGAAGGAATTCTTTGCCAAGGAGGGCAAAAAGCGCTCGATGGGTTCTAGTGAGGGAAACTCCGAGGCCTTTGGTAAGAAGAGGAGAGCATACTAAAGAGTATTTTACTAAACTTTGAACATGGAAGTTTAAGACTGTAGCGGCTGTCACAAATGGTTGTAGAGGTTGCGATAGGGAGTTTTTTTTCTTGAGGATATTAAAGTTACAACGGAGATCAGTACTAGAATTTACCTATATCAAGCATGTTATATACCATGTGGTATGTCGGGATATATACTACCTGTGCTTCAAAATTGATATATCGACTTGTACCCTTTGTCTGATTTAGGACTGAACTTCATTAAAGTTGGTATCTACGCTTCCGCATATACTATTGTGGACAAATTTTACATCTCTCAAGCTACAGAGTAGTATTCAGCTAGATTTGAATTATTCCTAGAACGATGCTACAATCTCACAGCCACGCAACACCTCGTCCTCAAACTCATATATCTGGACCTGCTTCCCATTTTCCTCAACCGTATTATCCACCTCCCACTTCATAAGGTCCGTAAGCAACATATTCGACATCACCGGCTTAACCGAGTTATCCAAGGTCCCAACCGTGATATGAGGACAGGCGTTACCGCACTGGAGCTGGAACTGCTTGCCTTTGCCAGTCTTGTATCCCCCAACCAAGGCCACCTCTACACACATCAACCGACCGTCAAACACCACCCGGCGCAACTGAATATCCGCGTGGTAGCCCAACGCAAACTTGTAGTTGTGTGGGAAAGTTTTCTCGGAGTTTTCCTTCATGAAGGCATCCACGGCTGGACCAAAACGTCGTTTGTATCCATCAAATATAACCTTTCCGGCAGCGTTTTTGCCCTTGCAGTGAGCTACATGAGACAAGGTGACGTGGAACGAATTTTGAACCCGGTCGTGCTTCTTGAGGCTATCGTAGAAGTGCAAGCCAGCCGGATTGGTGGCACTTTGCTTACGCAATAACGCTTCGACTCTGGCTTCCACTTCCTGGGGAACAGAGATGGCATAGTACTGGACGCGTGCTTCCCGCTTCTCCTTGACGTTCTTCTTCTTCTCTGGAACGTACGTCAAGGACTTCCCAAACGCTGCTTCGATCGCAGCCCGAGCCGGAACCGCTGGCACCAACTCAGGGAAGATTTTTGCCAACCTGTTCAACACTGTGACGGTATTCTCTAGCGAGCTGTCGCTCCCGACCCGAAGGTCCACCACCTCGTCAAACGCGCTATCCGGCTTCCTCTTTGGGTTGAGCGGCTGGAAACGGTTGATGAACCCCTTCATGATCATGTGCAACTGGTCTTGACCGGTGACCGAGAGCCGGATCGACTGGTGGTTATCGCCCCTTTCGACCACCCGCTTTTCCGTGGTGCTCCACAAGTCCTGGTCGTGCGGGTTTCCTGAAATAAAGTTCAAACAGATGTATTTAAACTCAACAAGCTGGCCTTTGGAACGGTACTCTTTGGCAGGGAAAAACTGCTCCTTGAAGTTTTCAAAATCACCAAAGAGCTGGGCCCGCTCGCGGCACATGTGATTGTTTCTGTCAACAACCACCGCCGGATGGGTCTGGAGCAAGCTTAAGGCACCCTTGACAAGCTTTGACGCCGCCGGCGACGAGAGGTTGTCATTCTGGATATGTCCCCAGGGGAAGAGCTTTGTGAGGGTGAGGGCGGTGGTGGTTTTGCCACACCCAACGGTGGCCACGGGTATAATGAGGTATTTTGTCACGATTTGCAAGTCAGACGTTCCCGTATTGCGCGCGTGTTCGATCGAAAGACGGTCCAATTCGGCTGTTAAATCGGCGTCCGATCCTTCCTGATTGGCGAGCTGGATCCCCGATTGACCCATGTGGGTCAAAAAGCGGTTGCGCAATTCGATGATCCCATGGCCTTGGAGGAAACCGTCACGCAACGCTGGATCGCGTTCCAACTCGGGGATGATAAATATAAGGTACTGGGCACTCACTCGTTTGTGTTTGTGTGACTTTTTGATCAACAGAGTGATGGAAAGCGGCTTCTTCGACTGCTGGAGGTAGCCCTTGGTGATCTCACGCCACTGGCGGTACATCAAGTACGGCTCCTCGAACTTGTATTTCCAGAAATGGTCAGCTCCATGAGCCTTCGCTCTGATGACAAACCCCTCCACGGCCCGTCCTTCGTAGGAACCCGTTTCCGCGCATTCCTCCAAGAACCGGAACAATTCGGAAAAGTCCGTTTTGGTGATGAATTTCGTGGGGATAAAGCCCCAGGCGGCCGCAAATTCCGCGATAAGGTCTATGGGGTACGTCTGGAACTCAATGGTGTTGAAATTCAAACCGTGGAGGTACAATCCCAGCTCTTCGCTCTTGTACTCCAAAACGTGCTCCTCGAAAGCATCGTCACAGAGCTCGGCAACAGCGGTGACATTAAGCGTATGCAACTGGAGCGCAAGCTCCTTGACTGACTTTCCCGACGCGGCGAGCTGCGCCTCAAGCGCCTTCTGGCCTGCAAGCGCGTGGTTGCGCTCCAAGTCCGGGCGGTAGCCGGTGGAATGCTTCGAGCACACCACGATGGAGCCATCGGCCAAGCCAGAGATGAAGATAATACATCCGTTTTCTTTCAACGTGAGCTCGTATGGCCCGGAAGTGTTTTCTGAGAGCCATTGGAGCTGCGTCGTCGACACCTCTCCGACGTTGAAGAACTTGTCGTAACCTCTGACGGCGATGCGGTTTTCCTCGGTAAAAAAGCCACGTGCCCGGATAGGCAACACGATACTTTCCTTGTTATAGTCAAACTCATTAAACTTCCACCCCGTGAGCTGGTGTGCCGTATCGAAGACTGTGTAAGTTGATCGCTTGCCTTTGCCTTTGCTTTGTGGTATCTGCGTGGAAGCCATGAGCGCCGTCGCGAGCGATGAAAGCGCTTCATCTGTGTCATATCTCGGAGGTAATGGAGTGAATGTCATTTTGGCTTGGTTATGTGATTGTCAATGGGTATTTGGGATATTTACTGGTGTCTTTATACACATGCGTGACGAAAATTTTTCAGAGCCCTTGGTGCATGTGCAGGAAGCAGAAGAGATGGTGGCGTTCCTACCACTCACAACCTATTTATTAATATGGCTAACATTATTCCTTTTGCTGGGCTTTCTTCTTGTATATATTTCATAAGTCCATTTTTTTTTTCCTGTTGCCCACCTATATTATCCCTGACATATATCTATTCTATCCCGCTCTATATCGTTCCGTTCTTAAGTTGTAGGCGAGGGTCACATCCCATGCGTTAAAGGTGTTGAGTCATACATCGTAGACGCCCCTCACCCAATCCTTCCCCTCATCCGGGTGGCGTTATACGGTTGGTTTGACCTCATTTTCGTCTGTTAGTACATATCTTGCCAATAAAAAAATTCCCTCGTGGCTAATAGTGCATACTGTTATCTGCTAGATATTACGCGTGCCCAGTATTGTGTTTAAAATGGCAGTATCCACGGCCAAGTGCTTATAGCCCTGGATCTGTCTAAACGATGCATAGTTGCGGAAAGTACCCAACCACTCTTTGATGCATGCATTTACGTCACATGCATGTAATGGGTACTGACTGCGAAGAGTTCAATGTATAAAAATAAAGTAGCATAGGTTCCGGGCGAAAGAATACGGGGTAGATCGTGGTTCTATAATTGTGCGTTGAGTTACGTCAAAACGGATTTACATATGTAAACCTAGGCGTGCCAGCCACTGTTGGTAAAATAATTAATCGAAAGATGAGATCATTATAACCAAGGATAACATTACTCCACTCAAGATAAGGGAAAGGATCCCAGCATGCCGAGAGGCATATTTAACACACTACATTACACCTTTGACGCATAAATTTCATCTTCGGGTATGCCAATTTGACTCCTTTTTCCACCTATCGTAGTTTTCGAACCCGTTGTCATGTATGTGTAAGTTGTTCAAGCTTGCGGGAGAGTCTAAATGTTGGATTTCCTGCTCAGGCAAACCGTTTTAAATAATGTCAAAAGGTATAGCTAGGGAGAACGCTGGATGTAATCGACTGATCTAAACTTGGTATCACTAAGCTCCGAGGCGAGTAGACTGTCTGAAATATGTAATTTAACCAAGCTGGTTATCTGATTTTCCAGAAGTAGTACTTTCAAGTATCGTAAGAACTCGACGTCTTTCAATGAAGTTATCTTGTTATTGGTGACTTCAATATTCTTCGACCCCGCAGGAAATTGGATTTCCGGCAACGAGTATATATCCGAGACAGTTATCTCAAAATGGGCGGGACTTTGAGGGAGGGAAAAGATGTCACAGAAAGCAGTAACAGCAACTTTTCTCAAACTAAAATATCGGAGTTTCAAATTTGGGTTATCTGCATTGGTGGTTTGGATCCTTTGAAGGGGATTGGACAAGAGTGCAAGCATGGTATGGTTTATCGGAAGGTGGAAGTTCACCTATTCTCTCAAATGGCTATGCTCAAGGTTCACGGATTTAATACTGTCAGGTAAAATCTTCGAAAATAGTTGAAGCTTATTGTGACTCAAGTTTAAATGAGTCAAAGTCGGTGGGATATCGAATTCCTCAATTGAGGTTAAATTATTAGACAGTAGGTTGAGATTTTGAAGCAGGGGAAGATTTTTCAATCCCCCTACTGAGACTAATTTATTTTTCTCAAGGTTGAGAACTCGGAGCAGGGGAAGGTTTTCCAACCCTTTGACTGAATCCATATTCGTATAGCCGAGATCCAAGTCCGTCAAACTTGGAGGGAAGACAAGGTTGCTTGGCGAATACAGTAAAAATAGCCCATTCTGATCGAGATTGAGTTTCTGGAGACTCTTGAGGAACTTGATTTGGCAATACCTGGCAGTGTCTGCGTCTTCATCTGTCTGGGTTAAAAAACCAAGGCGATTACTGTTGAGATCAAGGATTTCTAAAGACTCCGATAACGAGTTGACAAAATCTAGCGATGTTAACTTTGCCCAAGAAATCAGTAAGTAAATCAAGCTTGGAGGAAATTTGAGCATACGGATCTCGGAAGATTGTAACTTCTTATAGTCTAATCTCAACTCTTTGAAGCAATCTGGAAAGATATTCACACTAATCTTCATCCCACAAGAATCGATGGATAGTTTCTGCAACGCCAGAGGCAATTTCTGCTGTTCGAAACTTGTATAGTCCATCACCGGTAGGTCCCACTCATAATCCCACCACGATGGAAAGTGGTAGGTGAGAGAAAATCTTTTCGGTAATCTCCGACGGAAGTGTTTCCTAAATGAGGAAAATAGTATTGGTGTTCATGGTAAGGGTACAATGTGATAAAGGGAATCTGGAATCGACACGTTGCCGCTACCGAATGATGAAGATTCCTTAGCTTTATATACAATTTTCGACGGTAGTAGAAGAAGCATATTCTGTGGTTTTTACACTCAACACCACCGTGGAGTGTTGGTGCTGAGTAAATCTCGGAAGAGACGTAATTGGTGCGATGTGTGGGACGCAGGCGGAAAAGTCGCGGCGTTATAGACCCTTGGCTGCAAAATGCAGGGCCTATGTTATCATGAACAACCCACCGTAGCTCAATGGCCTATATTTGATTGTGGCTAACTCCTCCAACTTAACACCTCCTCGCCTCCCTTGAGCTAAAAACTGGTTTATTCCGGGGAAAAAAATTCTTATGATCGTAAGATACATAATTTCAGTAGACGCTTATGAAACTCATAATCCGTCACCTTCCAATACCCTCCCACATTGCTTACAGATAATGCTAAAATTTGTTATATTCACTCCACTTTTATCCGCCGGGGGCGCAATGTTGACACGGAACGATTAGCGTAAACTATCGTCCTACCGCTTCTATCATGCCCAATCTTTACATATAGTACACTTCATTTAGAACCGTGGCGATCTCGATCTGGTTCTCGATCTTGGTCTCTCGTAGTGGTCCCTTTCTCTTCTAGGCGATCTTTCTCTCAGTCTCGACGGACGCGTGTAATACGGATGGCTCTGCTGCGGGTCATAGCGGCTGCCCTGCGGCTCGTATCTGCTGCCGCCGTACGGTCTCTGGGCATGGGGGTGTGGGGGAGCGTAGCCGTCTCTACCCTCGTTGCGAGGGGTGTAGTGGTCTCTGGCCGGTCTGTCCCCGTAGCCTCTGCCTCGGTAACCACCCCTAGGACCGCCTCTGCCCCCACGGGCCGATCTGAAGCGCGGCACGTGCCCCGCAGATAAAAGGCGGTGATGCACGATGACGCGGGTCGTCACGGCGGCAGGGATATCTGCGTCATCGGTATTCACCTGCGACTCGGCCTTTGACTCGTCGTCCGAGTCCTTTTCCCTCGGAGTCTCCTCTCGCTCCCTGATCTCCTGTGTTTCGTACTCAATCTTCCACTTCCCATCACGTGGACCTCTATCCTCCTCGTACGTCCACTGGTTGATGCGTTTGACCGGGATGTAGTCCACGAATAGCGCGTTTCTGACAATCTCCATATCTGGCTTGTCCTCTCTGAGATCTCTCAACATCGCTTCATCGTCTTCCACACTCGGGTATTTGCTACCGTTCAAAATCCCACGGATGCGCTCCGCGCCCTCCTCGTCGCTGCAGAGCACAATCGAGTGACTGCGCAGACGGTTCAACCATGCACGCTCAATCGTGGCTGGCTCTGCGATGTGCTTGAGGAACGTCTGAAAGTTGTGCGCATTGATTGGGCTCGTGAGGTTCCCGATGAACAACGCACGTGTCTTATTGAACAAGGGAGTCTCGGTAATGTCGTACACCACATCTGGGACTTCCGATGCCGGCGGGAGAACGGGTTCAACAGGGCCGTCTGGTCTGTAGGACGAGCGAGTCGACTCGCGGTCGCGATAGCGCGAGTCACGGTATTCGCGCGGTTCACGGAACTCACGGTACTCACGCGAGTCGCGTTCGCGGTACTCGCGAGCGTCGCGAGAGTCACGGGTGTCTTCAGCTGGCTGCTCCGACTGTTCTGGGGTGTCTCTTGGTTGTTCTGGCTCGGCAGTATGGCCCCGGGAGGAGTACTCCATTTCGATGTCTCTTTCAGAATCGCTCATTGTAGGGAAAGTGTTTGACAGCTGGTGGTACGAGAGGTTTGCGGCACTCTGTTTTGTTTATACTGAAATTTGTGGGCGGAAAAGCAAAAGTACGGCGCGGTGCGTGCACGACTGTGAAATCACGTGGTCCATAAGGAGGAGTCCAAGGCGACCTCGTTGCAGCTAATTTTGAGGAATAAATATTATATTGGAAGCATCGTTTATGTATCCTAGGGTCGAATCGCATATTTATGTATTCTCATTCGTACTATAAAAGTCACTTAATTTAACTTTTCTTTGACAAAACGCAAGTTACTGAAACATCCGACGGATAATATTCAATGGTTCTGAATCGGTGAAAATCGGTGCTTTGTCGACTCAAGATTGGTGACATCCACTACAGCTCAGTGGCGTCACAAACAGTACGGAATTGATTTAGATAATGGGTTAATACCATTCCACCCTGTTAGCACCGCTACACTATTTCTCGTGGAAACAATAGCCTTGCTTTTGACTATATACATATTCAGGCACTGCCAAACTCCCTCCCTCTGCTTGTATTCCACGGCAGCTCTTTTTCGGGTCAAAGACAAGCTCAGTTTTACTAACTTATCTGCACTCATAGAAACACCCGTCCGTGCCAAACTTCCCGTAGACACCAGTCGGCATCCACCCCTCTGTGTCCTTGGCCGCTTGTACATCCGTCTGTGCCTTCCCGATGCTGAACCCCCGGATGTACACCTGGCCGTGGTTCTGCGCGGCTCGCAAGAACTTGCGCTTCTGTTCAAAGAAGCCGTCTCTCAACTTGATCTCCAAGCATTGCGGAACACATCCCCTGTTCAAATACGCGGTATCCTTGATGGCTCTGTAGTCGTAGATAAAGGTGTTGAACAACGGGGAAAGGACATTGCTGTCGCTTAGATGACGATTGACAATGAGCCTGGCCCCAAAAATCGCCCGCGCGAGGTTCTGGATCCGGGTGGTGAGCGTCTCGCCAGTACCAACGGAGGTGACATAGATGAGACGAACAGACCGCAAGGCCGGAACCTGCGAGAAGGTGATGAAGTTACCGTTAGTGATTAATCTCAAGGAAGCGGGGAGAAAAGACTTGCTGACAACCGGAAGGCTGTTCAAAATATCCTCGGTCCACTGCACCATTTTTTTTTCGCTGATAGACATGATGGTTGGTTTTGTCTTTGCAACTAATTCGCTGCTGATGTGTGCTTCCTGGCATAAAATCACCTCGTTGTTGGTCAAAAAGGCGGCAAAAAGCTTGACGATATCCCAACGTTGTTCGCAGGTGCCGATGAGCACCACGTCCACTGGCTTCAACTCCTGGTCGACGGGCAAGTTCTTCAAGTGGTTGGCAATAGCTGCAGTAAAGTTTTGTTGCGTAAATGTCGTGTAGGAGTTGCCAGTGGAGACGATGTAGGGCACGATTTGATCGTACTTCGGATCGTACTTGTAAGTCGTAGCAAGAGATTCGCCAAAGGGAAACTCTTGGCTCACGGAAATAGCCTCGTGGGCCTCAGCGACAACTTTTGGAACTAAATTCTCGGTTGTAACCACAGGCAACCCCCTTGTAATGTCTGAAAGACTTGAAATCTCGATAATCGTAACCCCATGAACCAAACAGGCCAAAGTCGCGGTGAGACCATCCATGGTGCTCAACGGGACCCGGTAGAAGTAAACCTCGGTGGTCTGGAATCTTTCAGCAAAGGCATTGCATCTAGAGTTGATCTCACCGTAGGTGAATCTCTCTACCTTCTGATCGCTTGCAAAGCTGATCCCCTTGGGCAGCTTCTTATTCGCCTCTAGCCCAACCAGCCAGCAGTCAAACAAGTTCCCAGACCTCACAGTGTACCCTTTCAAAATATCCAACCCAGAGCGTGGCAACTGCTGGTACGACATCTCTGAGTGTTTATAGACGGCTGTTTCGCCCTCCTTACGAGTGGGGGAGACAGTGGCCTGCGATGAGAGGAGGAGCGGATGGGCATCTTTCGTGGAGGAAAGGTAAGCGTTACCAAGCAACAAGGAAACAATTAGGAGCACTAATAATAGGGCAAAAATGGCATCCGTCGACATAATTGATGGGGGTGGAGGAGAATAGATCGGGGTGTCAAATCCGTCGCGATTTATCAGACCAGGTGCAGTAAAAGCATATCAGCCGCAGCAGCGACACCAAGAGGGTATAAGCTTGGCAAATCATTCATTAACTTCATGATATTTGAAGTATATATAGGTATTATATTCTAAAATTATATAGGTCTGGTTATTACTAAATCGGCCGTACTATGTTTTATTATCATCTATCGATTTCTAATATTAATTGTCGCAACTGGGCGTGTCAACCTGTTTGTGTTTCAATAGTTTTTTCTGAGTGTAGGCCAAATACCATACCAGTACCGATTTTCTGATCCCCGGTTAATAGATCTTACGACCGAGATCAAATAAAGATTGGTGTATATTTTTTTTTTAATTCATCATTGAACCTTGATATGGACCTGACTACAGTATCACCAACCCTAAGTCTTACAACCGCTAATTAGGCCGTACGTTATGTTTGTATAACCCTAGCCAGCGGTGTAGTACTAAAACAATGTTATCGTTTAAATAGCAATCAGAAAGGACACTAGGTACCAAGGAATATGATACTTTCTATATCATGCTGATTATTTTCCACCTTTATTTGGTTTCCACGTCAGACACTGGTCTTAGCGTCCAATTCTCTAAGCTCGTAGCACAGATTCAGCAATGACCATGGCTCAGATCAGAATCATAAACGCATACGATACACACACTATTCCCCCGAGTAACACACAATCCTTTGCCGCACTCTTCAACACTTCGCTTCGCGGTTTTGGAGACGCCTCGGTGTGCAACGGCAAACCCGAGTACCGAACGTTTTTTGCAAGCATGCTGAAGAACCCAGACAGCTCTCCCATTCGTAAATGACCATACAAAATAACAAGGAGGGAGATAGCCGCAAGCACCACGTACTGAAGTATATCCATGTACGGCGTAGGCAAATAGCACATCTTGGTTCTATAAAATTCAGCTCCTGCGTTTTTCCGAATAGACAACATCTGGAAAGCCGGATATTTGATCCCCATGGCCATGCTGAATGACTTGACGGTGATCTCCCGTGCGGTTCGCTGCTTCCCTTTCACCTGATAGGTGTGAGTGACATCACAGTAATCATGATCATCGCCACTGTATACCAAATCTGGCTGGACTTTCTGCAAGATCTCCTGGGACAAATCGTTATCGATGACCGTTTGATATTGGTACCCTTGGACCAACGGAAATCGTTTTGCTTCTCGGTCTGCCCCACACACGCCCTCATCGTTGGACCGATACAAAGGAACGTGGGTCAAGAGCACCCGGTGCACCGTTTCGTCGCTTGCGTGTTTCACAGTAAATGTGTCTAAAAACTTTCTTGCCTCGCCGTTGATTTCCAGAGCCTTTGCGGAAAGAGAGAGGGTATCCAAGGTGACAAACTCTACACGCCGTTTATCCCCCAAGGAATGCGATTTAACCGAGTTTGGCGTGCCAAAGTCTGCTTTAAACCGGGCCATTGCGTGGGACTTGACGCCATCGGCCCAGCCAATGTCGTGGTTTCCCGGTAGCCCTAATGCAAGGTGGATCTTTGACGCGTCTTTGCCGGCAACATCAAACAAACCGCCGTACTGGAAGATGTCACGGAACCTCTGCAATTCGTGGCTGTAGTACGAGTCCGAGGCCGACCGCCCGTTGTCAAGGTAGTCTCCTAGGAACACGATATCGTTGAACGAAGCGGACGGGTTGGTTGAACGCAACTGCTTTACAATCGCTCTGTAGTTCTTCTTTAAGTATCTATCGGTGGTGAACTTGGAGATCTGGAGTAACGGCTCTGGCCGTCCCGGGTATGTGTGGTTGTCTATGAGCTGCGGATCCGCTATCATCACAAAGTTGTGCCATTCGGATGGTGTGGCGTCCTGAAGACCCTCCCAGCTGCAGTTTGTCGCCAAGTGGTGGTTGATCCAGAACACCTCGTTGTAGTAAAAGGAGACCCACCAGGCCAAGCCTAGGAGAAGAATGCTAGAGAGGGAACACGACAGACTGAAAGACTTTACAGTCGCCAATAGCAATCTAATGGGTTTCATAAGTGGATAAACGGGATATACTTTGAATAGTTATAGCGTTGTGAAATGAGGTAGGTAAATACACGTCGCAAAACGGACGCATACATGTTAGAGCCGCATGTATGCTAATCTGATGGGCATGTATGCTAATCTGAATAGCACATATCTGAGATCAGATTACAATGAGCTTTGCTCCAATCCGTATACATATACATTCATATATATTTCTTATTACATAACTAAAAAAATAATCAAATTAAAACCAACAAAATCAATAAAAATTTAGAAGGTTTAATCTTGAGTCTTTTGAGTACCACGCAACAAACCAGTTCTTCTGGCGGCAATCAAACCAGCCTTTTGACCTGGGACGGCACCTCTAGAAATAGTAGAAGCCTTACCAATATGTTGATGGTTACCACCACCGTGAGGGTGATCAACTGGGTTCATGGCAACACCTCTGGTCTTTGGCCAAGAGTTTCTCTTAACCTTGAACTTGTGGAAAGCTCTACCAGCCTTCAACAATGGCTTGTCAATTCTACCACCACCAGCAACAACACCGATGACACCTCTGACGTCAGAAGAGATAACCTTCTTGGCACCAGATGGCAACTTAACTCTGGTCTTGTTCTCGTCTGGGTTGTGACCGATGACGATGACGTAGTTACCAGAGGTTCTAGCCAAAGCACCTCTGTCACCTGGCTTTTCCTCAACGTTGGAAACGATGGTACCTTCTGGAACGGAGCCCAATGGCAAGACGTTACCGACGTTCAAAGAAGCCTTCTTACCGGCGTAGATGAACTGGCCAGTGTAGACACCTTCGTTAGCGATGAAGGTTTCCTCTCTAAGCTTGTACTTGTATGGGTCTCTGAAAGAAACCTTGGCCAATGGAGCACCTCTACCTGGGTCGTGGATGATCAGCTTCACGATACCACGGATGTAACCGTGACGCTCAGCGTAATCGAGGGTTCTCAACTTGGCGGCACCCTTTCTCAATCTGGTGTGAGAAGTGAAAATGGAACCAGCACCCTTTCTTTGGTTACGAATGACTCTACCTATATAGGCGTTAGTATACTGGTGTGTGGTAGCTTCGGTCGGCGAGAGAATATACCATGGAATCCAAACTGCCTTCGGCAAACCACTTTATAGGATATCAGTATGGCGGATACCCATTATTTCTGGTTCGGTGTTCACAACAGGAACGGCTTTCACTCAGTCGATTGGAAAACTTTTCATGGCGTGGTGGAATTCTCTTGCTTGATAGACACGATGGCTAAGCTTGCTTTATGGTGTCACATACCCATTTTTGATGTTTTTGAGGTTTACTGAATAGCAAGAAAATTGTAACTATCTACAGAGTTTTTTTATCTATACACTTTTGGTGAAAATTCGGTTAGTGTGCACCTGCAACGCTCACACCGCTGCCTCTCTGGGTAGGAAACTGCTAAGTGAGGGAAAATTGTGAGTGTGGGAGGCATATTATGAGAGGAGGAGGGTAACCCCAATACTTGCAGGACTTTTCTCATTGAGGAGGGACAAATTTTTCACGCGGGAAACGCTTTCAGCGTAGTGTAAGACCAATATCCTGCACCGATGCATGTCGAGCGATGTCGAAAAAATTCAGTTTATTTCTCCTCTGTAACTGTGACTGTGAAAAAGCCCTGTGTATTGGCACGTGATAATACTGCGGTACCCTGTGATATTGTGGGGTGCTGGCCCAGCGCTCATCCATAGGTATAATGCGGGTATTAACATACCTAGAACGGTATCTAGTTTATAGCCTAATCGCTATCAGCGTGTAATCATCCACTAGCGTGGTTAATAAATTTACTCCGTTTATTGACACTAATACTGCCAGATGTAGAATGCTGGTGCCTCCCGCGTGTCCCTCTATATGCATCATGGAATCACTGTAACAGTAGACTGGTTGTCAGCGGCAAAGGCCAGAATTGTATGTGGTGCTAACTGAACTTTTTAGATGATAAGCACCCCTTCGTCTTCGAAAGTTGCCAAGGCATCTTGGTTGGCAAACAACAACACCCATGCACCCCAGATCAACAACCCTACGTTGAACATCCCCAAAACAAAGAAAGGCAATCCGATCCAGTGGTAGTGATCCATACCCCATCCCCCGGCTTTGCTGATAACTAATACCCCCACACCGCCGCACAAAGTGTAAACCCCCGCTACCGCACCCTTGTTCCTCACATCCTGGTTGGTAATCAAGGACAACGAGAGGAGAGAGGCACCCATCTGGGAGATTCCAATCAACGAAACGTGCCAAATCTTCCCCGCGCTGAGGGGTTTATCAGTACTGGCAGCAAAAGCAATACCAGCGCAGCCCCATGTCCCCAAAATGGCACCGGCAATCAAGCATTTGATCGCACCCTGGTTGGTGGTGGTGGCGGTGGTCTGTTCACCCTCGTCAATGGAAGAAGGGTGGGTCTTCTTCCTGAACATATTCATGCGAGCAGAGAACTTTGACGAATCGGTAAGGATACCCCACAACGGGGCGGTCAACAACGCGACAGTTTGGCAGATCCCCGTCAAGATAGACGCCAGGACGTACGCTTCGTGGCACTGCTTCTTCATCTCTCCGCTCCCGGTATCCTCACTAGCGCATTGCTTGGTAACATTGTGGTAGTAGTTATATATCATAAGGGGAATGAACACAGCGGTGGCAACGGTGGTGGAACGAGCAACAAAAGAGCCATAATACGCAAGTGCGATCTGAGGATTAACCGTGGACAAACGGAACCCGTGCTGGATCGATCTCAAGTAGTTTTCCTTCGGAGTCTGGTCGTAGATAGAATCGTCGAAGGGGGTCTCATTCGTCATACCCTTATACCTGCCAAATGTGACAAGCTTCTTGAAGACACGGGTCTTTGACTTTTCGTTGTAGAGTCCCCAGTACAAGCCAACGGCTGTGAGAAAAGAGATGGTAGCCACAAGTTGATATGTCCTCACGATAGCGTTTCGGGCTGCAAGTTTAGACACCAAGGTTGTGTAGCTGCCAGAAAGCTTTGTGGGCAACGGGAGATAAACGCTGATGGCCCAGATCGCGCCAAGCCCAGTGGAGACACCGATCATGGCCGTTAACACTCCGTTCTTTTTCGAAGGGACCGCAGAGCTTTCCTGCGCCTCCTCTTCCTCCAGAAGTCTAATCTGGGAGTCCTGGTTTTTTAAAAGTCTTTGTTTTATCCCCTGGGTCCAGGCTCTCAAGTCGGCTTTAAAAGTGGTTAGCTGGTACCCGGACGTGGTAATTTCCGCTAGCATAGTGGTGATCATCAACGCCGAGGACGTAGCGCCCACGGTAAACACCAATCTCCAGAAGATCAAGTGGTAATACACCGTGTCACTGCCATCCACGTTGGTGATGCTGGTGAAGCCAAGGAAACTCGCACCAATGACACACAAGCCGAAGATAGTCAATGGCTTTGACCCGATGTAGTCACTAAAGGCTCCAATAAATGGAGATAAAATTATGGAAAGAATCTCGTCGTAAAATCCCAAGTTTCCGATAATGGTTCCGAGCTTCATGGACTGCTGGGATGCTTGCTGGGGGTAGTTTAAGGCGTCGCTAACGAAAAAAGACTGGGTGGTGGCGAGGAACACAATGAAAGAGATGGACGAGAACGACGCAAACATGACTGCGAGAAAGTTCTTCGTGGTGAACGGCATCTTGCTGTATAACTAAACAAGATCGGGTCTATAATTAACAGTGAGGGAGATGCTAAAAACTCGCAAAAGCTACTCTGGATACGATAAACTGATAGTTGGCTTGATATCCAGCAGTGTCTCCTGGAAAGGTAAATTCTAGGAGTAATAGAGGCTCATAGAATTCCCGATAAATTTCCATAAGCCAAGAGAAGAGTGGTGAGAGGGAGTAGGCCCGTTGCAGTGCTATATCCGATGTCTCCTTTGGTAGATAACCACTTGGCTCTCAATTATTGTTATATGCAGGGTACTTGAGAGGTCGTGCATTCGCAAAGTGCTAGCCACTAAGGTTGCATTTGTGGGGTGCAGGTGGCTGCCGAAGCCTCGATGGCGGCAACAAGTCTTCCCAGTCCTGTAAAGACGATGCATAAGGGTATCCCTTCAGGATAGCAATGCCCTGGCCATGCTCACATACATATTTCTAAGCCACATCATGCAGGGTTTTCATCCTTTCAAGCTTCGCTGCTAATGAGTAACTTAACTGCTCCGAGTCGGAGATTTATTGTGCGTATGCCCATCTTTTAACTGACAGAGGCTTTGTTTCCCGCTATTTCAGCAGGGTCATGATAGCGTATCGAGCTACTATGCCGTGGGTAAATATAGCGCTTGTTCTCGGATCAATAGATAGAGCCAGTGGTGTACCAGTTGTCCGTCAGACAGAGCCTTGTGTCTCTCTCCGGGTTCATGCAGGAATGTTGAAGTTTAGACAATGGTCACCCGAGCTTTCACTTGAACGGCGCCTCTCTTAAACCGTGGCCTGGTTTGAGTTTTTTATTTGCAGATAATATGCATAACTCTACGCACCGTGTAGGCTTGTATCAAGACTATCGGTATGGTTATTAGTAGGCCGTTGAACATTACATGTCGAGCGGTAACACTCGATTTTCTCGATTTTTACAACGCCTAGTATTTAAGTTTCTATGAAAATAACTGTCGAAAGGTATTTCCTAGTCCATCACAAGCAATTCCCGATTTTAAAAGCGATTACACTGGGACTTGGATGCTAAACGCTGCCACTTTGTACAATAAAACTGATTGAACCGAGGACTAGCAAAAACTACACAGGACCTAGAACGATAGATGGTGGAGGAGGTTACAGTCTCTTCCCAGTGTCGATCTATAGAGCTTTACATGGTGTATCACGTTCGTCTAACCGGGAATCTAAAGATCTGAGGAGTTTAATACTTACCCGAAACTTTCCCCTGGTTAGCCTCCCCAACTTTTCGGATCCTTCAAATTTTTGTACAGTAAGCTACCGATGGAAGTTATTAGGTCTCTAGATTCCCCGAGTAATCGGAAAAAATATGGGAGGTCTGACTCCTGGGTGGATGGTCGAATCGAGAGCTCCGAGGGTAGCTCTTTGCGTTATCGTGCATATCTTCCCGCGGAACCGTGCATATTTAGCGACTTTGCTAAACCCTTTTCGAGGCCAAATGACGCACCGACATATAACTATATCGAGAAACGTCTGCCTGTAATAAGCGTGTAACTATCACGTGGTAGGGATCGATACCCTATTTAGGGAGATCGATCCTTCCCTCGTCTTATATACATTTTATAGCTGACCAGTATACTGCCATAAGTAGATATTCTACCCTCGAAATGTATCACAAGCCACTTGGGCTCACAAATCGCATACTCCCTACATCGCATACTCCCTGCACCGAGTACGGTCCTAAGCCATGACATGCTGTAAGATACCTCCTGTTACAACACACAGAACCCTATATGATGAAAACTCGCATTCGTTATTCAAGGAACTAGAGTCCCACGATTTTGAAGCCTAAAACTAGCGTTACAAAAAACCCCACGTAGGGCCAAATCCCCCTATCATCCAGATCTTTACATGTTTAACTATGGAATCCCCCAGCAATTCAAGGTGGAATCCCACTTTCGCGGGAATGCCCTTGTAAAATCCGTCGTGGCTCTTTCCATTTTCTTCTTTGGCTATGATCGAGGTGTGATGGCCGGTATCAACCGCTCCCCGGACTATGTCCGTGTGATGGAGTTAGGCTACGCAAACGAAGATGGCTCCATCACCGTCACCAACTCCAGCAAGTAAGGTGGACACTATAGTCTCCGTGTACTCCTCCGAAACCGCCAATCACACACTGAGAGGTGCCTTTATCTCCGTTGAGTTTACCCTAAACATCTTCGGCATAGTTGTGGCGTATTGGGTAGAATACGGGTTGTCATACATCAATGGGAGCGGTAGTGCTATTCGATGGCGGTTACCAATTGTTTTGCAGATTGTCCCTCTTTTGGTGCTCATCTCCATTGTTTGGTTTTTCTCTGAGTCCCCGAGGTGGTTTGTTAAGAATAATGAGAATGACTTGGCCCGTGAATTGTTGATGAACATGAGAGGGAATGACACTGGTGTTCAGTAGTATGATGAAATTGTCTCTGCGGTTGAGTTTGAGAAAAGTGGTGGCGTTAGCTTATCGTCAAACTATTTCAGAATGATCACAGGTATTTTCAAATACGACACTCCAGAGGAGAAGGAAAAGCTAGACCGGTTGCATATCCCAAGACGTATTTGGTTATGTATCATCATCCAGGTCGTGCAAGAATGGACTGCTATTGCCAGTATAGCTGTGTACCTGCCAAAAATCTTTGCGCAGGCCAGGTTTGGACCCAGAAAGGCTGCCTGGTTATCAGGATTAAACATCTTTTACATGTTTTCGACCTTGGTCAGTGTATTCACTATTGACAGGTTTGGTAGAAGGTTCACCTGTTACTGGGGTGCTGTGGGTCAAGGTTTTTCAATGTTCCTTGCTGGTGGGTTCTCTCTCCTCCAGCAAGCTAACCCCGATAGCAAGAGTTATGGTGCTGCCACCGCGTCCTTAGTGTTCATTTATACCTCCATCTTTGGTGCTACTTGGTTAGGAGTTCCGTAGTTGTATCCAACGGAAACCTTTCCGCTTCCGATTAGAACCCAGGGGAATGCCTTCAGTGTTGCCAGTTGGAGTATTGGTAGTGGGTGGTTGACATTGCTCAGTCCGGTGATGTTCGATAACATTGCGGAGAAGACATTGTACCTCTTTAGGGGCTGTAAGCTTGCGGCCATTCCAATGATCTATTTCATCTATCCTGAAACCGCGAATAGAACCTTGGAAGAAATTGATTGACTTTTCGCCCTGGAAAGCCCCCTCACGTTTTCGTGTGAGTCTGAATTTGTCAGGATTCATGAACTGCAGCGGTATCTTATGGAACAGAAAGGAGGCCCTTCTGATGACGAGTGTTTCATTGATAGTGAAAGCAATAAGAAGCCGATTGAAGCCGAGCTCTTCGAGTGTCCTTAGGTATCTGTGATTAAACGTAACTTTTTTTTTGTCAATATCGTACATATGTAACTTGGGGAACTAGTAATACCGGTGCATATAGCTATATTCCATTCTATTTTTGTTTCACTTATACATAAAAAAATTTCTATACCTATATATAGTGCTTGACTAATACACGATCTTTAAAAATATATCTTATTCGTAAATTAAAATCTGGTCTAGACCTTTGTTGAAATTAGATCGAATCATACATAAAAGTCTTGTCAGTATATATCCCTAAAGCGTGTACTGTAATACTCGGGGGGATGTAACAGCGGTTCAAAACATTAGCAAGCAGCTTGGCGGGAGAAGAAATCCCCTCAGCGGACAATAATATCCCTGTCACGGAGCTGATTCAGCTACCCTCGTTGTCATGGTTAATACCATCAACCTGACTGCTCTCAGCAGAGGGGACAACATGAGACTCCTTTTCAGGCTCTTCTTTCTCCAGTGCTTCCTTCTTCAAGTAAGCCTCTCTGGCAGCCACAGCCTTCTTGACTTCTTCAATCTTGGAAATAAAAGCAGGCCTTAAAGTGACTGATTTTCCGTTCAACTTTTGTTTGGACAATTGGTCAATGGCCAAGGCTTGCCCGTTATCTATGGAAATTCTCACCAAGGCACTGACTTGGCTGTGGTAACCGAGCTTAAGAGAGTCCCGACGCTTTCCTGTAGCTCTTCCTTTGAAAATGTAAATCTCGGATGGGTTAAAGTCGGCAAAGAAGGAGCGTAAATCGGTATCTGTGGTTTTGGATGAGATTTTGCCCACAAAAATGGTATCCTCCGAAACCTCTCTTTCGCTCTTGCTGGCGACCTCTACGTACTCGGGGGCATCGGCCTGCGATCCTTGAATAGAATTTTCCTCAGACTCGGAGGTATTAAGCTTCACCTCCTCGCAGCTTCCGTCTTTGCAGCCAGTCTCTGAGCTTTCCACCTCTGGAACTGCAGCGCAGACTGGTTCACATTTCTTCTGTTGATCGTTAGTATCCTACGAAACGGTGCAAAAGTCACTGGTTACATACCTTGCGAAAATAAGATCTGGTCTTCTTGAGCGATGCCTTGTAGACTGGGGAGTAGGGGACGTGCGCTTTAATCAGCAATTTTCGGTTATTTAATGCTGTTCCGTTCAAACTGGCTGCCGCCTTTTCCGCCTCCTCTGCATTTTCAAACACAATATAAGCAATGCCTAAGGGTCTTTGTTGCACCGATCTGAATCCGCGAACAGTGCGGTTTGGGATAAGCACGTTGGTTCTATACATTAAGTTAGTAGCCGGTGGAGTATGTGTCGCAGAAAGGGTAAACGTTACACCTTGTAGCTCTGGAAGTACTCGGCCAAGTCTTCTTCGGTAGTCTCGTAGCTAACATTAGAGATATAGAGGCGATTTGAGTATACAATCAGAGGAGTCAGCTCTAAAACCTCACTGGACTCCAACCCAGTTGCAGTTACCGGGGATTCGGCAATCGCAGCGATAGAGGAGGCTAGGTCCTGGACCTCTTCTCGTGGCAAGGATTCGATGGTATTTGGCGGCATTGAGAAATTTTCAATTAAACTATGGTCGCTAATTAGAAAGAGTTTTCAATAAGTATAAAAAGTAGCAGTGTAAAAATGTGGATATATTTATTTTTTTAGCCGCCATTGAATACCGGTTCCTGTCGGCGACACATGTGGTTTTGTGGCAAGTTCCAAAGAACGTGGCGCACGGGAAGTGGGCGGTTGTGGTCTGTTTCTCAATGAGCCATAAGCTATTGTGCAACCTTGTGATTGGACTGCTATGAAATTAATCACATAATTCATTGAATGCCATACGCTTACAATAGTCAAATAGATTTTATACCATGAAATTATTCATTAGATAATTATACAAGAACTCATTGAATAAACCATAAGCTTTATTATGTGTAACCTGTGAGAGAGAATCCAGCGTGAGAAAACCATTGACCGAAATTAAAATATTATGGAGATTAACTTGGGGAGAGAATTTAAGCCTTGGCCTTAGCTTCTCTGGCAGCCTTCAAAGCCTTAGCGTCACCGTGCAAAGCAAACTTGTGGTTTCTTCTGAACTTGGCATCGACACCCTTCAACGATGGGTATCTGTTGGTCTTAGGCTTCTTAATACCGTTACGGTGGGCCTTCTTGGTTTGGTTGTGGGCGGTATGGTTCTTAGACTTAGACATCTGAAAATTTGTTAGTATTGCTTCCAACTGGAGCCTGGACTGCTTTATGGTTGGGAGAGAATTGGATTCACGGCTCAAAGTGCTGCAGAGTTTTCAGCCCGGCGCTGGGTACGCAACTGGTGCCAGTGGCACAGCGGGAGTTCCGGAGTAGGTCGGAGATGTGCTTCAGTTTAGCCATAAAACGACGTGAAACACAAAGCCAGCAACTAATCGGTACACTCCGTTGGGAGAGCTCGGAGGTGAAAATTTCTGGCAACAATCACAATCTCTGAACCAATTCTTTCAACAATCACAGCAAAGGTATGGGGCGCCACTTACTTTGACCTAGATATAATTCCTATATAACAACAAAAACCGCACTATGTTTGGGTTCAGCTTTCTTTAAATCACGTATATCAACTCCTACTACGGCCAGAAAGGAGGTGCATGGTGGCTCACCCATTCCGTGCTAACTGTTAGTGGGTCAACCACACTATGTCCCCGACGGTCTTCTCACTATATTGGGTACTCCCACTACCTTGGGGATCCAAGGCACCTGAGCCTTCGAGAGAAAAAATTTCAGTTTTTCGTGAAAATTTTTCCAAATCCAGTACTGATTGGGACAGGTTTGGCAAGAGCCCTATATTATATCACGTGCGTTTCACGTGAACTGAGTTTGTTCACATGTTTATGTACAGGATATATTTTTTCTTTTCAGCCCCGCCTTAGCCACATCTTGACAGCTCTATAAACGCGATTTGGTTAGCTAGACCCATCGCGTAAAGTATACGCCTATTACGGTGAATTATTGATAGAAAAACCCATGTTTGAGACCGGAAATTATTAAACGTAAAAAGACATATAGAGAAAGGTTAAGGGAAGGTAGGGCACTTAAGCCTTGACACCAGAGGCCTTGACTCTCTTGGCCTCCTTGGCCTGGGACTTGGCACCCAAGATACCACCACCCCAGTGTCTTCTGGCGTCTTCGTACTTTTCACCAAAGTTGGCGTTGACGGTAGAGACCAAGGTGGCCAATTCAGCTTCGTCTTCGGCTCTGACTTCGGTCAAAGCAGCGACAGAGGAAGTCTTCTTGTGGACCAAGGTCCCCAATCTAGCCTTACCCTTCACAATGGCGTATGGAACACCCATCTTTCTGCACAAAGCTGGCAAGAAGATGACCAACTCAATTGGGTCAACGTCGTTGGCAATCAAAACCAACTTGGCCTTCTTGTTTTCAATCAAGGCGACAACGTGGTTCAAACCGTACTTGATAGCGTATGGCTTGGCGGAGACATCCTTGGCGGTCTTACCGTCAGCGATGGCGGCGGCCTCCTTGGTCAACCTTTCCTTCTTTTCGGCAGAGGTCTCTGGTCTGTACTTGTTGAACAACTTGAAGGTCTGGGCAGCAGAGTTTCTGTCCAAAGTAGACTGGAACTGAGAGATGGCTGGAGGAACCTTCAATCTCAAGGACAAGATCTTCTTTTGTCTCTGTAATCTAACGTATTCTGGCCACTTGACGAATCTGGACAAGTTTCTCTTTGGCTGGACGGCCTGGCCGATACCAAAGTTTCTTGGGGTAGATTCCGTCAAAGGGTTCTTTGGGTTAACCTTCTTGGCGGACTTGTTGGCTAATGGGGCTGGGGCAACTTTCTTGGCAGGCTGTGTCATTGAGTTAAAGTTAGCAAATCATGTTCCTTTGAGGGACAAGAATCGTACTAAACCTTTGGACTCTACAGTTTCTTTAAAGGAAACTCAGCCTGTGCAAGAGGTGAATCAAGCACATTATAGATCCTTTCAAGGTTGCATAGAACAGAATTCTGATGCACACTTATAGTCACTAAAATGATGTTATTTACCGCTGATCGGCTTGTTCTTCGAACGGTAGAGGAACCTCGACCGGAATAGCAAGCACAAAATCGAGATAATAATGGCAAGAACTCCTAGTGCACAACCAGTTTTGTCTTAAAGAATCATTGGAGAGAACGAAAGTTTGGTACTTTTTTCATCATCCTAGGGTGAAGCTAGGCTTCATAAGACATCGAACATACCATTTTGACGTGTGATTAAGGATACTGTTAATCTTTCGGTGTGATGTGTAGAAGAACTTGTTACTTTTATGCAACGCAGAACGGCTGGTTGTGGTTGGAAAAGTTTTTCCCTGAGATCTCGTGAAGTGTGTACCCATATGTTTGCGTGATGAAATTTACGCAAAGCTGCTGAGGACGTGCGGCGCTGTTATACGGTTAGGTGCATACGTCTACTTCTGGCACGGGTATTTGGATGACAAAGATCGATATGTAGCGATTGATAATAGACTCTGTGTAATTTTCTGGTAATCGGGGTGTTCGAAGTCTTTTCAACGGCACAATACGTTATTCGGTCTATTGGCTGATTGGGTCAACTAAATCAGCTTAATCCTCGTTAATCTTTGCGTTGACACTGATGTCATCGTAAACATCAAATCGCCTCTGAAGAGAAACTGGAATGCTCTCCCGGGCCATGTGAATCACCTCTGGGTCTAGCTCACAGAAAACAGTCTGCTCACCTTCCCCTGCCTCTGCTATAATTTTGCCAAAGGGGTCCACCACTAAGGAGTGACCGTAGGCTGGGTAGAGCCCAGAGTCTGGATTTCTGGCCGGAGAGCATAAAACCGTAAAGATTTGGTTATCGATAGCCCTTGAACGGCCTAATAACTGGCCACTGGTGGCATTGAAAGAGCCAGGATAGAACATGGCAAAGGCGTTGTGCTTTCGAGCGGCAATTGCAGCAAGCTCAGGAAATTTGATGTCGTAGCAGATTGCTAGCCCAATTTGGCCAAAGGATGGTAGTGCGATATTAGTGGCTTTGTCTCCTGGGAATAAACTATCCGATTCCCTAAATGCGCCTTTCGGGCTATCTAAGTCGAATAAATGCACTTTGCGGTGCTTTCCAATAAGCTCTCCTTTCACGTTGAATGTAACAGAGGTGTTATATACCTTTTCACCATCAAGCTCAGGTATTGAACCGCCCACAATTATTACACTGAGGCTTCGAGCTAAAAGGGACAAAAACTTGGTGGTTTTACCGTTTGGAATGGGCTCGGCGTACTCACGGAACTTTGCAACATCATATGGAGAATTGAAGAATTCTGGTAGCATGAGCAAGTCCACATCTGGGTAAATATTTTTCGCATTCGTCGCGTACTCTTCAACCTTTGTCAAATTTGCTGATACGCTCGTACCAGGGGCCACTTGTAACAAGGCAATCTTCAACTTCTTGGCTAGCAACGGAACTGCGGTTATGTCAAATATAAGCAGTAAGTTCAGTATATCTGCTGAATACTTTTATTCAATATAAAGGATGTTTATCAATTTGTCTAATTATGTTTAATTCATAACCAATACCTCGACCGTGAGTCATCTGGTATATAACTGAGTCATACTCAAACTGCCCGTGAACAGGCCTCGCTTGAGTTACTACGACACAGTATTGTGCCGGCCATCATGCAAGCATTAGTATCCACACGCTCACCACGTAAGATCCGAATTTTAGTTTGTATACAGGCAAAAGTAGATTCATCGCGTAACAAATTGTGGATAACAGGAAATGTGCATTCGTATATATAATCAAGCTAAATGTATATACGAAAGGAAGCATGTACTTTCACTCAAAGCCTATGTCTAATGCGTATAATTATATACATATATATATATTATAATGTCGGATTGTATCCCATAAATTAAATTAATTAATGTTAGTACGCAAATCAAATGCATATTAAAACTAAATATATATCTTATCTATTAATAGACATATATCAATAATCAATATCGCGTGCATACACTCGCAATTTCATGCTTAGAATATTTAATATACGAAATATCTCTATATCTACACTCCCAGAATACTGTTTGATTCTCAACCACACATACGCACCAATGATTTATGTAACTGTTTTCCGAGCGGCTAGCCGCCTCGTCGATGTCGACGGTTAGTCACGTCCATCCAAAAGCGTACTTCGCACACAATCGATTACGCTAAGGGGAATTATTCCCACTATTTATACATCCAGTAACACCAGAAGTTAAATATAACCAAACTCTCTCCTCTACCTGTTGTTGGGCGAGACCCAACACTCGCTCACAGCTCACTCCGCTGCCATTCCCTACGGAGAAGCCTCTCAACGGCTTGCACCAAAGAGTACATATGGCCTCTATGCCGGACAGAAGCAAGTTTTTCTTAGGCCGCGTGACACCGATAGGCGACGATAGCGTACCAACAGTGACAAGCAGGGCGAAAAAGTCGCCGGAGTTGGGGGCCAGTTATCAGTGCAGTTTAATCCCTCTAGTACATGCAAACACGCTTTTTTCCTTTTCAATTAGGTACAAACCTTGCTCTATATACCTTGCCCGTTTAGCCAGTGTCATCCATTTATACACACGGCATCTACCCTTAAACATGAGCTACTTCATTGACTTACTAAACCATCCAGTGGTAGACATGGCAGTTTCTAATGTCACCCTTCCAGCTGATCCCGGCCCGGTCACGTCACCCTTGAGGCTTGCCTTATCTGGTGTGGCCGGTTCCACATCGTAAGTAGAACCACACTTCTTATCAAGCCAAACACTAACCCTTTAGTCTTGCATGCTGGATCGTTTTGCTTCTTCCGCAGTTGATCGAGCAATGGCGGTTGAAGTCCGCCGAGGGGATTTCGTTGCAGTTTTTGCTGCTCTGGTTCCTTGGTGACGTTTTCAACTTGGGAGGTGCTCTTTGGGCGAACCTTTTACCGCAAGTGGTTTTCTTAGCCATCTGGTACTGCATTGCCGACTTTCTTTCCCTCTTCTCTTACTTCTACTACACCAAAATCTATCCTAAGCACCACAGGAAACACACACATGGCGCTCATGACACCACACCATTGATCGGTGAAGAGAGGAGACGCTCAAGCGGCCGCCGTAGAAGATCCTCCACGTTGGAAGCCACCGTCACCGAAAATAACTCTGTATTTCTCAACTACATATTGCCAGTTTTGTTTGTCTGTGGCGCTGGTGTTTTTGGCTACTATATCTCCGGCTCGCAGTCCCACAGCGACGTGCCTGCGCCTGAACCATCCCCACACGACAAGATTGCCATGGGGCCACAGGTGATGGGCTACTTGTCTGCTGCGCTCTACTTGGGGGCCAGGATCCCGCAGATCTGGCAGAATTACAAGAAGAAGTCCGTTCACGGGTTGAGCTTGCTCTTCTTCATCTTTTCCGTGTTCGGTAATCTCACCTACGGTGCCCAAATTCTCTTGTACAGAAGCGACTCTGAGTACGTGTTGTTGAACTTGAGCTGGCTTTTGGGGTCTATCGGGACAATTTTCCAGGACGGTTTCATCTTCATGCAATTCTATATGTACAGAGAAGATTCCAAGGAAGCTGTCATCGAAGAGTGACCCGGCTGCATTCATTGAACTCTCGTGCATTATCTCCATATTAATACTATACGTATATTAGAAATAGACTGTAAACAGATGTACTACTTACAACCCGCAAGCAAGTAATTATGCCAAGGGAGGCAACATGTCCTTATGCATTCTGTAAACCCAGACGATGGAGCTCTGTTACAGTTATGTATAAAATTGTTTTGCTCCAGATTCCATAAGCCTGAGGGGAATAATCACGAGAGTCACGTCTTATGACAGAGCTTCTGTTGTGAAAGGCACCGAGATAAGTGATGACCCAGAGATGCAAGGACCACCCTCGAAGACGTAATCGTAGACTCTACAAGTGACGCAGGTTTAAATAAATTTAGGAGCCAAGACACATCTGGGGAAAAACACCAGTGCTAAATATACCCCGGAGATAAACACCGTAGCACAACGTCAACGTTTATCAAATAAAAACAATAACAACGAGAAAACCCGCGCAGATCGCTCCACGTACCGCAGCCATGGGTCTATTAATAGTGCCTTGCAGCCATCATGCCGCTTTCTCTCGAAAGTCCTGCGCGCACACAGAGGTTTTTCCCTTAATCTCCCCCTTACGGAAAGCTGGTAATTCCCGTTACCCGGCTGAGATCACCACACCGGCGCATCTCATGTGTGCAGGTGGCCCTGAGTGCATCACCACGTACTACGAAAAGCTAGCAAGAAAAATAGTTTGTGAAAAGCGGTGAGATCGCTAGACAGTGGCATACGAAGGTCTGCTTAACCATTCACGTGCACAGTACCAATCTACCGTATACATCTGTTGCTTGCTTTTCTGGTCCATTGTTTTTTCCAGTCACTTGTGCATCTTACGCCGGTACCCAATTGCTGATCTAGAAACCACCTGTGTTTGCCTGTCACGTTCCTTTCCGTGTATAGTCACCACCCAGACAGAGTACTGCGCCTGGAATAGACCCAGAACTGAACCCGTGGCGCTTAACCATTCACAAGCATGACTAACTTTAGGTATGTATCTCCATTATTGACCTGAAATGATTTGAGAGTGGATTTGCGGTGTACCGTGACCTGGTGCAATTTGATGAACGTTGCATTGGCCTGCAACCTGCTTAGCAGCTAGTTTACGGATCATTCCGTGGCTGACTTTGCGGCTTGTATCGCGGCATGGTTTACAGATCACTACCTTGCACCGTTATATCTGTCGCCTCAGACACCCCTTTTACTCCAGCTTACTAACCCTGCAGTCCCAAATCCCGATCGAACCTCTGGAGAGGCCCGGTATATCTCTCTCTCCTTTCGCTCGGTGCCCTACTATTTTTCATCTACCAGAAGCTCGCCTCTGGCCGCTACACCCCTAACTTTGCTGCCCACGAGGGCGTTGAGTTCTACGACTTGCTAGACTCCGTCGGTTCTGACGACGGCTGGCAGCGCGAGGAACGTGTGCTTTTTTGTGTGCCTCTCAGAGACGCCGAGGCCCATTTGTCCATGTTCTTCGGACACATGCGCAACTTGACCTACCCGCATCACCTCATCGATTTGGCCTTCTTGGTTTCTGACTCTTCCGATGACACCATGGGTGCGTTGAAGCGTAACCTCCAGGCCGTACAGACCGACAAGGATAGCCGTTTGCATTTCGGGGAGATTGAGATCTTTGAGAAGGATTTTGGCCAGTCCATCGGCCAGGGTTTCTCCGACAGACATGGTTTCGCGGCCCAGGGCCCGAGACGTAAGTTGATGGCGCGCGCCAGAAACTGGTTGTGGTCCGTTTCCGTGAAGCCGCAGCACTCTTGGGTCTACTGGAGAGACATTGATGTGGAAACTGTGCCGCCAACCGTGTTGGAAGACTTGATGCACCACGGCAAGGATGTCATCGTGCCGAACGTGTGGAGGCCGTTGCCAGACTGGTTGGGCAACCAACAACCATACGACTTGAACTCGTGGCAGGAGTCTGACGGTGGGCTTGCTTTGGCCAACACCTTGGATGAAGATGCGGTGATTGTCGAAGGCTATGTCGAATACGCCACCTGGAGACCGCACTTGGCGTACTTGCGTGACCCTTACGGCGACCCAGAAGTGGAGATGGAGTTGGATGGGATCGGTGGTGTGTCCATCTTGGCCCGTGCTGCTGTTTTCCGCTCCGGCTCGCATTTCCCTGCCTTTTCGTTTGAGAAGCACGCCGAAACCGAGGCGTTCGGAAAGATGTGCAAGCGTATGGGCTTTTCCGTCATCGGGTTGCCCCACTACGTCATCTGGCACATCTACGAGCCGTCGTCCGACGACTTGAAGCATATGGAGTGGATGGCCCAGGAGGAGGTCAGACAGGAGGAGGAGAAGAAGTCCAAGGAGTTGTACGCGAAGGTCTGGGGTTCTGGCTTCGAAGACGCCAAGGATGAGTGGGAGAAGGAGAAGAATAAGATCTTGCGTAACGCCGACTTTGCCGACAGAAAGAAAATTGTCGTAGATTGGAGTGGAGCTGACGATTTCCCGGAACAGCCTCCGGGTAAGTTGGCAGGGTTTGACCCCAAGGCGTAGATCCCCATTTCTTGAACCATCACTTATCCATACATTCCATTCATACCTCCAACTTCCTTGGATTGCTTTGCGTTTTATTCATCATTATTTTTTCAAATTTCTGCCCTCTTTCACTGTATATTACTCTTAATCAAATTCCGTATAGACCTGGATGTAAGGACTAAAATCAGAGACGAGGAAATTCTCTACCAGAGGCATGAATCGAGAGGGAAACAAACTATATCGGACACAGCTATTTGGATCTATAACAAGTAATACGGATTAGATATCTGTATAACCATATCAATCGGAAGAAAAAAGGCACCATCAGCCTTGAGGCTTGTCAAGAGCAGACACAGTTGTAGAAAGTCCGTCTCTACCGTAAATATCCCTATAATTTAACTCATTTCGTTACCGGTTCCATCAGCATTTTTTTCATCTTGAACAGAAACAAGAAGCACTATCCTATACAGCCCTCGTGACTCCTACTTATATCATCCTGCATATAATCATTGACACCGATCCTACGAGTCTATCGACCTTAACAAGTCCATCAGGCACCAAAGGGGATGATGAAAACCACCACCACTTTCGTGTACGCCTCACCTGCTCCGTCCGACCAACGTAATAGCACAGAACGCGTTTACCCTTCATCCATATCCACAACCCATGCATACACCGATCTTCTTTGTGTCTCTAATCACACGCGACGTACGTATCCATACCTTTATCACAGTGCAAGACTAACTTCCTTTTCAGAACCGTCCTTTGTATATCCAACCCTTCACTCCATCCCCAGAGGGTGATTCCCCTAGCGATTTGACCCAGGACTCGCCCGCCAATGGGCTTCTCAAGTACAACTTCCTCAGCCACATGGCGTTAGACTCGTTTCTCCTGCCATTTTATGATTCCCAGAAGGGCTCGTCGCTTTTTTTTATCCAGGACAGTATCGCCGTTTACGGTTATGAAACTAACACGGGGTTGAAAATCGTGGTGGGGACGTCCACCAGAGACAGCGTTGGTGAGGCGTTGAGGCCCGTCTTTCAGCAGATCCACAAGGTGTATATCCGGCTCATGTGCAACCCGTTCCAGAGTATTACGGATGAACAGACGCTAAGCGACAATAAGCGGATGCAGTCGAGCATCATGGGGATTGTTGACACGTGGAACAACGCCCAATAGAGGGGAAGACGTTCATGGTCTGCGGGCCCAGGATATAACCAGAACCTAGGAGTCAATCGTCATGGATGATGTCCATTGTGAGGGGGTTTCATCTGGGCGTTACAGTTAAGCTACCAAACGAAAGTACGTGCTGTATGCTATGGCCAGTCAATTACGTAGATGGACAATTGATAAACCGTTGAAAAAAAAAAAAGATTAGACGTGGTAAAATATGAGCGCAGTATATCGCTCTGGCGGGATAGCTTTATACCATGTGATGATTTCCTGTTCTGATCTAAGGGGCTTTCAGATATGATGTGATAATTTGCTACTATGTTCATCAAGTGGCTACATCTGATATCCATTGGAGCTAAAGGACGAGGGACCGCAGAACAGGGAAATATCGAGGCTAATAGAGGTGGAATGAATTGCTGATTTCTGACCAACATATCATAATACAGATCTACATGGTGTATTGGCCGCGATACTTTGTTCATTACTGGGTAGATACGAACCTTTCGAAATTGTGATTTCAAGATCTCACTCATTTATCCGTCTGAGGGTTAGCCAGAAGATCTGGCGCTACAATATAGCCATATTTCGTTGACAAACAGTCTTAAACATTATCATGGTGAATCGTTTCCCTGTGTAGATAAATACGTTGTCACAATTTTTACTTACTAAAGATCTGCCTCTACCTAGACACATATTCGCTTGTCATAGTTATCAGTGACAAGTGGGTTCCTAACGCAAAATAACGTTGGCAGCTCTCAACTCTAAATATTGCTGATCCACACCAGGAGCAATGTTTCGAATAAGCTCAAACACCTCAGCGTCGTAGTATCGCAAGTTGCTGCCTGGAGCCTTGTACGTGGTAGGCAAGCCAGTAATGTCACAATACACCTTCAGCGGTCTCAAGGACGGCGGCGCTTCTACTGAGAAGTATGTGACAGGATCGTTCGCCAATGGCGGTTCATGGGTGTTCAAGCGCTTCTGTTCGTCAGAGAGCAACTGCTTCAACGGCTTGTGACGGCGGTTGGGGGCTTTCCAGGTGGGTGACTTGAAGCTGTGTGGTTTCGTCGTAAGGTATGATATTTCGTTCATGTCTGGCATTGCGAATGAGGAAGGAAAAATCGGTTGTGCTGAGATAAGAATGACGAAGGGACTAAGGATGGTTGTGGCGATTTCTTTTAGGCGATGATTTTCGGTATCGTTTTTAGTTTAGCGTCCGACGCGCTTGCATGTAGAAGTGCAAGGTCGCGAGAAAATACAATTTAATTGTGTACGGAAGACATAGGCCAGATACTCAGATTCGTGTCTATTGGTGACAGTGATCGATGTATATAAGAACCAGGAGTACTACAGAATTCTTTAACCGTGGTTCTATGTTGCATGTGACGAAACCTCACCCGCGGGTCTAAATAAAGCAACGCGGTATTGCAAGTCATTATTTTAGCAACTGAAAAATACCATTTCACCTTTTACCATAATAGCTTTCACCCAAGTATAAAACAGGAGGGTTAACCGGCTTAGATCATCTGAAAGGTATCCCCCACCTTAATATCAAACCTCCCACCTTTAACATAATCGACATTCAAGCCGAAGTAAATCTTATAGTTCTGCTTCCGGAACTTGCTAAGCTCCAAATAGACCGAGATGTCACGTGAACCAGTTTCCGGGTCAATCGTAATCATGTGGCACCGGTCACACCTGTCCAGCACCCTCAATGTCACATAATCACGCTTACGGGTGCCTGGAAGTACTAGCTCCGTCCATAAGTCCTCTTCGAACGGAATCAAAGACGGGGAGTCAACAATGATGTTGGAACGGAATACCGCAGGGTTAACGTTCGGCTTTGCTTCACCTTGATGCCGTCTCATTTCCTGCGAAACACAATCAAGCGATTTCTGTGAGGCTACCATAAATCCCGACTTGTTCTGAATCGACAGGGAAGTTGTCGATTTGGCGAGGTGCACATGTGGAGTTTCCAACACCGTTTGCAAGAATTGGTCCACCTCTTTGTCGTGGATACACTGATAACCGACAGTGGGCGTGATATAGTCAACGAGTTTTCCTTGGTACTTTTCCTGGAACTGCTCGTCCACCAAAGGAATTTCGGTGGATAGACATTCTCCACCTGGAGATGTATATTCCAACCTCAAAACGGATTCATCAATCGTCGGCTTTATGCGCACCATCCGTTTGTTGTTTTTCAATTTTAGCGGCGAGAGCAGCTGATCAAGCAAGCAAAACATTCTGTCATACTCCAAACCGGCACCGCTGGCCTTCCAGGTGACATTCTGCGGGATATCATAACCAGCGCATGATTTAACAGGGTAAATGGTCAATTTGGTGACCGAAACGAATCCGCTGGTCGCCTGAAGTTCACCAAGCAGATCTTTGCACGAGAGCAGACTGGTGGAGCTGCTTGATCTCTCATCGTAAGAGTACCCAGGACTGTCTGAGCACCGGGGCCATGCTTCGGGCTCCAGTAAACAATCTTCTTTCTCCAAAATCATTCGTGCTTCATTCTTCGGCGCGTGACAGTTTGACAAAGCTATGCATTTGTCTCCAAATACAGCGAGACAGCTTCGTTTGTCCGCGGGGGTTTCTGTTTGACAGGGAGGTGTAATTTTCTGAGCCTCTTCCATCGAATCACTCAAAAACCCTTTAATTTCCCGCACAAACACATCCACTTCCTCCACGCAGCTCATAGCCCCAAAGCTTACCCTCACGACTCCCGTGACCTTCCCTTCAACTATATCCATAGCGTCACCGCATTTATGGCCCTTTTCACAAAATCCGTGTAGATCTTGAGCCGTAAGACCAAGCCATTGACAGGAGCCACCGATGTTACACATCGTTCCCACACGAACGGAGATGTCTTTGAGGGAAATTAATTGGTTGAAGGCATAATATCCCAATCTGTTGCCGTCTTTACCAAGCAACAGCATGGCAATTATTGGCCCACGATTTGACGTGGTTGTAACCATATCCACCATGGGGCGTGCATCGCTGTATCTCAAGCTTTGGAGCCTTTGCATGGCATACGCCGTGATGGCCAGAACATGCAAAGAAATTTTCTTGAATGAGCCAAAGATCTCAAAGTGTGATTTGATGGCAATGTGTAGCTGTGAAATGGTATGAATCGGGATTGTGCCGTCCGAAAGACATTCGCTGTTAAAGGATACCAGATTAGAAAGAGAGGGGTGCACTGGAGAGGAATCCTTAGGAATCTCCGAGGTGCACTTGCTTGATGTAACCATATACCCCTTTCTCTGCACAACGGAATCAAAGGGAGAAACCATATCCACAGTTCCACCCCCAAAGTACCGCCGGCCCCGGAAAACCTGGGCCGCGGCAGACTTTCGATAGATCAACGCCCCAATGTCAGGGTACCCGAATATCTTGTAGAAGGAGCATACGATAAAGTCGGGCGATTCAGAGGTTAACTTTGGTGGAGAAGTGGTACACAACGAGGATGCATCAAATAGCGTAAAACAGCCTTTTAAAGCTTTGAACATTGTGTTCCATTCGTCCATGGGGAATCTTTGGCCGTTGAAGTTGGACTGACCTGTCCAAGAGACCAATAATGGGGAGCTGCCCTGGGAGTCATAGTTTTGGGTTACATTTCCAGGGACCTTGAAACACGACCAGGAGGATGAACACTCCCTAGCACCAATCAACGAGGTGTGTGAGTCAATGCTGTAAGCATAATCCCAACCCAGAGATGCGCGACCAAACGTATCCGACATCCCCTCCACTACCAACTTAACGCCAGCAGTGGCATTGCTCACAAACACCAAGTCGTAGTCATCAGACGCACCAAACAAGTCACATAGTACTTGCTGTTTGGTAGCCTTGATCAAGTCGGTACTGCACAGGGAATGGGTGTTTCCTAAAAGATGCTGGTTGTGGAGCAAGAACTCCGAGGATTGGTGGATAAGGGTAGATGAGTAGAGGGTCATGCCTGCATGATCGAGGTAGCACCGGGAGGGTGTGATCTGGGGGTAGTGTTCGGATCTGATAGCGTGTATATCGTGGTTGTAACCACTGAGAGTATCCAGGAATGTGTTCGAGTCTGGCATTGCGATATTGAACTATCAAAGGGTTAGGCTATCTGTTGATGCCGTTACGTAACAGAAATGTACCGAGAACAGCAAGAGAAAGCTATAATTGAGTTTACTCGGGTCTAGGAACAGTGTCCCAAGATCAAACCTGGTTATGCCGTGATAAATGTTGCCTTTGATGGAATGCGGCAGGGATGCGATTCGGGTCGATGGTTGTAGAAACAGTCAAGGTGGGTCTCAGTAAGGAAGTCGTAGAGCTTTGAATAGATGGGTAGGGATAGAAGTAGTGTAAAGAGTAACCGGAGATAGCACAGTAATACCGTGTTTGCTTATCAAAAGGGTGTCTTCGTCCCTTCCCCAGAGGAGGAACGTAGAGGTGTGCACCTGCATTTCTCGATGCACTGAAACTAATCGTTATCGTGCCGCGGCATTCTCGGACAGGCCGCGTCATTCCAGGACAAGCGTATCGTAGCCGCGGCAGCACTTTTTCTCAGCCCTGAAGAGTACATTAACAGACACATCTGCAAGGTAAAGTCTGGTTTAATCTCGATAGTTTCTAGAAAATGTGAGGAATGTTATGCTGATCTGAAAGATACAAGCGTTTTAGCGAAAACGCCTGAAATTTCTAATCGCCCATCATCTGACAGATTGGTCGTATTGTGGAAGCATACCAAACTGACTACAGTATTGTTGTGTTTACTGATTGGGTGAATAAATGCGAATAAAAAGGGTGCTCTAAAGAGGATGCTCTAAAGAGGATGCTCTAAAGAGGATACTCTAAAGAGGGTGTGAGGAGGGTGTGAGGAGGGCTTGTATTCCATTATAAGGGGTACTTGAAAATTTAACAAGCCTTGGAGATCGACTGAAGCTAGCTTATACGGCCTAGCTATGAATGAGATCACATCATTAATTAAAGTGTATTATAATGATTCCCGTATTGAAAAATGAATATGCAAAAGATGAGAAGGGAACATATGTAGATTGTAAGTAAATGTACAATAAGTACACAAATGAGTTCTGTAGCACAAGAGAAAACACCAAAAGCAAGATAGAGGAACAAAAAAATATCAGGATAAGGCAACTACCCAGAAAGCCTCGATGGTTTCCTCTGGTCTACTTACTTGATATTGTAGAACTTGGAAATACCAGTGGCAATGTATGGATTCACCAAACTGTCTTCGTAGCACTCTTTCACGGCCTTCTTAACATTCTGCAAAGCTTCGTTGGAGTTCTGGAAGTGGAAAGCGATTCTAGAACCACCAATCTTCACATCATACTTAGTAGCTAACTGCGACAAGAGCTGACCGTTCATCTTTGACTTCTTGGTGTCAATAAACACAAAGTTCGTGTGGACAGGGGACTCCAACACAACCCCCAAGCTCTCGCAGTATTCACCGAGCTCCCTGGCCATGGCGTGGGAACGGTGAAGCTGCGGCAAGTTCTCGTCGATGGCAACAGACGCCATGGCCGCGATTATCCCAGCCTGTCTAATCCCACCACCGTTCTGCTTTTTGAAGTGGTTGGCTTTTTTGATGAAGGCAGCCTCACCGACAAGCACAGACCCAATTGGCGCACCGAGGGACTTGGACAAACAGAGAGAAACAGAGTCAAACAAAGAGCAGTACTCCGCCATAGAGATACCCGTGGCGATGTGTGCGTTCCACAAACGAGCACCATCACAGTGCAAAATAACCTGCTGGTCCTTGCACCAGGCGGAGATTCTTCTCAACTCCTCGATAGGGGTGACAATACCGTGCAAGGTCTGTTCCAAGGAAATAACCTTGGTGGGAGCTAAGTGGATGTCGCCGTCATCGGGAATGAAGTTTTCCACAATGTCTTCGAGGGTCAAGTAGTCACCGTTGGCTGGGTGGACTGGAGTGACCATAGCCTGGGACAAGGAGGCTACCCCACCGGCCTCTAAGCTGTAGACATGAGCACGATAGTCACAGAGAATGGAGTGTGGCGGCTGATACAAGTGAGTTCTGAGGGCAAGTTGGTTGGACAAGGTGCCGGAGACACAGAACAAACCGGCCGGTTTCCCAGTGAGGACAGCGAGCTTTTGTTCCAAGGCAATGGTGGAAGCATCCTCCTGGTAGACAGAATCACCCAAGGTGCAAGTGGTAGCGGCGGCGAGGACAGACGCCGTTGGCTGAGTGAACGTGTCACTTCTGAATTCGTTGTGGACTGGGGATAAAGCACCTGGCATCTTAAGTTGTGTTGATGCAAGACGTGAAAAGATGTGGCTAACTAAATACCAAAAATGTATGCAAATAGGGAGGTTGTGACTCCGGTGATGGAAAGATTCAGATTATAGGAACTAATCAGTTTATAAGCGAGCTGAAAGGAGGGGATCGGAACCACGATTGAAGGGGAAAAATTATTGTCACTGGAATAGACAGACTGTATACCGAACGGATTAGTCATTCGTCGACCGAGCACATTAAGGAATTTATCAGTGCATAAAAAGAAACGGGTTCAACGGTGGCTCTTAGTTTTGGTGTCAGCAGGCACAGATGCATGCGTCACATACTTTTCCGTCCAGAACCGTAAGTAAGACCGAATCTGGCAGGCCAGCATACAAAGCATGCATATTGGTGTTGACAGCCGGCTGTCATACCCGGCTGTCATAGTCACGGGCGTGCCGGATGTGCAGACCAATTGTCTCCTGGCATGCCCATGCCCGATCACACCCGAATATTCGACCCAATGTTTATCGACAAAGGTCACTCATCTTTTTGGAAGACTGGGGTAACTGCTATATCTGCTATATTGCGTGGCACCGCCGTATCTGGGGGGAGCTCTGCCATGGTTTAGTCCTTTTACCATTTGACGAGAAGGTGTTTGGCGACTAACTAGACATGCAAAGTGCATGAATTAGGTGGAGGTGCCGCACCACAAACGGCTGCGAACGGCGTCTGAAAAGAAAAAAAGTTTCAGTTTTGCTTGGCTCGCATCGTTTACGCCGCTTCCAGAGCGTATGCCAGAGTATCCTTTTCAGCGTGAGCGACGAGAGGAGACGGGGAAAGAGTGAGGATCAAAATGTATTCTCTCGCAAAGTATAATCTATTGCCGTTTCTGCAATCAATTACTGCTTCTGGAACCAATTACCGCTTCTAGAAAGGTGTGTTTGGTTCCAGGCTGCAAAAGCTAGTCCTAAAGGTTGGTGTGTTGACGCAGTAACCGTGGGTGAGCAGAAACAAGGTTGAACGATGCATGCTACAGCGTCCGTGCCATGGAGAAATACTTCCGATACTGCCTAAAGCATGCGTGTGCGATATCCAGTGTTGGGGAAGGCTTTGCTATCGCATATCCAAATAGGGCAGTATCTGCCAAGTACAATATATTTCTGAAAGCTTCCTTGGCCCTTAGGGAAACGATTAGATAAAATAGTGGTAATTGGGGATTAATGGAACATCCCCTCACATTTTCAGTATACGCGAAAAGATCAAGGGTCATTCCTTCCTGATTTTGTCGTAAAGCGGATGGCGGTTTGCCTCATGTTTCTTTCTAAATAGCAATTTATCTACCCCAGAATCCTGCAACCCCCCGAGTTTATAAAATTGTCAGTAAACTTCGATTTAGACATCTGTACTCAAAAATAATAGGACTGTTGGGCTCCAATGTTTTCGCGTGTATGTGATTTAATGCACGACCCTCAGTTCAAGATGCCGTACCATGCTAGTGAAACGTGCAGCGTCCTCGGATCCGGAACAAAAGCAGGGACTTCACAAGCCAGAAACCATAGGCTGAAAGATGCTAGAGTATCCACCGTCAATCTAATCTACCCCAGCTACAGAGCACGCCGCTGGGCAACTCTACAAGTCTCGCCGTACCAGGACTGATGAGTACGCGTATTGGGAGCTACTTCGAGGCGTGACCTCAAAGACAGGGATTGGCTTATTTCACAGGGACTACGGGTAGCCGCATGAGCTTTTGACGTGAAGGCTGACTCTTTCGCGCTGCTCAGCAACAGAAACAGAAGACTCGGAACAATCAAGACTCGGAATTGTAGACTCGGGGTAGTGAAACGCATAGTCCCTCTGATTTTGCGTTCTCGGTCAGTCATAAGAATCTTTGCTTCCATATATGGAGGGTCTAACTACACAGTGGGGTAATACTCGAAAAAGAAATTCCATTTAGCAGTAAGCTGGGGTCATACACGGCATTCGAGCGCAGAGAACCTGGTCTCTTTGGCTTATGCCTGTCAAGAGAAAGGGGTATGATCTGGCGGGAATTCTTCAATAAGAATGGCTGAATTGACTCATTCTAGTTGAGACTACTTGAAGTTTTGCGAAAGCCGGGGGTACGAAGAAACAAGAGAATCCGTGGCCAATCCCCAGAGCTGGTTGCGCTCAGAAGCATGGATTCGTATGTTTGTAAGCTAAAATATCTGCTCAGAATCTTAACACGGTTACAGTGTTTGAGTGCAAAAATGTCCTTGGTGAGTGTTTAGCAGTTGCAACTTGGCAATCCCTCTGTATCACGAAATAGACAAAGTTGGGGTCAACACAATTCTAATTGATCAGCCAACCATAAAAGATATTATTTCTCATAAATTGTTGCAATTCTATAAAAAAATAGAAGATGAGGTAAAATGGATTGGCGGGACTATAAATTATCCTCTACCTGTTAATGGGATCTGGCAAAAAGGGTATTCGGCCCAGTTTCTATATACTTGTACCAGTCTAACTCTTGCTGGATAAATATTCTTGAACTACAGGAAATTAAATACATAAACTTGGAGATGCGTATAACCGAGGACCCGACTAGAGTATCATCAACCCGGATAAGCAGTTGTGCGGATATGGCCTGACCTCCAATACAGACCAAGCTTATTTCCTATAAACGTCACAAGGTCAGCTGCACTTGTCACTTTCGATAGCTAAACACACCATAATAGCTTAGAATAGACTTTAACTATACAACTATGTGGAGTGATTTGGCCAAGACCATCCTGAATGGCCTCAGAAGGCATTGAAACTCAAGGAACTTGATGTTAGCAAGGTTTATTTTGCTCACTCAAAACGTGTGTATCACATATGTACAAGCTTCAACCTCACAACGGTGAACGTCTAGCAAAAACAAAACTCATGTGTCCAGGCTCAGATTCCGTTGCTCCATGGTTTACCGCTACACCGAAAAAAAAACAAAAAACAAAGACAATAACCACCTTGAGCATCCATCTTTGTTGGCTTAACGACGTCAGGTGTACACCAGACGACCAACAATCTCCAAGTCCTACTTTTTGGATAACTTGATCAGGTGGTTGTCCAAAAACACGCTAGTGGGCTTAGGGATACCTTGAGTCCACGTTGTACAGCTCTTAACGACATAGTGTATAAAGCAGGCCCGGTAGGCATCTGAAACTGACCAGCTTTAAGATCATATTCGACAAATTACCAGAACAGCTTCGTCTTCAATTACATACCGCCCGGGTAGCTCCAGGTCTTTACGACCCACCTGTACAGGATGTTTGCTTGCACAGGACACTTGCTTACGCAGGGCGTTTGCCTACTTGAACGTCTACCTATTTGATCGTTTGCCGGCACACGCCCGCGAAAAGCGACCAGGCGCTACAAAATATCAGACATAACCCCACCAAAAAAAACACAGCGACTTCACCACACAACCTCCCTTTCGTCACGTATACTAGCATTCGATGATTTTATCCTCGGTGCTCCCCGGGATTGCGCTCATCTGGCTTCTCAACCGGACGCTCCGCCTCTTTAAGCTCCCACTCGATAGCCTCGTGAAGTCGCTCAACATTGAGATCCCCAAGATCCCCATCCTCTCCATTGATAACGTCACGGAATCCTCGCTTGTGCTTCACTGGGATAACATGGACAAAAACCACCACTACGGCGTGTATCTCAACGGGATGGAGGTGGCCGTGACGGACGCGACGAACATCACATTGAACGGCCTCAGCGCCGCAACGGTATACCAGATCGACATCTTTGCGATCAATCCGGCGCAGTACAAGTCGAAATCGACGCCTAAGTTCATCAAAACATTGCCGGCGGGGATCCGCGGCGTACTCAACAAGTCGCCCCGCGAGCTTCTCCTCGGATTGGCTACCAGCGACGACATCCAGATCCGCGCTGAATCCACCAAGAAACCCAAGGGAAGATCACGTGCAAACACCTTTGAAGCGGTGCAGTTCACGCCGATGCTGAAGACGAGCTCTTTTTCCGTGACCAACCCTGGGACCCAGACGCCAGACAGCAGTTCCCTGACAAACCTCGCAGACTTAAACGAGATGGTGATCAAGCAGATTGTCGATATCGAGGAACTCAGATACCTACTAGAGAGGGGCCAGGAAGAGCTCCGCACGGTGTTGTCGCAGAACCAGCAGGCGCTCGAGGATTTCAAGGAGCAGCACGCGAACCTCAAAAACGACCGCGACACGCTCCGCGAGCGCAAGAAGATCGAGGACGATAATCGTGCTGCCATCAAACTGGAAGTCAAGTGGCTCGATGAAACCCGGCAGCAGTTGGCAATCAAGAAGGAGAAGGCCACGGGGAAGTTGAAGCTCCGCCGCGAGAAAATCGGCAAGATGCAGCAGGACTTGGTTGACTGGCGGCGCGAGGTCGACATGCTCACCGCCCGTAAGGAGACAGTCCTGGGTAGCGGTGAGGGCAGTGCGAAGCGCATCAAACACGCATACGAACAGCAGATCGTGGGACTCCAGGCGCAGATCCGCGACAAGCAGCAGGAGATCAACAAGGTGGAGGACGAATTCAAGAAGCTCTTGACGGAGAAGCGCCAGAAGGACGTGCTCAAAACCACGTTGATCCCGGTCTTTGAGGCCTTGAAGAAGGAGACGGATAAGTCGGGTATCTTGAACGGAAGCGGCGCCAAGGCACTTGCCACTCTCGCGGGCTCGCTCCCTGCCTGGTACGCCGACATCCAGAACGAGATCTCTGTTGATGCGCGCCTCGAGGCAGAGTGGAGGGCTGTCCAGCAGCGCGAGGTTGCCCATTACACCGAGGTTGTCGACTTTATTAACCGTATGGACCAACAGAAGGAGATGGAGAAGGTCGAGCTGCACAAGCGGTACTTGTCACGGACGTTCCCGCAGTACCTCCAGGACAACGCCTCGACCCCCGACGCCGCCAGCATCCCCTCTGCCCAGATGCACTATGACTACTCCATGTATGCGTCACCGATCCAGTCCAAAAGCTACTTGGCCAACTCGCCCGCCACGGGCAGCTTGCTCAACCCCACCTATGCTAGCCCGCCCTACAACATTTGGAACGTGCAGGATATGCCTGTCTCGCGCGAAGCCAATACTTCGGGGTACTCGTCATACTCCCCGCGCGTGCCTGCCACTGAGGACGACCTTGACCCGCCGTTGAGCACGTACGACATGGAGATGTTGCTCCCCGCATCGTTGATTGCAAGCGAGGAGTTGAACGAGACAACTCTCGACGACGTGAGAAACTACCGAAGCAGCTTCGGGAACGAGCTCAAGCCAACTTACGGATACAGCTATAACGGCGAAGGCCGCAACGGAGCACCCAGTGGTCCCACCTTTGTGTCATCGCCGGTCAACAGAGCGGTCAGTCCTGTGAGTGTCCCGAGCATGATACCGTCCAACCAGCTCGGCTTTTCCTCCTTGGTGCCCTCTCTCTCCAACGACTCGGCCTTCCACTCTGTCCAATCCTCCCAGCCATTACACAACTCGCCGTTTAGTGGCGACTACGACTCTCAGCGAAGACCCTCGTTCGGGGGCTTCATCAACCCGATGTCTATGCCTCAGCTGATCTCGCCTCCGTCCGACGGAATGGTCGTTCACCCCATCGACCAGCTGCAACAGCCCCACCAGTCCGCTTTCAGCCCCCGCAGATTGTCCAACGTGCTCGGATTCGGCAAGAAAAGCCACGAGAAGGACGCCAGTTTCCTCTCTCCCGACACCATGAACAACAAACACAGCAAGTTTTTCTTCTTTGACCGCAAGAAGAACGTAGACCAGGAGCCGGTGCCCGAGAGCCCTGAGATCATGCTCCGCAAACGTGGCGAGTCCATTGGCTCGGCCATCTCGGCTCCGTCCTTCAACGTTGATGTGTGGGGGGACAGCAGGGAGTTTTTGGAGATCCATAAGCGCAACGCCAGTGGGGTTTCGAGCCAGACCGCGGAAAAGGGAGACATCTTTCTCAAGGACGACGGCATGACGCAGTTTATGCCGAACTTGGTGATCAACAGACCCAAACAACGCAGCATCGAGGATAATCCGTTTGGTGTTGCTTCCAGCCCTGCCAGCGCCGCTCGCAGCGATTCGTCCCGGGTAACGGTTTCCAGCGACCACCAGCCAGTCGCCGATTCCTCTGACGAACACTCTGTGGTTAAATTGAAGTCGAACGAGGATGTTGTTGGGGCCAAGTCTTCGTTCTTTGTCAGACGCAAGTCGTTCCTTTCGTTCCCCTCCCCTTCCAAGACTGCCAAGGAAAAGGATAAGCCTACAGGCCTGAGTCCGGTTCTTGTGCCTGGCAATGCGTCCGACACGTCTTCCCACCTTATCAGCGATGATGTCATTAACGAGGATGAGACTGCAGATTTCAGCCATGGAAGCATCATCCCACCAGGAACCACTGTTGGCCGCAAAACCGGTTTATTCTCAATGAAGAAGCGCAAGTCGCTGTTGGCGTCGCAGGCCAGTAGTGCTTCGCAAGCGTCGGCCTCGGCCGTCACCGCCAGCATAAACTCCGCTGGAAGTGCCAGTGCAGTGGACTCCCAGTCGGGCAGATCCATCGTGAAGAGACTTAATCCGTTTGGAAAGAAGGACAAGGAGGAGAATCGTGAAGAGGAGGAAGAGGAAAAGGAGGATTAAGATATTAGAACCTGTATATATTGAATCGAAATTGAATAACATTAGATCCAGGATGTATGGACGACAAGAAATGTGGGGAAGGAGGTCATGGGGCTTCAGATATAACGTAATCGAGTTTTTGAAATGAGAGGAATTTGGTGTTCTGAGGTTCAGTAGCACATTATCAGCGGTATTTCTTCAACCTACATTTATTCCACATTACATAGAGGCTTATGGAATGAGTATTACTATATGTCTCACGGAACTACACTACGTTCGCTGTGACTATAATCCTCCGATTTAACGGAAGTTGGTAGGTTCTATATACCAAGGCACCTTGCTTTAGACAAAAAACTCGCCGGTGAAACTGCGACTTGGAACCACCTTGGGCTTGGGCTTGACAGCTGGCGGGACCTTCTTCATCGTCTCCACCTTCGCTTCAATTCCAGCTGGAAGCCTTCTCTTCGGCCCCTTCGTTCTGCTTTTCGTCATATGGGTAAGCCTTGGTGCCTGCTTTTTGAGTTCCCCACTAGACGAGGCCCTTCTAACACCCACAATCACTTCACTAGAGGCGGTTGGAAGCGTACTGGACCTTACAGGCGGGACTCTCACAAACAGTTCATCAAGCACAAGCTTTGGTGTGCTTGGATTGTAGGTGCGTGCCTTTAACTGGGCCTTCCAATCAACGTTGGCCAAACACGGGAGACGAATCCCCTCTATTGGAGCCTCTTTGGTTCCAACCAGCTCCTCTGTAGTCTTTTTCGGCAGTCTCTTCAAGCCTCGCAACTTTGTCAACGCCTCGGGAACTTCTTCTTCGGTCTTCTTCGTAGGTGAGGCAGGACGCAACTTCTCCATGACCTTGAACGCCTCTGGAAGATCCGGTTTAGGCTTAACCACCGGCTTTGCAGCCTTGAGCTTGTTAGCCCGCTCAATCGCTTCGGGCACGGCTGCTTCCTTACGAGCCACCGGTGGCGCAGGTTTCAACGACTGGTGACGCTGGAAGGCCTCGGGTTCCTCTACTGAAGGCTTCAGGATCGGCACGGCCGGCTTGAGGAACTGCCTCTGTTTTAACGCCTCTGGAAGCGAAACTTTGCGCTCCCCAGCGTCTCGGGATTCCCTAACCTTTTTCAAAACAAGCGGCGAGACAGGCCCTTCGGAGATGCTGGGGCTTCTATGGAGTCTTTCAGGCGACCGTAATCCCTGTCTCAACCGTTCATAATTCTCCTTAGCCTCAATCTCTACCTTGGCACTGAGCGAAGTGGGCTTGGCTGGTTTTAGTGGCACAAACTTCTTGACCACGGTTTCATCCATTTCCTCGTGCTCCACGTTCTTGTTGTTCATGGCGCTTGATAACCACGGGGCACCGGTGACCTTGTCTGTTGGATTGAAAGCTTTAATGACAGCAGGCGGGGCGGAGCCACTCGATGCTGGCGTTTTTGGAGTCGCCGATGTAGATGGCAACCGATGGGAGTACTCATGATTGAGGGATTTGTAAGAAGTTTGCTCGCCAAGCGTCGTGTGAACCTCCAGCTTCAACGGCGGAGCTCGGGCAGCAGCCGAGGCAAATATGGCCTGGGCCCGATTCGGCATCGGGACCAGACTGTCAAAGTCGTACATTGATTTGGAAGTAGAAAGACTCTCGAGAAGCCCCCTATCGCTAGGAGTGATCTTCTGGGGAGTGGATTCCACGACTTTGTGCAATGGGTTTTCATAGGAGAGCTGAACCAGCTTCAAGGGCGGGGCCCTAGCAGCAGAGGAGGCGTACATTGCCTGGGCCCGATTAGGCATGGGGGCGGGGCCGTTGGAGAAACTGGTGAAGCTGGAGTTGGAACGTGGCAGGTTTATAGCGGCAGCGCTGCCGAGCGTATCTTGATCCGTTTCCACTGGTTGAGGTTTTGAAGGCTTATCCACAGGGCGTTTTGGAGGCTTTTCTACTGTATGTGGTTTCGTGTCGTCCGCTTCGGTTACTCCGAGGTACTTTGCATCCAACTCGGCCCTCTCTCTTTTATACTCTTCCATCAACTGAGCCTTCGTCTTTGGTTCACCCTCTCGGCTTGGCTCATCATCTCGTTTATGAGATGCTGCACCATTTCCCCTTGTCTTTTCGCTTACCGAGAAATGCCGTGGCTTGGGCTTCGTTGGCGGCACCCTCTTTGCTTCCTCTCTGGCCACAGGGTTGACCAACTGAATGGAAAAGCTTGAGTCAGAATTTCTGGTCAGATTTTGGGAATCACTTCGGCTAGGGGTTCGTGATCTGTGCGACACGTCGTCTGGACGAACGTCAAATACCGGGTCGGCCCGCATAGTGGTCTTTCTCCCGAGTGAATGCGACTGCACAACATTGCTATACCGCAATGACTGACTGAACTCATCATAAGACGTGGTAGCAAGCGATTCCACGTCGTCTGGAGTAACATTGAAGGGATGGAGGGGGGGTTTCTTGTCAGCTGGCAGTGGGCCTGCCCTGATAGTTCGCTGTGAGGTGGTGTGTTCCATATATCCTGGGCGGTCTCTGACCGAGCCTTCGCGAGTCGAAGTGTATGAGTCACTGAGTTGTGCTAAATCACGCAACAAATCGGCGTTATTGGGGTTGACCAGATCATGGACATTCTTGGATGATGACACAGTGTTTGATCTGCCTATTGGGGTCTGTCCTTCCGGTGACCTAGACCCATATGATCTATTTTCACCATCATAATTCACAGGCGCACCTCCGTAAGACTGGGTAAATGACAGAGGCTCGACTGGGGGTTCAAGGCGTGGAGGATCAAGACGAACAGGCAAGGACGCCCTGAACGCGTCGTCTTGCACGCCCTTCTGGGTTCGGCGTGCAGGGGACGGCATGCGACGTCGCCTTTGCGGTGAAGTCATCTGCTCAATTTCCTGTTCCAACTGCAGCGTACGCAACTGGTCCTCGCGTGCCCTCTTATCGCTGAGCTCCTGGGCCCGCTTAAGAAAGTTCTGTACATTGACGTCTGACTGGAGATACGACATTGTGGGAGGGGAGGGGTATGGTAGCAGTAAGGGATGGGTAGCAATGACAGGAACGCTAGTTTCAGCCTTTGGTGGTCCCGTGGCGATGGTTCCGGGTGTTTATCTCATGCTAATTTGGCGTGATGATTTATGGAGAAAAGGTTGGCTACGGTGTGTTGATGCACGACCTTTCGGCATTCCCAAAGCGGAAACGTCGACGTCCTAATCTCGAAGGGGATAGAGGGGTGCATAAAATATGTTAGTATTGTGTTGGAATGTCAACTACGGATATACAGGGTCTTAAAGTATATCAGGACAAGTACCAAACGTTTGTTATTAATTTTTGTTTTGTTTGGACCGAAAACGAACTTTCCTTGAAGAGGGATGGATGGGTTTGAGACGATCAGACACTTTTGTCTTGACTGATCGTTCTCCTTGAACTAAAGCAGGATTTAATTGTGTCAAATTATTCCAGAACCATATTACGGACAGGCCTATCGGATTGCTCATTCTGGTTTCACGGACTTAACCCCTTTTAGGCTTCTCTCGGAGGTATCACGTGCAGTTAGTGAGGCGCAGACAACGATAAGTACTCGGCAGTACTGGATCGCCGAGACTACTGCGCTGCGGCGATGGCTAACAATTCCGGGCTTAGCCTCCAGATGCCCTCTCTTCTTTCACAACGATGAACACTATAAAGCTTGGGCTGATTTAAACTTGAATTTAACAGTTTTTCTTTTCAGTTTCTCAACTCTTCGTTTAGTTCCTCTTCTGGCACAAACCAACGAATTCGAAAATATTGCATCGATTATCTCCTTGCATAGACGTTTTTGCCACCTTTTCCCGCTTGCCGTCTTAGCCAGTGGTTTCCACCAACACCCACCCTCTACGCTGAAATCGTTATTCAAGTGATATCTCGCCTCCCCAAAGGGTTTTTATTCCATTGCAACATAGCCGTTGACCCCCTCTCTTGCCACCGCGTTCGGACATATTCTGACATTCCATAGATAGAGCTCCTGCCGGTCTATAAAAGCTAACCTTAAACCTTAGCGTCTCGTTTTTGATCACCTGTCAAATTTTAAATACTTCTCCCAAATGTCTAAAACGCCAGAAATCGTTCCGCCACCGAAACTGAATGTGTCATACGGCCAGTCATTCAGGGACTGGTGTAACTACCGCAAGCTCAGTCTTGTCGAGTACGACTTGCTCTCGGTTTTGCCGTTTTTCCCAGAAGCCGATGCCCACCGCAAGGCGGAGATCTTGGATGTGCCTATCGGAAACAACAACTACATCCACGAATTCTACGTGGAAAACCTCGACCACGCGCCGGCCACCAAGGACATTGTCATTGTCCATGGCTACGGCGCCGCCTTGGGCTTCTTCTATCGCAACGTGGACCCGCTATCCTTGCTAGCACCAGGCGTAAGACTTCATTTTCTCGACCTTCTTGGTTTCGGCTTTTCCAGCAGACCCAGCTTCCCAAAACTTGCCTCCAAAACCAAGGAAGACGTGGCGAAGGTGGAAGACTTCTTTGTGGACTCCCTCGAGGAGTGGAGAAAAGCGCGTGGAATCGAAAAGTTTGTGCTCATTGGCCATTCTATGGGTGGTTATCTCAGCAGCTGCTACGCCATGAAGTACGAGCTGCGGGTCGAGAAACTCATTTTGGTCTCACCTGTGGGCGTTGAAAGAAACACGTCTTCCATCCTCGAAGTTGAGAGCTCCGACTCTCCATCTCCCCCGGTAACGACCTCCAACTCGTTTCCTCCGTCACCCCCCTCAGCGCCAGTGGCTAAACCCACCAAAGTGAGAAAGCTCATCAACTTTCTCTGGGATAGAAACGTCTCTCCGTTCAGTATTATTCGCTATTCGGGCCCATTCCAGTCCAAACTCGTTTCCATGTGGTCCTACCGCCGGTTTGCCACGTTACCAACCCTTGAGGTGGAGCTTCTTCACCAGTATTCGTACAAGATCTTTGCGTCGCCGGGAAGCGGCGAATACGCGCTTACCCGTCTTCTCGCCCCCGGGGCGTTGGCCAGAATGCCGTTGCTAGACCGAGTCCCAGAGAAATTTACTCTGCAAGGCTTGCTGACGTTATGGATGTATGGAGACAGAGACTGGATGAATGATGAGGCTGGCGAGGACTGTGTGAAGGCGATCAGAGAAAGGGGCGGAGAGGCAGAATTTGTGATTGTGGAAGATGCGGGCCACCATGTGTATTTAGACAATCCCGAGGTGTTTACCAAGGAAGTTTCCAAGTTTTTGAACCTAGCCAAGATGACTGAGACGGTGTCTTAGAGCTAAACAAGGATTACTTCCAGATTTTGGAGTTCGACTTTTTATTGGAGCCACTTAATATCTCAGGGCGAGAACCGTGCCACTATCGCTTATGTGATCGTCCAGACCTTGTATATATAGTAAAAGAAATTATGGATAAAATTATGACTAATTGAAACACGTATATGCCAGTTGGTGTAGCTGAATTATAACCTATGCGTATTTAGTGAATGGCTGTGATCCATTTGATTTGTCCCACCTGCAGCATTAGTTATAAGGCTGAGGGTCAATAGACCAGGCAAACTTGGGTATTAACGGAGAACTGCTACAGGGCTTCGGAGTGCATCATTCGAGAGTCACCCTAGTATGGTGAACCAAACCATACAAACGCTTTCATTACGAAACCAGTCTACACTCTGTACCATGAAAGTTACCGGAGACGCTACAATCTTGCTCAAATTTGCTTAGATTGGATCGCCTATTGTGGTGGGTATCTTTTTGTTATCAAGGAAAATTATTTATCATTTTGCACCTCTACGCTTTTAAATCACTCCTTCAAGGAAAATGGTCATTTAAATACGTTTTGCAGACACCCATTCCACACCAAGCACAAACCAAGTCTTTAAGAATCATGTTGCGTCTGGACAACTGTCTGCCCATAGCCAAATCTCCATCATATTGTCCTCTGGCCCAGGACAACATCCTTACATTCGCTCAAACTTTACCCAAAGCTTTCCAGAGCTCACTCCATCCAGGAGATGCCAAACATCAACAAAATCCCCACCATCATGCACACCAACTGCGCAACACTCTTCTTCGCCTCGTGCCACCTGGTGGTCTTGCTGCCCAACTCCAAGATCTCCGGAATCACACCCACGGTCGCGATGTACAAGAACCCACCGGCGGTGAACGGAATAGTCAAGTCGCCGATCTGGACGGTGGTACCCCATAAGCCGCCGACGGTTTCAGCAACCTTCTCGCCGGCTATGGCAACGGCGCTGGACTTACCCAAGCGCTGGATCCCAATCCCGATAAAGGTACCCAAGAAGGCTCCCACCGCGGTGATGAACTGCGAGTTCATAGCCTCCCACTTGGTGAAGCCACCCTGGATCAAGAGCGCAAAGTCACCGATTTCATGAGGAATCTCGTGGAAGAAAACCGCAAGGGCGGTTGTGGACCCCACAGACTTGGAGATATAGAAAGAGCCCGCGATGGCAAGTCCGTCGGTGATGTTGTGCGTAAAATCGGAGATCAAGTTGAGGTACGCCGACGTCTTGACGGAGGCGTTGGGCTGGGCGATGACCGGCTCAGAGGCCTTGGCATCTTCCACCGATCTCTTTCTCTGACGGAGGGTGGAATCGCCGGATTCCTTTTCTTCCACGGCACTGGAGGAGGCGTGAGTGTGCGAGTGGCCATGACCGTGGGATTCGCCGTCGCCGGTGTGGGCCAAGATACGCAAGGACTTATCGATAATCATGAAAATGACAAAGCCCACAAAAATAAAGACACCCAAGATGGTGTTTCTCTTCTCGTCCACAATCATAAACTGAACACCGCCGTCAACAGGCTCCCCCATAAAGACCTGCGGCAACAAGTGCAAGAAGACGTCGCCGAGCAAACCACCAATAGCAAAACTGACAAGAAGAGAGAGGCTGGAGGGGTCAATAGAGGCAGGAATCAACGCAAGGATAAAGTTTGGAGGACCAGAGATGTATGCAGTGGCGAGTAAGGCGTTGGCAGCGGGTCCAAAGGGGAACAACTTCTCGAAGAACCATTCCACAATGGACTCCTCGTGGTTGGCCTCTTCGATCGCCTTCAAGGTGTTGAGGTGTTCAACCACAGGACACGCGGCCAATTGGAGCTGCAAGTTTTCGAGGTTTATCACCCCGTCGTGGTGGAAAAGACCCTTGTACGTGGCAAGTTCGTCGGAGGAGATAACGGCGTCGGTGACCTTACGTACCGGCGCTCTTCCGTGGCCTCCATGGGCCGAAACAGCAGTGGAAAGGCCGAAAATAGCAAGCGCTGTGGTGATGGATAACTTCATAGCAGAAATAAGTCGGTGGGGGTGAATTGGAAGGGAGAGAGAAAACTGCTCGAGGTGGCCTCTTTTAGCGATAACGCAGCATGCAGGCACTCTTCCAGAGGCGGACTGTCGGTGGACGTGTAGGTCGTAGCAAGATGCGTTGGTCACGTGAAGGTGCTGTCATTGTTTCAGCCGACGCTATGTTATGCACAAAATGCCTGGGCATCTGATGTTATAGTTTAAAGTGTGGCTGTAAAATATGAATATAACGACAAGAGGGGACCTGCTGGTTCACGGAGCCTGAGTGGAAATTCCGCATCTGAACCTGATGGCCAAGCTCTACGGTCATCAAGAAATCCCGACTCATGCCCGTTGTCACGGTACAGTGCTTATTATCCTACCATATCTTTCTTATACCTTTGAGTATATTAGGTAAACGTATATACACGGAGGACATGACTCGTTAATTCTTCTTGCCCTTACCATTCTTTGTCTTTGACTTGGATTTTCCCACCGAGACAACCGTCTCGACCCCGGTTTTTCCTGCCTCGACCTTTGTCTCTCCCGTCTCGATCTTGGCCTTTCCCGACTCGAGTCTCGCACCCTCAGCTTCGGCCTCCAATTTTTCCTGCGACTTTCCGGTGACAAAGCCCTTGGCAACCTGTATGTCCTCCTTCATGATCTGCGCCTGCATCTTCAACTGCCAGGCAACTCCCAACTCCTTTCTCATTTGCTCCTTCTTCTTCTTTAAATCACGCGAGGCGAGCGCGTGCTTCTGGTCGTAGGAGATTCCCGCCTCGGCCTCCTTAAGCGATTCCTTCCCGAACAAGTAGTCGTAGACTCTTCCATCGACCCAGAAGAAGCCCTTGCGGTCGACGATCCAGGTGGCACGCTTGCCCTGCTCCTTCAAGCGGAAGAAGAAGGAACCGTTGTCCAAGGTCCCGTAGAACCCTCGCCCCGTCCAGACCTTGGATTTCTGGTGCCTGGTCAACTTCTCCAACGGAATCGTGTACACCGGGGTTGGTCTACCAGGAATCATCGGGTGAGAGATAATTTTGACGTGCTCAACCGGTCCGGGCAAGTAGTAGATGCGTCTGACCAATCTCAGTGGGAACTTCACAAAGAAGAGCACCGCGCAGGCCGGGACCGAGAACATCGCGAGGGTTACTCCGAGGCGCCCCGCAAGCATCATCTTGTTTTCATCCTCAGGAAGGCATTCGGGGTTCTCACGGTACAACTTCACGGCGTTTGTGCCGGTGTTTTCCACAAAGGTGAGACCGTACACCGCAAACACAAAGGCGGCACAGAAACACGCGATAAAGTAGAGTCGGTGGGGCTCGGCCTCGTAGATGAGTTCCTCGTGCTTCAGTGTCTTTAGGATCTTGATTGCGTCCGCAAATGAGCAGTTTGGCCCGAGCTGCGGCACGCCCGGTTTCGGAAGAAGCGTCGGAATTGTTTCTTTACCGAGAGGGAACTTTGGGAGGCGCGAGGCGAGCGAGTTCTGTTGGTCAGCCTCGCCGGGAACGTTCCGCGGGACCAAGCCAGCATACGAACGGAAGGAAAGCGGGGCTGCTGTTCTGGCCAGACCTCGTCCGATGGCAATACCTATTCTGAACAGTAACATCGTGGGTGTGGTATCGGTGTTTTGTGGTAAAACTTTTACTGCTAGTTTTAATGCAGGTGAAAAAAAAATAGAACCAGCCACTGAACGCCACGTAACGCCACCGCAAGGTGACGGAGCTATTGCTGATAGTAATTGTGTGATATGACGTTAAATTATAATTTTCAACAGGGTAGAAAGAACTGAGAAGTATGCGTAGATGTTCAGTATGCAATGTTATATTGTTACTACTACCCTTTAGGCTGTGCTGATTCTGGTTTGATGCCGTGAGGTTATGCTTCTCAACTGTATTGGTATTGAGTTACAAAATTTCCAGTGGGTCAGACTCATTCGGTAGCTACTTCATGCAACTTTTGAAAGATGGAGGTCAGCGTAAATAGAAATAGATATCGGTACCGCCTATCAATACCACCTATCGATGCTTTATCAGTAAAGGGCTAATACTTCGCTATACTAATATATTGCTTCTGCACCACTGATAGTCTAAACACTACATATTAATATAAGTGTAAGCAAATTCTCAGGTGTACTGAGGGCATTGATAACACCGGGGATGTGTACAGAACTTGGAAATATCGTGAGTAATAGACGCACGCCTGTGCCCCCCTTTTCAGGTTTGACCTCGAAGAGGCTTCCACGGGTGGTCCAGGGAGACTTTCCTGCGAAGCCTGTCATTCTGGGTCCATTTAGGTTCGTACTGGGCCCGCTAACCACAAGTCGCGCCACACGCTAGAACGGACGATAGTGTCTGTCAGCTTTCGGGGCCATTAGCATACATGCAGTTAATCTCCAAAATGTAGTTTCCTTCTTTGTACTTTTGCTGGGGCAGCTCTGCGTGTACATAACGCCACCCGACCAAATTATTGCACTGGTGGCATGTAATGTTTCGCACCTCATAAACGCCCGTGGTCATCTTGCGTCGCTGCAACTCTCCCTCGGTAACATTGACCCTAGAAGGTTAGTATCCGCATTGCAACCATAGGGGGATTTAGTACATACACATATTTGACAAGAAAAGCGTCGCCTGTCCGGCCGCTGAAATCACTGGATAAGATGTAGTTGCTCATCAGGAGATGTGTTCGGCAGCGGTTGCATGTATAGGTTGTGATGTGGCGTTCACGCTGTTGTGGATGGTCAAGGTAGGTACTGTAAAGGAGACCCATACTTGTGCTAATCTGAGACAGGAAGTTGTATTCGTGCGAAGTTGTGGGGTCGTATCACGGAAGTAGATACAAGTGTAACTTTTCTGGGACCTTGGAGGGGAAGAGTCGGTTATATAATGAGGGGAATCAGTGCCTCTATCCCCCTAACCCGGAACCCAATAAGATGATTACAAACATTAATTGGTATGGATACTCCCGGAAGTATCCGCCTGCGGAGGTGACGTATATTCGTATACTACGGAGTACAGAACGTAGCCCCCGGAACAGATAATGCAAGTCCGCAGGATAAGTGTGGAACGGCAATCCCCATCCCTGTCACACAGGTCCCAGCTGGCTCAGATCAGGCTAGAAGGGCATACGTATGGATCAGACGGTTTTAAGTAGGCACAATTATTGCTAAATAGCCAATCACTGCTTATTCTTCCGTGAATGTGTGTTCGTTACGATCCAACCAATACCACTCTCAGTTGCATTGCCGCCGTCTACATTTGCAGCGGTGCATGACGTGCACCTTTCGTATCAGATTAGGATATAACTCTTTAGAGTTTCCGTCACAGCGATCGCTAAATTTTGTAATTTACTGTATTAATGTGACAGGACAAGGAAATCGGCTACCAACGGCGGAGAAACAAAAGATGGTACTTCCTTGCCCCCCATAGCCGTGCCGTTAATTGGAGCCTCGGGTCACATATACTCCCCAGGAGTGACTCGTTAGAACAAGCTAGTAAAGCTACATCGGTTATGTCAGGGCTATACGTCACAAACGTGGAGCTCTATGGTAATGTATACTTGAGGGGCGCAATGTGCATTGGATGCTTCCAGCACTATCCTGTCTCATGGAGTGGTTCGAGTAGGCATATTTACGACATCTAACCGAGTTAGGGCTAGCTTTAGTCGGTTGCATATGGCCAATGCGAAAACCTAGAATCTGTAAACCCACGTCGTATGATGAGACGGTGGAAGTTTCATGACATTGTGACGGTGAGGTTTCTACAGATGTAGGTGTTTCACCTTGGCCATCTTGATTATGGAATTGGGAAATATGCCTAGCGAAGAAGGTTATTTTATTTCCTAGTTGAGCTAATGGTAGACAGTGACAGTAGTTTGAGGCGGACGTTGCTTTTTTAATGACGCCGCAAGCGTGGTCAAGCGCTAGGGGCATACTGAATGCTGGCAGGCGTCTGGCCACTGAAACATGCTCTAAGACCCAGGCTCCAACAAGACACATCTGAGGTTTTTTTTACGCCCAGAAATAGCTCAAAAACCCATTCAAGATATGGCAAGGGATATAGCCGGACAAAAAGGTCAAAAGCTGGTATCATTTCATTTAAAATTCAAATCCCAAGGTTTCCAACGAAGGCGAACGAGGATTAGCCTAAAGTACCTTATTAGATAGAGATTGAATACTCGCGCAATTTGTACACCTTGACACGTATATGCAAAACTTGGAAATATAATGTGTCTGAATATCAGACTGAAGGTATCATCTCAAACAGTACCGTTTGGTTCAAACTCACCGCCTTTTGGATACGACCCAAGGACACTGAAAGCTAGCTTCCAGGGATCGCAGCGGACGTCAACAGCTAAAATCTGGAATAGTACGAATCAGGTCGTGAGACAGTAAAGAACCCCTCAAAAAGTCTTTTTTCTGATACCCGTGGGGCTCAATTTTCCAGAATATATAGCAGTGAGTACATGTAAGTGCTGTGATGCTTTAACGACAAAATTTAAGCCAAGATACTGTCTAGACTCAATGTAACGTTTTGGCAATAACCCTGAAGAACCAAGTTGGATCGTAATGTGCTTTTCCAACCGATGGTCCCAAAATGTGGAATTAAAAGATTTCAATGTCTCGATATTGAAAAGTTGAAAATTAACTGGTATCCCGATAGTGTTTATTCACAGATAGCATCTTGTGCCATTTACGACCGGCTAGGGCAAAGCCGGGGGAAATAAATGTTCTCTTTTGAGCCATCACCCTCTGGGCTATGCTCTGCCATTATCCCACCTATAGAACGCTTAAAGTCTTAGTCAACACTTGAAGGTTAAAGCAAAGCGTATGCCCCGTTAAATACCCAACGGTCAGTATAGCACAGCTCTCAGGTATACTTTAGGTAGCGGGGTTTACGAATGACCCAGGAGGGGAAATGCAATCTTGAGCGATATGTCCCCACTTTACCTAACGGTGCAAGTCTCGCTCTTCACACCTGTGTCATGGTGACCTTCTACCGTCAAAAACAAAAATTAACCAAGCCATTGATTATTCAGTGATCATAGTTTATTTAAAAGCTCAGTGGATACACTAAAAATTCAAAACAGAAGCTAGAATAAGATTTCTCTCGAGTTTCCCATTCTCTCCATCTTTGTTGATTAGGCCTCCCGCGAAATCATGGTAGTGGCGCCCCAAACTTCGCGAACTTTCCTACTTCACACCTTTCTTATTTAGTTCGCGAACCACCACCCATTTAACGAACGTTAGATTTCTCCGCGAACCCTCGCTATCTTTTTCTCCATCCTGCCGAACATAACCCGATAAGACACCTCACCTTTCCTTCACTGACGACCCCACTAACACTAACACTACACCTATGGACTACATAAAAGTCACCCAGGTGCTGGATGTGACGCTCTACCGTAAGGGCTTCTCGGTGCGCGGGACGATCCACCTCACCACCAACCACCTCATTTTCACGCTCCCGACGGAGCCGTCCGCGCGTCCCAAGGAGATGTGGATCTGTTATCCCATCATAGAACGGATCGACAAGTCTCTCGGGTCCGCGCTTCTCGAGGTGTCAAGCGTGCAGAATCAGTTCAACCAGCCGGCGTGCGACTCGCGGCTGGCGTCGCCGGAGCTCTCCGCGCGGCTCTATCGCGGTGCGAACATCCGTCTCCGCTGCAAGGACTTCACGTACTACTCGCTTGACTTTGACTCTGAACCCGTATGCCAGGCCGTGTACGAGACGCTTGTAAAGCTCGTCGCATGCAGGGAGGAAAAATTGTACGCGTTTTTGTACGCGCCGGTGGTGGCGGAGCGACAGCACAACGGCTGGATGGAGTTTGATATTGCGCGCGACTTTGCGCGCCAGGGCGCATACGCTGCATGGCGTGAGACAGAGATCAACGTACGCTACGAGTTCTGTCCCACGTATCCCGCGATGTTCCTCGTGCCGCGCGCGATCAGCGACCTGGTATTAAAGCACTGTGGGAAATTCCGCTCCAAGGGCCGCATACCTGCATTGTCGTACTACCACCGCAACGGCTGTGTCGTTACGCGGTGCGCGCAACCGCTAGTCGGTCTCAAGAAACAGCGCTCCATCCAGGACGAGCGGCTTGTGGCGGAGATCTTTGGCGACCGCCCCCAGAACTTGATCGTGGACTTGCGCCCACTTGCAAATGCCATGGCGCAGACCGCGTTGGGCGCGGGCACGGAAAATGTCGACAACTACGGCGCCACGCGTGCAACCCGCATCTTCCTCAACATCGACAACATTCACGTGATGCGTGACACGCTTGCGCGCGTGGTGGAGGCGTTGAAAAATGGCGACGTCAGCGCTACGCCAGTCAACGCCGAGCTCTTAGGGCGCCTGACCTGGCTCAAACACACATCAATTGTGCTTGCGGGCGTCGACCGCCTTGCCAAATCTATCCATCTCAATGCCATGAATATGCTTGTGCACTGCTCGGACGGCTGGGACCGCACGGCACAGGTGTGCTCGTTACTCCAGTTGTGCCTTGACCCACACTACCGCACGCTTCGAGGGTTTATGTTGCTCGTGGAGAAGGAGTGGTGCGCATTCGGACACCAGTTTGCAGAGCGGAGCGACCACGTGGGCGCGCAACTCGTCACAAGTCTGGGCGCGTCACGCGCGACCAGCTTCTTCTCCAAATTCAAGGTCCTTCAGGGTTCCAACTTCAAGTCGCCTACCTTTCACCAGTTTTTAGACTGCGTGTACCAGATGGCACGCCAGCATCCCACCGCGTTCGAGTTCAACGAGCGTTTCCTTCGCCGCTTGCTCTACCACGTGTACTCCTGTCAGTATGGCACGTTTCTCGTGAACAACGAGCGTCAAAAGGTGGAACAGCGGTTGGAGGAACGAACCCGTTCCGTGTGGGACTACTTCACGTGCCGTCTTCCGGAATTCACCAACCCGCAGTATACAGCCAACCCAGACGTGATCTATCCGAACTGCAAGGACGTGAAGTGGTGGTTTGAATTGTTTGGCAGGACTGATGCCGAGATGAATGTGGAGGTTAAGGAGAGCAAAAGTCCTGCGAGTCCCAGTGTCTATGTTCCGGAGACTAAAAATGAAGGGGCGGTTAAAGAAAGTGTTTCTGCGTTGGAGCTTGACCAAGCGGACGGACCAAAGGAGATTGAATTGAAGGAGGTTGAGCTACAGGGAGAGGCTAACGTGGAGAGTGAGATGAACAGCGCTGGATCTGGAGAGCAAGAAGGGAACACGGGAGAGAAAGCCCCAAAGCTAGATAGGGGCAATCCGGAGCTTATAGACTCCAATCCATGGAATGGAGCCTGTAAGTTCAATAATCCTGATAAAGGGGTTAAGGCTGAGACAGACAAGAGAACAACCTTAGAGGATGAAACAGTGAATGAGCGGCCAAAAATAGAGCAAGTGAGCGCTCTGCCAGAGGATATAGAGTATGAGCCAGCGCTGGAGGAAGCCACGGTCATATCCATGTGTGCGCTCTCAATTACCACCAAAAACCTAGATTTGGAGCTCTCTTCGATGACTCCGGTGGCGAGTGATGATCATCCGTTGGCCGGCACCAGCTAACTAGGAGTTGCACGGTGTAACGTTAACGAATATTATATAGTAGAGCTATGTAGCTTGCATAGAAAATCGGGGGATTATAGTTCAGAGCATGCCTTTCATTTTATCATAACCAGAGAGTCGAATAGATCCTGGTGAAGCAAAAGCGGCAGCTTCCCTTTTTGCTGTTTGTAAATACCAATAAGTTGTAGTCCAACCTCCCTCCGTTTTGGACTTGAGGTGAAACCGGTTCGGGTGGTTAAACCTTCATCGAAGGAGGTATTTACCAACAAAGCTGTAGGTATTTATAGTATACTTTTTGTATTTTGGAATTATAATTTAACACTCCGATATCTATGGTTTTGGATAAGATGATCGACTTCCTGTCACTTCTCCTGCGTTCAGCTGTGCATTCCGTTTCCATCCCACCTTTTTCATTGCTCCAAATTTCAGTATTACCCAAAAATGCCCACTTCTAGCGTTAACCTATAACACTATGTCGGCCTATCTCACCTCGCTATTGCCTGCTGCTCCTGGTATCTTACCAAAATGGTTACTTTTCGTATGTCCCTAATACCCACTCCCCCAGCTCGGTACTAACTCCCCCAGATCTCTGTCGTCTCCGTCTTCAACTCCGTCCAGACCTACGTCTCTGGCGTTGAGTTGACCCGTCGCGTGTACGAAAACAAGCCACTTGAAACCACTGCCTTGTCTGCGCGTACCTTCGGGACCTGGACCGTGGTGTCTGCTGTGATCAGATTTTACGGCGCCTACTACATTAACAACCCCCAGGTCTACGAATTGACCATGTGTTCCTATTATATCGCCGCATTCCACTTTGCCTCCGAATTGTTCTTCTACAAGACCGCCAAGTGGGGTAAAGGCATTATGGGGCCTGCCATCGTCGCCACCACCTCCATCATCTGGATGAACTTGCAGAAAGACTACTACCTCGGGTTGTAAGCAACCAAGGGTTACTGGGCTATTGTTTCAGCTTTAATAACAATAAATATGATGATTCGTATAGCGGTCGATAAGGAATATCGTGGATTATGAAGTGCTGTTTCCAAGGGTATGAAATATCACCCCTCTGCTTGTATAGTAGACTACCCCAGACCAATAACTAAGCTGAAGGTGGAAGCCGCCGAATTTATGAGATATACAATGGCCCCACTCTTCAGATCGCAGACCTGTAGCTACGACTAAACCCCAAGGTTAACATTCACCGAAACCCCTCTGATTAGCGCAAGAATCAGTGCTAAGATCACGTATGGTTCATGAGTATACGATGTCAAAGTTGTACCTATGATGATTTCCAGATAAAGTACATCCAGTGGATGGTATCCTTAACCCCATAACGGCGCTAAAACAGAACCGTATTTTTATACGCAATCCCAATACTGACCTTGGACAAACAAAAAAGTCTACATTCGTTATATCACTCCTACACTTTTTTTTTCTTCGTTTCACGTATTACATATATAGTAACTAATCATACATCCCTATTGGTGAGTAGGGTCCTGGCGCTTCAACACCTCCACGACCGGCCCAAGCAATCTCTGGAACCCGCTCTTGCCCAAGGTAGCAACCTTGAGTACTGAAGATGCAGTCACGGTGGCTTTTCTTGGCGAGTCGTTCAATAAGGCCAACTCACCGAAGTAGTCGCCCTTGGCCAAGTGGCTAACCACCCCCTCACCTTCCTTGGAGACTTCCGCCGTACCGGATTCGATGAAGTAGAAATTTTCACCGACGTCACCCTCTACAACCACAGGTGTGCCTGGCTGGAAGGTCTTCGACACAAGGGCGTCAGCCAACTTACTCTTTTCGTACGCGGAGAGCGAGGCAAGCACCGGCACATCCTTGAAGAAAACCTCGTACATGGCTCTCTTCTTGGCAGTCCCCTCCAACAAGATACGTCTGAAGGTCAACCGATCAAGCGCCCACAAGACACAGTCAGTGGTGGCCACAGCGGTTGCAGCTCTAAAAGAGTTGTACATCAACGCCAACTCACCAAAAGAGGAACCCGGTCCGGAGGTGTTGACCTTATCACCATTGACGTAGAAGTCGACTTCACCCTTCTCAATCACGTAGAAGAAATCCCCCTCGTCGCCCTGCTTGATGATTTCGGTGTTCTGCGGCAAACGCTTCTCCTCCAAAGCATGGATCACGGTGTTGAGCTCCTCATCGTCCAACTGGCCAAACAAGAAGTTCTTGGCAACACTGCTGTTCAATCTGCTTAACTGCTCCGAGGTCAAGTTTCTCACTGGCGGCTTCCAGTCGCCGAGGAACTTGTTTGGATTTAAGGTCTCAGCGCTAACGGAGGTTCTTCTGTTGGCATTAAAGTGGGCCGGCAACTTGGAGATCTTGGCTCCGAGCGGCGCAATTGTGTCGCTTTCGGACTTGTCACTTGGGTCGACCGACCGAGCCAACGAGCTGGCCGGAGCGCCGAACGTGCCCCTGAACAAGCCGGGGGTAGGTACGGAAGCAGCTGGCGCACCTGGTCCTTCATCTTCTGTGTGCTTATCGTGGTGGGGGTCTTCTGAGTGCGGGTCGTTATCACCGAATGGTGTCTTGAACGCTGGGAAGGCGTGGGAGTTCGATTGGCGGGGAACCGAGTGTCGAGGGAAGAGCGTGATCCCGGCAGCGCTGGCTCTCTGCTGCTGGTTCCACAACTGTTTTCTCTGGTCTTCCAAGCGGGCGAGAAAATAGTTGGAACAGAACTGGAGAATATCGGCGGGATTCTTGGCCAAAATATCCTTGTTTAACTGGGCGAGCTCGTCGACGTAGTTATAGTTGGATTGCGACATGATAGCAATGCGTGAAGGGGGCAGGAAGAAACAATTGCTTTAGGTTACACGACTGACAGAAACAATCGCGGCTTAAAAACGATAGATGGAATGTGGGGGAGAGAGGAGTGGAAGAGCAAGATGCGGCAATTTGCAGTTCAGTTCGGTTTAATGCTGGCAGTTTGCGATCGCGATAAAAGCAAGGGGCGTGCGGCGACAGGGAATGTGAATCCAACAAGGCTGTCCAGAACGAGGACTGCGCAGAATACTATGCAGTCCAGTCACACTGCATAGGATTTGCCCTTCCACAGCAGCCGAGTTTTCTTATATGAGCCGTCCCTTACTCTCGGGCTGTCTCTTTATTTAGGGATATGTGCACTGGTTAAAATGATCTAAATATTTTTACAATTCTAATCATGTTTATTTGACTTGTATCGGTGCCTATTCTGTTTTCCTAGCATGTGAAAGAGATCACCTCTTGAACGGTGAAGGCATGTTCCGCGTATGGAACGTAAGGCGTACTATGACTGCCGCATTTGGGGCGTAAATATTAGATGCCTGATTTGGGCACACATAGACGCAATGTATCAGCTATGGGTATGCGAGGTTACCCAGGGAAACGGCGACTGTTAAAAAATCTAACGAGATCTAGATTACACTGGGCCTACAAGTGGTTTCAAAGGGGAGGTTTACTCGAATGCGCAATTCAGGTAAGATTTGCGGTCTCACTGAGGTACAGTGTGGTATGAGAAAGCCTCACCGAGGAAGGATGCCAGATGCTCTTTTGACTTCTACAAGCGTAATATACGGATTGTAGTTGTAAGCCCTCACAATTTTCCTAGTGCTAGTGGCATCTTCTCCGGTCAACTGATTTTAATCCAAGATGCTTTAAACCATGACGTTTGGTTGGGTAAACCCCTAAGATTCCGGTGAAATTTCTCTTGTGCATGGTGCATGCTGCAAACGTGCTTCTCAGATCCAGGAGTGCTAGCTAGAGTTCGGTTTACATGGATCGTCGCAGATTGATTTAAAAAGGTGGCATGATAATTGGCAAGTAACCACAGACTCTCAAACGTTTCTAGCCAGTAAGGACAACATCCATGGCCGAGTCCCGAGTTTGGAGGGGTATTTGCGATCGATTGCCAGGTCATTGACTCCTATTACTCGGAAATATCTCTTTCAAGCTATAGCGCTGTAGCCAGCTATAATGTTTGCATTACTATTCTTACTGTTTCTCCGCACATGTATGGTATCGATCGGACCCGTGGGTTGTTTCACAACCCCAGATTGTCCGACCCTAGACTGTCCAACCCTGATACTGATTAGCCTTCGAATTCAAGATGACCAATAAAGACACGCGTTGATCCTTCGACCAGGAAGAAGATTCTCCCTTCGCATGCATATGTACATCTATCAGCAACAAGGGTTTCAGGGGGAACTACTGGAATCGACTGAAAAGGGAGATTCACTAGATCAGACCCATTCATCTAGCTTTGCCTCGAGATCCTTATACACTGAAAACAGAGAATTGTATCACCACGGTTAGATGGCGGTATGTCGTTGAATTATCTTGGCGGACGTAGGATACCGTGATGTCATATCGGAGGATATCAGCCGACGGTGTATACAGTATTGGAAAGCACCTTGAATATATACACCAGTTACAGGAGTTGAATTTCAGGGTATAGAGAGGCGCAGTGAAAGACCTGCACGACAAATTATTATTGGCCTACTTACTATTGTTACCGTCACTAATCTAATCTCCGCACTTTTGATGGCGTATTTATTCCTTTGAATAGAACCTTCAGTTACAAGTTTAGACAGCTTCCTTACATTAGAGGTTCATTACTAATCGTTAGCGTATATATAGCTTGCAAGAGTGGTATAAAAAACTACTATTTCATATACCATCGTCATTTATTCGTTTGTAACAAGTTAAACTCAGCAAACCATTTTCGGTAAAGTCAAGCAATCAGAAATCACCGAAATTTCACCCAACACTTAAGATTCTCAGTTGAGTGAAATGTGAAATTTCTGGCTTTTAAGTCTTCTAATTTGATCTTTTACTCATTAAAGGTACTATAAATCTGCCGTACTAACCAAGCCTACCTCTTCAATCGTTTGTGAGGCCATTTTCCAACCACGCAAAAGTTGCACGGCGGCCGCTAAAGACTCACCCATAATGTCCTGCACAAACTGTAGATAATCTCAATCTTACAAAATCGCCATAGATTATCTGTTTCGGAGTGGTAGTCACACAATAGCAAACAAACCTACTCGTGATGTCCTTCAAGTCTAGCTACCTCTACGCCCTCGGTGCGTTGTTTCTTTTCCACAGCGGCTATTCTGCCATGCAGTTCTACCAATACGTGAAGGCCACAGACTCAACTCTTCCCCTCCCAACCGATGTATGTATATTAGGTCATTTTCACACCCTCTCACAGTCCTAACACTTTAGATTGGATTAGAGGCCTTGCTAGGTGCCGCCGTGACTATCATTGCCGCCGTTTTCTCGGTAGAGATCCCTGCTCAGTTGAGCGCGCACGATGACGAGGTGTTGGTGAAGCCTTATCGCTTTTTTAAGCCAATTGAGATGAGGTATGCGACCACAGAGTTTCAGAAACTCGGTATTAACCCATTCGAGGAAATCGAAGCTAGACCGGCTTTTATGAATATTGTCGCCAAGCGAAAAGAGTTCCAGGAATGGGCTAATAAATAGAGGCAATCCCCACCCTCTCCAAGACTCGCTCATAGATCTTGGAAAGGTTACCCCTTGGTATAACTCCTGGGATAAGACGTGAGTTTGTTTTTCAATGGATCTTAAGCCCCTTTTGTTAGTGTTCAACGTTGGATGAACCATGCGCAGCTGACGTCCTATAATTAGGCTGTATATAATAATATGGCGGTAAAGTTAATGTATGTTGCTTAGGGATTGCGGGCTTTTGGGAGTAGTTAGGAATCAACACTAAGATTGGGGTTCACCTCCACGCCAACACTCGAGCTCCTGCATTGCTGCCATTCATCACCTTCATTCTAATAGATAACCGAACTTTCAATCAAGGTCAACAATGTAGAGGTTCCAGCTAGCCATTTGACTTCATAACACCTGTAGTAACGGTACCATTTAACTAGATGGAAGTCGGAGTCCATTTTCCCTTACCTCTGATAACTAGACACCCGGTAATCGTATCCGCCTCTGTCCATATGGCCACCGACTACTCTTCTCTTGTAGATATCTTATGTAGGAAGAGTATTCTCTTTTAGCTAGCCAATAGTATCCACTATTACCTGTTAGATATACCACATATACTCTTACAGATATAGAGTAACATGTGATGAGTCGCTACATGACCGCGGAGGGATTTTGTATAAGTGTGCGATAGGGAGTAGATGTGGCCACGGGTGTCAACAGTCTATCGATATCTCTACACCAAGATTAGACTTGAAACGCCAACATAAATTGGATATCTATACTTACATAGGTAACACACCGATATACTCTGCCGAGTTAAAGGCTGTACCGGTACAACGGACTTTTATCGCCCATGTCGAAGATCTCTTCTCTGGTATAGCCGTCCCACTTACCGTCTTGGAGCTCCTTCTCACGCTTGTCATTAATCTTGCGGTAGACCGTCACCAAAACTATGATACCACAGAGTCCCAACGAAATGAATCCTAACTCCACACTATGGCCCAAAATAAACCGTGGTTTATCTTTCGCTATATAGATGTTAGAGGCAATAGCACCACCGAAGTTACCGATACCGATATTAAAGGCCATCCCCACAGCTCTTTTATAGGAACCCGCCAAGTTATTCGCGTTCCAAGAAATAGCACCCGGGAAAGCAGGATACAACCCAAGCGCGATTAAATAACAGCCACCATAAATAACACCAGGCTTCACTCTAGGGTCTGTGGCCACGCACATACTGTACCCCACTATCAAGAACAAAAGATTCATCACGAGAAATGGCGAACGGAGTCCTACCCGATCGGAAAACAATGCCTGAGCCACACCGGCAATGGACGCGCTAATGTATATTGGCACTGTCATCAACTGAGCCTTGGCAGAGGTATAGCCCAAGTTCAAAATAATCGTTGGCAAGAAAAGCGAGATACCGTACAAAGGAACGATAATCGAGTAATAAACCACCAAATGAAACCAGCACTGCCAATCACTCAAGACCTGCTTGATAGGTTGCCATGGAGTTGACTTCTTCTCCACTAATGGAACGCGGGAGCTCGCATCCGAATACTGAATCTTGCGAGACTCGGTAACCTCTCCGCCTGGAGTATTGTTGCTATCGTTAGCCAAACGCCAAAGTACAAACTCACGTTCCTCCGGGGTTAAGAAAGAAGCGGTTTCGGGGAAATCTTGCAAGCCCCAGAAACTTCCAAAAGCGACCAAGACAGTCAATAAGCCTTCCAAGATGAAAATCCACCTCCACCCCTCAAGACCACCAATTCCATCCATCTTGGAAATCCCAAACGCTAAAAGCCCCGAGAAAGCCCCGGCGACGGAGGCAGCACTGAAGAACATGGCCTGTCTGAATTGAATTTCACCCTTGCAGTACCACATGGTCAAAATGTACGTCGCTCCCGGGAATAACCCGGCTTCGGCCACTCCTAGGAATAACCTGCAGGCGAACAACCCGGCAAAGTTGTGAACAATTCCCATGAGTGTCATCACGACACCCCAGGCAATCATGATGGACGGAAGCCAGATACTAGGCCTCAACAACTTCAAGCACATGTTCGAAGGTACTTCGAAAAACGAGTATGTAATGAAGAAAATGGTGAGACACAAGTTGTACTGCTTGCTGGACAAGCCCAAATCTTCGACCAAACCTTCAATTTTTGCGTTTCCAATGTTTCCCCTGTCTAAGAAGGAAAGCAAGTATAAAACCGCGAGCATCGGCAACAAGTGCATATCCATCTTGCGGAGGACCTTCTTCTCGTCGATGTTAGGGAAGCGTTCTTGTGCTGTCATGCCATCGTACGATATCACGGCTTCAAGGGGGTTCTTGGCTTCATCGGGGTAAGCATCTGGGTCTGGTGACGAGGAAACCTCGTATGACGGTTGAATTTTATCTGCCGACATTGTACTGAATTGATTAGGTAGAGTAGATTTAAGATGCAACTGGATATGTCTATATGTATACTGTAAAGCTACAGACATCAATATGGGATCAGAGGTTTATATACCTCATGCCGCCAATTAGACACTTTGAGTCATTCATTGATCAAAGCGTCTTGAATCTTGGAACGACCTGGGGTATCATTTACTATACGTGTTCCCCTCCTCATACAAGGTACGTTAGCAACGTGCCTTACATTATCGTGAACTCGGGATATTTGGGTGCCGCTTGATGACACCCCTGGAGCAAGCCGGGTCCGTAGCTTCCCCCACAAACCTGAAACTCGGGCACAGGACTTTATCGTTCTGGATTAGGGTATTTCCGTACAACTGTGACCTCTGTGGCTACTACATGCGGTGGCACCTGCATCCTGCTTATCTGTTACGGCGCTTAGGCTGCCTGAGATGGCTTTCTAAGGAGTCTTTCGCTGCAAAACGCCATCTCTTTACGGATAGTCGCTGTGCGGGGTGCGTCATATTGCCGATCAGTCACCTACAGACTGTAGGAGAATTGCTGCCCCGCAGTAACCTGCAGCGAGTGAGGGTAAAATGACACCCAGTTACATCCGTACTCCACAATAGGCTCAAATTATTCCAGGGTTATGTTGCTTGGCATGGGAGGTTCGTGCAGTTCTCCGAAAACCTTATTATTTGGGCTCTCTTTGGGGCTGGAATCTGACGAGAGGCAAACGCTAAACTTGGAGTCATATATCAATAACGCGCCTGTAGTTCCTCAACGCTGATCGTTTAAATTACGTGTGCTGTTACAAGTGATACCGTGAACCGTGTGGTTCACCATTTACCAAAAGGCTGGCCTCAGGGGGCTCTTGTAATGCGGTGCACCCTTGAATACCTTAAAGTTACTGCGCCTATAACCGAACGAGAATACCCGGTGGCAAAACGCCACTGAATAATTACGTGATTTGCAGTACAATCGTAGTTGTTGCCACTGAGGCGTGTTATATGTTTGTTTAATTGCTTGTAATGCACGGCAAGTGCTTGTTCCTTCCTCGCATTCGGTAATAGGGCCCCGATCTTTGATCTCAAAGCGAATGCATAAGTCTAATTAGAATTAGCGTTAGTATCATACGGCCCGAGGCTGAGACGTACAGTACAACCTAAAACCTTGGACGAACTATGGATTGATCATTCATCAGGTTAGTACCATTTTTAGATATCTAGCTCAATTTCGCTCCATTGGAGATTAGCAAGTTGCGTGATGCAGATCGTGCTATCATCAAGTTCCGTGTAACTGTCACCATAAATTAAAGCTGGCGCGAGTATCGTCTTTTCGGGACAAAGTCGGGCAGGTTTTACTCCCCAACAGCATTCCATCGGCAAAAGCATTTCTAATCGGGAAACTTCCCAGTCCTTAGTGATTTTACTCTTAATCTCGTCCATTCTGGTCGCTAGTCCTTACAGTATACCGCACCCCCTCTATGCACCGTAGTCATAGAAATATCTTTTTAGTTCATGCGCCTTCTGGTACTTCCGCTCTCTTTTAGTCATTATAATATTAATCTAATTGATGCTAATGCTTGCTATTGCATATGCGCTTTCTTATACTCTTCCAGCGTCAGGAGCGCCCCATAGTCCCCGGCGTCTCTTCTTCACCATAGCCTCTAACCGCTTGTACCGCTCGTCCTGCCGGTCAAACTCTGCTAATGTCTTACCCTCATACACCACACCGATACCGTTTTTAATCATCCCCGCACTGACATCCTTCCAGCCGGTGTATCGCAACACCCAGCACTTTGCAACCACACTCTAGTACTGATCTATGGACAACGGTTTGATTCGCATACGTCTGCCCACGAGGTAGCTGCGCAACCAGATCAACACTTCCTCTGAGAACGGCTGAGCCGGGTTTCCCCAGTGTGCCCTCTCGGGAGCATCCACACCACATAGCCGGACGTTAAGGGTCTCTTTGCCGTAGCCTCGCTTGTTAATGGGTGGCATGACGCACAACCAGCCCCAACCCGTGAGGAACCCGTCAGGGGTATGGTAAAACCGGAAGTTGTCACCGTCCCCTACGAAAATAACCTTTCCAAAAGCGTCTTTTTATGGAGATATTGCGGTGGGATTTGGATTGCCTGCGGAATCCGTCAGAGTTTGGTCACGACTCTTGCGTCAAGGAAAAGCGAGGCCGCGATCCCGGCGCTGAGGACTACTACCGAGGAGCTGAATATGCTAGGTGACTCCGATTTAGCCATGAGTGAGCGATAGAGATGGTGTGTTAGCGATGGTGGAGAATAAAGGCGGTTGTGAATTGATTTATTCGTTTGTTTTCCAGCTTTCGTTGTGTATTTTTTAGTGTCTACAGGTCGCGTACAGAAGTTAGGCATGCATGGAACGTGATTTAAATGCAACTATACTCGTAATGTGGTTAAAGGTAAAAATACACGCGCCGTACATTCCAAGACTGGTTATGGCCTTTTAGCCTCTAGGGAAAACTCAACCAGATTATTAATGGTTTATAGCGAAGTACCGCTAATTTGCAATATCTGGTGTTATCTGGTATTGGTTGAAGATATAGCCGTTAACACTTTTACATCTTTTTGCCAATAAAATACATGAGACACTACCAAAAAGCAATTAGAGTTTTCTCTCAGCTATATATAAGCCGTTACTTGGCAAAATCTCTGTTTAACTGGTGACTAGTCGCAAACGTCCGTCTGTAATGAAATAAGTATGAAAGTAGATGATGTATAGGCACTAGTAATTCCGTTGATATCAAACTAAGCACCCACGAGGGCCTTCTAGAGGAGCATACCACAAGTATATAAATCTTTATGCACTTCCCTGTGGTCATCAGGATTTTGAAGTAAAAGGATTTGTATGGCCCTGTTCTGTCAACACCACACAAACATAATTTTGAGAGAATCCATCAGCCTTCTGGATAATATCTAGTAATTTCATAGAATCTTGTGCGTGTCTCTGTGTTAGCAACACGTTGAAAACATAACCAGTTCAAGTCTAACAGCCTTTGCGACCCACCATATATTCCTTAAGCATGCGCATATCAAGCTTGAGGTCAAACACGTTGTTCTTGATTTCTGTAACATTTGATGCATTACCACCGCTAATTACCACCCCCACAGCCTGCTTGAACCCTTGAAGCTCTTTCCTAATCTCGTGAAGCTCTCCTCTGACATCCCCCCTAATCTTCTCATAATCCTGTTGGGCCCGGTTTAGCTCATTCACAAGCCGGGCGTTCACGTCATTTGTCTCCTTCACCGCCTGTATCAAGCTAAAGAGTACATATACAGAGCGATCATGAACTTTGCTTTGTTTTTTAGCGCTGCCTAGAGCCATCTGTATTCATTGCCTCCTCTTTTGGTGGGTCTTGGTGGCAAAGGCATCATTAGAGCTTTAAGTACGATATAGTGGTGGTGAGATCAAACCAGGTAGTCTATAAAAGACAAATATCGAAAATTATTGAGTGGAGAATTTGCAAGTTTGAACAGAAGCAAAACGATGTCAATACAAGGGTTCTGTTTTGCTGCATGCACGAGCCGCTCTGGTGTACCAAAGGATAAGTAAGCGGCAGTGTAGTAAAGGTGCCATTTGACTAGACGGAAGTCGGAGTCCGTTGTCCCCTTACCTCTGATAACCAGACACCCTGTAACCGTACCCGCCTCAGTATATAAGTCCACCAACTGCCCTTCTCTTGTATATATCTTATATAGAAAGAGTATTCTCTTTTAGTTAGCCAACAGTATCCACTATTACGTACTAGATATACCACGACGCTGGTATTTGTCTCTATAAAAGTACCTCCGCGGGTACGTGTTGTATACTTCACATGCTAGTATTAGAGTGTCTCGACTATCGTATACCCCCACTTGTCGCACGTGCTTGTTGCTCCACAGCTGGCCTTGCAATCTTTCCCAAAATATTACTGCTTCACTTTTGGATAATTACTCTGTTAATTTTCTTCCATGGAGCTTGACTGTTCTTAAAGTTCCAGAAGGGTACGATACTGCTTGAAATTTTTACGTTACTGGCGGCACTGTCTCGAGCCACACCACTCGATCATTCAGCTTGAATTTTGGAAAATCTCGGAAGGGATCTGCGCAATTATCTTCATGAGGCCAATGTTTTTTTTTTTTTTTTTTTTTTTTTTGATAGAATCGTGTAGTACACTTTGGGACAGAGTTTGTGGAGAAGGGAAGTTAAATCACATGCTAGATAATCCCTTCTCCACAAATCCACGCAGGTATGACTCCCGGTGTGTAAATTGCGTGAACCACGGTGGTACGGAAACTGTGGCTATCACAACAGCGTGTAATATAATTTGTATTTCGGTAAAAAGTAAATACTTGCAACTATTAAAAGACTCAGAAAATATCGGGATATAAAAGGCCCACCTGCCGGGTTCCTGAAACTGATTCTTCCTATACTAGAATTATTATTTCCCATTCAATAAGAAATATCTAAAGTCTCTGCACCAAACCATGTCAACTACTATTACTAATTCTTTCAGCTCTTTAAATAAAAAAGAAACCGCAATGGTGAGCGTTTCCCGGGAAATCAAGGTCAATATTGAAAGCATCGAGGACCACAAACTAGACTACACAGAATTTGCTCTGGCAAATCTCGGGCCTGCTGATGTTCCTCTTGAAGGAGCGCTCACAGAGGTTCCCTACGATGACAGAGCGTTCTATACCGACCCTGAACTCCTAAACATGCATCCTACTTTAAATTTGGCTTCCCGTGAAATTTCCTTGAAGGAGCTTTCCCCGAAGTTTGGATCAGAGGTCAAGGATACCCAGTTAGCCTCCTTCGTGGACAATCCTAAGGTCAAGGACGAGTTAGCTTTGCTACTTACCCAGCGTGGGGTGTTATTGTTCTATGACCAGGGAGATTTCTTCAAGCTATGGCCTGCTAAGATTGGCGAGTTTAACTCATATTATGGTGTGCCCCATGTCCTCCCAATCACTAAGGTGGTTAAAGATAACCCTGAATTTGTGACCGTTTCGGTATAGGGGTTTAGCAAGTACGCAAAATTGAGCTACAACAACTACAAGAACCTCTTGACACTCAGATGCTACGTACAAAGTGTAGCCACCGGCATATACGTCTTTGACAATGTTAGAGTCCCCTCCTTCTGGTGGAGATACAGTGTTTGTTGACGCAAATGAAGCGTACGAGCGCTTGTTTCCAGGGTTCAAGGGGCGCTTGCATGGCTTAACAACTCACTCTGCCCACCAACAGGCTGAAATCTCTGTCAAGACTGACGGGGTACTTAGAAAACCAATCATCACGGCCCATCCGGTGGTAAGACAACATCCCATCACCATGAGGAAGGCTATTTTTGTGAACTCGGTTTTACTCGTGAGATTGAGGGATATAAGAAGGAGGAAAGCGACTACTTGTTAAAATTCTTATACCAACACTTTGGGAGCTCTGTGGATTTCCAAATCAGAGCGCAGTGGAAAAAGTTTACTGTTGTTTTCTGGGACAATATAAACACCCGGCACACTCTATCTGTTGATTACTATGGTCAAAATAATAACAGGCATGCCGTGAGATTGACAGTGAGAGGCGACCAACCGGTAGAAAGGGTATAAAAGGGTGTTTAGTATTCGAAAGACATTTTTATACTATATCGACTTGGTATGTGGTTTCACTCCGCCACATGGATTCAAAATTGAATACAATCCTTAAGTTTATTTTTCAACTCTAGAAGTCTCTAAGTATCTTATTTAGTTTCCCATTTTACGATAGTGGCTATTGCTTCATGCATCTGTCTGACCAGATAGCGCCGAAATAACCATGTATACGTCGTGTACCTTGTCCTATCAACCAGAATACTTATAAGCTTATGGGTCCTATAGTTTAATAATATTTGAATTCAAGCAAAAAAAGTCTTGACCTTGTGCATCAATGTTAACGAGGCCCGTTTCTTAAAACTGCGACTCTTTGTAGTACTCGAAGCACTTACATTATCACCGCCAGCGCTACCATTCCCAATCGCTAAATCATCTCGTGATGTTCTCCTGGTCGAGACTGAGCCATGTTCCCCATCCTGCAAGGTCATCTGAATACTTTGCTCGAGCGAATCCGGATACAGGTGCTCTACCCTAAACCGTTGAGGTAGATCTACGTAGTCTTCTACCAAGCCTTGAGGTTCTGAGCGGCATGAAATAGTAATATTTGGGCACGACACCAAGGAAAAAGCAGATTCATGAGTCTCTGATTCAGATTCAAACTGGGACGTAGACTCGGAGTTGAAGACTTCAACTGACGAGCCGCAATTGGAGAACGACTCTTCGGCATTAGCGAGGTCAATTTCTGAGTTTGCCATTTGAGACACAGAAACTGTTGTATTGACAGTTTTAGTCCTGTGGATCTCGGGAATCTGCTCCTCAGTTTTGTCATCGCCGGCGAGTTCTTGGGGTCCTAGGGAAAAGCCTTCCAGCGATAAATCGGGAATTCCCACTTCCAGGAGCAAGTCCAGATCTAGAGCTGTTTCTAGAGGTGACTGTGGATAAACCTCAGGGATAATAACATTGTTGGGAATCCCCTTCTCATCGTATTCGATTTCCTCATCTGGGTGTGTGACCCACACATCATCAACGATAAACTTAATGGTAAATGTGTCAATAATTTCCCCAGAGTTCAATCTTCCAGGATACTGATTTACATACCTTGAAAACAATTTTTTGGCTAGGCAACTCCAATTGAGTGGCAAAGCTCCCATCCGTTTTTCTGCTAAGGGGCACGGACTTTGACCAGTTGTCAAAATTACCTGTCACAAAAACCTCATGGGCTCCAATGGGCCTAAAATGGGTCTGTTAGTCGTTAGCTCTGGTCTAACAAAAATCCCGAGGTTACGTACCATTGGAATGCATGTAAGAATTTGGTCATCAGATCAGAGATCTTTCTAGGTTAAACTTGAAAAATCAGGAGCGGGAGTCTTGCGCTTTATAAAAAAAAATGAACGCGTTCTAAATATGCCTATTTATAGGTACTGGGGGGGAACTCAGATCAGGGGGTATATATCCATCTTTAAGTTACAATCTAAACCAGCAAAACGAGGCCAAACCTGCAGTCAGGTCTTGGTCTATTATACGGGCAACATAGCGCCGGCCAAACCTCGCATTATCGTGCATGCATGCTCTAACCCCTAAAACTCTCACTTCACAGGGATATGGTGCTAAAAACGACAGTACTGATAAGATAAGTACGCAGAGCTCGTGTCTTGGTTTTGGATTATGTAATGTTTTTATTGATGGGGATTCCAAATTCCACGGTGTTTTATAGCCCTCTCGGCAAAGGTATGAACTTAATTCGACGTAGTTACGACAGCACTAACACATAATGCAACCAACCTAATATTAATAGGAGGGCTATCATCGCATATCCTCGACGGCTTGTCATAAGATTGTACCGAGATGGAGCAAAGTTAAAAACAATGATAAAGCACCTTTTACAAAGGCAATACTGTCCCCATGCAACCACTTTCGGATCACCAACGGGAATCTCCAGTCTAAAATTACGTGCATACACAGGGAAAGGCAATTAATTGAGTCAAATTGTTGGCATTATGCAAGTGTGGTTGAGTAGAAGGGGTGCGTAGTCTTGCGTAGTGTGGCGTTTATTTCCAAGTTGGGTGCGTATCCGACCCTCAGGCGGTTCTGCAATCTCACCTCAAAAATGCTTTCACTATCGACCCTACTTGGACAATTGCTAGTTGTACATTTATTGGTCCATCGTGATAAAAGGTGGCGATAAATAGTCTTTACTCCAGGTAAACTGTACTGAGCCTTATAGTAAAGGGGAAGGCAATAGGTGGGGGGCACCTACATATATGTGTTATACATGCAGGTGGTACACCTTAAGCTAGGTAGACAATACTCCAGTTCCGGATACAGCAAGTAGCATAACTACGCGAGCCAAGACTATATCTATAAAACGTTCCGTAAACTATCTCAAAGGATGAAGCCCAGCTACACCCTCGTAAAATAATTAAGATATTACCGAGCAAACCCATTTGCCGTCCAGTATATATTCAGTAATCACGGGCCAGTATCCACCCTCTCTACAATTTCGCAACGTCATTTCTCCAGCTGACGCCACACCAGCCAGAAATCTCTATGACCAACTCGCGAGCCGCTCTGATCTCCTCCAAGGTGCACCCGTTGTTGAGCGCGCCTTTCAAATGTCCCTTCAACTGGGGGTTCACGTCCTGTGGCACCAAGCACGCGATGATCACCAACGACGACTCGCGTGCGCTTAACACGTCGGTGCACGATAAAAGCGGACCGTAGATGTGGTTAATGGTGTAAGTCCACAAATCTGGGTACGCCGAACTCATCTGGTGTGCTACACGGTTGTTGATCTTTCCGTACACCTGGTCCCAGAACTTGTAGCCGCGCTCCCTCTCGGTGATGATCGTGGCAGAGTCGGTTTCTGTGGCCCTGACAGACAATTCGTCCGCGCGGAGAGCGCTTGGTGTGGCGGTCTTCAACGTCATGAGCGCATTAATCACGCGCGGAACCCCGCACAACGCGATCGCCTTCAAGAGCGCATCCTTGATCTTGTTGGTTTGTTCCTGTTGCACCGTAAGCTGAGCCGCGGAGTTAGGAAACAACGGCATGGCAGACCCTTCGGCAGACAACTCCTGGTAAGCCTTGGCGGAAACGATGGCCTCATTCGCGTCTTCGAGGGTGGGAGTCACGGTGTGCGACGCATTGGTGAGCATGAGGTAGTGGTAGAGCTTAGGTAACTCCTGAGGCTGGTTGCATGCGGTCAAGGTCGCAGCCGCGATATAGTACCAGTGTGAGGATAAAAGGGCACTGGTAGAGGAGACTCTGAGCAAACGTGCAGCTGTTAAAATGGTCATAATGAGTAGCGTGGGCGAAGAAAGAAAAGTGCGGGCAAGAGAGCTCGAGATTGAAATAGGCGGGCAGGTTTTCCATTCGCGAATGCGGGGGGAATATCCGGCGGACTGCGGGGCTGTACGAGGGGCGATGTAGGTTGGTGTTGACAGACTGGAGAGAATCCAGATATGGTTGATACCTGGAAGTACTAAAGGCTTAAGATATGTAGTTCTTTGCCCGCATTCAATTGTCTTTTTCGGCCGGCTCCGTCCACCATCGTTCAATGCGAGGAACGGTTGTATATCATGTTAGCTGCCGTCACTCAGAATCCAATCGATCACAGCACGAGCCACAGAGAAATTTTCTAGGTCAAGAAATTCTTGCTAGTTATTCTTAAATATTCTCTGGAAGTATGCACTGAGCCTTTCTGTGATAGGCGGCGCTATAGTTCAACACTTCCTGGTAATCACTGGAGTCTCGACTCCCCCAAAGTGGAAATCTCTTTCGGTTCCTCCGTCCGTTTCCAGGTGCGCTTTTAGAATAAAGTTAATACATGACTCGACAGGTCTATAACCTCAAATGATATTCTGGCACAACCCTTATGACTACTGGTATAACCTTCATCAGTTTAAATGACCCATTTTTTGTAAGCACACGCAGTATCCAGGTGGTCCCGTAACACGACAACATCTAGTTATAGTGCTCCTTTGTTTATACGGATCCGCATGACTTTCGAGGGTATCCAGCCACCACTCAGAAACTTCCTTTCCTTGACCATGGAACCCATTACTCATCGAGCCAAGTGATTATCTACCAGTCCCATTACTACGAAATGACGCCTCTTACACTAGAATACATTTAAGACAAATTCCTAACCCGACCAGAACTCGTACAAGTTTGGCTGCTGAATCGAGATCGGTTCCAAGTCCGCCTCCAACACCTCCGTCTTGTCCGCGTTCTTCTTAACCGATGCCTGGATCTTTCCCTTCGGCAATTGCACTGCTCGCACAGGCGCGGTAGCCTCACTGACTGCCTCTTCCACCAACCGGAGGCTCTCCTCGTTTGCCTCGCCGTGCACGTACCCCTCGGTCGCGGCTACCAACTTTTGCTTGACAGACAACGCCTGCTTTCTCAACAAAAGCCGGTCGACAACCACCAGCTTCTTCTGTTGCTCCAAGGCATTTTTTTCGCGCAAAAGATGGTCCTCCAAAAGCGACAATTTCTGTATCTTCATCTCCAACTTCTTGGTCTGCAACTCCACGATCTGCGCCACTACACTGGTCTGGGTCTTGACCTCATCAGCAGAGCTGTTGACGGCTTCGCCCACAAGCTTGCCCAAGGCAAACTTCGCCGCTCTGGTGATATCCTCATCAGTGGTGATGTCGACCTTTGTCCGGGCAGCACTGACCGCACGCGCGGCAACATCGCTGTCGATACTCTTGGCCAAGAACGCAAGAGTCTGAACGACTGCCTGGCTGGTGTCCACGGGCGCCGCCTGGGGCAGGAGCTTCAGGAAATGGCTACGTGAGAGGTTCTTGTGTAAGTAGCGGTCCTCGATCGGCAACTGGATAAACTTGGTAACGGTCTGTTCTCTGGATCTGGTCCCAATATGGCCGGCAATCTTGCTCCAGTCGTTCTCAAACATCTCCACCCCCTCTAGCAAGAGTAACACCTCTTGCTCGGTCCAGCTGGCATTGCTCCCCTGTACCTGCGTCACGTTCAACTGCACAAAGTCAGCCGCGGTAAAGTTTGCCGGGAAGCTGCCCTCGGCGAAGCATCTCAGACACACCACATTCTTCGATCTGAGATTGTGGTAGCGCACCTCGGTGGCGTCATTGCCACAGATGTAGCACACATACGACTTGTTTCCCAAGACGCGCAGGTGGTCCTCCTCCCGTAACGCGATCGCGTCTGCGGTGGTGTCGTAGATGTTGCGGCGGAGCTCGAGGTTGAGCGGGATGTCCGCCTCAGGGCTGCTTGTCTTGGCTTCCGTCGCCGCCTCAAAACCGCTCGCCTGGAATTCGGTCGAGGCCTCGGCCTTGACCTCGGGGAGGAGTGGCGCAAGGCCCTGGGGTGTGTCCAACGTAATCTGGAAATGGCCCGTGTACTGCGGGCCTACCAAGCTCGGCCTGGTTTTCGGGTCAATCTGGTAGTTGATCAAGCCCCATTGCTCTAAGAATGCGTGCACTCTAACGATTGACGCGACATCACCGGCCAAGTTGCGTCTAGAGGCCGTCACTGTGAGGTACTCCAACGGATTGAGGCGGTACGCGTTGATCATAAAGTCGCGGTACTCCTTGTACGCTACAGGGTTTTTGTAGTGCGACTCAGACGCGAAAAATTCAGGCAAGCTCCGCTTTTCAATCTCATGTACCGTGTCGAGCGCAAACCACGCCGCATACGACGGAATCACAACCGGCTTGGTCTGTTTCGCGAGGTACTGGCGCGCGCGCTTCTCCATCTTGCGCGTTTCCTCTTCAGCATCTAGTGGGAGTTCGTGGTCAGACTGCTCACGATCAGAGCCGGAACGGTCTGACTGATCTCTATCGTCATCTCCGTCGTCACTGCTGTATTCGTTACGGCTGTCCTCGTCCTGGTTTTCAGCCAGATCGAGACTTTTCTCAGTCCCGGCAATTTCCTCGGTTTTTGTTCCGTTAGCAATATCAGTGGTTCCGTTTTGCTCCGCTGCAGGCCCTTCCGCGACTTGGGTCGGCGCCGTGGTGTTGGAGGTAGCGTCCGGGGCATCCGCCATTTCTACGTCCAAGGCGACGGCGTTTGTTTCTTCAGGCTTGACCGGGTTTTCCACTGGGTCCGACATTATGCGTGCGTGTTTGATGAGTGAGAGTATGGGCTAAGGGAATCGTGATCGTGTTTATGTTTGAGAAATGAGCGAGAGATTTTTCCCGCTGGCGAGGTGCACGTAACGGCATGAGGAATGTGCAGTGCACGACGACGCGTAAAGGAGAGATGTATACCTTCAGAAAGATAGGAAACCTAAGAGAATAACAATGGATTTAGCATTATGGGAATAGAGAGCCGGTGTTGGCGGGTTCACCCCGATAGGTATAATGTAGACTATAGTGTTTTGGTGCCAAGTGAGACCAATTCAAAGTCTAATTCGGTGCACCTTTTTCTTGATTTGGAGAGCACCAGGAGCGGTCCATTAGAAGGGCTTGGAGGCGAAGAAAGCCTGGAGCAAACCGGCATGGGGATTCTATAGATTAGATAATGGATTGTGAGATACTATAAAACCTTCTGAGCTTTCAATGGTCCCGGCCCGAAGACCTCGCCATCTGTTCGTAAACATTAAATCCCTCTAATTTTTCTTATATAAATACTACATCTCTAATCCAAACCTTTAAATAGAGAAAAAAATAATCACAAAGAAAAACCGCTAGGGTAAAAATAACTTCACCAAACATAACTGCCGAAATCACTTTCCTGCCAACTTTGCTCAACCTTCTGGTACGCGCTCGTTCTCGCGCACGTGACCAACGCGTCAAATTTTGCCACGCCTGATCTAGCGATAAGCACTTTTCAACTCTCTCTTCTTCCTCTCTTTTCCCTTCTCTTAACATATATCTAAAATGACGCTCATTCCCACCACCCACCGTCAACTACCGACACCCGTGTCTGAACAATCTGAGGATGAGGCAGTCCAGCAAGCTGTAACAGCGGAGGCGCCGACCGAAGAACAAAAGGAGTTTAACACTATGGCGCTTGACCGCAAGTTGGAGCGCCTCAAGTCACTTGTCAAACAATCCCAGGTGTTTTCCAACATCATCGCAGAGACTTTGTTTGCAGGAAGTGTCACCAAGGTTGAAGAGGCGCCGAAAAAACGAGGGCGGCCAAAGCGTGGTGCAAAGACCGACATCGTGTCGATGATGACCGGCAAGGTGACCGAAGAAGCGAAGCAGAAAAAGGTACAGGTAGAGAATGCGCAGACGGGAAAAACAGGGACACGCGCGCAGCCGCGCAGCATTACAGGCTGCACGATGCGCGAGTACCAGCTAGAGGGCATGGACTGGTTGATCACACTCTACGAAAACGGGCTCAACGGGATCCTCGCAGACGAGATGGGATTGGGAAAAACCATTCAGGCGATCTCGATGATTGCGTTCTTGCACGAACAGGGTATCCGCGGACCGTTCTTGATCGTCGCGCCGTTGTCAACCACGGGCAATTGGGTGAAGGAGCTTGCGCGTTTCGCGCCAGACATGCCGGTGCTCCAGTATACAGGCGATAAGAATAGCCGCGCACGCTTGAGAGAAAAACACTTCCGTACGCTCCCGGCGGTGGTCGTGACCAGCTATGAGCTCGCGATTCTCGACCGTGTGCACCTCAACAAGTTCGACTGGAAGTACCTCGTGGTGGACGAGGGCCACCGTCTCAAGAATAGCAAGTGCCTCTTGTTTCAGGAGTTAAAGAAGCTCCGCGTGGGTAACCGCTTGTTGCTCACGGGCACACCGTTGCAGAACAACTTGAACGAACTCTGGTCTTTGCTCAACTTTATCCTCCCAGATATTTTTCACGATTTGGCGTTGTTCCAGCAATGGTTTGACTTCTCTTCCCTTGAGTCCCTCTCTGACGACACGGATAATGCGACAAAGCAGGTTATTGATGCAGAGATCCAGAAGAACCTCGTCACCAACTTGCACACGATTATGAAGCCGTTCTTGTTGCGGCGCCTCAAATCACAGGTCATGGGTAACGTCATTCCGCCGAAGAGAGAATACATTGTGTATGCCCATTTGGCGGATGAGCAGCGTGTTTTGTACAAAGCCGCGCTTGCAAAGGACTTGAAGCGAGTGGTTTTGGCTGCTGCCTTCCAGGATAGGGTGAAACTCAATAGAGGGGATTATACAGGGGAGCAAGTGAAGGATTATGCGGCATTCCGGGAATCGAATGAGATCCTGAAGATTATCATGGCGCAGAGTCACTCCAAAAAGCGCACTAGAGCCCAGGCCCAGTATGCCGAGCCTGATGACGACGACGATTTCGAGGCCAAGCCAGAGGTAGAGGAGGTGGTGGTGGATAGGGGAGACCCGGTTCTCGATGAAATCTACACCTGCACCAAGAAAGAGGTTGAAAAGATGAAGTTTGGTAACTTGATGATGAAGCTCCGCTTGATTTGCAACTCTCCGTATATGTACTACTTCCCCTGGAGCGAGGATACGCCGATGGACAGCAGCATCTACGCCAACAGCGGGAAAATGCAGTTGCTAGACCAGTTGGTACCGCGATTGCTCCAGGAAGACCACCGTGTGTTGATCTTCTCGCAATTCACGGGCATGCTCGATCTCATACAGGACTGGTGTGACCACCGCGGCCATGCGGCCATGCGGATTGATGGAGCGACCGCGCAGGACGAGAGACAAGCGCAAATCGATGAGTTTACCGAGAGCAATGACATCAAAGTGTTTTTGCTCAGCACGCGGGCGGGCGGGCTTGGAATCAACTTAACGGCCGCCGACTCCGTCATCCTCTTCGACTCCGATTGGAACCCGCAGGTAGATTTGCAGGCAATGGACAGGGTCCACCGGATTGGACAGACAAAGCCTGTCGTAGTGTACCGCTTCGCGACGGCCAATACGATTGAGCAGATTTTATTGTCGCGCGCGGACTCCAAGCGCAAGTTGGAAAAGTTAGTTATCCAGATGGGTAGTTTTGGCGCGTTGTCAAAGTTGGCGTCAAGCGACGGGAACTTCGGGTCGACTGTTCATGCGGCCAGCGAGCGCCAATTAGTGGCGGAGCTCTCGCAGTTGTTGCTGACGAAGGGCTGGGGTAACATGGAGCATGTCGATGATAGCCGGTTGAGCGAAGAGGAGTTGGCCGAGTTGTTGGATCGATCCCCAAAGGCATATCAAAGCCGGGAGATTGCGTTCAAGCACGTGGCGTTGTTCGAAACGGTGAACGCATTGGAAAACGAGGCAAAATAGAACAAGCCTGTACTTTTTCTATGAACGGGCTTGTCTTCTGGAGACTGTCTTTTCCGAATAGCGGCTGTTTTACAGAGACCGGTATTGTCATTTGAAATACAAACGTTGTGATGGATCGTATTCCAAAAAAAAAATCAATGGATTGCCACCGACAAAACTTGTACCATGAACTGCTTTGTAAGTTTACTCTAATCGGTTTCCTCGTTTTTTCAAAGACAATGTCCTTTTCCGAGAAACTGGGCTGTTGCTAAATCAGGATTATCTGTCCATCTTTTGAGATTATGTGGACAATTTGTATACATGTTGTTTAATCCGACCCTGATATAGGGTATTATCCTGCCTTGTTTCATCCGTACAACCATTTGATTTTTAAATTCCAGGTCAAAAATTCTTTGGCGTTTATTCCACCTATGAACCTTTTGTGATGAGATTATATTGTTTTGTTCCCCCCCAACGATCTACCAAAACTGTGCCTTTTGATCGACTCGATTCCTCTTCTGCTTTACTTTACTTTCTTTTTCTTCGAGGTATTTTTATTGTCCTGGTCACGGCCTGGGGCATGTAATTTGATTTGAATTTGCCGGTCCTATTTCCTCTACCCGTATTCTGAGCTTATTTCCGTTTCAACACTAAGTTTGCCGGTAGCAATCCTTGTAAACATACGCCTCTTCTATCTGGTTAGGCTATTCTCCGATTCATCTATTTTGATTTACAATCGTGGATGGAACCTTAGGGTAAGTCCACCTCAGTCTCAATTCTCAAAGTGCCAAAGCCGGATCCTTGGCTGTGGACGAACCCAAAAAGATGAATTATGGCTGTGTTTAAATGTGAGAGTCAGTCGGCCGGCCCTAGACAAGAATCCCGTAATACTCTAGCCGTCCACCGTACGCCTTCTGCAACTCTCCCCACTGAACAATGAACCGGTCAGCGATTGGCAAAATGAGCAATCCACTCACACTGAGCTTCTTGACCCTCGCCAAACTCTCGACATAGACTATCCGTGTACGACACATTCCCAAGAAGTGCATTCCAAAGATAATGTACGCCAAGGGCACACAGGTCCCCGGGCCATTGAGGACAAGAAGCGACGGCATCTGACCCGCCCTCACACGGCACGCCATCAACACGGCGGTTTTATAAAAGGATATGATAGTGGATACAAAAGAAGAAGCAAGTGGCTCCCCGACCTTCCTGGCGCGTGGCAACTCCATAAACTCGGCAGTTCCAGTGGAGATGGTTGCTTCTGTATCTTTAGCCTTGGTAACAGACGTTAGATCCCCTGAAGACGTCACCCACACACGTTTGTATTTCTTTAGTTCCACTTTCTGGAGTAGTCGGATCATTTCCCCGGTGTGGCCCCCGGACCCTAGCAAGACCATAAGAGAATGAGCGGTTTTATCGTCTAATGTGACGCCTTTGACTCCCCGGGCCGTGAATCTCGCGCATGGAAGAATGGAAACGAGTCTGAGCAAGAGTGCAGCAGAGATTAATAGCGGCACAACCACAAAAAGTATAATCATTGGAAGATGACTGTGGGTCCACTGATGGGAATCGGGTTCTCAGACCTGACTTCAAAGACGCAAATAGAGCCTGATAGGATTTATGCAGGATACGCCAGCGAGGTTTGTCCGGAGCCTGTTGCATATTAGCGAGTTAGAGCTGAACGAATCCCCTTTTGGTCTTTTATGGCGGATTTACTATTTATCCAGCTTCCCTTCAAGTAGCACCTAGTGTTTGGATTTCAAAATGCTAGACTGTATTAGAAGTAAAAAAGCGCGAAAAACGCAACAGTGAAATATAATAAATAACAACAAAAAGAGGGCACTTTTTTTTTGGAAAACTAAACTAGCAGTGTAAATATGTATCAAGCAGAAAACGGAATCTTCTAAGACCGCTACTTAATCCTCCCGGACGCCTCCACCACACCAAACAGACAAAAAAACCCAGTAGCTTAGAGTCTCATCATGGACATGTCATTTCTGATACGGTTGTAGTCGAACAAATCTTCGATTTGACCGGTACCGGAGATAGCAATATCCTTGTCCCACAAGGCGGTCTGAGACCATCTCTTGATGTCGCCGACGGTGACGGCGTCGACCTTGCTGATGATTTCCTCAGCGGAAGCTCTTCTGCCCAAAGCCAAGGTCTTTAACCCAATATCGGAAGCAATCGCCAATGGAGAGTTCAACTGGGCCAACAACCGAGCCTTGAGAGCAGCCTTACCTCTGGCAACCTCGGTTTCGGTGATGGAGACAGACAATCTGTTCCATTCCTTCAAGGTGAAGTGGACCAAGTCGTCAATCAGGAAGACGTCGGAGGTCTCAGCGGCGAAACCCCACAAACCGTTGTCAGTGTAAGAGGTGGAGAAGTGGGTGAACTTGTCAGCCAAGTGATTGGCAGAGACAATGGCAGCCAACTTAGAGCCGCTCTGGGTGGAGGTCTGCTCGGTGGCAACGTAGTCACCAAAGATAGAGGCGGCAACCTTGGAGACGTAGTAGTCTGGGGAAGAGAAAGACTCACCCTGGGCGGCAATGGCGAAGTAGGCCTTTGGCAAGGTGTCGTCTCTGAATCTGACTTCAGAACCCAAGAAAGCGGAGGCGGCGGTGACTGGGGCAGCGTCGGCGGCCAACTTTAAGTTCTTTTCAATGGCGGTAACTAACTCGGCATGGTTGATGTTACCGGAGGCAGCGATGACGGCGTTAGAGGAAACGTAGTTCTTCTTGTAGAAAGCTTCCAAGTCGGTGGACTGCAAGTTTGGAATGGAGTCGGTGGTACCGTTGACTGGCAAGCCCAATGGGGTACCCTGGAATGCGGTAGCGTGCAAGTGTTCGAGAACGGCAAACGGAGCGTTCTGTTCCAAGGCCTCGACGGTCTGGACAGCCAATTCACGCTGGGCAGCGACGGTGGTGTCGTCGAGCTTTGGCTGGGAGGCAATCTGGGCAATCAAAGAGGCGGCGGTAGCGGCATTGGCGTTGGTGGAGTGAGCATAAATGGCAGTGGTTTCTCTGGTGGTCTGAGAGCCCAAGAGGACACCCTGGGAAGCGGCTTCGGTGGCATTGGCGGCAACCAAGACCTTCTGCAACAAAGCGGAGGAACCGTTGTTGTATTGGTGCTCGGAACGAGAACCGGCACCAACCCACAAACCGACAGTGGCGGAGGCAGCGTTAGGGTTGGTTTCGGTAGCCACGGTGACACCGTTGGACAAGGTGGTGTACTCAGTGGCAGCGTTAGCAGTGGAGATGAAACGACGGGCTGGCAACTGGGCGAGACGGACAGTACGGGCAGAGATCATGGCGTATGTATGTGGGGGAGGTGGATTTCTGGGGACGGGTCGATGGTCTGTTGATATCTTGATATGTTCCAATATTTCAACGCACCTGGTACCTCAGATTTTCCTGCCTGAGGCGAACCAATGATGGTGCACGAATTGAAAAAGCAGATGCGGGCATCGTAACCATTGAATGGCACGACGATTTCGGGCACGTGATATAATGCAGGATGCAGAAAGAAGGACTGGCTTCCATGGAACAAGGCCGGTTGTGTTTGACGAATCGTTGTATTGTGTCGTGCTGTATAGGGGGTCGCCAATTATATTTTGGGATATACCACAAAATAGTGGTAATACCGACTTATTAGTTTTGTAAGCACCGTTGATATATTGCTGTTGGAGAAGGGGGTATTAGCAAGTCTTTTTATGAGGGACCTTGTTTGGGACTGAGGCGTTGGACTCTAGGCTTCAATTAGGCGTTTAGTGATGGAGTAATCGCAATTGCATATCTGAATGAATTGTTTTGGTTATATAGCCGAGATTTGTCTGTATGTGGCCTGGTACATTGTCAGTATTCCTAGAATTTTTTAGCCGTGGGCATATATTAGCGCCAGCCCCTTATGTTAAATCGTGGTGTCTATTTCTTTCCTTGTAGCCATGTATTGGCGACACAAAAGGATATACTTCTCTAAATAGGCAGTCTCCGAGATAATCGTAGGGCAGAGAGTCAAGATCTGACCTGATGGTTCTATTGTAATGGATAAATGGAAGACAAATTGTTTTTTCGTTTTTGCATTGTTTCGTGGCATAGATTCTATTTTATCCAGTTCCCAAGGGTTCGGCGTCTAATTAAGCAAAATAACACTCTATAACCTTGTAAAAATATATTCGGCGGCATTGGCGGAATGGCACCGTCATATCGTGTACTGGATAAGTGCTCACAAATTCTTTTTATCGATTACTTAAAAATAGCATCTTAAGGCGAAGTTAATTTCAATGAACCACCCAGTCTGTAGCATAGATATAATCCTTGTATACTATGATATAAACCATCTTGCTGCTAACCTAATATCAGAGTTGAATATACGCGCTCCACTTATAAAGGCTATACTCAGATAATCCCACTCTGTTTCAAGCTCTGTTGCATGATCATATCCGTCACAGCTGTCAACACAAATCGCATTGACTGTGTATCGGTAGCACAGGTTCTATGAACATAGATGGGCTTTCTCAGTCGGTTAAGACTCAAAAAGATTTTCTCTAAATACCGAATTGCCTCTTCTGTATCCTTCGGCTTGCCTTTGTAATCCGGAAAATAGTTCCGGAGCGACGAAGTCAAAATCTTTTTTTCAAAAATATCTGTCTTGTTCAAGAACAATATGAACGGGGTGTTGATAAACCACCGCGAGTTGCACAAAGAGTTAAAAAGCATGATTGATTCGTGCATCCGGTTCACGTTTTCGTCCTCAAACAACATCTGGTCATACTCGGAAATCGCAAGGACAAATATCACCGCGGTTATATCTTCAAAGCAGTGGATCCATTTCCGTCTCTCGGATCTTTGACCACCGGTATCCAAGATCTTAAATTTGGAAGAACCGATGTTGAAATTGGTTTCGGTTATCCCGGTGGTTTTGATCCGTCCCTTCAAGATATCCTCATCCGTGCATAGATACTTGGAATCGGCAAAGCTCTCAATCTTTTCAAAGTAGTAGTTGGTGCTCCCTTCCAACTGAAATTCGTTAGAGCGGGAATAACACTCTGCTATCCCCGGATCGTATTTCCAGAGCTGTTGGATAGCGGCGGCGATTGCCTTCCGGGATCTGTTGTTGTTTTCGTCTTCGATCTTTTGGACATAGGAGTCCCTCAATCCCTGGCCGATTTCGTTCACATCAAGTTCAGTGTCTTTACTGTCTACTTGATTCTCCCACATAGCTCCGGCTCTTCCTGTACTCATGGTCCGTCTCTTTGCCTCACTTCGCTGGCTGTATCTCACGACGTAGTCGTTGAGGAAGCTAGAGCCGCCTGCCGCACCGGTGTCAATCTGCTCCAATGCTCTTGAGCGCAGAACAATCTGTTTGCACATAAAGAGAGGGCTGGTTTGCTGGTCACATTCCAAAGGAATCCGCATCTTGCGAGCCTGCACTATTAAAATCTTCATCGCCTGGATAGCATCCACCCAGATAACCTGGGCATACTGTAGACGTTCCTGGTGAGTAAACCCACCCTGGTGAAGAAGCTTCATCTGTTTTAACACGGTGGACTTTCCACTCTCCCCAGCCCCTAAGAGGAGGAGCTTGACCGCATTCTTCTCCCCTCTCTGGCTTAATAGTATGCCCTTTTCAATGGCATCGTTGTTTCGCTTGATGGCAATAAACGGATCCAATTCATCCTCTATCGTACTTATCCCGCACCCCATTAGGAAATATCCGGTTAGAATACAGGTTGGGAAGAGGTTAAAGCAAGGGGGAAATCTTTGATTAGTATGTTAATATCACTTCAAGGAATTCTTTACTCGTAAACCTAAGAGTGTAAGAACAAAACAAACACATAGTAGTTCCTAATAATCTGATATATTCCCGGTCTCAAAACCTATTCTTGATTGAAGTGAGTGTTGTTGTTCGAAAGTACAAAGGAGATGTGTTTTATACCAAGTTGGGGCTACGTGCATGAGACATGCGCCTCTAAACTTTCTAAGGTGCTCGATTGCAATGAAATCGTTCTTTCAGCTTAGGGATTCTAACGGAAAGTATGATGCGAAACTTCCAAGTCAGAAATGTCGTGCTTTGAAAGCCTGTTGCCAAGCTCCCCCAACGTCTGGGTATAAGTTGGGTATGTTTAGCTCGTCGGTACGGATTCCCCATCCACGGCAGGATACGCAGGCCAGGGCACACTTACGGAAGAACTACCCAGCTGTTTAACCCGCAAATATACCCACAAGTTTGGGTTATGAAATTGGGACTAAGGCAGAAGGTCAACATAAATGGACATGCCTTTACCGTTGTTACCATACCAGATAGAAAAGCGTAATATCGATGTAATTAGTTAAGGCGCTACCCAAAATAAATCCCGTCTACCCCCGTAATTGCTTAAGCCATACCGTTCACTTCTGCCGGTATTACTGAACCAACCTTACTTTTTTCTCGCCGTCACTAATATTTTTGCATAACTTAGACTATGTACATCTACAAAAATAAACGGCAAGACTTACTCTCGCCATCAATCCAACATGTCTATACCCGCTGGTATTTCCCCGGGCTATTAAGCGGCTCCTCATCGCTGATAATATCTGTGGACCCAAGATGCATCGTCCCCCCCTCATCTGGCACAAGAAACTGTTCGCCTTTGGTCGGACTGATCGCAGCCTCCCTGTCGCTACTGGTAGTCCCCAGCACCAACCGCTCCTCGTCGTCCATCTCTGTCCTGTGAGTGGGCGACGACTCGGGACTCTCTAACTTTTGTTTCTTCATTGGTGACGGAGAGTCATCCCGCATAGGGTCGCTATCCACGCCAGGCTCACTGTCGTCTCTCTTGCGCGCGGTTGAGGGCGTGATTGTCTCGGGAGATGCCAGCTTCCCAGAAATTCTGTCCTCTTCAGAGGACATATCAGCCGACTCGGAAAGTTTTCCGTTGGTGAGAAGCTCATTGGGATGGTCTTTGTTTGGAAGCGTATCTCCGTTCGATTCGTACTCGCCCTTGTGTACCCCATTCGTGAGCCATGGAATCTCCACCATTGCGATATCTGTCGGATGAACTTCGGTTTGCGTCTCTCCCGTGTTGTTTTCCATGTCTGCCTCGCGCAACGTTCGAAAATCGTCCACGGTAGACGTGATCAACACGTTAGACTGGAGGGCCCGTAGCCACTTCTCTGGCTGGTGCGCCTGGTAGTGCTGCAACGGCCGTAACACCAATTCCGTGATGCGTAAGATGGAAAACGGAGCGTTGTGGGAAAACTTTTGCGTGAACTGCGCCACAACCGTGTTCATGAGCAGCTCCACCGTATCGTGGTCGTCGTTGAGCGGGTGCGGGACCGGTGTATCTAGCGGCTGGGTGAACGTGTGGAGTACGAGGTGTCTGATGCGTGTTATGTACCCCAAACACACCTGGTGCCATTCGAGCAGCTGGTTCTGTGGGTCGAACGTCTTATCCACGAGGATCTGGTTCATGTTCGCAGTGAGGGCGTCTATTCTGTTAGTACCATGGAGAGAGTTAAACGAAGCACGTACCTTCGGCTGTTATTTGCATCGTGTTATGGTGGGGTGGGATGAAAAGTCTGAAATGAAACTGAGATGCGAACTGATTAGGATTTTGCAAACGTCTGCTTTAAAATGGATATGATAGAAGAAGGATAAATATGCAGTGGTCCACCTTGGGTTGTTGATTCTGCTTTGAGGTGTCTCTGACAGGTATAATTTCTATGGATCCGTCTCTGAAATCTGGAGTTTTTCGTTGCCTGATTCTCTGCCTTAGCTATGTTGCTCCGTATTTTGGCTATCCTCTGAGACTTCTCTGGAGCTGCACTATTTCTGGCACTTGTCTGAGCTAGTTATCTCTGTTTTCTGGTCGGTAAACCCCAGTAATACCTCTGTTTCGACACGATAATCACCGCTGTTGCTATGTTCTCGACTATCTGACGCGGTATCGTGACTTAATCAGCGGCGAGGGTTTATATGCCGGACGCCGGGTAATGAAATTTTCCAACCGAAAAACTCAATCAAACTTTGTGCTAATGAAAACCGGAACTGACTACCGACAGTATCGACCGAGTATATCCAGCAGGTCACAATGTCTCTTTTTTTCAAGTCTGTGCGTTTGCTTCCGCTCGTTAGGGTCACCCAGGTTCCCGCTAGAGCTGTGTTTGCCGCTAGATTCCAGTCCATCCAGCCTCTCAAAGCTGAGGCCAAGGTCGAGACCCTTGAACAGGAGTACGACAGATGGATCGCCGACGTTAAGGCAGCCCGTGAGATAGTCCAGGCCAACCCACCGGGTTTGATGGAGAACGAAAGGTTAGAGGAAGCCGTCGGCTGGAAGCCAAGCGAAGCCCAATTGGAGGAGTTCGAGAAAGTCAGAGAGTTGCCGATTCCTGCCAGAGACGACCCCGTCATCACACACGTCACCAACATGATCATGAAGAACGGAAAAAAGGCACTTGCTGAAAAAATCCTCTCCAGGGCGTTGTACATGGTGTACTTGAAGTTGAGAAAAGACCCGGTTGAAGTCTTGAAGAAATGCATAGAAGACTTAGCGCCATTGATGGTGGTCAAGTCCTTCAAGACCGGTTTTGCCAAGAAATTGAACGTGCCGGTGCCGTTAAAGAAGAGACAGAGACAGAGGTTGGCCATCTCCTGGATTTTGGAGGGTGCCGTCAAGAGAAACTCTCACGAGTACGCTGTCAAATTGGGCGAAGAGATTGTTGCTGTTTCCCAGGGTAGAGGTTCCGGTTATGACAAAAGAACCCTGATCCACAAGTCCTCCATTTCCCACAGATCCTACATCAAGTTGAGATAAGCCGCTGGTATGCTTGGTACTGTTCATAACGCGGCTCCCGCACACTGTATATATATTCCAATGGAAATTATTAAGCACTCAAATGGAGAGGAGGGGCGAATGCTGCGAGATAATCATAGGTACTACCAATGAGTGATACAATAGCTAAAACTGGTTTCTAGCATGCTATTATCTTAGTCAGGTGGAAACACTCCATGTAGACTAAATGGCTAGATCGCGGTTGTTTTGTATGTACCATGGCTCGGAAAGCATCCGCTCTCAAGGGCTTGCAGTTCCCCGGCCTCTTCCCCGGCCGCGTCCTCGGCTCCTGCCTTTGGACACACCCCGGCCTCTCCCTCGCCCTCTCCCTCGCCCTCTTCGCGTATCATATCCATATATATCTCGTTCAATTTCGTTCTCAGACATCTCGTCGACCGGTGCCTCCCACTTCCGTCTGTACGTGAAGTCAAAACCGCTGGCAAGGGTCTCCACGTGGAACCGGCCGTCCTTCACCTCCATCACCACCTTTCCACTGGTATGGTCACACAAGTTAAAGTGCCACGTATTTTGGAACGCGGCATAGTACAAGTCGTTCTGGTCGGTGACGGATATCTTCAGGACCGCTTGCGAGAGACTCTCCGGCTCCAGCGATGGGATGTTGTCAAACACCAGTAGGGCCGTTTCCAAAAGGCCCTTGACAGGCTCCTCGATGCTGGCCTCCACTGAGGCCAGAACTGACTGCCATAGCACGTACAACTGGGTCTTTGCGGTGGAGAACTTCTGCTTGTACGCTTCGAAGGAAGAGCAGACGCTGAGCTCGTTGAAGGACGAGGGATACTTGAAGTGCAAGCTACTCGAAACGGTATAGTCGGCACCAAGAGCAACCGCCAAGTGGCCGAGAAGCGGCTCGCGTGCAGGTGAGGGATGGGTGATGAATAAACGGACCTCCACGGGGCTATCTGCGCGGTCGGGGAACGAACGGTCAGCTGATCCGTTACCCACATGGTTCGTATTCATGCCTCCAGCCCCATGGTTTCCTTCGCTTATCTCTCCATTTGAAACCGTTCCGTTAAGGGCTCTGGTCATCTCTATATGGTGCACCTGCGCCTCTCGTTCCATTGTCTCGATCAACACGCCGTACTGGACCAATGTGTGCCACATGTTACCCGCGTCGCCGGCAGCAGGGATAAGCGCGGTTTCGTGGGGATACCCCTCACCCTGGTTGAGCAAGGAGTACAAGGAGAAACCGCCACCAAGGCCACAAAGGGTTAAGCACGTGCAATCTGGTGTCAATAGTTTATACGCGTTATGCTCATCGATCACATAGAGATTCGGCACTCGGTACTCGCCGTAGCGAAACTTGTTCACCACTACCGAGTCCTCGGCCATTCCGTAGATCGTGTAAACAGGAATCCTGAGTCTCTTTTCCCCCAGAATGTAACGCGGGAGTTCGGAAAGCTGCTGGTGCGCGAGGATTTCGTGCACGCTGGAGGCTGCGCTGACACGCGCAACAGTCTCGGCGTCGATCAGGCGTGAAAACGCCGCGATGTGCCGAAGGTACACCTCCGACATGCGCACCACGGAGTCTGCATCGAAGAAGCCAAAATTGCCTGAATGGACAATCACGGCGGCATTGTTAGCCACTGCGAGCTCATTAAGCAAAGACAACTGACCCCGGAGCTCGGCCACAAAAAGGATTCTCACCCCTTGGTGGGTCAGGAGCCGGTACTGGAGACTAGGCGGCAGCATCTAAGCTTTGCCGTTGTATGGTGTGGTTGAAAGTGGGTGAGTCTGAGCAAGAGGTAACTAGGACGGTAAAAGCAATTTGTATATTTGCCCTCACTCAGTACAATTTCAATGGTTATAGAATATACCTTAAGATATTGCTGGATGTCTGTACAGTGGCTGGTGTTGAATCCTCGTAAGTGTGTCGCTTCTTGTTGAGGTGGTCTATATCGCGAAGTTGAAGTGTTGGATAGTGTCACGTGCGGAGCGGTGCAGTGCCAGGCTCTCTTGATGCATAGTGCGCCCTACATGCAACTCAACGACCTTCCAATTTTGGTGGGACAACGGTATTCTAATTCCTAGCTGGCCTGTTCGAAGCCTAAATGTTAGGTAATTTCTCAGCAAAAAAACCGAATATTGGAGTCGGGAAGCCTGGCGAGTGTCTGTGTTTCAAACCCTGTTTCACTCGGATATATGTTCTGAGATTTTCCCGGTACCACGGCCGATAGCTTCGATGCTATTAATTATTTGTCCGGTTAAAGACCAGACGTTAATAGGGTAATATATTTTATAAATTCAAAGTATCGCACCTCCAAGTTTTTTTTTCTGCGTAAAGTCAGAATCTCGGATGAATCATACGGGCATAATGCTAGTATTATGGCCCCAGTAGGAACCTGCCAAATCGGAGCGAATAATGTGCCTTATTGCCGGTATATCTAACGTAAACAATCTGTATAAACTCTTATTACACAATTTCTATCCGAATAACGTGTCTATTACCGCTATAGCTAAAGGCTTCTGGATTATTAGCCACCTACCCCTCGTTTCGAGTCCTGGATCTCGCCAAGGTCTCGATTGGAATGTCCAACACACGAGATTGCACCGGGGTTACCGAAAGACTAGGCTCGCCGTAATCAAAGCTCGACCCGGGTGTCCGTGGGTTGTATTCGGAAAGCACTGAAAACGAAACGTCGCCATCGGAGCTCTTACGAGATGCGCCTGGGAAATCCACATGCTCGGTGCTGCCCGCCCCTAAGCTCTGGAACATTTTGAGATTGTTACTGCTCTTCATTCGAAGGTCCTTGAGTGACGATTGGGGTCGAAGCACCCTCTCAGCGTTTGAGACGCTAGCCAGCCCGCGATTCAACGAGATCAAGGAAGATGATGACGAATTGGGAGAGGCATAGGGTATAAACTTCTCTTGGGGAGACTTGTTCACGCGGTTGAACGCGGGCAACCCCGAAGGAGGGGTGGCGGACGTTAAAGGAGCAGCCAAATCGGGGATACCGGAAAGCTCATGAGACACCTGAGGGAGCAAGTTCACCCCGAATGATGGGGCTCTGGACCGGTTGTTTGTCTGGAAACTCGAGACCGATTCAGGGGAATTGTACCGTTTGGATTCCTCGCTGAACGACCGGAAAGACCGGGTGGACATCTTAGAGCGGGGCTCTTCGTCAAACACTCCACTCTTCTTTTTCTTCAACTTGAGCGACTTGAGGATGGGGATGGAGGAGAACGCAGAAACTACGCTTTGGGCAGAACCGCCCGACTTGGCTGAATTAAGCGTATCGGAGGAGCTGGTTCGAGAATCAACACCTTCTGGGGCCTTTCTCAGGGGCGATTCCTTGGTGACACCGGTGATCAGAAGCGAGCGGAGCGGCGTGTCGACGGTGGAAACTTTTCTGAGAGGATTCTCACGGGTACTGCCCAGACGGGCTCTCAGAGATTCAACCACGCTCCCCAGGAGGGTGCGCAGAGGAACATCGGCCATTTTCTGAGGCGATACGTACCGGGTTCGGATCCCCTTGGCTTCACAATTTTCCAAGAGAGTCATACCGTTTCCGGAGTCCCCAAGGGTGTGGTGTTCCTGGGGGCTTTCAAGGGGCGGTGGCCGCTTTACGGTGAAGGAAAACCCTGACTGTGATGAGTTGGACGACGACCGGCGCTGCCGTGACAGAGTAATCGTTGGTAGCGAGGATGCCGCTGACCGGCTTTTGGCGCTGGCAAATAACGGATTGGCCAAATTTGACTTGGAGGGACTGGTGTCAAACAGATCGAGGGACTTGAGCGAGGATGTTGATACCAGCCGCTTAGCCTCGAAGACTGCGTCTCTTTGGATCTGGCCGTAGCGAGTTTTGAGTGAAACGTAGTACCGCTCCACGTCAAAATCAAAACAGACATCCTGTGGAACCCAACCCTTAGTGTTCTTCACCTCCGTCAAGTCCGTGTGAATCTGGCCGGGCGCCGGGGTACGGGTGAGGATCTGGTTGATGCAATTGAGATGACCATACTTGCAGCAGAGGTGTAACGGCGTATCGCCGTCCTGGAGCTCCACGAGCAGGAGGTCTGCCTGGAAATCGAGGAGGAGCGAGAGCATGTCGTCCAGCCCGTGCGTTGCCGCAAGATGGACCGCCGTCTGACCTCCTAGGTTCTGGAGGTTGATGATCTGTGGAAACTGCTGGAGGAGAAAGTGCATCGTTTGGGAGTTCTTCTGGTTCAGCTTGGTTATAGAAAGATGAAGCGGCGTGTTCCGCTGGAAGTCAAAAAGAACCTCGCGCGGCTCGTCTTCGAGAGACGTTTCTTCGTCGAGATAGCCTTGCGCAAGCATCGCCATCACGAGGTGGTGGCAGATGAGGTAGTTGCCGTGATAGGCCGCGTAGTGGAGCGCGGACCAGCCGTTGGTATGGTCCATCGTGCCTAATAGCTCGGGAAATCGCGATACAATCTTTTTGACGATGAGAAGGTTTCCGTTGACAATGGATGTCTGTAGTCGTATGAACGGGTCTAGCATTGTGAGAGTGGATCAATGGTATAGGTTATAAATGAAGACCGTGGAGGGTGGTAATGCAAGGCTGAGAAATCGGGGGAGATTCAGCCGGATTCGACAGCTATAACGGTTAGGGAAACCTTTTCCTTTCTGGTATCTGATATATCCAATATTGTAAGTGTCACCCAGAGTATGGTTACTGGTGCTTCCAGTCAATAAAAGCTGATGCGATGGGTATGGTTGAGAAGTTTATTCACTGGTACTGAACGGATGTAATCGGCAATGGTATCGCTCTGATTTTGATCGATGCGGGACAAATAAACGCGGCACTCAGTTGTGTATAACGGATATGAACGGGGTTCCAGTCTGAAAGAGGGCTTGCTCGGCAAGACTCGTGGCTCTACAACACAGTACAAGTTCTGGACACGGTAAGTTGCTCGTGTGGTGTAGTAAACGATATAAGTTGAAAAATTAGGCAACTGACCAAGGTAATTCGTACTGCCTCAAGAGATTTCAAAGCAATCACTGGCTTTCGGGGGCTTCGTGGGATAAGGTTTGGCAGCAAGCTAGACGGAGAGAGAATTCCGGGGATTTCCAACCGAAGTTGGTGCGGTGAGGAGAAGTAATGTAAGGACGCCTGATAACGGGGTGTAGCACCGTAGACTACCGGGCTGTTTTACGTTTAGGTCTGTCTATCATGTGGCGTGATCTTCCAGCAAAGACTGCTGCTGAATGTACTGCGAATTCCAGAAGCGCGTCAGAGTCTGGGTCGTGTGATAACCAGGGATATTGGATATGTATGGAAGGGCGTTAACGTCACCTTTGGTCGCCTTTATATAAGGGGCAGCCGTGCGTCCGCCGTGCAGCAGAGAGGGGCAGTCACGGGATCAGTAACTCGGCTTGAGAGACTAAGGTGCAGCATAGAAGTGAGCAAACCCTTATTCAGCGAAAGGAAGCATTTTTGCATTGACGAAAGCGGGGCCACAATTGCCAGTCTCTGTGCATGCTGGGCTTCCTTGGAGCTATCCAGTTTCCGTAAACCGGACTCGCGTTTCGATTCTGGAGTTCAGGTTAAATGTTTGGGTTCTATGGCTTGTCCATCGACTTGATAGGGATAGTTCACGCAATATTTAGGCCTGTGTGATTGTAAAGGACGGTACTTGAATCATCGTTTTCCGGGGAAGTTGACTTAATAGCACAATCGTTCTTCACTCGGGTAGGCGAGAAATCAAGTGGTTAAACCTATCTAAAGGTCAAACTTATTTAACTTACTGATTGACCTTCCGTCGACGTTGCACTAGAAACCCCCCAGGCATGTACAAAAGATCGTAAGTCTGAGCTTATCGACTGTTACTACGCCCGCAGCTTGTAATCTCCATATCCCCTTAATCCCGCCATCAACGTATAGGTATCGGCCCCAGACCGAATCAACAATAACTGGTACATCAGTTAAGTGTACTGTGAAGATATATCCCTCTACAGCAAGAAAAAGGTAGCGTTGTCTCGCTACATCCAACATGGATCATTATTCTCTATTTTTTCTACATACAAGCATTCCTTAGCCGGTATTCAAAAACACGTATGGCGTTGCAGCTTACAAGGCACCGACGATAACGGAAACCCCCAAGAGCCCAGCAATAATGACGGCAACGTTGGCATTACCACCGACGGCAAGACCAGCAGCACCGGCCTTGGACGAGGAAGATGCAGAAGTGGCGGAAGATGCGGAAGATGCAGAAGAGGCCCTACTCGTGGTAGAGCTACCACCACTAGCAGAGGAACTGCCACTCTTGTAGTCAGCCGCGTCAGCGTAGCACATGTAGTCTGTCTGATCCTCGAGGCCCCCTGGAGTGATGGCGGCGGTTTTGTTGATGAACGCCAAAGCCTTGTCTGGGGTGTTTGGAAGGTCGTCTGACGCCTCCCAGATGCCAGCCTCAAAGGCCGGGCACGTGGAAATGGTTGTGGAGGACGTGTACCCACCATCGCCGGATGGGTTCTGAGTTTCGGCCAACTCGCTCTTCAAGGTGTAGTAGTCTGGCATCTTAGTAACGTTACTGGAGGAATTGATGACGACCAACCCGTAATTGTTGGTTTCGTTGGTGTACTGGTAGACCAAACCACCGGAGAAGACACCGGACATCTGTTCGGAGTAGATGGCGCCAATCTCGGTGAACGGGCGGGGAGTTCCGGTGGCGGAGCCCTTGAAGACGTTACAGCCGAACTCGGACAAGATGATTGGCAAGCCGTAGTTGGCGTACAAGTCGACCTTCTGCTTGTAGCCAGAGGTGGTGAACGAGGACTCGCCACACCAGGAGTAGTCATTGACACCGAAGAAGTCGGAGCGGGCCATCTCGTCGTCACCACAGTTCATGTACTCGGCAACCTCAAGACGGTTGGAGGAGACGTCCGCGGCGGAGTAGCCGACAGGGACCTGTCTCAAGTTTCTCTCCTTCAAGAAGGTCTTCATGTCACGAACGACAGCCTTGACCTCAGTCGCGGAGTCGGTGTTGCTCGAGTTATTAATCACCTCATTACCGGCGAAGAACGCCAAGGTGTTGTCGTAGTCCGCAAACTCGAGCATGGTAGCAAACACGTTCTCGAGGTAGGCGGAGTTGTAGGAACAGGGTGGATTGCTACGCGAGATAGAGGACATTGGAGTGTTGACATCTAAAATGAGGTAGATCCCAGCATCATGCAACATTTGCATACACGCAGTGTGGTTTTGCGTGTTGTCCACGGTATAGACACGGATGGTGTTGAGCCCCAAGTCCTTGAAGATAGCGATGTCACGCTTGCAGGTCTCCTCGTTGGCCAAAGGGTCAATCACATCGGCAGTCAGATCCAAATCCTTGGTCCCGTTGTAGGAAGACGGCTGGTAATCAACACCTCGGACGTAAAATCTGGTATTACCGTCCCAGAAGGCGTTACCCTTGATAGTGATGGCGTCAAGAGCGACGGCGGATGCGGCGAGGGAGAAGAGTAAGCCGGCGGAAAAACTCAGGAACTTCATAGCAAAAGTGGAAAGCGAGCGAGTTAGCGAAGTTAGGGCTAGAAGTATGGATAGAGAACGACACCGAGATCTGAAGAAGGAAGCGACCCCAGTCTATTTATATCTGGCGGTTAAAAACCAGGACGATAAAATTAGCCGCTGTTGTTGATTTTTCGTCTCGGAGAGCATGCGGCTCCCGCAGGCCGCCTGAACACTTCGCCGTGGTCGCCGCACTGAGACACCCAATCGGGAAATTGTAGTGTCTAAGACGTACGGAAAGGCGTCCCAGCCCACCCCAGCCAAGCGAAGCCAGTTCCAAGCACTGTGTATTACGCATGTTTAGTGCCTGCTGCCTGGCCCGGCCAGGCTGGTACAAGCTGCAGGTGAAAACCGTTTCGCCATAGATTTCGCTATCCAGGTGATTTTACTAACATAGAGAGGGGGGGGTGTTGAGTCTCAGTGGAGAGAAGGTATCACTTGAAGCTTACGCCAAGGGGTTCAGATAATAAAGCACCAAGTATGGTTCGGCCAGATGGCATCCCAGACTCGAGGCTGGATTGTCGGGGACCCTAGTTGGGCCGTTTCCTGATTTGGCGTATTGATGAGTATTCTATCTCGTAACTGAATTGGACTCAGCCAAAGTAGAATATGGGGTGGGTCCCCTTACAGATGGTGCACGTCCTGAGATTGGTATTTCCGTTCCGCAGTAATCAGGCTATACAAAAAGTGTATTAAGTGTAATTGAATCATATCGCGCCGTAGGCTTAACCCTTCGTGCGTATTCGTGTTATTGATTCGCCAGTCATTTACGGATGGTGGACTAGTGTCGGCACCCCGTTGTATAAAAATTATGATCCTTGCTCTGTATATATTAAACGCGAAAACCATTCTATACTAACCAATAATAGTCTTGTTGTAATTAGGAATATCGCAACTACTCTTAGTTTATCTGCCAAGATTAGATCACAACGTCTTGCGCTATGTCACCATCAGTGTAAGGCTTGGCTGTGTTGTGGTGGATTTTTGCCATTAATACATACCTAATGAAGTTGTTGCACAAATTGATTCGTAGTTTAATGCTAGCTCATGAAACATAGGCGTTTACCGTTTTTGAAAGTTTTTTCAAAGACACAGCTTGTCGGTGTTAAGAGCTACATGGCTTGCCCGAGGGGTAGCCCACGAGAATCAATGAATCAGCACTAACTTGGACCTGAAAGCATTAAATATGGCATTCGCTCCCTTCGTCACTAGAAAGCTTGCAGCTTGGCCAAAAGTTTCAAACACCCAAGCGGTACTTAGGTCTTGGACTGAGAAGCCAAGAGAATTTCGACTGCCAAGAATGACGTGTCGACCCTCGTAGGCACAGCCTCCTCGCAGTATTCTTGCTCGAGTGTATGGCTACGTACGGGTGTAATAATTTGGTGGGGATCTTCCAAATTCATGGTGGAAGAAGAATCCTGTAAGTGCCTTACCGGAGTAAGTGCCGTTTCCCACGGATTTGCAAAATCCTCGCCTAGATCAGAGCTTAGGTGAGTCGAATACACGACGGCTAACTCGCTTTCGTCCCGTGAGACCTGGTGGTCCGGTGAGTCAGTAGTATAAGGCACCCAGCCAGCAAAAGAACGGCACTCGCAAAGTTTAGACAGCTTTTAATCATACGCTGTTCGCTGTCCAAATTTTAGGGTTCAGCAGGAGTTTGAACGCCAAATTTAACGTTCTTAGGTTCCATTACCAGCCACAGTATCTCGATAGCACTGCCCAACGTCGACATCCTCGATGCTCATTAGTAGTCTTTCGGGAATTATATTAAAGGGGTCTACTTTATCTTTGGTCATCCGGCGACATCCAGGTCTACCCTCCAAAACGATATACCCCGCTCTCTACATGGAACGATGACAAATGATCTATATATACACTATTGCACAACAGGGGTGGGTCCCCTTCTAATATTATTTCTTCATTTCCACTTTCACGACCAAGTCGCCGCCTAATCTGACCATCTCGTTCAAAATAGCCTTTTTGTTCATAGCAACTTCGTCTTTACCCTCCACTGGCTTGATATTGAACCCGATATTAACCTTAAACCTCTTCTTGCCATTAGCCAAGTTCGGGTTAAACAACCCAGCAACAACATTCTCGCCGTCCTCAGACAAGCCGGTGTACTTGTGGTTCGAGAAAACTACGAGGTTGCCAAACTTTTGCTGCAACTCCTTGACGTACTCCTGGATCGGGTCGAACTTGGTAACAAGGTCCTCTGGGTAGCTGTTGCTACCCACAAGCAAGTTCTTGAACGCACCAGGAGGGGATATACCAGAACCGACAGCCATGTTGAACGTCTTACAACGGATTATAAAGTCGTAGTCCTGGTACGCCGGGGTGAAAAGCATCTTCAACACATCCTTCCCGAGCGGTGCCAGTTGTTCCGAGATTAACTGCACCGCAGCGCGGGCCAACGCCGTCAAACGGGAAGCAATCGGCAAGGTAATGTTCTGGGACCAGAGGATACCAGAAGGATCGTCCTTGGTGCCAATAAAGAACTGGGTTTTCAACCCGTGAGGGTCGGCCTGGCGAATCTTGGCAAAGTTGGCAGTGATCACCAGCACAGACTGAAGCGTCAACTTGTCAGACAACTTGATCAGCACCGCGTCGTTTTCCACGTCATCTTCACCGGCAGAACCCCTTCTGATCAAATCCAAGATCAATGGGTCCTCACGCCAGTTCCATTGCGCCAAGAAGTGCAAGATACGGAAAAGACCGTTCTGCACGGAGCACGGGACGTTGAATGGGGCACAGTCCACAAAAGGTTTGAGTGCAATCAACTCGACAAAACTGTCGGTGAAGTGGCTCAACAACATCTGGGAGTCCAACCACTTCTTGAACAAACGAACAACGGCGGGGAAGTATGCGTAGTGGGTGGCCAACGTGGTCAAGGTGCGCGAGTGCTTGATAGAGGCCATGTAGGTCTCGTTGAACTTCAAGTAGCATTCCTGGAGTCTTGGCTTCTGTTTTTCGGAATTGGCGACAGCTCTGAGGTACAACACCTCATCACGCTCAGTCAACACTCTCAACTTGAATCCGTACCCCTCGGGGGTCAAAATGCACAACGTGTAGATTTCGGAGAACGCGGGGATGGTGGAGTCCTTGTGCATGTAACACTTGTACATCTCCTCGGCATGCAAGGCATCCATGATTGCCAACAAGAACGCGGTCTTGGTCTTTTCCAAGGCCACGAGCTCGTCCGGCCAGCGCGCAGTGGTTTCAAACTGGAGAATCAACTCCTGGAAGAAGTCGGGATTGGAAACGGCAAACGGCACCGGCGGCACCAAGGCGGTGTACTTCGCGTTGACACCGGTAGCAGGCAAAATAGATCTCACACGCAACGGCAAGGAGGAAGAGGCGGTCTCAGGAATCTCCGACACCGCCTTGACCAATTGTTCCATGGCAGCGCGACACTGGTGGAACGGCTGCAAGTTGGTGGTGAGAGCGGTGGCAGAGGAGTTTGCACCAGCTAAAAGCAGAACCGGCAACATCGACTGCCATAATTCCCAGTCGGAGGAGAGATGTTCGGAAATTTCAGCCTGCAAGTGTCTGTCCAAAACGTACTTCGTAATATTCATAACGACTGGCTCCTTCTTTCCCAGCCAAATGATACTGTGCTGAATAGAGCCATCCTTGAAACGTCTCAATGACACCTTTTCGCCCCAGAACTGCTTAAATTCCGAGGCAGCCTCGAGTTCTTCGCTGTCTGGGCCTCTGGTCAAGACCTTATCGCATTCGGTGCCGTTGAGATTCAAGCCAATCACAAGATTGTTGGAGGAAACGGTTCCCTTGCGCTTGGTGAGCGGGAACACGGCCTGGTGCTTGTCCAAGGTGACCGAGATACCGAGTACTCTGTCTCCGAGAGCCTTGCTGAGAAGTGTGGACACCCTATTGAGGAGGAACTTTTCCCAGGTGAGGTGGGTGATCTTTTCGACCGCACTGAAGGAGTCGGTCTCAATGTGAGCAACCGGAAGCTTTATAATGGCATCGTGGTTGAGGTAGTCGATGGAAACACGTTCCAAAAACACGGCAGCGAAGCGGTCAACCACGACTTCGTTGAGCAAGGTCAAGGTCTTAGTGGCAGCGTTCTGGAGGGTCTGATAACTCGCAGGGGTCATCTTCCAGAGAATATTGAGTTTAGTGTGGGTGTCAACCATAGTTGGGGTACCGTTACCCTGAGGAATGGTGTAGGCAGTGCCGGCCATGATGTTGCCCTGAGCGCCAGAAGTGAAGGACAAGTGGTTTCCATGGCACAAGTCGGTGGTGGCAAGGTACTTGATGGCACCCTTGAAGAGCTGGTAAGAAGAGAAGCCTCTCATCAAGACTGGTTTCGACGAAGAGTCTTCGCCAGCACCACCTTGCGAAAGGACAGCCATCAACATCATGAACTCAAAGGAGCCGAAGCCAAGGTCCAAGGTCAGGGAAGTAAAGCCTCTTTGGTTGAGCCAGATCTGTGCGAGCATGGCGGCGTCCTTGAACTGGTCGGTCTGTTTCTTGTTCTTGTAGAGAAACTTGAGGTAGTGGGCATAGTAGGTGGATGTGAGAATGGAGGCGTTGTACAATGGGGTGGCCGGAAGGTCGGCTGGGGTATCATCAGTGGATGGCACCTGGATTCTAACACAGTTGCGGTCCGGCATGAGCTTCTTACCGTCGAAAACGCCTTCTGGGAAGGCCACGAGAACCTGAATCGTCAAGTGAGTCTTGTGAAAGACCAAGTCGTCGGCGTTTGCGGTGTTGATAGACTCAATCAAGAGCCCCACGTTCAACAGGTCGTCGTTGTGGTAGGCGTAGGACACCTTGATGGGGAAGTTGTGGGTGCGAGATAAGCGAATCAAGTGCTGGGCCACATAGGCCACGTAGAAAGAGCGTTTGTACAACCCACGGTAGTTGAGATAGTCCTTGGCTTGGAAAAGCGATTCGGGCATGGTAAGCGCAACGTCAATAGAGGCAGCCTTCTTGGTCTTGATAGCGGTTTTCAACCCAAAGGAACCCACAAGTGACACATCCAGCGGTGGAGCATATCCGAAGCGGTAGTTAGGCTTCCCTGCTGGCTTAGGGTCGGCAAACGGCACAGTGAGCTTCTTAGAATCGAACATGCCGGTGGCGGCATCGAGAGACAAGTCGGAGACCTCGGGGATCTGCTGGATAAGGTCGTATAAGCGGTGTAACGCCTTCTCAATGAGTACCACGCTGGATTCCTTGAGCTTGACTTCCTTGAGAAGCTCGTCGATCTGAAGCTTGAAGATATTGGACTTGAAAAGCTCGGCGGTTTCACGTGCTGCCTGGATATCCTGGGCGGCTAACTGCTTTCTGGTGGGTCTCTTCTTCTTGACAGGGGCCTCTACGTCAGCGGCATCTTCTTCGTCATTCTCGGATTGGGTCTGTGGGTCGATGATGTCTTCCAACTCCTCCTGCGATTCGCTACCGTCCTCGGATTCAAGGTCGGCAAGGGAGGTAACGGGCTTCTTAGCAACATGCCCGGACACTTCCTCGGATGTGGTTCTCTTTACCATCTTATAGATTGATCCAGTAAGTGTTAGGCCTGGTAATGGAGAAGTGCCGATGCAGTTAAATTTTGCCTGGTGCCTAAGAAAATAATTTTTCGAGCGTCTAAGTTTTTTTTGCTTTCTTTTGGTGCGGCGTGCCAACACAAAGTGCTGGGGTTTACTGAGACTGAGACAGTTAGCGTATTTTCCAGAATGGAGACAATTCAGTGTCAGTTAGGTGATAGTTATGAGTAATTAAACTGGGTGAGATCTAGCAAAATGGCTGAAAGACGGTGGTTGTGGCATTCTCCAAAATTCGGCAACGATGATAACAGAAATTGAAGGTCTGGAGGAAGGTATCTTTATAGTTAGAATATGGCACTCATAGGGCATTTATGGAAGACGTCTAGGCTTTCATTGTAATGTCATGTGACTTGGTCCCAGCTGCACGGTATAGGTTGTAACGCGGATGTTGCATCGGAAACCGTTCGCCATTGCGGTTCTGGGGACCTTATCCAATCTGTGGAAAATAGATCCAACGATGAATTTAGGAGATCCTTGTAGTTTGTTTGTTTTTTCACTTTTACTATCAATTTATGTGCAAGTGAGACATGGACGATGGCCCAGCATTAATTAACTACTTACACTGCTATTATGGACTCCTCAATCAACACAAGTGAAATCATGGAAAAAGCTAAATCGGAAGGTATCCTGGTAAATCCTTTGCGAGTCCATGCTACTGGACTATTTTAAAATATTGCCCCGTTTGAGGTAGTTTAAGCCGGGAAGGGTTAGATTGTGGTTAGGTTTGACAATAGCAGAAAACATTTTCCCAGATAGATTCTCACTTAAATGTTTACCCTAGGCCTGTATTGAAACACTAGTGCCGTGTAATGTCTTTTAGAAAGATGCATGTTTCACTGGCTTGGCTGGACGAGGAGTTCCAGTAATTATCTCTTACCTTTTCATTTTAAAATTATTTTAGTTAATAATTTTAAATACTTTGTCTATTGATAAAACACAAAACATATGCTCCTAAGTGAAATATATATACATATTTGTGACCAAAACACTGAATATAATATATATATATATACGTAAAATAGATGTACATCCATGTAAGTACAATACATATACACGTATATATAACGAATAACCGACTAAAGCAAGCTTTCGCCACTATTTTGCACCACCACTTCACTAAAAGCGCATGCAGTAGCAATCCCCGCGTCTCAGACGTCGACGTGACAACAACGCGTGCAGGCACCAGCCTCAATACCAAATATTAAACCCCACACAATCAATATCGGGCCATTTCCTACAGGCTCATAAACCAACATCATAAAGCCGATCAGACCTTAAAGAAATCTCTTCAAAGACCGTCTTCTCCGCCACAGCGATCAAAAATGCCGCCGCGCCATTTCCAATGACATCATGGAACGACTTTTTCCCTGGATTGGCGCGCCGCGACGTTCCTCCTTCCGCATTCGGCTATCAGTACAGCACACACGGCCGGGTAAACCCCCGTTTTGAATTGCTGCGCGACCAGCTCCTCGGATAATGAGTGCGCACGCGCAACCATATAAGACGTCCGCACGCACTCTTCTCCGTTCACTGCTCAATTGACCCACACTATTACCAATGAGCTCCGTGTACCAGAAAAACGGCCAGCCGTTGTCCGAGCACGCGCTCTATGTCGCGAAGCTCAAGCACGGCGTGTTCAACAATCCCAACACCCAGAACGTCGGTGTGGCCTCCAATGCCTCCGACACCGCGGCGCTCCTCGCAGTTTCCAGTGACTTGACCATCAAGCCATACGAGCGCACGGTCGCGGCCGAGGCGCACACTGCGGCGCTCCATGCAAAGGCACAATCGCAGAAGCCGCAGGTGCGCGCGGGCCGCCCAGCTTCGCAGGCGCAGGGTGCCGCGCGCAATGCGACAGACGCGGCCGCGCACGACGTCGAGAATATCGATGAGTGGAACGCTGACATGGGCTCCGAGTCCGCGCTTGGAGTTGCACGCGGCTCCTCGCAGAGCGCTGCGAACCACGCCTTGCAGCAGCCGCACAACTCGTACGCGAAGTCCGCGTTGGACAGCTTGTACTCGTTTGACGATGTGCGCACGGGTACGTCAACTATGAGCTCTACCACGCGCAAGACTGTGCCCCTGGGCCCGGTGACATTTGGGCGCGAGGGCATTCAGTCGCAGCTGGGCTCCTACGGCTTCAACATCGCGACACTCAACCAGGCGGCCCAGAGCTCTGCATCCAGGACAATGACGTCGCGCATCAACCCCGAGCTTGATGCGCGGTCGGGCTTACAGTCTGCTGGTGCTTCGTCGGCGTTTGACATCGGCAAGGTCCACAGTACCGCGAGCACGAACTCGGCGCAGAGCTTGAACGCACGCACGACCCCGGTCAAGAACTACCGCTCAGGTGTCGCGGCTGCAGCCGCTCCTGTGGCGTCTGCCGCGGAAACCGCTAGCAGCTACATCAACCCGAACTTCCTCCGTGTTGCGCAGGATCGTGCGAGCGCCCAGATCCGTAGCATTGAGCGCGATAACAGCATCAACAATCCCGCGGCATTCACCAAGGAGGACTACATGAAGGCGTTGGCGGTTGCGACCGAGAAGCACAAGCAGCGTGCTACCACCGTCGGCAAGGTGGACGTTGGTGGCGGATTATTGATCGACCAGGCACAGGTGGACGCGTTGGCGCGTAAGTTGGTGACGCCGGTACTCGCGGACATTGACACGAAGGCGGGCGCGCAGCGCAAGCTCGACGCGGACAATGTGCGCCTCAAGGCAGAGTTGAAGGCCGCGACACAGCAGGCCAAGCGCAACAAAGAGGAGGCCAAGCGTGCGGAGAAGCTGCGCCTCGCGGAGGAGAAGTTTGCGCGCAAGCAGGAGAATAAGCGCCTCAAAGAGGGCGAGGTGCAGAAGCAGACGGAACTCCAGCGCGCGAAGCAGCAAGAGATCAGCGAAACGGGCGACTTATTGACGAGCACGCAGGCGGAAGCCGACGGCGAGAAGGCGGAACTTTTGGCGGCAAAGGCGGCCGAGGAGGAGCGCATTGCAGGAGAGGAGACCGTTTTGCAAAAGGGGCGCGCGGACGAGTTGGCCGAGTTGCAGGCGGCGAAGGACGTCGAGTTGCAGCCGCTCTTGGACGATCTCGCCGCCGAAACGGAGGAGGTGACCGCGTTGACCACGGAAAAGGAGACGTTGGCCACGGAGGTTGCCGGGTTGCAGACCAAGTCTGATGCCGCCGATGCGCAGTTGCGCGAGCTCGAGTTGAAGCTCGCGGAAACCGAAAAGCTTATTGCCAGTGTGACACAGGAGCATGCTACCGCGGAGACGCAGGATACGGAATTTGCTGCCGAGTTGGCCACGTACAAGGAGACGTCTGCGCGCGAGTTAGAAGAGTTGGCCGCAACGCACAGTGATGGTGTGGAGAAGCATGCTGCGTTGGAGACCGAGCACGCCGCGCTTGTCGACGCTCATGCGCGTGCCAAGGACGATATCCGCGCTCACCTCGCGACAAAGGTGGTTGATGAGCAGAAGATCAATGCCGCGTTGCCGCAGCACTTGCAGAAGGAGCTCGATGTGGCGAAGTTGCAAGACGCGTCGACATATCTTCTGGATGAAGAGCCGGAGGTCGAGGAGCCCAAGGTTCCGGAGGCGACGACGAAGGAAGCTGCCAAGGATGCGAGCGCCGCTTCTAGTAAGCCATCAAGCGCCACCACAAGACCATCTACGGCGACATCGGGCAAGACGGAAAAGTCCGGCTTCCGTAAGCGGTTGTCGGTTGTTGCATCGAAGTTTGTCAGTCTGTCGGCCAAGCCAGTGGTGAAGACCGCTCGGGTGGCTGCTCCGGCGACGAAGATCGAGGCTAAGACCGAAGCGACTGAGGCTACGCCGGTGACTACTGCCTTACCTGTCGAAGCGGCTGAAGTGAAGCGCACGTTCTCCGGGTTCTCACAGGGCTCCGTCGAGGAGGCTAAGGTCGAGGAGGCCAAGGTCGAGGCTGAGGCTAAGCCTGCCCAAAAGCAAAGTGTCTTCCTGGAAGACTTCTAGTTTCTTTTTAATTCAGAGCCGTGGCTTGTTGTAAGATATTGTTTGTTTTGGTTTAATCTATGTTTATTAATCAGTATGAGAAATTCGTAGTAGTCTGTAGCAGCAATGATCAATGCGGGTTGACGTGGGTCTTAGACGGATATATTGGATGGAAGACTGTCGGTATGACTGAGAAGTTACACCATAGGGTTTGAGTTACAGGGCACTCAAAGCTGGATTCAAGCGTTAAAACTAGGAGTATCAGTAATAAGATATTAACCATTAGGTTGAGCTTGTAGTAAAGGTGATGCAGGTGCCTTATTTCTAAATGAGGCTGCTTGTACCCTACCCTACGTGAGACTACAGGTTCCTTATCCTAAGTGAGGCATAGCTTCATTAATCGATCTATATAATGATTGTCTGACTGTTTCTTTATCTATCTAGTTCAGATCTAATGATCAATCGATTCTACCTGGCTATATCATCACTTACGTAGATGTACTACAGAGCTGTTAACCTGTCGTATTTACTTCTATTTTCAAGTCATACCAATGTAAAACGATCATGGCAATTCAATGCCTTTAATGAATATGTATGTTTATCCATTTCTCGTTTCGGGACAGGAGAACATGAGTGGGGAGAAAAAATCCCCCCGGACACCGCTTTCTACACGTACCTTTAATAATCTTATTGATATCCATTTGTGTTTTTGGCTCCCTTGTATTTTTGGTTGTTTACCGCAGTTGCTACTGCGAGTCAATCTGTGGAGACGTTCAAGGTTCCTCAAATGGATAATGGGAGCGGTAATCTCTACGAATGGGGGCATATGCTATCAATTCAGCACAGTAGCATACGCACCTTATACGCACTAGTACTGATTTTGACAGATAAATATAACCCAATAAAACCTTGACTCTAGGTAGCACTTATGACACATTCGTATCTCAAAAGGAGCGGGAATCTGAAGCCTTGCGGCGAGATTAGTTTTTCTGTACCCCTAAGCTTATCCTACACGGAGTGATGGCTATACGAATTACCCGAGGCCTGATTTAGAGTTTGCAGCAGAAAGCCCCCCCCTCCCTTGATACGGCCAAATATTTGCCCAAGTACCTGGTGTTAGTCCATTTTGGGATCTTTCTCGGTACATGCAGATATGACACTACACATTACTTAGACGGGGTACCGCATCACCAGGTGCTTCTAGGCAAATTGTTTCAAGTATGGAGTCTACTCCAGAATCTTGCCAAGTTAAAACGGTACATCAAATTTAATGGCCATCTTTCCAGACTGAGCTATTTCTTCGTTTTCATGCACTTTAAGTTCCCAGAGATGCCCAGCATTATGGCTATTGTCACACTCGACGGGTATCGGGTTGGATCTGTTTGCGTCATTCCCAAACCCTTTTGAAATGGTTCACGTGGGGATTAGGGTGCTCACTTTAAATAACTCTGGAGCACTTGAAAGCCATCAATATCTCCAGAGATATTATACTACATGCATGAAATTTAGGCTCAGGAGAAAAGCTCCCAGGGATAGCCCATGTTGCCTTTGTTATGTCCTGGGTACTTCTGCGGTTCTATTTTGGGCTGAGCGCCCAAAAGGGCTCTAGGATTTCTCAACTAGGAAATCCAGGGGTAGCAACCTAGGCCCTACTTTCTGGCACAAACGGACCCACTACATATTTCCTACCTAAAATCAAGCTGGCCAACAATCGGAAGCAGAGGGCTCTCGGAAGATGGCAATGGAAATGCTAAGGATATATCACTCGAAGTCGGAATGCCCACTAAGAGATCACCTGACGTGATTCTTAGAGTTTACCGCTGCATTATCATCCGCCCCGACCAAATTGGTGCGTGCCTATTCTAGGAGAGCCTGCATTTGGGTACCTGATGTGCCTGCGCGTGTAAGTAGTAAGGTTAGCCCATCGAAGATGCACCTTTTCGGCAACTTCCTTGAGCCTCCTTATAAATGCCACCTAAGCCACGGTGTCATACACCAACTATCGTATAAATATAAAACAGCACACCATATAGAAAATGCAGCTCTTAGACTGCGGGTGTTGAGGTTATACCTTACGAGTCGGACTTTATAGTTCAGGAGCGGCTGGCGTGGTGCTGGAACAGGCCGCCTCGAACCAAAAACAACACGCACACACAGACTTATATACGTGCGTGCGCCTTGCGGTTATGCGCAGAACAATACTGAAAATTCTCTAGAAACGGGTAGTGTGCCTTGGCCATGCAGGGAATATGCAAGAGTAAACTTTACTGCATTCACGGTAGGACTACCCGTCACTAAGGCCTTTCACGGAGGCTAATGTAAAGGCTTTTATATTGTATCTTGTGGTAAACGATGACCAGGATGTAATTCCAGTCGTGGGGGTGGGTGAAGACAGCCATTAACATGCAAGACCTCGAACTATTACCCATGGCCACTTACCTCAATAGCGAACAAAGCATTTGCAGCGCGACCATGCCATATTAGAATAATCAATCCCAAAGGCTAGATGAGATTCAAGGCGGTGGGCACAAGTCATGCAAAGAGGTGAACATGCGACGAGATTCACACACGCATAATCTGCCCAGTGGTCTCCGATGGTGCCTAGTAAATACTGTTGTCTCTTTCAAGCTATAAAGTGGCGACAAAGGTTGCTTAGATATAAGCCTGTTCCCTCAGACTGCCTCTATCAGAGACATGGGTTAGGGCAGCTGTCGTCGGTATAGCGCAGGGAGGATGCAAAACGTTTATTCTAAAAGGAGTATTTCACGTGCGTTGCCGCAGTTTCATCTAGTAAACCAGAATAGCTGCTTTATTTATAGTCAACTTCTACTTCCGGACGTGTATTTTCTTAAGTGTCTGCAAGCTTAAAGCGCCTCGTTTCTACACTACGGTTCGCGTAGGCGACGCTTTTTAAAATCATGCATACAGGTCCAGGGTTGATGCATGGGCCAAAATGTACTGTCTCCTGAAATGTGGAAATCTCTTAGCAATTCGCTATATCAAAGAACTTTAGTTAAAAAGGATGAACACATATGCTGTCCAACCGCCTTTGCCGCGGTATACTAAGCGAGGCAGCCCAGCTAGGTGTTTTACCCCCCTGTGCATGCTGCCTCAATTGCGCCTTATAAATACATGAACCAATACATGCATAGAAAACACTAACGAAGCTCGGCTAGGTGCCATGCCAAACACGAAAAGAGGCACAAGAGAGTCGGGAGTGAATGGAGGTTCCCAACCCCTGTGCCTCACCCATCGTATATAAAGAACGTCTCCCCCGACAAATAGGACTAAATCGCTTTATTAGGTTTCATCTTCATTCAAGTCTCTTTGCAATTTACACACAGAGAATGAACCAAAAATTGATCACCTTGCTTTCAGCAATAATAGCTATTAGCTATGTTGCTGCCTCTCCATTCTTGTACTTCTACGGGAATGCGTGCTTTACTTATACTGAGTGTGTTCCTCAGCTTTTTACGTCCACTGCCGTCTCTACTTCCTTAGAATACATTGGCAACAGGTGTAACACTCACCGTATTACTACTACCAAGTGCATTCCAACTCTGTGTTGCGCTACGAAATGTACCACTACCAGTATCCCTTGTACCACTGCCACCACTGCCAATTGTGACTTGTGTATGAATCCTCAGACCTATACCACTAAGATTTGCGAGTGTAACGCCTTTAACGCGTATATCTCAAATTGTCCTACACACACTCTTATTGGTACCAAGTTTTGTCTCGGTCCATGTTCTGAAAATAGCTGTACCATCAAACCAACAGCCACTTTCAGTTGTTATACCACTGTCTCTGTCGTTCCTACCTCTACCACGTCCTTAGAGTTCTATAACGGAAACAAATGCAGAACTCACTTGAAGCCTTGCACTAAAAAGACCACGGTTACCATCTGCCCTACTAAAACTTGTTATACCACTGTCACTAACATTCCTACCACTACCACTTCCCTCGAGTTTTACAACTTAGGTTACAACTGCAGAACCCATTACCAGCCTTGCACTAAAAAGTCCACGATAACTATCTGTCCTACTGCCCCGCCAACCACCAGCTGCACTACCTTCGTCACCACTGTTACCTCCTCGACCTCATCTCTTGAGTATTACAACTTAGGCTTAAGCTGCAAAACTCACTGGAATCCTTGCTCCTCCAAAACCACCGTTACCCTGTGTATGACTTTGACTCCAACTCAGACTGATACTGTTACCGTGACTTCCACTTGGACCGGTACTTTCGAGACTACCGTCACTGCTCCATTCACTTCTGGTGCTACTGTGATTACGGTCACTGACTTGGTTCCATCTGGTTCTACTAAGACTGTTACCGTTACCTCTACTTGGACCGGTACTTTCGAAACTACTGTCACTGCTCCATTCACTTCTGGTGCTACTGTGATTACCGTCACTGACTTGGTTCCATCTGG